TGTAGGGGCTAGTACTAGAAACTAGGTAGCTGTTATATAGTCTACTAGTAGGCGTATAATACTAGAGTAGTTATAGATAAATTTTCTATAGAAGTTTATAAAACCTAAGAATACTTAGATATCCTTATATCTCTTAGGCTTTAGCTACTCTCTAATAGTTTATACCTTTACTAGGTCTATAACTATACTACTAGAGGTAATAATAAAGCTTAGGAACTTTATAGATTTTATTAAAAAGACGTATTTACTTACCTTATAGTATAAGCCCTACTTAATAAGCCTATTAAGGATCTCTTTAATGTAGGTATTATAGTCTTTCTTATTCTTAGAGTAGATTAAGATATTATCTAGATATACTATATAGGTATAATCTACTAGGCTACCTAAGGCTTTGTAGATATAGGATTAGAATATTACTAGCATATTTATTAATCTAAAGGGTATAACTAGATACTTAAAATAGCTATACCTTATTTTAAAGGCTATCTTCTACTTATTACCCTCTCTAATTTATAGCCTATAATAGGCTTTATAGAGGTTAAGCTTAGAAAAGATAGCTGTCTTTAATAATTAATCTAATATCTTACCTATAAGTAGGATAAGGTATTAATTCTTAATTATAACTTTGTTTAGTCTATAATAGTCTATACAAAGTCTTATTATCCTATTAGCTTTTAGTATAAAGAGGATTAGAGTACCTATAGGTAATTTACTAGGATAGATTTATCCTACGCTAGTAAATAGGTTTAGAGTACCTAATAATAGGTTAGGGTTAGGTTGGGGTTATACAGACTCTAGGTTAGGGTTAGGTTAGGGTAGTCTAAGCTTAGGGTTGTAGTTAGGTTAAGGTAGTTAAAGCTTTAGGTTAGGGTTAGGTTAGAGTAGACTGTACGTTAGGTTAGGGTTAGAGTTAGGTTATATAGACTAAGACAGAGGTATAGCTAATTAGGTATATAATAATAGACTGTAGTAAAGTCCTTTAATTAGTAGAGCCTACCTAACTACTACCTAAGGTCTATGTAACTCTAACCTAACTCTAACCTAATACTAGCGTAAAAAACTTAAGTTAGAGTTAGGTTAGGGTAGACTGTACATTAGGTATAGGTTAGGTTAGAGTTAGGTTATACTTATATAAGACCTAACTTCTACCTAACCCTAACCTATTTACTAGCGTAATCTATCTCTTCTCCTAGGCTGTATTAAGGTAGTCCTGTAGGATTTCTAGCTTACAGCTAGAGAGGTTATAGATAGGGAAATTTAGGACCTTAGTCTCTAGCTCTAAGTTAATAGGGTAATTATACTCCCTATTAGGTTAAAGTATACCTACTTAATACTTACTAAATATAAGCTACTTATAGTATAGCTTCTTTAGTATAAATTTTAATTTATTTAGATTAGGCGTATTATTTTTAACTGCTAGATATAGAGTATTTATCTTAATATTATTAGTTAGGATATAGGCTACGCCTAGAGGTAGTTTAGCCTAATTAGAGTTCTTGTTATATATGCTAGTAACTATTTAATAGGCTACTATTTCTAGTAGCTAGGCTAAGTTTAGATAGTTCTATACACAGTAGTAAAGATAATTAATAATCTCTAAGAACTTATTCTTTAACTAGAGAATTCCTTTTTAGTAATAGTACTTTGCGTCTTAAACTATATTCCTTCCTAGTTATACTCTACCTATAGGTGTAGGTATTCTAGGGTCTTTCTGTAGGAGTTCCTTACGTAGGGCTTTCTAGCTACTAGGCAGAAGCTTATATACTAGATTACTAGGGTAAAGGATATATACTCTTTCCTCTAAACTTATATTATCTAGTAGTTATTCTATAAAGAGTAACTAAATTCTATTAGTATTATTTGCCTACTATTTAAACTTACCTATTAAGAAGTAGATCTTTAGATCTGCCTCTTACAGCTAAGAGTACTCTAGTATAAGGTTATAACCTGTAAAGTTTACTACCTAGAATATCTAAAGGTCTACTTCTTTAGTAGTTCCTCTTATATTACTATATAAAAGTATAAGTTTATATAGTTTAAGAATATTTAAATAGTTACTATTAATAAAGCTTACTACTAGCTTCTAATAAAATAGACTATAAAGGAGATTCCTCTTCTTAACTATACGTTAGTTAATAATATTAATCTCTACGCCTAAGTTATATAGTGCGTAAAGGAGTATTATAGACCTGTTAGACCCTTATAGGATTATAGTAACTTTAATATAGGTTTATTTCTCTTTTAACTCTAGCCTTAGCTATAATTAGGAAAGATTTATAATTAGAGCTTCTCTTTTTTTAGGCCTTAGCTCTTTAAGTCTTAGGGTTAGTTAGTATTAGTTTTCTAATTTAGTTTCTGCTAACTCTTTTCTTTATTATCTTAATTATTACTAGTATTTACTACTTACCTACTGCTCTAGTTCTAGGCCTAGGGTAGGGCGCTAGTAAATTAGTCCTAGTACTATCTTAAGAGTTTAGAGTTATGTCTTTTCTTATAGCTACCTTAAGTTAGGGAGGTAGCTATTTATTTAGGCTTTATAGAGTCTAATAGTTTTAACTTTATCTTTATATCTATAGTAGTCTCTGCGTTACAGAGAGCCTGCTTAAACTCTAACTATTTAGTAATAGTCTTTAATACTCTATTATACTAAATCTCTTATTAGTAAGCCTTAGAGGCCTTTACCTATACTAAGGAGATTTTTAACTTATTATCTATACTGCTATCTATAAGCTTAAAGAAGCTTTAATAGAGTAGAGATTTCCTATAGTTTAGGTATAGTAAGAATATATTAACTAAGTTATTAGTATACTACTTAAAGTTCTAAAACTTTAAGTAGTTTTTATACTATGTAAGGACTAGGTTTTATACTAGCTTCTACTTTTTTGTGTAGATATTAGCCTAGGTATAGATTACCTCCTTATTAATCTTTTATTAGATTAATTCTTAGTGTACTCTATATTAGATAGTACCTATTACCTAGTAAGTTCTAGTTATAGAGTCTTTTAGTACCTAGGTATACTTAAATACTGTATTTATATCCTTAACCTACTAATCTACTTATTAGGGGGTAGGAACGTAGGATTCTATACCTAATTTAGGCTTAGGGTTTACTATATTAAGTACCCTAATTAGCCTTTCTACTGTATTAGATACTAACTAGAAAGGCTCTACTAAGGTAGTAGAGTATTCTAGGCCTAAGTACTGTAAGGTAACTTAAAGGTATCTTTTTAGAATTATAATATATTCTAGGCTAGCGCCTTAAAGTTATTCTTTTAGGAGTTTATCTAAGATTAATTAAATATACTACTTACTACTTAGTAGGGCTGCTTACGTATAGACTCTTAGGAGTAATTCCTAAGGAGGTTATAAAATGCTAAACTAGTAGATTACTTCTAGAACTCTATTAATACTACTTTCTAGCTATATTCTAAGGAGAAGTGTATAGCTTATTTCCTTAATTAAGGGTTATTCTAAGGGGCTTTTATATATTTCCTTAAGCAGCTAGTTCTTTATTAGGAAGTAAGTTACTTCCTATTTAGAGGTTTCTTCTTCTTTATCTAGGCTCTCTATATCTTTAATATAGGTAGCTAGGCCTTACTCTAGGGCTAGGTTACTTTTAGTCCTAGATAAGAATACTATTAGGCCCTTCTTAGGTATAATATTTTATTCTCTTTAAGGAGGTATTATTTTTCTATTAAAGAAAATAGCTTCTATTTATCTTAAATTAACTACTCTTTCTAAGGAGGAGTATAAAGGATTTAAATTATAAGAGCACTGTAAATAGGTAATTAAGATATAAGATAAATAAGTATTTATTAAGAGATTAGACAAATTCTTAGGGTATAAGCCCTAGAGATTTATAAGTACTATATACTAGAGCTCTAAGGGCCTTGCGCCCTTAGCCTAGAGGTCTACTAAAGGTAGGCTAATAGGAGCTTAGATAGAAATACCTATAACAGTACATCCTCTAACTAAATAGCTTTATAGTATTATAGTCTTCTAAGCAGTAATTATACGTTACTAAATCTATATATAAAGCTAAATATATAGCTTACTTATACGCTACTACCTATTTTCTATAGATTAAATACGCTATCTAAGAACTCTGTAGTAGTATTCTGCTTTATATTCTATAGCTTAACTACTGCTTTACCCTAATTACTAATAGTTAGCTAGCTATTGCTCTTATAAAGAATTATTAAATTAATGTTTACTTAAAGTATATTAGTATACATTTCTACTTTATAAGAAAGAGATATCTAGTAGAGGACTTTAATATTTAGTATATTGCCTCTATATCTAACTTAGTAGATGTTTATACTAAGGCATTACCTAGACTAGCTCTAGCAGGGTTTATTTATAAATTAAGTATAGTAGACTCTGTAAAATAAATATTTTATTACTATAATCTAGCCTAAGGAAAGGGGACTGTTGGTAGGGGCGATTCCCTAGTCTGCATCACTAGTTTAGGACTAGCGCGCAAGCTATAGAGCTCGCGCCTCCTCTATAGTAAATCCACAACTCTTACACCACACATACTACGTTTTACAACGATTTAGCTTCGTACAGAAAGGAAGCGAGCGCGCTTCGAGCGGGAGAAACCAAGGATATAATCAACATAGTTGCTGTTCTCCAAAACCTGATGTCACTCCCTAACGAGGAAGCCGCTAGAGTAGCAGCGTTCTCGTACTTGTTGCAGGTGGAGACGTGAATGATAGAGGATCTTGCACATCTAGCCGCGTGGGAGAAACTAACGGATGAGGAGTGGTGGTTTCTTGAAGCTGTTTTCCTCTCAGCATCTGGCAATGTCTTTTTATGTATGACGAGCTCGCGGTATGGAGGGGAGCAGCAAGGCTTATTCAGTCAAGGGCGATATAGCGGAGTTTAGATTTGCTTATCTGCGTGAGAGTGCACTGCTCCGGAAGAAAGTTACGCAACGGCATAGGTCAATGAAATCAAGAGTATGAACAGTGGCGAGGGTGTGGATTTGATAATCGACTTCATCGGCGGTTCGTCTTTTTCGTCATTGCTCGAGTTGGCAGCACGGGATGGGAAGATTGTAAACTTCGGGCTGTTGAGAGGGGAAGGCAGTGAATATCAGTCCGTTTGTTATGAAGAGGCTGCGATACGAAGGGAGTACGCTAAGGAGCCGAGATGTTGAATATCAGGCAAGAGTGCGAAAATTGTTTGAGAAGAACACGCTCCCGCGGTTGCTAGATGGGACGTTGACGCATTATTTGGAAAGGGTGTTCAGGTGGGAGGACGTGGTTGAAGCTCATGGCCTCATGGAAAGCAACGCAACAATGGGGAAGATCGTTTGTGTCATCAACTGGTAGCGTACACATATTGTTGCACTGAATGTCTTAGTTACGGTCTCTGCGTTTCGCAAGTTATTAGCGGCTTAGTTATGTTTGATTAAGGGATCACTCGACAAATGCCATCACTAGATAAGATCTCATGATGCACTCTACCGTGATTCTAAACAGAAAGTCACATAGGAATCGTCTTTATGGTGGACTTTGGCAATCCGCTTTTAATTATTTTACTCAGAAACATGACAGTAATCATGTAATCATACAAGCCCTTGCTTCAAAGATTCATCAGAACAAGCCTTTGTAGAAGCCAATCTAACCTCAATACCGTGAATGTGACATCTAACATGTCATTGTTCCAGAAATGCAATACATTCTCGAATTGTCCTGCTAGCTCAGGTGTTCGACGTCTGGGACTGACCCACAACAAAGCGTTCAGACCATACGACGAGCACACCTTTATGCGCGAAAAAGCTCAAAGCGAAGGATTTGTCCTCTATCCTTCCAACTACCAGGTTGATAAAGCCTGTAAAACTCTTATTGATGGATGGTCAGACTAAGTGAAAGACACCTTTTTCGCAAGCACAAGAATTTCGGCCTGTCCAGAATCACTAAACTTCACGGTCAAGGAGGATCAATCCACTCTATATGGTGCGAGTGTCGAGAAAGTCCCGGCACTGTTCACAGTGCGGATATTATCAGACATTTGTAGGGCAGTAGAAGGTTCAGGAAATTGGTGTGCTTTTCTCGAATGAATCTTGCATACGATTCAACGCGCGATCGCTCAATGGATGCGCCAGATACTTGTCGCTTCCGCAAATAGAAGCCTTTGAGTTCATGTTCAACCTCGCGTTCCAACTCTTATGGAGGCTACCTACGTCAACATCGTTCGCGTTATACCGAAACCGGTACCAAACATCCACAGGGATTGAGAGGAAGAGTAAGAGGAAGAAGAAGACGTAGGCAAAGACGAGGATATCTCTTTTGGGGCTTCTTGGAGCTCCAAAGCTACGAATAAGTCAATTGCTCTTGGATCTTATAAAGCCCGGATCCTAGTTCTTTCAGTACGTTTTCGTTGGTCAGTGCCTTCCCCTTGCAAGGCAATTTGTAAGAGATTACACGATACCCTGCCCTACCCAACCTGATGCTCACCACACTTGAGCTCAAGCTATCTTATTGGCTAGGCGTGTATAGATAAGTACTCACCTCAGGTATCGGCAGTGATCACCGTCGCTTGCGGACATAAAGGAGGTGCGCTGGAATCTCAATTCCATACACTATTGGCTGCTCGGTAATGCGTACCGAAGGAAATTTGGTCCATTATTTTTTAACCCGGTACTCAGTCTACCACGTCACCCAATTCGCGTAAGCTTATGCATTGGAAACTTCCGAAAGAGTTTATGATGTAACATCCAGGTAAATCAAGCTTTTAACTGCTCAACGCCTTCCGGCTTGTCAAAGCTTGATATTAGAGAACCTTGGCTATACATGTTAATCTGGTGGATTTGTGGGAACCAGATAGGATTGAGGCCTCTTAAGCTGCTGGATAAGTTGGATGTGAGTTGTTCGTTGAGATACAGTAACAAAACGTTGAATAAAGAGGACACCGGCGAATTAATGGTGATGTTCCAAGCAACTTCGTTGCGGTTTTCCATGTCTCTTTAATTTCCGATGCTGAGATGATCTTCAACGTTGATCGCGAAACAAACTGCGCTAAGGAATAAAGATTTCGTCATGACTGAAATCCTTCAAATATTTGATCGTTACCAATCATATCAACAAGGAGCGAACGTGATGATGAGAGAATGATCTCAAAGTTTCATATGCTTGTAATGAATATGGAGACATGGAGTCTGTATATAGTCTACTCGACGCTCAATGCTTGGGGAAGCACGATCAAATTGTCTTGTTCACTGGACTTTTATCACGGGTCTGATATCTGAGCAAGATGGCTCTTCAATCACGAAACAATGCTCTTAAACAGAATGGTACGCTTTCCTCCGACTCATATGATTCCCTCCCCTCCCCCTCCACGCGCACGTAGACATACACTCAAACACGCTCTTTCTCCTGACTTCTTCGTACAGGAAACTACAGAAATGGCGCCACCGCCGATATTGCCATCACAGTGCGCGGCTCCGATTTCTATTTCGCCATCAGCGCTGCCATGGCCGTCGCAGCTATAACCTTCCTCGGTCTCGGACTGCGCAAACCTTGCCGGGCACGCGTATTTCACTACATTACCTCTGGCGTTGTTTGGGCTGCCGCCATTTCATACTTCTCCATGGGCGCAAACCTGGGCTTTACGCCCACCACCGTTGAGTATCATCGCTCTAATCCTCGAGTTTCTGGTGACTACCGCGCAATCTTCTACGTGCGGTACATTGATTGGTTCATCACAACACCGCTGCTGTTACTGGATCTGCTTTTGACGGCCGGGATGCCGTGGCCTACGATTCTATGGGTGATTCTTGTGGACTGGATCATGATCATCACGGGTCTTGTAGGTGCGCTGGTAGAGTCGAGCTACAAGTGGGGTTACTTTACTTTTGGTAAGTCCTCGATGAGAACTGGGAAAGTGTAACACACTCACTGTAAACAGGTTGCGCAGCGCTCGTTTACATCATTTACCAACTTGTATGGGAGGCCCGGATCCACGCACGTGCGCTCGGTGACGACGTATCCAAGTGCTTCCTCTACTGTGGCTCACTTACAGCCTTTCTCTGGATCATGTACCCGATCGCCTGGGGCTTGTGCGAAGGTGGCAACGTTATCTCACCCGATGCCGAGGCCGTCTTCTACGGCGTTCTTGATTTCCTGGCCAAGCCCGTTTTCGGCGCGCTGCTGATCTGGGGCCACAGAAACATTGACCCTGCAAGATTGGGCATGGATATCAGGGACTATCATACTGACCCAATTGAGGACGGGTTTATCGACAAGAATAAGGCCCCGACCGGTATGTCCACAGGCGTTCAGAGAAGTGGGGTTGCACCTATGGGTGAAACCACGACGGGAGTTTAAGGTTAACGAACTTATGTTGTTCATGTCGGCAGTCTCAATGCTCAATCGTTGTCTGAGGACGAAAGGAATAATGAGGAGGGGTTCCATCGTGGTCATATCATATTTGTCGGTGTAAGGGTTTTAATCTTAATAATTTCTAAATCAACTGTCAGTTTGGCCTGTACTCATGTACCAGCGGTCGCATTTGCCTTGGGCATTTTTGGGAGTAATGAAGAGAAAATAAAACGAACCTAGAGGCTTGAAGTTGCTGGTAAAGAGACATTGGGTTCTTCCCTTCGTGACCATGTTATGTCCGAGTGTTTTTATCAACTTTCTGGTACGTCATAATGTCGCCGATCATCAACAGAGCGGTGTAGAAGAGACATCTCACAATTCTTCATCCCGGTGCTTACTGGTGAACGAATATACGGATGACAGCAACGGAAATACATCACAACGAGTATTTGCAAGTTCGCGAGTGTGCAAGAGGTACTGCATACACTTAGTGCGGAATTTTGAAAGACAGCAGAGTGGCAAACATCTTCTGATTGGTTGCCAACATGCCAACCCCAGTCCTCCCTTCCTCTCAGCACAGCCCCTCATCCAGTCTTCTAAGCCTACTCTTCTAAGATTTCGACATCAACCTAGTATCCCATAATATCAACGCAGCCTATGCAATGAGTTCTAAATGTTGTTATCAGCAATAATGACCCCCCTTCACCACAGTTCATATCCCTAATCTTCACTCTAAATAGACGTCCGATCAGATCTTGAAAGTTCAGCAAAGTTTCAGTCTCACACACTGTTGAGTTGGCCATCCATTCCCGCGACGTATCCTACGATGGAACTTTCACAAACAGACGTTGTTTGTCGATTTTGCACCGAGATCGATCTCGAAGGACTGCGTGTTTCTCATACGACTATCAGTGCCTTGCTAGCCTCTGCCAAAAAAGGATGTCCCGGCTGCAAATTCTTTCTGGATGTTTACCAACGGGACCTCGACGATATATGCAGTAACAATGAAATCACGCCTCCGTTCCAGGCTGCAGAACATCTCAGCTCGCACGCCAAACTGTTTCCAGAAGAAGAGATCTCAATCAAACGAATGAAGAAGAATGAAGTGATGATGGATTTTCCTACCATTGTTGTTCAGGACCAGTACTACCTTCCTTCCTGGTTGGAGTTTGGACTGAGCAGTACTCTCGGTAGGGTGCTTACATCAAACCGATTTTTCGTTACTAACTTCCACTAGATTCTCACCCTATTCGAATCGATGGAGAGATCGAGACAAACAACCGTCAGGGTGAAGAACTTGTGAGGCCCATATCCTCGCACTCGGGAGATGATGCGTGCCTCGATTTGGCAAAGTCATGGCTCGAACAGTGCACACACCAACACGGTGGGTTATGCGCTTCACTCGCTGACTCTCCACTGCCTACAAGACTTATATATATCCCAAGGGCTGTATCTGAATCCTTACGTCTATGTAATACAGAGGAAAGCAAGGGATCTTACGTGGCATTAAGTTACTGTTGGGGCCAAGGCAATACCTTTCAAACCACAAGATCGACACTTAAGGAGAGGCTCGCGGGATTTAACATCGAGTTATTGCCTAGGACGCTCCGTGATGCTGTCTATATTGCTCGATTTATGGGCTTTGAGTGGATATGGATTGATGCCCTCTGCATTATACAAGGAGACGCCGAAGACTGGGGTCGTCATTCTGCTCTTATGGGTGCGGTCTATGGAAATGCAGCCTTCACCATATCAGCTAATAATGCGGCTGACGCTGGACATGGAATATTCGGTCCTCGGAAAATACTGTCCTGTAGCATTTTCGGAGAACGACACGATCGTTGCCTGTGGACTACAGGACGATCCTTCAATACCATAATGTCACTGCCACTTCACACACGTGGTTGGGCATTCCAAGAGCGAATGTTGTCTCCGCGTACTCTCCATATCTTGGGAGATCAAATCGCATGGGAGTGCAGCACAGACATCTACCGAGAAGGTCTCCACAAAAGCGTGCCGTACTGGGAACGCGACTCCAAGAGACACCAATATGCAGATATGTTGAAAGACATAACAAAGTCATACAATAACAGTCCTTCGGGTTTAAACAAGCGGATCAGAATGTGGAACAACATAGTAGAGGAACTCTCCAACCGAAATTTCACATTCGAAAGCGATAGACTGTCTAGTATCTCTAGTATTGCTTCGAGCCTAGAAGTCCCAGAGTTAGGTCACTATCTGGCCGGTGTATGGGAACATGACCCGTTCATGTCCATGTGTTGGATCCCAAGTACCAACTCATCCTGGAACCAAACCCATGCGACGCCGTCGTGGAGCTGGGCCTGGGTAAGTGATCGATTAGACATGCCTCTCAGCCCGAATTCGAGGGGCAGTCCAGATTTCACCGATTCGATTGATTGGAATGCTGAATTTGGCCCTATACTACTGGACTTCCACGTGACACCTCGAGGACCAGATCCCAAAGGCCAAGTGATGGATGGAAGCTACCTTGTCATAGATGGAAGTTGTCAAACGATACGTGTCAAAGAGCTCTATGACCCTTCACGATCGTATGGCGGCCCGGATACTACCTTGATATACATCGATGGGAATAAAATGGTCGACGAGGACAAGGATCTGGTTGTTTGTTTTGATGGTGATCCTGGCAACGATTCTGAGCTGAACGATAAAGACGCCTGGAGTACATACTTGTGCGTGCAGATGAAGAGAGAGAGCGAGTGTGACTCATGGGTTTATGCTTTAGTACTGCGACGTATTGATGGTATGGAAGAAGCGTATACACGAGCGGGACTGTGCGAGTTCAAATCTTACATTCATGATAGTGGATGGGAGAGGAAAGTGCTGAAACTGTACTGAAAAGTGCTGTGCAAATATAGACTCTACACATCAAGGCCGCATTAAGCATGATCTGATGCTATCAAGTCTTAGCGGCATCAACCTTGCCGTTGACTTTTTCAACTCTCAATCAACGACCCGTTGAGTATATTTCAGGTCTTCACGGATTTTCAGGTACACCCCTCGCCCGTGATTCGGCCACCTTCCATATGAGACACTGATTCGCATGCGTGCTGAGTGTGATCTCAGTGCTGATGATTGCAAAAACCGTCTGATGCTGATTTGCTGGATAGGTAAGTTGAGCTGAGAGCTCAGAGTGGAAAGTAGTTGATGGAAGGGATCGGCAATGCAGGGTCTCCGAACCTCCGTTTATGACGGAGTTGGATGTTCACTACTTACAATGTTTCGAAACTCAAGCTGTTTGAGCTAATAAAAGCATGTCTGACGTCTCCCAGATTAGGTTCGTGTGTGTTCTTTAAGACGAAGTGAATCGATCAGCGCGGTTCCAACCACCGTCGGAGAAGGTGCACGAGAGACCTACATGAATGGTAGCTGCTTCCAAATACAGACAACACTCTCCAGAGAACACTTCCACATCAAGACAAACCACCATCCCAAACCATGGCTGATACCTCACGATCGCTCATTTCCACTTTGCAGGCCATCGCTCTCATAGCCCCATCTCTATACACAGGTACACGCATCCGTCCAAGTCTCAACACCACTCTCTAACAAACAACCCCAGGACTAACATTCACCTACACCCACGTCGTCATCCCCCCACTCACGACCCACGCCCCGCCAAAACTCCTCGCAAAACAATGGCTACAAGCCTACCAATTCGCGCCCATCATCGTCGCGCCCCTGGTCCTACTCGGCGCATCTAGTAACGCCTTACTCGCATACCTCACCACCTCGTCGCGCTCAAGACCGCTGTATATCGTGGCTGCAGTGGCAATCGCGAGTATCATCCCGTACACAGCGCTGTATATGGAGCCTGGCGTGAATGGGGCGGGGAAGTGGAAGGCGAGGGAGTTGCTGCGTGAGGAGGGCTTTGTGTTGAAGGGGAGGGGACGGGGGACGGATAGGGATACGGCGAGTGAGGGGGCGAAGAGGTGGGCGGAGAGCGTGGATATGAAGACTATTGCGGAGACGTGGGCGAGGACGAATGCGTGGCGGTATGTGGGGACGGGGGTTGCGACTGTTGTGAGTGCGGCTGCTACTATTATGGGGGAGTGAGGGGGTAGGACACTGAAGTGTGAAACCGCAGGAATAGTGTATCTGAGATTGGGAGGGTAGATCGTCTAATACGTTGTGTGCTGTAAGTTGGAACTCTATGGTTGGGTTGTGCGAGGGGATACTCGCGTGTGTGTGTGTAAAGAGAGACTGACTAATACGAATCAAGAACCAAACATTGTCAAGGTGAACAATGAACTCCCCGTTCTCATAGCATAGAGGCAGTATCATCCATGTAATGTAAAAGTACATAAACCATGGCAATGACAGACGGAGAAGGAGAATTGGCATGTTCGGGTGAAGTCGCAGCTCTCCTAATCGTGGGCGCACGGACCTAACCACAGGTTTTTCCGACAGTGTACCTGTGCCAGCGAACCCACCTCTCCACGCACGCCAACACCAACCAATTCACATCACCATGTCTCTCGCTGCATCCCGTGCCGTGCTACGGCAGTCGACCTTTGCCGTCCGCCGCGCTGGCATCCGCAATGCTTCGACAACCTCGGAAACCGCGGGCGCTGCAAAGGACAAGGTAGCGTCAAAGGCCTCGGAAGCGTCTTCCAAGGCATCCGATGTCGCATCCAAGGCCTCGTCCTCGGCCAAGGAGGCGTCATCCACGGTTCAGTCCAAGGCGTCTGAGGGTCTGTCCAAGGTCACAAGCTCGGCGGGCGCGGCCATGAGCAAGGCGGGCGATGCGTTGAACAGCGCGGCGAACTCGGCGGCAAAGGTTGGAGGCAGGACAGGGAGGCTGGTCGGACGCATCCAGGGTGAGTTGCCATCTTTTTAGGGCATGGAGACTGGAATTGAGTGCAGGGGGGTTGAGGGTTGAGGGGAGGCGGGGAGGGACGGGACGGAACCATGGCTTGATATGGCGTGTGTGGGGAGCTTGAGCTTCACGCAAGAGAGATATATAGATGGGGCGACACTATTCGAGTCCATCACGACACTAACTCTCCTCGCAGGCCTCGTCCCCCAAACCATCTACTACTCAAAGGTCGCACTCGAGCTCGGCAGACTCGTCGTCCAGCAACGAAGCATGGCACCACCGTAAGCCTCCCACAAGCACATCCAAAATTACGACACCCGCTAACTCATCTCACAGCTCCATCCAGACAATGCAGAACTACATGCAGCCCGCACTGAACTCTCTCAAGAACCCCAGCGCTCTCCTTAACCGCGCCGCGTCCTCTGGCAACGCGCAACCCGCCAACATGCTCTCCCAGGTCCGCAACATGTCGAGTGCACAATGGACCTCGGTCGGCATTGTCGCTGCTGAGGTGATTGGTTTCTTCTCTATTGGCGAGGCGATTGGCAGGTTCAAGCTTGTCGGGTACAGGGTGGCTGAGCCTGCCCACCACTAGATGCGTCACGTCTAGAGTTCAACCAAAGAAAGGGCGGAAAACTGTAACGACAGACTTGGAGGAATTATGAATGGACGGAGACGCGCGATTCAGGCGGAGAAGGCTGTATGATTGAGACGAGCTGAGCTGGACAAGCGTGCAATTGCGGTGCACGTAGGACGCATGAGCACTACACTGTACTATTGCACACATCTCTGATTTTTAAATTTCTTTGCAACCGTGCATTCACTTACATAGCAATGCACCATTTCGACCCATCATCTAGCCTTTGGGTGACATTGTTGACATGGGTGGAAATGTCGGCGTTTCTTTTCGCCGATCCGGCAACTTTTTTTTGTGAGGCGCAAACTTTGGTGAACCTTTTGCGACACAACACCAACTCGGGTATGACAACGAAGTAGAGACAAATACATTGTACGGCACATACAAGGCACAATGGACGTCTTCAAACTCCTCTCGCGGTCCTCGAAAACGGCGCAAACGAGCTCGGCGCTCAAGCTTCCCTCGAATGGCGCCGTCGCAAATCCACAACTCTTTGGCCACGATGACCATGCAGAGTCGGCGCAAGAATCGAATAAGAGTCGCAAGAGGAAGAGAGGCCAGAACACCGAGTCTGCTACCAATACTTCGACACCACCGACAGCCACCGCCCTGCCCGCAGAGCTGGACTTCTTCGGTGGAGGAGGAGGGAACACAGGTGATGCAGATGGGGTGGAGCTCAAAAAATCTAGAAAGGAAAGAAAGGCCAAGAAGATAGAAGAGTCCGCTACAGAAAACGGTGTAGACGACATCGAAGAGACGCCATACGACGCAGACGAATCCAAGAGGATACTACGCTCGCACAAGCTGAAGATCACCGTACTGGAGGACTTTGCGCCGGTACCAGAGCCTTCCAAGAAAGAGAAAAAGAAGCGGAAGAAGGAGAAAGTTGAGAAGGAGAAGGAGAAGAAAAAGGACTCGAAGAAGCAACTCTACCCACAACCGCTCACGTCGTTTACTCAGTTACGCCCCAGATATGCTATTTCGAGACGGTTGGCGGAGAACATACAAGAGCAGGGGTACAAACTGCCGACAGAGGTCCAGCTAGGTGTGCTGCCACTGCTGTTGGGGAAGAAGAGACGCGCAGAGGAGAACGAGTCTGGGGCTGAGTTTGGAGGAGACATTGATCTCTTGACTGTTGCGCCTACGGGTAGCGGAAAGACGATTGCATTCTTGATACCGATCATCAACGCAATGCTTGCAGGGAACAAAGACACAGATGTGGAGGAGGGTCCCCGCGCTGTTGTTGTCGCGCCGACCAGGGAACTGGCGTCGCAGATTGTTAATGAGGCGAGAAAGCTGGCCAAGGGTACAGGCATCAAGGCTACGCTTATGAGGAAGGGCATGGAAGTTGTTGCGAGGCCAGAAGATGAGATTCTCGACGACGTACCAAATTCGCCTGGAGCTTCCGATGACGATGACAGCGCCTCTGGTTCTGACGTCGAGGAAAAGCCAACTAAGCAGAAGAAGCAGAACCGGAGACGAGCAGAGCTGGTCAAAGCAGCCATCATCGTAGCGACGCCCCTCGCGCTCTTGAATGCTCTGAAACGCAGAGATGGAAGCGTCGCAGCCCTGCCAACTATCCGCCAACTCGTCCTCGACGAAGCAGATGTCCTTCTCGACCCCCTCTTTCGCGAACAAACCCTCGCTCTATGGAACACCTGCACAAACCCTAAACTACGCGTGTGTCTCTGCTCAGCTACCATGGGCTCGAATATTGAAAGCCTCGCCATCTCCACCCTCAACGAGCGCTGGTCGAACCTCTCCACCACAACCACCGCACTCCCCCCACGACCTCCTCTCATCCGCCTGGTCGTCGGCCTGAAAGACACCGCTATCCCCAACATCGCCCACCAACTAACCTACGCCGCAACCGAACAAGGAAAACTGCTCGGTATCCGCCAACTCCTGCACCCTACCTCCGTTTTCAATAACAACACACCCACCCTCCGTCCCCCCTTCCTCGTCTTCACCCAAACCATCCCCCGCGCCATCGCCCTGCACTCCGAACTCCTCTACGACATCCCCCCCGAAGCCGGCGGCTCCTCCCGCATCGCAGTCCTGCACGCAGACCTCTCGTCCTCGGCCCGCGACGCCATCATGACGCGCTTCCGCCGCGGCGAAATCTGGGTCCTCATCACCACCGACCTGCTCGCGCGCGGCGTCGACTTCCGCGGCCTGAACGGCGTCGTCAACTACGACGTGCCCTCCTCGGCCGCCGCGTACGTGCACCGCGTTGGGCGCACGGGGCGCGCGGGTCGCGAAGGTGGTGTGGCAGTCACGTTCTACACGCTGGAAGACATCCCGTATGTTAAATTGATTGCGAATGTGATTCGCGCGAGCGAGCAGTTGCGCGGCGTGAAGGAGGAGGAGGGCAGCGTGAAGCAGTGGCTGCTTGACGCGCTGCCCAATCCGTCGAAGCGGGATAGGAAGACGTTGAAGAAGAGGGGGGTGGAGAGTCGGCGTAGTGGAGTTAAGGGGGAGGAGGCGAAGAAGGGCAGGATTAGCACGAAGAGTGGGTATGTGCGCAAGATGGAGAATAATCGCCGCGGGGCTGTGGAGGGGAGTAAGAGGAGGGAGGCTGAGGCTGGGAAGGGGGCTGGGGGGGAGAGTGGGGGTGAGAGTGGCGCGGAGAGCGGGTTTGAGGGGTAAGGGGTTGGGTTCTAGGTAGTATGTTGTGTTGGAGCAGAAAATTTGGATGTATCCTGAAAATATGGGAGCATGCACAGAGGTGTTTATCAAGTCCATTGAATTGATGCCAAATCAGGTCCAGCTTCCGCTCTCTCCGCCAGTTCAAATCACAGTTCGAGTAATCGTAGCCCGTGAACAGTTCACTCCCAACCTCAAACCTCAAACCTCAAACCTCAAACCTCAAACCTCAAACCTCAAACCTCAAACCGTGCATTCAAACCCCCCGGTGCTACAGTCCTCCCATCTCCATCCGCCAAGTCCTCCCGCATAAGAAACCCCTGCACGCGAAGAACACGCCGTACCAAAGCAGTCCAGAAAGGCACTTTCAAATTACATGAAAACGGAAGCACGGTTGCATGTGAAACTACTATAGTATGTTGAGGTCTGGGGTTTTTTGACCCGTTCATCTAAATCATCGCACACTATCCCACAGCAAGTGGCCGGGAATCTACAACGTTATGATGATGGATGGTTTGGGGCTTGTGCGGTTGTTGGGTGTAGGTGTGTTGTCGACGGGAGAGATGTTTCCCCTCGCACAATCTTCACTTGATTTGAACCAAATGCATGATTCAATATAATGTTGGTTTCCAGCAGTATCTATCTCATGTATAGTTAGTTTGTTTGCAGCTTGCCGTCTTACATGTTCTAGACAGCAGTTACATGTTCTAGACAGCAGTTACATGTTCTAGACAGCAGTTACATGTTCTAGACAGCAAGCTTTTTTTGTTTACCTGCCTATATATAGATAGCCAGGCAGCTCTTGTAGATAGAATATCATCTCATCTGATCATCTCTTTGCTGGTTCAACATATACTTGGGAGCATGTGCTGGAGATATTCCTCATGTAAGTTAAAGGTCAAAGCTTGATATCCAGTTTGCCTTTTGCGCTTGATGATTCCACGTCCCGAGTGAAGATTACGGGGTGCCAGCGTTTCTTGGGGTTCGAACGCGTGGCGCCGTCTGGCGACGACGAGGGGCGGTGCAATTTGGTGTGGTTGGGTATTGGATACTTGGTGCAGATACTGCGGTACTGCAATTGAACGAGTATCTGGGGTAGATATTCTTGATCCTGTGACTATTTTCTTTGCTAATAAGTTAGTTAGTAAGTTGATTAGACGTTTACAAATAACTACAACTACAAGAGCTCTACGCTTACAGCGCTGAGAAATGAAACGAGACGACATCTTCGTCGCAAGCTTGACCATTGGTCAGATAGCTTCAACGCCTCGGAATGCCATGTTTAAGCAGCTAAAAACTGCGTCTCCTGACCAACAATCGATTACACTCCGGGGTCAGAAAATGATTCTCGGCGTTTCTCCACACGCGTGAGCTCATTGGCGTTCCGTGATGGTACCGTAGCAATGTTTTCCTATGCAAAATCCTTGTACGCTGGACGCACCACCGAGTGGTTCTCCGCGTGACCTTCTCCGCGGATGGTGTAGTGAAAGTCATACAGGCTTGAGGACGGCGTGATCAACTCTGCTAACAGCGACAAGAGTGCAGATCTGTAATTTTGGGAAGGCTGCCTCTTGGTGGGGCGCCTCGAGCGGCTTTTATGTCTTTGCAACGGGGGATGCCTGTCATAAAGTAGCCATCAAATGAGGTGGGCTGTGGAACTGCCTTCACTCGTGTTTTCCTGCATGTCCTGTCCATCGCCTTCTAGCCAGAAACGTGTGACGCCGCGCGCAGAAGGCGGATTTTCCTGCGTTCATCGGTGTTGCCGAGGTCGCTAAGTCTCGGGATCTGAGTCTCTTGGATTTGGTCGGTAGATCTGGTACTCCACGTTTACGAGCAACGCGAGCCGGTCCGCGAACCTGTTTTACCGAGGTGAATTGCTTTTTTCGGTAGTCAGATGTCAACCAACACGAGCCGCTCTACCAGTTGCCACTCTTTTTGAGACACGAATGAGGGTGCCAGCGTACGCGAACCTTGTACGACGTCGGCGTGACCATCCCGGCTTTTCGACCAGCGCCTTCAGATCTGCCGTATTCGATGGGGAGTGGTACAGGCATTGCACCACACTGCTGTGAAACATGCTTTTGCGGTTTTTCTTGTTTATGTCGTCGTAAGCCTCCACCGTTGGTAGCAGATGTGTCGAATAATTGGACGAGCGATTTGTGAGCTGGGTGTGACGATTTGCTGCTATGCAACCGGGATTTCTCAGAGCTTCTTCATGTTGAGCAGCATGCCGCAGGATGACAATATCGATGGTATATACCACCGTGCTGAAAGTGAGGCGTAAAGACCTTGACGGTGCGATTAGCCCTCAGAGTTTGAGTAAACAGCCCACTCGCTTGACAGACATTACATTATGCGTGACGACCCACTTTGATTGCCCACTCATTGCCAGTCTCTCTCATTCTACCGTCCGCGGAGTGTTTCGGTTGGTTCGACCGACTCCTAGCGACAACGGTGAAGCGTGCTGTTGAAGTCGTATAGAGCTGGTATCGTCCACCACTAGCCTAGGTTGTTGAAATAGTATATTTTGTGCCAGAGATCGAAAGCTTTGGGGATCGAGAGGCCCAGTGATCATACGGCGGCTTCACTAATTCAAAATCGAAGGACTGCCGCTTGTCGCGGATGAGTGAGTCTCGGAAGCGTACGACTCGACCATCAACCTGTGGGGACCGACCAGCCTTAGCTAATACGAACACACCCCGTACCCATGTCCCGCTTCCAGGGAACCTGGAAGGAACCTGGTAGATGTCGTGCAGCAGCCACCGGATGCAAGTCACACACTGCATTTGGAGACCCTGAATCCAATATGTAAGATGCTGCGGTTACGATAGCGCCATCCCGTACTATGTTAATGCACGTGTGGCTTCTGGGTGTGAGGAATGATACGCGAAAGTAGTGCAACGTGCTGCATATGGCGGATACTTTTACTTTACATTGCTTTGCTTCGCTTCACCTTTGTTGGGTCTGTTTCGATAGATACACATCTCGACTCTGTACGTTTTGAGACTTACTTGGCTTACCGTCCATACGGACCAACATGCACGAAGGAAGAAGTGGGGACTATGAGCCTGCTAGTTGCAATCTTCGGGTAGCTTGATCCTCCATGGGTAGCCGCATTCCAACCAGGCTTAGTAAAAGGTAGGGAACATACCGAAGCTGAGACTCTCCACATTCCTGCGTATGTACAAGCAGTTTTGTGTAATGAAAATTTTGCACATGTAGGGAATCCCTGTTGTGCCATATTTGCACAGGACAAGTTGTCAGCAAAGAGACTTGTCGAACTCTATTTTCACCGGACGCAGAGCTGTCCTTAGCCTTAATGGCATACATATCCGATTCGCCACACTCGTCGCAACAAGAGAGCTTCGATGTTTTGACTAACAATGTACTCGTTCTAGGAGGCGTCTTGACGCAATCAATACAGACCAATTGCGTGTATCCAAATAAGCGAGGAAGTTGCATTGGTGTGGCCCGAGTGCAGACGTAGCTCTTACTTTACTTGGACGCTTTACCACCCAGACGGATATGGAGGTGTGATCAGGATATACGAGGCTTAGAAGCTGCGGTACATGGTAGAATTCGTTTGTCTCGGATTAAGAAGACATTTCGTACGAAGTATTTGTTGAATCAGTTGACGCTGGCATAAGCTTGTGTTTGCAAGCCGTACCTATCATACGCAATGTCTAAGAAACGCTCCAAGTTAGCGTGCGCCATATGCACGACATTCAGGATCGGCCCATGACATGTTCGTCGATCTGGCATCGCCTTTGGTAGGCGGCTTGTTGCGCTTCAAACTCTACTGGAGCTCATGATCACAACGGCTGTTCGTCGGACGTCCTCAACATCACGAGTCTGACTAACGAGAGTCTTCGGCAAAGATGCACCACTTACAGAGTGACGTTCAGCTCTTGGTAGTCAATCATAGGTAAGATCAGCGAAGATTGTACCGCTGCAGGGGAGAAATGGGTAGGTGTATCTTCCTTCCTCTCTTAGTCAAGACCCATGCAGCTAGATCCACACCGTTCGCATGGAGTAAGCAAGACGAGGGAAGCGTCAGCTAACGATGGAAACACTGACACCGGAATCTGCGCTGGTATTCGCTCAGCAACCAGGCGTCCGCCCGTGTCTGCATATGTGGCATACTGGAAGTGACATCCGCGATACCCTCGGAGTATGGCCGAATAACTGTTGCGAATCACGGAACCACGGGAGTTTGTCCCTTTATTGCATGGCATACTGCAAGGCGAGGCACAAGAATACTGTCCTGGTTCATGGCAGACCAAAGAGGAGTCATACATAAACCATCCAGCTTTGGGTGTGGTGGTGTGGTGTCTCACAAGCTGCGAGATGATGGTGTCGTTCCGTGCTCCTCGATATGTGTCATGAACCGTGACGCATTAACACAGCCTGATTACTTGACGCTATTGTTGTGTGGGGAATCACAGGGTTCAATCGTTCAATTTCAAGGTCCCCTAGGCCAACTCGAGTTCGGTGGATAATTGGCTTGACACTAGGAAGAATGCGGACAAACAGTCAAGGATGATCGCATGATACCCTGGCCCCAGTTGCGCGCGTTGCGGCAATGCACTAAGCACTGTCCGAGATGGTGACGGTATGGGAGGGCAAGCGATCGGTGATGGGCTGCTTACTGCATGCGTGGTGGCTGGCGACGGTATTTTGGAATGGGAAGACTCACCTACATGGCGAAACTAGTACTAAAGCAGTAGGGGCAGTCTAGCCCATCGTCATCATCAACGCACTCATTCTCTGTCAAGTATCATCCATGTCAATTACGCTTCTATTTACTCTTTCTACGGAGTCCACCTTAAACCGCTGCAAAGATTATATAAACAAACGGCCTTGGTTACAAAGAGCGGCAAAATCGGCAAAGGCCCCACTTCGCTCTAATCTGGCTAGTTCTGCTGAAGCAATGGTACGAAAGGTCCTCGAACTCATTGCGACTCTTTTGTCTAGTGTGAGAATGAGTGTATGCCCAAACATTGCTTTGAAGCATTCACGATGGGGCTATATTGATGGTAAACAACATGAGTGCAACTGAGCCCAAGAGGGAGCAGACCTCATGATATCTTGTATGTCGTAGTAACAACTCATGTGGCGTGAAATTTACCGAATTTGCCATACCTACACTGACTTGATAATGTTGTATTGGGGAGGGAAAGGTGTGGCAGGATGAGCAGGAACTAGGGGTCTATTGCGCTCAACACCTCTCACAAATGTGCCCTGCAATATTTGTCACATTGCAATTAAGGCATACTGCTCTATGCTAATGTTACTTATCTTGCTCAAATAGTCCACTGTACTATTGAACGACTTGTTCAGCATCTAACCTCTCTTCGTCAATAGGATTGGCTGTCGGGTAAACACGCCGATTTACCAAGAGTCAGAGATTTATGGTAGCGTTTCGTAGGGCCGATATGGGGAGATTGATGAAGCACGTCAATCATTCTCCAAATTATGATGTACATCATCTATTTGTTCAATTCGAGCATTACGCGGTGATGATGACAAGTGCTCAAGGAGTTCAAGAGCTTCGACTTAAACTCGACCTCAGTCAGCTGACCAAATCTAGAATTTGTAGAGGCTAGCAGAGCTTCTGTGACATTGTTTTATTTTAAAATCCATGAATTTTGACACTTTCAACAGAAGTATACAACACTGAGACGAAGCACTCGACGCAAACATTTTTGTATTACCCTATGGCTTCACAAGCAAACTAACCGTTGAAAAAACTCAGAATGGGCCCAAGGCACTGTGTAATCCGGTTGAATGGTTATAAATTATTGACGTCGGTGAAGCCAGTTGGTTATGAGATAACCTAGAGGCTCTCTGAAAGTTTGACCACCGGTAACTACATGTGCCGAGTACCGGTAGACGCACACAGCAGTAATTAGAATGCATGTCTCCATTCTCTCTATATCCAGCTCTGATCGCTTCGCGAGGAAGCGGGAACATATCCGACGCAACCACATGCAGGCATGCCGAGTTGAGAATGACGCAGTATGCAGTCTCCTTGGCAACAAGCTTCCATACCTTGCTTAAGCTTCGTGGAGGACAGTAGCTCAAGACGTCAGAAAACAACAATGACAAAGATCACGATCGCTGTTCTATAATCGTTCTAAATATAGAAATTTCCGAGTTTCGAGTGTGGATACAGTTTTGAACGTTGCACAAGCGAAATTTCGTGTGAGGAAACTTGAATGGGAAGATGCGTAGCAAGAACTTGACGCTCGATCGCACGCATACTTGCACCCTGCGATATATGCACGGGTAGTGGTTCGACACCACTACAAACACCACAGATGGGGCGCGTATGTCTTTCCGCGGGCCGGTAGCTTTGATCTGCATGAAGTAGGTATGCATCCCGTCTTTGCATACAGGACATGGGGTTGAAATGAAACCCGCAAGCGGACGCGGAACATGCTTTTCTCCAGCCGGTGCGGGTATCCAGCGGCTCAGAGAAATTGATTGAGTGTGCAAACACGACGGAACATCTCTTCAGTCTCATTGAAGGATTTTATACGGTAATGTGTCCGATGGAGAGAGGTTGCTAGGTGTCATACACCCGGAACCCGGGGCTGTTGTTGCTGGGGAAGCCAGCCAAGCACAGGCAGTGGTGGATACGCCACCACCCGACGAAAGCACATGGCCATTAATTTGCCTCGCAATTCCTATTACGGTTTCTGTCATGTCTGCTAGGTTCGAGACGAGCGATGGCGACCAGTGCCTGTAAGATGAGGAGACGAGCGAGACGACGAGACTGACGATGGTCGTAGGCGACATTGGAGAGCCGTACGAATCATCCGTAACGGCTACCTAGTATGGGCGCAGAGACGAAGACGCCAGCCCTGCTGCCAAAGGCAGTGGGCGCGTATCAAGGCCATTACGCCATGCCTGCGACTGTACTCCGCCTGCAGCGGCTACTGCATGGCACGACACCAACTAACTCATTGGAGCCATGCGCGATTAGGGCCTAGAGCCCGGTGATCTGAGATGGAAATGTCGCCAAGATGGGGGCCATTATATTGGCCCTCGATCATCAGCCGCATCGTTTGCTGCCCGCGCGTACATGGGCCTGCTCGTGACATGCTGGCGTCAAGAAGGAGCAGCAGCAGACGCGCACGACGCCGAGCGTGTCCTGATGGCGCCACGAGGCGAGAGGCCGCGGGGCAGCAGTGTGATGCCCCAGCAGCCACACGCCCGGAGGGGGCGAGCGCGGGGCGGTTGCACACAGGATAGGCTGATCAAAAGACGCAATAATATGCAGTCGATCCCTGAAGGCGCTGTGTCCAGGGTGCCCGGATTATGCGAGCGATTCAACGGCCTGCGGGAGACAAGCATGACGCTCGAGCTCGCTCGGCGCTATGACTATTCCCGAATCGTCACCCACCCTTGCCTGCCTCTGGAATTTTGCAACTACCTCATGCTCCGGCCAGGTTCACACTACCCCAAAGTCTGCTAACGGACTGACCTGCAGCTTAAACAGCGCCGGGAAGCGAAACATCTCCTCGCCGCCCTAGCCCGCCCGCAACTATGTGTTTAAATACTCACGCTTCCGCTGCTTCCCCGACGCAAGCGGATTTACACTCCCACCATTCGATGTGATCTTCGTCCCTTTCGACTGTCGTAGTTCACCGTTCCGTACTGCACGCTCATTGGTGGCCGCCATGTTTTCCCTTTCTTTCGGCATGTTTCCCAATTGGAGTTGGTTTTGTATCTTCGTGGCGCTCTTGTAAGTCAATGTGCCCAGCCTGCGCTTCTGCTCCCCCGCAACCAGCACACTGACTCGCTCTCCCAGTCTATTTCGATATGTCAGGTTATGGATCAATCTGGCGAGCAATTGGACCTACACACCCATCCATCCCGTCGACGACCCCACAATCACCTCAAAAGACATGACAGTCATCATTCCCACCGTGGCTGAGGATCTTCAGCAATTGAAGGAAACCATCCAGAGTGCATACCGCCTCGAGCCTTTCAAGGTGCTTCTGGTGACGCCCGACTCGCGAGTAAAGCGTGTCGATCAAATGGTTGAGGAGCTGGGCAAGCCCAAGCTGATAGACGTGCTATCCGTCAGCCAGGCCAACAAGCGCCGACAGCTGTGTCGGGCAATCCCGGAGGTTGAGACCAAAATCACGCTTCTGCTCGACGACGACGTCTGGCTCCCCGAGAAATTCACAAAATGGATGTTGGCTCCTTTCGAGGATCCGCGTGTTGGAGGAGTTGGGACAAATCAACAGCTACGTCGCTGCAACCGCTCGAGCATCTGGGAGTTCCTTGGTGCCATCTACCTGGTCAGAAGAAACTTCGACTGCACAGCCTGCAATTGGATTGATGGTGGCCTACCGTGCCTATCGGGTCGAGCCGTGGCGTATCGGTCAGAGATCCTCCAAGACCCAAACTTCACCTACGGTTTCACGCACGAGACCTGGGGTAGCGACCACTTCTTGAACGCTGATGACGACAACTTCATCACACGATGGCTCTTCTCGCACAACTGGAAGATCCAGCTGCAAAACCACCGCGAGTGCGAAGTCGAGACAACGCTCGAGAATGATTCGAAATATCTCCGACAATGCCTGCGCTGGGTGCGTTCTAACTGGAGGAGCAATCTGACCAGTATCAGTGAGCCGCATATGTGGAAGTGAGTAGCTCCGATGTGCGCGTCCTTCGTGACGCGCCAAGCTCTGCCCCTCCCCTCTCCACTCTTTCGCCGACTCGCGCTCGCTGCACTTGCTAATATCGCGTCGCAGGATGTACCCTTGGTCCATGTACGCCGTCTTCCAGACCACCGTCACGCAATGGGCTTTCCTCCTCGATTGCCTTCTATTCGCTTCCGTTTATTTCGCCCTGTCTGAAGCTGGATACTACGCTGCAGAAGATTATGATCAGCCCCACACCGAGAAATGGCAACGAACCGTTTTCTGGGCTCTCTTCCTTGCTCACTGGGTCTTCGCCAAAATTATTAAGCTAGTTCCGCATTTGTTAAGAAATCCGGGCGACGTGCGCTTCATCCCGGTCTCCATCCTTTTTGGTTACTTCCACAACCTAATCAAGCTGTACGGTTGCATCACTGTCACAGAGGTACGTTTCTAGCCCCACCCCTTGCTCATCGCGCGATTGCTGACAGTTGGACTCCAGACGACATGGGGCACTCGCGAAGGTGCAGATGCCGACGACAACATCAGGATGCTACCAATACCACCCATGGCGACTATCACGCCTCCTCTCACACCTCCTCCCGGCGACCGCGTGCTCCGCGAGCGAGGCGCAATTTTTCCTACTGTTGTATATTGAAAGAGCTTTTTCATTTTGATTAGCCAATTGAGCGCCTTGGCGAGTTTAGGGAGTCGTAATGTTAGACGCTCGACGATCCGCACCATCACTCTATCAGCATATGATCGATAGGGGAGTGCGTTGTATCCATACCGACGAGCACCGGGTTTAAAGTTGCTCTTGGGTCACCAAAAACGGGACGGTCCAGATACACGGCGTTAAGGCGGCTTTCGATCATCGATCTTGCAAAGTTGTAGCGAATTTCTTCTTAGCCATTTCAGTTCAGGCATTTTCGAGCGTTCACGCCCTGTAGTCTATGCAAAAGCGTTTTAGCATCTTAACACTACTATCTATTACTATTATCGTCGTCCTTCGAGTTCCTCCGGCCTATTCCCGTTGCTCATCTAGAACTTCGTAGTCTGCAACGGCCATCACGTGATTGAACCTGAGTTGTCCAGGGGCGTTGATAGTCTCTCCTGTATGCGGGCAACACAAACTCAAATCGTACTTCCGACAGTTTCGACCTGCTGCTTCAGGCAACTATCGTGAACGCACGGACTTCACTTAGCGCGAACTGTCACCCATCCAACGACATCGTTTTCTCCATATTCCCACCCACTTATACTCGTTGCTGGACAGCTCAACTGTCTAGGCTGTGCTCGCAAGTGGAGCGGCACACTATCAAGCCTAATTCATCGCACTATAATCATGGACTAGAGGCAATATTTCCACTAGGTATTTCTCGGCCCACAAGAAGCGGTTCAAGGGACCCCTCCAAGCGCATCTCCAGTTTCGGCCGTCGCCTGATAAATAGCGGAGGATTATCAGCAAATCTTCGTACCAACAATCACCGAGGACGCTAGTTGTGTCTGCACTGCTACCACTTACACAACGTACCTTTCTCATGGTACATCTACACTACCTACACATTCGGGGGTCGCTTGTACCTCGCGCGTCTCTGTGGGTTCCGATGGCGCTGAGAGGTCGAGAATCGAGAGTACTAAGGTGTGCTAAATCACAAGCGGCTGCATCCTGCGGGTCCAAGTTGGGACTCACCGGCCAGGGGGCACCCCAGCAGCGCCGGAACTTGTAATGCACTCTTCCATCGATGGCCCTCCGCGGCCATCATCGTGCATTTGGGGACAATTCAGCCCCTTGCCCCAGTGCCCACGAGCACTCAGGAAAATAAGGTCGATTGCAACAACTCGGATACACATGCGAGAGCTGCCCCAGATTTCACGCGAGTAAGAGGAAGGAGACCCTTTGTCAAAACCTTATGCTAGTCATCTCCCGCTCCCGCCGGCTGTGCTCTGAGCATGCCTCAGCTTGTGCGCTACCTAGGTATCTGCTCGGCGCCGAAGGCGGTGCAACGCCAGTCTCGATTCTTTGCTGTTCGTCATCGCTCCTCACGACTACGCAAGTAACATCCATGGCAGTGGGAATGCAATTACTGTGCAGTACCTCTTCGATGTAGATATGTCATCTTGATGCATGCAGGCTTCTGTGGCCCGGATCCCGAATGCAGCTGGACGCGAGACCAATCCGGCACGGACGGGAGTTTGACACTCGCATGCTGCAGGCAGGGAGAAAGGAACAAGACCATTGGTACCTGGTCAATCACAACCACTTCAGGTGCAGAGGAGACAAACGCTAAGCTTTAGCGAATACGGCGAGACAAAGAATCGAGATTGGAGTGCTGTTGGTGGCTGCATAGAGCTCCTACGTGCTCCCATGACCCTTCAAGGTAGTCCTCGCGCTCTTAATGACAACAAAACCTCTTAGCAAGTAAGCAGAAATGCCTGCACCGATTTTCATAGGTATTCCGCTTCCTGTTAGTTGTCAGAAGCTAAGTGGCTCGCCGTACAGATGGGTCTTACAACGAAAACTCTGCTTTATCGCTCCATACGCAGAACCCACTACCTCGGAAAAGTCATCCGCAAAAGAAGGGCCGCTCGTCATCCAAAGTCTTCAACACTATGATTGAGGCCGCTAATCTACAGTCTATTGCCTACAACGCATCTTGCGTTGAATTTTCTCACGAGCAGATGCTTTTGTGTCCTTCGCTGAGTTGAATCAAGGCAATCAATCGGCACCATGTCAGTCCCTCGTCTCTTGACAACATCTTCTACATTCATGTGGAACCAGCAGCCCCATTTCCCCTGTTATTCGAACGCTCCACTCGTCCCTTGCAACAACTTGATACGTTCCACTGCCGCCTATCAATTTCTCCAGCGGTTCTCTGATATAGCGTCTCTATCCACATCGACTGCGCCGCCCAGGCAAGCAATCCATGCCAAGTCATGAAGGAGATCTGAGATCTGACAGACTACTCGGTTCTCGGCCTGTGCAGACTACACCTGTCAACGGTCCCAGATCCAAGGCTTCACTGGCTTACTCGCGTGAGACTCGCACGCGCTGTCTACCAAAATGACAATGGACCCTGATCAACACACTCATCGATAAGGTTTCGATAACAACTTGGACAGGGCAACCTCGGGTACACCCACCGGTTAGCGTTCCGTGCCGGGCAAGTTCACTGCGAACCCAGATCTGAAGCTGGCGCGAATCGGTCCGAAACGAGTCAGTGGCATTTCTGGAGAAATTTGCCAGCGACTGAGCACCAGACGATCATCACACGACAAAGTGTGGTAACTGTTATGTCGCAAAAACACGTGAGAAGTATTGCGAGTCGCGCGTGAGGCTCTTTTCTGAGTATCATCGGTCGTGTGAGACCGACGATGTCCGATACAGTATTGCCGGATGAGGTCCCCACTATTTACGAAAGTTTGTTAACGCCCTTTCGTCATCCACCTTACTGTGCAGGATCTCACAGCTCTATGGGGTTCTAGGATTATGCCATGTACATTGTACCAAACAACACTCAACACGTCGTCCCAGCTTTATTTGTTTTATTCGTTCAGCTTCAACTGCAAAAGTGTGTACACACTTTGTACGACGATCCGGGTGTTTCCGATCAATCATCGTCGCTCTATCAAGCTAAAGCATATGTTTTCCACAAAGAGCTCAGGCACATGCATGGCAAGATTGTACATCGGACATAATCGCGAGAAATTCTAGTTTGGATTAACTTATCATCATGGTGTCGAAACGGACTCATACCAAACATCCAATGAGACTCATTATACCACGCATGCATGCATCCACAAAAAATCCAACATGCAACTGCAACAGCACTTTCAACTCCCCGCCCCGCTCAGTCCCAGCCACACCCCACTCTCTCGCTCTCTCCCAGCAGCGAAAAAAACAGTTCCACTACCTGCGAATCTCGGCGAAGACGGCCAGCCTCTGGTAGATGCTCCACTGTGTCAGATAAATTTATTTCTCACACTAAAATGACGTGCATTCGGTCAGTCCGCTATCCGGGTGCAACCAATCACTTCTCCACATTCTGGTCCTCGCTTACAGTAGGTTTCTCGTTTTACCCCACCATCCGCTCAACATGAAGTTGGGACCAGAAGTAGAGGGTCTCTCTCCCTAGTTTAATGGGATTGACGCTCACTGACACGACCAGCGCTTACGCGTATGGGCTCCGCTCTCCTTCGAACCAGCATGATAGCTTGGCAACGCAAACTCCCATCATCTCGATCAACATGTATGTACGTACGTATGTATGCAGAGGGAGGTACTAGAGATACGCAAAAAGGCACAGTGGGTCCACGCGCGCGAATAGCGCGGGCTATTTGCAAAACACGAAAACGGGGACTTTGCCATTGGCGCGGCGGCCGCGCCACCACATAGCATAGAGCCATGTTACTTAGATAGATAGCTAGCAATGTATGTACATGTATAGTAATGGTGTGTATGTATGGCTTACTTGCATGGTATGCATCCTGTTTTCACGCAGTGCCCGTTTCAGCGATGCAAAAAGCGCACGCCATACCCAATAGGAGGAGTTCTCCCGAGATCCTCTCTTGTGCTTTTCCGCGACGAGGGCCTTCCCTGTACCCCTGGACGTGCTGGTACGTCGCCATCTCATCCGATAGCGAGAGCGCGGCAGTCGGAAGGGATTGCTGTGGTGTACCTTTACCCACACTCACACATGTGCACGTGACTGCCCGACTGGCGTGTTGACACGTTTTGGTTGTTGAGCTATCTACTGCTGCTGCTCGCTGCTCCTTCGGCTGTTGTTTTTCCGTTACCCCTCTTTACCCTGCCTCTGCCTGCCTGTCTGCTTATCTATCTTGCGCGATGTACGATGCAGATGTGCACTGCCGCGTTTTGCCAATTGGTATTTTTTCCTTGTCTACTCTGCCGACTTGGCTCAAGGGATGGAACATGTGCAGACGTGTCCTTGTCGTGATGTGATGATGGGCAGATAATAGTCTGGGGGGCTGGACCGCATGCGTGAGCTTTGGTCTGAGTCAGTAAAAGCATCGATCGGAAATGCTTGGAGAACTGCGTGAGACTGGAATAGGAAATTGGTGCTGCATTTGTAACGGGCATAAGGCATGGGCGTGGGTTTTGATCGGTGTGCGGAGGTGTGAGGTTGCTGTTGGTGTGGGCTGTTTACACGTTCTCGTCGCTTGTCCTGCGTGTGGAGTACAGGCTGCGGCTGCACGAACTTTGATAATCTACGAGTTTCTACTTTTATCTTATTGCATGCATGCTCTTGCAGATTGTCACGGTATGCAAAGTGTCGAATAGAGCACCAGAAGTGCGATTGCTCGATGGTTGAGATGGTTGATTGAACAAGCAATGGAGGCCCAAGGCCGACCATATGCCCAAGAGTAAATGAAATGGGCATCACAAAACGTTCAACACATATTTGTTGGCTTGGTATTCACCCTGTGTAATGATAGCGATTATTCCCCTAGAATTCGTTTACCTGTTACAACCTCAAGCACGAGTATGCTTGAACACATGTCAGTCCTCTGTATGAATGCCGATTGAAAACATGTCTCGCGTGTAGAGATTGTTGATATATTGACTAGCGATAGACAGGTTTATACTTCAGAGAGACTCAATTAATAAACACTCACACTATTCAGTCTAGTCAAAAGTTTATTCGGCTTGTTCATGCCCATTCAAAGCTCAGAGGCCGTATGAACAACTTCTGTAACCTACTATGAACACTATCACGAGCCCTATCAAAACCTGTTCTCGTGTTTGTTGATTTTCAGTGCATTCATGCTTGACATAAAACCACATAGTCGCAACATAACAAAAGGCACAGCATTGTAAAGCAGTATACAAGCCGAACCCTGACCCGTTCACACACAGCAACTGCCGACAGAAGTACACACTGATAGACCAAGTTAGACACTTTCACAGCATACGCACAACAGCCCAATAGATAAAGGCGAGCACTATTCCGCGGAAGCAAAGGTTTGTTCGGTGTAGCGATACCCGTGACTAAAGCTCAAAAGCCCGAGTATCGTCTAAGAGACCATTCGCGTGTCTACTACGATAGATAGTTCCTCATACACAAATCTAACTGAGTAGACTTCGTAGTACGCTTCACCTAGAAAACTATAGCTTCGGGGCATCACTTACGGTTGATGAAGAACACAATACATTTTTGATCTTCGAGACAACACGATAAAGTTTGATTAGTCGCGCTCGTAGTAGATCAGCAAAGCATTTTCCATGACCTCCAAGCTTCAGTAACAAACACCGCTACACCAAACACAAATGTGACCACACCAAATAGTGCCCATCCAGATAACCAATACTTTCTTCCCACCAGGCATCTGCCCACAAACAACATAAACACCATAAACTTCCCCTAACTATCCAAAGCATAGGCCTCCCCCCCAGCCCCACCCCAAACCCTCTCCGCCTCCTCCCCACTCATCCCCCTTTCCCTCACCCACTCCTCCACAGCCTCAACCCAAAACGCCCAGTTCCCCGCCTCGCCCTTCGGCCCCCCGACGTTGCACACAGGCCAGTCAGACCCGAACATGATGCGGCCGGGGAAGAGGTTTACGACGACGTCGAGCGTTGGGCGGAGTGCGTCGAGCAGTGCGGGAACGGTGGATGGTGTGGGAGAGGGAGTGAACTCGTTAAAAGGGCCGGAGAGCTTGATGTAGATGTTTGGGTCGGGGGCGAGGCGGGTGAGTGCTGTTAGGTATTGTGGGGTTGGGGTTGGGGAAGCGGGGGAGAGGTCTGGTTTGCAGAGGTGGTCTGTGGGAGTTAGCACTGCATGGAAGAGTGGGGAGAAGTGCAGGAAAGCCAAACGATATAGAGATATATGAAAACAGGTCAACATACTCAACACAAACCTCACCCTCGCCTCCCCACCCCCCTCCTTCTTAGCCTCAGCCTCCCTAACCCGCTCAATCATACCCGCCACCTCCCCCAAAACCCCCACCCCATCCCGATGCACATCAACCCCAACATCAAACGCCCACCCCTTCCCTCCCCTCCCCCTCCCCAGCAACACCATATTAGAAACCCACTCCGCACTCCCAGTCAGCCTGGCAACCTCCCCCTCCCCCTTCCCCTGAAGCAAGAACCGGAACCCCACAATACGCGCCCACAACACCGGTCCCGCAACCCGCTCCGCAATCCGTAGATAAAGCTCGAACAGCGCAGTAGAAAGGCATAACGGCGCCCACACAACAGCGCCCTTCATCCGCGCAGACTCTGTGTGGCTACTAAACCCGTCGCCCTCGGCTGGTGCATTCTCCGCGATGCGGCGCAGGAATCGGAGCTCCTCGAGGGGTTGTGCGGCCCAGGATTCCAGCGCCGCCTCACTGCTTTGCGAGAGGGAGTGGCTGCTGCTGCTGAGCTCAGCGGGCAGCGCAGGCAGATATCGGTCTGTCTCTACGTAGATGAATCCTGATGGCGGGGGCGTGGCGACAGCCTCGTAGTCTGTGATTCCGTGGCGGGCGGCGAGGAAGTGGTTTGGGGTCATCCATGCGTGGTCACGGGGGGAGGTGGCTGTTGAGGGCCAGAGGTGGATGTGTGTGTCTAGGAAGTTTTGGGGTGGCATTGTGGGGGGTTTTGCGTTTGAGTGGGTTGAGGTGTGTGTGTGCTGGGTTTTCGTTGCTTGGATGGTGGGTATTGGTCTTGTGGGTTTGCTGTGTGTGTATGGGGTTGAGGAATGGGGGTGATGGCGGGGATGTGCTGGGTCGGGGTGTCGGGGGAGAAGGGTCCGAAGGAGGGTCTTTGTCGAGTGTACGTTCTTTGTGGCTCCTGGAAGCTGTGAAGTTTACACTACAACGTATATCGAAATGCACGTTAGGCGTATACAGTTGAAACTTTAGACATCAGATTTCTACACCAATCTTATATGTAGTTGTCTAGGTGTTGCAAGATTTCGCTGCAGTTCAGTTCCGTTCAACGAACCAAGATATATGACGGGATGCAGGTACAGTTCTCGACGAGGAGAGTAGGCCAGGAAGTGATACAAGGCAGCATAGCAACATAGTCGCAACGCTTAATAGCATTTTCTGGCGTACACCAAGTTCCAATTTAACGTCATTCAAACCTCCATCAAGCCCCGTCACTTTCGAACATCCCCTCCCATTACACTGCACACTACGCATACCCTCCCCCGCTCCCCACACCCAGCATCGCAACAAACGTAGCCTTCCCCTGGCCCCCTACATGCCCCAAATACGCACCCAACTCCTCATCATCGCCGACTTCCACCACAACCTCCTTCTCTCCCGTTGCGTCTCTATAAGTGATCAAGCCCTCGAGTTTCAGCACCACGGTGCCGGGATGCTCGCGCATCGCCAGAGTATGGATTTCCGTCACAGAAGGGGTGTGTAGGAGGGAGAGCCATACGCTTTTCGAGGGAAAGGCTGTTGTGGAATGGGGATGTAGGCGGAAATAGATTGGGAGGGGTGTTGAAGCGGCGGTCGAGGCTGAAGTGTAGTATGTCTGGTTGTGGGACATGTAGGTGTCTTGAGGGTGGTGGTGGGGTTGTTGGGAAGCGTGTTGGAGTTGATGTGCAGCTTGGTGGTATGTAGGCCCGGGAAGAAACGCAGCGTCACTCGCGGCTAGCAGAAGCGAGGGATCGATTTGCAGGTCTGCAGTTGGGGATGTCGCCGGCATAGCGGGGTGGTTTGTCTGCATGGGATTCGCGCTCTGTCGACTCAGGATGGAGGGATGCGGTGGCACAACTGGAGGCGCTGGGCCTGGTCCAGGACCTTGATGCGACGACTTCCTCTTCGACGGGTCTTTCGCCAACTTCTCCTGTTGTTGTCTCTTCATGACGTCTCGCGCCAATATCTCGACAGCCTTCAGCTTCCGTGCATACTCTGGGTCTGCCTCGCCATGTGCAAGCGCTCTTGTGAGCAGTTCAGATTCATCGACCCATGCCTGCTTGAGGTCTGCCCACTGCTGTTCCCCAGCCTCGTACTTGTTGGTGAAACTCGCTGTTCCAAGCTTGACGGCGAAAGCACTCCTAGCTTGTCGCGTGTGTTGTGGATTCAGGCCAAGTATGTTCTTCGCGTCGAGAAGACTCATGCGGTTTTCCATGGTGCGCAGGCGCTTGGTGACGTCCATGCAGATGACATCAAGCGAGAGTGCTCTCTGGCCCTTGGGTCTGAAGACGGCCTCATTGCTTTGTAAAACTTCAGGCTCATGTTCAAAGACGTTGGACAGATGAGCGCTCTCGCGGATGAGCCGCTGAACGATGTGCGTCCATTTCTCAGGTCCCGCAATCGTCTTCTTGACGACGCCTTCTTGCTCGCAGATGGCTGAGAAGCGCTCCCGCAACTCGCGATACATTTTGTTGTCCAGGCCAAGGTGGGCTTTCGCCTCGTCGATGGTGGTCTCTGACGGGAAGCGTGGAGGCTCGCCTGGAGCGTCTGCTGGCAATCCTGCCCAGCCTCGTGTCCGACGCCGCCGCTTGCGCGTGCGCCATTTCTCGTCGCTTTCGATTTGTAGTTGTTCTTGTCGCAGCTGTTTCCGTAGCGCGGCTTCTATGTCTGGAGGCGACTCGTTGACCTCAGGCTCGGGCTGGGACATGGACGGCTGCAGAGCGTGGGCAAGCTCATGGTCCAGTTGCTCCTGGCCGGTTTCCTCTTCGGAGCTCTCCTCGTTGCTGGAAGAGTCCTCGGCCAGTATCGCGTTCGCAAGCTGGTTGATCAGGCCCTTGCCAGATACCGTGTTCTTCCTGGGCTTCTTGTTCTCCAGCACCGCACCCTCTGCATGCGCCTGTCTCTTGGGTCTTGGCACACTCTCTCGAAGCAGCAGCTTCAATCTGATGCGCAGCCTCATCAGCTCGCGGTCGCTAATCTGAAAGCCCTCATTCTGCAGCGTGTCGACCATGTCCTTTTGCGTGTAATTCTGGGCCCATAGCTCATGCAGGCGGGCGACGAGAGCGGGATTCTTGTGCGCCAGGTTCTGCTTGCTGAAGTCCCATCGCTAGGCCGAGTGTCAGCAACGCGCAACGAGGTAACAAACCGAATCACGTACTTTGAACTGGTTCTGAAAGGCACGCTTGCTAGCGCATCATGGTCAGTAGATGCCGTTGATGATCGTGAACACGCCGCTCGCGAATATCTACAGGCGACTCAAGCGTCCAAACACGCAAAACATACCTCGGCGAGAAACCCCTCAGCTCCCAGTAAGAGACAACCTATAGTTATATCAGACGTAGTTGTTGAGCTGTTGTATAATTCTATTACCTCGTCAAGACTTTTCTTCTCCTGAACATAGAGCCGATAACATTCACTCTCCTTATCGTCCCAGTTGTACACCATCTTTCGGCGCTGGGGAGTGGGGAGTTGGAGGAATTGCGGTCATTTAGTGAATGGCCCTCCATAGCGAGCCGCCAAGACTGTTCTTCGGCTCTTGCTTGACTGTGAAAGCGGGAGGTAAACTGCACTCTTTATAGATCCTACAAGCTGCAAAACCGCACGAATAAACTTGACAAAAGCGCTTTCTGAACCTATACTGCTAGAAGCCCATATCCAAGATTCATATATTACTCTTATGTGTAATTGCCTATCCATTGCAAGGTTTCACTGCATCTTGGTTCCTGATACGCCAAGGCTGTCCTCGGCCTCAGTTAGTCCGACAAAGCAGTCATGCCTCCATCAACACTTTCCCCTACCGCGCTCCCCACAAGGGACGCATACCTATCATAATGGCGACGCTAGAACACTCTTCACAAACCCATCATAGCTATCATAGCCTCACCTCCTACTCCCCACTCCTCCAACCGCCCTGACCTTAACCGTGACACCACACTTCCCGACTACACCACACTACACGCACCCCGCAAAGCCACCCCACCACCCCCCACAATGGCACAACTCCTCGCCAACAAATCCATGGCCATAACCGGCGGCGCAACAGGCATCGGCCGCGCCATCGCCCTCGGGTACCTCACCCACGGCGCAAACGTAGCAGTAAACCACTTCGGCGACGCAAAATCAACCTCGCAATTCCAAACCCTCCTAGACGAAGCCGCGCAAGTCCTCGGCAGCGTGGAAGAAGCCCAGAAAAGACTCATACAAGTCCCCGGCGACGTGGGCGATGCGGAAACAGGCAAGGCGCTCGTGGCCGCCGTGGTGCAGAAATGGGGCCGCTTGGACGTCTTCATCAGCAATGCGGGGATCTGCGAGTTTAGGGATTTCTTGGAGTGTGTATCCCCCCCCTTTCCTTCCAAACACGCAGATACTCCATCCCAGCCAATCCAGAAACACCACGGCTGACAAGTATGAACCAGAATAACGCCAACCCTCTGGTCCCAAACCCTAACCACCAACCTAACCGGCGCATTCAATTCCATCCAAGCCGCGGCCACCCAACTCTCCCAGCAGACCCCCCCAGGCGGGTCCATAATCGGCATATCCTCCATCTCAGCGCTCGTCGGCGGCGCGCAACAAGCGCACTACACGCCCACCAAAGCGGGCGTATTATCGCTAATCCAGTCCGCCGCGTGCGCCCTCGGTCGCTATAATATCCGCTGCAATGCGCTGCTGCCGGGCACGGTTAAGACGCAGCTCAATGAGAAGGACCTCGATGATGAGGGGAAGAGGAGGTATATGGAGGGCAGGATTCCGCTGGGGAGGACGGGGGTGCCGGCGGATTTGGCGGGGCCGGCGGTTTTCTTGGGGAGTGAGTTGAGTGCGTATGTGAATGGGGCGCAGCTTCTGGTTGATGGGGGGTTGTTTGTTAATCTGCAGTGATGGGGGTGGGAGTTGGAGGAGTGGATGGGATTGATGTTGAAGTTTACTATATGCTTTGTTGAAGATATTGTGGTACCGGCCTGTTTCCATACGTGTTGGGTTGGATAGAATATGCATGGGCAGGGAGACCTAACAGGAGACGTCTCAAGAGCCATAGAAACGTATGTTTTGTAGTGTCATTGTCTGTGTAGCAGTTCATCATGCTAAATACTAAACCAAGACCTACATGACAATGAAGAAAGGAAAGAAAAAAGGGGTATTTACTGCCCACAAAAAAACGCCTGATCATACCCATTTCCCACCCCTTTTTCTTTTCTCCAGCTACATCTTCCACATCAACTCACTCACTCACTTCAGTTACGAAACCTATGCAAAGTCAGCCAATTCACCTCCTCATCCCCACCATCACCCACTCACCTCCGCAATATTCTGCCTCTCAATAAAGCTCTCCTGCATGGCATCCCTACCCACCCGCCAATAAACATCCGTATAATCCGCGCAATTCATCTCGCGCAAAAACTGCTCGTCATGCGTAATAACCAGCAACTGAAAGTTCGCCTGCTTGCGCCTCATCTGAATAATCTGGCTCAAACTCTCCGCCAAGCCCTTAATATTCTGCTGATCAAGATTCGTAGTCGGTTCATCCAGCGCAATGAGCCCGCAATTCGTGCCGAAGCATTCCGCGAGCGCGAGACGAATAACGATACTAGCGAGGACTTTCTGACCCGCGGAGCAGCGGCCGCGCATGTCCATTTCCGTGTCCTGCTTGACCATGACGACGCGGTAGTTGTATGTTCTGTTCCCGCGGCCGTCGTGGTCGGACGCGATGCGGATGGTGTCTACGTCTGTGCCTTGGTAGGCGTTTCGCCAGAGCTCGGCGATGATGCGGTTGATTTCTTCCATTTTGAGGGAGTGGTATTTCATGATTGCTTTGTCGAGGGCGCCGGCGTAGCGGCCGAGGTCTTCGATGGCGGCTTTTGTTGTTTCGACTTTGATGTGCGAGGAGCGGTATTGCGTGCTGGCGTCTTTGTAGAGCGTTTCGTATTCTTGCATCAACTCTGTTAGTTGGTCGTCTTTGTTCTTCATGTCGCGCTCTACGCTGGTTTTTTCTGTGTTGAGCTGGTGGAAGCGTGTGTCCCAATGATGCGCCTCACGCTCGTAGTGCTCTTTGTCGCGTTCGGCGCCATGTTCTTCTAGTTTCTGGATTTCGACCTCTAAAGTTTCAAGAGCGCGCTTGGCTTTTCGGTAGCGGAGGTTGTCGCTGATGGAGCGTTTCGTCATCTCCGTGTCGCGCATCGAATCTTCCATCTTCTTGACTTTGCGAGTCACTTCAAGCATTTCTGTTTCGATCCGCGCAATTTCACCTTGCAGGTTCTCGATTTCCCGATGTGTGCGTGCGAGCTGCTGTGGGCCTCCACGACCAATGTATGCGTTGATTTCCGTGTCTGCTTGGTTGAGTTGGCGGACGCTGTCAGAGAGCTTGGACGCTTCGTCGTGGGCGCGCTGCACACGTTCATTGCCTCGACGGTTGATGTCGTCGTACTTGTACTGAGCCTGTTCAATCTCGGGTACAAGGTTCTCAACATCCTTGTCGAAGTCACGCATCGACTCTCGCTGCTTGTTGTTCTCGGTTTTGAACTCCTCGATACGGTCAGCAAGAGCCCGCTTCTCCTTGAGTTTAGACTGTGCGTTGTTGAGCTCAGCGTTAATATCGCGAATACTCAGTTCTAGTGTGGTAATGGTATTGCGCGACTTGTCTCGGTTGGCGGTTAGTTGATCAAGGGCAGTCCTTGCACTTCGGCTGTCATCTGTGATCTTCTTCAGATCGGCCTGAACTGCATCAATGCCTCGAGACAATCCAGCAGCCTTCTGCGTTCGAGTGAGCTCCTCAATCTGTACGTCAAGATCGCGTGTCCTGTTATAGTAGCCAACGATAGTCTGAACTTCCTTTGACAGTGACTCGACTTCCTGCCTCGCGGCCTCCAGGTCGTGGATAACGGCATCCTGATCTTCAAGTTGTTTATTGACGCTCTCACGCTCTGTCGTTAGTTGAGTGAGCTCAGTTTGAAGTGCTGGTATTTCAGAATCTCGCAGACGGATGGCGAGTTCATAGCTTGGCTTAGCATTGCGTGCCATCTCCAACTCAGCAAGCAGCTCCTCTGCATTATCGCCTTGCATGTTCCTCTCGGCCTTGGTAATGATGCTCTCCAGCTTGGAGATAAAGCCTGCCGTAGTAAAATGCTCGGACCTGTCGTCGTGAAGTGATCTAGCACAGAGTCGACACACGTTATCTTTCTCGGCTGTTTTCAAGCACTGGCGCATGTACTCAACCTGTGCCTCAAACTTTGCCTTATCCACCGATGACCCTTCATAGTCTTCCTCAAGCTGCTGCAGTGTCTCGTCAAAGTCGGATATATCGTCCTTCTGAACGGAGTCTTTCACTATCTGTTCGTATTGCCGATGCTCTGACCGCTTCTTCTTGAGCTGCGACTCAACACTTGACAGCTGGAAGTTGATCTTGTCGAGTTTCGTCTGCGCGATATCACGACGCGATCCTGCTTCCTTGACTTTGCCTGTCTTCTCAGAGAGAGCCTGCTGGAAGGTAGTTTCTAGTGTAGCAGGATCCCACTCCGAGTCAACGAGCTGCGAGATACGCTTGTTGTGCACTTTCTTCATCGTATCGAGACTATGCTGCTGTCCCTGCAACTCATTCCGCGCGTAATCGATCGACGCAGACTCACGAGCTTGCTTTGTGGCATCGCCGAGCTCAGTCGTCAGGCGCTCCTTCTTGTCCTCCAGGGTTCGTACATCGCTTGACGTCTCCCGGATTTGCTCATCATAACCTTCACTAGCAGCCTTTGCATTTGCGTCATTCAGTTGTTCCTCAACATCTTGCTTCTTGTTCTGCAAGATGGCTTCACCACCTTCGTCTGCCTTGATGTGGTTCATAGTTCGCTGCAGGTCAGAAACGCGCTTGTCGTTGTCCGCGATCTGCTTTCGCGAAGCCTCTTTGCTCTGACTTAGGCCTGATTTACGTGTGTTGAGCTGGCTGAGGTTATGCTGAGCCTCACGCAGATTACGCTGTGTATCTTCCCGGGCACGTTCAAGAGTCTTGTTCTGGTCCCGAGACATCTTGTCAAGGATTTGTTGGAAGCTGATCACTTGCTTTTCGGTGATGTCGTAGTCGTAGCCACGGATAGAATGGCGCTTGGCCGCTTCCTTGATCAGGTTTTCGCGCTGTTGAAGCTGACGGTCATGCTGCTCTTTCTGCGCTTCGTACTTTCCAATTTCGGCCTGCTTCGCACCAAGAGAGCCGCGATTGTCTTCCAAATCGTGCTTGAGGTCGCCGTATTGGTGGCGGTGCTCGTCTTGTTGGGTAGCGTACATGGAGACTCGTTGCTCATACTGGTCGAGCATGGACTGGAGCTCCTCGTCCGACTCAGCCATGTGCTTCAGGTTGTCTTCGAGTATTGCCACGCTCTCCTTGTTGGCGTCGAATGTGATGCGCTTACCGTTGAGCTGGGCAACGATTTGCTCATATCGCGCTGCGTGGTTGTAGGCTTCATTGGCCTTCTCTTGGGCCTCGGTGCAGTCACCGTCTGTCCGCTCGTATGTGCCCCGAAGCGTCTCGATCTCGTCGAAAAGCACAGCCTGACGCTTTTCACTCTTGTCGGCTCTGTCTCTGTCCTCTTTTGCGTTTGCTTCAATAATCTTGAGCTGACCCAGTTCCACGCTCTGATTCCTGCGGATCGATTTTATATTTTCAATAGCTTTTGTGTATTTCATTGCTTCGAAGATGTCGTCAAACTTCTTCTTGAGACTGGCTGGATCACTCATTGGCCATAAACTGTCTTCCTGGTGGCAGAAGATGACGTTTTCCAGGATGGCTTTCGACACACCAAGATACTGTGGGATGATCTGGTCCAGCTCGGCGACTCGGGTGGATATGGAGTGTTTCTCGCCATCTTTGATCATGAGCAGGGAGCCCTCCAGGGTCTTCTGGCTGCGTGCGTTCTTCTTGACGGTGACTTGGAGGTTGCGGGTGACTACCATGCGCACTCCCGATGTCGACCGGAAAGATAGCTTGATCTGGGCGAGGAGTTCTTTTTCATTTCGCAGCTTGGGGTCGTGGATGAAGGCACCTCCCGTCTTGCTGTTTGTGGGCAGGTCACCGGTGGTCGCATACTTGAGCGACTCGATGATGGTCTGTGTGGGGTGAGCTGTGTTGCTTGTCGTGTGGGGGCCAACTCACGGTCTTGCCAGAACCGTTCCAGCCTACGATGAGGGTGAGTGGCGCGGTGAAGACGATGGTTTCTCCTTTCTCGGGCCCGAACGAGCGGATGCTGGGCTGGTGAGTGGGGGGTTGGTGGGTGGTTGTTGGGGCCAGCTTACCCCTGGATCATCATGCGGTCAATCTTCGCTGTGGGTGGTGGTTAGTTGGGTGCAGAGGCTGTGGGCACGTGTTTTGCAATGATGGGACACATACACCTGGAGTGGGATTAGTGACACTTTCAGACGGCTATAACTGACAGCTACGTACATATTGGGAGGTCCACGCTGGCCGTGGTGGGCTTTCCTGGGTGTGTGTCTGCAACGAGAACGACGCGGTGGCCTGGCGCTGGGCACGTCGAGGCGCGTCTGCTCCCCGCGCCATCACGTGCACACCTCGACATGCTAGCAGGGGCGTACCGAGACAGCCGAATCAACGGGCCCGTCTCCACGTCTGTCATGAGGGTGCACCGGGGAGTTTGGCGCACGATGCCGGGTACCTACACACTGCCAACGTCGGTGCAGACAGCCGACCCTATCGCATCCACGACGCGCCGTGCAAATTGCGGGACTCTGCCTGGTCGTCCGCCATGTCGCTGTATGCAAACAGCAGTGCTGAGGTAGGCGCGATCCCCGCCCCGGTCACGGACCCCCGATCTGAGAGTTGCGATCGCAGATGGGCCACTTCAGTAGTAATGGGCTCTCCGACGGGCTCCACCTGCAGCAGATGGATGAGGTAATGCAAATGGACATGGATCTGTCGCTCGAGGGCGCCGATGCCCAGAACGCCGCGGGATATGCCGCCTTCACGGGGAACCTGCAGACCACGGTGCCGGGCAGCAGCGCGGCCAGCGACGTCTACTCGATGGGCCAGGACAGCAGCATGACGGGCGCTGGCGCGGGCCCGCTGCCCACGGGGTTCGGGGCCCCCAACATGAACCCGTCGGGCAGCACGCTGACCGAGTTCACCAAGCGGCGCAACTGGTCGCAGCGCGTGCTCGAGGAGCTGCGCGACCTGCTGCACATCCTGACGCCCGACGGCCGCATCCTGTACGTGTCGCCGTCGTGCCGGCCGCTGACGGGCTGGGAGCCGCCGCAGCTCATGGGCCGCTTCATCAACGAGTTCATCCACCCGGACGACATTGGCATCTTCGTCAAGGAGTTCAACGAGAGCATCGCGTCGAGCAACCCGCTGCGCTTCTTCTACCGCTTCCGCAAGCTCGACGACACGTACACCATCTTCGAGTCGCACGGCCACCCGCACCTCAGCGGCGACCCCACGGCCTTTGCCCCGCCCAATGCCCTCAACTGCCGCGGCTTCTTCCTCATGGCGCGGCCCTACCCGACCAAGAACGCCGCCCTGCTCGACTCGTTCCTCGAGCACAAGATCGAGAACGAGCGCCTGACCAAGCGCGTCGCCGAGCTGAAGCGCGAGGAGCAGGACGAGCAGGACGACTGGGCCCGCAAGACCGAGGGCCCCTCGACCGTCCAGTCCGACACCCACAACACCCACAGCGACGCCGTCTCGTACGCCCAGATGCCCCCGCCCGCCAAGCCCACAATCTCCAACACGGCCCTGACCCGCCAGAACCTCGACGAGGCCCTCGCCGCCAGCAGGCCCGATAGCATCAACGACAAGATGGCCCGCTACGAGGGCGCAAACCACCTCGAGACCATCGAGATGCTGACCGGCTTACGCTACAGAGACGGCGAGCGCTCCCAGGGCATCAGCACAGGCGACGCCAGCCCCATGCTCATCCGCGGCGACGCAGGCATCCAGATCTCCCTCGACCGCGACGCCAGGAGCTCCTCTGACAAGAAGAAGAAGCTCAAAATCGCAGACGAATACGTGTGCACCGACTGCGGCACCCTCGACTCGCCCGAATGGAGGAAGGGTCCAAACGGGCCCAAGACACTATGTAATGCATGTGGATGTGAGTTGTGGCGTGGATGTATTGATGGCATACTCGTTCTAACGCGATACCAGTGCGCTGGGCGAAAAAGGAGAAGAAGAAACAAGGCGGCGGTAACACGCCCGTTGCAGCTAACCAGCCCAACACCCCCTCACTCCTTATGCATACCAGCACCGGCAGCAGTTGACCTGGAATCGTGTATTAACCGTTTGTTACTCTATTTTCTTGGCGCTGCGATGGGATGCGCATCTATATCATGCTAAGTCGAGTGGTGGAAGATACAGGACGTGTACTGCGCATTTTACCGGCGTTTACGAGGTGACGTGAAATTTAGCAGGATTTCTGGTCTGGTCTGGCTGGCTGGATCGAGGTTAGGATCATAGAACGGGGTCAACGGCGAAAAAATGAATTGAATGTGTGTGACGAAATAACATTGCATAACGTATATATATATAAATATGTATGTATGGCGAGGAGATGGCTAGAGGGTTGTCGTTTGGTATGTAGTAAGGTTGGTATGAAATCGAAGAACGTGCTCATATCTATGCCAATATGAGCAAGCACCAGATCACATGCGCAGGAAAAGGGAAAGTGTGAAGTCTAGAATGCAAGAGGAAGGAAATAACATTACGATCTAATACCGAACGAACGCCAACGCCAACGCCATAGCTATGCATATACAAAAACGCGCGGAAAGTAAAAAAACCCCCAGTCACCAAACCCTCTACCCCATCACCCCCCTCCCACCTACGCAAACACCCCCTTAACCCCACCCCCAACCCAAACCAGCACCCTCGCCGCCAACAAACTCGGTCCCGCATACCCCCTTAACCCCCCCCTCCCCCTCGCACCCACAACCCCCAACACATCAACACCACACTCAACGCCCGCCCCGCCACCCCCCCTCCCCTTCGCCGTCAAAATCGCAAATCTAAGCAGCACCTCAAAACACGTGATACAAATACTAATAACAATGAGGAAAATAATGATCCAAGTAATACGCGTCATTTTCTTATCGCTAATGGAGTCGCTGAGGATTTCGCCGAGGTCGAGGAAGACCTGGCAGCGCTCGTTGAGGACCTGGATGCGCGGTTTTATCTCGAGGTATTCGCGGACGGCGGTGTAGAGGGGGTGCAGCGTGGGTTCCGAGTCCCAGAAGAAGTTGGGGGTGTCGAGCATGTTGGATGCTGGAGGGGGGAGGGGTGGTTAGTATGTAGATATATTTGTGTGTATTTGTGGGGTGAGGGGTGAGAGGGGGAGACATACAGAGATTGACGTCCACGCGACTTGTGAAGAGCTGGCCGATCATCTTAACCACGTCTGTTCGTCGCATGCCGAGCTTTCCCGTCAGGGCGAGGCGCTTGGGCACGTACTGCGCTGCCAACATGGTGCGGCTCATGCCCTCTTCGAAGAGACTCAGTTTTGTGCTCTGCGCGATGCCGTGGCTCATGGCTAGTTTGATCATGTGGTCGCCGCTCTTCAGCGTGATCATATCGTTGTACACGCGCGGTCTGGTGATGTCGGCATTGTATTCAAAGTGGAATTCCTCGGTTTCAAAGTCGCTTTCCGTCAGGGGTCTAGTGGCGAGTGAGACGCCTGTTGCTGTCGAGGAAAAGGTGAGGTCGGCGAGGATGTCTTTTTCCTGCTTCTCGGTGAAGTTCCAGAACACGGCCACGCCGTAGGAGAAGACGAACATCTCTCCAAAGGTGAGAGCGTTGGGTGCGACGCGTGAGTTGTCGGACGAATCGCGACGATCATGCTGGCCGTCGTAGTCGTCCATTTCGGGGGCAAGGTCGTCGCTGCGGACAAAGTATGTCTCCTCGTCGCCAAAATATCCCTCGTGGTGATCGCGCTGCTCGTTGCGCTCAATCTCCTCATCGAGAACCGTCTTCCCGCCCGGGCTCTTCAACGCAGGACTGCTGCGAACCCTGTAACCATCGCTGCCCGGGAGGAGAGGGAGGTGGTAGACGGTATACAAGCAGTCGTCGTACAGCTTCGTCTTGGCGTTGTGCTGCTCTTTAACAAACTCGGCCGTGCTCTTCATCTTGTATGCTTGTGCAGTACAATAGGCAGTAACGCGTGAGAGCTTGTCCGTTCTCCTAGCTTTGGGCAGCCGCTCCGCGTAACTCTTGTCCGAGGGGCCTCCTTTCGCCGTCCTCCTCGCCAGCTCGTCATCGGTAGGCGGCCCCCCGTGCTCATCCTCGTCAAAGTCGCCCTTCTCGTCCTCGTCCTCCTCGGCTGTCTCGGGCAGCAGAACAAGCTTCTCGCTCAGCTTGCTCGATCGCGTAGGCACGTGCTGCGGTATGATGCGGCCGGAGAGCTTGGGGTCGAGTGGGTGTCTGCCGCTGGGCGTGCGATTATGCATCATCGGTCGGTGGCCAGGCGGGCCGCGTCGCTGCTGGGAAGGAATGTCCGAGGCGTATTGGAGGATGTTGTCGACTGAAATCAGTTTTGCGCCTGTGGCTTGTCTTTGTCCAGCCGACGGGCGTTGTGGTGCGCGTGGTTGAGCATCGCGCGAGTCCGTCATGAGCACCGTTGGGCCTCGCTTGCTCTTTGCTGTTGATGCGCTCATCTTGTGTGTGGCTGCACTCGAGGAATTGACGGCAGGTTGGGCAGAGTCTGAGGAACGGACACCAGGTCGAGGTACGAGCTTTGATTCGGCAATGCCCAGTGAAGGATCGATGGGCAACAGCAACACGCACAATTTGGCCAGGTGTGAGGCGGTAGACTGCAACAATTGATGACTACTCTTTCGGCTCCCGGCAATCTTCTTGTTGGTCATCGAGTGTCGAACAGCGTGGCTGAAAGCTAGAATTTGATCGTGTCGCAAGGTTCAACCGCGTCATTGTCATTCATTCACGACGCTCGGGCCTCGACTCATTTCATGCAGCTCCACTCTGATGCACAACGGCCAACTCGCATGATCCACCCAGCATAAACATCACCAGGCAAAACTGACTCGACTTTACATATCAGGACATCATGACTTCCGAAATTCTTGATATGCGCATCGCGGATGCAGCAAACTACCTAATAATCAGAATAATCCTTCATACCTACCAGGCGCCATGCTCGAAACCAAGGAAGAATCATGTCACTAACCAGAAGCTCCCAATCCAAACTCGCTCTACAAAAGAAACTTTTTTTGCTTTGGGTTATGTTTACTCGAGACGCTGCGAGTGGGTATCGAATCGGTCTGCTTGCGCGTCTTCCGCCACCCTCCGTACTTCGACTATCCGCCCCAGATCGGCCGTGCGACCATAACTCCATGAAATAAGATGAAAAGACATTAGACATTCGGGTCGGAAAAGAAAAAAACAAGCTTCCCCGAATCTATAGCCGCTTGCTAGGGACGAAGATGAAGAGGCAGCATACTGCTGTTGTGACGAGCAGAAAGAAAAATAGCATCGACATGGAGCGGCGGTACAACATCGTCATGACAAACTTCTCCTTGATCTTGTTGAAGTCGAAGAGCGTGTACTCGCTGTAACCAAGAAGCGCTATTATCGGATCGAGCATGTACTGGTGTGTGAAGAGAGAGTAGATGCCAATCGTGAAAGGTATAATGAGCTGTTTTCGATTGTTAGCCAACATGTAATTCGGAAACGCGAGAACGTTTATATGTACATACCCAACATCGTCTGCTCCTAGAAGCACCCAAGAAGATCAGAATGAAAGCCGCCCACACAGCAGCAAAGATCGAGACCAGGCCCACGATAAGTCGAAGCATCATGCTCTGGGGCACGAGGTTGCCAAAACCCTTGGCTTGAAGAAAGCCTGGGAATGCGTCGCGCTGCATGGCCTGGAATACGTAATCCTTCGCTTGATCAAACAACTCGGGGTCGGATCGCTGAGCTGGTCCTTCGATAGCCTCCTGTACCTCGTTCAATATGCTCTGAGGGATGATGATTTCTCTCTCTGAGCCTGGCAGAAGGTATGTGTAGAGGATCTTTTCAGCGGATGCACGCAGATCCTCTTGACGTGGTTGCGAATTGTCTGTGGAAGAGTTCTGCCCAGGCGAGCTCGAGTCGTTCATTCTGTCCTGAGCGTGGAAACTAGGGCGCGGTGGGTCCTCAATCTGGTTGCTATCTTGGCTGTTCTGTGGCGAGTGATTGCGGCTTCCCATGTTGGACCGTAGGAATTGGGAAAGACGCTGGTCGCTCATATCCTTCTCGTCCGATGGTCCCTCTCCAGCGTTATCCCGATAAGCATCGGTCAGGTAAGACATCCGTCTGGAATTCTTCTCCAAATCGGGTGTGCCTTCAGCCAACGACCTATGCAGTCTTCGAACGTACAGCCTGCATAGCTGAAGGTGCTGAGAGACATCGAGCCTGTCGCTGGTTAGCGGTGCTGGTGACCTCACGCGATCCAAACTGCCTCACCAGAAATCCAGATAGTCGACCGAGCGCTGCTGGTCTCTCATGTAGATGTAGAAAGAAAACAAATCTAGTGGTGCCACTGTCTTGCGGCTCAGCACTTCGAACAGCGTCGGCCAGGCTTTGCGGTCGACGCTCTCATGGCTGCCCTGCGCTGGTTGCATGGCGGCGGTGACAGGAGTGTAGAGTGGGTTGTATTAGAGTAGCGAGGGCGCGCGATGATGTCGCAAGCGAGGGAAGAATAGTGATTATCGATAGACGCGTTCGGGAGCTGTCGAGGCTAGCAGCAACCCAGGGGTGGGCGCGGTGCCCACAGTGCGACTGTCGGCTGAAGATGCAGTGGTTGAGCGAGTGGCAGGGGTGAGAAGGGATGGCGGAAGCACAAGAGGCTGTTCTACGAGCGTCGCGGCGAGGTTGCACGCTCCAATTGTCGTTGATTCAGGCGTGGAGTCGGGAAATTGCTGGTGAAGTTGAGCTTGCTTGGCGTGACGAGTGGCCCAACAAGGTGGATCGAGCTGCGGGTGGCTTGGATCGGCGCAGCGCTCACTTGCATTAACTTCAGGACCTTGCCACTCTAGCGGCTGAGGGTGTTCACGAGAGCGAGTGTTGACGATGGAATTAACGAAGTCTCGCTGTGTGGTGATGATGTTGAGGACGCGTCGACGCCAGAGAGGCCGGCAAACAAGGGCTGGAACGAAGCTGGAAAACAAGCAAATCACGTGAAATCAGGCAAGCACCCGCAGCATCATAGTGAATACATGTTGACTCATATGAATAATGGTCACTGAATCACATCTACACATAATCAAGGTCAAGCTATGCTGGCGGGTCTAGTTTCCCGATATTGCCACCGCTCAGCCTACCTCAGGCAGCAGCTTTGGCGGCGTAGTTGTATAAGAACAGACGTTTCATGTAAGAACACGATATCCCAGGCTCGGTTTCTCTTTGCAACATCGCACCAATTTACATTATCGCAGCTATGGCGTTCGCACGCAAAATGCACCAGGACCTTCTTAAAGGTGCGGCTTCCCGATGTAGCTACAGCTCAGCTACCTAAGGCGGCAGTTTCCGTAGCCCAAATACACGGCAGCTAACATCTTACAAAGAAATCGAGGCACAAAAACGTCAAGAAGATGACATCGCAGCTAAGGTCGTTCCCCACAATCTGCCCGAAGATTTCCTCGATGGTCCAGCGCCCAACATAACCAGGTCTGATATCGACTTCACAAAAGCCGGGTTACCAGAGTACGACGGTCACTGGGCGGTTGTACTTGACGGCGCTCTTACTCAAGAAGAATGCGATCAGCTTCTCGGGGCAGTCGAAACAACCAGCAGCGGCAAATGGGAAAGAGCAATGGTGAATATTGGGGGCGGTATGCAGGCTATGTATGAAGATACGAGAAAGTGCGGGCGCATCATCTTGGACGATCGAGACGTAGCAGCAAAGATCTTGGCCAGGGTGAAAGACTCTGTGCCAGAGATCCATCGTCTGCAGGATTGGGGTGTAGTTATGGGTAGTGGCCCTTTGAGGCGAAATGAGACGTGGAAGATGACCAGGCTGAACGAGCGCATGCGGTTCCTAAAATACGAGGGTGGAGAGTATTTCAAACGTACGTAAGACAGATGTATTTGGATTTGTGGTTGCTAACTCTACCAGCGCATGGCGACGGCGCGTATGAGACGCCTGACCGCACAGAGCGCTCGTACTTCACTCTGCATCTGTATCTCAACAATGCTGAGAGTGACGACGGCCAGCTGTTGCTGAAAGGCGGTGCGACCACGTTCCATTCCTGGAACCTGGAGAAACGTATAGACGTTGTCCCAAAAAGCGGCCGTGTGTTACTTTTCCAGCAGCGGGATCTCCTCCACTCTGGAGAAGACGTCGAGTTTGGTCTGAAGCTGACCATGAGGTCCGACGTAATGTACACGATAGAGAAGGAGGAGACAGCGTAGGTGTAACGTGAAGAAGAGCGGGAAGGCGTTGAACGGACGGTCAAAACTTGCTCGTTGTCATTCATTAGTAGTATCCCTCGATCCTGGAATCGAAGCAGGCAAGACTTACAGAAAAACAAAAAGAATTGAACGGCCTGCCTCGCCAGAGTAATCAGAATCGAATGATACCATGCCCTCTTTCGCCGAAGCTACTCAAGGTCAAGTACGCTGCGTATTGTACTACAGTGTCACTCGTCACCCGAAGGTTCTGAGCACACAATCTTCGCACCGACTCCCATAGGGACACCAGTCCACACACTCACCGCCCCGAGGGACAGCAAGCAGTTTTCTGGGCCCTGAGTTTTCTGATGCCGAGTACAGACGTGAGTCACGCCAGGCCCTTACGGGCAGTAATGCCATTGTCCCGCGAGGAGACGGCATGGAAAGTGAAGATTACTCCGAATTTCTCATTTGCATAGTGGGACAACTGGGTGAGCAGCGTCTGTGTGTGTGCAAAGAAACGCAGCGTTGGCAAGGCAGGCCGTTGGAGAAAAAGTAGACGGCGGGGAGCTGTGGGGTTTTGTAGCTTTGCGCTAGCGCGTCAGGTTCCGAAGTTTAGCCGACAGATGGTTACGCATTCACCGCGACACTTCAACAGGGCTTCCTTTGCATTCGTCCTTCCAGATGACACTCCACACACTTAATGGCACATCTTTCTAGTTCCGATGTACTAATCACCTTGACCCTATCAGACATACCTATCGGCGCTTGGTAACTGCACCTGCGCGATGGAGAAACTCTCACTCGAGATTGTGTACGCGATCCTCAAGTACCTTGCAGTCGGTCCTTTCCAAAGACCGCGTATCTGGCCGCACGCTGGCATAATCGTTGAGTAGGATGCATATGCAGCCGAGTCTTGTCGAAGATTTGAATGAGTTCATTTATAGTAACATGTTTGCTCTCGTCCTGTCTACATCACCAGACCACCATCAACCTGCTTGCCATGGCCATTCTCGACAACATCCTCGGCGTCTCCAAACAAAGCTTTCTCCAGAATAGGGTCGTTCCTGTGAAGAGCGGTGACAAGTTCAACAACGACAAATGCTTAATCTGCTGGGATTCTTACCATGGGCATCACCTCGGCGTACGCATTCTTCCCTGCAACCATGTCTTTGGCCGCGACTGCTTACAGAAGATGGTCGAACGCCCATATGGATACGAATGTCCTCTCTGCCACGTTGCTCTGTTTCGACCTCCCATGCAAATTGCTGTAGGACAGTTCTCCAGAAAGCTATATGAGCGCTCGGCTGTTCGTCTTCTTCTCTTCCAGCATTGGCTTTGGCACATGATGCCCGACTGGCTGGGAACTGACATGGGCCTGTTATTCAAACTGAACAACCCGTTCTTCTGGGCAACAAAGGCAGCGAGTACTTTTGTCAACTTCTGGGATCGTTGTCCGCATCTCGATCTAGAGAACGACACAGCACTGTTGACGAGGTCGCACTGGATGCCTTACATACTGTTCTGCACAGCATTCACACTCGTAGGCGACGACTTTGAGTCCTATTTCGAGATACTAGCGTTCTCGGAATCCTGCGCTACAGGTATTGAAATGGTTGCTGTTATCTGGCATCTTTTCGAACTCATCGGAGCATTCAAACGTCGCCGGGATTGGGTCTTCTTCACGCTCATAACTCTCGCCGCCTTTTCCTTGAAGCTAGGGATCATCTACTTTACCTATCCCAGCCTCTCCCATCTGGATTTCGGTCTCTCGCACCAAGGCCTCCTCAAATCTCCGCTCATATCTTTAGGGGATGTGTCGAGTAGTACCCGGACAAGCTACGCATGCAAGATGATCAACGAGCATCCTTTTGTGCAGCACAGTTTTCGTGCCTTTTTGGGCAACCCGGGTCTGAATGCAAAGATGGAACAGACTTGTAGTGTGGTAGGAGTGTCGAATGGCCAGCCTGTTTGGATTGATTGCAACATTGCCCATGGTGCTTTGTTGGAAGCTTTACCACGATAGAGAAACGACACAATCAGCTTGTTCTGGTCAGGTGTCATATTAAAGGCATGGAAGAAGATACGGACTGGGAAGAGCCTGGTTCACTTTCCATACATCTGTCTTCCCTATGTTCTCTTTTCAACCTTACTCTTTCGTTCTGATTGTACATACTTCCATCCCATCTTCTAGCCAAGCGCTTGTACTCCAGATAGTCCAGACCTCGTGCCGGAATTCGAAATATTTCCAACGATCCGCATATGGTCGTGTATTCTACAAGCCCTTCCTTCAGAACATCATGTTCTCCAGCCCAGCAAAAACCAAGTCACCATATTGTGACTTGTGAATCACTATAATGTACCATTCCAAGAAGCAGGATGCGCAAACACAAGAACCCACCATCAAATCATGACACGAGTCGCACCATCCACTCCAATCCCACAACACCATCAAGACGTTGTTGATGGCAACTTTGACACCCAACCGGACCGCAATATACCAGATCGATCCACCAACACCCCATTCCTCACAAACAAACACACAAATCGCACTCTCTCCAGACATAAGCGCTGGAAGTGGTACAGGGACAAACTTTCGAAATATAACAAGTCAAATTGACCAATGTAGGCTTGATATCTTTGGGGGCGTGGAAACGGGGGACACGAGTTATTCTACTTGCCTTACTAGAGACGAGTACTGCTCGGGGCGCGGGACTTGGGCTCCGTTGGAGTAAAGGGTCTGGATGAGTTCCGAAGGCTTTGTGCATGCTAATGCGTACTGTGGTACCCCCCAGAAGTTTTCTCAAATCGCCACACATGCAGGGGTTTTCCGCAGAGCTAAATTAGGAGTTGGCGCGTATAGCTAAATATCTTAGTCTAGTTAATTAACGTAAGGTAAGCATAACTTATTACCTAAAACAGTAAAATTACTAAAAATCTATATATTACTTAAAATTTAGTATATCTGCCTTTAGCTATAATTACTGCCTTTATCCTCTTAGGTATACTATTAATAAGCAGCCTAAATAGCTCCTTTAGTATAGTAAGCTACGCTATATTTACTTAAGCTTTAAGCTTAGTAGTAAAAAGATTAGTATTTACTCTAGTTTTTACCTTTATTTAATTCTTTATTTAGTACTATATAGTTTTAATAGAATTAATGTTAAGTAAGTATACTAGCTATTTAATAATCTTACTATTTATACTTTACTACTAGCAGTACTTATAGAACTCTAAACTGTTATAGAATAAAGTATTATCCTATATAAATAGCAGTACTAAAAGGCCTCTAAAAGTATAATTAGTAAAGTAATTAGTAAGTAGAGGGGCTATATATTCTATATAAGTTATACCTAAAATCTTACTTTATATAGGCTTCTAGAATAGCTCTAGGCCTTTTATTTTACTATAAAAGCTACTCTAAAATATCTAGCTATACTTACGTTAATAGTAAGTAATAGTATACTTAAAAAGTAACTCTTTACTTACCTTCCTTATAATATACTGTTTATAGTACCTACTACTTATAATCTAGCTCTTATTACTTTAAAGTATTTAGCTCTATTAATTAAAACTTTATAAGCAGTAAGTATAAGTAAACGTAAGGTAAGCTTCTTTATAGTACTTTTTAAAAGAAGGCTTTTAGTAGGTAACTTAGTAGTAATAACCTTACTAGTAAAGTATATATAAGATTTTATCTTTGCTAATAGGTATATAGTATTAGAATAATATTACAATGTATTTATATAAGAGGAGGTAGCTATATTAAGAGCTTAAAATAAAAAGCTTAAGCTTATTAATTATCTCTTTACTAAAATTAGATAGACAGCCTAAGTATTTTTTAGGTATAATTATAAGTAAATTAATAGTATAGTAAGCTTACGTGTAGGTAATTTTAAGCACAGTAGCAACCTACCTATAATTATAGTTTATATAATAAAAGAGTGTCTATGCTTAGAGCTGTTAATTACGTATAAGGTAGAGAGTTTTAGGATACTTATAAAGAGTTCTAAATTAATTATATAGCTATAGTAGTAGTAGTAGAGTTAATAAAGTTAATAAAGTTAATAGAGTTAATAAAATTAATAAGTTTACTAAAGTAATTATTAACGCTACTTTATAAGCAATACTAGAAAAGGCGTTAGTATTACCTAGATAATTATTAGTATATAGCTAAAATAGCCTCCTATTAGATATAAATATTAAAGTAGAGTTCTAGCTATCTTAATTTAAGAATAGCTTATAAAGGCTAGGAATATTAGGATTATAAGTATAGGTAGGAAAATACACCTAAATAGCTTATAATAAGGGACCTATACTTTGTATAGTTCTTAGCATAGTAAAGTAAAGCTTCTAAAATAGAGAATACTTAGCTTATATATTAAATACGCCTACAGTAAGGAACTATCTATATCTAGCTAGCTAGGGTGGCGTGTTGTAGCAAAGAATTAACCTAAATATGTGGCAATTTGAGAAAACTTCTGGGGGGTACCACAGTAAGCCACTCGAGCAACCGGACGCGCGGGTATGCACACCGGCTGTTAATTTTCTTGCTACAGTGAAGCACAGAACAGAATAGATATCATCAAAACTCGACTTGAGTGGACAGAATTAAATGTATTCGTCATCTCTACTCTCGCGGAGAAAAAGGGGGTATATATAAAACCTTTTACGCTGAACAACAGGCACACTATGCGCTGTAGGACATCTCCGCTGTATGACGCCTACGCCTCCCGCCCCACCTTCACATCCTCATCCTCATCCCTAACCTGCACCTCATGACTCCCCTCAAGCTCCGAGAGCACAATCCACGTCGGCAAAATACACAGCACCGTGAAGCCGAAGTTGATCCCGATACTAACAAAGTGGTTCGCGTTGCCTTCGGATTGCATCCTGTAAATCGTTAGCAAGCCACAACACCAGCCATCAAAGCGCCCAGAAAAAAAGAAGAACAAGAAGAAGAACAGGGAAAGAAAAACTCACGCCCAAGCCACCGTCTGCCCCAGGGCCTCCACCCCCCTCAGAATCCCCGTCAAATAACTCAAATGACTCAAATCCGTCGCATACTGCCCAACCAGCCAATACAGAAACTGCTGAAACGCCTGCCCGCCAAACTGCCAGAAGAAAACCAACGCATAGCTCTTCCCGAACCCGGCTGTAAACCAATCAAACACCGGCGCCTCCCCCCGGGCATAGAACTCCTTCTGCAGCACGCTCGCCCAGATCCACGTCCCTATCAAGATAGTGATGATGCAGCAAAATGCCACCCGACCCCGCGTCTGGATGTGCATGCTCTGCCGGTCCAGTAGTGCGGCGATCAGGAAGGAGCTAAAGATGCCGGCGAAGTTAGTGAGGAAGGAGCTGAAAGCGCGGGCGCGCACGGTGAAGTAGGTCGTGAGCCAGGTGCTGGTGAAGCCGTTGTAGAAGTAGCTTATGAAGAAAGCGGGGAGGAGGAGAAGGATGCGTCGGGAGAGGAAGAGGGATGCTACGGCGCGGAATTCCGCACCCCAGGTAGCGGCTTGGTGGGTGGTGATGCGGGTTCCGTCTTTGCGCCAGACTTTGCGCGCGGGGGAGAGAAGGAGCGCGATGGGAAGGCCCAGGCACATGATTACGATGAAGACTATGTATGTGGAGGGGGAGACGCTGCCGGTTGTGCGGCGGTTTGCGTTGAGGCCGAGGTTTATTGCGCCGCCGACGATGGGGCCGGATGCTTTTGCTGTCTGCCAGACGGCGAGGTAGAAAGCGCGGTCGCCAGGGGAGGGGTACCCGATGATGATGGCTGCTTCTGCGGCCCAGAAGAAGCCGGCTGAGATGCCGCACAGCGCGCTGCCGAAGAGCATGAACCACGTGTTGGCGCTGATGTTGTTGGTGTACAGGCCCGCGCCGTACAGCGGGTAGCCGATGGCGCCGATGGCCAGCCCGTACGGCAGCCCGATGCGGTTGTTGATGGCGCCGGCGGCGACGCAGACGATGGCGAAGAGCCCGTAGACCAGCGCGTTGGCGGCGGATACGGCGTAGGGCTCTGCGGCTCCGCCGGCTCCTAGCCCGCCGAGCGCATCCCACATGCCTGGCGCGGTGAAGGAGACACCGCACGCAACGAGGATTTGAAAGGGCACCGAGCGGAAGAAAGATTGTTTGGCGACAGGGCCGGTGGGCCCTGCGTGCGAGGAAACAGACGACATGGTCGACGACGTGTAGCAAATAAAACACAACAAGAGAGTCAAAGAATTATAGCAAATACCTACATCCTACATGGAGTACCATAGCACGCTTACCTATATATGTTTCATCAAGACGGCTTAAGATGAGTTTTTCTGTGTCGTGAATTTCTACTTCGTAATGAATACTTCCTAACAGTCGTGTTTGAAGGCAAGCGCAAGCACAGTTTTGGGTGGGGCTAGCACGACATCGGGGACTAGGATGACTCGGAGAAAACTTCATCTCAACAATGCTTGCCCCGTGGTAAGCGTTGCAACGTCTTTTCTGTGCATGTCAACTATGGCGTTTCGACCGTTGCTAGCCGAGTGTCGTTGTCCGTGATTTCTGGCATCTAGGCGAAGTCCGGGAAAAAACAGAAAAAACACATTGATGTGTACGCAATTCATGCCGGACATACTCCACGGTGGACTACGAGCAGGGAGGATTTTTCGTGCAAGAGTTTGTAATATCGCCAAATGACTGCTATCGAGCAAGTCCAGCCTCTGTGAGGAGTGAGAAAGACGCACTAAAAGGTAAGATATACATATACCCGCCCGACTCCAATAGAAGACCGAAAGCCCAGGGTATAATTCGTGGTCAAAACAAAACGCCATCGCCCTTGTCCCAAACACCCTTTTCTAGAAATTAGTAAAACCAAAAACACCTCCCGTACCTGAGCACAGTCTCTCGTTTTAGTCGCTGAGGTCGATAATCTCCATAGACGTTGGCACCGCAGGTTTTCCAGCAGTTGGCGTACCCGACGCTTCGGGTGTCTCTCGATCTTGTACACCATTCGGGTCCCGAACCTCCTTCTTTGGTTTCCATGTCCCATCCTGGTCAACAATGATGGCTCGCGTGGTCGCCAACCCCTGCTTTTCGAGCTCCTTCCTCACCTCCACAAGGAAGCCGTCCACAACGAGTTCCGGCGGACGAGCGTCAGCGTTACATATCGGACAGCGCCATTGATCAGACACAGAGGCGTCACCTTTCCGTCGGCGTGTCTGCAGAAAGGTCTCAAGGTCGAAGCAGTCAATATGCGAGCAAGCTTTGCTGCGAACGGGAATATCGCAAAACCTCGATGCAGAAAAAGGGTCGAAAAGGTTGATTGTCAAATTGCTCTCTACGATGGTGAAATCGTCATCGTCATTGTCAATACTCGCACCAGAAAGCCTCTTCCGGATGTCCTTCTTCGTGTCTTCTGCTGGTATGACATTGTCGAGGCTGTGTTGTTTGATAGACTCGTGGGTCATGACTCCAAGAACTTCAATGGCTACAAGATACTGAAGGTAGGATGTGTCGTTTGACATGGCCGTGACCGTAGTCTCCAGGACATTCTCCCCCTCGCGAAGAAGCCTTGTAATGTCGATCGGTAGATCCTTTCCGTGGTGTACCTTTTTGCGTTGTTCCAGATGTGTTTCATTGAATGTGAAGTAAGAGTGCGGTATCCAGCACGTGTCTGTGGTTGTCCAGGAGTGCATGTCGGGATTGTTCTCAGACGGCCATTTAACGCACCGTAGACGGATGGTCTTCGCATTCGCAACTTCCTCTACAGCTCTTGTTTCGGGTGCACCAAGCGTGCTGGCAACGCTCCTAGGTATACATTGTAGCTCTGATTGTGCCAAGTGGAAGGTCCATCGCTCAATTGCCCGCCCTGCATCAGAAAGGCGTGCTGGACGTATTGCAAAGGCGTGCACATAGTGGTATAGAGGTGATTCGAGATTTTGAGCTTGGAGGATAGGACTTCTGAGGTAGGCTTGATGCAGGCTGAAGCGTGCAGGATATGGCTGACGCTGTTGTGGCAGTATCTGTCCAGGATGCGCAAGTAAAGGTAATGGAGTCCGTCGCTGCCGTTGATGTGTTTGTGCTCGAGATGGCGGTTGGTGAGGGTAACCTTGTCCTCGTATTTGCTGAATCAGAACTTGTCCCGTGTGAGGGTTGACCGAGCTGATGTGTGTGCGCATCTCACCTGAATGAGGAGCGTGTGGAGCGTTATTGACTGATACTCTCTGTTGGTGCTGTTGGTGTTGCTGTTGGAGCTGCTGCTGAGGGTATGCCTGTAAGTGTGAATGTCGGCGCTCTTGGGGATTGGTAAGCGAACTCCCTTGAGCTTCCAATGCAAGTCCAAATGTTCCCGCTAGTTGCTTGAATTGTTTGTCCCATCGACGCAACTCGGTCCCTTGGTCACGTGGAGGGGGTTCGTTACCTAGTGAGAGATTGCGCATGAGGAGAGCTTCTCGCTGGAGGTATTGTGCCTGGTCCTGAACGAATCTATCAACTGCTTGGTCCTCAAATTGTTTCTGCATTTGCTGTTGTGGCGGAACAGCCTGCCAGAGGCGCCGAAGAAAGGCAGTGAAGAGAAGCCGCTGAAATGTGGTCGATACAATCCCAAGTTCCACGAGTTCTCGCGTATTGGGTGGACACTTTCGTCTCTCACAAGTAATACGGAGTTGGTCGTAATTCGCCGAATACCCGACAAAACGCATAAACGATTGAGCCTGCCGCTCGAACATATGAGGCCAGACGGTGCTAATCTGGTCCATAGGAAATGGATAGTTGGAGAAGAAATGGAGAACGGCAGGTGACAGATGATCATTTACATCCAGTACATTGCGCATTGACTGGAGTGCCAGAGGCAGATTTGGCTGACAACGCAGAATTTCAGGTAGAGCAGTGGGCATATAAGTGAATAGACAGTAATACTGGTGCATAGTCAGATATGCCCAATCCTGCTTGCACGTCGCATCTCTCAGCACCTCCATCCGTTTCAGATCCCGCGGATATTTTGGCATGGCAGTGAAGGAGGCTCGGAATTTGTCGAAGACAGTCAAGCACTGATGGACAGTATACCAGTTCGATCCAGAAGCTGACGACTGTTGCGCTTCGGACACAGCTTGATGAGCCATGATTTGAGCGGGCTCTGCAGGCCTGGAGAACGGTTGATGGTTAGCACCTCGTGACGGAGGATGTAGGGGGCTGAATTGGTCCTGAGCTCGGGGAGTTGTCTCGGGGATTTGAGAACGCAACACGTATGCGTCCTGCACGGGCTGCGGCGACGGTATTTGACTGTTCGGTTGATTCCCGAGAAACGGGCCACGGCTGTGAAATTGACCTGACGGGCCACCGTGTTGGGTATACGGGCCTGAAGGTCGACGCGTAACGCCATCGACGCGCTTTCGCTTTTCTGCTGGCTGGCCATGGCCTGCTGCAGCCCTCTTCAGACGGCCAACCGAATCTATAACCCTCGTCTCCACAGACATCTCTTGCGCATTGTTTGCACGTGCAGACCCCATGTCGAAGTAATCTACACGCGAGGACACTGCGTTGCCGTCTCCATACGTCGCTGGTGTTGACGCATGGTTTGTTGACTCCTCGCTTGGGGTCGGCGATGGGAAGACGGTAATGGACGATGGGGTTGGATTGTCTTGGCGGGTCACGATGTTCGCTAGATGGGGCGACGTTGGACTTGACGCTGGCTGTCTCTCGGCCTGAGGCTCCAGTGATGTGGCGCGCTCGGTCGTTCGGCGGTGGTTGCTGGGTACCAGGGGTCGGGGCTTCGGCGGCCTGCCTCGCTTCCTGACAACAGGCAGAGGAGGGGCTGCTGTTAGTGTCGGCGGCGAGGGGGCTGACATTGTGTTTGCGGGCAAGCTGGGCGTCATCCATGACTTTTGCTTGTGGCCCAGGTTCCCAAGCGCGTAGTGGAGTGTGGATGCTGTAGCCGCCTCAGCCGCGTGCAGATCGTTTGGCAGCGCGTGCCCTCCCGCCTTCATCGCACGCCGTCAAGACCAGACGAAAACAGATGGCTAGGCAGAGAGCTTGTTTCCCGGTGGACGGTTGAGGTGCCTGTCCTGAGTCGTGGTGGATGCGGGGTGTTCATGCTGTCGCGCGAGCGTCTGCACTGAAGACTGGACCCTGTCTCAGCCTGGTTCTGCGACGGGCGACGCAGGGGAAGCACGGTGAAGGGCAGCAGGCACGGTGGAGAGGGAAGGCGCGCTGGCGCTTCTGTTGTTGATCGCCATGGGGGAAACGACATGTCGTTGCTGCATGTCTACGCGCTAGGCCGGGCAGCCACAGGCACGAGCAGACGACACAACAAGCGGAAGAAACGGATGCAGAACCGCGGCGAGGGCTTGCATCATAGCGAGTTGTTCGCTTCGTGTAGTCCATATCCAGCGTCATACATGGCAATCTGTACATGTCCCCTGCAGCTCTGTATATAGTACGCGCGTGCTACAATAAGCAATATCGAAAGGCAGGATAAGGTTAGTGGCGGCTCCTCAACTCCATCCCACCTCTACACCCAGATAGCCACGATACACCTGCCACGCCCACTCCCGCATCCCTTCCCGCTCCCCCTCGCTACCAGGAACCACACTTGCCCGCCCCGTCACCAGCACACTCTGTAACAGCGGTGCGCCTCGAGCGTGTTGTTGGAACCACAGTGCTAGTCGTCACGGCTGCTGTCCATTGGGCCGCCGTACCCTGAGCCTCGTACGGTAGCGCGAACCGGCTGCGACATGACCATGAACCGGATCTGCTGAGTGTTTCTTCGCGTGTTTGTCGGCTTGTCGAGTACTGCAGACAATACCCAGCCTGCATTCTTTGTCCCCCCTTTGAACGGCACCATGATGTCGTCACGCTCGCACACGGAGCTCTGCCGGCCTGGCGACCTGCTCGTGGTCGTGCGTATGTCTACCTCTCGTAATCCTGATTGATACTGCCTGGCCTCCCCGCTGACCTAATGCTGTAGACGAGTTTGTGGCGCGCAGTCCCGACGAGCTCAGCCTGAAGCGCGGCGATCGCGTTGAGCTGGTCGAGCGCGACGATGATTTCGGCGACGGCTGGTTCCTGGGCAAGAACACGGAGACGGGCGACAATGGCCTGTTCCCCGAAGGTATGCTTCCAAGCCATGGGTTTGCTGCTGTCGTGGTGCCCCCTCTGACGTGCCTGCAGTCTACACGCGACCCGCGCCCACGCCCACTGCTGTTCCCACCATGCAGCAGCGCCCACCGCAACCGGAGCAGCCCTCCATCCCAATCGCACCAGCCACCGCCACCTCCGGGCCTCCGACGCCAAACACGGAGCCGCTGCACATCTCTAGCCCAATGTTAGGCGCGGAACCCACGCGCAGGGTCTCGCTCAACACTGCACCACGAAGTATCAGCATGACGCTGAGCGGAGAGCTGCCGCGCGAGGACGAGACCGTCGGGAGTCCAGTCATGCACGAGACGCTCAGTGTCATCGACGAGCACATCACAGGCATGAATACACCCCGCCTCGGCACGACAGCCAAAGACCAGCGAGCGAATGACTCGGGGAGCGAATACAGCAGCCAGCACCGCCTGTCGTACGTCCACGGGCAGGAGACGGACGAGGAAGAGCAGAACCTCCACACCGAAGACGAGGTCAAGACATGGTCGCCTGTGCGTGTGGCTGAGTATCTGGAAGACGTGGGCGTGGAAAAGCGGCACTGCGACGTCTTCAGGGACCAGGAGATTGACGGCGAGGCGCTGCTAGGCGTGGATCGCAATTTCATTTTTATGAAGGAGTTCGACCTGGGCCCCATGGGGCCGCGTCTGCGAACATGGATGAAGGTGAACGCGTTGCAGCTGGAAGTCAAGACCGCCAAGGAAGCCATTCCTGACATCGATAGCCATGACAGTTTGGCAGTCGAGCCCGCGCGAAACCGAGCATCGTCCACGGGCTCGGTCTTCACCCGCATGCCGACGCACAGAGATAACAATGGCTCACGAGGCACCATCCGCCACCCGCCGCATCGCTCCAACACTTCCGCAGGACAATCCATCTCCTCGACCATCGAACCGACATCGCCATTAGTCAAAGCCGCTCCCGCTTCTCCCTCGTTTGGTCACGCTAGACGGCCGTCTGCTGCATCAGTTCGCAGCCTGAACCACAACAGACGGCACTCATCCACCGAGTTGATCCAGACTGCGCCATATTCTGGCACGCTACCTGTGAAGCCCCAATTGCCTGCAATTCCAGCCTCGACACACAAGAAGGCACCCTCGTTCGATCGCAACTGGACTATGGGCTCGCCCCAAAAACCTCTTTTGGATCAGAGAAGACCTTCATCGTCACACCACGCACCGGTGATGGGCCCCGACATGGCTGATCTCGAAACGCCTGAGGGTGATCTTGACAGAGGCTATTTTTCGGGCGGAGAAGTCGAGAACAGGAAAACCAGAAACCTGCTCCGTAAGAAGGACAGCCCAAATCATTCCCGTAATGCCAGTTTCGGTACCGACGCAGGGCGCCGCACTTCTTACAATCGACGACATAGCCGGATTGGTAGCACGGATTCAATGTCTGGACCCGTTTCTCCCGCTGCAAAGCAATATTACGGCGCCAACCATAAGACCGATCGCAGTTCAAGCACTTTCGAGTTCGTGCGTCCGCTGAAGCCCGCAAGCGAATTGAATCCTACCGTTACGAAGCTTACATACGATGCCCACAGCATTGATGCTATTGCTAACTCGCCCCATCTTCAGGGAAGCGAAACGTCCTCAACGGGACGTGCTTCACCTTCACCAGCAGCTCAATCGCATTCTTACTCATTCTTTGGAAAGCGAGCACGGGCAGCGACTGGCCTCCGCGCGATATCAGACGCCATCACGGGCGGCGAACGAGCAAACGCAAGTGCTGCGGATGTAGTCACGCCGGCCAAAAAGGACTCGCCAATACAGTCGTTGACGCGAACGGGCTCGAGCACACCGTCGGGTACATCAGTGTCGAAGAGTTTCGACCTCGACAAGCCCGATGCCACTAGACGTCTTACCGGTGGCTCCACCTCGACAAAAGACAAAGAGCGGAAGAAGACTACGAAACACGGCACCAGTGCATACACCAAAGGCCGCCAGCAAATCACACCCCACGAAGCCATGGAAACCTGCGATTACAGCGGTTGGATGAAGAAGAAGTCGTCCAGTCTCATGACTACATGGAAATCGCGCCTGTTCGTCCTCCGCGGCCGTCGTCTTTCCTACTACTACAGCGAGGACGACACCGAAGAAAAGGGTCTCATCGACATCTCCTCGCACCGCGTCCTCCCAGCCAACAACGAGAGAATGACCGGTCTCCACGTAGCACTCACACGCGCCGCATCCTCCCCCTCATCGCCCCACAACGCCACCATCCAAACCACCGCCTCCGCCGACTCAGCCACCGGCATCGCAGACGACATGGAAGGCATGTTCATCTTCAAGCTCGTGCCCCCACGAGCAGGTCTGCAGCGCGGCGTCCAATTCACAAAACCCATCGTGCACTACTTCGCCGTCGACAGCCTGGCCGTCGGCCGCCTCTGGATGGCAGCCCTCATGAAGGCGACCATCGACCGCGACGAGAGCGCCGCTCACACAACTACCTACCAGCAGAAAACTATCTCCCTCGAAAAGGCGCGCGCTATGCGCCAACGGCCGCCAAATCTCATGGACGACGACGATTCCGGCGCCGGGTCCGAGAGGAAGAGCGAATATGAGAAGGAGAGCGTGCAGGGGAGTACCATCCATGAGGAAGATGAGAAGCAGGGGTTGGCTATTGCGGGCCTGGGGAACGAGCAGGATCTGGATAATGGGGTTGCGCATGCGGTTTAGCTGGGGGCTTTTTTTTGTTTCACGACGTCGTGTTGTGTTGGGTTTGGGTTGCGTTGCATGCTGAGACGGTTTGTTGTGTTTTTTAAGCGGTATATCCTCCTCCCCTCTTACTTTGGTTTTTTGTCTAGCTTTTTTTCTGGGGTTGTTAGGGGTGTGGAAGTCGATTGCATTGGATTGCAGTGGATTGACTTGGATTGACTTGGATTGACTTGGATTGACTTGGATTGACTTGGATTGACTTGGATTGACTTGGATTGACTTGACTTGATAGGGAGGTGCGTTTTGTGTCGGGTAAAGGTTGCGTAGATACACACACATACACATTGGAGATTCAATTGCAAACGTCCATCACCAGCGATCTAACCCCCTACGTAACTACCCACTTCGAACAACACTCCCTGTTAACCGTTGTGTCCAAATCCATGGCGGCTGCATTCCGACGGCTAAGCTACTCGATCTGTGGGGCTACATAGCCATTTGCTAGATCTTGATCGCAATCGGTGAAGTACATATCAAATCTCTACGGACCGGCATCGGTGGAACGTACACCCAGATAGCTAAGCGCTATCAGCGGTTTTGGTACAGACTGATAATGGCCGATCTCCCGAGCAAGAAGGTATGTTTCTAAGTTCATAAACTTCTCTCAGGTCCGACGCGCGATTGTCTTTGCCATGTGAAGTGCGCGTAGGTCCTAGTTTGAGAGTAGTCGAGATGTATGACGTCAACGTGTCGTGCAAACGCGAAATCACGTGGGCAATCCCGACGTCCTTCGATTCTCGCTGGCTCGATTTCCACCAGTTCGATAGAAACGCGTTTTTTCTTGAGATTATCTGGCTACTGAAGATTCCACTTCCAAGCAATATGCCACGAACTCGCTCAATGAAGCCTGAACAGTCCGTTCGTAGCGACAGCGAGCTCTCGGACCCCAATGATATCACAACACCACCATCCGCAGCCTTCAAAACCCAATTATCCAAATACCAATACAATGACGCCAAACCCACTACAAAACACAGCCCACCAGTTTCCGCACCCCCAAAACGCCCAGCAAAACGCGCGCGAACAACCATAACACTCGCCCCTGAAGACACCCCTGCAGCATCCCCCCGACCCACAAAGAAGCGCAAACCCAGCAAATACGCCGAGCCCGCAAAATACGCACACCTCTCCCCACTTATCGACATCCTGGAGCCAAACTTGATATGCGTCTTCGTGGGGACAAACCCAGGCGTCCAGACGGCCGTCGCAGGCCACGCCTACGCGCACCCGTCGAACCACTTCTGGAAGCTGCTCCACGCCTCAGGACTCACAGATCGGCGGCTCAAGCCCGAGGAAGACAGGAGCTTGCCCGCGCGCTACTGCATGGGCAATACGAATATTGTCGAGCGCCCGTCAAAGGACGCCGCGGAGCTGAGCAGGCAGGAAACTGCTGCCGGCACCGCTGCGCTTGAGGATAAGTTCCGCAGATATAGGCCTGAGGCGGTGTGTATAGTGGGTAAGGGTATTTGGGAGGCTATCTGGCGGTATCGGTTTGGGAAGAATCCGAGTAAAGCGGAGTTTGCGTATGGGTGGCAGGATGAAAAGCATAATATGGGGAAGAGCGAGGTGGGGGATGAGGAAGTTGGTGGGAATGGGGAGGTGTGGATGGGCGCGAGGGTGTTTGTTACGACGAGTACGAGTGGATTGGCGGCGAGCTTGAAACCAGCGGAGAAAGAGGCGATTTGGAAGCCGTTTGGCGAGTGGGTGCAGAAGAGGAGGCTTGAGCGTGGGTTTGTTGCGGCGGAGGTGAATGTATGAGTTTGGGTTTCTGTGATCGCAGTAATCATAGCATCGAGAGTTGTGGTGGTGCTGTGGGATTTGATTGCATGTATTTTGAAATGTGGTCATTGAATCAAATCAATTACGTGGAGGTAAACATGCGTGAATGAAAGTATACATAAAAATTTACTACTCGTCTTGAAGGCCCAGGTGGTTTTATTTAGTCCAGGATCATTTCTATTCAACCCAACATCTAAAAAAGCTTAGTCGTCTTGACAGAAAAAGCGAAGCGTGAAAGCATACCCCTAGCTTGCATGCGCGTATACGACTCCACCACACTCCAGATTTGATACAATCCACGCCCCGAATACCGTAAAACAAGGTCGATTCCTAAGACCATTGCAGCAGTTGACAGTTCAGTTCAACAAAAGCAAATGAGCAATAGCCCCAGAACTCTAGGGACAACACGTGTTGTGAACGTTATTCTAAATCTTCATACCCAATCCACACCTGACTGCATATTGCGAGAAGGCATCTGCGTCATAGCTCTCCGATATCTGTCTACAACGCCTCAACAATCAGTCTACATCCCACCAATGCACGACCCAATTACTCACCTTCAGCTCGCAACCCGTATGCCAATGACACGCATTCATCTCCTGATCTTTCCCAGGAGCGATACCACCACGCGAGGTGGCATACATATACCGGTGGCAATAAAACATATTCGCCATCATGGCCCGCGGGATGTGGTTTCGGTATGAACTAATAGAATGCATGTCGACACAGAATGCCAGAACTGAAGTGAGAAGTTCTACGAGCTTAGACTCGCGCGGAAGATGATCGTGCAGGTGTTGCAGCAGATCGGCTGGAAGTCGTCTTTCTGTGCAGATCTTCTGGCAGACGAGTGATAGGACCGTGTCGCGTATGACGGGTATGTCGTATGTGTGTGCAAAGACTGCTAAGCCGAACAGCTGCGAGAATGAAATAGTCACGTTGTCTACGCACAGTTCTTGGGCGTATTTTTGTACGTGGTCTTGAGTTTGATGGCTTAGGTATAGCTTGATTGGCATCGAATGTTGGTGGTTTGCGACACAGTATTGGACATCGTAGTTGATGTTTATAGAGTCGATCACCCGGCCAGTGTATATGAAGCTATAGAATAACTTGAAGATCTCGGGGTCGTCTTGATCGAGTCGTACGACGCCACTCTGTGCTTCATTTCTGATTGACTTGTCGAAGATGCGAGCGAAAAATCCGGAGTGATAAGATATGAGGCCCTTGTGAACGTGGGATATTCTCTGCACGTCTCTACCTACCGAAACCTGAACCATGGTGTCGTACAATGCGCTAGGTAGTGTCAATGAGTGCTCGAAAGACGGGAGTCTCGATTGACTGACACTTGCGGTGGTGGGAGCATACTGAGGTAGCATGTATGCGAATTCGCACGTGTCACGATTGCATTGCGCTCGTCACAGTCTGTAGGCACATCATTACTTGACCCGGTGATCATGATTCTCGACAATGACATGCTCGATGCTGAAGTACAAAAGTAGATGAAGGTAAGATATTAACACAACGCCCGGGAACAGCGGGCTGATAAGGATCTTGGGGTGAAACATGGTTCCCCAAGAGAGCCCAGATGTCTTGACATAAGTGCTGGTGTGAGACAGCAAACAACGTTTGACTTCAGCGCGGATGACTACATCAGTGTTTCGTAGGGCTTGTTGTCGGCTAGGACTTGACCTATTCAAAACTTGGTTGTTTGCAGAAAGAGGCGGGAGCTTGTCCTGTCTAGAAATAAAACATCGCAGCAACACGAATCTGTGAAGATGGTAATATTGACCAGCTTACCGAATCATGTGGAGATGGCGACTACTTCGTGGTTAACTTCGAAATCTTTCTCTGGTTCATGACCTCGTGGTAGGCCTTTTCATAGTTGTCCGCCATGTACGAGAAGGACGCGTAAGGTTCACGTCGTGAGTTTGTGTCCGAAGCTGATCAAGAAATAATTTAGCGTATTCTTTTCTCCAGTCCAAAGAAATAGTAAGCAGTACTCGAAGGAACCTCTTCAGGAGTAGATTTGGGACAATTTCGGAAGACGAAGACATTCAACATTATCGTATTAGGTTAAGTCGTAACATATAGCATAATTTACTCTTCAGTTGGGTAAACCACAATCCGGTCGATATCCGCGCCCTTGTAATCCTTTCCGTTGTACAGGCCACCAATCGAGATTGTATTATTACTTCCCTTCTCAAAGGTCAACTGCAATGGCGTGCTCAGAATTATGCTCTTGTGTGTATCCCTCTGGTAAAGACTTTCAACCTGGTCTGTCTTGCCGTTGACGATAACGCTTGCAATACGGCGCAATGACCAAGTACCGTTGATGCGGTCGGGCGAACCGCCGGGCTGGTCGCCAAAGCCCATGTCGTCTGTGTTCTGGTAGTAGAAGGAAACCCATTGAGGTTTGCCTGAACCTTCAATGCCGGAGAAGGTGACCTTGCTGTCGTTGCCGTAGATGCCAGTAACGATCACCCCTTCGCTAGCGAAAGATGCTTCTTGCTTGAAAGCATTGCCAGAAGTCGTTGCGTCCTTTCCGTAGTAAGCTGTACCGTCGATGCCGGTGACTTCACCAGTCTTGACGTCTAGGTCATACACGTCATGCCACTTGAGCTCGAGCGACTTCTTGTCCTCGTCAATCTCGACGGGCAGCCAGATGTATCGGCTCTCCCAGAGGGAGATGGAGTCCCATTGATCGCCGAGGTAGAGAAAGGTTTCCTTCTTTGTGCCGTTGATACGGAGCGAGAACCCAGATTGTGAGTTGAAAGTGCGTGTGTTCAAAGGCGCAACCATGGCTGGCTGGGACCAAGGTCCACTCAGCGAATCGGCGCGAAATACAACAACGTCTAGCAAAGATGAGCTTTGTCATGTAATGTGAGACGAAGATCGAGACTTACTATTCGGTCGGTAGCCAGTCTTGTGGCTCATCAAAGCGAAGTAGCTCTTGTCCGTCTGGATGATGGTCGGTGCCTCGAGGTCATATTTGTCCCATCGGTGAACGACCTCATCAAGAGCAGTAATGTTGTCATTGTAGGAAGTCAGGTATACGTCTCGGCCCTCTTTGCGATCACCGTTAGAGTACAGAGCATAAGCCTTGCCATCCTTGCGATCGTTGAAGAGGCCGTAGTCCTGTGACCAGTTTCCAAGGGGAGCTGTCGCATCAACGAAGCTGTATGGCCCAGTGATATTGTCTGCTTGCGCAAAGCCTTGGAGGAGCCAGCCGTAGGTGGAGTTGTCGGCGTGCCAGAACATCTATCCCATGTTAGCCTAGTGTATCGTTGGTTGGAATGGTACATACGTGGTACTTCTCTGTTTCCTTGCTGTACGTCACTTTCGGCCTCTGGATGATGTGTTCCGTAGAGATATAAGGATGTCCCTCAATTGGCTTCAAAGCCATACCATGATGCTCCCAAGTCGCGAGGTCATCGGAGCTGTATACAGAAACACCACCACCCTCTTCTTGACCCTGGACCTTGTACTCTCCAAACCAGAAGAACTTGCCCGTATCTTGATCGAGCGTCACACCACCCGCGTGTGCATTCACCAAATTGCCCTCAGTGTCCCTCCATCGTGCTCCAGGAACGATCCATTTGGCGGAGACGGTAGCTGCAGCCAACAAAAGCCGGCATGATATCTTCTTGAATGCACCCATGATAAAACTGTGGAAACGAGTTGGAGCAGCAAAAACAAAAAGGTTGCCCGATTGCTACTATATTTTATATTGTATGCAAGCCATGGCCAAGACTACCCCGGAACCTGTTCGCCCGAATTGCCAGGTACACAACCTTGAGATCGCAATGCGGGGCCCCACACCGCTTGCTATGGACATGATCATCCCATTTCTCCAGGTTTCATGCCAAGCGCTCACCGGCGGTCTTGCCGCTTTGCGATTGTATCCGGAGAAACCGAGTGATCGAGCTCGATACTAAAGAGGAGAGGCCACGGAAGATCTCACGCGATGCGCAAGTACTACTGCAACAAGAAGTCAACCCGGATGGCAATAGTAATTTCTTGTCAGCAACATATGGCCAAGAAACGACGAGCTTGGAAATCGGTTGGAGGAGTGGAAGGAGTCGTGGAGGAGGTTGGAGAATGAGGGATTGCTGACGTAAGATCATCCGCGTTGTTAATCGTCCGCCCACCGCGAACGTCTCACACACATCAAAGTTTGTATTGTCGAGGCTGTAATTGTTACTTCATCACTGTTCATCACCCGTGTTTTTGCATTTTTTTCCAGCTTTCAGTCTCTTGACATTGGCAGCCAATTGCACCGCTTAAAGGTCCTGTGAAGTCGCCAAAGCATAGTTATCTACATAACTGCCGCTTTTCTCTGCGAAACTTCTCTTTTCTCAGCTTCCCAACTAGTCACTTTCTATTGTCAAAATACTTCCTACCTAAATCTGAACTTCGCATGATTCTTCCAAGCACTTTTAGTGTTTTGGTCACAGTCCTCGAAATGGGTGTCTTTGGCGCAGTCCGAGAAAGAGATAAACTCTGACTTCTAACCACAACCCACGTCTTGTCCTTACGTTGTGAACGTGGGATTTTGGTCATCGTACAACTTGTTCATGTCTGATTTCGCCATTCTATGGCCTCGTTACTGCTCTTGTTACAGCTTGTTATAATACGTTACTCTCTTACCACCTTTATCACTACTTTTTCCACCGTTCTACCCTCCGTTACTTACAACAGTCGGCGACTCTCCTTTCCGCCCACATGTCCTGTCTCACAGAGACCTTTCATTCTTGCCACAACAGTCTCTATACAGATCTTCCAACAAAGGTCCCTGGACCATGAAAGACGTTGTTGTAGTCCCCATAGTTGTGTTGTCTCACATTCGGCTACAATGCTCTCACACTTGTATATTATGCTACTTAACTTATCACCATCGCAGCCCGCTCTACCTATTTTTCGGATCTCGTTGCACCCCTGTCGCATTTCTAAGAAACTGTTGTGTTACTTCATCACACACACATATCTAACTTTTCACACACACACGCACGCACTTCTAGTTTTCCACGGACGCAAATCCGCCTTTCTAGCCCATTATGGGATTCTTCGCAAACGTCTTCAACCTTTTCAGGAAACGGGAGACGGACAGGTCTCGTCAGCAAGACAACGATGAACCTCCTACGCTGGCTACCTCACTGGTCTCGGACACGATGTATCCGCCACTGTGGATTATTGCGAGGCTTTTGGAGAGATCGCCAGCGACAATCGCGCGCCCGGTTTCATCGGGAAGTAGTGTGATGGTTTCGACTGCTGCTCGTGTTGTGGATGGGTTGTGGGGATACGATGATGAGGACGCTGAGGATTTTGAGTTACAGAATGATAGAAAGGATGTCAGTGATGAGCTTGAGGAGGACATGAATTATCCTCCGAATGCCATCACTCAAGATGCTTCCACAGTTCCTCAAGTGCAGGAGGAGTCTGATAATTTTCCCATGAAAAAAGAAGAAGAAGAAGACGAACCACCACTCCCCAAACCAACAGCCGCGACCGCCCACCCAGAAGACTCCCAAAACTCACGAGCAGACTGGGCGCCCATCCGCGCCATCCCACAACCCCTCTTCCAGCAAGTCCTCCTCGAGCACCTCCCCGCCACCCACAACCTAACCCCCACCGACATCTCCCCATCCCCACCCCCAATGACCGAAATCCAAGGCGGTTTCAACTTCATCCGCATGCTCGACATAACAGCCGGTCCCCACGCATCCAGATACGTCATAAAGATCCCCTGCATCGGCACGCCCTCCCGCTGGCAAGACGCAGACGCATACATGCTCCGCAACGAAGTCCGCACGATGCTGTACATGCGCGAGAAGACTAAAGTTCCCGTCCCTGAGGTCCTGGGCTACAGCGATACGCTGTCCAATACGCTCGGCGCTCCGTACACGATCATGCGCGCTTCACCTGGCGTGCCATCGCACCGCATCTGGTTCGACGGCGACGGCGACGACCGCTACCGCCCGTCCGACGCCCGCGCCGAGATGCGGCGCACGTTTCTGCGGTCCCTCGCCCGCGCAATGTCGCATCTGCAGACGCTGGAGTTCGATCAAGCTGGCATGTTAGACTTTGACGATAGCCCAACGACACCAAGTATCGGCCCTGTATACTTCTGGAAAACCACCGACGAGATGGAGGGTCTCTCCCCGCAGGACTTCAACACCCCTGACGCGCTGGTAAAACTCCCCGTCAGCTCAACAAGTATCGAGTACCATATCGCGCAGCTCGATCGCGTGTGGCCGCAGGACGACGCTGATACATCGCCCCGCGGCCAGCGCGCAAACGGCATACGGTATGTTATGGAGATGATGCTATACTCCGCGCCACTTCTCGCCTCACAAAAGCACGAGAGCGACAGTAGCGGTAGAGAGACCTTCGTCCTACGTCACGACGACCTCGATTTCCAGAACATACTTTGCTGCCCCGTCACAGGCGAGGTGACCGCCATTATCGACTGGGATCGGTGTCGCGCTGTGCCGCGCTGCTATGGGTTTGCGGCTGTGCCGTGCTTCCTGACATACGACTGGCTGCCGGGCTTCTCGCCGTATACGGACTGCCATATGCCGTGGGAACTGCAGGAGTATAGGCGTATTTATGCTGATGCGATGGTGGAGGCGACGGGGGCTGAGGGTGATGGGAGGTTTACGTTCAAGTCGCCGATTTATGAAGCGTATCATGCTGCGCTGTATGGGGGGACTCGGGGAGGTAATACGCAGGAGTTGGTGTGTCGACTTCTGAGGGAGATCCCGTGTACGCGGGCACTTGCAGAGGATGAGGTGCTGGAGTGTTTGGGTGAGGGGTGGGATCAGGGGGAGTGGAAGGTGGAAGAGGAGGTTGTGCAGTTGATTGCGCCGGAGTTCTCATCCATTGTCTGAAGCCACAAAGATAACATACACATAGTATATGCCTGGAGTGCCTGAGGGTTGTTAATGTGATTCTTCTTGTCTCTTCGACTGCGTGAATTCTTCATGCTCAAGCCGTCGACAACCTGGCCTTGTTCAAATCCAGAGCATTCGATATCGACGACGAGAAACCGGCAAAAAAGAAGGGTTCATCTCCCCTCCCGGAATCGAACCAGGGACCTTTCGATTACAAGTATATGCAATTACAGTCGAACGTGATGAACCAACTACACCAAGGGGAGCTGTTGTCTTGGACAACCTTGGATGAGAGATTGGAAAATTGCAGTGTAGAAATTCTGCCATGTTTTAGTCAGTATAGAGGGCGGCAGGCCAGAAGTGCGAAATCCGTGCGCGAGCTGTTTGTGCGTGTATATGCATGCAGGTGTGTGGGCGGGGCTGGGCTGGCTGAGGCCCCGCTCGAGCGCGAACGCACTGTGGTATCCGGCAAACGTAATGTACATGGCCAAAGCATCGCCGGGGTGCCACTGAGCTGCTTAGTAACGCGGGAAGAGACGCGCGCAGAATGTTGTTGGCTGAATCCCTTGTCTTGATCTGTGTTAACTACCCAGTCAGCCACTGCGCCAATGTAACCACTGTACACTACCTTTGCCGGATATCAAAGTACATACTACATTCAGGTAGCACAATGTGTCACGAAACGGTAGGACGGCAGGAGAGAATTGATTCGCGTTGGTAAAGTAGCGATAATGTGTTGCATTTTGAGCGCCGAACGCACTGGTGCATTGATGACTATTTTCGCATGAAGGAAAAGCGGAAAACCGGACTTTATAATGCGTTGCTGCGATCCAATAATACCTCCCATTTTCAAGAGGTGATCAGCCTGCTCGTCGCCTCTTGGTGCCGTTTTGTACTGCGTTCCCGTTAGCTCTTCTTGCTTCGTCGCCGCTGACAGCCACCTCGTCGTCGTTCATCCACTCTCGACCGGCTCCGGGACTTCTGCGCCTAAACTGACCGGCTCCAACAGCAACCACTTCGTCTTCGCTGTCACTCGCCTCGATGTCCAACAACACGGGCATTCTGAATTCGACCTCGCGGATGGAGATGCCTTTGTCGGTGGTCAATGCCTTGATGGGTTCGATGGTCAAGACGTCGACCTCCTCATCTTCCTGATCGAGACGCCGCTTATGGAGCTCTTCGAGAGGCTGGATGTCGAATTCGTCTTCGCGCTCAATGTACTCGACGTTTTCTTCGACTTCGACAAAGTCGGGGGCGAGGGCGGACCAGCGTTGGGGCTGTGGGATGGACCAGAGCCAGATGCGACCCGAGTCTACACCGACAGCAGCGACAAAGGGACGTAGAGGGTGCCACTAAGATGGTCAGTAAGTAGTGCTGGGATTCGAGAAGAGGTTCATACCTCGACCACTGAAATCTCTTCCTTTGTGCCTTCGAGGATCTTGACCAGACTGCCCTGTCTACGTTCCCAGACATATATGTGGTGGTTCATCCAGGTGGAGGCTGTGACGTACTCGCCGGTTGGGCTGAAGGAAACGTGGTTCCACGAGAGTCTTTGCACGAGATCCTGAAACTTGTGCTCGACTTCAAATTGGAGAGTGTCAAAGTCTAGCTTTGGATCGCTGAAATCGGGCAGATGGAGCGTCCTCACAATCCTGTCGCTAGAATTTACTACCAGATCTCTCCCAGATGGGGTCAGACGAATGTAAACGATGATGTTGTTGGTGGCCCTGTATGAATACTGGACTTGGTGCGTCGTCGCATCGATGATGTTGAGCCAGCCCTTGTTTGTTCCTGCGATGATGTGTTCGCCCGACGGAGTGAAGAGAGTCATGGTGGTTGTCTGCTTTGCATCCTGGGCTGTCTGCTTTTCCGACGTGTTGTCGCGTTCGACCTGGGAGCGGCGTGGTGCAGAGGCGATGGTGTGCTTGACGGGTATCTCGGCGGACATGTCGACAATGACGGGCTGGTCTTCGAAGAGGGCAGCCACGAAGAGCATGCTGAGTACATGTTAGAGAGGGTGCATTGCACTGTACAGACACACACTGACTGGTTCTTCGGGTGCAGCTCTGCAATGAAGATGGCGGCTTCGAAGCGGACGGTACGCACGCGGGAGCCATCATTGAGGTCCCACAGGACGCACTTCCAGTCCTGGCCAGCACTGAGGAGGTAGCGGTCGTTGGTGGACCAGCTGAGCGACTGGACCTGGCGTGTGTGGCCGCGCAGCTTGCGGGCGACGCCGTTGGTCTCGATGTCGAAGACGACGACTATACCATCGTGCTAAGGGCCATCAGTCGCATGTTGCGTGCAGGAGGGCAGGGAAGGGCATACACGTCCCGAGGCGAGCAGGTCGCCGCGGTGGCTGAAGCGGATCGATGTCGAGTGCCCGCTGCCTGCACAGTGTCAGTCACAGTCGCAGCCATCACAGTCACCATCACAGGCATGGGTACAGTCACAGCAACAGGCACTCACGTAGGCGGCCGGTGATGACCTCGGGGCAGTCCTGGGCGAGGACAAAAGGGTCAACGAGCGACAAGTTCATGGTTGAGCACTGCGGGACGCGTGAATGGCAGCAAGGACATTTTCGCCGACGCGCTTGCTGTCCCTGCGCGCAGAGTGGAAGACGCGCGCAAATGCCCGACCAGGTTTCGAAGGTGAAGAGTCGCCGCATCGGGACTAGCGCAGGCTGTCTTGGCGACCGCCTCTTCTCTTCCGCGCCCTTTGAAGCTCGTTTCAGACGTTGAGCGCGCCTCCCTCTGCCACCACCGACCTCCCCCCATCTCCACCGGCCGCCCGTCTATCAGCGAGCGCGTCTTCCACCCCGCATCCCGTCTGCGCTCTGCCCGAGTGCTTTAATTGCGCGCGCTCGCCTCCGCCCTCGAGTCGCGACCGCTGCGAGCCCCCGACTCCCGTGCAGCCTCTGCCTGCGGGCCCTATTCTTCGACCACATCACCTAAAGCGCGCCCGGCGCATCGAGCCCATCGCCGGACGCGACGAGCACGCCACATAGCTACCGCAGCACACTTATCCAGCCGTTGAGCAGGCGCCCAGCGTGGCTACCGCTACTCTCTCACTCACTCGCCACATCCGCTAGGACAGCTTCCAGCGACTCTCTCACCCACAAAACTCTGCAGCGCCGCCACGATGCCGCCCGGTGCACCCGCAGTATCGAAATGTCCGCTCCGGACCATCAAGGAGATCCAGTTCGGGCTGCTCTCCCCCGAGGAGATCAAAGCCATGAGCGTCTGCCACATCCTATATCCCGAGACCATGGACGAGGTCAAGCAGCGTCCACGCGAGCAGGGCCTCAACGACCCGAGGCTTGGCACCATCGACCGCATGTACACGTGCCAGACGTGCAAGGAGGACATCCAGATCTGCCCCGGTCACTTTGGCCACATTGAGCTGCACACGCCCGTCTTTCACGTCGGTGAGTGCTCCCTCCATCATTTCACATGCAGCAGCGCGACTGACCATTGCAGGTTTCGTCGTCAAGATCAAGAAGATTCTCGAGACGGTGTGCCATACGTGTGGCCTGATCAAGGCTGACTACGTAAGTCTTCCAGGCGAAGACGAACACAGCAGAGCTTGGGGCGTCGTGTACTGACTGCAACCTCTAGAACCATCCAGACTGGGCTGCGGCCATCAGGAAAAAGGATGCGAAGAAGCGCTTTGACACCATCTGGCGCATGTCGCGGACGCGGACCGTGTGCGAGCAAGACTCGTCCGAGGAGGACCCTAAGAAGGCGCCTCGTATTCCCCACGGCGGTTGCGGTAGCGGACAGCCAGACACCATTCGCAAGGAAGGTCTTAAGCTGACCGGGAACTGGAAGGCCAAGAAGAAGGACGAGGACGACGGTCAGGGTGACAGGAAAGAAGTCCTCACTCCCCAGCATGCTCTCAACATTTTCAAGCTCTTGTCCGACAATACCCTCGCCTTGTTGGGTCTTAACGCCGACTACGCTCGCCCCGAGTGGATGGTTCTTACCGTTTTGCCTGTTCCCCCGCCTCCGGTGCGGCCTAGTATCTCCGTTGACGGTACCGGCCAGGGCATGCGCGGAGAAGACGATCTGACCTACAAGTTGGGTGACATCATCCGTGCAAACGCAAACGTGCAGCAGTGTATCACAGATGGCTCACCTCAGCACGTCTTGACTGAGTATGAAACACTGCTCCAATATCACGTTGCCACCTATATGGACAACGACGCCAATGGTGTACCACAGGCGATGCAGAAGTCTGGTCGTCCCTTGAAGACGATCCGTGGTCGCCTAAAGGGTAAGGAGGGCCGTCTACGTGGTAATTTGATGGGTAAGCGTGTCGACTTCTCCGCACGTACCGTCATCACCGGTGACCCCAACTTGTCTCTGGATCAGGTTGGTGTACCTCGTTCTATTGCACGAACCCTCACATACCCTGAAGTTGTCACCAAGTTCAACATCAGCAAGTTGACAGGTCTGGTACGCAACGGTCCCAATCAACATCCGGGTGCCAACTACGTCATCAAGGCCGACGGTGTTCGTCTCGACCTGAAACACAACAAGAACCTTGACGATCTGCGTCTGCAGTATGGCTGGAAGGTTGAGCGCCACATCGACGACGACGATGTTATCATCTTCAACCGTCAGCCCTCGCTGCACAAGGAGTCCATGATGGGTCATCGCGTCAAGGTCATGCCTTACTCCACATTCCGTCTGAATTTGTCTGTCACATCACCATACAACGCCGATTTCGACGGTGACGAGATGAATTTGCACGTGCCCCAGAGCGACGAAACTCGTGCTGAGATCCAGAACCTGTGCATGGTGCCTAAGCAGATTGTGTCTCCTCAAAAGAACGCACCTTTGATGGGTATTGTTCAGGATACTCTTCTGGGTGCCTACAAGATGACCCGTCGAGATAGTTTCATGCCTCTCGAGCAGGTCATGAACATCATGATGTGGGTACCAGATTGGGACGGTATCGTACCAGAGCCCGCTATCTTGAAGCCTCGACCTCTCTGGACTGGTAAGCAGATCATCAGCTTGGCCATCGCAAAGGAGGTCACCATCATCAGGTCTGAAGATGATTCAAAGCCTTCACCTTGGAACTGTCTGAAGGATCAGAGTCTGCTGATTCTGGGTGGTGAGCTCATCTACGGATCCATCACTAAGAAGATTGTCGGAGCTACGGCTGGTGGTGTCATCCACATCATTTTCAACGAGCTTGGTCCTCAGGATGCTGTTGGCTTCTTCAACGCCTGCCAGCGTATCGTCTGTCACTGGCTTTTGCACCATGGTTTCAGTTTCGGTGTCGGAGATACTATCCCCGATCCAAAGACTGCTGACAAGATTGCCGAGGAGATTGCAAAGGCGAAAGCAAAGGTCGATGTCATCACAAAGGAGGCTACTTCTGACAAGCTTGAGCCTCTGCCTGGTATGACCATTCGTGGTACCTTCGAGTCTAAGGTTCAAAAGTTCCTCAATGAGGGTCGTGAAGGCGGTGGTACTGCAGCTCAGAACAGTTTGAAAGATTTCAACAACGTTGTCCAGACCGTCATTTCTGGATCCAAGGGTTCTACTGTCAATATCTCCCAGATGGTTGCCCTTGTCGGACAACAAGCTGTGGAAGGTCAGCGTATTCCTTATGGTTTCAAATACCGCACCCTGCCGCATTTCACCAAGGACGATTATTCGCCAGAATCACGAGGTTTCGTCGAGAACTCCTATCTGCGTGGTCTTACACCGTCCGAGTTCTTCTTTCACGCCATGGCTGGTCGTGAGGGTCTTATCGACACAGCTGTCAAGACTGCTGAGACGGGATACATTCAGCGTCGTTTGGTCAAGGCACTTGAAGACGTCATGGTCAAGTACGATGGCACTGTTCGAAACTCGATGGGCGACATTGTCGAGTTCATCTACGGCGAGGACGGCTTGGACGGAGCTCATATTGAGAAGCAGAAGATTGACAGCATCACATCTTCTGAGGCCAAGTTTGAGAAGGTGTACAAGCTGGACGTCCTGACTACGGACAAGCCTCCCATCCCTTCCAGCCAGTTGGTAGTCGCTTCGGAGATCCAGGGTGATGTGAATGTGCAGCAATACCTCGATGAAGAATTCGAGGAAATTAAGAGGGACCGTGAGTACTTGCGCACAGTCATTGGCCAGGATGACAGCCAGCAATTCCAGCTGCCGCTCAACATTCAACGTATGATTGAATCTGCGCAAGCGAGGTTCAAGATCAAGGCCGACAATGTCAGCAATCTCGAACCTATCGAGGTGATTACACAAGTTCGAGCGCTTTTGGATCGGTTGGTCGTCATCCGTGGAGACGACGAGTTGTCCAAAGAGGCCCAGGCTAGTGCCACTTACCTGTTCAAGTGTCAGTTGCGCTCTCGTCTTGCCTTCAAGCGTCTTGTTGTCGAATCGCATTTGAACAAGAAGGCCCTGGCCTACATTTTGGGAGAACTGGAGGATCGCTTCCTCAAGGCAGCTGTGGCACCTGGTGAGATGGTTGGTGTCCTTGCCGCTCAGTCGATTGGTGAGCCGGCTACTCAGATGACACTGAACACCTTCCATTTCGCCGGTGTGTCGTCCAAGAACGTTACACTTGGTGTGCCCCGTCTGAAGGAGATTCTGAACATCGCTGCGAACATCAAGACCCCATCTATGCTTGTCCGACAACAGGACAACAACGGTACACAGCAGGACGCCAAGATTCTGCGAAGTCGTATTGAACTGACTACTCTGCGTTCTCTTACGCACTCCGTCGAGCTCTTCTACGATCCAGAGATCCAGTCCACGTCCATTGAAGCAGATGAGGATATGGTGGAATCCTACTTTATCATCCCAGAGGAAGACGAAGTCATCGAATCGCAATCCAAGTGGCTACTCCGTATCATTCTTGATCGTAAGAAGTTGCTCGACAAGAGTATCTCCATTGGTGAGGTTGCGGGCAGGATCAAGGAGGAGTTCAAGCCCAATCTTGCGGTCATCTTCAGCGACGAGAATGCCGACGAGCAGATCATGCGTGTCCGCTTCATCTGGGATGCCAATCTGCAGAAAGAGGATGAGGATAACGAGGAGCGAGATGAGCAATGGATGCGCAAGCTCGAGAAGCATTTGCTCGACGACGTCATCCTTCGTGGTGTCCGAGGTGTTGAGCGTGCTTTCATTCGAGAAGACAACATTGTTGTGGAGAACGACGATCGATCTCTTGTCCTTTCGAGGAACGACCCTCGCTGCAAGGAGTGGGTGCTCGACACCACAGGTACTGCTCTGGCAGACGTCCTCGCCATTGAGGGTGTTGACGCTACCAAGACCTACTCCAACTCTTTCATCGAAATTCTCGGGGTACTCGGCATTGAAGCTGCTCGCGCTGGTCTTCTCAAGGAGTTGGGTATGGTCTTGTCCTTTGACGGTTCCTACGTCAATCACCGTCACATGGCGTTGCTCGTCGACATCATGACGCAGCGTGGTATGCTCATGGCTATCACCCGTCACGGTATCAATAGGAACGACACTGGAGCACTCATGAGGTGTTCGTTCGAGGAGACTGTTGAGATTCTTCTTGAAGCTGCCGGTTTTGGTGAGCTTGACGATTGCCGCGGTGTCTCTGAGAACATTATGCTTGGTCAGCTCGCTCCAATGGGTACTGGAGAGTTTGATGTTGTCATGGACAGTGCCATGCTTCTCACTATGGTGGAAGACAACTCCAAGATGATGGGTGGCGCCGCTGCTGGTAACTACATGGATACTGGTGCGGCTACGCCTTACGACCTGGGCTCTCCCACTTATGAAGGCAACATGGGTATGGCTGGATTCGATGCCTCCTTCTCTCCTCTTGCTGCTGCTGGTACTGGCGACGATGGCGGCTTGACACAATACGGTGGCGGCTATGGCGATGGTGCCTTTAGCCCGTACGCTGGCGCCCGAAGCCCTGGCTACGCTCCGATGTCTCCTGGATTCTCAGGCACCAGCCCTGTCTCACCAGGATATTCTCCCACTTCGCCTGGATACTCGCCGACCTCACCAGGAGGCATCAGCAGCCCACGCTTTGGTGGTACGTCGCCTGGATATGCAGCTACCAGCCCACAGTACTCGCCTACATCACCGAGCTATTCACCGACGTCGCCTGGATACCACTCTCCCACGTCTCCATCATACTCTCCTACCTCACCCAGCTACTCGCCGACTTCCCCGTCATACTCTCCGACGTCGCCGAGTTACAGTCCTACTTCGCCCGCACACCGTGGAGCAACGTCACCTCATTACAGCCCGACGTCCCCAGCCTACAGCCCAACCTCGCCTCAGTACAGCCCCACAAGTCCGCAGTTTGGTGCGAACAGCGATAGGCGCTCGCCCGCTTCGCCAACATCCCCGGCTTACAGCCCGACGAGCCCGGTGTACTCTCCTACCAGCCCAGCTGGTAACCCGTCGTACTCTCCGACGTCACCCAAATACTCGCCTACATCTCCGGGCCCAGCTTCGGCGCCATACTCGGCCGCGAGCCCTAAGTGGAGTCCGGGTTACTCGCCTTCGTAAGTCCCCGCTGGTCATAGTTGTAGATTTCCCTTCGTATGGATCAGTCTCTAACAGGATGACAGATCTCCCAAGCAGTAAAGAACCACCGAAACACGTCAAGTGCAGAAGTGGGACTCTTTCATGTAAGCTCAGGTCCTTGCCTTTGCCGTGTACAAAAGTTGTCTTCGCTTCGTCGGATGGCTGACTTTGGTGACGTTCAGACTTCACTCAAAGTCTGCTTCTTCCCTTTCCATCTTGCCGGCTCCCCAGTCTCGTCAGCCCTCCGTACCTTTTGCTAGGCCCACGGGCGCGCTGCTCGACAAACGATCCCATAACCACCGCCGCCGGTCTTTTGTTTTCCACAACGATATCTACTTCGTCTAAATGTACAACACCCCAAAGCCTTGCTCGACGCACTCGGCACCCAAAAACCTTTTATCTGCATTACCTTTTTTTCTGAACACATTGCCCCCCAGATTGCTGTGGGATGCACGGCGGCGTTTTTTTCTTCCTGGTCTTTTTAAAGTGAGTGCTACGTACGTAATCTGATCCAGGCGTGGCTTTTTTTTTTTCTTCAAGCCAAAACTGCGAGGCGTTTGGGTTTGGGAGTTTTGTTTTTTCCTGTTTTTGCATGCATGAGACCTCGTTGGTGGGAGAGGTCTGTACGTTTCGTGCTACAAGAACTCTAGATGTGGGTTTGTCTGTTTTTTCGCCCGCCAAATTGCATTTGGGGCTGTTTTGCTGGTTGCTGCTCGGCTTAGATGGGGGGAGAAGGGAGCGTGAGGTTGAGTCTGGGGAGGGAGGGAGGGGGTGTGGGAAGAAGGCGAGGGAGGAGTAGTGCGATGCGAGAACGTAGATAATATGAAATTTGACGATATTTTGTCATGGGTTTTTGGTCTTTGTTTAGGGAAGGCGATGTTGTGATGTATTCACGCAAGACAACATGCGGAGATGAAGCACTTAAAGCTGATCTATCATACTCTATCGTACCCTCCTCTCAGTTGGTCGAAATACCAGGAATCAAGCATCTGCAACCCACTACGCTCAAACGATTCTACCTACCCTAAGGGCCACGGGCCGGTCCGACGATTTCACTGCCCTGTGGGTGATGCCCTGGGCGCTGTGTCACCCTTTGCTTCTTCGCCCGGTCTCACCATAGGGGCCCCCGGACGGTCCGACGGGTTTTTTGCGTAGGTCGTCTGAATGCCAGGCCAGTCCAACAATCCCACTGGCCTGTGGGTGATACCCTGGCGCTGTGTCACCCTTTGCTTCTTCGCATTCACACGTTTGACGGTCCGAGGGGGCCTATAGGGCTCCCGGGCGGTCTGACGGGTGTCTTCATCATATAGGGCTCCCGGGCGGTCTGACAGGATTCATCATAAGGCCCCCAGACGGTCCGACGGGTTCCATCATAAGGCTCCTAGACAGTCTAACAGGTTTACTATAGGGCTCCCGGACGGTCTGACGAATTTTACTATAGGATCCCCAGACGGTCCGACAGGTTTTTTGCGTAGTCTGAATGCTAGACGTGATGCAGAGTATATTAACAATTGGGGGGGGGAAGTCCAAGTCACGCGCGATCGGGTAGGTAGATCTTTTACGTGTCCGCCATCTCAGCAAACCATACCTAACTAAACTAAACTAAGCTACAAGATCCAAAGTTGGGCGTACACCACCCTCACCAACAACGAACAGATTGTCAGAAAATCCCGCACGTAATGGAGATTCTCCGCACTAACAATTTCGAAATCCGAGATATGAGTTTTTCAAACTGACGATCCTTCATCAAAAATCAACAACAACAGTTGTCTCATCCGAAATAGTATAGTGGCTAGTATACCCCGCTCTCACCAGGAATGATAGTGCCGGGGAGACCGGGGTTCAATTCCCCGTTTCGGAACAATTTTTGTTTTGCCCTTTTGTCGAAATGGATTTGTTTTCACCTTTTTGTCGGATGGGTCTTTCCTGCCGTGTTTTTGGAGGGGGGTGGTCTGATGTGTTATTTTTGGAGGGGAGGGATTATGTGCGCCTCGCCTTGTCTTGCGTGTGTTTTTTAGGTGTGGAATGGACGAATGAAACGGATAGACCGGCATAAAGACAGAAGCGCCAATGTATGACTTGAGACTATCAAGGCTTTCACTGTCTTACTTCTCCATTCCATAGCTTTCCACTATTAAACGTGTGGAAAATAACTTCTCAACTCGGGGAGATGAACACTGTGTAGAGTATATAATCACACTTTCATATCAACCTCGTTGCGAGGTCTCAATGTGGTGTGGCGGTAGGTACACCTCGCGCAAACTCAAGCTCAAGTAACGTTTTCCCTCCTCATCTCCATCAATCAACCACCACAGGCATGGTAAAAATACAATTCCTCTCTGATCTTCATCTGCAGGCTCCAGCAGCGTACGATGTCTTTGAAATTACTCCAACAGCAGAGTACCTCGCGCTGCTCGGGGACATTGGCTACACCAAGGACGTCGGTTTGATCGAATTCCTTGGAAAACACCTGGCTAAATTCAAAATCATCTTCTATGTGCTCGGCAACCATGAGCCATACCACTCGTCTTATGCGGCTAGCAAGCAACATCTTCTCACGCTCCAGGCTGAAACCGAACAACAAGCAAGTGGGAAGTTCGTCCTCCTTGACCAAACGCGGTACGATATCTCGCCAACGGTGTCTATTCTCGGCTGCACGCTCTTCTCCAACATCACAGCTGCTCAGCAAGACTCTGTCAATTTCGGGCTCAATGATTTCTACCACATCGAGAATTGGACCGTGGAGGAGCATGTGCAGGAGCACGAATCCGAGCTCCGTTGGCTCAATGCGGAAATTCAGAAGCTCATGGAAGCATCGCACCGCAAGATCATCGTCATGTCACACTACTCTCCGACCGATGATGCTCGTGCTATCGATCCCAAACACAAGAGCAGTACTATTTCTTCTGGCTTCATGACTGATCTGTCCCAGGAGATTTGCTTCTCCTCGGAACGTGTGGCGGTGTGGGCGTTCGGACACACGCATTTCAACTGTGATTTTGAACACGAAACGCATCAGACCAGACTCGTTACGAATCAGCGTGGTTACTACTTCGCGCAATCGAATGGCTTCGATCCGGGGAAGATGGTTGAGCTTTGAAGAGGCTCAGACCTGAAGAAGGTGAGAGATGGAAGATGGGGAAATGAATGAGAGAGGTGGTAGGGCGCCCTTTGGAAGAAGCCATGCTTCCCTTGGTTCTCCCCGGCTCCATGTTTCACGCATATCGGCCCACCATTCGGGGGGCACAAGTCGATGAAGCGGTTAGATAACCAGCAGCTCGTCGAACAAAGACCTCCCAGCTTTTCAGTTGAGTGAAGGCGTCATCTCGCCACTTCTGGTAGATCCATGGACCTCCACTAACTACTATACCGGAATAACCAAGATACCACAAGGACAATTTATCCAAAGGCAAAATGAAGAAAGATGAATAGCAAAAAACATATATTCCATAAACACACTCCAACACCATCGTGCCATGCTTCCAAAACACCCGAACCCCATAAACAGACCATACCTCCACCCCCCCTCTGGCCTCTCACCTACCAAACACGCCCACGCCCTGCGACGCGCAATCGACTCCGTCCTACAGCACGACTTTCCTCGCGTCGCGGGGGTGGCTTTCGGTGGGGCAGTAGGGGCACTTGAAGCGGGTGTTCTTGGAGACCTTCTCGAGGGACTCCTGTGCGATGACGTGGGCGCAGGGGAGCATCATGGGGGGGTTTGCGTCTGTGGACTGCTCCTTGCTGACGGGGCAGACGAAGATGGAGTGGAAGTGGTAGGCGGAGGGGAGGGGAATTTCAACCTAGCGGGAGTTAGTATTTTTATGTTTTCAGGATTGTAAGATGCAAACGTACAGGCAACTCATTCTGCGTGGTCCATTCCGTGCGCTTCTCCTTCATGATGGTTTGCAGTTTGAGCAGGTAGGGGAGGGCGATTGCGCCAGCTGTTGCGGCGATGAAGAGCGGCGAGTCTGCGCTCAGGCCGAGGAGGGAGCAGAACTCCCGATTGAACGAGTGGGCTACTTCTTCCCAGGCGGAGTCGTTGTAGAAGTATCGGCGATACGGCGAGTCCTCGACGTTCTGCCAGTAGGCCATGGCGCCCATGAGCTGCTGGACTTCACGCGCATATCGCGGGTGGAATTTGCTGAACTCGCGCCGTGCGTAGTCCCATGCGTGGAGAGGTCCGTTGGGGCTGTCGTCCATTGCGTCGTCGTCTTGCACGTTGTCGATGAAGTGGCATACGAATTGCAGGCGGCAGAGCTCAAACTCTAGATTGCTTCCTCGCGCTTCGAGGAGATGACTCCTATCCCGTGCCCACTGTATGGCTGGCTGCAGGTTCCTCTTGTCTCGCAGTTGGTGGAGAATGTGGTACATTTCGGCAAACTGCTGCTGTAGCTTCTCCGAATCGAATGTTCCCTCGGCGAAATCCTTCTCCCACGACTCCTTCATGTGTGGGTTGGGGACGTTGGGTGTTGGCTCGGGATGTGGTGGGCGACGGTTTGCTTCTTCGATGAAGGTGGTGGCCACGCTGAACTGGCCTTCGCGGAGGAGGTGCATGGCGATGGCGCGGTTTATGAGCGAGGGGTGCGAGGAGAGGGCGTCGTTTTCAGCAGAAGGGAGGGGTTTGTCTTTGAATTTCTGGCGGCATCCGTCAATACCCTGTTTGGCATGGCGGGTGAATGGCGCGGCATACCTTGTCTAGGGCTTTCCCGTACTTGTTCAGGCCCGAGTAGATTGGCTTGAGGTCCTTCTGCGCCGCGTCCATGGTCTTCTTGAAGGGGTCCTGGAGCTTTGCCAGGACGAGAGGCGCCTTCTGGGGATCTGGATTGGCGGTGGTCAGTATGCTTTGGTGTGTACATCGTGAGTACCTTACCAGCCGCGATCCGTTCCCGGGCTGCAGTGAGCATATCAATAGCCTTCTGCACATCGCTGATGCTGGTCGAGAGGTTCGCGCTGCGCTCAAAGAGGTCCATCTGCTCGCGGAGGTCGTCCATGGCTGCGGGCGGGGTCGCTATGGCGGAGTGATGGCGGCGGTGGTGGTGGTAGTGGTAGTAGAGCTGAAGTCGGGGCGTGCAGTGGCAGTGGAATAGCTATAGTCTGGCCAGCAGACGACACAGCGCATGTCCATGGCCGTCGTGTTGGTGCGACGGGTACATGTCGAGCTTGGGTGGATCCGCCGATACGCTGCAGGGCTGGCCGCGGACATGACGTGGGGAAGGACGCGCCGCCGAGGCCTGCACCTGAGCTCCTTCACCACCGAAGCCAGACGTCGCCTGCTGGAAATATGCACGGCCTGCACAAAACACGCCCTCCCGTCACGCCGCCGCCCTCTGCCCGCTGGGACGCGCGTGGACGCTGGAGACGCTTGTAGCCGGCATGCAGCACTGAACATCTCCTAGCACGGCGACACAGGCACACAGGCACACGGCTACACGGCAGCAGCCATGTCCTACACGCCCACCATGTCCCTGTCGCGGGCGAACACCGGTAGACAGCCAGCGTCCCTCACGCGTAACGGCACCGCCCAGTCGCGTCCGCTGCCACCGACGAGGACGGCGACGGCGACGACCATGACACCCGACTCGGCCGCCATGCCACACGAGTCTATCAGGTCAACCGATTCCACCGCCAAGCTGCCCACCCCGCCCACCGGCCACCAGCGCTTCGTCCTGACCGACTCGGTCGCAGCCCGCTATCTCGAAGACGATGCACACGCCACCGTCCTCGCCCGCCGCCAACGCATCGAGGGATATGAGATCTACCTGGTCGAGCAGTGGGCCTGCTCCCGCACCCACCCGACCTTCCTCATCACCACCTACACGGGCAACCCCGAGGACGTCGTCTATGCGTCCGTCATCAGCGTGCCTGCGGACGAGGCGGAATGGTCGGACCAGATGCGCCTCTACTTCAAGTCGCTGACCGAGCACCATGCCCGGAGAAAGGACTCGGCGTACGGTACCCTGATGATCACAAACCTCGGCAGCTTCCCCTCATCGCTGACCGTCATCCCCATCCCTGGCGGCGATCTAAAGATGTACCGCGACCTGTTCTTCGTAAATGAAAACCTGAAGAGACTGGGCTGCTCAGGCCGTCTGGGCATCAAGCTTGCGCCGCCTAGTGGTGCGACCGAAGCAAAGTTCCACCAGCTGTACCGCACCAGTGAGAAGATCCCTCTTAATGGCTCCGTCATCGAGCTCGTGAAGCTGTGCCAGGTTGCGCTGGTCTTGTTCGGAAAGTTGAAACCAGAGTACGTAGACGGACTGCTCTGCGACGTCACCGAAAAGGCAATCAACGACTGGTGGATCGAGTTTGGCGCAGAGTACTACACCGTAGAGCCGCACGATGGCATTCTCGGCCCTACCACAACCGCCGCACTGTTGGGCATGTTGATGGGCGCTCGAAACCGACTCAGCGCGTGCAATGCGCCAGTCGCCAAAGATGTCTTCGACGTTGAGCACACCAAACGGGGCATCGCATATTTTCAGAAGACGCAAAGATTACCGAGGACTCGCCGCCTGGACAGACAGACACTAGACAAACTGCGCAGGGCGACTGCCAAGGCAGCAAGCAAGGAGGGCTGGGCGGTTCCCCGAGCTTTCAAGTCTACCGTGGCAGAACTTGGCGGCAAAGGAGGTGAAATGGTCATGGGCATGGTGGGGGCTGGAGAAAGAGAGGGCATTGCTGAAGTCGAGACTGTCGACATTGATCGGTTCGTTGAGCTCGTAAGAGGAGATTCGGCAAAGTGGCTATGGCATGGCAAGCCTCGAAAGTCCACCTCAGGGGACATGTTCAGTCGATTGCCAGGCGAGGAGCGAGACGCTTCGGCAGATGGGAGGGACCACGGCAAGAACCAGCTCAAAAGGGAAACGACGCTTGAACAGCAAAAACCTACAAAGCGCGAAGACACCACGGACGATCACAAGAAGTCTGATCTCTTCACTCCCGAAAGTCTAGGCATAGAGAAGGAGAGGGACCCGTATTCCAAGCGTGCGGCTATCAAGGCGAAACTGGAGTCTGGCAGCGGATTCCACCGTATCAAAGATGCTGTCGGTCTTCGTAGTCATCAGAGCAAACCTTCGAAAGACGACAACGCGCGTCACGGTCTGCATCAGATGAAAAGCGGTCTCAAGTCGCCTCCGTCTGGAGACACGAATGGTGTGTACACGTCCTTTGACAACGACGAGAAAACATTGCACCATCAATTGAGCAATCTCTCGTCTCTGGCCTCTCCGCAAGGCGCCGAAAATGATGCCGACCCCTCCTTTGCAAAGATCCTTACCCAAACTCCACGAGGCTCTGGAAGTAGTCTTGCGATAAACATCACACAGCCTGATGTGGATAACGATCAAGAATTAGCAGCGCACAGGCCATCTGTTGCTGAGTCCGATGTATCGACACGACCACCTACAGTGGATGACTCCATCGCCGGCTCCATTTACCATGGAATCGACTTGAATGACAAACTCCCTACCGACCAGGCACACGAGGTCCCTCCACTCCTGCGCCGCACCCTGTCCGTTGACCAAATCGATTCGCACAATTCATCACCACGCAACGACGACTGGTGGCCACGGCACCTCTCCTTCAGCATAGCCGAAGAGAGTGTGCTGAAATGGACAGGTATTGCTGTTGATGAAGAAGCGATCGACGACGCGATTGATGATGCAGACACATCGAATATAGGACTAGTAGCCCGGCTCGCAACGCAAAACCTGCAGTCTGAACAACTAAAGCGTCTGCATCATCGCATAGCTCTCCTCTCCGCCACAGACACGCGATCCGTAGACTCACGCCTCTCAGAAATCGAAGACTTGGAAGCGTCGGCCGACGCTGACATTGAAACGCTCGACTCGATATATTATCCGCGCCTGGACACGTATCACGATCTCCGCGAAGACACGCACGCCATCATCTCCAACAACCGCTCGCAGCTCACGGCGAAGTTGAGGGAATTGGGCAATGTGGGCGACAAGCTGGAGTACGAGGTCAGTGCGCTGAGAGGCAAGGTGGAGGATGTTGAGGATGTCTTGGGCGAGTTTGAAAGGCAGGTTGAGTTTGTCGAGGGGAGGGTTGCGGAGCTGGAGAGGGTGTTTGGGCAGAGGCAGGGGTGGTGGCATTGGGTTGTTCGCGCGGTGACGGGGAGTGGGAGGCCGTCTGAGTGATGGTTAGGCGTTTTGCATAGGCGGGTGGGGGTGTTTTTTTGGGAGTGAAAACGTTGGAAGCTAGGTGGGTTGGATATAATAACTTTTGGCGCATAGTTGGATACCCGTGTTGCATGTTACATGTTTATAGAAATGTACTATTTTATCAGAATTAGTTGAGTTGGGTTTCTACAAAAAAGATCTAGGTTACTCGACTACCTTTCGCCTCAACACTCATCTGGACATGCATTACGCAGCCATAACCCAAACACGACTAAGTAACCCCTCATCCGCCGCCCCGAGTTCTTTGTAAGACAGAATTAGGCCTGCGGGACCAAGTGCCGGTAACCCCACTTGCATGCTTCGGCAGATGATGTAGCTCCGCATAGCTCCACAGCCAACAGCTTCCACCGCATAGCTCCACCGCATCGGGGAATACATATAAGACCATGCTAATCCGTTCTTTTTTTTCGCTATTGAAACCCACTCGCCTCGACGTCCGAGATAGAAAAGAAAAGAAAAGAATAGCATAATGGCGTTCGAAGAAATGCAAGAAAAGCTCACTCCCTCTGTACGCCCCCCTTAAACCCATCCACCTACCCAGACCCCCCCGTTCTAACCCAAGTAGAACACCAGCCGCGAAACCTCCCCCAACCGCGGCTCCTCCGTCCCCCAACAAACCGCAATCCCCAAGCCCTGCCGTCCCCTCCGCGCCTGGCAATCCGCCCAGCACATCGACCGCCCCGCGCAAATCCAGCTCACAAAGCTCGTCCACATGCGCTACCAGCACCCCAACCTGGCGCAAATCACCACTTTCCTGCGCGACTTCGGCATGAGCGTCGCGGCTAGGCAGGACGGGAAAGTCTGGTTCGCGGGCTACGGGGAGGATCGGTATGTGTACTATGCGCAGGCGGGGGAGAAGAAGTTCCTCGGTGGGTGCTTTGAAGTGGCTAGTTATGCGGAGTTGGAGAAGGCGAGTCGTGTTGGTGAGGGGGCGGCGATAGTTGATTTAGCGGAGACGGGGGCGCCGGGGGGTGGGCATATGGTTACGCTGCACGACCCTGAGGGGTTCCCGATAAATTTGCTGTACGGGCAGACGAAGAAAGACGCTGGGCCTTTTCCGGAGATTCTCACCACGAACTATGAGAGTAGTAAGCCGCGAGTAGCGCGCTTCCAGCGCTTCTCCCCCGGCCCCGCGGCCGTGCATAAACTAGGGCACTACGGGCTCTGCGTGCTGGACTTCGACGTGCAGATGAACTGGTACACGCGCACCTTCAACCTCGCGCCCACGGACTTCCTCTACACCTCCACCCCCACCGGCGCAAAGAAAGACGTAGCGATATTCGCACACATCGACCTCGGCCCCACACACACCGATCACCACACCATCTTCCTCTCGTCCAATAAAACGAAACACGTTCATCACTGCTCGTTTGAAGTTCATGACTTCGATACGCAGGCCCTGGGGCATGAGTGGTTGGCGAAAAAGGGGTATGAGAGTGTGTGGGGTGTGGGACGGCATGTGTTGGGCAGTCAGATCTTTGATTATTGGTGGGATACGACGGGGAATATGATTGAGCATTATGCGGATGGGGATTTGGTTAGTGAGGAGACGATGGTGGGGTGGGGGGAGGCGGGGGATGAGAGTTTGGCGGTTTGGGGGCCCGAGGTGCCGGCGTGGTTTTTGGAGTAGGGGGGGAGGGGGGGGGGTGTAAGATATTGGACTCGTTGGGGTTTAGGACGGAGGGTTGTGGGGATGGAATGTGCGCTGGGGCTGAGGTGTTAGATTGTATTGGACGTACAGATTTGATGTAGTGCTTTTTTTTTTATACTTTTCGAAGCGGGGCTTGTATTCTGGATTCGATGGTACAGTACATACACCGCTCGAAACAATAATGTATAGGGACACGGAAAAACAAGCAGACTGAGGAGAAGGCGTGCAAGATGAGGAGGAACTCCTCGTTAATGAGATCCTACCTGAGAACTACTTCCAAGGGATAGAAGATGTCAACGAACTGAGGTATAATGCAAAGGGCTCTGTAGTTACTAATAGAATAAAGCGCATGAAATAAGATACTAAACATGTTGAAATATATTCACAGAACTGCCGATTTGTTTTCCAATCACGTCTGCCACCAAATTCGTATAACGCCCTAGATCTAGAGAACCGACTAATGGGCTACTACCCAAGTTATGTTATAACAGAGTACTATAAAAAGTACTGTACCAGTGCTACTCCAACAAGGCCTTGAGTTATCTAAGCCAACCGGCAGGATCCTGCAAGCTTCTAAGAACCACTGCGCCAATAACAAGTCAGGGGGGCAAAGTTTGGCATATCCGGTGTCAGCAGCTTACATCATCGCTCACCGGTCAACTTCTCTGCTGAGCATATCTGACTCGGCCTCCCCCTAATGTCCCCGCCCGTACGTCATCCTCCACTAGGCAGCCTCTGCCTGGCTGGAGGCCTAACTTCTTCCAAACCGTCACCATTTACATCACTTTTACATTCACACCTCAGCCAAGGTTAATCACTCTACCAACACCATGACAAATACGCCAATCTCAGCAGAAACCATGTTCGAAATGTGTACCGCCGGCGATTTCGAATCTATTCGAGAGTTACTCCAAAACCCAGCTTATATCGCCAAAGCCATTGAGACCGAGGAACGTGCTGTAGATGAGAATAGTCAACACACACTTCCCTTACTTAACCTTTCCGTGATGTTCAACAAAGCTGCTGCGGCCGGTTCTGCCGAAATAGTTGAGTATCTACTCTCCTTTGCAAACGCCCAGGGCATTCCGTACGAAGCCCTCATCCACCGCCTGAGTGTCTTCCCCGCTATCTCTAGCAGGAACAGTGTTGCCGTATTCGAGAAGTTCGTTGCTGTAAAGCCTGATACCGTTGACATGTATATGAGTCACAATGGCACCCCACTCAGCCTAGCAATCGGGAGGAACCGGTACTCACCTCGGAGTATCAGCGAACGCGCATCCTTCGTACGATTCCTACTAGAGAACGGAGCGAACCCAGATCGAATACCCAGCCCGTACTATTGTGGTTCTCGTCTCTATCTTGAAGATGCGGCTCGTCAGTCATCATTAGAAGTCATCGAGCTTTTTCTACAGCACGGCGCGCAGCTTGAGCAATCTCGCGCCATGCATGGGGCAGCGGAGCGAGGCAGAATCGACGTCATGGATCTGCTTCTAAAACGTGGAGCTGATGTTAATGAGCAACTCGGGGAAACCGATCCTATGTACTCGTCAAATTGGAGAACGAAGGTGAAAAAGAAGGAGAGTATCCTGAGCGATGTTTCGGATGATCGTACACCGAAGTGGACCCATGAGACACCCTTGCATTTCAGTGTACTGTATCGCAAAGTTGAGGCTACGGCTTGGCTTGTAGAGCACGGGGCGGATCCAGGGATTACCGACTCGAAAGGATGGAGCGCAAGAAGTATGGCGATCAAGATGGGGGATGTAGGTATACTTGAAGCTCTTGGGATTCCTGCGGAGATGACAGAATGATGCATACGAAATCACCAGGGCCAGAGTCGCTGATGCCGTCCTTCCATGGGTTGCATTCACGATACCTACCAGACAAGCCTAGTAGATAAAGGAGCTGGCACCAAGGATAAATTCTCATCATCGTTGGTGTCTTGGAGGTGCTGGCTTCTGGTTCTACGTCTTCCACACTGCGCTCCTTCGGCAGTAAACTCACGCAAGTCTCACCCACTCGGGACTTCAGCATGGAACTTGGCGCCGCTATTGCCGTGCTATTGGGTAATCGACCCAATATGTTACCGATGCCACAATTGGTGTCGCCTTGATCAGCTTCGATCTCAAGGTTATGAATTGAAAACACGTCGTATTTCTGAGCTGAGAGTGCGAAGGTTGAGAGTGGGAAATGTTGTATTGAATGACAGACGAGGGAGGAGATTGTCACTGACCATTGTTTGCTCAACTTTCAACCAGTAGAACAAACACGTACTTCGTCAATTCTAGTGCGGTTCTTGCTTACAGTTCTGATATCTCCTGCTCTTCTTCAAGTTGTTTTCCGCCTTCTACCAGCTTGTTCAGCCACGTCCCCAGTCTTAGCGCAGCTTTACTAATCTGCAGCTCGACGATAGGCACGGCGCCATCAGCATACCCATCGGTACCTAAATCTGTGTTATTGCGAAGACGACTGTAAACATAGTCGCAAGTCCATCTGTTACTCTCCCCTGCCCAGCGTGATGCGCACTCAATGGGTGTGGTGGGGTCGCTGCAAGCAAGCCACATGTACGGAGCCTCATAGAATTCATCCTTTCGAATGCGAGACACAAGATCCAAGAAGAAAGGATCGATCGATTCATGGGAGAAGGGCTTGCTGACGTTGGCTGCGAAATACGGGATATAGCCATCCCAAACCTAGCTTGTAAGCTAAATTAGATGATACGAAGAAGGATAGTACTCACAGCATGCAGCTCTGTGGACACATTGCCAAACTTGACTTTCACAAAGTTTCCTCCTGCAGCTCTTCCGGACGCATGGAGCGGCTGATTGATGTCACCTAAGAAGTGTGCTACCCATTTCAGCGCGTACGAGCAGGTCAAGTTAGTGCCTGCACTCAAAACGCCATTCTTCACGTCGTCGATGCATCCGCTCAATATTTGAGTCTGGTTCGAAATCGCGCTTACAACACACCCGCCTTCAGCACAGTCGCGCGTGTAGTTGAGATGGCAGGACTGAGGCGCGTTGTCGTGTGTATCTATCCAATGCCACTGGTAAGAGAAGCGCCCTTCACTTGTGTGTGCGTATGCGTCTGCCCAGGCTGCGGCACGTCCAACAGAGCCATTATACTGAGGCTCGAGGATCTTGGCAAGGACAGACGTAGTTTGAGGAGTGAAGAACTGCTCTGCCATGAAGCCTATCTGATTGTGGACTGGGAGTGTTAGCCTTAGGAACCACTAAACACCTGCTGAGGTTGGCACCATCTGTGTTCCATGCTGAGGCCGAAGCCACCAAGCCTGTCCCGAAAAGCAGCTTTTGGACGAGCATGTTGATGATTGTTGGACGACTAGTACGAGCTGAATGTTATGTGGAAATACAGTTGAGTATGTGAGGTATGGGAGTGGAAGTTGAGGCACAAAGTTAGTTGTGCGTATATGGCAAAATGAGTTTTCGCGTCTTCTCTATGGGATCCTCGAGGTCGCGAAACGCGTTCGACAACAGTCCTCCACGTCTTATGGAGGTTGTTGACGCGTGATGGGGACGGGTGACGTGCCTGCCGAGTCCACCTGTCGATCATTGCCGGGGTTGTTGGACGCTAGGTGATAACGGGAACAGCGCCAGAGCTGAACTCTCCTGCGTTGACACCATGATTGTGCAGTCGTGAACACTTCCTTTATACCCAAACAATAGCGATTGTAGTTTCCTGGTAGTGGTTGTCTCAGAAAAATATTTATGGCATGAGAAAGATACACCCCCTCGCATCCCCGCGGTTGAGTGTGGAAGCCGGAAGTAAGCAGCTTTCTTCGCAGCAAAAACCTCCAACAGTATTGAATGAAAAATGGCAATTAACAGAGCATAATGGGGTTCAATCTGTAAGATTAAAGCAACATATAAACCTGAACTGTAACTCTGCAGATCCTGGTTAGAAAACTTACCAAAGATCGGTGTCAACTCCAGCTTTTACACTTAACCGAGAACCTCATTTGTCGCCGAATCCGTATCCTCCACCATTGTTGTCCCCCTGGGCGAGGATTGCAGCATGAACGCGGGACCCAAAGGCATCGAAAACGACTGGGTATCCACGCTTAGCTCTTGTGATGGCGGCCGTTGGCCGCTACCTCCACACGAACCATGGACGAGCGGAACCTCAGGTGGGGAATGGGTCGACCTGGAAGCACACAAGAACTTTTAAAAAGATCTTGCCCCGCTGGGTCCTTACGAGTGTGAAGAATTCTGCCTACCCAAACAACAACCGTAAGATTACATGCGTCGTCATCGTCAAGCACCTTCCGTGTAGACAAACGGAAACAGGGGAACCCACCAAGTTCGAGCACTCTTGCTCAACTGCTTCCCTCACCTTTCAACTATCTTCAACGGTCACTACACGATCACGGCGCAGAGCCTGCTTCGACTTCAACCACCATCTCGTCCTCAAAAAGGTCCATCTGGATCAGTACTGTCGCAATGCTTCGGGTTTCTCTTCAAGCCACACGAGCTTGCTTGAAGCAGTCCAAATCAGCTCAGGTCCAGCCGCTCAGCACCGCCTCAGCACCCGAATTTGCTATGCGCACCAGTCAGGCAGTGAATGAGTTCCAAGCGGTGCAGCCTTCGGCCTCCAAGACCAACGAATTCCTCAGCTCTAGTGCTTGCAAGGAAGCGTCCCGACAGAGCAAACAAATTATATGGCTAGCGAAGCACTCTCTTCGAGTCGCATCAGCGACAGAAACCAGCAATGCGATAAACGGCGTTCGATCGATGAAGGACAGCACAACCCAGGGCTTTGGTATTCAAAGTACCTCTTTCACACCCAGATCACTCTGCGCTGAGCCGTGGGATGGCCCAACGATATGGGCACACCTGTGGTGAGTATGGTACTCTCTTCCTGATCATCGGCAGCTAATGTAATTGTGCATCAGGTAGAGTCGGCGTGCAATTACTCCAATTCTGCTATTGCTTCGCAGCAAATTCCTCGATTCGCTTCATCCTGACGTGTCACGGGCTGATCTGGCGTGGCATGGAGATCTGGCGAAGTGGTTGACATTTGGCGTAAAGAAGTCCAGCAATTCCTGGCCTCGAGAGAGGTAGACGTTATAGTGGAGATGACATGAGACGAGCGAAGGTGACGATAAGGACTAGTGATACCCTATACATGTGGCTTGCTTGGTGCAAAGGGAGTGGATACGCGTACTTACACCGAATACGCGCATCGCGTATTCTAATACATGACTTAAATAGCTGGCCAGTATGGCGCAGCAGAGCTAGACCGTTTGTCTCGATATGAAGCGTGCACAGCCGCCAATGACGCGACATAACTTCTCCGCAACAACGGTGTCATAGCGCGTAAGGATTCAAGCATCAAGCTCCTTGCACCTGATGCCTTACACCTAGCTCTAAGAACCTATAATGATTACATTCCTTTGCTGATCTGTCTCGATTATTCTCTCCCTTGACCATCCAGTATTCAATGTCGAGCTCACGCAATCCCTCTAACAATCCAAATGCGCCCCGCGATGGCGATGCCCCACCAACACAACAGCCGCCTCGGTACTCAGAGCAAGATGCGATAGAACTTCGCGACAACGCGCCTGAGAGCGCATCGCGATCAAACCCACGGCCAGCTAATACGTCATCGTCCCAAACATCAACTATAAAGCCTGAGGCTTCAGATTATGTAGGCTCATATCGCCCATCCAATGCGCAAGCACACATCTCGTCAGTATATGATTATATGGTCAGTTTCGTCTGCTCACGAGACACAGTTCCGCTTCAAATACCCACCATGGCTTCGACCCAAGTCAGGTCGACGAACATGCGGCGCCAATTCCCGACCTACCTCCCCCCGCCTACACCGAATTACCAGGCCAAATATCGGGCGAGAACAACGACCTAGGCACAAACGCAATAGTCGCAGAAGATGGCCGAGTCAACATTCGAATTGATCAAAAGAGTCGCTCGCTCACGCAGCTCATTGTCCCACAAATCCAGCGCCAACTCACACAGGTACAGCAAGAGCCTGCGCCTCCTCCACCATACATCCCAGAATTCCTAGGCGGCGCGCCGGGCCAGAACCCTCCTCCGCCTCTGAATCTCGTCATACAAGTAGTTGGGTCTCGAGGCGATGTTCAGCCTTTCGTTGCACTGGGGAAAGTGCTGAAGGAGACGTACAATCACAGAGTACGGCTGGCAACACATCCCACATTCAAGGACTTTGTCATTGAGAACGGGCTCGAGTTTTTCAGTATCGGTGGCGACCCTGCCGAGCTTATGGCTTTCATGGTCAAGAACCCTGGCTTGATGCCTGGATTTGACACTATGCGAAGCGGTGACATTGGTAAGAGGAGGAAAGGAATTGCAGAAATTCTACGCGGAACGTGGAGGTCATGCATTGAGACTGGCAATGGTCTTGGTGTGGATCCTCTGGAGCAGACTGTAGAGGAATGGATGGGCGTCGAAGACCAGTTGCCTGAACAGTTGAAGAAGCCCTTCGTTGCCGACGCAATCATCGCAAACCCTCCAGCTTTTGGGCATATTCATTGTGCAGAGAAGCTGGGAATACCACTTCATATGATGTTCACGTAAGTCTTTGACTCAATACTTCTAATGTGCAGTTCTGATTGAAGCAGAATGCCCTGGTCGCCCACACAGCAGTTTCCCCATCCGCTCGCAAACATTCAGTCCTCGAACGCAGATGCATCCATAACGAACTATATATCATACCTCATGGTGGATTTATTGACGTGGCAGGGATTGGGAGATGTCATCAATAAATTCCGTAAGGAAAGTCTTCACCTAGACCCTATCAGCATCATTTGGGGTCCGGCCATGCTTGCGCGGCTCAAGATTCCGTTCACATACTGTTGGTAAGCTATACTTTTGAGCTCTTCACAACTATGTCTAATTCGTCTAGGTCACCTGCGCTCATCCCAAAACCAAAAGACTGGGGTCATAACATCTCAGTTGCTGGCTTCTACTTTCTCGACCTGGCGCAGAACTACACTCCAGAACCGGCTCTTGCGGCTTTCCTAGACGCTGGAGAACCGCCTGTCTACATTGGGTTTGGATCTATTGTAGTGGACGACCCAAATGCAATGACTACAATGATCTTCGAAGCCGTGAAGAAGACCGGAAAACGAGCGTTAGTCTCAAAAGGTTGGGGCGGTCTTGGAGCAGATGAACTCGGTATTCCTGAAGGCGTTTTCATGCTTGGAAATTGTCCTCACGATTGGCTGTTCAAGCGCGTCTCCGCTGTGGTCCATCATGGTGGTGCTGGCACTACAGCCGCAGGAATCGCCGCTGGACGACCGACAGTTGTAGTGCCATTCTTTGGTGATCAGCCATTCTGGGGCGCGATGGTTGCGAAAGCCGGCGCCGGACCGGATCCTATCCCTTACAAAGATCTCAACTCAGAGAAGCTGGCAGGAGCTATCACAGAGGCTCTCCGTCCCGAATCATTAAATCGAGCGCAAGAATTGTGCGACAAGATCAAGCAGGAAGAAGGAAGTCAGGTGGGTGCTCAAGCCTTCCATCAGATGCTCAAATACGATGAGCTGCGATGCGCAGTCGCGCCGAGTTTGCCAGCTGTATGGAGGGTCAAACGAACACAGACCAAATTGAGCGCCAGAGCTGCAACGATACTTGCTCAGGAAGGTGAACTGGACTTTGCTGACTTGAAACTGTGAGTTTTATGGCAATATCTCCATACTCAGCTGACAATCATAGTTTTCAATCTCGTGAATACGAGATAGATGGTGGTTCAGTCGATCCAATTTCTGGAGGAGCAACGGCGATAATGGGTACTGCGACGTCAATCATGATGGGTGTCGCCGACATGCCCATTCAAACGCTAAAGTTACTCAACATCCATCCCGACGCTTCTGGCTCAGGAAAGGGCAAAGGCAAAGCTGCAGGTGCTGATGCTCCGTCAATCGGAGAGTCAAGCCGCACTGGTCGTCCAGAAGCTGCTAGAGCTTCAACAGGTACTACTGATACATCTGTTACAAGCGGTGCCAGCACACCGACAGCAGTACACACTCCTGGCGTACCTGGCAGTCATGCTCGAAGCAACTCGGATCTTACAGAAGTGACAAGCCCAGGTACCTATGGAACGCCTTCCCATAGATCAAGCTTTATGTCTCAAGCGTTCGCCGCTTCGACTGGTCGCTCATCTTCACCATCCGGAGATCGCCTCAGCCACAAAGATCAAGCGGGTTCGATATCGGGTACAGAGGCGCGCACTAATAGCGGGTCGACATCGGGGTTCTCGGCAAACATGAAGACTGCTTTCGAAACAGGCAATGTAGAGACTGCTCGTGATACAGGAAAGGGGCTCGCTAGAATTGTCGGCGCAGGCTTCAAGTCACCAATGGACTTTTCTTTGAATGTCGCACAAGGTTTCAATAATGTACCGAAGCTCTATGGAGCAGATGTTAGACCGGCAGATAAGGTCACTGATTTCCAAAGCGGGATCAGAGCAGCGGCGAAGGTAAGCTGAAATTTACCTTTGAGAAGCAGTGTCTAACATCCTTGCAGGGTTTTGGGTTCGGACTATATGATGGCATTGCCGGCCTTGTTACGGATCCTTACAAAGGCGCCAAAAAAGAAGGTGGCGTCGGGTTTGTCAAAGGCGTCGGTCGCGGCATCTTTAGCGTGCCCTTTCGCGTCATGGGAGGTGCCTGGGCTGTGCCTGGTTATGCAATGAAAGGTCTGTATCAGGAAATGATCAAGAGTAAAGGAAAGACCATCACGAACTACATCGTTGCAGCACGCATTGCGCAAGGATACGATGAAGCACTATCGGTCTCTCCGACGGAAAGAGCAGCAATCGTCAACAAATGGAAGTACGTCAAGGTCGGTATGAAGAAAAAGAAGAATCCAGGAGGGGAACAACTTGACTCGCTGCACGCGCTTGTCAATGATAAGAGGCAGAGGAAGGATGATCGATGGCAGAGAGTTAACTCGCAATCCCAGCGTCCCGATACCCATCCCACATCTCCACCTGCTACAGTAGAGTATGCAAGTCCTCAAAGTTCAACTACCATCCCGGCATGGAGACAAGCCGAACTCGGGCTTCGATCGAATTCAAGCGTATCCTCAACTTCGACGCCTCAGCACGCAGCTACTTTCCCTCGCACAGGGAACGCACAAACCGAGCAATCCCAGCTTGCACTAGAAGGCCAGCTCATCGCGGAAGAAGAAGCCGAACGACGCGAGATTGAAGCCGCCATCGCAGCGTCAGTTGCCGAATCTTCACGAGGAAACGCGGAAGAGGACCAGTTGATGGCACAAGCTATCCGGGCCTCGATCGCGGAACTCGAAAATGTACCAGCCAATGCAGGACCTACCGACGAAGAGGAAGCTCTGCAGCGTGCAATGAATGCCAGCCTTGAAGAAGCTAGACGCAGTGGGCGTACGGAGGATGAACAACGCACTCTTGAAGAGACGCTCCGCAAGTCTATTCTCGATACTTCGCGCCGTCGACAACATGGTTCGGAATCAGAATGGGGATCTAGTGATGACGAAGACGACGCGGATCTGCGACGAATTCTTGCAGAGTCTAAGGAGCTCGCGCACTTGCATCAGGACTTCCCGCCGGAATACCAGGCCGCTGTTGCAGCACAACAGGGTGGCACTGCGGAAAACCAACGAGGTAATGTCATCGGAGCTCAGCAAAGCGGTGTACTTGGCGGGACGCATGAGCACTCTGAGTCGCACGATGATGAGGATGCAGAGCTCAAGAAAGTACTCGAGGAGAGCGAACGCGAGGAGAAAGACCGGGCGGAGAGTTTGCAGAAACAGATGACCGAAGAGGATATTGTGATGGAGTATGTGAGGAAGCAGAGCTTGCTGGAGGAGCAGCACAGGCAACGGGTACTACAGGGGAGAGATACGGCGGGTGAGAGCTCGGGTGCTGGAGCGGGACGATGATGAGACCTTGGCTGAAGGGACAGAATTCTTTGGTTTCATGATACCCCCGGATGAGCATACCTGGTTTTACGGTCAACTTCCTAAGTTAGTGAATATCATATGTGAGTAACAACAAATCAAGTTTCGGTGCACGAGGTATCTTTGAGAATTGTCTTCATATTCAAAAACCTGAGTAGGTTGTCAGATGACTGTGTCTTGGATTCTGTGTAGCGTTTCGTACTTATTATGCCACTTCGATAACTTCCAGAAAGTTACCGCTCGCAACATCCAAAAACGCCTCAGAGCCAGACTTCAACGCAAAATCCCGAAACGCCGTTACATATGTCACAGTGAGATTCATCATCCTGTGGCCTTCTAGCGTTCCCAAAACCAGACCGATCTCGGGCTGTAGCTGTTTCTGGAGATCTAAACCCAAAGCGATGAGCGGCAGATCAGAAAAACTGTAATGAGCTGCGCCTTTGACTTCGAACTCTTTTTTCCATCCTGTCAACATCGGCCATACAGATTTCCACGACGGATCTGTTTCCTGTGTCTTGTTCTCATGTCCTAATAACACGAATGGTCGGTCAAGACCGGCTGTCAAAACGCGCTCAAACATGGTTCCGTCGATGTTCATGCCACCGCGGAAAGACGGGACTTGTGACATTGCAGCAGCTGCGGCGGCTCCGCCTAGGGAATGTCCGAAGATCGCTGTGTTGGAGATGTGAGATATGTGTGGGTAGCTGGGAAAGAGTCTGTCAGCGAAAGATATGTTTTTGAAGCTCGCGGTATAGAATGGCGATGTCATCGACACGTGTGGTAAGGGCTAGCTTAACTTCAGCATCTATGCTGATGTCAACAGCTGGGATGACCGTTCTATCCGGAAATTCGACGAAGTCGGCGTCGTATGGGTGATCGATCGAAATGACGAGATATCCTGCCGCGGCTACGCTTTGTAGCATGCTATTGTATAGTATCCGTGATGTACCAAGGGCGCAGGAGAAGAACCAGGAACCATGACTGATCGGAGCCTGCCATCCTTCGCGAAAGGGTCGAGCCGGTCTGGGTCCGTTAATTGGATAGAGGTAATCGCAACGTCGAAGTTGCTGGGTCCGACGATTGGAAGTTGCGTTGAAGAGACTGCAAAAGATAACGAAAGCACTCGAAGTGCGATGATGAAGGTTTCGAGAGGTGCCATGATAATCAATATGATAAGTATGTTGTGACTACGAAGGCAGAGGGAATCAATCGATCTCGGTTGAAAGTGATATTACCAACTATCAGGTCTTTATATACACAAATCAAAGAGTCAGCCCTCCTGAAAGAATGCATCGATGGCATGTTAGGGCCACTATCAAACTAGATTAGGCGCGCAGTTTCACTTCCTAATCTGGTTAACGTCTTCATCGGATGACCTACGCTTCGGCCCTTCGTAGTGTTCTCCCAGACACCTAAAAGAGTACCATTACCAAATCGAAACATTATAAATAAGCGGTTTCTCGAGCTCCGTCTCTGACACCGTAACACTCTCGGCTGTCAAGTCAATAGTACATGTATCCCTTTCTGCCATTGGTTACAGCTCTTCTCATGCCTTCAATTATTGGACCATACGATGGACGAAAAGCTCGTCGGAAACGCTGCGATACATGTATAAAACGCCAAATCAGGGTAATATACCATTCCAGAACGCATTCCTAGCCATAAGCTACAGCTTCACTGACAGAACAAGTGCCATGGAGGGATACCTTGCGGGAACTGTAGACAAACGAATCGATTATGCGGGGTGACAACTAAACATACGGACGTCAGCTTGGTTTTCGTTCGTCAATTTTCGAATGACGAAACAAAGGAGAACATCATATTTCCTCTACGTCAATCGATATGCCCAAAAGGAACGGACCGTTATCTCTCGTACTTCTTCACGTCGTTCCTACCCATGAACGTCTTCACGAGCAATGCCATCCCCATGCGTAATGACCTGCTAGCCTTGTCGAAGTCCTCGCCTGCACTGAGAGACGCTATTGATGCCGTGGCTGCAATGCATGTCAAAAGACAGGGCCAGTCGTTTTCCACTGAGCAAAACAGAAACGTCGAGGCCTTGCAAGCTTACGCACGATCCGTACGCTGCGTCCAGGAAAAGCTTGCCACCAACACATTCATGGACGACCAGGCGGCACTGTGGATAACCTTTTTCCTGGGCCTCTTCGAGGTATGTATGGAGCATCTATAGATTCAGCCCCCTCCTTTGGTACCCACAGACTGATTCAAATCATACCAGCAGATGCGTGACTCGACCGGCACAAACTGGCTATCCCACTTCTTGCATGGAACATCTACAATGCTCTGTCTCCAGAAACCCGAGACCTTGAATTACCCAGGTTTCCACAACGCACAACGACGCTCATTTTTCCTCACTACGCGGATCTTCGAAATATCCCGTTCCTTGATCTTCTCCTCTTCTAGTTTCCTCAGCAAATCGGATTGGACTGCTGCTTTCGCGAAGCTCTGGGAGGGAGAAAGTGTAGCTTTCTGGCATCCAAAAGAAGCACTGTTCGATATCTTACCACATGTCTCAGAGCTCAACATCAATGCATTGAATTTCTGTGAAGATGCACCGCGTTTGTCATTGGACACGCGACGAACTCTGAGTGAGTCGCTGGGCAATGAGGGGCTCGTTCTGCAAGCATTCTTACAACAGTGGTGGGTAGACGCAGTCGTGTGGGGAAAAGCTGCTCAACATGGTGTCGCCCCTTTTCCAGGCCAAAATGGTCCTGGCACTGAGTTCTTGATCGCGCATATCTAGTACCACGCCATCAACACATATCTTTCCGGAACTTACGACTACCACCCGCACTGGACTTGTGCTGACGCGCCAATTCTTCTTCAAAAAAGAATCGACTGGCATGTCTCTGAGATCCTTCGCATAAGCCATGACCTATTAGCGCAAGGTATTGCGGGCATTCCGCTATTCTTTCCACTGCGTGTCGCTGGAGCCCGAGCAACTGGGGAGCTAGTGAGGAACGATATACTTGGTCTCCTGCAGACAACGTCGAGGCGAGGGTTTGTGGTGGCTGAAGCTTTTGTAGTTGAGTTGTCGGACTTATGGGCACATAAAGATACTAGTAGTTGTTGACAGAAGCAGATATGCATTACGCTGGACCAGATGAAACAATATTTGAAAAAGAATTGACCGAGATAACCAATTGAGCAATCAAGGAGGTTCATGGCAAAATACATACAACGTAGCTGTGATTTTCCGTTGCCATACTTACAATGTGGTTCGACCAACCACCCTCTGACGGGTGAATACCATCTTACACCTTCTGCTTGAACCTCCCTCTCGTCTTTGCACACCTAGCAACAACAAGAATCACACAACCAAGCAACATGATCGATCCAGTGAACACTTGCAGCCAGAAATACGCAGCTGTACCATCACCCAACCTACTCTCGCCCATCTTGATCAATTCGCCACCGATCGGACCTCCCAACAAACTCGACACAGCAACAACCGTAAACGCCATGCCGATCTTGATGCCTGTCTTGTGCGGCTCGTCGTTCAGCGACGCAATACCAGCTTGCAGCAGCGAGGAGATACCGCCGGCGCAGAACCCATAGCTAACTGCCCACGGAATCATGCTACGGATGGATGTTACGTACGGCCAGGAGAGCAGCGTGAAACTGCCCAGGAGAAGGATGAGGATGTACGTGTTGATAGTGCCGAAAACGTAGTCGGAGAGCAGGGCAGGAATGATACGGCCTGGAATCCCCGAAGCGTTGAGGATCAGCAGTACGATGAACGACGACGAGTTCTCTCCGTGCAACGCGTGAACAGTGAATTCGCGGACGTAGAAGTACGGGATCCACAGCCCGGCGAACACAAAGAACATGGCCGCTACGTACAAGGCGTAGCTCGGCTCCAGGAACGCACGCCACTCGACGAAGCCCTGCCTCTGGCTCGCAGGGCGTCCGCGCTCCGTCTTGCTCTGCGCAAACGCCTGGATGAGCAGCGAGTTGACGAGCACAACGCCGCACATGATCCACAGCGTCCACGAAATGCCCAGCGAGTTAACCGTATACCTTGCGATAACGGGGAACAGCATACCGCCCGTCGCGCCCCCACATCCCGCAATCCCCATGGCAGTCATCTTCACCCTGCTGCCCTCGAACCAGCGCGCCGTGGTCGTCACAGCAGGACAGAACATCAGCCCATGGCCCACCCCCTGGAACATGCCGTGGAACACAAAGCTCACGCCCCAGCTCTTGCTGAATCCCGCGACCAGCAGGCCGATGATCTGCAGCAGGCTGCCGGCCCCGAGACACACGCGGTAGTGCCCCTGGTCCAGCGCCCACCCGGAAAACGTGCCCAGGAAGAAGACGAAGAAGATGTGGATGCTGCCGATCCATGCAACCCTCGCGGGCCCAGCGGCGAGAAGCACCTCGTACCGCGGCTGGAAGATGCCGAAGGACTGGATTAGCCCGAACGAATTCATCATCACTAGGTGGCCGACGAGGACTTGCAGCCAGGCTTGCGTGCGGGTACGGGCGGCTGAGGCGGCGGGGCGGAAGAAGGAGGTGGGCGCTGGTGAGTTCAGCGCGGGTGTGTTGTGTGAGGGCAGCTCGTTGGCGGCCAGGGGGCTGCGAACCCATTTTCCAAAAGTGGAGAGGAAAGTGAAAGACATGTTGATATGTGATAGATGTTGAGATGAGTGTAGTAGAGGGAAAAGAAGGAAGAACAAGACTATATACAAGAGGAGCAGAAGATTTCCCCCCAAGAAAAGAGAGAAAATTCTTGAAGACTGGTACTGATAGCTATGAGCAACCAGCCATCTGAACAAAAACACACCTTACCGCTCAATCGCACAGGATTCGTCATCTGCTTTACTGTTTCCTTGGTACATATAACTCACCAACTACATGATGGAGCGCGTTAATTCGTCTTGATATGCATTTCCAGGAAGACACCCAGTTTTGCGTCGCGGCCAATGCGCCGATTTGAGTGGGTGAGGGGTTTGCATCTGGAGGCACCATGGATATGTGAATGGGATAGGCATGCTAGTGAGTATGCTAGTGTGATAATCTGCGGAGAGACGTGCGAAGTCTGGCTGGGGATGCGTCATGAACCAGAACATCGACCTCGATCCACCTCGTGATCAACATTGAACTCACCAGTAGCTTGACGAGGAGGAGGACGACGACGACGATGGCTGTACGATATGCAGATGTAGTGTTGTGTGCATTGCGTCTCCCCTGCTGCTTCCTGGGATGAAACTTCCTCGGCGACTTTGCGCGGACCTTGCCGCAGCCTGAAGTATAAACGGAAGGCACTGAGCACATATAGTAAGACAAGGGCACATGATAACTGCCGAGCGTGAAAAAAAGGCTGGGAATAATAGAGGACTCGCCTAGTTGAATAGGTGTCGCAAAATGTGATATATCGCATCCTTTTAATGATCAACTCTTTACACGCTCAAATCTTGCCCCCACACGCTCTTCGCAATCTCTACCTCGAGCCTGACCTTTGCCCATTGCTCCTCCTCGCTCAACTCATTCCCTTCGCTCGTACTCGAGAACCCGCACTGATGGCTCAAACACAGCTGGTCAAGCCCCCCTGGGGTGATGCTCGCCGCCTCCTTCAGTCGGTTGACAATCTCCTCCTTGTTATCCAGCGCGTTGTTCTTGGAGCTCATAACGCCGAGGACAACAACCTTGTGCGCTGGCAGATGACGCAGGGGAGAGAAGTCACCACTGCGCGCATCGTCGTACTCGAGGAAATACGCGTCGACATTCAGCTCCTTGAAGAGGACCTCGGCGACGGGCTCGTAGCCGCCCGAGGCGAACCATTTGGAGCGGTAGTTACCGCGGCAGAGATGGATGCCAATCTTCATATCAGCGGGTCGCTTCTCAATCGCCTTGTTGATCAGCTCGGCGTATTTCCGCGGTAGTGTAGAGAGATCTTCGTTACGCTCCTGCTCGGCGGCTTTGCGCATCTCCGGGTCGCACAGGTAGGCGAGATTCGTGTCATCGAGCTGTACGAAGCGGCAGCCAGTTTGGTAGAGCGAGTGCAGTTCCTCCTGGTACACGCGCGCCAAGTCTTCGAAGAATACGTCGAGGTCGGGGTATGCGGAGATGTCGATGCTTGCTCGTCCGCCGCGGAAGTGCACCATGGTTGGACTTGGGATGCACACTTTGGTCGTCGCGGTACTGCCAATCTTGCGGATTTGCTCCCGCAGGAACTGAAAGTCGTCTACTTGGATCGCCTCGGGATGGCCCAACTTGCCCTTCACAACCAATGTAGGCGGCGAGAAGCCGTCTTTGTGGCGGATGTTTCCGACCTGCCCCTTCTCCTCAATGCCAGCGAGGTGCTTGAGGAAATCAAGATGGAAGTATGCGCGGCGGAACTCGCCGTCGGTTATGGAGAGGAGGCCATTCTCGATTTGCTTCTGTGCGACTTCCGCAATAGCGGAATCCTCGATGTTTCGTAGTTCCTGGACGCTGAGGGTGCCGTTGGCAGCAGAGTTGCGGGCGTCAAGGACAGCTTTGGGACGTAGGAAAGAGCCGACGTGGTCGGCTCTGTAGACGCCATATGGGAGAGGCATTGTTATGAAGTTCTGTGGTGGGGTTAGGACGGTGGCGTGAGCTAGTAAAGTGAATGCTTACATGTAAAAGTTCGTTGCTCCGAACTGTAGTGTCAAGTTAAACGATAGAAATTCAGCAACAGCAAAAGCGCAAGATGATAGAAAAATTTGGAGTCCCACGAGACTTTTGTACTTGTACCTATCATCTGTGCATCCACATTCCGAACTTTGAAGCTACCCCACCACGGCAGTTGTTAGACGCTGTCTAAAACCAGGGTCCGTCTAAGTTAAACCGCAAAACGCCGCACATACATACTGCGATCTTTTTCGGCTGCTTACATGGAGTCAAGATGAGACTGTGCAAATGGATTAATTCGTGATGTGCAGTATAGTTTGGGTGGTAAGACATCGTCAACCGATGCTTGTTTGTGTAAGAGATCACTACGTAGATGAGGCTCGGTGAGGTGAGATGTCGGTAGTACGCATAATTACACGCCGACTTGGCTGACTTGGGCCGACTAGGCAGGCGTCAAAAAGTCCGAGGGTATATTGAAGCGCATGCTAAAAGGTATGTACCAGAATGATATAGAGAATTAGTAGCACATGCAAAACTGGCAGTGCTCATACCCTTCCATTTCAAGCAGCTTTCAGGAGTTTCGCATCCAACAGCTCGCCAAACATACCCTCCCATAAGCCCTCATCTTCATCCTCATCTTCCATGAAGAACCCATCTGCAGCATCGTATATCCGATTGCCCTTACTATCAAATCTCTTTTCCCTCTTCGGCAGATCACGAGCTGCAATCCTGAGCCGAATTGTGCCGGCCCCGCTACCGGAGTCGCCTTCTGTCTCCACTACTGCGGTCTTGTAATCGCTGATCTCGGGTGTGACGGTGATGGGATTGACGGCGAAGAACTTGCAGACAATGATGGCACGCTCTTTGATGTCGGCAAACGTCAAGGCGGGTAACGCGTTCATATCCTCGGGCAATGGAGGGAAGTCTGATTGTGTGGCTATTGCGACATCCTGGCGGAGCTGATCCTCGATGGCCGCGCTGATCTCGGCATCTGGACTCTTCGTGGTAGGATCATCGTCGTAGTTCAGGATGATCTTCTCCTCTTCGTCCTCTTCCTCTTCTTCTTGAACTGGACGTGGAGGTTTCTTGCCGCCATTCTTCTGTCGCTTCTTGCCCGCTTTATCGCGCATGAGCTTGCTTGCCGGGTCCCAATGTTGCTTGAATGGAAAGGGGGGAGCAGTCAGATCGAAGTCCTCTTCCCAGCACTCAAATGCAGACATGCTGATCCTAGACTTCCAAAAGTCGGGATCAGATGCGCCTTCGGGCTCTGGAGGTTCCTCGACCACTGGCTTAGTCTTGGGCGCCTTCTTTAGAGCAGGAGCCTGGCGAGCAAGAATCCGGCTGATTGCTGAAACATTTGGTCGCAACCGCTCGGAGATCTTCAAACGGGGAGTTTGCTGTTCATTCGGGGTCGATGGTGATGGAGCCACGACTTCTTTGACTGGAGTTGGCACAGGCTCTACTGTCTGCGCTGTGTTATGTGAAGTCTGGTCACCAAGTCTTGCCATCAGTTCCTGTTTCCGTTGCTCGAGCTCTGCAGCATTTTGTGCGAGAACTTGGACCTCTTCCTCATCGTCTAGTCGCTTCCGCTTGCCCGAAGATGTGCTGAACGGCTTTGCGGCTCGTCCATGTTCTTGGGGTTGTTGCCCCTTTCCTTCCTCGTACCTTTGTAGGTCATCGAGACTAGCATCTTGCGAAAGTACTCCGGTGTCCTTCAGGTGTCGAAGACGGTTGGTCCGCGTACGCCGTGCATTTCTTGAGTGAGTCTTTGACTTGCCATGGCCAGGTGGTATATGTGGCGAAGAAGGTTGCGCTTTTGGTGTGATCTTTGTAATGCCATCTCTAGACGAGAGAACATCGGGCGCGGAGCTCTCCCCACTGTCACTGTCGCTGTCACTGGAACTGCCATCAGAGTCTGAATCTGATGACGAGGAGCCCGAAGCGCTAGATGAATCGTTCGAGTCCGAGTCTGAGTCTGAGTTGGAATCATCCTCGTCATCCATGGAAACGTCGTCCCCGCTCTCGCCCCCAGGTGCAAAGTCTTCGTCGCCGTCCTCGCTATCTTCATCTTCTCCCGCTTCGGGCTGTTTGAATTGCACTGATTTGGGCGCTCTATGTGATTGTCGTCTTGTCTCAGACCGAGGGCTCGCGTCGCCGTCCATCACAGCTGAGGTCTCTTCTTGCGCTACGTCTGCCTCACCACCAACAGTAGGCAGGCCCGCGACTGCAACACCCTCGTCTACCTCTGCGTCGTCTAGTCGTTGTCGCTTGCGGGGCGGTATGCGCACAGCGGGTCGATTGGGTTGTCGGAGGTATGGGCGGCCGAATGGAACACCGTCGACGAGGTGCAGCCCAGCGTTTGATACCTGGTCGCGTCCGGTCAGTGTGCGCGCGCGGACTTCGGCCGTCATGAGGGGTCGTATGCTGGGTCATATTAGCAGGTAGCATCGAGATGCGGCGGATAGCCATACTTGATATGGTCGTCCTCCTTCAGCGCCTGTGCGACGGGAAAGAAGTGCAAACACTCGAAACCGTCCAGCTCAACGACATAGTGCTCGAGGCCCCAGTGTTCGGCCTCCAGCGGAATGATGTGGTTGACGTCTTCGAGCAGGCGCGTGATGGTGTATGCCTGCGGGCTGTTCGTCTCGGGAACATTCCAGAGGATGTTGGCAGCGGGCAGGCCATTCCGCTGCACTGTCAATCGGAGCCTCATCTTGACGCGTCGAGTCGCGTGAGTTCAAATCTCGAATTATTTGTCGCGTTTCCGATGAGGAATCAACTTTTGGAAATGGAAGGAGCTTGAGCGGCCGCTAGGCTGCATGTGTAAACCACCGTGGTGGAGACTACCTCCGCACATCTCCCGTTTCAATTCCAACCCGATGACGCAACGCTGTAGAACGTGGTATACATATGCGTTCTGAACACTTTGATTTTCACTAACCTGTCCTCACTAACCTATCCAAAATAACCTATCAACACTAATAACAGTCATAATGCCTTTCGCACTCAAGGGAATGCCCATTAGCAAGCTCAAGGGGAACTGGACATGTCTCCTCAATGAAGACAGACTCCAGCGCTCGTCGCAAGTTCTGTCAGTCATTGATCAGACAGTATGCGTATTTGGTGGCGAGGTGAAGCCTCGAGAGCCTGTAGACGATCAAGTCGACGTCTTCTCACTAAACAATGGTAAGTATTGTCATCCTCTTTTGCTATTGCAGTACTCAGCTATGTCAGACACACCCAATCTCGAAACCAAGTCGCATTCGTCGGCTCCTAGCCCCCGCGTTGGAAGCACATCTGCAGTTATCAATGGAAACATGTACATTTTCTCCGGACGAGGCGGCACTGAAATGGCCCCTATCGAAGAGCACGGCGCAGTTTGGTCCTATAACCCCTCATCTTCATCCTGGTCAAACATCTCCCCAGCAGACTCATCGAAACCACATCCACCAGCACGCAGCTACCACTGCTCTGCCAGCGACAACCAAAATAACATATTCATCCACGCCGGCTGCCCCACTTCAGATCGCCTCTCCGACCTCTGGAAATTTGACATCTCCGACCGCACATGGACACAACTCCCCGATGCCCCCGCTCCTCACCGTGGAGGCGCATCCATCGCCTACAAGTCTGGTAAGCTGTACAGAATGCATGGCTTTGACGGGACGACAGAGCAGGGTGGCAGCATTGACATCTTCGATATCTCGTCCAACACCTGGAGTACGGAGACTTTCAACCCAGACGGAAACGATGGACCTGAGGCACGAAGTGTCAGTGTCCTCTTGCCGGTTCGACTTGCACAGAAGGATAAGTTGATCACGCTGTTTGGTGAGAGGGATCCGTCATCTCAGGGGCATGCTGGTGCGGGCAAGATGCTGAGCGATGTCTGGATCTACGATATCAGCGAGAACTGGTGGACACAATTGCATCCTGAGGGTACTGATGGGGTTCCGGATCCAAGAGGATGGTTCGATGCCGACGTTGTGAAGAACGAAGATGGGAATGACAGTGTTGTGTTGCATGGTGGACTTGGTGGAGACAACGAGAGGCTGAAGGACGTCTGGCGTATCACGTTCTAGTTAGCACACTATCCTATGCACGACCAGTAGGCATGCATTTATCTTGCATTCGCCTAGATCTCAATACATAGCCTACTTGTACTGTGGCGTGCATAGTGTCTCTCGGTTAAGCGTGAAGGCCGGGATTGAGCTGTGCAACATGTAACATGCTTGTAGGATTCACCGTGTGGCAGTGCAGTGGCTGTGCCAGGATCGACATGTGACGTATGCGATACGCGCGACACTACATGGGCAGGCAGGTTACAGAAGACAAACCGAAACGCTTGGCCTCGTCGCTCTCATTCACTCCAGTACTTAGAACTCTGAATTGCCGTTGCCTCTCGTACATAATCCTTTACAGTCTCCTACAAACCCCTCAAATCTCCCAAACTTCGTACCCCACCTTGCGCAAGCCCACTTTCCGCCAACATGAGCGGACACGGTGATCCTCGACTGCTCTACACGATTGGGGGCATCCACGCCTACCACATCCAGCAGGGCGATGAGTCTTGTTTGACGCCCTCGGGACCGCAGACGCTTTCCCTGCTGATGGTGCCGACAAACTCACCCTTTGCCGATCTCAGCAACACGCGCCCCCAGAATGAGATGCCAGAAGAAGACTTCTACCTCCATCTTAACCTCCCCCCAGAGCTCGACCTCCCGCTCCCCGCGACAACGCAGATCTACCACCAGCCCCCGCACAGCTACCTCATACCACGATGGGACCTGGGCCCAGAGAGCGGCGCCTTCACGCGCATCGAGTTCCCCGCACTTGGAAAGGGCCCTGGTTCCGTCACGCAGGAAGATATCGATACCTTTGAGACCATCTTGGCGCAGTGCACCTCGTTCATGGAGCGCGCACAGGTGTCGCAGTCGATCAAGGGCGAGAAAGGCGCTATGCAGACGTACAACCCTCAGGACTACCAACCGGGACAGGTGTATGCAGGATCAAGCAAGCATGGCGAGGTTGTGCTTATCGACGAGGAGAACGGCAGTGTTGTGGGCGAGTTGGCTGGAGGAGCTCGTATTCACGAGGATGCCAGCCTGAAGCCTGGATCCAAGAGTAAGCCGAGTGCTCCACCCATTGCAACGTTGTTTCTTACTGACGCAGATACAGATCCCGTCGAGATTACCGTCTCAGCAGATGGCAAGCGCATCGACGTCAAGCCATGCTCAGACGACTACCTTGCCCTGTCCCGCCATCCCGCGTACAAGGACTCCACCCTGGTACAGAACTCGGCTGCTGCCTCCCGCCTAATCGTCACCGGCTCCAGCTACATCAGCAACATGATGGTCTCCGGCGCTGAGTCGTTTATGCAAAAGACGAAGCCGAACGAGAAGCCGATGGTCTTCCAGCCCGCGACACACGACCGCGTCCGCAAGATCAACACCTTCACAACCGGCGTAGCTGGATACTCTGCCAAAACGGTCGGCCAGATCTCAAAGTACGCGCAAAACGCCGCAGCCGGTATGGCAGGCCATAAGAAGACCCAGCACAAGAGCTTGAATGCCGACGGCACCCACAACCAAAACTACAAGCCCGGCCTGCTGAACAAGTCTTTGATAGCATTCTCGACTATCGCAGATGGCATCGCCAGCTCAGGCAAAAATGTATTGACATCTGGCGGTGCAGCGGCAAGCGCAGCTGTAGGACACAAGTACGGTGCCGAAGCTGGAAGCATCACTACCAACCTCGCTGGCGGTGTCAAGAACGTAGGTCTCGTTTATATCGATGTGACGGGTGTCAGTAGACGCGCCATTCTCAAGTCTGTCGCCAAGGGCATGGTCGTCGGCACAGTCAAAGACAAGCGGGGTCACGAACAGACGGTCATCGTAGGTGGTGGTGACGGCGGTGCAGTCACACCTGGCGACTTGAATCCACAGATGGGTGTTCAGAATAACAATCTCCCTCCCAACATGTCGAGCCAAGGTCCAGCTGGCCAGATCGGATTCGGCGGGCCGCCACCTACTTATCGAACGGGAGTCGGTGAGTCGCTTGATGGTCAGCCGGCCTACTACCCACCAGACACGAAGCGGTGAGGGACAGGCATATTGCTTTTTCCTAGCACCTGATGAGGCACGAAGTTACGATGTGGAATTCTAAGCATGATGATTCGTGCGTGTCGACGGTATGAGAGTAGCGAGGTGTTTTGGACGGCCCTTGTGAGCGTTTGTAGATTTCGTCACTTCCCACCTGCCTGTGGTTTGCTCGTCGATTGTGGTACCTATATATCCTTTTTTCAGTGACTTTGTCCTTGTCATTATTCAGTCTTGGTCTTGTCACTTTTGCTGCTGAGAATTCAGTTCGTGCATACTACATACTCTCGCTCTTGTTGGACTTTTCTACCCACGACTACATCCCTTCAACGTAAACTCGTATACCCACAATACCCGCCCGCTTCCCTCCTAATGCTCCGCTTCTTCCACCCCGCGACCGCGATGACGAGGCTCGGTCTCCGCACAGCAACTACAACAGCACGACATGCACTTCGCTCCTCTACCTACACTATCAACAGCAAACTCAGTACCAGCACACCAACAGCCCAACCCACAACACCACATGGCCCTTCCACCCAAAACCTACGAGGTACATACACGCCGCTCTTCCTGGATGCATAGGGGATGATACTGAGTTGCGTAGATTCACAGATGGAGAGAGAGGCAGAGGCGGAGACGGAGATGGGGTATCTTGTGTTTTTGCGGGTGAACACTTTTTCGTGAAGGAGGGCTGGGTAATGGTGTGCTGGTGCTTTTATGCGTGTTGGTCAGCAATGGGGGAACGGAGATGTTCTTCTCCTATATCTTGTGACGGTTGGAGTGGAGAGTTTGTTCAGTGTGTTTGATTGAGGCTTGCTTGTTTCGTTGGGGAAGCACAAGTATCGCTTACGCTTTGGATGCTTGGATCTGGGGGTGGTTTTACTCGTTAACGAGAATGATGTTATTGCATTAGTTGGTTGATTATGTCCCTAAGTCTTGAGCTTGACGTGTCTATCGTGGTTTCTCTGAACGCAACTCAACCGCCAAGAGAGTGGGGATGTTGAGGGTCTGACGTCTACGGCTTTGGAGAAGCTCCCCTCGATACAAGCCCACCTTCAGCCCAAGGCCATCATCAGGCTTCTTTTCTCCATGTCACGTTGGATTCAACGTATGTGGCGTCTCGCCATCAGGAGACAGCTCATTACCGGAATACAGCCGCTATGAGAACTGCGATAACGGCTTTCACCCATATCGAGAAGATCCATATATCCTAAAAAGCAAGTACTGAAACAATGGTGTTACATTCTATTAACAAAGCCGTATAAAAGCACCATATTAAGCTTAGCTGTAGATCTTATACACTGCCGGCCTGCCTTCCGGCTATCTAACGTAGCGTTGTTCGGCCATAAATTACGCACCAAACTCTCCGGTCTACCTCACTGGTCGCCCATCCATGACGTCTCCGTACTTTGGATTCTCGTAGTCGCCGAAACATGCGTAGTCGTAGTCTGCCAATTCGATCTGCTTCTGCTGGACCTTCAGGAATGTTTCCATCTCGCACCAGCCATCATCTCTGTCTCCGCACTCTGCCAAGCTCCGTCCTAGAGGAATCGTCCTTTGGTTCAAGATGAAGTGCACGTAGCTGGTCGGCTTGCCTTCGAGATAGATTTCCTCTCCAGATCTGTTGGGGTTTACAGGCGCAGGTGCCTTGATGACTTCGATGTCAAGACGGCCAGCGAACGGTTCGATGTGCGAGAGGATGAATTCTCGTTCCCTCAAGATATGTGACGTAGGCAGGAAGTCGTTGAACTGCGTGAGGCCGAACGCTACGAGGACGCTGATAATGTTTGCGTCGTGGCTAAAGTCGAGGTTCAGCGCCTGGTCTATGGGAAAGGTGACGGTATTGTTGTCAAGCGTAACGTTGACTTGAGCTGTTGGGTCGGTGATGACGTGATGTTGCATGCGAGCGAGCACTTCCTCGACATATCCTGCAACGGGTTAGATACTGTTCTTTTGTGGAGTTGAAAATCATGGCAAGTAACGTACCAACGCCAATAGCGCGGCCGACAGGAGATTGGAATCCAGTGCCAGCCGAAAAGCCAATGTCCAGAGCATATTCATAGCCTTCCCACTCTTCATATGTAAACAGACCGCACCAGTGAGAGAATCCCAAACCAACGGTCTCGTATGAGCAAAGAGCTTGAGCGTTGTCTTTGGGCTTTGTTAGCTGTATGAATCCCGTATCCACTACGAGAACTTACAAGTATCGCTTAGAGTCCAGTCTAAATCGCCTGTGATATTTGCTCTGAAACGCTTATGCGCGTCAGCGAGATAAATCTCCACCCATTCCATCAGAGCTGTTTGTGATTAGCAATCGGCCTGCAGTTGTTCGAGTCACAGGTTCGACCTACACTCCCTTGCTGTCTCCCAACTCGAATGGTTGCACTGCTTGTAGCCTGCCAGCGTATTGTTAAACCCTGGACTCTCGATAGCCAACTCCAGCGTCGCATTTTGAGTCCACCCCAGCCCGAAGAACCCTGCTAGGAAGTACTCTGCAGACTCTGTCATTCGTCTTTGTGTCGTACTTCGCACAACGATCTTGCTGCCATTGTTCGGGTATAGATGACCGTATTGGTAGTAATGCAGCGTTCCCGAATTGAATAGCTCCTGCTTCCCCATGGGAACCAGAATCTCAGCGCCGAGTCCAAATGTCCAGTAGTTGAGAAAACTCAGCGCACCATGGCCTGTGAACTTGCCCTTCGCGTCCATAATCTTCTGTCCCAGCTTGCGTTCTGCAGCGCCACCACTAAACTCGGGATAGCGACTGCCATGACGATGAATCATGTTGAGCCATGTTACGTTCGCGCCTGGGGGTATCATGTACTCGTCGACTCCGAAGCCTCGAGGGTTGGGGAAGTAAGGGCTGATATTTGCGAGACTCTGGAAGATATTGCGATTGTCCACATTTCCAGCAATCGGAATCTGGGTTTCCAAGGGGGTGTTTGGGATGTAAGAAACTCCTACGAAGGGAGCTATGTTCGTTTGTGCGAGGAAGGGCGCATCGCCTGTTTGCGTCGGACCTGGGTCAAGTCAGGTGAGCTGATCTTTCCATGATAAAATTTGAAGCTCACCAGCAAAGTGACGGTCATCAGTAACAAAGTAGTCAGGAAGACCTGAAGATTTTGTTGTTGATGTAGCTGTGAAAGCAGTCGTCTGGTCAGCGAAATTCTTTGTAAAAAATGTCATATCGACACTCCATAAAATCATTGAACTCACGCTTCACGCGAACATGTTCAGCTTGAATGGGCAATTGAGCTCCAAGACGGCCTCCTCAATGTCAGCCATAGTTTCGAACTCCCATGAGATGCATATAATCTAATGTTGATTTTGCCCCGACAATGTACACACCGAATGCAGCAGGGTTGAGTGAATCTAGGAGTTGCAGAGAGATCTCGAACAGTCCAAGCATGGTTACTGTATCGCGAACGTGCAGGACCGATTAAACGTAAGAAATCCGGATGGCGGCGACTTGGACACGAATGATCCGCAAAAATGTTAGAACAAAACGTTGAACGCGTACAGCTCTGCAGAAACCGTGTTGTTTTGCCCAGAACTTACGCTTGGGCCAGAAACGCTAGAGTCGGCAATGACGACATCGCCTACGGAAGCGACTCCGCAATGAGACCAGCGTGCAATATAATTCTCGGCGTCTATGGCTCACGATAGAAGAAACAAAGACACAATATACGGGAAAGACTCGTTATACGAAAAATTGTCTACACAGCTACCGTAAACCAAAGCAGGGTAGCAGAGCCGTAGTTGCACCGAAATGCCCCAGAAGCGCGAAGGATTTACTTGACGCGTTGCTAAACAGACCGGACGAAAGCGAACGACGAGTCGGCGGAAGTTACTCGTATTATGCAGTAGTAGTTGCGGTAGACTACAGTATGTCGTAAACCCACCAAGCGGATCGTCCCGACTCGCGCGCTCTTCTTTCATGTAAGTAATTCAACGAAACATTTGCTCATCCTTCACGCCTCCAGTAAGGATGAATATCATCAAGAGCACATGTAGACGCATTCCAAACTGGATAGAGGATACAGCAGTCTTTTAGAGTCAGCCACGTTCTTCCTCGTTATCAAGGTCGTGAAGCTTGAAGAGGTACAATGTTCGGCCTCCGGGTTATCTTTCTCGTATACAGTTTGGGTCACCATCATCACTGTCGAGTTCAGATATGATAGCTGCACTCTGGCTCGCTTGTCCTAGTGCAACGTCGTCGCGTACGTTGCGTCGTGATTAGTCTTACCGTCTCTCATCTCTTCATTCATTATGGTTCACTTTGCTCTTGTATTCTCGACTGTAGTTTGACATTTTGATAAACAAAGGACCGGCAATCTACATGCGGAAGACTCACCCGTTAGCAAACACATTTCTTCAACTCCCAGAGTCTTGTCCCGAGAGTGGTCTGATCCTGACATCATACTCGCCAGCTATCGCCGTCAGCAGCCTTGGATTCTCTGAAGTAAATGATTTGCCGTCAATTCCGTTGTAGCCGTGGATTACTCCGGTTGCTTAGAGAAATAGCAATATAGAAAAGTAGCTATGATGTCAGTCAACAGAGATCCCATCTACAGATTGTACCGCCTTGCCTTTCCATGGCTTTCAATCGGGCCGGTGTTGCTGCTGCAGAAGAAACTCGGCGAACCCCAAGACCAGTAAACTAGCTCAGGTACCACGTGCTGCATGTCGCTAAGGAAACGCCGAATACGAGGTATTATCCCATATCCACGGTTGAGGTCTCCTGTTCTTTGAATATGGTTCGTTTATATGCGGGAGTGACGAATGACGGAAGTAAGTTGTTCGGATGATGTCCACTGAGACCGCGGTGGCAGTGGTCTGTGCTGCCTCTCCGTGAACGTGAGAAGTTAATGGGATATACGAATGCCAAAAAGCTAGGGCTGTTTAAACCTAGCAAGCCATTTCGTGAGAGAGTACTAATGCCAATGAAGTTTGAACGCGGGGAACGTGGACATGCTCAATCCGATGATCTTCATAGAAACTATGCCGTAAAAAAGCATGGACATGCGATCGACCTGCGAGATACTGGGATTTCATCATCTTATCCCGTCATATCTACTGTGTGTACGTACACAAACAAGAGAGTACAATTGCCTCAAAATGAATCGGCAAAGATCTCCAACAAATGTTCATCTTAGTAGCGCGCCTGTTGGTCAACTGTAAAAGCGGGAAGTAAGCTGCGTTCTTCACGGCACCTACAAGCCGAAGAACTAGACAAATAAAGTTTACTCAAGCGCATGCAAGGCGTATACTGTTAGTTCTTTAGGCGCCAGACTCTTATCCCAATCCTAGATGTAGTTGTCAAGTTATGGGCAAGACTTTGCAACTCCTTGGCTCCTGGTATTTCGATTAACCAAGAGCGCGCTTCCAACTAAGACGCGCACATCGTCGGTGAATTGAGTCACTTGAACTGCAAACGACCATTGATATTTTGCCCGTAACCCCACCCCGGTTTTCGATGTAACTGTACGGGGTGATGACGACGAGCAGGTGCCCATGCTAACTGAATGCTTGCTGAGTGTCACCTCGGCCCGACCCCAGGGTTGCGCAAAGTAGAGAATCTGAAACGGTCGTAGACGCTGTTCCGGGTATCTTCACGTTCCGAGAGATCGTCACCGAGCAGGAATGCGATAGTAACTTCACCAAGTCAGCACAGGCTGTCGGGACAAAGGCCTTTGATTTCGACTTCACCGGTAGGAGCATCGATACGAGAATACTCAAAGCAGCTTTGGGTACGAGGTGTTCCGCTGAAAAGAGAAGGCGTTCCATACATGGATTAAGGGATGTCATTCGCCTGACGATCTTTGTTACCCAAGGAAACAGAACCCTGCTTAAGTGAAGACACAGTGCGTCCCGGAGTAGCGGGACTCGGATGAATGTTTTCTGATGAGCGATATGGTTCGCTCGTCCATGAGTCGCTCGCCCGGCTCAACAACCAACAACTGCTCAGTGCATATGATGGTACAAGACACAAATGTAGAGCATCATTTGACTTGAGGGCATCGTTGCCAAATAGATCAGAGCTTTACAACGATGAAAACGGCTCAAGTAGCTGTTGGGGGTAAGTTCTGCGAGCGGAGGACAGGAATCCTTTCCGCCTAATGAGGCCACGGAGGTGCAACGGCGATTCAGGAGTGACAGAGACGAGAGACAGGCTTGCGCCGCAGGGTCCAACCCATATGCCGATCCAGTATGTTTGTGGCTGTAGCCTACGGAACAGAAAGGCAAGGGATAGATGGATCAACACCCAAACCTGACATGGTGTAACAGAGGGGGCGCGTGATGCATTGACCCATCAAGTCAGTCGTCGATAGATGCAGCACCAACGTCGTGTGTGGTTTGAGCTTTCCCAGCAGAGGGTTTCAACAACACGAGCTTGCGGATGTACTATGGTGGGGCTTTCAACACGGCTGCAGGCGTTTGCTGGGTGTTGACAGGTCGCTCGCCAAGATGGCCATTGTCATGGTGGTGCGGGCATGATTGGAGATGAAAATTCGAGGTGTCAGCAATACTGGGGTGGGAGATGTGCGAGGGATATTTCCGGAAACTCGGCATGATGTCAACGTCAATCTCGCTGCTTTTGGTTGAAAGACGACGTCATGTGGGATCTCAACTTTTGGCGATCGGTGGCAGGAGCCGACTGCACGCCTTCCTCCAGTGAAGCCTGCAAAGGAGAGCGCCAATGTTCTTGTGTGAGATGTTCACCACCTAGTTACCGCCTGTCCAGCCCCCCCCACCCTCTTATGAATCGACAAAAACAACGGCATCCGCTTCGCATTATATTTTTCTCATTCCACACCGCTCTAAGCCACCATCGACGTTTCCTCGGGCCTGACCACCATTCTGCAGCCACACCACGAGGTTTTCGGCTCGGCTAACCATCATCGTCGTATTCCGTCCAGCTTCCTTCTGCTCACGATCCCTCTTCAGTTCTCTCGGCCCCAGTTTATTCACGCAGGGACATCCGATTTTCTGCCTGTACTCAGGGACCCTTGAAAGCACCCCCTTGTAATCAAAGGCTAGCGCACTGGCCGTGGGCAGCTTAGCATCTTCGACAACACCCTGCATCCACTATTCCCTCTTGGCGCTCGACCACTTGATCCAACGGCCGCCTCTTGCCGACAGTTCAAACCTCCACTCTACAACTCATCAACCTGACCTATTCTCCTACCGTTCCTGACATGTTCAGACAGCCACAGGTCACGATTACTCCCTACCCGACTGCTATTGAGCACGTCTCGTATCCTGACGATATGTCGACCACCTCCTCAACCTCATCTATCGACATCAACGACCAGGAAGGTTCAAGAGGCGACCCCACGCTCCAACCACGACCCCGTCTTGGAAGCAGGAAATCGAGCGGTACCATAATAATACCGCGCGATAGTCCAAATGTCGAACTCAAAGAAGAAGAATACGACGATGGCGACGCTCGTACAATGAGCCCCAGAAGAAGCAGCGAAGAGATCCACAAGATGGGTGAAGATGCTCGACAGGCGTTAATAGAGTAAGTCGCTCCAACAGTCGCATCCCTCACGAGACCCTCTCCGCATCACTACTCACATATGGATGATACTTTGTGCAGTTCACTGACCGCATTTTTAGACAAGCCAAAGCCTTACAAGCTAGCCTTCTGGAGATTGTCGATCGTGTAGAAGTCGTCAAGTCGGAACACGAGAAGCTCGAGGGCGGTAACAAGTTCCTCCAATCGTGAGTCTTTCCTCGCCATCAATATGTGTTTCGAACCCTCTCTGACGCGCCTTAGATACATTGGCGAGCTCATGCAGACAAGCAAAATCACCTCGTCCGGCGCTGGCAAAGGCGCCAAGGGCAAAGGCAAAGGACGAATTATCAAATGATCGTTGCAGGCGCCCTCTCCACATTCTGACAGGCTAGAATCCTCTGCATCATCGAGGCGTTTGCCTGGACCAACCCAATCCACATTACGAAACCACTCATGATGACCTTTCATCCCGCACATCATTCAACCCGGTTTCCTCTCAGCATACCACCAAAATCCATCGCGTTTATGAGCGTTGCATAGCGACACGGGGCCGGCAAACTGGCGTTTTTCATTACATTTCTTCGGCACAATGGCTTCTGTCTTACCACATTCCCACTAAATTCGGCAACACTTTTGGATCAGGCCTCGCCGAGCCTATACATTTTCTTCGCATAATCACGTGCGGAGCGTACCGCGCCCACACACTTTTCTGATCCCGTCAACGTTGGTTGGGACATGGCAATATCGGCGTTTCAGGAGTATAAATCTATATGTGGCATTTTGGCCTGAGATTTTGAGATATCATATGAAGTTTACATCTGCAATTGGCAAATATCCATGGCACCCTGGAGGTGCCGACAATTGGTTTGAATCAATAACACTGGCAGTGATGTCGATCGGGTCAGCCGTCACATGACCAAGCTTCCGGTAGAACAGGCAGTAGTATCGTTGATCAATCAGCTGAAATATACCAACATCACTCAAATGCATCAACGTTACTCAAACCACGCAGCTGCATGCTCACAGCTTGCTATCATGCAGCAACAAGCATAGGCTGTCCAACAACGCATCCTTACCGACTATTGGCGAGTCATTCGGCGAGCAAAAGAGCCCCATCGCTCAGCAAATAGCGACACTGCAGTTTTTCCACTCCGTCCTACACACCGCCACCTTCCCCTTCCAGCATCCCCACGCCCGAATCAAAACAACTCACCCTCCTGAAATCCACACACATGCCCCAAACCAGCCGCGGGCAAATTGTGACGCGTCCCCGTTTACCACATGCAGCGCCTGCATTGCATATGATATGCCAGGCCCATAATTTGAGGCTCCTCGCGCACCGGCGACAGCGAGAAACGCCAAACCCCACCTACCTACCCTTACCTTACCCACTTTCTCTCTCCCGGTCATACCAATGCATAAAATTAAGAGCTACCCTGACGTGACGCCTCTTCCGCCTTCCGCACATGGCCGCGCGCGAGCGAGAGCGAGAGATCGGATCGAACCGAGAGAAAGGACGTGACAGCGGATGACTTTTGTGGTCTATTTTTTTTTCTCGCAAATAAATGGGGCAAGGGGGCTCATCCGTGCGTTTTTGTCGGTGCTTTGCTTTGGTTACTCGGAGATGGGGTGGGGGCTGCGCGCGTGGGAGACTGTCCGAGTTGGTTGGTAGGTACCTAGGTAGGTGGTGTATGTGTATTTGTGTGTGTGTGTGGCGTGATGTGGGCTTGTCGCGGCGTTGTTGTTGTTATGGGTATTGTCACGATAACGGTTGTGGTGGGTGGGCCAGACGGTCAGACAGGGTCAAGCAAAGTCCAATGCTCGATTCAATCCGCAGGATGCATACATACTCGATAATCTTCGGAAGGGTACCAGGACAACGGGGCACGTTAGATTAATGCCACGTGGTTTGGTCGTGTTCCATCTTTTTCCTCTCTCGATTGAGTGGTTGACGGATGGGTAGGGACGAGCAGAATGTAGACGTGTTCAACCGTAAAGGGTGACTTGCATACACATACATACACGTACACATACACATACAAAACACAACCTCTCACCCAAGTCCAACGCCCACCCAAATCCAACCCCAAAAACGCGCCACCCTACAATCGATCACCAACCACCAACCATCCCATCACCACGAGACAAACACTCCATGATGACAAACCCCCCATGATGACAAAACCTGCCTACCCAACACCCACAAGCACCATACATCCTATTCATAAATCCCAGAATATCCACGTCCATATATACCAATTAAACAAAACAAAATAAAACAAAACAGAGTAAACCAGCCAGTCTTGTTTTCCTACAAACAAACGGACGAATGCGGTATGAGACTTGATTCCATCCAGCATTACTTTACACGCAGAATCCAGCAGGGAAAGCACGCTGTGAGAGTGTCAAATCGTCTCCTAACAACCGCTTGCCGAACGTTCAGAAGCCTTGTCTTGGTCCTTAGATTTGTGTCTTGAGAGGTTCTTGCGCGTGCGGCGTTGAGGGATGTAGGTACGGTGTATAAGGGTGTTGGTAGATGATACAGTGCTATTCAGGAGAGTGAGGAGGTAGTTAGCAAGAGGGATATGCCATGCAGCTATAGTGGTGGGAGTAGTAATGGAGATGGGTACTCGTTTCCTTCGTGACTTGAAGATTGAGGTGCTCCATGTCCTGAAGCGTGGTTTGGGAATACAGTTCAGGGCAGGAATATGACAAGCAGTCATAGTTTATACCTCCTATATACATACACACATCCATCTAACAAGAGAACGATGTGAATAGTAACGTATCGCGCATCCCAAGCACCCTGCGATGCCACAGGAGGGGAAAGAAGGAACTTATAATACGTTCTCTGTGTATGTGTATCTGTTTATAAGGGTCCAGGTATTCTACATATTTTCTCCGTGTAGTGTAGTTTGTATCAAGCACGTTATACTCTGTGTGTTCAACAAACTGGATTGATTGATTGATTCAGTTACTCCCATCAACCACCTAATCACAAACTACTAACTACCAACCACCATGCCATACCCCTCAGCCTGGATTCAGAACAACAAGCCAACTCAATAACCCAGCAAAACCACATACAACCCATCTCCCCCCCTTCGACTCTCCCATACATCACCCCACCCTACCCCCCCACCTAACCTCACAAAACCCATCAAGAAAGAAACACACCCCACCAAAAAAAAGGCAGCAAGAGAACCAAAAAGATGTTTCAATATGATATTCAGCTAAGTGTACACAAAATACAGTTGCCATTGCATCTCTGCATCTCTCCATCCATCTCTCCATCCATCTACACCTCCACTTCCACTTCCACATCCACTTCCACCCACACAATTACGCACCCAACTTCCCCTACGAGATCATCCTACTCATATCATTCCGAATACGATTGTAATCAAACAAACCCTCAATCTGGCCAACCGCCGAAATAGCCACATCACGGTCCCAAAGCTTGCTCCTCGCAAACGCCATGACATCTTTCTCGCTGATGCGGCCGACGACGCGCTCGACCTCCTCGGGGGATAACCGGCGACCGGTAGTGACGATCTGGCGGCCAATGTCCTCTGCGACGGCCGTGGTGCCGTCGAGGGCGAGCAGGATCGAGGCCTTGAGTTGGGCTTTTGCGCGCTCGACTTCGGCGGAGGTGACGTTCATGGACAGGCGGGACCATTCGCGGAGGGTGAAGTGGACGAGGTCGTCGAGTTGGGTGACGTTGGAGCTGGTGAGGTAGATTCCCCAGAGACTGGGGTTGGTTGTTAGCAATTTTTTTTAGATTGAATTATGAATTGGGTCAGACGTACCCAGTGTCCGAGTAGCTGGTGGAGAAGCTCATGAAGCTGTTGGCCAGGTTGTTTTGCGAGACAAAGTTGCTGAGCTTGCTGCCAAGGTAGGCCGAGGTGCCCATGGCGCGGTCCCAGTTGCCGACAATGGCCTGTGTGACCAGCGCGGTGAAGTAGTCGGGGTCGCTCCAGCTGACACCCTCGACGGCAATGGCGATGTTGGCCGTGCCCATGGTGTCGTCGCGGAGCCTGACCTCGGAGCCAATGAAGTCGGGCTTCTTCTTCTGCTCGGCGGCGATGCTCTTGGCGGAGTAGTCCTGGGGCTCGGACGGCAGGCTGGCGAAGTACTTCTCGGCGAGGTCGACGAGCTGCTGGTGCGGGACACCGCCAGCACCAACAAGCACCATGCGGTCGGCCGTGTAGTTTGTCTTGATGTACGTCTCGAGGTCGGCGCGCTGGATGCTCTGGATGTTCTCCTTGGGGCCGAGGATGGTGCGGCCGAGCGACTGGCCCTGGTAGGCGGTGGCGTGCAGGTGGTCGAAGACGACCTCCTCGAGCTGCTTGTCGACCTCCTCCTGCTCGCGCAGGATGACGTCGCGCTCGCGCTCAATGGCCTGGGGCTCGAGCTTGGAGTTCTGCAGGATGTCGGACAGGATGTCGACGGCGGCGGGCACGTCGTTGTTGAAGGCCTTGGCGTAGTAGACGGTGTTCTCGCGCTGTCAGGGCGTCAATGGCGGCTCTCGGCACAAGTCCCCCCCGCAGCGTGCACATACCGACGTGTAGGCGTTGAGGTGGCCGCCCATGTTCTCAATCTCCAGCTCCAGCTGCTGCTGCGTGCGCTTCTGGGTGCCCTGGCGCGGGGCGTTAGCGGAGGCTCAGGCGGCGGGGCGGGCGCGGGGCGGTACCTTGAAGGCCAGGTGCTCGAGGAAGTGGGCAGTGCCGTTGGTGCTGTCCGTCTCGGCGCGGCTGCCCGCATCGATCCACACGCCGACCGTCGACGTCTGGGCCCACGGCGAGTGCTCCGTGGCAATGGTGAAGCCGTTGCCGAGCGTCGTCGACTCCGTCTTGGAGCCGTAGCTGACGGGCGTCGCCAGGCCCCGTGTCAAGGCCGACGACTTCTGGCTCTTGACGGCGCTGATGGCGGCGCGGGAGCGCATGCTCCGCTGCAGGTTGAGGGCGAGCTGCCGGGAAGCCATTGCGTCAGCTCGCTGTGGCGGGAGGGGATGGGAATGGCGGGGGGGCGGGGGGCGGTGATGGGTGTCGTGCGTGGACGTCTGCAAGCTGCTGCGTGGGCCGCCGTCGTGGTGTTCGAAAACTGCTTGTCACTGCCCCTCACGTGACGTCCCGGCTCCCACCGCAGGCCAATGAGCGGCGCTTGAACGTCAGCAGTGCAACCGAGGGAAGAACGTCAGTGCCAGTGTCGAGCAGTACAAGTCCATCCCGCATCTCCGCCCTCTCATTCTCCCCTCCCTCCGTCCCCGACTGCACCGTCCTCGCAATGGCCTCTCTGATGCGCCCCGGCTTCGTGAGGCAGGCCCCCGCCGCCTCGCAGCGCATGCTGTCGACCCTCACGGCCTCCGCAATCAACCGACCAGCCCTCCAGCACCTCGAGCGCGCCGCTCCCCAGAAGTCGACACGCATTGCCGCCTTCCACGCCACGCAGCGCACCCAGATCCTGCCCCCGCTGCCCCAGTCCGTCGTTGGCACCGCAAACGACCCGACACCCGTGCCCGAAGCATCGCCGACCCACGGCAGCTACCACTGGAGCTTCGAGAGGTGCGTTTGACCCTCCCCCAGGTTGGCTGGAGAGATCCGCACGGCCAATTGCATGGAAAAGATATATTTGGACTGGACTGGACTGACGCTCGCACCAGAATCGTCTCAGCCGGCCTCGTCCCCCTAACCATCGCGCCCTTCGCCGCAGGCTCACTGAACCCCGTCACCGACTCGATTCTCTGCGCCCTGCTGGTCGTCCACTCGCACATTGGCTTTGAGTATGCCACCCGTACACAGATATATGGAACCCGTGTAGGGCTAACACCACTACTCCACAGATCATGTATCATCGATTACTTCCCCAAGGCCCGCGTGCCCAAAGTTCGCACCGCTGCTATGTGGGCACTCCGTGCTGCGACGCTCGCTACGGGCGTCGCTTTGTACTCGTTTGAGACGAATGATGTGGGTGTTACTGAGGCTGTTGTGAGGCTTTGGCGTGCGTAGATGATGTTTTCGGAAGGTGGGAAAAGTAAATATAAGCAATTCTATGTCTATTGATTTCAACGTACAAATACCGTCTATGAGTAGGCACATGTGACATGACAAGTTGTGAGTGTGATATCGTTTATGTAGACGGAGTGAATGTACACAAGGGCGATCAAACATCAACAAAACAATTCACATCAAGCAATCAAGCCAGTCAAGTAAAAAAAAAAAGCTCAAAAAGACCTCCATCCATTGCTCAGACCAAGCTACATACGTTGTCCTAAAAGAGGCGCCCCTGACCAGCAAAAACTCCACATATGCAGACAGACAAGACAAGACAAGACAGTAAACACCCAACAAAGAACCGTGTACGAGAGTTGGAAAGAAAAGGCACCAACCAAACCCCGCCCCTCCCCCTGCCCCGCCATCAAATTCCCCCAAAAAACGGTACGCGAAAACGCCAAACAAAACAAGGAGAAACGAGAGGAAAGAAAGAGAGGAAAGAAACCGTGTCGATTCCTCATCTGCACTTCCCCCTTCCCCTCCACTCCACTCCAAACCAGGTATACCCATGCCCCCAACCACTGATCAACGCACACCCACAACCTTGTATACATTTTCTCACTCCCTCTGCATGCCCCTCGCCCCCTTCCCACCACCACAATCACCACCACCACCCCCACCAACACCAGCACAGAGTTCCTAACTACTATGGCTCCTCAAAAGCAACTAATGACAAACAGACATTAGTCACCTACGCGTCTACGCTTAGTCGGCGGGTTGAATGAATCACTCACCCTCTCAATAGACCCCTCGGTTTGGTCTACCGCCAGCAGCCTAGGACTATCGCCGCCGCCGCCCCGGTCCGTGAAGCCGCGCGTTTCGATACCGGGTCGGCGCGGCGGCGGCCTGGCTTTGGGCGTGCCGCCGGCGCTCTTCGAGGACCCGCCGCCGCCGGGGAGGTTGATGTCGGGTGTTGCCAGGGCGTGCTGGCGCTGCTCGTGTTCGTAGAGGGAGTTGCTGAGCGTTGCGCACCGGAGGATGGTCTGGATGAGCTGGTTTTGGCGGAGGGGCTTGGAGAGGTAGTCCTGGTGTGGGGTTAGCTAATCTGGCTTTTGTGACGGGGATAGATGGGGGCGCAATAGACTTACGTCCATCTGGGCTGCGAGACACTTCTCGCGATCGCCCACCATGGCGTGGGCAGTCAGCGCGATGACGGGCGTGGACTGGATGCCGTTTTCACGTTCCCACTCGCGGATCTTTGCGGTTGCTTCGAAACCACCCTGTTGGAACTGTTAGCAAGGCTCGGATATCACTAGAACATACAAAAACTTACCATGACAGGCATCTGCACGTCCATGAGCACACAGTCGTATCGCTTCTTCTGGATGTGCTCATATGCTTCGAGACCGTTGTTCGCCACAGTAACCCTGTGGTGGTACTTCTCCAGAATCCTGACAGCAAGTTTCTGGTTGACAGCGTTGTCCTCGGCAAGGAGAATGTTGAACGACTTGGAGTGGTCTGATACAAGTGGCGCAGCCCGACCGTCGAGAGCAGGAACAAGCGCGTTACCCAAGTCGATGGGGAGACAAGGCGTAGTCATGTAGCTTGAGATACCGTTCTCGAGCGCAGATCGGAGGCTGATCGACACCCTCGGCGTCAGCATAACAAGCGGAATGTACTTGAAACGCTCGGCAATCCGGAGTTCGCGAGCCGTGTTGTCGTTGTCAACAATGACACAGTCAAATGGCATCTCGGTCCTCTTGGCTGATGATGGTACTTCCTCAACTGAGTGGACGACCATTGGGACGAGGTCGAGAGTCTTCAGGTGGTCAATGACCTCTTCAGAGAAGTTGGTATGGCCCTGATCAACGAAGAGCACTGTGTGCTTGCTGTACGGCAGGAGCTGAGGCCGGATCGCAGTCCAGTCGGTGTTTCCAAGACGAACTCTGCATGTGAAGTAAAAGACACTGCCCTTGCCGAAATCAGACTCAACCCACATACGACCACCCATAAGGGTAACAAGGCGCTTGGAGATAGACAAACCAAGTCCAGTACCACCAAACTTCCTAGTTGTCGAACCGTCGGCTTGCTGGAACGTGTCGAAGATGAGGTTGAGCTTGTCGCCACGAATACCGATACCGGTATCAGATACAGCGAACTGGAACACGTAGTGGTCTGGGCCGCACTCCTGATCTGCAGCCATGGAGATGGCTACCTTGACTTCTCCATGCTCGGTGAATTTGATGGCGTTGCCAACGAGGTTCAGAATGATTTGCCTCAACCTGAAGGAATCGCCAATAACGTAATCGGGTATCTTGTAGGAAACGTCGTACGCGAGATTCAATTTCCGCTCGTTCGCTCTTGAAGCCAAAGATTTGAGCGCGTTGAAGATGGTTCCGCGCATTGAGAACGGAATCTCCTCCATAACCATACGGTTCGCTTCGATCTTGCTGATATCGAGAATGTCGTCGATGATGGTCAACAGTTGACCGGCCAAGTTGTGCACAATGGTAAGCATCTCACGTTGCGCGTGAGTGAGATCAGTGTCGAGGGTGAGCTGCGTCATTCCGATGATACCGTTCATAGGCGTTCGGATTTCGTGCGACATATTCGCCAGGAACTCGGACTTGGTCTTATTGGCCAGTTCGGCTGCTTCCCTGGCTGCCGTGTTCCTCTGGATACTCTCTCGCAGACTGGACACCATCTGGTTGATCTTCCTCTTCAGTTCGTCCATCTCACCTGAGGCCTCGACCGTAATCTGTGTGAACTTGCCCTCCATGGCAGCATTTGTGATGTCGCCAAACGCACGCACTTGAGATGTGAGATTCTGCGCCATCGTGTTGACGTCGGTTGTGATCTCTTTCCAACGTCCATCAATGTCTCGAACATCTGCCTGACCACCCATCTTTCCGTCGACGCCCACATCGCGAGCGACGCGCTTCACAGCAAGCGACCATTCATCGAGTCGCATAACCATGTCGTTGATGGTGTCTTTGAGAAGTCGAATTTCTCCCTCGGCGTCCACGTGCACTCTTCTGCTCATGTCTCCCTTGGCGATGGCCTGGGTGACCTCCGAAATACTTCGTACTTGCAATGTCAGGTTCTGGGCCATGGTGTTGACATTGTTGGTCAAATCCTTCCACTTGCCCTCAACATTGTCGACTTGCGCTTGTCCGCCCAGAATACCGTCAGTACCGACCTCGCGCGCGACCTTGCTAACCTCTTGAGCGAACGTGTTCAAACGGTCTACCATGGTGTTGATGGTGATCTTGAGAGACAGAATCTCACCCTGAACCTCGGCCTTGACTTTCCTGCTGAGATCTCCCCTTGCGACGGCTGTTGTGACTTCGGCAATCTCTCGCACCTGGGTCGTCAGATTCATGGCCATACCGTTGACATTTTCAGTCAGGTCTTTCCAAGTACCCTCGACCCCATGTACTGTAGCCTGTCCACCCAGACGTCCCTCCGATCCGACTTCTCTCGCAATCTTCGTTACTTCATGAGCGAATTGCTGCAATTGGTCCACCATGCGATTGATCGTATTCTTGAGTTCCAAGATTTCACCTTTACATTCTGCTTCGACTTTTCGAGTCAGGTTTCCTTGTGCGACGGCGGTTGTCACTTGTGCTATGTCTCGCACTTGAGTTGTGAGGTTTTGTGCCATGGCGTTCACGTTGACTGTCAGCTCTTTCCACATGCCCTTGACCCCAGCAATTTCAGCCTGACCACCAAGTTTGCCTTCTGTACCGACATCCCTGGCCACTTTTGTTACTTGAGTTGCAAATAATTGAAGTTGGTCCACCATGGTGTTGATCGTCTGTTGCAGTTGAAGAATCTCTCCTCGCGCTGGACGCTCGATCTTGCGGCTCAAATCGCCATGGGCGACAGCAGTGGTGACTACGGCGATTTCTCGCACCTGTTCGGTAAGGTTTTTGGCCATAACATTGACTGCCCAACGTTAGAAAACGGCCCGATTGGAGAACCTTAATTATACATACCGCTATCTGTTAACTCTGCCCAAATGCCAGCAACCCCTGGCAAGTTGGCTTGGCCGCCGAGACGGCCCTCAGTGCCGACCTCTCGGGCTAGGAATGTGACTTGACTGGCGAACTCTTGCAACTGGTCCACCATGGTATTGATCGTACGTTTGAAGAGAGTGATTTCCGGGTCCATTTCCTTAGCATGTATCAGAACCTTCTTGCTCAGGTCACCCATAGCAACGGCTGTAACAATGGCTCCAATTTCTCGCAGGGCTTTCTGGAAAGCGAGGTTGGCCTGCTGATGCTTGCCGAGCTCCCGCTTCAGGGCGCCAATGTCCTCGATACCATGCTCAAAGGCCATGTTTTGACTGTTCAGTTGCTTGTTGACTTCGGCGCCGAGGTTATCGATGTGCTCGCGCTGGTTCTTGATCTGCTCGGCTTGCTTGTTCAGGTGGTCGCGTAGGTAGTTGAGCTGTTCCTCGGTAAGGGCAGCGGCAGGCACTTCGGGGTCGCCGTTCGACTCCTTCGCGGCCAGCCAGTTGTTGACCCAGACGGCGCGCTCCTTGATCGAGCCGCGACGGTCAGGCGGGCCGTTGGTGGTGCGCAAGGCGCCTGTGGGCGTGTAGACGAGGCCATTCTCCGGGGGCTCGCCCGCCGGTGTCATGGGGAGACTTGGGTGATGGACGACGACATCACTCTTGTGTTCGAGGAACTCTATCCTCGTCGCAAGGGCAGCCAGCTCCTGCTCGAGCTGTGTCTTCTCTGCACAGTCTGGCCCCGGCAGGACTAAACCAGCAGCCTTTGCTCCATTTGCGGCACTCTGTACCTGGAACGAGGGCTCGTGGGAGGGATCGTGGGCTCTGGCGAGGTTCTTGATGAAGTCTGCGAGCCCGACATATGTTTCGGCGGTCATCGCTACGGCGAGATGGGATGCTGGCGGCGTGCTAGATGCGCATTGGGGACGGGCAGGGATACAGGCGCTCAGCTACGTGGATCGAGGAGCAGAGGGCGGGGACAGAGCAGCGCGTGTCGGGAGGAGGAAGCAGAGACTTATCACGAGGCGACGGGATGGCTCTGTGCTAGGCGATGTCAGAGTGAGAAGGAGTCCCCCGCGAGGGATGGCGCCACGATTGGGCACAGGCGGTACAGAGCTGGCGGCTCTTGCTGAGCAGTGCGTGAGGCGAGGCGGGACAGGCGTGGCAGCGAGCAGAGGGAGAATGTGTGGATGTGACGCGCTGCTTCACTCTTCACGCGCCGAGACAGGGAAGATGCAAGAGGGTGTGAACGAGGTGAGCGGCGCTGCAGTGCAATGGGAAGTCGACCAGGATCGCCGATATGCTTGCACTCGCTGTACTCGCTGCACCCAAAAAGCACCTCGCCAATTCACACCTGTCACGGCTGAGCCTAACAGTAGCGAGTACGCCCCTAGCTCCAGTCCTCGGAGCCATTGTGCTCAAAGTATGCTACTAGGTACATCATGTTGCCGGCACGGCGCGTCATGAACCACCCGGCCGCCTACACAACATGACCATGGTGCACTCCAACGTTGGCAACGCTCATTACCACAACGGCTGGCCAAGACGTCATGCCGCTCCTGCACAGCTCTCCCGGGCAGCAGTGAGATGAGGTGTCCGCCTTGGAACGCCGATAGAAGCTGCTATCGGTTGATCTCGAGGCCCAAGACAGCAGGCCGTTTTAGCTCACAAACAAGCCGAACAGCATGCAGGGCGGCGGCCGTATAGACAGCAAATAGGGGTAATTTGCCACGGGCGGCCTCGCGTCTCCACCACAACACGAGGAATTTCCTCTCACCGTCCGTCCGCTTCACCCGGCAGATTGCCCCTCCACGCTGCGCGCTTTTGGGCCGGTGTCGAATTTCCCACATGACAGATCCAAGCCTGAGTATGGCCACGCAATCTTACCCCAGCCACGTCCTGTTGACATACGGCGCTCCTGTTTGATCGTCTCTGCCACGGCGTCATCATCTCGTCGGCGGCCACCTTTACGTTCATGTGCCCACCTTCCTCACAAGGTGGGGTAGGTAGGTAGCTGGTGGCATGACGGGACACTATACCGTTTGGGAAGCACGACCATCCATCGTGCAGGCGAGCGCGCGGCGCTACTCGCATCTCAGGGTCTCCGGGAATCTCCTTGGACGTTTGGTAGCGTTGAGTGGAGCAGGCGGACGTGTCTATCCAAGCGAATCGGGACTACTGCGCTTCACCGCGTCTATCTCCAGTACTGTGCTGCTCACCGTCAAGTCGAGTCTCGAGGGTTACACCGCATTGTTTTATGTGCAGTGTTTCATATGGTTGCCAGACCCCGTCGTCATACGTCATTACCCCCTCCATAACTGTGTGTCTATCTAAAAAGTTTACTACCTTAGCTTCTTCGCATGCGCGACCAAACTTTCAATAACCTGCTCGAATGCATCCTTGTCCCCCAACGCGCTCTCCAAGCGTTTCTGCCAGTACTCAAACACCTCGTTTGCCCTCTCCTGCAGCCCCTTCAGCTTCTCCACATGCGCCTGTAACTCCTCCACCGTGAAGTTTTGTAGCGCAGCATCCGTCGTTGCACACAACATTGTTGTCGAGCTAACATCGAAGTCTGGAGGTGCCGGAGGCCCTTTTCGTTTCCTCTCTGTCTTTGAGTTTGATGAGTCCACAGACGTTGAGGATGCGTTTTCCTTCTTGACTCGCCCCAGCGGGTTGCGTCCGTCTGCTGAGGGGCGAGGCGATTTCTCACTGGAAATGGATATAGACGGAAGAATGAGCTTCTTTTGTTTCGACGCTGGCAGAATCTCGTCGAGATCGACTGGTACGCCGAGCGAGACGAGGAAGAGCCGCCGTATGCGAGAGCGTACCCAGTCGGGAGGCTGTAGGGGTGGTGGGGCTACAAGCTGTGTCCATAACGACCGACTCCGCTCGGACAGGAATGTAGATCGCGTATCCTCAGCTGTGGCAGATATGCTGGGTATGTCTCGTAGCGATGGGTATATTTCATCAATGTAGGGTTGTGTTGCGGTGATGCTATGTTCAATTGAGGAGAGTTGATCAAAGTCCAGGACGGGCTGTACATGTCCAAGTTAGTCAAGACATCACTGCAACTGGCTTGGTTTAAACAGCTGTAGGATTGGGCTAGAGTAGTAGCAACTTACAAGACCTGGTGAGGGGGCAGGTACAGGAGGTTGATCAGGGGATCCGTCAAATGAAGTCTCTGCCTCTTCGCCTTGCTGAAACCCGTCATCGAAATCCCCAAAATCGTCATCTCCTTCCCCACCCTCCTCGAACTCATCAAAATCGCCAAACCCGTCGTCGTCATCCGCATTGCCAGGCGGCTCCGGCTCGTTGAAGCCAAACTCATCCGCGTCCTCTGGGTCGTCTGGAATTACGGGAGACCTGTCACTCGAGGTTGGCGACCCTTCTTCCGTCAATGCACGCAGGGAAGCATAAGAAATGCCCTACGTACCTTGGCTCTTTCGCGCTGTAGGCTGAGGGACCTTTACGATGACGTCGGGCTCGGCGTCTGCAAGACGCAGCTGGTGGGCAAGTGTACCAGGAACCTCACCGTGAGAGGGCTCGTCATCGATCCTCTCCACGACCGTCTTGGGGATAGGCGTTCCTCCAGGCGTCAGGGGACGATCGGCTCCTCCAGGCGTAAGGGGTCGGTCACTCATGCTGACGCGCGATGTGCTGCGGCTTCTGAGGCCGTCAGGGATGATCTCGACCTCGTCAGGCACGGCGTCCTGTGTCCTCTTCTGGTATGCATCTGTTCCAGGCACCTCGCCATGGCTGGGCTCGTCGTCTACGCGCTCAACCCGTGTGATTGGAATTGGCGAAGTCGCATCTGACCTGCGGATCTGGCCAGCGCGGCCTTCGGAGGCGTCGGAGAAGTGCTCGTCGCTCGACTCTTCCACTACTGATACAGTTAGGCATGATGGTGGGGACGTAGAGCTGGACATACCGAGCTCTCTGGCACCAGGGTCCTCGAGTTCGACGCTCTTGCGGGGTGGAGCCAGCTCGTCCGTCATGTTGAGCTCGCGTGGAAGCTCTGGAGAAGGTCTTGGGAGCCTTGGCTTGAGACAGGCGGAGAGTGCAGTGTGTAGGACGAGCGAACAATTCGAGAGCGGGAGCGTGACAGTGCAAGGGCGCCTATCGTCTTGTAATGTGTCGTAGTCGAGTTCCAGACACAGCGGGGATGGTCTGGAGCGTCGCACTTATCGTCACGTGCTGCAGCCGTTAGCTTTGTTTGCTCAACTTTTGGCTGCAGCCGTCTTGACGCGGTGAAAGACGCGAAGACGAAGACGCAGACGTGAAGCTCCCGCGTCATTTCAGATTGCCACCGTTGGTCCTGCGCTTGCCAGACCGTGTTCGTTTTCTCGTCGCGACACGCCCAAACACCAATTGCGCATCCTTGAACGCGGCCCAGCCCATGTAAACAGCTTCCTCGTCCAAGCACACCGCCCAGCACAGCATAGCTCACAGTGCCCCCAGCTCACTCCTCCCCGACCGCGCAACATGGCCTTCAACTTCAATCCGGGCAGCAACACGCCGAACAACAAGCCTTTGTTCGGCGCCAGCTCGTCTGCGGCAGCCGCTCCTCTCTTTGGCGCCGCAAACCCTACGAGCACCGGCGCAAGCACGCCCGCTGCCGGAGGTCTTTTTGGCGGCGGCGGCGGCAGCGCAACCGCGGGCTCTTCTCTCTTCGGCGGCGCTTCCACCACGCCGGCTGCGCCCAAGCCCGGCGGTCTCTTTGGCCAAACCCCAGCAGCCGCGCCCGCAAGCTCTGGGACGACGCCCTCCTTCTCTGGCTTCGGCGCCGCTGGCAAGCCCCAGACGCAGACGTCCAAGCCCACGCTCTTCGGCACTGCGACAGGTGGAGCCGCTCCGAGTTCTGGGTCTTCGTTCGGTTTTGGCACAGCTGGTAAGCATGCGAAGGAGCTGTCTACTCACACATTCCAGACCTGAACTGACGCTGCGCAACAGGATCAGCCCCGGCTGCGACGCCCGCGCCCAAGTCGGCCTTCTCCCTCCCCTCGACCACCCCCGCTGGCGCCCCTCCTGGCCCTGGTCTGTTCGGCCAGAACCAGGCTGGGGGGAACCTTTTTGGCGGTGCGAAGCCAGCAGCGACCACCTCCGCTGCTACACCGAGTCTGTTTGGAGCCACGCCAGCCGCAAAGCCTCTGGGCAGCTCCGCGCCCGGCACGAGTCTTTTCAACATCGGCACTGCAGGCGCATCCAATGACGCGACCAAGACTGCTTCCCCTGCGCCAACAGGTCTTTTTGGCGGTGGAAACCAGGCAGCGCCGTCTGCCACCCAAGACACACCCAAGCCGTCAATGTTCGGAAACCTAGGCAGCACTACTCCGGCAAGCAAGCCCCCTGGGTTCAACGTGGGACCAACACCAGCTGCACAGCCAGCTTCCTCACAGCCTCCAGCCGCTTCCGGGTTTTCCATGGGTCTGGGGGGACTGGGTGGAGACAAGCCAGCCCCGACATCTTCAGCAGCCCCTACGAGTGGTTTGTTTGGGGGCGCAACATCCTCAGCAGCTCCTACGAGTGGCTTATTTGGTGGCGCAACATCAAGCGCAGGTGCTCCTGCGGGCGGTTTGTTCAACTCCAGCAAACCTGCTGCATCCACGCCCGGAAGCACACCAGCGACAAGTGGAGCTCCCACGACGGCAGCACCCGCCCCATCACTATTCCCCAGTCTTGGAGGTGCTAGCTCTACGCCCGCTGCTTCGGGGACTCCAACATCAACAAGCACTGCGCCGAGCATGTTCGGCGGCCTGGGTGGAGCGAAGCCTGCGGCCAGCGCTGCACAACCGTCAGCATCCACACCCACATCCACTACTCAGCCCGGCGCTCCTGCCACAGCTCCAGGCACGACAGGAGGGTCTACAGCAGCCGGACTGGGAGCCTCCACTGCCGGGCCTGCCCCATCCGCCCAGTCCCGTCTGAAGAACAAGAGCATGGACGAGATCATCACGCGATGGGCCGCCGACCTGTCAAAATACCAAAAGGAATTCCAATCCCAGGCCGAGACAGTCGCGCAATGGGACCGCGCTCTCGTCGAAAACTCGGACAAGGTCCGCCAGCTCTACTCGAAGACGTTCCAGGCCGAACGCGACGCGACTGAGGTCGAGAGGCAGCTCACTATGATGGAAGAGAACCAGCAGGAGCTCGACTCGTACCTCGACCGCTACGAGAAGGAGATTGAGAACCTTATGAAGATGCACGGCGTGAGCGGGAAGTCGGATGGCTTGCGTGGACCTGATCAGGAGCGCGAGCGGACGTATGTTGACCTCTACTTTCCCAGATAAAAAAAGTATTCCAGAAAACTAATAGCGAGAAACAGATACAAACTCGCCGAGAAACTCCAAGACCGCCTCAACGAGCTGAACAAGGACCTCACCGAGATGATCGAGGAGATCAACTCCACATCCCAGACCCTCAGCAAGACAGGCAAGCCTGACGATCCGGTAAGTCCCTTGTCGTTAAACCCCCCGTCCGTCCGTGGAACTGCAAGAATAGCGCTAATGCCATCCCCGCAGTTGACAAAGGTCGTTCGCGTCCTCAACACCCAGTTGTCCCAGCTCCAGCTCATCGATTCTGGTGCCTCGCAGCTCCAGGATAAGATTAATAAGGCGCAGAGGGAGAGTCAGCGTGTGGGCGCTAATGGCTGGAATGGTTTGGGGACGGATCCGACGGAGGACTTTTATCGCAGTTTTAGGGGTGGGCGGTAAGGGGCTTTTGGTCTTGCTCTGAGGGGGTATGTAGCGTTTGAGCAGTCGCATGGGTAATTGATTGCACGCATGGGCGTTTGATGGCGTCAGTGTGTTGGGCAGATTGAAGGATAGTAAGTATGTGTGTATGTTTAAGAAATGGTATGTATTGGAAAACGAGAACGAACACATGTCAATCGATCTGCATTTACAACTTTTAACCCATATCATAGCAATCTCGTTAGTCAGGAAAAATTTGGAAAACGAGAATGAACACACTTTTCGCTTTCGGTCTACACTCTGACCCAAATCATGGCAATTTCGTGGACTCAGAAAGAATTCATTGAACGTGTTTTTTTGTCACGTTTTCAGTAGCTAGACGAGACCGAACGGGTCAGCCCGAAGCTGTTTGTACATGTATATATATTCCCATGGTCGCACTGGGGTCGTGCTTACTTTTGCTCGCCCTGGCCCGAGGACTCGCCCTCCTTGATCACGTCGTCGCTGTGGGATATGTCAGTGCCAATTCCGGTTCTAAACGCCCGCGGGAAGTGGGGGGGCTAACATGTGCTTGTCCAGATCCTCAATGTGCTGTCTCTGCTGCTTGAGCTTCTCCTTGATGGCGAGGAGCCTGTGGTACGTCAGTATTTCTTGTATACTTTTTTCTCGTGCGTAGGGGTTCTTCGCGAGGTGATGCGTGGTAGATATGGTATGGTGGAGGGGTGGTGATAAGACGTACTTTGCCTTCTCTTCCTGGCGGATGTACAGCTCCTCAGACGCAGCTTCGCGCTTGGTGAACGCATCGCTGGACAACCCATCAGCACTCTACCCTTCCCATACATATGGATTGGACAACTTACCCGCCCGCAGAGCCGGTAGCGCGCGAGATTCCCGAGCCCGTTGAGCCCTCAGCCATGCGGAGCGCGGACGCCGAGAAGTAGCGCGGGGCGGCGACGGCGCGGGCGCTCTTGATGATGGATGTGCGGAGCATTGTGGCGGTTTTGTGGGGGGGAATTGGGGGGGATGGGGAAGGTCGGGTTTATGGGAGTTAGGGTGGTGGTGTGATGGGTGGTGATGGTCCTCGGTTTGAGGATTTGGGAGAGCTTGGACTGCATGGGATGCGTCATTGATGGTCATGTGATTTTGGCGCGCTGGGAAGCTCTTGTGGACGGCCAACAAGTGGGCAGTGCATGTTGCAGAGGCTGGCTGGTGTAGGAGTGTTCATGGTGTTTGGTGATTTCGTCGAATATGTAGGAATGAGTGTACCTTTGATGCAGATACTGTACTGAGTACAGCAGGTTAAGCAATAGGATCCAGGGGACTCATCAATATGTAAGGTGAGGGCATCCTTTAGAAAAGCTTGCCACTGTCTTGTGGTTTTATCCAGGCCTGAAACTCTATTTCATGGAGAACAGTGAGTTGGTTGCATAAAGTAAACAGCGGTAAATAGCGGTAAACACTGATGAGATGGCCATGGAAGTAGTGCAGCGCGGGGCATGGGCCGGTGAAGACAAGCTGAAACCCTCAGGCCTGGCGCCCCTGGGACGTTGCTTTTCTGTGCGTGATTTCGACTCCAATCACTCCGACAAACTGGCCTCTCTGGCGGTGACGGATAGCCGCTTGCCACGGAATGTGAAGTTGCGCCTGTTCTAGGCGTGCACAGGAATCCAAGGATGGGCAGGCGTGATCGACCCGCCAAGGCTATCGTTAGGCTTGAGTGACACTTTCTCCCCTCCTTGACAACTTCAACAAGACGTCCACCTCAGTCTCCCGTTCTCGCCACTCCCCACCGCACCCGCAGCTCCCACCCAACCTACACTTTTCCACCAAACTCACAATCGTAAGTCACTGTCCACCTCCTTGCCCTCTCCCAGCGCCCGGCGGATCGGGCGCCGGTCTGCGCCCTCAGCACGAGCAACACACACGCCAGCCTGCGCTATCACCGCAGCGTGTCTCTCGAGCCGCTCGATCCGACTGTCTCTGCTGCCATCATGACCGCTCCCGACTGTATGGGTTGCGTTTGCAGGCCAACAGAGGACCGAGCCGCACGAACAGCCCCTCCTTGCGCCCAGCACCGCCAGCACCTGCTGCCCGAGCAAGCAATTGACGTAGCTCACGCTTACTCGCCGCACGTCCGATATCCTGTCATTTGCTGTCCAAGCACGAATCCTGCGACAGATCCGCCTTCACCCCTTATCTTGCAGCAGAGCGCACCCTGAGACGCTGGCCAACTCAGCAATTGCGACACGCCTTTCAACCACATATCTTGCGCGCTGATATCCAGACCACATTCAGCTAACAGGCGCGTCCATCAGACTCTCACATCAAAATGAGTTACGAGAACTCCGTCTACCTGGCCAAGCTGGCCGAGCAGGCCGAGCGTTATGAGGGTAAGCAGACACTCAGCCAACTGCGTACGTTTTGAACTAATCGTCCCGCTCAGAGATGGTCGAGAACATGAAGGCCGTCGCTTCCGCAGACCAGGAGCTCTCCGTTGAGGAGCGAAATCTCCTGTCCGTCGCCTACAAGAACGTCATCGGTGCCCGCCGTGCCTCGTGGAGAATCGTCACCTCGATCGAGCAAAAGGAGGAGTCCAAGGGCAACGAGACCCAGGTTTCTCTTATCAAGGAGTACCGCCAGAAGATCGAGGCCGAGCTTGCCAAGATCTGCGAGGACATCCTCGAGTGCCTGGATGGACACCTCATCCCCTCCGCTGAGAGCGGCGAGTCCAAGGTTTTCTACCACAAGATGTAAGTGGCTTTGGTTGTTTTCTAGGTGCACTGCTAATTACGATACTTTTACAGGAAAGGCGACTACCACCGTTACCTTGCTGAGTTCGCCGTTGGCGACAAGCGCAAGACCTCCGCAGACAAGTCCCTCGAGGCATACAAGGCTGCCACCGAAGTTGCCGCTCAGAACCTTGCTCCTACCCACCCCATCCGTCTCGGTCTTGCCCTGAACTTCTCCGTTTTCTACTACGAGATCCTCAACTCGCCCGACCAGGCTTGCCAGTTGGCCAAGCAGGCTTTCGATGACGCCATTGCTGGTACGTACAACGATTGGTAGCAGCATATTCAGAACTAACAACAACGCAGAGTTGGACACTCTCTCCGAGGAGAGCTACAAGGACTCGACTCTCATTATGCAGCTCCTCCGGGACAACCTGGTAAGAAATGTGTGATCGTCTGTACAGCGCGCATAGCTAATTCATCATCCTAGACCCTCTGGACATCTTCCGAGGCCGAGCCTGCTGCCGACTCCGCTGCTGAGCCCGCGACCGATGCCCCCAAGGCTGAGGAGGCACCTGCTGAGACCAAGGCATAAAGCGTCCTTGTTCCGAATCGGAGGTAAAAGCGACAGGGGTTATGGCATGGTGCACTTGGTTTGGGCTGACGATGTCTGGTTCATCGTCCCTAATGATATGGAGGACTCTCTAGGGTGCTAAGGACTTTCTTGCTTCATTAGACTCCCCAATTCTCATCCTGTCGACATGTTACCACCTTGTTCATGCTTCTTGTTGTACGGCCTTTTATCTTGCGGCTTTGGGCCGTCATGTCTTGATGAGTTATATGATTTAGAGACGCTAGCGTCTCTTCTTTCTTTCTGATCCTGTGGTCCTTCCCCTTTGCTTTGGGCGTCGATCTGCGTGGGTGAGGTGATGGCTAGAGGGTTCCCAATTTCCTACGATCATTTCATTGCAGGAATAAGATTTTTACAGCCAATATATATATGTCGAGCTCGTGCGCTAGAGGGAAATCTGGCAGTTCAATGGTTTTGCTATTCTGGAAAATAAGTTGGATTCTAGAGTTTTTTGTGCCTCTTTCTTTTCGTGCTCGTTTGTTGGTATGTATGTGTTGATATGATGCTTGTGCTCTTATGGTTCCAGCTTCGTGGTTTGAACTCATCTCTTCTTCCCTCACTTTGCGATGAGCGTTCACCTTCTCTCTCTCACCTTCATCGCTTGGGGACTCGGTGAGGCTGTGAGGATTTGTGTTATAACCTTGGGCCTTCGTCGATGACTACTTTCGCAGACCATAAATTTATGTGAGCGAAGGAGTGAGTGTCTCTTTGGACGTTTGAATGCTTCAATAACCGCATTGCTGACTCTCAAACGATACAGTACACCAAGCTTCCTCCAAACAACCTCAGACCATGGGTGCCACTCAGTCCCAAACTGAGATCTTGCCGTGTCAGAAGTCCCACAACAGTTACTCTCCCATCTCCACAGTCGAAATTCCACCAACCCCATCAACCCCGAAGAACACTTCCAGTCCACTGCAACCTTTGCAGACTACAGCTCTTTCTCCGGCAAACGACAACGCCCCGCCATGCTTCCGTTTCCTCGACCTGCCGCCAGAGTTGCGAAACATGGTCTACAAAGAGCTCATGGCTGTCGGTAAAGTCTTCTACACACCCGACGACTACGACATCCGCAATGGTTCGCGATTCCGCGATTATGACTTGTTCCCCAAACCAGAGTTGCAGCTTTTGCGGGTCTGCAAGCAAGTTCATGAAGAGGCTGAGAGCGTGTATCTGTCCAGCAATCTCTTTGTGCTTCCGATTGAGTGGCAGCGGTGCCATCCTTTCGTGAAGACACGCCGCCCGCCCATTGAGAGGCATCTCTGCTCTTCTGCGGGTCTATCTCATATCAGGAAAGTCAGTGTGGCTGTGGATCAAAAACTCTCAGAGCTATCAGGATACTCATTTAACGACTGGAAACGCGACGAGGCCATGAGATATACAACTCGATACGCCCAGAAGACAGACCGACAGAGATTCCGTAAGGTTCACGATTCGCACCTGGAAGATGTCTACGTGCGTTGGGCGAACATGTTTCGAAACCTGCAGCTTTTCCGAGGCGGTCTTTCGCACGTCGAAATTGACTTTACCAACGCATTCTGTTCTATTGGAGACTGCAGACCGATATACTCCTCACCGATGCGATGGATTCGGAGCATCAAGCCTAAATTTATTCAAGTACTTGGTATGCTCGACATGGATGAGAAACAGGATTTTATGGAGAAAGCTTTTTTCGAGGGGATTACACACGATGAGTTGAGATATAAGTATGGACTACGGTTCCGGAAGTTCGGCGATGGCTATCATTAAGACATATGGAGAGCATCGTTACTGGAACTCGTCGATTTCAGGTCGCGTTCGAGTTTCGTATAAGCGGAGATTTAGCAATGATATTTGGGGTCTGGTTGACAGACTGTTCATATACCCAGTTTACTAGAAGCAGTTTTTATAGCACCTCGCATTGCCATCCATCCCAACATTACGATGTATGTCGCTGACAAAAGAGGACGACATTCCCTACTGCCATGGAAAAGTCAGTTGAACTCGCGTAGGATCCGCGTCCGAGGAGTGGGTCGTCGCGTGCATTGCACTACCAACGTGCGTGCATATGTGCCAAGGTTATTTGCTACCAGGCTTCACCGGATGGATGTCAGGTCTCAGCCTTGTAGACAGCGCAGCCGTTCCTCAGCTGTAAATTTAGCATGTTCTGTGCGCCCTGGATGGTTCGTTGGACGTCATCATTGGACAGCCTTACTCAGCCTACAGCCCGCAAGCCTATCGCTAAGGGAAGGAGAGCGACCGGTCGCGATCACACCTCGATTCACCGTGAGATCGCACGCTCGTAATGCAGGATAGGAGGACGTGGCACGCATTCTATCTCGTCATGATCTAAGCGTCTGCCCCCCGAACGCCGTGTTTCTTATCGTCCCAAAGTCCAGCGCTTCTGGGCGCGGCGCGAGTGGTCGCAATTGCCTCTTTCGACGCCAGTCGGCAGCTGCCCGACGTCAAACGACGCCTTGCTTCCTGGACGCTTTCACTTCACCTTCACAGGCAGCCGTCGCGGCCCCCACCGCGGAGAAAAGGGCTCTCGCGATATAAAACGCCGGCCGGCCCCTCCATAATCGATCTGCCCACTTTCGCACCGATCCGTTACCACCACTGTACTCGCCAGATCAGGCGTTGACGAAACCGCTATGGATGACTGTCGCGAGAACATTGCCTTACTTGAGGGAGTGCTTGCTGGCATGAGTCATAACGATCTGTCGAGACAGATGTACGAGAATATGTTGCAGACAGAGTACCAGAACCGCGCGAGTGCTCGGCGCAATGAGCACCCGACCGTGGCTGGCCCGTCAGGCAGTTATATGTATCACAACAACTCTATGAACTCCGCTGCGGTTGGCTCGCCGGCTAGTACCGGTTCCTCGACCCTATCCCGCAAGCGAAGCCTGGGACCGGCAGACTACCCAGAGCCCAAGCGTACCAGCAACGTCCCAAGTCCCCTCACTCCAGGGACCCCGAACTCGATCCATGTCAACACACCCCTCGTCGCTCGAGATATGGGTGGCTCAGAGAACAGATGGGCGTCGTATGCTGCACAGCAACCTTCGCTGCCCAGCAGGCCTCAGCAGGCAACGTACCCCCACACAGTCGTCGATCTGACCATCTCCGACCCTCCAACGCCTGATCCGTTCCCAGAACTTGTCGATGCTTATCAGCCGTATGGGAATACACTAACCAATGTGTTCGATCAAGACTGGATGCCTCTGGACGAATTCGCACAGTTTCTGATGACCCCATCTCCAAACGATTTTGGTTATGGGTTCCATCAGCAAGGATCACGGATTTCAACACCCGCAATGCAACTCAACAGCCAAGCTAACATCCCTGCATACACAGTTCGAAATGTGCCGTATCTGCCAAGCTTCCAGGGGCCGGGTGGCGATAGCGACTCTGAAGACTACGGTGATTTCCCAATGACCGTCGACGATGCTCGATCTATCGATACTCTTCTTGAGAACATCCAGAATCATGGCGACGATGAGGATCCGCAGCGAAGGGAGCAAACGCCCAGAATCATGTCCTCGACTCTCAAGGAGTACCAGAAGATCGGTCTCGGATGGCTACTCAAGATGGAGAGCGGTAACACAAAAGGTGGTATCTTAGCTGACGAGATGGGCTTGGGCAAGACCGTACAAGCTTTGTCTCTCATCTGTGCAAACCCATCCAAGGACCCGCTCCGTAAGACGACACTCATCATCGCACCTGTTGGTCTCATGAGACAGTGGGAGAAGGAAATCGAGCGCCACGTTCGTCCGGAACATCGTCTCAGCGTTTACCTATACCATGGCAAGGGCAAGAATGCCGAATTCAGCAAGCTCAAACAGTATGACGTCGTCCTTACGACGTTTGGCATCCTCACTTCGGAGTGGAAGCAGAAGGAATCGATGAAAGAGAAGATGGCTGCTGAAGCTGAGCAGCGGGATAATGGCTTTACTCGTCGCTCGAAGGAGAAGCTGGCGCTGTTGGGACGCGAGTGCATGTGGTGAGTACAACGCTCTGTTTTGCAGGCGGGTTACACAACACGTGAATTGGGCTAACAGTTTCCAGGTACCGCATCATTATCGATGAGGCCCACAATATCAAGAACAGGAACGCCAAAGCGTCAAAGGCTGCAAACGAGCTGATGGCTACTCATCGCTTGTGTATGACGGGGACTCCGTAAGTAGACTCTCCTGCCGACCCAATAATTCGAGCTTCAGTACCCCAAAGTACTCCAGACTGCACGATGTTGAGCGGAAACTTCAAATACATCCACTAACCGTATTGATAGGCTCATGAACTCGGCTGAGGAGTTATATTCTCTTCTTCGGTTCTTGAAGACCCCCGGATACACAGACTGGTACAAGTTCAACCGAGAGATCGCCAAAGTGAGTCAGATAGTGTGCTGGAAGTACTTGCCTTACTGACTACGTCACAGCCTATGAAGAGCAACCAACATGCAACGCGCGTGAAGGCCATGCAGCGCGTCCAGATCATCGTCAAATCGGTCATGCTCCGCCGCCAGAAGACTACAAAAGTAGACGGTCAGGTCATTTGTACCATACCACCCAAACACACTACAGTCGACAATGTTGTGTTCAGCGAAGACGAATCTGAGCTTTACAAGGCGTTGCAGACGAAATCGCAGGTTCAGCTAAACAAATATTTGGAGGCTGGAACTATGTCACGTAAGTCTGAGCGAACCCCAAGACCTCTAACCTGCTGACAATCTCAGACAACTACGCTGCTGTGTTGGTTCTTTTGTTACGCCTCCGCCAGGCATGCTGCCACCCGCACTTGATCAAAGACCTCAGCCAACCCGCCACTGAGGGTATTGCTGAGGTGGACTTGCTGAGCCGCGCCGGCGAGCTCAGAGAGGATGTCGTCGTTCGGCTGAAGGATTCCGAATCTTTCGAATGTCCTGTCTGTCTTGAAGCGGATCCCAATCCGACGATTATCATACCATGCGGTCACACAGTTTGCGGGGAGTGCGTCCAGAAATTGATCGATACAGCGAGGTCGAACAACGAGGACGGTAGAAACGCCAAATGCCCTCATTGTCGCGGAGAGCTCCAGCCGAAGGTCATCACTGACTACAAGCATTTTTGCAAGGTCTTCTGTCCGGAGAAGCTTAGTGTAGATGACCTAATGGACGATGCAGACTTGGACGCAGGTGGAGATTCTGACGTTGAAGATGAAGATGAGGACGATGAGGACGACGACGATGCAGATGAGCATGGCAACCTAGCTGATTTCGTGGTTCCGGATGACGCTGACGGGGAGTCTGGATTTGTTGACGCAGACGACGCTGTTCCCGCTCCGAAGCGCAAAACCAAAGCTCGTGGTAAGGGCAAAGGTAAAGGCAAAGCACCGGCCAAGCCAAAAATGACCCTTGCTCAGCTCAAGAAAGAATCGCTTCGAAATAAGGCAGCAAAGAAGAAATATCTTCGCCGTCTGCAGAAGACTTGGGTTCCGTCAGCGAAGACGGAGAAGACACTGGAGCTTCTTGACCAAATCAACAGGAACGATCCTACAGAGAAGACGTTGATTTTCTCCCAGTTCACTTCCTTCCTCGACCTTCTTGAGGTGCCTTTGGCACAGAAGAAGATACATTACCAACGTTATGACGGTAGCATGAATATGGACGAGCGAGCTGAAGCCGTCAACCAGTTCATGGATAATCCTAACGAGAACGTCATGCTGGTGTCCATCAAGGCTGGCAACTCCGGCCTCAACCTCTGGAAGGCGTCGCAGGTCATCCTTCTCGACCCCTTCTGGAACCCTTACATCGAAGAACAAGCCGTGGATCGAGCTCACCGAATGCCTCAGCCGCGCGAAGTGACTGTTCATCGCATTTTGGTCCCTGAGACGGTTGAAGATCGTATCTGCGAACTGCAAGAAACGAAACGCGAGTTGGTTGGTAATGCGCTGGACGAGAACGCTTCGAAGTCGCTCGCACGCCTAGACGTCCGGCAGCTCAAGCACCTCTTCGGCATGGGCTGAGGGCTCTATTGTGTGAAGGTGTACAGACTGTCTATTGTGTCGATGAAGACATCAAAGCAGACGTCTAATACGCACAAGGTATATTGGCTGATTGTTGCATGAAGGCATTCATGGGTTTATGTTTGTCAGTCTGTTTCCTACTTTTCCTTTTTCTCGGCCGCATGTCTAGAGAGTGTTTCCTTGCCATCTTGATACCCGATCTACTGATCACGGAGGCCATCTGTGGGGATTTTTCGGCGCAAGACGGGTTATTCGGCGTTTGACGGGGTCAACTTATTGGGGGCGGTACCGCTGTGATGACGGATCATGGTCTCATACTGCGAGGATGCTGTTACGTAGTGCGAATTTATATATGATGCTTTTCAACGTGTTTAGAATGTGCCCTGTCATCTCTGCTGCGATCCTCTCATAAACTTGTACGTAGTTCTCATTGTGCATAACTACAACTCTCTTCATCGATTCGGGACTTGAGGTTTTTATGAGCGTGTAGAAGCTCGATTGGTTTTCTGAAGCTTGATGTTCATGTGCGGTATCAACACGTGTGAATTGTATGCGTTTGAATTGCTCATCAATCAACGGTGTTGAAGTGAAGGCACTAGCGGCGGACAAGACGCGCCAGTCGAGAGCTTGGGCCTCTTCAAAGATTCGCGATGAACGCGATCACGCTGCAGTGATTGCTACCTGTAACGCGTTTTTTGTCTTTTCAATTACTTGGCTGCTGTCTATTCGCACACAATGACGAGCATAGACGATCTGTTCAAAAGCACAAACGGCTCGGCGAAGCGCAAGTACGAAAACCCAAGGGAAGCCGATCCGTCGCAAGCCTATAAATCCGCGAAACTCGAATCGAACAGCGACGTCAAGCGGTCGGCGCATGTAGCTGACGAGGAGGAGGATGATGACGACGATGAAGCTGGACCTTCGTTACCACCCGACATGGACGACGAGCCCGGAGACGATGACGAAGGCCGATTCTTTGGCGACGGGCTGGACGAGAATGCGAAAGATGCCATGGACTTTCTAGACGCACAGGACGGGGACGATGCTGTAAGAGAAGAGAAATACGATGCGGCATGGCTACGGAAACTGGCGCTCGGCTTTGAGAAGAAGGTCAACAAGAACTCGTCGCTGCGCGCAAAGTACGAGGACGATCCGCCAAAGTTCATGGAGTCGGAGGGCGACTTGGATGAGGCTATCAAGGGCCTCAGCATACTTTCAGAGCACCCGGAGCTGTATGACGAGTTTGCGAAGAACCCAGCGGCTGGCAAGTTGGTGGAGCTGCTGGCGCATGAGAACACAGACATCGCCATCGCCGCGATCGAGATGATATCGGAGCTCACAGACGAGGACGTGGCAGGGGAGCAAGAACAATGGGATGCGCTGGTCGCGGCTTTCTTGGAGGCTGATCTGCTCAGTCTGCTCATATCGAACTTCTCGCGCTTCGACGAGAGCGACTCGGCCGATGCATCAGGCGTGTACCACTCGCTCAGCGTCATCGAGAACCTGCTATCACAGCCCTCCAACACGGACATGCTAGGCCAAGAGACAAAACTCCTCACATGGCTCCTCGAACGAATACAAAAGCCCGAAAAGCCCACGTCGCAGAACAAGCAGTATGCCTCGGAAATCCTGTCCATCCTCACACAGTCGTCCCGCCTGAACCGCACCCGCATAGCCGAAGCCAACGGCGTCGAAGTCTTCCTCACAAATCTCGCTCCCTACCGGAGAGAGGACCCCGAGAAAGATAGCGATGAGGAGGAATACATGGAAAACCTCTTCAACTGCCTCTCCTCAATCGTCGAAGAACCCGCCGGAAAGACCAAATTCCTCGACGCAGAAGGTGTAGAGCTCTGCCTGCTCCTCGTCCGCGACGGCAAAACAAGCAAAAGCCGCGCCCTCAAAGTCCTCGACCACGCCTGCGGATACGCCGAGTCCCCAGCACCAACAGCAGCAGCTGTAGAAAATTCCAAAGACACACCCACCACCACCAACACCGCCCTCCCCATTTGCTCCGCCCTCGTCCAAGCCCGCGGCCTAAAACCCCTCTTCACAACCTTCTCCAAGACCAAAACCCACGACCCCACCCAAACAGAACACATCCTCGGCATCCTCGCCTCGCTCCTGCGCTCCCTCCCAGGAAACTCAGACCCGCGCTTCCGCCTGCTCGCCAAATTCCTCGAAAAAGACTGCGCAAAGATACACAAGCTAGTATCCCTGCGCAGGGAGTACGCGCGCCGCGTTGCGGACTTTGACGCCAGGCTGCGGGAGCGCGGGAAGGGACTGGACGCGGCGGAGCGGGAGGCGCTGGAGATGGAGAGTGTGGCTGCGAGGCTGAGTGAGGGGTTGTATTGCTTGGAGCGTGTGGATGTTATTCTTGCGTGGCTTGTTGCGGAGGATGAGGGGGCTAAGGGTGCGGTTGTGAAGGCGCTTGGGGAGAGGGATGAGGGGTTGGGGGAGCTGAGGGGGACGTTGGTGGCGCAACTTAATGGCGCGTTGGAGGTGGAGAGTGCGGAGCGGGAGATGCTGGAGGCGCTGATTGGGTTCTTGCAATGAGGTGTACACTAGATGTGACGATAGTTCATGTCTGGATGGTTTGGAATGCATTGTCCTAATCACAAGTACGCTGGTGTACAATTGCTTGACATATTTGCCTTGCTTGTGTGCAGGTCTGGAGATTCTTGATAATTTGATAGAACATCACTTGAATGACTGATAGGAGTAGATACAAATACAAATGAGTGTTATTTGTCTGCTATCCAACCCCCAGATTCACAACTTCCCCAACAAACACCAACTGCAACGCACCCAATAAATACAATCAACTTCCAGTACCCAACAATCAACCCAAGAGCAGTCCAAAAGGCAAAGCAAGCTCAACCACATCCACCAACAAGGCCGACTCAAACCCCTAAGGGCGAGTCAAAGCCCAGTTGATGGATGTAGGAGCGAGCTGTTACCAAACGTCCAACTCTTACACACCACGTCCCCAATCAACTCTCGACCTCGTCTCCAAGCCAAAACACACCCCAGCTCAGAACCTCACCCCCAACTTCCAACCAACACACAGGGCGCGACTCCAGACAAAGCAGCCCGAAGAGATAACGTAGCAGATGATCGTCCACACGACACACCCCCAGTAATGTCCGCCACTTGCCTGGATAACAGCGCCCGCGATCGGAATACCCGTAAGTGTGCTGAACGAGACAATAGTGTAGCAAGATGCGTAGTACCGTCCATATTGATTCGTATCACAAAGCTGGCCAACACACACCGGCGTGAGCGAGATATTAGAGCCCGACGCGAATCCAAAGATGACGGCGTAGACGATAGAGAGTGCCTTGATAGCAGCGGCCTGGGAAGACGTCGTCGGCGTGAGGAGAGACGCAGGTAGCCAAAGGGTCAAGGAAGTTGCGGCACACACGGCCAGCATAGCAATCATGCTGTTGAACCGACCAAACCTATCGGCGAAGAAGCCTGGCACCCATCGTCCAATACAACTTCCAGCGTTGAAGATCGCGACAAGTTGGTAGGAGAAAGCCGGGGACATGGCGCCCGTTGAAAGCGCAAAGGTAGTTAAATATGTGATAGGCACGAATAGAGCCCATTCCATGAAGAAGGTCCCCATTGTGACCAGCAGCAACGATCGATCGCGGAATATGCGGAAGTCGGGCATGACGGATTGCCCAGGTTTGGGCGGTAGCCGGGATCGGATCAGGAAACAAGCCACGCCGCAGCAAAAGATGAACATAAAACCAATGATGCGAGTTGCCCATGCAAAGCCGACTTTGGGAAAGAGTTGCTGCAAAGCCAGTGGGAGTATGACACCACCGAGCGAACCTCCCGCAGCTGCGATTCCCGTGGCGTTGCCTCGCTTCTTCAAGAAGAAATGACTGACGGCTGCGAATGCCGGAGTGAAGATTAGGGATGTACCCAGTCCGCCTACAACCCCGAACACGAGAAAAAAGTGCCAATACTTCGTACACAGCCCCAGAAGGAGCATCGAAGCACACAACAGTATACTACCGGCGAGGATGAGCAGTCTTGGTCCGTGGGCATCAAAGATGGGCCCGATCTGGAGTCCACAGAAGAACGCCAAAAATATGTACATTGAAAAGATCCAACTGATGGTACTCTCGCTGTAGTCCTTGAGTTGGTGCTCGGCGAGATAGGAATGGAAGATTCCCACTGTATTCATCAAGCCAAAAGCCGCTACGAGTCCAAGGAAGGATCCCAAAACGACGCTCCAGGCGGCAAGACCACCTTCAGGATATGATACTTCATCGTCGTGAGAAGTTACTGATTGGGTTTCTTCATCTCCGGCTGCAGTGCCGGTCCTGAGTTTCTCATTCGAAGTGTCCTGTACCGGGGCAGCGGCGGAGAGAGTTTGGTGTGGAGGGCATGTCGAGGGGCTGTTATCAGATGGCGGGATAGTAAACTCGGCGTTGGGAAATGTATTGACTCTCGTGAGTCGATTGCGTTCGGCAATTGTTGGTCCTGGCTTGCTGCCGTTACCCACGTCGCTCATACGAAACGCAGAATGATTCCGGTGTAAATGTAGGTTCAAGGTTTGATTGGGTGCGATATTGGAGCGTGGGTGATGTTTCGAGAGAGTAAGAGTCAGAGAACTACTGCACGGATTCGCGCTTGATCGAGTCTTAGTCCGTCAAAATCTATGACGCAATACAATCGACAATGTCGATATGTCTGTGTCCTCGGACGGTATGGTATTGAGGATTGAGGTTGCCAAAAGCTGGGGGATAGGGTGAGGTTATAAGTCATGACAACCCCCACATATCCGTAGGGCGTGGTACGCCGTTGTCGTAGAAGGCGTATAAAACTCGGCTAACTACCGCGATGCGGTATCGGCCGTAGCCGATGGAAAACTTTTCGACGATGGCTTTTCCGAAACCATGTGTGATTGGTGGAGCCTAACGAGACTAAAGACGTCGTCACATAGCTCTCAATGTGAGAGTAAACAAGTCCAAACGCCATGGTTGAAAACGCAATTGGGTATAAGGCCGTACAAGATGATGTAAGATGAGAATCGTGTTGTGTCGTCGTGTGTCATGTCGTGTCGTTTCGTCGTGTGTATTCGTAAATCATGTGTAAAATTTGAGCGTGGAGAAGAGTATGGAGAAGATCCTCAAACCGCGGTTTGGGGCTGGCAGGCATTGATGAGGTCGTTGTACTCTGGGAAGAGTATCTCGCGGAACTTCAGACGAAGCTCAGCAAACTCCTCATCGTGGAAGGTCTTGCCAGGGTGGCCGATTCGATATAGAGTTTCGACAGCATCCTTGCCAGACAATACATGACCCAGAAGGCCCTCAGTGATGGACACTGTCTTCGTCACATCAGTCGTGGCCTCGAGAATGGCATGCCAGAGGTGTGCCGGGGTCGACATCTTTGTTGGCTTCATCGCCGCCTGAGACGTCTTGGGTCCCGAGGAAACGGTACTAAAGGCGGAATCGTAGCGTATGGGGTCGTTGCTACGCCTACTATAGGGTGCCGCAGGCATCTGACTAACTCTTCCAGCAGGCGAAGCGCAGACGTTTGAGGTGCTGTGTTCTATACATTCCATCAGCAGTAATCGTTTGAGAGTGACATGAGTACTTACGAAGAACCTCGAGGAGTAACCCAGACTCATTCATGGCGGACTTGTCGTCCCTGAAGATGTCGTAGATAGGATTGGACGGGCACGACTGTATAGCCGAGGAGAGCACCAGATAGCTACCGCGAAGTTGCCAACGCTCATCGTGCGACATGTCACGATCTCGCGAAGCATACGTGGCCTTGAGCCTGGCGTCGAGAAGCTCGTGTAGGGTGTTGGAGGCCTTTCGTGTTCTCTCAGACGGTCCCTGTGGAGAGGTTAGCATGGACGCGTTATCGCGCAGGTTAGAGTCATTCAGGGTACTCACCTCGCTCACTTCAGTAGGTGCCGTCGACTCAGTGCTTGGCCGTGAGGAATCGTCATGCAAGAACTCGGTGCTCACTGTCTCGATTGAGGGCTCCGCAAAAGTGTAGTGCAGACTTCCAGTCTCTGCTATCGAGTCTCCAGAGGAGACCTGGCTTGTTTGTGAGGAGGCCTTCGCGTTCTTGAAGAGCCTGGTCTTGAGCTTGTTCCTGACATCTCTGATGTCGCGTCGGATAAGCTTGGATGTCCAACGCGCGTCGTATGGGAGAGGAGAGAACATGGCGATGATGAGATGAGGAAGGAGCCTTGTAACTGCAGTGGGATTGAAGTGACTAATGTGGAAGCTGGCGAGACGTGACAAAGACGATCAGGCAAGAGCTATGATGGAAAAGCTTGAATTTGATCAATTGGAAAGTGTATGTTGGATGGTGAAGTGATGAAAGGAAGCCGCTTATGAACCCAATACGTGGCTGGTGCGTCGCTGGGCAACAGACAAAGACAACGCGACCGAAGCTAGTGGTCGCTTTCACTAAAATAGATGGCTGGACATCGCGAAAGGGAAGGAATGGTAGTACCAGGCTGCGTGATGTGCAGGCCAACTATAATAGAAAGTATAACACATGATCCAGATATGCAAGAACCATATAGCCACCAACTGCAGCAGCGACCACTCCACCAGTCGCCCCTGAAGATTGCAGGTTAGATTTGAGGAAATGAGAAGCATTGTGCTTACCACCACGACACACGCCAGGCTGGGTAATGTTCAGAGGAAAGCAACGACTTGTCAATAATGGAGGATCAACGCCTAAGACGACTTCGAACTACAATATTCTCCTGGCCAGAAGACAAGAGGGAAAGCTGACAGGAAACACGACGACCGATGGAGTAACAAAACTGACAAACAGATGGACGTGTTGAAAAGGAACAGACATGCCAACACAAAAAGAACGATACCTACGCGAATACCTACAACTGCTACTCCACCAGCGATGTGTTCCCCGGAACCGCGTCCTCCATCCACCCCCCGAACCTCCACGGCTGCAGAAAATACCGGTCACTCCCTTCTCTTTCATCGCCCGTCTTCTCAACCTTGACCTAACGCCCCCTCGCACTCGGAACCTTCGCCGTCAGATCGTACGCACGCCAGCGATCCGTATTCGCACACGACGCAAGCTCATTTTCGAATCAGTGACACGATTCAATCTGCGGGCCCTCGACCTCCACCCTCACAGCTTCCTTACGACCAGCGAGCTCGGGGATAGGTGGTTGAACCCGTGTCATGTCCATGGGTACCCAGGCTGTGTTCAGAGGGAGAGCAGGCATCCATTTCCAGGGAGTGAGGGTACAAGCAAAGAAAGGGTATATACCGTCGTCGTTCGTGGTGCCTGGTGGGAATACATTGACGGTGAGTTGTGCGGGGGTACGTTGCCTTTAGGTGTTGGGAGCGTGGAGAAGGAGAAACGAGCGAGGTACTTTGGGATGTTCCAGTTCAAACGGCCATTATATACTGTGGTGCGTTGGGAGACGAAGATACGACTCAATCGGAGTGCTTTCTTGGAAATCTTGAGACGACCGCCGGCTGGTGGTTGAAGTACAGTGAAATTGCTCGGGATGAGCATGAGCTGGTCGTATGGGCCTGAGACCGTTCGATGGAGTTCTGCTAAAGCAAGTGCTCACATATCTCCCATAGGAATCAGACACGATACATTGGAGGCGGCAACTCCGAGTACTCCCTGATCGCTCACGTAAGACGAGACATAACTTCACTAACTCTAGCATCGAGCAGAGTTCGACCTACCGACCGACGTCTCACTATACCTCACAACCATAACACACCACAAACCCCGTGAATTCACCCAGATTCTCATCTGCCCACGCCTCTTCGAACGGATCGTATACGCCCTTCGGCAACTCGGTCAGTTTTACGAGCAGGATACAGGTCCCGGCCTTGAGCGTCCAGGATGCATCTCCGGCTGTTGAGCAGAGGCCATCACAAGACACACAGTCCGGTCGAGACTCGGGTGGAGGGCTACAAAGTTGAATGGCAAAAAACGCGTCGTCGTGGAAGAGATGACGTTGCAGGGCTGACGAGGTTACAGGGGTGAGAACAACCGTTCTGGTGGCTCGGCGGCTGTGGCGTCGCGTTCTCCGAGACGTTTGTAATCACAGTAGAAAAAAACTTGACTTGGGGTTGAGAAATGGACAGGATGACTTTTGAAGCGACAAGGGAGTAACACTTGACCTACATGACCGAGAATAACAGGAAATGAAGAGTAATAAGCAGATGGGTGCCAAGGATCAACACATACTGTATTCTTCAACACTCCATGTGTTGTACATTCACCTCATTGTACTATGTGAGTGCGCAAGAATCCTCGGACTGTGTAGAATCCGTACAAAGCCATTCTCACATCAGTCCGAGAATGATGGGAAAGCAAAACCCCCAGAACGAGGACAGACGTTCCTCGCCTTAGCCTGCTCACACAAGCCCTCCAAACAGCCAATTACACGCTCCCGCAGCATTTCTCCGCCCACGCGCGTCAAACCCAATCTTGAGTCTAAAAACCAACAAGCTTCCCTAATCAGCCCCCGCCACTTGGCTATTCACTTGGTCGCTGATTCGACTCCACACACACAGCCCACATACAACATCCACAACGGCAACCCAGAACTCGTCGAGCAAAGTGCAATGTGGATGTGCCCAAGCTCTAGATCTCATCTCCCTCCATCTAGAACCCCGAAGCGAACCAAACCATCTACTCCCAAGAAACATCCCTCCTTTCGACTCAACAAACTACCCGTGACCAAGGAAAGGGAGCCGCAACCCAGGGTCCATCCACCCATCCACCCATCCATCATCCATCCTCCCATCCTCCCATCCTTTCACCCGTACAATCCACCCAGCTAAACTCGCGTCTCCACGTGTATGCGCCCAATCCCCACCCCGTAGCACGCCGCCACAAGCGGTCTCGCTGTCGTGTGTCGTGCACCTCTAGTCCTGTACCGCGGAACGCATACCTAACAGGTAGGTTAGCCCCTCCACTAAGCGACGTGACATGCATTGCACCTTACGCCCCCCTGTTACATTACGAAGATGCAGGTTCTCGGCGTTCGGTGGCCGGAGCTTTGTCGCCGGGGATAATGTAATAGTGCGTTCCCAACAGAGTAATATGGAATTTCAATCGCATAATTTGATTTCTCGGGAAATTTGGATTGTGTAAGGGCTTCAATTGGTAGTTACCTTCTCACGTGGACCTGCTGCTGCTGCTTATTTTCTGGGGATTGTCTACGTGTAGCGTCGTGTGTGGTGGTGGTGATAATGATGATAGTGGTGGTGGTGCCTTAGTAAGACAATACCTACCGGTAATTCTCCCACGATTATTAAACTTCCCGCAAGAGACGCGTCGTCTAATCGCGCCCCAGACAGAGACCCTGACTCCAAACAAATCATTGGGGGAATGGAGGAGTGGGGGAAGGTAAAGTGTAAAACGCAAGTGTCAACTTGCAGCACGCAGCGCCATGATTGGACAATTGGAAGGAAAAAAAGCGGGTATACGTAAGCCAACCGCCGCACATCCACATCCTCGCAAACCACAAGTCACGCACCCCTACAGCTTTTCCACTTCACATCGTAGTCGATATACCTACCTAGGCGCCATCCACTCCACTCCACCTAGGTATTCCATTCACATTGGGCCCCTCCCCCAATCACCACATCACATCACATGGCATAACCATACACATGGCGTCGCCGGCATAGCCCGACCCCCAAAAACCCAACTATGACTAAAGCCTAACCCCGAAACCGCAAAACAAACCAGTCTAGCACATCTCGCAGGCCGTCAACGCCGACGACGCCGACGACCAAGAGCAAGGGCAAGGGAAGAGCCGCAAGCCTGGGCATGCAGAAGCGGGAACGCGAAAGAAACAAGCCTCCTCTCGCCAGTGTGGGTCCCCCTCGGTAATTGGACCGCAGAACATTCCACACTACCTTCCACCAATCGAGCATGCCATGCGGGCTGGGGGCGTGTTGCGCAACACGGCTGGCACGGCTGGCATGTTTTTTTGCTTGGCGATGGCGCCAGGTTGCTGGTCACCTGGTCTTGCTCGAGCCGCGTTGAATGGTTGGGGGGAGGCACTGCTTACTTGCTTACCTGCCTACTCTACTTCACTAGGTGGGCGATCAGGAGCGGTGTGTGTGTGTAGCGTACGGAGAGTGGATGCGCTTCGGGAATCTCACGGGATGATGGGTCCAGGGATCTGGTGTTTTGGGCTGTTCGCCCGTCTGGAGTTTAGCGAGTGGTAGACCATGTTTGCGCCATTGTCGATGTAGTAGGTGTTTAAGAACCAGCGGAGATAAAAATGTCTCAGAATGCGTGTTTTGGGACCGTAAATGGTGTGTGAGACTAGCTCATTTCCCCTGCATAATTCGAGTACATATCGAGATCCAGAATCCGAAGTTGACGAGAGGAGTTTACGTCCTCACTTGGGGCGGTGAGTTCCAAATTGAACATGGAGTCCCTGATTCCGAAAACAAGCCGTGTTAAAGATGTAGAGTGTAGCATTACGAGACCCTCGATTCCCCTTTTGGGGAAACCGACAATGGAAACTCCTCGATCTATGGACATTTCAGCCTATCCCCCAGTCCCACAAACTCAATGAAAAACCAATCAAGTGTGTATATTCCCAGGAGGCAGCGCATAGGCCTTTGAAACTTTGAAAAACCCGCTTCATAAAAACTTTTTGTGGTCGTGCCGTTGAAACGCCGTGCACCGTCGAAAGATCCATGTCTAACGATTGCAAAAAAAAACAATAACAAAAACAACCCAAGGGTAATCCCGCCATCAGTACAATAAAGGAAAAGCCAACAATCACTTAGAACACCTCTTTATGCACATCAGGTCGTCAGACCTGGCTCTGGGCCGGTCAAAGAAGACGTGCGTCTAAAAGAGATGTACAGGAAGTTAAGGCGTCGTATACAAAACGACATGAAATCCAAGAACCAGAACTGGCCGTTATCATGGTCAGGTCTTCAACGTGAAGTACCATGGTGAGTGTAGTAGGAGATGCAGGAATCCAAACGTAACTTTTTGCGTCGTAGAGGATGCGGGTGCGCCGGAGTAGGGAACAAAACCAAATTCTATACGCGAGATTCGCCGTGATTGTCGCAGTTGGCAACATCGGGTATCAGGGATTAGTAACGTAGAAAGTAAGCCGGAGCCGCGCGGGGGACCATGATGAGAAAGGTAAATAACAAACGACCAGGACCAGCATCTTAAAATATCGATGCTGGGTCGATCCCGCCCATCCCAGCGCCTGCAACGTTTGCATTCTGCAGGTTCTGGAGATTTGGAAGATTGCCAGCAAGGCCAAGCTTTTGAAGCGCGAGCTCAGGATTGCAATGTGGCGCGTGTGAGCGGTGATACTTGAGGCCGTTGAGATTCTTGTAGCGTTTGCCACAGACCTCGCAACGATATGGCTTCTCCTTCTCCATACCCACAGTCCCAGGGTAGGGAATGGATGTGAGAGGGTCGACAATAGAGAAGGAACCGTCATCGTTCTCCTTGAGTTGCTGGTTCTGATGGCCGTGCTGTTTGTGGTACTTAAGACCGTTTTGGTTCTTGTAAGCCTTTTCACAGCCAATGACTGGGCACTTGAATGGCTTGACCTCCTCGGGGAAAGGAAACTGTGGTATGCTGGCCCCATTCAGAAGCTGCTGTTCTCGCATTCTCCGTGCAAGCTCGCTCTGGTCGTTTCCACCAAGCTGGTAGTTCTTGAGTGCTGCCTGAAGTTGTGTTTGGGTGAGTCCGGCGCCCTGCTTGCTGAAAAGACGCTTCCCTGGCTGGTCGATGGTGCCGTTGTTGTCAAACCCAGACATGCCAAAGTTGTTGTTGTTGAAGCCCATGTTCATGTTCATGTTCATACCCATGCCCATATCCATGCCCATCATCGGATTGAAGTTGAAGTCCATGTCCAGTTCTGCTGGCGTGCCGGGATGCGAAGACTCGGGTGAAGTCAGGTTGTGAGTATTTTGCATCGACACTGTACCGAGGGTGGGGGTGTTGACGGACGAGACCGTAGGGTTGTTCTGGAGGCCGAACTGCTGCGATGCTGATGGGGTGGTGGGTGTCGATGTGCGCAGGCCCTGGTGCTGCATCGTGTTGGCGAGGTTGACGTTCAGCTGTGGCAATTGCTGGCTCTGGTTGAACTGAGCCGGCTGGACAGGGAATTGGGTGGGCATCTCGTCGATAGGGGCAAGAGTGTCGAAGTCCATGCCGTCCATCTCCATGTCCATGTCCTCCAGCGAGTCGACGTCCTGCACGGTCGACAGATTGGATCGACTGACTGAGCCAAGGCGCTGGCGGGAGCCTCCTATGGATCCCGAGCGGGGATGGAAGCCGTGCTGCGTGTTCATGGCGGGCTCGCCCTGTGTCTGGCCTGGCGCTATTGAGTTCGACGGGGCGCCCGATGTGGTGGGGAGGCCGTTCTGTGCGGGCTGTGAGGTGCGAGAGGCGGGCGCGTTGGCGTGCGTCTCCTCAAAATGCTGGAGCAGGTCGTGCAGCGAGGCCAGGGTGAGGCCGCAGCACGTGAAGTCTTTCATAAAGGCAGCCTCCATTTTGGGGAGATACGACGACGAGTGGTAGGATGGCGATTGGTTGTTGAAGGGTGCAGGAGAAGTACCCGCCATCATGATGCTGTTTCGTGCTGCGTTAGCGCGACGTCCGAGTGTCAAGTGCGCGGGAGGCGATTGGCGAAACTTACTCATCACGAAGCCAGGACCCGCCGCCAACAGAGACGCCACCCCAGCTCATGCCGCCGCCAAGACTGCCCATGTTCTGGCTCTCGCGGCGCGGGCGGTCGCGCATGGAGATGGGGCGGGCGCCGCTGCCGTAGAAGGACGAGCCGAGCATGTTGCTCATGGAGCTCTGGCGGTCGCCCATGCTCGGGCGGGCGTCGCGCGAGAAGTCGAGGCCGCCATGTTGGTGGTGCTGGTGGGGGGTGGCGCTCAGGTCGCGGTTGGCCTCGGCCTCGCGCAGGGCCGAAGTCAGGTTGGACGTCTGGTTCTGCGGGGAGTGGGAGCCGAAGCGCGGGGGCGTCTGGATGTCGATGGGGGAGGCGATTTGGGCCATGGCGTGCAGCAGGCCGTGGGGCGGCGGGCTGTCGGAGAACAGCGGGAGGGTGCAGTCGCCGGCGTCCTCGAACAGCAGGTCCTGGCCGGGCAGGCGGCTGGCCACCAGCTCGTGCGGCTTGCGGTGCCACGGGCTGGAACTCGACCGCGACCTCGCGTGCTGGCTGCGGCGGCCGAAGTGCGGCGACGACGGCTCGACGGGCGTGCTGACCGGAGTGCTGGCGGCGGTGCTTTCGCGGGGCGAGTGCGAGAGGGGCGGCGGCGACGTCTCGTGGGAATCCAGGATCGCGGTGACGGGGAGCAGTGGGCAGGAGTAGCAATGCGGCCGCGATGCTCGGGGCAGAGTTGGCGGGCAGACGTCCGGGGCACGGGCGGGCTATATGCTCGCGGCGGCAGGCGGTGACGGCGTAGTCGCTGCGACGAAGCCTTAGCTACTTGGTTCGGTCGTATCCCTGGCAGATGCGGCCAATGGTGCAGGCGCGCTAGAGTGCTTCTTGCGTCGCTGTCACGGAAGGTGCAAGTCTGACGACGGAAGGAGCGATCCACGGTGCTTGCGGCGGGCGGGCGAGGGCAGGGTGAGTGGGCAATGGCTCGAGGCGCTGCTCGACGACGGACAGGCGCCTTTATGAAGATGTCCGCCCGTCTGTCGCTACTTGCAGCGGACTTTCCGGCCGAGGCTGGCAACTTTTTGGTACTCTACCACGGCGCACGGCCAATGCAATCAATGGGACGCTGGGGCGCTGGGACGCTCCAGTGCTAGCATGTACTGGCTGTCACGCCGCGGCCTTGCAAGCAACCCCAGCTCGCAGCGCGCAGCTCGCAGCTCGTAGCTCGTAGCTCGAGGCGTGCTGTTTCCGAGCAATGCACCGCTCTCCACCACTCCGCGCACCCTTCCACTCCTCCCACGCCTTCCAGAAGCCCAGCGTCGTGTCGTGCCTTCTCCACGCCTTCACGCGTGCGTCCTACGTCAACGACCGAAGAACGGCCGGTGCCGTCTCTAACCCACTACAGCAATATTCAGCACTCAATTGCCGACACTACTGTGCATCTGCCTACCGCTGGACCCGCCTCGCCAGCAGACGTAGGAGCCAGCCTGCCTTGCTGCGTGAGTGATGCGTGCTGAGGCTTTGCTGGTGGTCCACGCACGAACGCCTCATGTCGTCTCCATCCAGTGCTGGCTGCATCGCCGTCAACCTGCCCCAGCCCTAGCCCAAGCCCATACCATACTCACTGACTCACGCCCCTCGCCCTCCGTCTGCCCTAGCAACACCAGCTCCCATCAACCGCCTCTTGCGCCTGTCCCAAAGTGACTTCGCTACCATGCCGTGACTTTGGCCGTCGGCCAAGTCGGCAGAATGCATGTACGCTATTAGCTAACTTGTATCTACCCAGGATTGGCTGGCCAAAGTACCTTCGGCTGCTCGACTGCCTTTGTCCTGGTCGCCACCAGCCGTCTTACACATCATGCAGGGCACGTTTGAGCTAGGCATATGTGGTACGCACTCACTCACAAGCTTTCCATGCTGATAGTCGAGGCTTGGGAGCAAGAACTTGCCTACATATTATATTGAGGAGAGGCTTGTATGCTTCGAAGCCATGCTAGGTATTGTGGTATCTAGCTTTCGTCTCGCGGCCAAAAATACTCCGTCCACCATTGAATATATTGTGGATCCGCATTGAGCCGATCAGCCACAAGCTGCGACACCACCTGAATCTTGTGCCGCCTACCCACCTAGTCCTTACTATCGTCGCCCTGGAACAAGTAATCCTCTTCATTGCCTGGGGTCAGATCAGGATTGATGAAACGATGCTGGGTAGACTCAAAATAACTAAGATGCTTGTCGCCATAAAAACCATCCCCAGAGTCGGGTTGTCGTCGGGTCATCGAGCGACTCTCCGACACCTACTCCACACCAGCGCTTCACAGGTTGTATTATGCATGCGCCGCACATAGGTCAAGCCGCACGCTTGCTGTCAAAACATCTTTTCAAAGCCTCGTGGCTATTTGCCGAACACCGGGGTTTCGCCTGAGGTCAGCAAGTCAGCAAGCATGCCCACGTCCAATTATGGTTCGTCCTGTTTATAAAAAACCGTTGACTGGACCCTGCAGCGGCTCTTCTTCTCACGCTTTGACCAAACAAAGTCTCTCGACCGGTATTATGTTCATCCTGCAGTACGTCAATGCGCAATTGACACTGTCTACTGCCCGTCTAATTCGTTTCCATCACCTCCTGTACAATGGATACGAAGTCACTCATCAACCCGAGACAATGTTGGTGCCCGGGCAAATGCGGCTAGCACACAAATTTCAGGGCGGAACTGGCAGCGGAACAGTGCTAACCGATGCCAAGGTACTACCTTTTCTTGGAAGATATTTCCGGGCGAACCATGTTGGACAATCTTACTGGGCGTTACAGCTCTGCCCCTCCATAATAGGCCAGCGGCATTGCGTCCGAAGAGTGCAATATTCCAAACGTCACTTTGTTATCATTCTACACTCTACAATACTTCAGCTCCGATCTGATTCGTCACTATCTCGCCTGCCTCGAACCTACAGCGAGGGGCATCCTGGATAGTGGTTCGTTGTTAGCAGGTCAGGCGAGCAAACAACGCGCACCTTGAGTGACAACAAATGCAGCATTGCATTAGGACTGCATTGCATCTTCCTGCTAGACAATCTGACTGCGCCGCACGTTTCCACTAGACATAGGTAATATCGACGTCTACCATACAGTAGCGTGGCCCCATATGCATTGCCTAAATCCGAACGATCCCCTTAGTCTCGTCATCTCCCAATCTAACCATCTGTCTCCTTGCACATTGATACACTATGGGCGATGCGTTCGAAAGTCAGACACCACAACATAAAAACGACACTGTTCTTCAGTCGCGATTGCCATGCGACTACGAGAGGTTTCATGAGCAGTCGACCTGTGTTGAGCGTTGAAGGACCAATATAAATCCGGCATTATGGTTATGACTGGCAGCTGACCTACATCCAGGAACTACAGATCTACCTCGATCCCTCGACACTTATTCAACATCCTGGTCTAACGCCTAACGAAAGCACGCTCTGACTTGCGTCGATGATCATGAGGTTGCTCATATCCGATACCGGCATGGCTGATCTTTTATTTCTATGACAATGCTGCAGCCGCACTCACACATGAACCTATCTACGGTCCGTTCCTGCATTGGCGTCGTTGCGGCTCTTTTACCAAAGGCACCGACTTCTGCACATTGTGTAGACCCCCATTGGCTAGCACGGTGCTATTTAGTATGGTCCTTGCTCAACGGAGTCTCCCACTCGGTTCGATGTGTTCCGATCTATTCTTCGACATCTTGCAGCCTTTCATAGGTTTACGTGCGATTGGTGGCTCGGCAATCCAGCCTATGACTGGAATTGAAGCTGAAGCTGTGCTTACGCATGCATCCGTTTCGACGTACTTGCGAATGTCACAACCCTAGACAGCTCAGCCCGTGTTATCTACTGCCAAGGTAAACTGGCTACAAGCTGCATCTCTGACCTCGTTCTAGCATACCCCTAGCAGCCCTTTCGGTCCGACCTTTGTTCCCAGATCTTGCTATCGGATGTGATCACAGCGTTACTCGGAAGCCATCCGTCTCAAGCTCGATGTCCCAAGCTGTGACCTCTAAGCCGCGCGGTTTACCACATACGACGTTCCGGTACATTTTACAATTCAAGCTTTGTGATCGGAGCGTCGTGAAACTAGTGGGAGGAGCTCATCGGCCCTTCTCCGACGCCCGAGCGCGTCGAAGGATCAACGGCCTGACGTCAAGTGTCGCCGATGGGGTAGATGATGAGGGGCTCACCGTTAAGAATGATGGAGATATGATTAGTTCAATGGTGAGCTGTCATGGAACCGGTAATTTTCCGGTTGGCTCTAAAGGTACGACTCATTTTAATGCAGGTATACGAGAAAAAGCAGACTCATTGATTGGCTGGCTGAGGATGCTTCGTTTGCGGGGAAGTGCATGACCGTATTCCTATATCACCCTTGGTGGGATACGTCAACCTTATCCTACCGACATCTGCTCAGGCAGCTCTTAGTACGATAGTTCATCGCCGTAACTCCCTATCGGCTATTAAGTGTGTACGTCACAATCACATCGTGATTGTGATAACGATGCACTGTACGCTATCGATCGATATATTAGTTCACGAACCGGTCTCGCATGGGGTTGTCCAACTAGATCGGCTGTAGGATGATGCATGCGTACGTACACCTTGCGTATCAGCTAACGTTTGACACACGGAGAGCCCCAAACGCCCAGTAGCTGGTATGTGAAATACGCAACAGGCTATCTCTGTATTCTTTGTCGATGTCAATCACGACAACACCACATCTAGCCTCTCACCTCAACTTTCATTTTACTCAAAGTCTCATGTTTACACCGTTTCTCTCTGTCTGCACTTTGTATCCAATCACCTATCCAACGGTTTTTACCAGACGTCATGTCATGCACACTCTCAAAAAACAAACTCTCATATATTCAGATTCCCCATCTCCATTCGTCCGCACATGTAAAAGTCAAGCACCAATCTGGCAGAACCACGACTCACCTACTTTCCAACATCCCCGCCTTCCAACAAAAAAAAGCAAAAAAGCAAAACAGAAAATCCTACACCCAGTTGGAAAGAACAGCAGTTCGACAAGATAACGACAATGACTTGCATGCGCGGTAAGCTAATTCCATGCGCGACATACGGAACATGACGCAATTAATCCTGGCTGTGTTGACTCGAACTGCTCCGTGGGCATCTGATTGGTCCGTGGGCATTTCCTTGTATCTTTGATTGTCGCTTTACGTTCATGAGGTGTAGTGTTTCAGAGGAACAAAGGATATTGCTGGGGAATGGCGGATTCCCAGATAATATCAACCTCTTTTCCGCGGACACTGTTTTTGAACGACCCGGGTTTGTTTTCTCAGGAGTGCTGGGCTGGGTGAACAGATATTCATTTATTCATTCACATGGACACACATCCAGTCGTCCCTACTTTCTCGGAGAACATCTCATGTCATGTCATGTTGCGTAGTATGAATAATACTGTAGCTCCCAACTAACTATCCCATCTCCATCTCAACGGAAGCAAAAAGGCTCGTATACAATCGCAATCACGAACACATACACCTATCAATCCCCCCAAAGCAACAACAACAACCTCATCGATAGCAGATCCCGATATCCCTCAAACTAACACAATCCACCTCGCACTAAGATACACCAACACGCTCCTCGGCCTGAATACACCTGAACTTGGAATTCGTCGAGGGACTTACACCTTCTTCGGGTCAGACACCGCGTCATCATCGTCACCATCGCCGCCATCATCGTCATCGTCGTACTCATCGTCTTCGGAGTCGGCTTCGATGATCTGATCCTCTGATACCGATTTCGTATTGGGAGTCTTTGTCAATGTTGTCTTTGTCGTGGTTTCAAGCACCTTGGAAGGCGTCGCTTTCACCGTCTTCGTGACTTTTGTAGTTGTGATTTTTGAGGGTTTCGCGGACCGTGATGCCTTCTTCTTCTGTGTACCTGTATGTTTTGCTTCTAAATCTTTCGTCTTCGAGGGAGGGGGTTTGCGTGTCTCTTTCTGCTTCTTCTTCTCTTTTACCACCGTTTCCTCTTTCTCCTTCTCCTCCTTCTCCTCCCTCCCCCTCTGCCCCAAAAACGGATCCACAACCCCCTCCAACTCCGCAAACTCCACAAACCCCTCAAACCCCTCCCCATGCACAGCCGCATCATCATCCGGCGCGCCATCCTTAAACTTCCGCGCCCGTCCCCATCTGCAAAACACCCACCCGTGTGTCAAAACGCGGACGCGGACACCCCTCCCCTCACATCCGTCTTGGAACACGCGCTTCGCGGCGGTACTCTCGTGTGTCTCCCACCCGCCGCGCCGATACGCAGTCACGCCGTCCATGAGCGTGATCTGCGTGAGGGGATCATCGTTTCCCGCGCGCCGGTTCTCCTTTTCCGAGCCGGAAGAAGGCGTGCGCGGGTTCTGCACCCGCATGCCGGCGTCGTTGAAGCATTCCATGCGTGCGGAGTCGTACAGGTCTTCTTTGAACACGGGCTCGAAGTGGTATGCTGTGTGGGGGTCGAGGCGCATGTGCAGGCTTAGCATGGCGGCTTCGGCGACGAGCGTGAACAGAGCGTCGAGGACGGGACGCGGGGTTTGGAGGGAGGTTTGCGTGGGGTCTAGGGCGAGGATGGGGGTGAGGTGCGTCCAGAGGGCGTGGACGATGTGGGTTACGTGGTTTGCGAAGTTGGTTGGGAGGGGGATGGCGGTATTGGTGGTGGTGGTAGAACGATGTCCTTGTTTCTGCAGGATATCTCGAATTGTCTCAGCGTAGCGTTTATTGCGATCAAATCCTATAATGTGTGTTAGTTCGCCGCATATTTCTCGGTGTAAAAACTTTTTACTCACCGTCTTCCCCCTGAAACTCAACCTGAATCCTCGCAACAACCTCACATTCCTCCTTCTCCCCGCCGAAAAACACATGCCCAAACACCTGCTCAGCAAGCACATTCCCCACAATCGCACACACAACCGCCCACCGCTTCTGCTCGACAAGAAACAAGTCATGCCACCCCTGCGCCCCCGTAGGACCCCCGGACGCAACGCATCCCACGATCTTCACGGTCGCGGGCTGCATCTTCGCGTACACGTTTGCCGTTAGTAGTGACACGTCGTCGGAGTGCGGGAATGTGAAGAACGTCGAGGCGAAGCGCTCCATCTGCGTCATTACCGCCCATAGACTATCGCGTAGCTCGGCGTCGCGGAGCGCGTACTCGGGTTCTTTGACGTCGTCTTGGATGGTGTGCTGTAGAAGTGGGAGGTCGGTGGGGTCGAGGTGCGAGACGAGGGTTTGGGCGCGGCGGTTGGGGGAGGTGGCCCATTGCTCTGTCGGGGTGAGGTTGAGCCAGTCTGCGGTGGAGAGTTTGGCGTTGGAGGTTGGTCTTAGGGTCTTTTGCACGGGTGTTGGATTTTGTGGAGAGTGCTTCTGGGCTAATGACTGGCTTGGTTTTTTGGGTGGAGGGTTTCGCGGGGGAACGATTGCAGGTTTGTCTTCTTGCGTTGAGGTCGGCTTTGTAGAGGCTTGCTTGCTGACTGGCGGAGAAGGAGCAGGTGACCTCGGAGTCCGTGTCGAAGGGCTCTTCGTCGATGTAAGGCCCTGCGGGACGGCAGGTGGGGGAATAAGCGGTTGATCCAACTTTACAGTGAATGACCGTTGCCCACGGGGCTTGATAGCAGTATCCTTGGGCTCTCGTGATTGTGGCCCAGGCACCTGGCTCTTCTCTTGCTTACGCGTTTTTGGCGGTCGTACAACGTCAAACTCCTCGGAATCAGAGCTGTAATACTGCCGCAGCAGCTGTTTCTGAGCACCTCTACTGGCAAGTGGGTGATCGACGAGGGCACTCTTACCCAGCCTCGCTTTCTTGAGCTCCTCAGCGTGTGTGCCATGCTCAACAAAGGTATGCAAAGCACCCTGTGCTTCAGCAATCTCCTTGGAAAGCATATCGGTCTCGCTCTCGCTGGCGGACTCTACCAGTTCGTTGGCTCTCTCAAGATAATGCTTGGCTTTGTGCGTGTTCGCAGTCTTCTTCGACCTGCTACTACTTTCTGAGACGGGCTTCGTGGGTGTTGAAGTCTGTGGTTTCTTGCGGAACCCTGACTTAGGTTCCTTGCCCGAAGGCGTCAAACTCGCCGCCGGCACATCACTATCACTTCCTTCCTCGATTTCGTAGATGACTTCCATCCTGGTGCTAGAGCCAGATGCATATGGAGAGCTCCTGCGGTCATCGGGAGTGTATCGCAGATCAGATTTCGTTGCGCGACGCTTATGCGAGCGATCCAGATCGCTGCTGGCTCGGCGCTTGCTGTGAGAGTTGGTGGATGATTTTTCTGGAGAAGAACCCTCTGGAGAGGAGAGCATCCTTGTTAGTTTCTTGACGTACTCCATAGTTGTGGTTGGTTATGGAAAGTTGCAATGCGCACAATTTGGAGACGTAGAAATGAAATGCAGAGGTGCAGAAAAAAGAGTAAATCGAGGGAAACATCCTGCTTCGTCGCATCTTGTATATTCACCCCGATAGCTTTGTCTTTGTCGTGCATCGCCGGATGCGGCAATCGCGAAGACCTGCACCCGGAAGTGGATTTGTGTTTGTTCTGATGTTGGAGACAAAGACACTAATTGTCAGGTGTAAATCAGGAACAACAGACGTTGCGCGATTGAAGACGTGTCTTTGATTAAGATGGGGGTGTGATCAATGAAGAGAACACAGCACATTCCGATGAACGTCACTCGCTCACTTGGCGTGGCTATCGAGACGCACGAATGGTTCCGGTTGCGTCTGTTAGCAACAGTTTCCTCTTAGACTTTCTGCTCCCTTCCGTACTATCAAAGTCCGATGATGCGAGAAAGTGGTAAAAGGCAGTTGACAACCGAAGCGATGTCACATATTAAACAACCGAGGAGAGTAGACTGCGAAGATAATATCAGCATCATCATTATGTTTCAATGCATACTATCTTCCTCTCGCCAACACTCATGTGCTGCAAGCCGACAAACTGAAGGAGCTCCCACAAACAACAAACTGAACCAAACACCCTCTACAAACCGACTGGATATTGACAAAAGAAAAGAAAAGCCAGAGCGGGACTCTGGATGCAATAAACATGCTAAAGTACGAAGACAAAACGTAGCAATTCGACTTTTCAAACGTTTCACGATTTGACTGTTGGTGTCCAATTCTTATACAAGCAAGAACACAGGCTCCCTGCGTCTTGCGACGTCACGCCATCAGTAACTTCCTCGCCTGAGGTGGTCTTGCAAGATGGAATATTTTGACCACCGGCTGCGACTTGCTCGATACGTGCAGCTAAGTTTGGCATTAGCATACTGCTCTAAGGCGAGTCGACAGAAAGAGCACATACCATACGGCCACGCAGAATACCCAGTATCATCCACGCTGATTGTATCATCAGGGTAGTCTCTTTGCAATTTCGTATACAGATGACCCTGCAATGTTGTGGTGCCATAATCACACTCAAAATCGCCTTTCGTGTCGCCCAAAGTCCCTGTCATGTTCACCGACTTGGTCCGACTCATCTGGAACTTGTAGCGTTCTGTATCTTTCCCTTCGTCTAACAACTCCAGTTCCTGATTTTGGAAAGTCATACTAAGAACTTCGCCATCGTCTCGGGATGTGAGTTTGTATGCGCCTGCCGAGCCAGTGATTTCCCAGTTCATAATGGCGAGGGCTTTCTGTGGGTCAGAGTAGTAGTCGGTGATGGGGTTGCATGTCCAGGTGTTGGGGTCAGATGTGCAGTTCTTGTTGACGGTGTCGAGGTAGGTTATGAAAGAGTATTTGCCGACAGGGAAGTTTTCAGGAGCCGTGGACGGTGACAGAGTGGAGGTTGATGTGGGTGGAGAATCAGTAGTGGTACTAGTGTCTGTGGATACAGGTTGAGAGTCTCCACTGGTAGGCGTGGGAGACGTTTCGGAGGAGCCGGGTGACGTAGACGATGTACTGTATACATGCGTCAGTACATGCGATTAATCAAAGAGGCGGAAGACAACAGGTGCCTTACCTGTCGGATGACTTCTTTTTCAGCCCCAGTGCCAGACCGACTGCCAGCGCAACAATAAGGGCGATTACTATCGCTGCAACGATGATAATCCTCTTCCGTCCATAGCCTCTCCTGGTTCCCCCGTGTTTCCGGTCCCTCACCTGCCCAAACTTGTCCCCATCCTTGTCGCTCCATACGCTAACGCTAAGATTACTACCAGAACCATTGCGGCTTCGGTCGTCGGTACTCGGTATGCCCAGCCGCCCGCCCGCGAAGAACGAGGTCAAACGAGCCTTGCGTGGAGTCGGATGCACGTGTAGAGCTGCATCGACGTGCTGGTGAGTGGGGTCGTTGCAGTAGGTTGTGGTCGTGTTGACGTTGATCTTGGCCGAGGAATCGGGTTGGAAGCATTTGCTGTGGCTATTCTCGAGAACGATGGAAAGGCGTTGGCCAGCCGGTGTCGAGATGCGTTTGGCAGGTCGTTCGCCGTCGAGTGGTTGGTGGGCACCTGCGCGTTTGAAGCTGAATACATTCATGGCGGAACTAATCGTAGCGTTGTTTATAGCTTGGGACTCCTTTTCATGCTCGGCAGGCTTATCGACAGCGCTAGACGACTTGTCCAACGCTCGATGATGGACCGGACAACAGATGGGATGGAGAGAAACAGAAGAACAGCGCAGCTGAACAGAAGAGAACGGAAAGGGTGAGGATGCCCACGAGTCGTTGCTTGACTCCAGCTACAGCTTGGATAAGGACCGAAAGCTTGTGGTGCAGACACGCGACAATCTTACTCTACATGGAGCTGAGCACATGGTCTATGCTCCGAATCACCCGCTAACATCCCTTGTAGCCTACTGTATTTCTCGATATGGACTACCGCCTGCCTCTTGCGGAGCCCATGCAGCCGATACCTCGTATGACCGAGTCGTGGTGCTGCCTCGTGGAACGTGTGCGGGAACTAACCGTACAGAGTGAACGCTCGAGTGGGCCGTGAAGATCGTGCACGAACAAACCGATACCTAATCTATGGAGAACGTCATCATGGAGAGAAAGCGGGCAAAGGCATCGATGAGACGTGGTTGAGATCCTCAACATCCAAGACGCACGAGACGCGTTGTTTTGGTTGTGGGATTATTGTTGGGAGGAATCGACGTGCCAAATAAAGTTTCTGTTCCTGCATTTTGACAGGGGGCGGGTGGCGGCACAACCGTCCGCCGAGCTCCGACTTCGAATTTCAGTCAACCAGCCCTCACCTTCACTACATGCCACTATGTGTGTACTCCTCATCGACCAGAAAATTCTGGCAACGTGCTCCCTTGATGTGTAAACGTCGCGTTACTAGGAGAGTTGGTAGCTGAATGTATAGTCACGTGGGGCAACAAACGCGTCTTCACCGCAGGCCTTCATCACGCGTGCCAACCAGCTAAACGCGGCGGGTTGGATTTCGACAACTAACTATCCGATCACCTCCTCATGAAATTTTCCTGTTGTCAACTTAGTCACCTACTACTATACTCCACGCGTTTGCTGGAGCTCGCCCAATTCTATCTCTTTCTAGAGTTCGAGGCTTCACAACGACAGTGGCATAATTGCTGTTTCTCGCTTACCCCACAATATTGAGGCTACCCGCATCACGAATCACACAGGAAGATCACAATCATGTCTGCGAACCGCACAGTCGTCCGGCTGCGTCCAGGCTGCTCGGATGGCGATGCAACACACATCCCCAGACCGGGCAAATGCACACAGGTGAACCCACCGACGCTCTACCTTGAGAAGATTGGACAGCAGTGGATGGAAGAACGTGGTGAAGCTCAAGCAGGTGTCAAGTACGTTCTCGAATCTCTGCCACCAGGATACTCCATGTGGCAACGACCTCGTGGTAAGGGCGCTCATGTCGACAAATACCTGTATGGACACCCATCCCACAGGGCTTTCGACTCACCGAACCGCTTTTATCCACACTTCGCATACCTTGTGCAGAACGCAGGGAATAGTATTGGATGCCCTTGTACTGTGTGTATGGGAGGTTCAGGCGTGCTTCCAAAAACCTCTCCCAACAATAGCATGCGCACGTCCAGCGCAGCATCCTCTCGTCCACCAACAGCAACCCAGACATACAAACTACCGACGGCGAAGTCCGCCCCGGTATTTCCCGATCTTCGTCACGCGTCCCAAATTCCAGCAAAGACGTCAACTCCTGCGTATCATGATCATCCACAGGCGTTTCAAGTGTTACAACCGCAGCCCACACTGACGGCTCCTCTAGCGTTGCAACCAACAAGCTGGCCTAAGGTAATCAGGCCGGGTATGTCCACAACTCGAACAGATGAGAAAGGAACACCAGACATATATCGAAATCTAATTGAGAAGCTCAGGCGCGACAACGTCATTGATGAGACCATAGAGGAGCCGCTGAGCCCAGACTGGAAAGCCGAGCAGGAAATTCTTCCAACCCTACTCAAGGAACTGAAAGTCAGGGATAAATGGGTTCCGCGAGCAGGTGATATCGTTCTGTATGTGAGAGAACTTTCTGAGGACGTAGATATTGTCCGGAATAACGCTTCAGGGGAGTTCAAGTTGTTTGATGGACAGATGAACAGGTATATTGGCTCTCCCGCCTGGGAAGCCGGTCTTATCGGACAGATTCCGACTGAGATGACTACTATCGACGACATCATCGAGGACGGCGACAGGCCTGTCAACATCACATATTCAGGGGTTCGCATCGAGCCGTTACCGAATGTTAACGATCCCGACAAATCCTTGTCCAAGCGATATAAGTACTTTCCGATTCGGCAGGTCAGGCCTTTCATATTGTGGAAAGAGCTTCTGCACCAGATACCACAGGAACGATGGCACCCAACGATCACCAACGCTTTGACAGTCACGGCGACCATGTCGTTGATAGGCAAGCATCGCTTCCGTGGCACATGGCCGAACGCCCAAATATATTGTCATGGAATACATCTTGGGTACGAGATGCTTGCCGTTGGCGACGTTGTGCGTCTTCTACCTATATCCAGACTTCAGCAAACAGAGTGCTCCGACATTCTTGTTATCAAATCCATACGCCTCAAGTGGTCTGGCTTAGACAAAGCCTCCAACAACGATTGGGATGACAATCAGCCCTACAACTCCACCATCTTGATCTACGGCTCTGCATACACGAGCGACGCATCTCGCCTGAACAAAGAATGGCTTTCGAACGACAACGTAGAGCCGCCACGAGTAGCAGACGGCTATCCAGGCCTGCACCCACTGCACCCTCCCACGAAAGAAATCGTAGTCCCCATGTCCCGCATCCTAGGGCGTCTCTACGAGCGCAACGCCATGGCCCTCTGGCTTAACTCCCACCCTGACGACCTCCCAGGCCTCGACCCAGGCCGGCAAGGCCTCCTAGAAGGCCGCGCCTTCGCGCACAAAAACGACCGCCGCATCGTTGAAAACCCGGGCTCAAGCTGGTATTGGGGCGACAACCGCGCCGACGCACTGGACCTGCAAACCATCAACGGCCTCGAAGTCGCGAAGCACGACCCCGAGCGCAAGACGAAAGAATGGCGCCACAAAATGGACCAGCTGCAGCGCTTGGAGAACGAGAAAGCCCGCTTGGATGCAAAGCCCGCTGCTCCTCTCGGCCTGCGACGTTTCATGGCGCCGGGCACTGATGCGCTGCCCGTTAGGGTGCAGCCGCTACGCGTAGCCGAGGAGAGCGGTAGTGGGACGAGTACGGCGACGAGCTCCGTGTCCGGAAAGAAGAGAAGCCATATTGTGAATCTGGATACTGATGAGGAGGACGAGGATGAGGACGAGAAGGAGATCCGCGCTTACACTAAGATCATCGAGGATATGCCGAGCGTAGTGCGCAAGAAACCCAAGGTTATGGTCGTTATTGACTGAGTATCTGGTTCAAAACACGATGATGATATTTACGGGCTTCGATGATACGACACATGGTCACGAGGGGATAGAGAAAATGGGTTCCGATGCTTAGGCGTCGGGGGTGCACAGACCTGGGAAAAGTACGAGCAGAGAAGGATACGAGGAAGGGAATGCACAATGCACTATCATGTTGAAAGGATGCGTGAGTTTATCGAGAGAGAGAGAGGCAGAGGATCGGATCATAAATCTCTCTCCACGTGTATGTACTCAAACATGATGAAATCACATAGACCAAACAAGTTTACAAAAAAGACAAAAGGCCCCTCGTACACAAACAGCGAGCGGACGAAGAAGTTATCCCACTACACATGAACTCACACCACCACATCACAACAAGCCAACAACTGCGCGTAAAAATATATCATTCCCCGCACTATCCTCGTATCAAACCCCACAAAAAAACCGATCTATCAACAGTCTCGAAAAAAAGAGGAGTATCCGTAATACAATAAGCCAAAACACGAACAAAAAACAAACAAAAGTAGCGACATCGACATCCGCAACGCCGAACCCAGCGCCGAACCGTCGCTATGCAAAAAAACGAAAAAAGAATGTCCCGGTAAGCGAGATCAAAACGGGTGTGAAAAGGAAAAGAGAAGAAAAAGAGGGACGTATGGGCAATAACAAACAACAACATTCGCACAAGTATGATAGAGTAGGGTGAAACGGAAACATGGATAAACACAGCCCAAACGCCTCAATCCTCCGTGTATATACGCACGCACTCGAACTAATAGCTCTTGTATTTCTGACGCAAAAGTTAGCGCACATCCCGTTAAACAGTGTGAAGGAAAGAGGGAGAAGGAAACTTACATCTTCAATCTTGCGACGACTCCCCTCATCCAGCGCATTCCCCACGCCCAACAACGCGTTACTAACCGCCTTCGTCGCTCCCAGCGCAGGCCTGAGGATAACGGTCGGCGCGTGTCTCGCCAGCGCACGCGCCATGCCCACGCCGCTCCCTTGCTCCATGACCTCGGCGGGAATAGCAATGACAGCGTCGCGCGCAGTGAGTAGGTCTCGCTCGAGGTGGCGTGCAGCGCTGCGGAGACCGGCGCGCACACCGATGGGCTGGTTTGCATAGTGGGAGACTGCACGGGGTTCTTCGGTAGGGGAAGGCGGGTCTGAACCGTCCCAGTCGGCGGACTGGCGGGAACGAGAGCGAGGTGAGGAAGCGGGTTGCGGGACGAGGAAGGCTTCTGCGCCTTCGAGGAGTGTTTGCGTGCCGATGGCGACTTTAGCGCCTAGACGGGCAACCTCGCTGGTTGTGTTTTTGGCAAATGCGTACACGCCTTTCTGTAGACTGCGCACGATGCGGCCGTCCTTTTTGTACTCGCGCATGGGCACGACGACCAGATCGCGCATGCCAGATCCGACGTTAACGAGGGGACGCACCGCTGCGAGACCGGCCATGACGCCTGGGAGTTGGTTACGCGTTACATCGGGGGCCCATACATCGTTCAGCGTCTTGTTCAATTTGTCGAAAGATGTGATGCCATAGACAATGGCGTGGCGGAGCGTGATGTCGGAGCCGTCGAGGATGAGGAAGTTCATGAATTCCGTGGTATGGCCTGAGCGTAGACCCCGATAGTCGACACGTTTAGGTTTGTAGTCGAGTTTGAGCTTTACTGCGTTAACTTCGAGACGTTGGATGAAAGGTTGTTCTGCAGCTGGTGCGGTGTCGGTGCTGGGCGCGGAGTCGTCTTTGAACTCGAAGAAGCGGGTGATGAAGTCCAAAGCGTCCTGATCGATGTGTAGACGGAGGGGGAGAATGGTGACCTGTATTCGTGTCAATAAATATCTTACTGAGGCGGATTACGATCATATAACCTACCTTGATGACCAGCTCGGAAGCAGCCAGATCAGTCACTGGCTTCACTGTTAACAACTCCAGATTGATCATCGGTCTATCCAACTCCCGCGCGCTGGGCTCAATGACGCAAGTCACGAACTTCTTCCAAGTCGACGTAGGCACATGATCGAAGATCTCAAAGTCTCGCACACGGACATCGATGGAGTTCAATGTCTCACCAGAATCAGGCGGGAACGCCACCAAGTCGACGGCTACACCCATAAGCGAGAACACAATCTTCTTGTGCTTGCTGCGCTCGAGTTTGAGGCGACGTCTGCCTGACTTCGTAGCGGTACGTGGGCGTGCGGTAGCTCCAGTGGAGCGAGTAGCAGTGGAAGTCGCATAGCTGCCCGTCTCACTGACCAAGTCATCGATATCGTGATTGATCCGGCGCGCGAGTGCTCCCTTCTCGTCGTTGATAGGAACGCCAATCCAGACCGAATTGAACAAGAAGTCCTCCTCAACAAAGTCATCATCTTCTTCGTCTTCGTCTTGAGCCCTTCGTCGTCGCTCCTCGGCACGAGCTTCAACATTGTCTACGGCTTGCGTGATGATATCGCGAGTGCGAGGCCAGTCATAACCATCGTACAAATTCCAGATGATGTTCATATCCCGCACCCTGACTTTAAGCGGCGCATCTGGGATCTTGAACTCGTTCGTGAGATGATACTGGTTCTTTGTCGAATCCCACTTCTTAGCTTTGCCCTTGTGGTCTGAGTCGGAGTCGTGGAAGTATTTCTCGTTGAAGTCGAAACCTTCTTCGTCTTTCGTGACTTCGTAGTGTTCCTGGAAGCTTTCTAGAAGACCACGATCTCCGCGTTGCCGGATGAGAGGCGGAGTTGCCAACGCGCCAAGATCGTCTTCGCCGAGCATGCTATCTCCCATCTGTTCGTCGGTGGGTATAGAGTCCGGATTGTAAAAGCTGCCTACATATTCGAGGTTCGTAGGCACTTCATCGTCGACAAGATCGGCGTTGCTCATGAAATCGTCGTCGTCAGGGTCATCGGAGCCGGCAACTGCATCACCGGTGAAGGATTCCATCATTTGCTGCAGCGGTACCACCGTCCGATATCTTTCAGCCGTAGAGGGAGGTGTTGGCGGCTGGAGACCATTCAGGACGGCAATGAGCGTTTGGGTAGAGTCTGCGCAAGATTCCAGAACAAAAAGCTCATTTTTGAACTCCACATCGACAAGCTGCGGTTTGTCTTTGCCATCGCCTGCAATGTTAACACAGATTTTGGCAGCAGAAACGGAGCTCAGAGACACGAATCCAATCTCGCGTAGTTCAGCGAGATGTCGGTTCACACCTATCGCGCTGGCAGCCGGTGATGGCTCGTGTTCCTCTTCAAGGCGAGCAATGTCGTCGATAGCATGTATGGAAGCCTTTCTAAGCTCGACCAAAACCGAATAGTCAGTTTTGGCCTGCTTGCCTGATACGTGGGCTTCTGTAAGTACGAATAGACATTTCGAAGGAATCTTGCGTGGATTCAGACCAACTGCGCAATTTCTGAGCAGTAGGTCAATCTCCAACGGCTTCGCAGTGACAGTAGAAGGCGTGCTTGCCTGGGACGATTGCCTACTGAGTGTCTTTGGAGAAGAAGCTCCCGTGATAGTTGCGACGCTTGCAGCAATACCCAATGCGATTTCGTCAGCTGTGCCATCGTCTGAAATGCCAAGGGCGGCCATGATGGTTGACACCCTGTACTCGGCGCAAAGGTTGAAAAGCTTAGCCTTGACGACGGGTTCCATTTCGTCTCCAACCATCCTCACCATGATCATAGGTAGTTGATCTTGCGGCCGCAGTTTCACAACTTCATGAATCAAGACTTCATCATCCCGGCTTACGACAGCCTTTCCAACTTCTGTCGCGAGCAGAGCCGGAACTCCGACGTGTGCAACAGAAGCGTGCTGTAGAGAGACGGAGACATCTCCAAGCTTCTCATTGACTGCGACACGTGCATCGAGCTTCTGCACCGTTGCAAGCGTGAGGATACCAGGTCGGTCATCATCCGGGAGATATTTGGTGACTTTTGATAGACGCGCCACTTCTGCTCCTAGCGCCTCAAAAACCTTCATCTGCTCTAGATCGGATACTCGTACGCCCACACTGCTGATTTCAACACGGAGAATTGATCCCTTTCGACGTTGACGCAGCAATGTTTCGATGAGTATGTCTTCGTTGTTTTCGTATGGATCTTTCGACGGCGTAATCAAAGATATCAGTCTTGAAAGATCGGCTTCGTCGGGCGCGGTCAGGAGGTTCACGGTAGTTCCCTGTATCTCCACCAGAAGGGGTGCACCTGCTTGCGCTGCGTCAAGGTGCGGACCAGAAAGCCGAACTTCTGAGATTTTCAAACGAAGGTTGCTTCCGCGGGCGGCGACACGGACAGAGGTTGTCTGCAGTTGCACGGCACAACTCTTCCCTTTCAGAGTAAGTGAAACCTCGCCAAAGTGAACATGAATCTTCGGTATACTAGTCGGCGTTGATGGTGCTTCGGACGGGGGTGGCAGAGAGTCGCCGAAATGGACACCACGTGGCCTTGGTCGCGTTGGCGACATCACTGGACTATTGACGGTGTGGTTGGAGCTGATGGAGTTGCCTAGTTCCAGCACTCCGCTAAACCCACCAAAGGAACTGAGTGCATCATCAAGCTTTTGAATATCGAGCATGACTTTGACGGGACGAGTGACGACTGTGACCCGTTTGTCTCTGCCTTGCTCATAATCAATCTCCACATCGTTGCTGAGCCGTTCAGAGGTGTTGCTGATAGATGGCCGGGGTCGGGTTTTCGAATTGTCGAAAGAGATGATATCCAAATCCAACGATGACAAAACAAATGTACCTATCAGTAGCTTCGCACGCACCTCTTGGGAGTTTGTTTGACTGGTCACGCGAATCTTCGATAGACCCGCTCTTAGAATAGCGTCCACAGGGTTGATGCCAAGCATACGACTCGATGCTTGTCCCTCCAGGATTGACTCAGTCATTATGCTCTCCAACCAAGCAAGACCAACATGACGCACTAAGAGTTCGACACTGCTTTTCGCAGGTTGCGAAATCTCTTCGCTCTTTGCTGCCGTATTGTCCTGGCTAGGCTCACCAGTCAGAGCTTTGAGGACTCGATCAAGCATTCCGAACATGATGCGACCCGTGGATACATCCATGTGTCCAACTACTGAGCCTACTTCGATGCTAATGACAGGTGAAGACTCCTTCTTGGGTCGCTCAGTAGGCCTCTCCATCCTGGCAGGTTTCGTGGTTGGGCGTCGCTGCGTCGACTCCTCCAAACCTCTACGTCGATGTGATGTTGAATGGGCATAGTTTGAAAAAGAGCCTGGCATCTCAGCAAAGATAGAATCCTCTCCAATGTTTGGTGGCTTGAAGTCTAAGCTAGACTCCTCAATCTCAAATCCATCCGTCTGCTCGGAAAGTTCCTCTCCTTCCAGTCCTAGCGGAAACCACACAGTGACTTCGTCGATAGTCAGGAAAGTCTTTGCCTGCTTTCGGATAACGTCAGCTTGGCCAGTTGGGGTCTGTGTTTGTCTAAATCGCTGGGAAGAAGCTATACTCTGCCGGCTTCCTGGGCGTGGAGTTTCGCAGCCGTCCTCTATCTCCGGAGGTGGAACTAAAATACTACTAGCGATCATCTCTTCTGGGATTGATTCAGATCTGTCCGATGCACTATCATGGCTCGATGTGGGTGAAGTTTCCCAGCCTCCTGGGAGGTGCAGTCCATCTGATGAATCCGTCCGCGCGACGCTTATTGCACTCATATACATGCTTTCCCCATCGTCAGGGCTGGAGAGCTGTGATTCTGATAGGTCTTGTTCCGGCTCAGGAAGCGACTTGGACAATTGATGAACGCTAGCAATCGGACTTGGTTGTTCCTCCGCTGGCGCCTGGAATACATCGTCTAGCAGGTCAGTTGAACGTTGAAGCTGCTCGGAGACCCTCGACTGAGAAGGTGAACTTCTCGCACTAGGTGCTTTAAACGATCGTCCAAGAGCAGATACTGTGGGTAGGGCGGAGATCGATGCTTCGCTCGCAGGAGCAGACAGGTGGGCAGCTCTGCGTGAGCCTGCACCATCGGACTCCCAATCTTGTGAATATTCCGTGGGCATCTGAGGATTCGCGCCATCGTCGAATGTGGAGTCTAGCATGTCATTCTGTATCGCATACTCTATCAGGCCCTCGTCATCGTATAGAATGCTACTTGCGCCCAAATCTTGGACCGGCAAAGAATGCTGAGATTGAGCAGGAGAGTTGTTCTCCATGTACTCGTTCATTCCGTCGTCTGAAGCGGCATCCGCAAAGCGATCATCATCCACGGTATGCACAGAAGACATTAAGCGATGCTGCTTGGGTGGAGATGGCGCTGTCGGCGAAGATGGCGCTGTCGGAATGCTGGTCTCGTCGCACAGGCTGGCAATCGAAGCTTGGACAGGTGGAAGGACAGCTTGCGGCAAGCTCATAGACTTGGACTGCCCTTGTATTATGGTCTCGTCCTCGGATTGTTCTTCGATTTCGGCTTCGACCTCTGGCGCAACTTGAGCTGAGATTCGACTCGCAGACAGCTCGCTTTGCTTTTCTGGGCTGGTTGTAAGGTCCGAACGAGTAGTTGCAGGTGACGATGATCTTGAGATTCTAGACATGGACACAAAATTGTCAGCATCCGACACCAACCTTGCACATATATTCTCCACACGCATGCGGCGCTTTCCAAGTTTGGAGCTGGTGTCTTCTGGCGTTGCCGCCGAGCTGACCTCGACGCGCGCATCTCGAGAGGCCACTGAATCGATCGCTATTCGCTCGATGCGGAAGTTCAATGACACGGGAGATGCCTCGCTCGGTTTCGGTGTACTTGACGGATCGGCGGAAATTTGGTCCTCGACCTCAACGTCAATGTTGTTGACAACGATGCTGAGGCGATCCAGCGCGGTGTTGAGGATATTTCGTAGGTATGCCGGAAGAGCTAGGGGTGCTCCCATGCCCGCTGAACCCTCATCGTCCCCGTCATCGCTCGAGGCGATTGACTCGTACAGGTATCTAGGCTGAGATTCCAATTCGTGCTGAAGCTCCCTAATCTCTTCAGCGGGCTCCTCGCGCAGGAACGACTTGGCGAGCTCGTCTACAGTCGGCACGTGTTCGTCGTCATCTGAGTCGTCACTCAAATCATCTCGGGGAAGCGGAGGGGAAGATGGTCGTCGGCGGTATGGAGGCGGTCGAGCCCCAGGCGGGTTGCGTGTGTGCCCATGGTCTAGCGCACTGTTCTCGACACTCTCGATCAGTCTGGCTTGTACTTGTATGCCATCCACCTCTATCGATATCTGCGGAACGCCAAAGTCGAGCACGAAGGTGACGCGGAGAAGCGCGGCTCTGGCCTTGGAGAGGTGGAGCTCGGGCGGCAGCTTGAGGTGTAATAGCGCTACAAGTTTCTACACACACTTGTCAGCATCTCGGATGCATCACGCCATGTCCAAAGTGGCGGGTACCTTGATGTGCAGCCCGACATCTCGAACCTCTAGTGTCGTGCGCTTCCCGACATCGACGCTCACGAACTCGGCCGGGTCCTTGTCGAGTATGTCGATGTGTCGCAGGACATACAAGAGCAGCTTCTTGCCGATGGTGCTTGAGAGCCCCGAGAAGAACGCCATCTCGGTCGTGTTGCTGATTGAACGGGTGCTTCAGTTGCCTGGGGGCAAGACTGGCGCCTACCGCTGGGCAGACAACGCCTCCATAGGTAATTTCTTGGTCAGCTCCAGTGGGCCAGCAACTGTTGTGCGCGTTGAACGCAATGCGCAACCTTTACTATGTCGTGAGGGGTGTGTTGCGTGCTGCTGTCTGTTTGTAACAAGTCGCGCTCAGTGAATGGACATGGACATGGACGTGCAAGAGTGTGTTTGTGGGGCGAGGTGATAAGGCGCGTGGCGATCAAGGACTCGTCGCGACGTATATAGAAAGTGTACATGCAGGTCACAAGAGAGGAATAGGGTAGGTAGGGCGGACCATTTAGGTCTTGTGTCGGAGCAGATGATGCGTGACGCGATGGCCGCGGGTTAACCCCACGAAGCGCAGACCACTTAATCGATAACAAGCGTGGTGGTGCGTGACTCGAACACGCATCTTCAGTAAGACCCCAGATCGTGTACGGAGAGCTCCAAGATCTTGAAATTCTTAGGCTACAGAAGTTCGTATCGAGGGATGACTTGCCGAGCACTGCCACCTGCATGGCATCGAGAGAAGTAGATTATGTCAGCGCGCTAGGCAGCAACTGCCACTAGCATGCATGGGGAAGGAAGTCGCGGAAGCCACCGATATCGACCTCTTCCGTCAGCTTTTCTTCTTGGAAGATTCTGACTCCCTAAACCTTCTCTTTGCTTTGACATCCTCGCCCAGCATGGGATCGAACGCAGCTGCAAACGACGATGACTGGGAGAAGGCTGAGGGCGTCCCAAGCCTAAGCGACCCATTCATTCAAAAGTACCTCCAGGGAAGGGATTCATTGGTCGAGCAAGAGAAGAAGCAGCGAAGTGGTCTGTGAATCAATATCACAACTTAGAAACTCACGTCTGACAGCATTCAGACCACCTCTTCCGCCAAAATCTTTCGCCTATGGCCCAGGAAGCATGTGCCATAGTTTCTCAGATAAGATTCGAGGAACAGCAGACCCTATGGACAAAAGAGTACGAGGACAGCTTGTTAACCAAACATGTTGATGTGTTTCCTGGGATGATGTTCTCGCTAGCCAAGGAACGCATGGAGAAGAGCAAATTGTGGCAGATTGTGAGGAAGATGCCCAAGGGAGCACTGTTGCATTGTCATTTGGAGGCTATGGTTGATCTGGATTGGGCACTCGAGGAGGCCTTTAAGACTGAAGGTGTCTGTATCAGAGCCGATGGGCCACTCACAACAGAGGATGCACAACGCAAAACGCGCTTCTCCTTCACTTACTCTTCATCAACGAAATCCGACCTGTCGACCTGGAACGAGCAGTACACGCCCAATGACCCAGTCCCTATCGTAACCGCTGCAGACAGTTTTCCCTCCGGCGGCCGGAAAGGTTTCGTCGAATGGATACGATCACGCGTCACCATCACTCCTTCCGAGCACCTCTCTCACCACGAAGGCCCCAATGAAGTATGGCGCAAATTCATGTCCTGCTTCCCCATCCTCGGATCTCTCATCTACTATGAGCCCATATATAGAAAGTTCATCCGTAGAATGTGCAAGCAGCTCCTCAACGACGGCGTGTATTACGTCGACATGCGGTCCGCGTTCTACACACCCTACCGCAGTACAGGGCAATCAGACTGGGACGAGGATTTCTTCAACCTACTCGAGCATACAGAAGACGAGATCGAGGATTTCAAAGCTAGTGAGGAAGGAAAAGGGTTCTGGGGCGCACGCTTCATTTGGACCACGATTCGGCAGTTCGACAAGAAACAAGTCATTGCAAGTCGGTCACCCCTTACCTATTTTTATTCCTCTCAATATTGTCACCCTTTACCCCCCCTTCCTATTACTCTCCGCTACCCACAATATTAACAAAAAGTAGGCATGAAGCAATGCATATCTTTGAAACTCGACTTCCCCACCCTAATCGGCGGCTACGACCTCGTCGGGCAAGAAGACCTGGGCCGCCCACTCGCCGACCTCGCCCCCGAACTCTTCTGGTTCCGCAAGTCATGCGCAGAAAACGGCGTAGAAATCCCCTTCTTCTTCCACGCAGGCGAGACGCTCGGCGACGGCGATACAGTAGACGAGAACCTCTTCGACGCCATCCTACTAGGCACGCGCCGCATCGGCCACGGCTTCAGCCTGTACAAGCACCCACTGCTGATCGACATGGTCAAGGAGAAGAAGATCCTCGTCGAGAGCTGTCCCGTGAGCAACGAGGTGCTGCGCCTGTGCGGCAGCGTCATGGCGCATCCGTTGCCTGCGCTACTGGCGCGCGGCGTGCCTTGCTCGCTGTGTAATGACGATCCGACGATTCTGGGCCAGGGTGTCGAGGGCATGTCGCATGACTTCTGGCAGGCGCTGCAGGGGTGGGAGAACCTTGGTCTCGAAGGTTTGGGCAGTTTGGCCGAGAACAGCGTGCGTTGGGCGAGCTTCGAGGATGCGAGCCAGAAGGTTTGGGTACAGGACGTTAAGGATGGGCTGCTGGGAAAGGGCGTCAGGGCACAGAAGCTGAAGGAGTGGACGATGCGGTGGGAGAAGTTCTGCGCGTGGATTGTGGAGGAGTTTGGCGTGGATGAGAACCTCGAGCCTGAGGAGTGAAGGAGTGATTGGAGAATTTCTGTGTGGTTAGTTGCTTATGGACATTGCGAGAAGGTGGGATTCAACTCCAAACATGGTCTGTATCCGAGTATATTGAAAACAAAACCAGACTTCAACCCTCAAGCCGTCTGGGGTTTGCAAATCAAATTCCATATTCACATAAACTCACTCCCACCCAAACCCCATCCTATCCGCATGAACCTTCGCCAGATGATCCATCATCTTGTCTTTCCGCGGAAAAGCCTTTCCATCATCTGCCATGCTCCTCTCACCTAACAGCGTGCTCTAATCAGCCTTGTTCCTACATCATCCGTCGAAAATCCGATGCTGACCAGACGGTGTAGATCATGTGGAACAACAGACTGAGACTGACTCACATCCATCAACCGGGCACCAGAAGCGTGCCTTGTGTCCCGCGAGCCCCTCGTGCTTCGATTGGTGGTGTCGCTTCAACTCTGCGAGTCGACCGAAGGTGCGACCAGCGCAGGCGGATATAGAGCACTCGTAGATGTCGTCGCAAGCGTTTCCGTTGCTGAGTATGACGCCAATGGGTACGTGCTGCGGAGCGCGTCGAGTAGCAGCGGTTGTAGAGCGATGCTTCGTGATGCGATTTGTGTGTGCGTCACGGTTGTAACAAGTCTTTGTAGGGTTTAGAGGAAGGGGACTATTCCTGGGCGACGCAGGAGCGATGAAACTGAGACGGCAAGTCAGCCCAGTCCTATGTTTGTTTCTGTACGATCGACGGATCGCGGGCGACTCCTCGGCGGGTGGAGATCGGGATGCTGGGGGAACGAGTGCGTTACCGCAGGGACGAGGTAATTGGGATAGGGTACATACCAAAGTATACATTGAGCAGGCCGATATTTGACAAGAAAGTGCGGTCGGGAGACTTTGTAGAATCAATCCTACATTCCGCGGATATGAGGGTGGCCATGTGCGTGGGCGTGTCGGTGTCCATCAGTACTTCGAGAACGATAGTGCTCGACGATTCACCTGCGGTAGTAGGAAGAATCAGCCATGGGATACCCAACCAGGAATAGGATGTATTTGTTACCATACTGAAGGAACTGGCCTCTGAAGTCGAAAATAACCGAGTGCTTTCTTGCTAATGCATCTCAGACTTACGCAACATGCGCACAGTCGTGCTCAATACTAGGAAGCACCTCCGTTGGTAAGCTAAACTCTAATATCTTGTTCCAGAGTTGATCTTCAATCGTGGATTCGAGTTGGTTTGGCGTTAGTGTGGCATACATATTGCCTCGTTGCAGTGTCGCAGTGTCGCTGACTGGAGCTACGGGTTGGAGTTGGCATACGGGCCCTTGACGCCTTCAGTCAATATGCGAGGTCATCTTGGTCTGGGCCGAAAGCGTACAGTTGAATTCGGCGAACAAGGTATTTGAGTTCTCATCATCTAGATAGCCTGTGAGGTAGTCGTCCATGGGTTGGGACATTGTGGGAATGAAGAAACAAGTATACTATTTTGGAAATGAGTATGAGAAGATGAAAATGACTACAGGATACTTGGAGAAGAGGAGTGGGCATGTCTTTGTACGTATGAGGCTGAATGAGGGGCAATGTTGCCCTCCTGCACCCCCACTCTACAGGCCAACTTGCATGCACGCAGCAACACCTTCAAAGTTTACCTGCTTCGACGTCCCGAATATCCTTGTCATGACTACATTTCGGTGTCATTGTCGCTTGTTCTCCAGTCCGTCCAACCCGCCATACTCCAGACCCCACTGATACGCGCCGTAGTATCTGCCGTAATTTCGCATCCAGACCTGCCTATATCCCTTTATAGCTCCTCGTATCCTTTCTAGAAGCTCGGCATCATGTTGTTTCGCTTCTTCAGAGGTTGCTGGGAAGAACTTTGCTCTCGCAACGCTCAGCCAGAATGTTGTCTCGACAGCAGCCATCAGTCCTAGACCGGCGTATACCGTGTAACGCGTAGCTGGTCGAGCTTCCCGGATCTGCTGGAGTAGGCTGAATGATGGGAGAGAGGGTTCCTCTGCTGGGTGGTTTGACTTTGGTTGTGAGGATGCGCGACTTGATATTGGTGTGACATCTTTGGACTTCGTGGTTGTATGGCAAATACTGCGCAGGTAGCTACGAGTAGCGATGACGTTGGACTTTTGGAGAATTCCTGACATGGCTAATCCAAGGCGACGATTGACCTGAAAAGGGAATGATGATAGTGATTGAGAGGGATGAGTTTTGATAGAAAAAGTGAAGTCGTGAATAAGAATCCTAGAGAGTGAGAGCAGACGCAACTTATACCTACTATCTGGAGCTCGCATACCTACACTCCTCGCATTTCGTCGACCTGTTCACTGCTGCCTGTGCGTGTGTACCTGCCAAGCAAACATGTTCCATTTCGGGACGAAAAATGCGAACTCACGTGCCTGCGGCTAAGATCGATGCAAGCCAAGAAAGCAATCTCCCGATTTTCGACGCCATCCCAAAGCAGAAGACGTGAGAGCGCCGTGACGTAGAAGTGCCAGCGACGCTTAGATAACCGTGAAGGATGAATGATGAGCGAACACATGGCTAGCGACGATATCAACACGGACTCAGGTCAACGACCATATAGTGGTCCTAAGCAGGGGAACCAGGCGGTGAGAAGGAAGACGGCGGGCGTGGAGATTACCGACGCATGGTTGGTGTGCAGCGGGGAAGCAGGTCGAAGCAGGTCGAAGCAGGGATAATCGACTCCACCTGCCGGTCAGGTACACGCGCCCGGATTGTCAACACTCAGGCCTCGACAATAACATTCAGCACTCAGCACTCAACCACCCCATTTCTGCTCTGGTGTAGTTACTACGACACTTTCTTTTTCCCGAGCATGAGCGATGCTCGCCTTGTTTTTGTATCGCCTTTAATATTTCCTATCAGAACACATTGAATTGGGAGTGCTGCATCACCAGGGGAGGCACCCCACGGTAATACACGGTGTGATGGCAACAAAAAGCAATGACTATGTCCCGAGCCCACGGTGCTGTTGTGGAAGCAGCGACTGTGCTTTTCTCGCACACAATGGGAAGCTCTTGGAGGGCCTTGAGCGGGATGTGAGCAAAGCTGCACAGCTGGGCCAAGTATGTCGTGCTCTATCCACTGCTGTCCTCGCCTTGCGGCCGCCATCCAGCTGCCGTCACTCTGCGCCATGCCGCTGACCTTTACGCTGCAGGCCCTGCTCGTCCGCCACGAGGCCTACGTCGCCGACTCGGAGCGCGAGCGCAGGCAGATGGTCACCACCATCGAGAGCCTCGAGAAGGAGAAGCTGGCCCTCGAGGCCCGGAACACGCAAACCATCAAGGCCAACCGCGACCTCCTCGACCAGCTGGAGCAGCTCAACGACGCCGTCTTCGACTCGGACGCCCAGATCCAGGCCCTCACCGCCACCCTGCGCTCGACCGAGGAGGAACTGCAGCGGATAAGCTCGCTTGCAGCCCAAACAGAATTGCTGGAGAGGCAGCTGCTCGAGCTGGAGAGAGAGCAGTCGCAGCTGCAGAGCAGCCTCGACGCCAAGACTGTGGATGAACGGACGGCCATACAGCGGTGGAAGAGCGCGGAGAGGACGCTGGGTGACCTGCAGGACCAGATTGACCGTATCGAGAAGGAGGCACGGGAAGAGCTGGATCGCCATCTTGAGGTCGTGGCGCGCATGGAACGGAGAATGGTTGTCGAGAGCGAGCTGAACACGGCCGCAGGGAGACTCAAAGCAAAAGCTGGACAGGCCACGGGAGCCCCAAATGTCGTCTCGCACTTTGTTAAGGATATCCTGCTGGACAATGCAAACCTGCAACATGGCATACTGGAACTGAGGGAAATGCTCGTGAATTCAAACGAGGAGGTGGAGAATCTCCGCGAGCAGCTGAAGGACCACCAACCCGTCTCTTCCTCGCCGACAGAGCACAGTTCAGTCATGACACTGCAAAAAGAGTTGGAGATGGGGCCAATGCTGAACCAGGAACTGCACATCCACCACCACTATCATGCACCCAAGCCTATCAAGAACCTGCCCAAAGCCCCGATCCAAGCTCAACGAAGACCAAAGAAGAAACGCTTCAGCCTAACTCCTTCCAACTTCGATCCTTTCTCTCCGCAACTCGAACGCTCGTCAACAGCCACCATCCTCTCCCAGACCGCTGTTACAGTGCCCAATTCGCACCGTTGGTCAAGCGCCACGACCTTGGGTCCAGGCTCTGTTCCAAGTTCTCCAGTCTCCGAATCGCATCGAGGATCTGTATACGACCGAGTCTTCAGTGACGCAGCATACGACTCCTCGAGGCCAACCAGCCCCCCTGATTCGGTCGATATGCAATCGCCCAGGTTCGGGCCTGTGCGCTCCGGCGACTACTCGTTCGATCCAGACCAGACTCCACGCCACCGAAGACGCAGGTCTGCGAACTTGAAGCCACCCAGCCTCTTGGGGATCCGTAGTGCGAGCACGCCAATATCCATGACTGGCAAAAGTAGTCCTGCCACCGCCATTGTGTCAGCTATCAGCCCCGCCAACTCTTTCACAAACGACGTATTCACGCTCTCGCCTTCGCCATCCATACATCCTGAACCTCAATCCGCAATCCCAGAAGAAAGTGAAGATATATCACCCGGCCCAGCATCCGTTGCCTCCCCCGAAGAAGACGACATGATTCCCCCAATAACACACACCCAAACCTACACTCGCCCCCGCCCCCCACTCCGCCGCCACGCTTCTCACGAATCACTAATCTCCGTCCACGGCATGGACATTCATACCCTTCAATCCCGTCCATCGCAGCTCCTCATCGGCACCTCCTCACACCTCGGCGCAGGATCCGTCGGTCCTGAACTCACGCCTTGGACCGCCACTGCGCACGGCATGCTCTCCCGCACACCCGTCGACATTAACCGCGCGCTACTCGCGCAGAAACGGAGCGGTCCCAGGAAGAGCGATGGAAACGGAATCGGGCGGAAAGTAGGGGGCTGGGTGTTTGGAAAGTGGGGTGCCACGCCGGCTCCCGCAGTAGAGAGGCCAGCGAGCATATACTCGCAGCAGACGGCATCGAGTCAAGAGACAGCAACGCCGACGATAAGTCCAGAAGAAAGCAAGAAGAAAGATAAAGACAAGTTGGCTGCAAAACTGCGACCAAGCGGTGTCAATCAGTCAGGTCCAATCTGGGGTTTCTTCGACGTCCCTGAAACACCAACAACGGTCGTGGTGCAGGACTATGATGCTGATGCGCTGGGTGAGGCGCTCGCTGACGAGTAATCCTACGCAAAGTTTCCTATGTTGTGATATTTTACCCTCTTTTTCCCTTCCTGTTTTTCCTTATGTCTTCTGGGGCTAGCTGGCTTTTCATTATTGCATTTTGTGTTTGGTTAGACATACATATCCTTTCTTTCGTTTCGTTTCGTTTTACGACGTGCGTTGATGTGTGAGAAGACGCATCGCTGAGATGGGTAGATGGTTGAATTGCATAGAGATGAGATTGGATGAGGATGAGGATGAGATTGATACATATACCCCCGCTGACGACCACGCGGTAGTCCCGTTTCTTTTGTACATGGTAGTCAGTAGTAGACGGTGCAGACGAAGTTGAGTTCTAATGGAGAGGCTAGATGTATATACACTCGCAAGAAGAGTTTGGGTGCAAGAAGGATGTTTATATATTACTATGCAGAGAGATGCAATATCTTGCGAAGGGGTGTGATCATGTTCTGACGCATTTCTACTCCATCCACTGTTCTGTTTTATCACTTCATCTCTTGTCGTGTGCAGGTCTTTCGTGCTTCGTGCCCTTTCTGAGTTCTCTACTTTCCCGTGGAATGCAGCTCGTGCAAGATGGACCGCGCAAGATCCAGACGATGATCTATTGATTTTTCGCCAATTCAACTGTCTGAATGCGCGCGGCATTTTACATCTTCGGTGCTAATTAGTCGCATTAAAACTTGAACAGGATGATTTAAACGAGCAAGCAAGGACCTCGAAGTATCTGGAAACAAGGCGGTCGCAGCAAAGGTGGGAGACCATGATAGAGAATTCGGAGGTAGCAAACAGCGTAGAGAACAGGCTGGTTCAGAAACTTGACGATTTCCAGAAGTTGTTATTGCGTCACGTTAACCGTCCTGATACCTATTTACTGACGAAGATGAGCAAAGCTGATAAGCGAGCAATTACCTTACATGAAGACTTCATTAAGGGTAGTGCTTTTGGGAGGGCTGGTAAAGTTTGCATGCCTCTCATATATGGCCGCGCAAGCAACTTTCACGAAGATCGAACAGATCTCGTACCTCTGTAGAGCCTCCCCGAAGAAGACTACTTTTCACGTTTTCTGCAAACCACTGGCCCTTTTCAAAAGCGCAACACTGCGGATCCGCTCGATCGCACAACGCTATACAAGAACCCATACATTGTCCGGACAGTAGCCACACTCGATATGCTACTCGCTACGATGTTGCTCATTAGTGCAATGGTGAACCTGTACCTCGTGGCAAATCCGAAAGCCAAGTTAGGTCTACTTGCGGTGTACATGTTTTCGTTCGCGTCGAGTGTCGTTCTGTGTACCAACGCGAGACGAGCAGAGGTGTTTGCTGCTACCGCGGCTTATGCGGCGGTACTTGTTGTGTTTGTTAGCGGAGAGCTGGGTGGGGGCAACAGTGAGCAGTGCTTTGTTCAACTTGAAGGCGGGATCTTTAAGAGTGTCAGATGTCCGAGTTGAGAGGGTTAGACATTCGGTGTGCAAAAATGGAGACGGCCACACAGGATTCATTGCGCTTAGCCGCCAGTCCCAGAGTCTAACTCTATGAATGGGTATCTTGCGGTCTTGAGCAGACGACCATGTCATCTTGGTCATCTCGTGTTCCAGTCCATGAACCCCCGTCGAGAATTGGAAGCTTGCAGGTATGGTGAGATGGCTCGACTCCTTGAGAACAGTTTGTCGCCCAGATTGACAAACGCAGCAGGCTTTCTGGACCTGAGTGAGGTTGTTGGTCAAGGGTGGATGTCGTTTGTACTCACTCGTTAACATCACTCATCACTATCGGATATCTCTGTCTCTAATTGACAACGATCAAAGGGAGTTTGACGCATCTACAAACAATCCAAACATCGCATATCGAATGTGTTTCCCATAATGACATAGCGAACTGATGAGATTGTAGATTCTCGACATGGGTGTTGTGAAGTTCGTGACGACGGATAGAGTTGTTGGGAAAGCCGCGTTCTGTCATTGGTTGAGCTAAGAAGACAGTCGTTTGTTTTGTCCCATAGGTACAAGCGTACTACCAACATCATGTTCTCAGAGAAAAGAAAGAACTTCTTCATAATCTCTCGATGTGTATGGCTTAAGGCCGATTGACAGTTCGTGCTTAGATTGAGACCTGTCAGCAGTGATCTCTTGGGAATGATGTACTGCACCGCAGCCCTTTCCAATCGGAGACCATCTCCGCAAACCCGCAGGTAAGTCTAGACTCTCTAGCCTTTGTTACTTTGCACCCCTTACCCTCTAGCGTCAGGTTGGAAGTTGAAAATATGGCGATGGTGGAATGCGGCGTGCACAGTATCAGATCAACGATACCATGCATTTCTGCAGAAATGTCAGACCCATAAGAGCTCCGACAAACCCTTCTAGGTTTACAATTCTTTCCTTAGATTGTGTGGATGTGGCGTTGTGGTGGCGTTGCTAGTTTAGAGACGACTCTTGCTTCCGGCTTACGTCACCGAAGTTTTTGAACTGCATCCACTTCTACCTACTACAGCACGCTGTCAACGAGTTGCTACACGAGAGAAACGAACCCCTGGCTAGGGTTGATTTTACCCTATCCGCTGCGGACATGCCTTCAAGTCAGCCTGTGCGCCTCGATTTGGCACAAAATGGCGCCGCATCCCTGCGTGGCGTAGGCATGTTGGACTTGTTGGAATGCGATATACGGCCCACTTTCGTTCTGGATATGATAAAGGCCGATTTATCACGCGACGATAGAGTTCTACCAGTCTACTGGAATCCGGCCATGGCTACCACCGATTCGGAGAGCCTATGGGATGCTATAACAGGCAAAGCCAGCACGAACGGCACAAAACCGGAAAAGTGTGCGGTCTTTTCACATTTCAAGAGCTGGATCTTGGACCAGAAAGCAACGAGCAGACCCTTTGTCTATTGCAACTTGAGTTGGATGAAGGTCCTGGTTGCAAGCCGGTGGAATGTCATAAGCGTTATCTCAACAAATTCATCCCTGGATCAAGAGAACACAAAGCCCGAGAGAGCAGGGCCTTACAGAAATATCTCACAAACAACAGTACAGACGTTCAACTGGACTGGTGATGTCCCTCCCGCGAAACTGTCGCCTCATGTTGCGTTCGCGCGTAGCATCGATTGGTCAAGCACTTCATTAGGACCGATGAAGTTATGGTCTTCACAGCTACGCAATGCTGCCAATCTAGTAATGCAGGATCCTCAGCCCGCAGTCGTCTTTTACGGTCCAGATCTGATCATGATATATAACCAGGCGGAAATCGAGCTTCTTGGTGATTTTCATCCTTGTATGGGTGTCAGTGCACGCGTTGCTCTTGCTTCAGTCTGGTTCAACCATTTTGAGCCCATGATTGAACAAAATCTAGCAGGAAACACGGTCGAGAAAATCAATACGTCCATTCATATGGTTCGAAATGGCTTTATGGAAGAAACGTATTTTTCTTTGAAGTTCATACCACTCTTTGACTCTGATGGTGCTACGGTTGGTCATTATGAATCACTTGTTGAAACTGTAGGTTCATTGCCGGTATCCTTTCTTTTTTGATCTCTGAGCTTAGAGATCTACACTCTGTCGGCCAAGAAGTATTCAAGATTCTCGAATCGATTATCATTGGAGATGGTTTACTTTCACACCTAATGGCATTTACTTTGTAACGTTCACTAACTGAGATGTAGACTAGAGATGTGATCTCACGAAGACAGTCGCAAACGCTCCTGGATCTGAGCGAAGAAATACCGCGAGCACGCGACACTGAATCATATTGGGCCCTTGCTACTGAGGTGTTGTCCCGCAACGATAAGGACATTGCATACGCTTTACTTTACTCGACGGAGACTGATGGAAGCGGATCAGGATCAAGCAGGACATGGTTCTCTGATAACTATCAACAGTGCAAGCTCCAAGGCTCATTCGGACTGCCAAATAGTTCGCCTGCTGAGCATGAACACCTCGATCTCCAGCAAGACCATGGCTTTACGCCATACTTCCGACAAGCTATCGACGCTCAAAAGCCCATCATCGTTCGATTCGATCCAAGCTCATCAGCTCCGGAATCGGTTCGAGGGACACAGTGGCAAGGCATCGGCGACCCCTGTAGAGCAGCGGCCATATGCCCCCTCAACCCTACGTCGTCGAAAGACAATATTCTTGGTGTTATGGTTATCGGATTGAATCCTCGTCGGCCTCATGACGAGGATTATCTCCAGTTCATTCTGGTAGCTAGCCGACTGCTCTCTACATCTCTGACCTCAATACTGCTTCACGAAGAAGATATTGGACGTCGGGAACGAACCATTGCAAACGCTGAGGCTATGAAATTTCAGCTTAAACAACAGCTACTAGAATCCCAAAAAGAGGTCGAGCGAAGCGCTTCAAAGTTTCAACGTTTTGCGGAGCGAGCCGACGTTGGCATTTTCCTCATCGACATGAACGGCGTCTATTCGTACAGGAACGATGCTTGGTACACTATATTGGACCCGGATACCTCCAACCTTGGGCTCGGCGAAGCCTGGGGCGCACTTATAGACGATGAATACGCGTCAATGGGGCAAGCCAAATTCGAAAAACTTGTAGAGACAAAACAACATCAGTACGCTACAGGTTGCTTCCGGCATACATTGTGGCTGACATGTTATAGGTCATTCGAGTTACGCCTGAAGAAAACTTGGAAGGTGTCAAGCAAGAGCTTCGATGAATCCGTTCCTGAGCCACAACCCAAGTGGGTTATTTGCTCAATATTCCCAGAGCTGACAGAGGATGGCGAAGTTTTAGAGATCGTCGGCTGTATTACAGATATCAGGTACGCTCCTTCCCATCAATTGTCACATGATTTCTCACATAAAAGGTAAGCCGGCAGAAATGGGGCGAGAAGCTCCAGGCTACCCAAGCGTTGAACGCTCAAGAGTCCAAACGGTAAAAGTCATCCAATGGAAATTCTATGATCATTTTCTAAGCTTATTCAGGCAACTGGAGAACTTCATTGACACTACATCGTACGTTGTAGAGTTGCCATTCATCTTGGATCCTCTTTCCTGACCTCGATTGCAGACACGAGATGAGAAATCCTTTATCTGCAATTGTCCAGTGTGCCGATGTCCGAGTTCCATCAACCAAATCATGCGGCGTCCCTTTGCTAATCCTTCCAGAGCATTATAACCTCGCATCAAGCCTTCGAAAAGTCCACTCGCAATCAATCGGTTTATCGGAGTATCTTAGACACCACTATTGACGCTGCTGAAACCATTGTTCAGTGCTCAAAGCACATGAAAACCATCGTCGATGGTGAGTTGTTCTTCTAGATGTGCGGTCTCCAATCATGGCACCTCGTCATTAACACACTTAGATGTGCTTACAATGTCAAAACTGGACTCTGGGCTCTTTACAATGACTCCAGTTGATGTAGCGTTGGAGTCAATTGCGAGGGATGCCGTCAGAATGTTTGAAGGCGAGGCGAAATCGGCTGGTGTTGACCTGGAATTCCAACTCGAAGACTCATGCAAAAAGATCGATGTTGACACTATTTCGCTAGATCCAACTCGGGTACTACAAATATTGATTGTAACGTTCCCCTTTCTTAACTTCCATGCTTAAGCTAACGATAAAGAACCTCATCACCAATGCGATAAAGTTTACACGACTCGAGGAGACGCGTCACATCTCTGTCAGTCTGGGTATATCCCTTGAAGAACCAACCCACAACGCTGTCGGAGATGTACCGTACACACGTTCATCGGAAACGTCGGAGGCAAAAACTTTGCAAGCGGACTGGGAGAAGGGAGAAACGGCAAGTGTTGTTTAGTTCAGGGTACAAAGACATACAACTGACAATGAAAAGGTTTATGTCATGTTTTCAGTGCAAGATACTGGACGTGGCCTAAGCGATGCCGAACACAAACTCCTTTTTGCCCGCTTCTCGCAGGCTTCGCCTCGAACACATATAGATTACGGTAAATTAAAGTTCACCTTCAACTGCTGTATTGATCTCCTGACATCTACTATCTAGGTGGTTCCGGGCTCGGTCTCTTCATTTCAAGACGGCTCACTGAGATGCATGGCGGTGCCATTGGGTTCGCGTCAAAATCAGGTGTTGGCAGCACCTTTTCATTTTATGTGAAAAGTCGAAAGGTCAAAACATCTATACCAGACAACGAAACCAAAACCACAATCGAACTAAGTATGCGGGCCCGGCAAACGGTACTCCGCAGTCGGTCTCGTGATGATGGGAATGAGCCTCTTCTACATTCGAATCCTATCGAGGAAGATGTCGCCAACAGCGATCTTCACATTCTCATAGTAGAAGACAACCTAGTCAATCAGCGCGTGCTTGCCAAGCAACTACGAAATATTGGAATGCACGTCGCTGTAGCGAACCACGGTGGCGAAGCTCTCGAGTACCTACGCAGCACTAATTATTGCGTGGCAGACAAATCTGCAAACCATCTCACCTTGATACTGATGGATTGGGAGATGCCCATCATGGATGGGTTGACTTGTGTGCGTAATATTCGGGAGCTCCAAAAGCAGGGAGTTGTACATGGACATATCCCTGTTATAGCAGTCACGGCAAACGTAAGGTCAGAACAGGTTGAGATTGCATTGAAGGCTGGTATGGATGATGTGGTCTCCAAACCGTTCAGGATACCTGAGATTTGTGCGTGTATACAGAGAACCCTCCGCAATACAACTGGAAAATGAATACATAATACGCCCGAATTGTCACGATGAAAATTCCCTGGGAGGATGAATGGAGATGACATGACTAACTTAAAATGAGCCGGCCGAACCATAGGTAATAACTTGTTGTATTTTAGCAACACAAACGATATAGGTCGCCTACTGAACGCGCATCATTTGAAAGGATACTGGTAACCATTATCCAGGAATTAGGAGTTTGGCCACAATATTATTGAAAGCTTACAGGAAGTATCATATGACGAGACTCGGTCGTTATTGCCAAACAATGAGTAAATGTGGCTGTGTTATAGAAGCCCTTGAAGGGAATACCGAACTTATTCAGCAATCAAAGCCTCGACAGCACTCGAACGGCGGAATTGTACAAGCCTAACAGAGCCTCGTTCACAGTTCGATGTTCACGAGCTCGACTCTTTCCCGTTCCGACTATTCCACTCCCGATCAAAGACCTGGAGACTTCGTTGCGCAGTCGGCACAACATCGAGCGCTTTCACGCTGACCCTGTCCTTCTGGCTCAACATGAACGCCGCAGCCTCAGCAATGTCGTCCGTCACCAAAGGCTCGAAGCCCTCCATGAAATCATCGTACTTGCCCTTGTCATACCCGACCCTTGCCTCATGTCAGTACCCGATTATGAAAAAAAAACACTCTCTCCAGCCAGCATTCACAAGGGAATGAATAACATACCTCTGCTCGTGAAAGTTCGTTGCCACAACACCTGGCCTTAATGCGAGAACCTTGATGTTCGTTTCCACGAGTTCTGTCCTCAGCACGTTGGTGAACGCCTCTTGACACGCTTTACTCGCATGATACACCGCCTCACCCGGGAAAGGCGGAACCTCTAACCCCGTCGTACTTGTGACATTCAAGATCGTTCCTTTGCCCCGTTCTTTCATCTTTCCTTCATTGAGCACCGCGTACGTTGCGAACATGAACCCGTTGATATTAGTGCCTGTCATCGTGATTATATCCTCGATCTCAAGATCCGGGAACGCGTTGGGAGCACCAAGGGCCAACCCTGCGTTGTTTACAAGGATGTCGATAGGGCCAGCGGACGAGACGATGTTAGACACTGCTGTTGCGAGGGCAGTGTGTGAGCGGACATCGACAACAGCAGTGGAGACTTTCAGGCCTGAGTGTTGGGATCGGAGATCCTGGGCAATCGAGTTCAGCTTGTCTTCTGAACGGGCGAAAAGGAATAGATTCGCGGACTCAGCAGCGAGGCGCTTGGCGATGGCGGCGCCGATGCCCATGGAGGCTCCTGTGATGAGAACATTTAAGTCTTTGAGAGACATGATTGAATGCAAGTGAGAATTTATATTTTATGAGTTGTAAAGTGAAATAACTCTCTGAGTATCGAATGGAGAAAGAATGTTCGTATTCTTTAGCTCAAAACACCAAACCAAGTTATGACGTCACCGTGATTCAAAGTGTGAGGCAATAAGAAGTATCCATAAGCTAGGTATCTTTACATATGTTTCTTCTGATATTGTTAGTTGTAATCTGTATTGATTACGCGAGGAGGCTTACAGTATTATCTTGTTTTATCATACGGTCGTGTCGTATCAACAACTCCTAGATGTGCCTGGGTCGTCTTCATAGCCATTGGCAATACCATGATGCGACCATGAATCTCTCGTGTTTCTATTCCTCTGCTCGAGATAGATTCTCATCCGTCCCATCTCTGTGCTTCCTTGCTGTAGCCGATAAGCCCCAGATCAATGTTAAGAGTCTTAAGCATCATATCCATCGTGAACGACTGCTTCCCATTAGCATCTCTCGACCAGTCACCCAGTGAGTCCTGACTCACATCGTCGTCAGCAACCTTGTACTTTTCCTCCTCCTCCTCGACTTTGTCTTCCGTCATATCCGCATACTTATCATACGCCTCGTCCACAACCTCTCCTTTCTCTTTCGCTTCCTCCAGTCTCTCCCTCTCAGCCTCTACCTGTGCCTGCCGCTCTTCCTGATCCCACTTCTGCGTCCTCTCTTGAGCTTCCTTCTCGCGTTCTTTCCAGGCACCTACACCCCCCATCCGATTGACCCTGTCCCGTGTACTACCAAACAGCTCCTCCGCAGCAGCTCGACTTGCTGTTCGCCACTTGTCAATCAAAACTATCAGGTTGTCATCTTCTGTGGATGTAGCAAGCCGTTCTGCTTGTGAGAGGATTTGAATGTCGCTACGGAGCTGTACAATCTCGCGTGTGAGTGAGGGTTTCGAGGGCGTCTTCTTAGGTAAAGATCGTGAGGGCGTAGAGGTTATAGAACGTGATACAAGCGATCTTGATGTACGTGCGGTTGGAGGTGCTGGTGTTGCAGGCGATTCTTCAGGCCGTGCGGGTGTGGGTAATGGTTGCACGTCATTGCTACGCGCAGTGTTCAGTACAGGAAACACATATGCCGGATCAGGTATGACAAGATCCGAAGGATCTGACGAAGGCGGGTCAGAACTTGTGACAGACTTCGAAGGTGTCTTGAATGGTGACTTGAACGGCTTGTGGAGCGTCTTCGTAGCTTCGTTCAACCGGCGGCGTTTGGCGTACGGCGTTGACATCTTGACATTCGCGGTTGCATTGGATATTAGCAAGTGTATTCGAACAGGGTGCGCTGTTTGAGAGTGAGTGGATTGGCGATCTTGTAGTCTGACGACTTCCGTGGAAAGTGGAAGTGGCACGAAATCCAAAATGGTCTAGCAGCAAACGCGCGGTCACATGTAACTTCACTCCGGCTACGTCATCACCAACAGCCATGCTTGAAGTCATGAACACGCGCAAAGCATAGCCTCAACATGTTGCCAAGTTGCAAGACCGTCGCCTCTGGCCAGACTTCTATTCAAACATGGCAACAACTGGAAGGAACATTCTTTTTTAGTAGACTGCCTACTAAGCGATTGCTAACAAGCTACTTGCTTCGTCACATCCTCGACACTTCCTCGCCTAAAGTCTGGGGGTGATGGTATGATCTTTCAATTTCGTACATTCTTTGCTCATTCCACTCTCCTTTACGATCAACCAAAATCAGAGAGGATTGATACGACCGTCCTCGACACCGGATCTCAGCTTGATCATGAACATATGTTGGAGGGCTAGTCAATTGAACCTGATCAAGTGTAGTAGGTCAAGATCTTACAAACGACAATGTTTTACAACTACCGTTGTGTGGGTATGGGCGCCAAACTTTTTCTTGTGCGCTGGTACTACGGCAAAATGATTCCGGCTGTTTATCAAAGGGTTGGATTCGTGGAAACGAGACGAGGGTTATCTGGTAAGGTTCGAGATGTACCAATTGATTATAGCCAAGCAGAACAATTGAACATAGTACCTACACAACATATGTTGATGTCTACGGCGTACGACTGAAATCGCGGACGAGCATGGCTTTCAAGGCAGATTACCTAGACTACAACTTGATCGAGATGTTGTATCGGTCCAGTCCAATGGCCACTCCCGCAACAGTAGCCATGTACCCCACCAGAACCGCCATGGATTGCATTAGGCCCATATGCAGCGTCGGCATCGTTAGATTGACCAGACCCGTAAAAAGGTTGGCAACTAGAAAGACGGCAAGGCCATTACGGTTGAAAGCGTACAAAATAGTGCTGGTGGCTTCTCTACTTCTCTGCATTTCATCTTCCTTGGTCGAGGCTTTGTACAGATTTGGAAACAACACAGTTTCGATGGCACAACATATCGTGATTTGGTAGCTGTTGAAAGCAGAAACCCACAAAAAGTAGGGAAGGTTCGCCAGGCGTCGGGATACTGAGAGTCGAAGGCCGTAGTAGCTGACCGAGAAGTAGAAAAGCGCTGTCCAGATCAAAGAAGCTATGGCCAGTCTACCTAGTATGGACCGGCGGACAGTGGAGAACATCGACGTGTTCTTCGGTAATGATTGCTGTCTCGGTAAAGCTGATGATCCTAAAGATTGGCCAGCAAGGAAGATAGCAAGGTAGCCAACAAAAGAAAATATGCCCTCTCGGTTCTTTGACAGGAGGTCGGTCCGCGGCGCGATAAGTATGAAAGCTCCCAGTGTAGTCTTGTTCAAGGCGAGCTCGTAAAGAGCAGCCAGTGCAAATGAGAAAACGGCGTAAGAGGGTACCAAGTCGAAGGCTGCTTGAAAAAGCGCAGCAAAAGGAGGCAGGAAGCCTAGCGTGAAGAAAAAGTTCCAATGGACGCCATACTCAGTGACATGCTCTGCATAATCCAGGCCTTTTACAGAGATTAGTCGTATAATACCAAGAACAAGAAGCGGAATGGAGTGTCTGATTGACGTGATCAACCGCTTAGACAGCGATGGCCGTCGACCTGCTCCCTCTTTCAGGAAAGCTCGCACGGAGACGACGCCAGCTGTGAAGACGAATGAGCCCACGCCCATGTCCATCAGCGACGTGCCCCAGTTCTCGACCTTAGCGAAACGGCGTGGGAAGACCGGAAAGTCTACAGCCAGTATAGCGACGCAAGTTATGATCATCATAGCCCCGCGGTAGTGTGTGATGAACGGCTTCACAGGAAGCATATCCGGCTTGGTTTCTGATGGTTTGTCTTTCTTCGGTGGCCGCGAGGCGTCTCGTTTCGTAGAAGCCGGTGGCTCCAGTACACAAAGTACAGCCGCCGGAAGAAGCAGGAATAGGTTGAGCACCCACGGCGAAGATGAATAGATGGTCGTAGCGAACAATGGAGCTCCACAATTGAGCAGAAAGTCGACAAAACAAGCAGCAGGGGAATACGGTGTGAACACGCGCATGCGTGATTGAATGACCGACCAAAGTAGGATGCTCAGCTGTCATCTACAGTCAGTGTGAGCTTCATGGCATGTCGTGGGGCGTATACGGTACAGGCATTGCGAGCGAAACACTATTGACATCAGCTACAGAGCTCCCCGTGTGACCAGACACCCAGGCCTCCTTCATCTCCTTGTATGTTTTCGCCATTGCTAAGAACGAGTGCAAAACAGTTGGGCGTAGCCGTGTTAGTGCAGACTGGGAAAGACGCGTCAAGGTGTCATTTTCGGAAGTCGCGTTGCAATCGTGGCCCAAGCGTCTCAACGTCACTGCACCGCGCTTTCCTGTCCTGCTTCCGACACACAGCGAAGAGCTATACCTACACGAAGCATAGTAGCATAATATTAACGGAGTCATTGAACTCGCATATGGCTGTCTTTGAGACTCTTCAACTGAGAGGGGCACAACGCTAATCGCGTATAATTTCGAAAGAGCTGTCATGGAATAGGACCATTACGAAAGCTGTTCAGTTTCAGTCACTTTTAACACTTACAAACAGCTTCCTGTCCATTTTCTTGTCGATTCTTTGGTTCTGATCATGTTTTGAGTTCGAAGCCCAGTTGAGGATCTCGAAACAGCAGGAAAGAGCACACTATGTATGCCCTTACTGATTGGGCTGCTCGCGCACCCTCAACTCGAGACCACTACTGCTAGATGTATCCCTTTCGTCTCCTTCAATGTCAACCACGATGATTTCGATCTGCCTCTCTACTTGTGTAGGTAGCAGTAAACTTGTACAAGTCATTTCCTCAACTCCTTGAAGTCTTACGCTGGACAAGCTCCTATGCCTTCGCCAGACTTATCGGCCTACTTTGTCTTCATCACTTTCACTTTTCACCGTCCAATTCGTGTGCCGGCGCGTACCTTATAGAACTCGCGTGGCGGGGTCCACCAAAACAATCGCCGCGTTCCAAGACTGCCTCACCAACGTTTTCTTCACCGTGTCTACAGCACAATAAGCCTCTACCATGTCCTCGCCGCTCGTTGAAGTCGATGCCAATTTGCGACAGTCCAGCGTCAAGCCGGCCACATCGTCCAAGATTCCCAATCCTCGGACAACGGACGGCACTGGTAGCATAGGACCCCGCAATCCTTTTTTTGTGAGCGCAACTGGGTCGCCTGGTTACATGGCCTTGTCTCTGCCCTCGAGAACTGCCAATATGTCGCCTACTATTACCTCCAAAATCCCACGCAAGGGTCAAACGCCAACGCAAGTGCCCTTCTTCAAAAGCGCTGCGTGCGGCAGTGGTACTGGTCAACAGCGGTCTAGTTTGCCCAGGTCGCGCATAGGACGCAACGCGCCCTCATCTGTCTCATCCACCCCTATGGTATGTGCCCGACGTCGTACTATTGACGACACGCAGCTAATTCTACAGGATTTGAACAAGTTTAGCACCGTATCCATTTGCGATAAGCCTCTTCCAAGCCCACCGGTTGCGCAGTTCATTAATCCAAACAGCCCCCTCAAGGCGCAGCGTACGCTGGTGGATGCAGAAGCTGGAAGCCCGTCAGACGAAGAATGGCCCATCCTTCGACCTGATAGTATTTCCTACGTTGACAAAATCGCCATACATCAGCAGCGCAGCGTTTCCTTGGGCTCGACGCCACGCCGGGTTGATGGAACAATTGCCACCGACGAACAGACGATGCCTTCCGTCATATTGGGTTTACGTATGGAGGCCAACGTGAAGTCTCTTCCCGCTCAAGACCTGTCACTCTGTGACAAGCGGCGCATGCCATCGACCGAGTCCTGCAGCCCAGACTCTGGGACTTCGGACGTTGACACTTTCCATGCCATGTCGACTGAAATGGATGTAGCTATGGAGAGCCCACTTGCCCACACGAAGGGCGCCCCAATCACGATTCCCCCTCGTACCAGCTCTAAACGTAGCTCGCTGCCTCTTTCTATCCATGACGCTCCCGTAACCCCTGCGCTACCATCGTCGGCCCCATTGCGACACGCCAGATCGACCAGCCCTACAAAGAGGCCGATGATCGAGGTCAAAGCGGACGAAAATCTTGTGTTTGACATTGCTTCCTCACTCCCGGAGCAGCAGCTCGTTGATACATCCACAACTGGTCCTCGGTTCCAAGACGTTCAAAAGCATATGCGTGATGTATTTGAGCCTGTTGACAGCTACAACACATTACACCCACGATACGGCTCGATTGACAGCAACTCGCCCTCGTGCCTGGACGCCGAGCCTTCGTTTGACGACGAGATACCACATGGCTTTGAGGGTAGCGTCCGCATCAAACGCCTGTCGTGGCATTCTACTGCTTCCGGAAAAGGACCAGTTACGAAAACAGGTCCTGTGTTGACGATCAATGGAGATGCAGACGCGGTTCTGCTTGGATCGCACGATTCGGTTCCAGATATACCTGCCATACCAGAGCAGGTTTCTGAGCGAGTATTATCATCACGTTCGCTGAACACCCTGACTGGTCACACTTCAAGACAAACCATGCCCAAGGCATCTCTAGACATTGTATTGCGCACATCCATCCCGAATTCGAGCAAGACCGGAACGATCAAAAGCACGCTCGTGAAGATCAACCCCATCAGGTCTATGCAACCACCTCGAAATTCCAGTGGGGAAGCTTCACCTGACGCTCTTTCTTCTCCAGCTACGCCCGTATCGACAGGGTCAAACAAGAGCAGTAGACTGCGTGTCTTCTCTTCGGCCACAAAGCGAAACGTTCCAAGCTCTTCGAAGGGCACAACGATGACGGACTCGACACCAACTCGATTGAACCTCACTTCAGACTACGAGCCGATTGACCAAATCACCAACATCATGAGCGAGGTAAGTGCTTTGATTTTATTCCGAATAGGTCAACATTAACGCGTTGTTAGGAGGTTGACAAAGACTTGACTTCCCGTTCTCATACTTCGCTGCCAGCCGACCAGGAAGTGAGCGCCGTACCAGAGACACCATCAGTGGCTACACAAACGCGTCTACCGACCTCGTGGTTCTTGCCAACTGCTTCGTCCAAGTCGAAGAAGGCAATCATAGATCGTAGCAAGACCGGCCCTCCACTCGTTTCATCCAGAGGTCAGAGTAGTCGCGAAACGATGTCGACTTCTGGCAAGTCTGATCTTAAATCCCAAACAGCTCAAGGCCTAGAACACTCTCTTCCCGGAAAACGTCCTCCTGGTCCGTCAAATTTGAGAGCTCAGGAGAGCAGTACACCTGATATTGATTCCTCTTCTGCGCAAGATCCGACGCCCTCAAGTGAAGCGAACCAATCTTCGCAATCGATACTGGTATCTTCCTCCTTTACTTTGGATGACTCGTGTATCAAGGACTTCCCCAATGATAACAGGGAAGCTAAAGATACAACTACAAAAGAGATAAAAGCTAAGCGGAGCTTTCGAGATATCTTCCATAAGCGTGAGATCAAACCCACTGAGAAGCTACCCAAGCCTGCAGAGACGAAGCAACCATCCATGGCAGGAAGTACCCTTGCCAGGCGCTTCAGAAACTCTACAAACTTCTCCAAGGTTACCCTGCCTAGAGTACTAGAGTCGAAGGCGCAGCGTACACATGAGTCAGACTTCAAGAAAGATACGAACAACATCGTTACAAAAGACACCGAGCGACAGGCAGCACTCTCTTCGCTGGAAGCGACATCATCCAGCCTCGTAACAGAGATTCCACCGGTGATCCGTTACGATACTACAACTGTGATCAATAAGATTATTGATCGTGTAACCTCATTGCCTTCGGACTCCCCTGACCGCCTGCGTGGCCTCGAAATCGCAGAGGTTTGTACCATCCTCCACACCCGCCCTCTCATGCGTCGTGAACTTGCTCTAACAATACAAATCAAACAGGCTGTTCTCCATGCGGTTGAGTGCTCCAAGGAGGTAAAACTGAGCGCCGAGAAGGCAAGAAAGCATGCGCGCGACGCAGAGTTGAATGCTGGACGTGTTACTGTTGAGTTGGAGAGGCTGCATAAACTGTGTAAGGCTGATTTTGATGGTGAGACACTAACGACTATCAAAGAGCTTATCAAAAGCGTTGGATGTGTTGTCGGGGAGAAGGCGGCTGAAAGTGCTGTTCTCAGCATGTAAAGAGTGCTGGTATAAGGATTGTACCTTGACATGACAGGTATGTGCTTATACCTATGATACCTGGAAGTCACTCACCGTTGTAAGATCAAATCCCACTAGGATACTATTCAAAACTGGCGTTTCGTCGGTTGAAAATGACTTGCCTTCTTTTGTGTTGGTGAACAAAAGCCATTTGATCACGATGCACATGTGTGCTTGATTTGTTTGAACGATTTGGTTTGGTTTTCAGCCAACCCAACCCGCGATGCTATGCCATCCGTTTTGAATTGGCTTGGCCTCATCTCTAGTCGAATGCGTCACGGAATACCGAATTAGCGGAGTGAGGGCGTACTGCTATGCCTCGTAGTGAATATACGAACTCGCTGCTTAACCACTTAGCGTATGTGTGAACAAAATGCAGATGCTGATTCGTATCTTCGTATAGCTTTACCCATTCTTTTCAAGATGTAGCACGTAATGTACAAACCTCCCATATTCATCGTCCATGTCGTGATGCACCAAACCGGAAGCAGAAAGTCCCTATTTCCCACCCTGAAATGCTACACTGGGATCATATACAAACACCTCACGGCAGTATCTGACCGTATTTCATATTCCGTCTCCCTTTTCGTGCTTTCTATTCCTTCTCGCCTAGCCCGCCTTCCTTGGCGTCGTCACCTTCAGGTATAGCCAGCACTTTACATACCGCCTCCGAACATGCCACCACCACCGCCTCCCCCACCACGTCCTTGTGCCTCGCCCTGCATCTTCTCGCTGACCTTAACGTTGACCTCGAAGAACTTCGCGACGCAGCGATCGAGGCAGACGGACTCGCCCTTGTTCAGGTCGGCTTCGCGGTACGCTGTGTCGATGCATTTTGATGAGCAAGATTTTACTAGGCTAAGGTGGGAGCATTAGTATGTGGCTATGAGGGGAATTGGGTGGGGAGTCGCACCGGCTGTACATGTCTGATACCATGTCGATTTCCGCCTCTGCTTGCGCGATCTTTTGCTCTGAGGAGAGCTTGGGCTGGCCGCCGAAGAGGAAAGACATATTGGGCGATTCTTTGGTGGTATTTCAAGTCGAATTGGGTTGTTTGGAGTTGGTCGGGGCTCAATGTATGCTAGCTGCTGCCGTGGATGCAATGGATACTGACGATGATGTCGCGTCGGAACTTGAAAAGATTTGGAGCTTTGGGTGCGGCGAGGCCCGTGCGTCATATATATGTTCTTGTTGCGGAGATCAAACATTTACCTCACTTCCATCACTTTGATTTGGCTGTGTTTGTCAAATTGTGGTTCTCTTTAGCGATCCGGACTAGAAGCAGGGTCCAGGCAGAATTTACGTACCTATTTCCACTCGATCATGTTATTCCCCGAATATCTCAACTGCAGCATAGCGTTTTTGGGGCCACAACTCTACCACACATCGATTTCACTTCTTGGACCAATCAGCTCGACTAGTCGTCGCCATTATTTCGATTCTGGTTCACTTGCTTTTATTGAGCGTTCAGTCTATTACACTCTGTCTAAACATTGTTTGCGAGTACATTACAGATATGACACATTGGAGGCAGCTGCGTACTGAATATCACATCAAATCAGAAAGCTAAACTCAGTTATGTTCCCCAGTTCAACCCGTACAGAGCACAGTGTAGAAGGATGTCGCCACCTTTTGGCGCCTCAGGTTGAAAGTATACTTACATCTCAGTCCGATGACGCCAAAGTTTCCCCTCGATCGTGAGCCGACATCAATGTCCTTCACTCTGTGCTCCTCGAGTTCCCCGACATTGGAGCTACGAATGTCGCGATTGCACTTTAACTTACCTAGCGCGATATCATTCCATAGTCATATCCATCACTATTACTCTAGTACATAGTCGTATCTCTGTTCAACAGAAATTCCACGACAGTATCGGAATGTCCCAGTCTCGTCAGATACTTGCCAAGTTATGAGGCTTGAACCATAAGCCTATAGTTTGCCGCAAGAAGCCTAGCAGTAACTGCAACACGGTACGCTGTACGACATACTCCCAACGTATGTGGCTCCAGCATATACGAATTGCATATGCGCCCAGCACTCAATGAAGCCGCCAGATCATCCTCGCTTATGGGGTTTCTGATCCCTAGATTTGAGTTGAATCCCGTACGTTAGCTGTTTTCTTGCTGTTCTGAGAAAGGGTTTCTCGCGTTTTGTATCGCACTATTGGCATTGAAGGTCTACAATTATCATCTTGGCATCCTTGCATGTTCTCACTGACTACCAGCATAGACAACAACCCGCCAAATTACTAGCTTTATTCTCTGCCTGAACCTTACTAGCAAGAAACACCACTCTACGTTGTAAAGCCTTTTCGAAACAACATGCCTATGATTACACCTGACACGGAATTTGTGAAGCACCGGGATTCACCCCGACCATACAAGTCGTTGTGGGCACGTTGGTACTTTTTACTCTTCTGCGGCGTCCTGATCACTGTCATCGCTGGAACAATTGGCGGGGTAATGGGGAAGACTTATGGAGAGAATAGTGGCGGCGGATTCTATACCCTGTACTCAAAGGCAACACACACGGTACTGTAAAGTGGACTGGGGCGGCAGTGACATCCCTGGTCTCCAAGCACCCACTCTGGATGACTGTATCGAAGCTTGCGTAACGTTCAATCTCATTACGTCCACAAATCATATCTGTATTGGTGCTGTCTTCGTTCCGGCTTGGGTGAACAGAACGCTGGCTATGGGCGGAACGAACGATCCGTCCGATCTGCCCGTAATGAACAGTCTTTCTAACTGTTTTTTGAAGTACGTTGCTGTCAGGTATCCAAGAAACACTAGCCAAATCGAAGTTGTGAGTATGTGTTTGAAGGGGAACTTTCCTCAGCAATCTGGTAGAGGGAGATGAAATGCGAAATCTTATGCGAGAAGTTCTCATCGCGATCTCATGTACAAAGTATATGCAATCTACCATGACTCTCTAGTGATCAGCAGAGTCGTATTGAGCGCTCTCTTACTTCACGATCTTAAAGCGTAGCGAATTAATACAAACCGCATACCGTAGCGTATGAGAATATTTAGGAAATAAGATTGAGGGATAGAAAAATATAGCCATAAGCGCACACATCGAGAGACTGGGGAAATATGCGGGTGGTAACCGAATCGATGAGTAAATAAACGCCCACCCCCCTTTCTCAGCATCAGTCGGCCATCATCGCCGTTCTCCACAATCTTGCATCCACAGTTATTACCCCATGACCTGCGATTAGTGGACCCTAAACGCCGAAGCAGGGTCTCGTAGGAATCAGCGGGGTCGGAAGGCAGACGAGAGTATGGAGACTCCGTGTCAGAGATCAGGCGATCAGGGGGCTGGCGGAAGGAATGTCGTTTGCTTGACACATTGCAGACGTGCCAATACATAGATGGCTTGCACGAAACGAAACGTAATCTCGTCTCTCACATCGCTTTGCTCTCAAAGCGCTGTCTGCACTCGAAGTTTATGTGGCCCATTCTGGGTGCCTAGCTTTCTCCGCGATTCCGATGCCTTGGTATCTAGTTACTGGCGGCCTGATGAGCACAGCTACACCAACTGAGGCTTAGAGCTAATAGTATAAAAAGACAATTGAGATGAAAAAAATGAGTGGAGATGAAGTAAGACGATGGGGCAGATTGAGAGGGAAAATTCGCTACAACTCAATGGTGGTGACTTGCGTTGGCAGTTCGGATCCCAAAGGAAGTCAAGACCCACATATGTCTACACCGAAGCATTGCATGCTAAGATAACAAACCGGGAGGATATCATTAGTGTAGGAGAAGGGGGTGCAGTTCTCCAAGGCCGTGGTTCAAAGGCGCTAAGAAGCCAATCAAATCGATTCTGTGTTATCGTGCCTCACACAACCTTGAGCGATCTTTCGTCATGGCGGAGTTACGATAAGGGCATGCGGTGAACGCTGCCAAGGGTGGAACGCACTGTTGGAGGTGCTCCGCTATGTTTGCTTGGGCTTGCAAGCCGCTTCTCAATCATGAATGGTGGTTTAACATAGCGCATAACTGCGCCGTCCTCGAGCATCACTTACTGTGGAAGGCGCTCAACAGTGAGTTGGATGAGGTGAAGCGAGCACGAATGTCGTGCATCCGGATGTCCCGAAGAGGTAAGTCGGAGACTGCTGATGCAAATCTCCAACCACAACTCCCGAGCAGACGATCGGCGTAACGGATACTGTCTACGGATGATGAAACGCGTTTCCTCAATCTGCGCCGACATTGCCGCGGTTGATGTGTGGCTACTTTCCCCGGGGGTCTTGCTTCCAAGCGACAAAACATCTGAAAATCCTGCAGCTGCCGCCAATGTAGCAATTTTCCCCAACATACCGCTATGACGTCTTTCCTCCAAGGCTGCTCTCACTTGTTCCCTGTCCCTTCGGCGACGTGAGCCGGATCCTAACTCACGGCCGGAAATGACTCGATATCGAACTCCCACGTTAAAGCTTGATTGGGTTAAGATCGGCGCCAAGCTGAAGAGGCTGCAGAGCCGCACTGTGACCCTGCACGAAGCCGGTCTTATGACGTAAACATGGGAATGTTGAGGAGCCCAAGGTATGTAACCCGAGTGGACACTTTCGGTAGGTACACTTGCACCTGCATACTCTGACGTCTTTGTTCGACAGGCGTGCTGGGGATGAAAGCATTGCGAGTAGCAAAAGTTGTAGAGTCGTTGGCTTTTCGAGAAGCAAACTCAAGTTCGGAATTGAATCTCTATGCGCAAACCATTACTCCAATCAGACTGCCCTGGACTCGACAGGCTATGACGTAGGGTGGAGCAGCTTCGGGCGAACAAGCAAGTCGCCCGTTGCCGAGCGCTGCTTATTCCACCCTGAGCGCTCTCCGCTCCTCTCCAAGATTGGTCCAAGATGTCTAGCTCCAATGTTGGACCCCTGTTGCGCTCGCCTTATCCCCACAGTTTATTTGAACCTCTCCTCTCAGCGCCATCATGTCACATCGCAACTTCAGCCAAGGCCCGGATACTGGAAAACTCGTTATCTAGTCTGCTCCACGTGTCAGACCAGATGGTTTTGGGGTGGATCAGTGTGGAGCGACGTTGTGTAGTCCGCATCTCACCCTTGCCGACCCTTCATGGCATTGGGGAGATGATCATATAAAGCTGATCCCCTCGCTTGACCATTGGAGCCTCAGCATATCCATCAGCCTTCGTCGCTCAGATTACCGCCATCATGCCAGCACACAAGGACAGCGAACATGGTGTTCCCACCTATTGGGGAAAATCTGGCAGGATGCTACAAGTTCTCATCACTGTCGTTGCGATAACCGACTTCTTGCTCTTTGGATACGATCAGGGTGTCATGTCCGGCATCATCTCCGCCCCCGCGTTTGTGTCGGCATTTCCCCAGGTTGATGGCGACAGCACCTACGAAGGATTTGTTGTTTCCATCTACGCTGTTGGTTGCTTCTTGGGTGCTTTATTCATCTTCCTAGTCGGCGACAAGCTCGGTCGCCGCAAGTCTATCTTCCTCGGCGCCGGCATTATGATCGTTGGTGTTATCATCCAGGTTGCAGCTAAACCTGCAGGAGGTGGTGCGACTGCGCAATTCATCATCGGGCGAGCCATTACTGGTATTGGAAACGGCATTAACACATCGACCATTCCAACCTACCAAGCTGAGTAAGTTCAAGCGCTCATCGACACTCCATGGAATAATATATCTGACTTTACTAGGTGCTGCAAGGCAAAGAATCGTGGCAAGGTCATTTGCGTTGAAGGCGGTATGGTCGCAATCGGGACGTTGATAGCCTACTGGATCGACTACGGATGTATCTACGGACCTGACGACTTTACGTGGCGCTTCCCTATCGCTTTCCAAATTGTGTTCGCCTCGATTGTTGTTGTCATGATGATCAATCTCCCCGAGTCTCCTCGATGGCTTCTCACTCACCATCGCGAGGAAGAAGCTGCCACCGTCATTGCTGGCCTCAACGGACTACGACGCGACGACCCTGAGGTCGAGACTCAAATGGCCGTCATCATGGATGCCATCCGACAATCTGGTGGTGGAGGTAAAACTAAGTCTACCGCTCTTCTGACCAACGGCAAGTCCCAGCACTTCCGCCGCATGATCCTTGGAGCTTCGTCTCAGATGATGCAGCAACTTTCTGGATGCAACGCTGTCATTTACTACTTCCCTATCTTGTTCCAAACTGCTCTGGGTACCACACACAACCTGGCATTGCTCCTAGGTGGTATCAACATGGTTGTTTACTCCATCTTTGCTACGACTTCCTGGCTCCTGGTTGAACGTATTGGTCGCCGCAAGCTTTTCCTGATTGGTACGTTCCCTAGACATCGAGTCTTCAATGCTGTATGCTAACATTGTCAAGGTACGGTCGGACAATGTCTTTCTATGGTTCTTGTATTTGCGTGCCTTATCCCCGGCACTGCATCTGCAGCCAAGGGCGCCGCCGTCGGTCTATTTACCTACATCGCCTTCTTTGGCGCCACCTGGCTGCCGCTGCCATGGCTCTACCCCGCCGAAATCAACCCTCTCAAGACGCGCGCGAAGGCCAACGCTTTCTCCACCATCAACAACTGGCTGTGGAACTTCTTCATCGTCATGATCACGCCTGTCCTGATTGATAGCATTGGCTGGGGCACTTACCTCCTCTTCGCTGTTCTGAACGCCATTTTCTTCCCCATTATCTACTTCTTCTACCCTGAGACTTCTGGTCGCTCCCTTGAGGAAATCGACCTTATCTTTGCCAAGGGCAGCCTCGAGAAGATGAGCTATGTGACGGCGGCCAAGGAGCTTCCGCAAATGGACGAGACTGAGATCGAACGTTATGCACGCGACTTTGGCTTCGAGTCGAGCGACGAGGAAGCCCGTACTTCATCTGAGAAGGAGGCGAAGAAGCAGGAGGACATTCTGCAGGCACCAAGGGCTTAGGCTTTTGCGGTACCTTAGAGGTGTGAGCGCTGGTCGCAGTGATCACGAGTGAGCGCGCTGTGGGCGCTTTGGCGTCATTCTGTCGATGCTTGTTATTACGTTACGCGATGTGGAAAGATACCCGACGCTTCAGTCGTCAAGAGTGTAACGTGGACGTTGCCTCTCATATGAGATGTTGTTCGAAATGGGAGAAAGTAGAGAGTAGATTGGTTGTTTACGACTTTTACGGTGTTTTTTTTAGCGTGGCATGATTCTCATGCTTTGTCGTTTTTTTGTATCTAGACCGCTCTATACCCAATACATGCGGACTTTTACGAACACAATCGAGCTCCTGTGAATGATTTGTTTGCGAGGTGATACTACGTTATCGTCATGAAATGTTCAGTAGGTTTGTTAGTTCGAACAAGTCGTCCTTCTTTTCGCGACACTGAACACTTCATATGTCTCCTTTGCTTGATGGCGTGCGCTTAATCAATCAGCACCAGAAAACGAATCCATTCGCTGTTACTCACCACTACCTAGTTCCAACGGTAGAGTGGGTACTTGATTGTTCTACGCTGGCCTTGCTTACTAGCTTCGCGACATATCCTACGTCGTGATGGTTCATTTTCTTCTCATCAGAATGACTTTTCTGACACTTGTCGCTTGCAAGAGGGCGTGGCCAACAAAATGGATTTCACCAAAGTTCGACGATATTGAAACTCCACACTCGTTGATAGTTGGTGATACGATCATGAGTAAGCAAACATCACGTGCGCGTCGGACCCTGGCGGTTGGGAGCAGAGCCACCTGGCATTCACGACTTATACGGAAATACACACTGTCATGGGCTCGTCTTCTTCTCCATAGGCAATCGCGTGTACTCCAGAAACATGGTTCAAGCATCACTCTCCTGGGACACCATCGGTCCCTTCCTGGTCTGGCAGTTTCTGATCCCTTTGGTAAGTCAACGCGACATCGGACGCAGAAACCCGCGTGCCCCTCTACCGCCATGCTCGTCACTAACACGTCTAGGCCGCAGGTTGGACCCAAACAGTTCTCTACAGCATCTTCATCCGCGCCGGCTCTCCAAAACCGCAGCCAGGCTCCCAGCGCTTCATAAGCCACCGTCGTGCGATCCTGATTGCCATCTACGCCGCATACTTCCTCTTTACAATCTACGAAGTCGATTTTAACCTCCAGCGCTCAGGCAACGCGTATAACCTCCTTGGAGTGCCCATCGACGTCGACGAGAGCGGTCTGAACTCACGATTTCGGCGGCTTACGATAAAATACCATCCGGATAAAGTAGGCGCGGGCGTAGACAGGGAGCTGGCGAACAACTACTATGTGCATTTGAAGCAGGCGCGGGATGTGATTCTTGATCCGGTGAAGAGATTTGCATATGATCGGTTTGGGTCTGAGATCTTTGGCCGGTGCCAGACTTGCCTGACAGTGAAGGAGTATGTGGACAATGCGCTGGTGACGACGGCAACGAACTACGGGGCGATCTTCGTGTTCCTGATTGGGGCGAACGCATTAGGGTTCCTGAAAGACGGGAGTTACTGGAGATACCTGGGTCTTCTAGCTGTTGCGACGTTCGACCTCAGAACGGCGATGCGACCAGACTACCCGCCTGTTTTGACAAAGTACCTGAACCCGCTTGTTTCCGGCCTCCATCTACGACCCGCATACCTGCCTTTCCAGGCGACGGCCATTGCAAAGAAAGCTTCCATATCTCTGGCCCAGTTTCTCAGCCTTCTGATGCCACTCTACCGCGACAACCCGAACAATCCTCAGCGATCCAGCGAAGACACTGACGAGGTACGCCACAAACAACTCGACCGCCTCGTTGCATTCGTTGCAGAGTCGAACAAGGAATCTTCGAGGCTCATTGAACTCGAGTCAATTCCGTATCGAGACAATGAAAAGGCGAAGAGCGAGCTACGAGACGCTCTAAAGAAATATATGGTGCAGAATGTGGTACATCAAGAAAAGGACGTACGCAACGCGATAGGACAGAGCATGGCACGACGGCGGACGGGTGTTCCCCATGGAGCAGTAGGCACGAAATAAATGAATATCAAGGTAGGAACCAGCGCCAATGTTCCCAATGAGCCTTCTTTTTTCTCACTGTACTTGCTATGTGATGCTGGGCAGAATGGCCAGGAGCTGTCCGACAATAAGCACAAGAAGAGTAGAGAAACATACCCCAATGTCCATGTGCTCGCTTCTCCCAGTCGTTACGTCCACGAAAGATCATGGCGGCCTCGATCCGTATGCTCTTAGGTACATAACGCACGGACCACAGTTCCACAGTCGTGAATGGAAGACTTTCGAGGAACAAAAGCGAGACAAAAAACATACAGCAGTGTCACTCTCTTTCATCCAAGATCTATGCTCGCGACTCATGCTTCCTTGAATTGCAGACATCGTACTGCTTTACAAATCTGTGAATCAGTCAGCTTTCGTTGCAATAGATACCACCAATCGCTTACCAGTTACAGTTGAAGACAGGTTCAACGACCTTGTGCCCAGTCACCTTCTCGATATCTCGAAAGACGAGATCAATGGGTGTGAAGAGAGCAGCCTCAGTTTTCGTTTCACCAAAAAGAAGGCCAAGCCAGTCACCGGAAGGCGCGTGCAAGACGATGCTTCCAGAGTCTCCTTTACCCACAGCTGTGCCTTTATGAGCGACGAATGACATGCTGTGGCCACAGTCTTTGACTGTGAAACTAGAGGTCTCAGAAGAGAATTTGTATTGTCCTCCTTCGATCTCGGGGTTGATGACGGTGGGAATCGAGTTGATTATTCCGTATGTGAAACCTGTGGTACGACCAAACTTGCCAACGCTTACTTCGTCCCTCAAGATATGGCACTTGGGGTTGTTCATGACCGTCCACTGCGAACATTGTTGCCCTGACATGAGGGTGCTGTAGCCACCGATGTTGTACTGCTGCCGCATGGGAAGAAAGTTGGACATGCCACGCCCGGGATGGAAGGCTAACAGGCACCAGTCCAGCATGAAACGAAACTGAGACTTGCCGGTTTCTGCTACAGGTTTCCCATCTGCGGGGTTACTTGAGAGCTTTTCGCACTTGACTGTTCGTAGACCTGAAGAAGCATGGACTGTTCCAAGAGAACGATCTGTCGTTCTTGCCATCGTGAGCTCGGCTCGTGTGGAAGCAAGATACTGCGGTGCCGCAGGGGTCTTGGTTTGAGTCAACCACTGCTGCTCATACCTTTTACGGTCTTGGATGAAGTTTGCGTTGTCCTCGTTGGACGGACATGTGAGGATATGTTTGTTAGAATCGAATGCGGGGTTTCCAGGCTCCAGGAACGGTCGTTCGCTTGAGTCGCTGGACTTCTTGGTGAGCACTACATCGCAGGCAGTCAGCGCAAGTCAATTGTACATGCGCTTGTTGTACTCACGATTGTCGAGACCGTCATTGCGTACAACATGATGGTTGGTTAAGGCATATTCCGTGCCATCTGACAACTTCACCATGCCACCGGCTGTACCCGAATGGATCTCAGGATCTCCCTGTCCAATGGAAGCGCCCATCGGTACATGGTCTTCGTACATCTGTGCATCAGGTATTGCTCCCTGTGAAGCGACGTGAAGAGATGAGCCGCAAAGCAACTCGACTCTGAGAGAAGGAGATAGCACCAGGACGCGTTTGTGAATGTCCGGGATAATCGCCTTAATCCAGATGTCGCCTGCAGCATTTGGCGACGTGATCACGACGGTTGCCGGACACCGTGCTGCATCGCGTTCCAAGCCGCGATACAACATTTCGATCGTGGTCCATTTCTCCTTCTGTTTGCGGATTTCTTCCAAGACAATGTTGAAGACCGGTTGCCAGACGTCCAGTAGATGCTCTTCGGACGGAGGAATAGCGAAACTGAACAGACCATGTACGACGCGGTGATCGATGATCTCGATCGATATCTCCTGATGCCGCGGGTCTTGTTGCAAATACCGACGGATTTGGATGATGAGTGAGTAGAGAATGGGGTCGTTGCTGAGATCGGCGGTGACTACCAGTGTGTGGTACTGCTCACCTGGCTGTTGAACTTCCGGTACCCGAAACGCAAAGTAGATGTCAGTGGGCTGGATCTTCTGAGCCTGGCACAATACCTGCACCATATCTATGACGGCTTGCGGGTCGTTCACCGTATTGCGAGCGCCGTTTCTGATGTTCGAGACTGGAAGCGGTGGAAGTTGGGGCCATCCCTTGCGATAGCGTAGGTTGCGGCTATCCATATGCTCTGCAATCTCCTCCTCGGAGCGTGAAAGCCAGCGTCCGCCTGGCAACGGTTCACCGAAGCTCGGGTACGGCGCAGACATCTTGTTGTCGTGCTCAAGCAACAAAGGGATGTGGGGTGGAGAAAAGAGAAGCGTTTGATTAGGAGGCAGCAGTTTTATAGGAAGCTGAGGCGCCGACAAACGGACGCGCCCAGGTGAAAGAGCTCACTGTTGCCTAGTGAGGGAGAAAATCCACGTTCACTGCAGAAATTAGATGGGGCCGACCGCTCTATTTTCACTGCAAGTATACGTACCCAGGTATCTTCTCATGGTTCAGGGCTTATTATCAACCACGGCGCATGGTTCCATAAACCGCATGGTAAATTTGTTATGCATGTCGCTCAAATCACGTAGCAGCTTGACGATTACAACTATATGTAGTATAGAAATTGTATGCCTAAGTTTTTGACTGTATGCGCCTTACGTACGTACTTCAAATCTATACTTTTGTAGTTTTGCACCTTGTAGGAGCCACAAAGAACGCAGCTTACTTCCCGCGTTTACAGTTGACCGAGAGACGGGGTATAGGAATTGACGGAAGAGAGCTTCTCGTAGAAAAAGATCGCGTCAAGGCATGCTTGCTCGAAGAAAGTCTCAAAAAGGCGCTTTGCTGCAAAAACTGAACGTGGGTCAACCCACTATACCGTATATTTTCGGTCAATCCGTTTTTTGCTAGCCATGGGTTGAACCAAAGCGAGTCTTCTAAGAAGTTTGCATTGCCACGGCGCGCCACTTCGTTCAACCAATCGTCACTTCTCCCTTACGTTCAACCCATGTCTAGCATAAAGAAGTACGTTCTTTGATCTTTTCCTAACCATGGTCCAGATGCAAGGCTTCTCATCCTATCATGTAAGAGAGTCAAAGGATGGTCAACGGTGGGTCAGCTTTCCGTCGCTCTTGAAAGTAATCTAGAGAATTGCAGTTATCTTAATCTAGCTTAAGCAGTCGTAAGCAATCTTGGCGCTGGGTTTTATAGCACGCTAGCAGACCCGTAACCAGAGCATTGTTGACCACTACCATACCGCTCGATCGCATTTCCTGATGATGAACTACCTTGACCGGTGTCTTACAGAGGGCGTAGGAGAATAAGCGGATCAGTTTCTATCACGTCCTGGAAGTATTTGGAGTACAAGCAAGCCAGAAGACCTATTCCGTGAGGCGTCTTCCATCAATCTGAAGGTTCAAGCGGAACTACAACTACTCCGTTATTAAGATCATCATCTTACTTGTCGACCCTCTCTCAGGTTCATGGGCATTAGCAAAAGGTCCTGCTACCTCTGTCACATGGCTATGACAGGTTGTTAAGATTCATTTGCCGTCTCTTACTGTCACTAGAAGAATGTACAAAGCTTGATTTTCTCAACGACTAATTCTTCTCTAATCTACACACGATATCAAGCACTCATTAATGCTTTGCCCCTGTTCACTTCATGCCTCAGCCTTCTTGGCCATGTTTCCATCTACTCGTCGTCTTGCATATCGATGACAGTCTTCGACCATTGGCGAGCAGGGATTTTACGCTTGAACATGATGTCAATCTCGCGATAAGATCGACCCTTCATCTCAGGCAAGAAGAAGTATGCCAAGACGAAGCAAACAAAACCAGTACCACCCCAGACGTAGCCGCACTTGCCGCCGAGGTTTGCCTCCTATATTTCGTCAGCAACTGTTTATCTCAAGATTTGAAGGGAGAGAGGTCTTACTGTAGGGTTGAGCATATAACTTGCGAGGAAGATGCAAGGAATGTTCACGATGTAGTATGAAGCGCGTCCAATTCCCGTTGTCAGAGGCCTAAGACGAATGGCAGACGTCTCTCCAATGATGACCCACGAAGCGGGTGCAGGTCCCAAGGTGAACAGGACGGAGACAATCAGGCCCAGGGACGCCTGCGCCAGGGAGGCTGCGTTCGAGGCGCCAACAGAGCCTGCAATACCAAGGGCGATTAGGAAGCCTACGTTAATGAGAGAGCCCCAGACGTAGATTGTGCGCCGGCCAAGATATGAAGTGAGTATCCAGGAGAGCATAACGAAGACCCACTGGAGGCCTGAGGTGATAAGACCCATAGCGAATGCAGTGTTTGTTGACATGCCAGCCTCTGCGGTGAATTTAGCATATAAACCTCATTCAGAACAGCCTTGATGACAACTTACGTTTGAAGAAATAGACAGCTTGATTGGCGATGAGGTTCCCCGTAAGGTTCTGTGCCGCGTATACACCACACACAATGAGGGTCCGGTAGAGGTCAGTGCCTTTGAACAATTCCAGGTGATTGGGCTCCTTGACTGATTTCTCGAGCTCAATGGTACGGCGCATCATAGCGACAGCCTCGCTGAGGTTCAGCCTCGATTTGCGTCCCAGGCGCCCAACCGAACGTTCTGCTTCTTCGAGACGTCCCTTTCGAACCAGCCACCAGGGAGACTCGGGCGCCATCCAGAGGAGAATAGCGAGAGGGGTTGGGAATAACCATTGAAGCGCAATAGGAACTCTAGATCATCCGTTAGCGAAGAGTTGTTGTGTGCGGAAGAGTACGTACCTAAACGCGCTTTCTCCAGGGTCAGAGTTGTAGTTATAGGTGACGCCACCTACGATAATAGCGCCGATGGCCCAAAACATTTGCAGCATCTGGGTAGCAGGGGCTCGCAGCTGGATTGGTGTGATCTCGCTGCAGTATGCTGGCGCGTTGGCAATGAAGATGCCCCATGGAATGCCCTCGAGAAGCTGGGAGACGAACATGATCGGAAGCGAATTGGCAAAGTAGAACACAAAGATAAACGCGTTCAAGCACATGAGGCCGGATATGGTCGCCCAACGGTATCCGATACGGCTGGTAAGAGGGCCAGCCAGACAGACGCCGATGATTGCACCAAGAGGCCCACCCATTTGAAGCGCAGACTGCCAACTGGCCACGATAACATGCTCGTCCTTCGCGGCATCATAAACACCGTATCTGTCCGCGAACGCGGGTAGGGCAATGAAATTACCCATTAGGAAGACACAATAGGCCTCCATAATCTAAAGATCATATTAGCTACAATTCTTCATCGAGAGCCATTGAGCGTAAGAGAAGAGAGGCGACTAACAATAGTGCAAGACATGACAAACGCCCACAAAGCAGCCATAGGGTATGCCTGAACAGCCTCTAGCACTCCCATGTTATGCTCTACATTCTCTGCCTCTATTGCAGCATCCTTGTACTGCTTGATTTGCGCTTTCTCGTCAAGATTGGAGGCATCTTCTACTTGAGAGATTGCCCTCTCGGCGTGTGGAGCGCCGCCGTATGCTTTGATGTCGACATGATCAGTCATATCGGCTGATGTGGGCCGAGATGGCAGATGTGGGTCGAGATGGCAGATGTGGGCCGAGATGGCAGATGTGTGGGGTAGGAGAAGATGGCAGGGAAAGAGAAGTAGAAATAACGGTAGCTGGAGGCCACCACCTTTTAAAGAGCACAGGGGGCCTAATGTCCTTCTGCAGGCCGTTAGGGCATTTGTGTTTACTCTGAACGTTCCACCGCTCACAGACCCCAGTTTCCGGGACGGTTTTACGCCAACCCTAAGCCGCGTGGTTTGACTGTCACGACCTCATTTCCGTCCGCTCATGCTGGGCGAGGCTCTCGCTAGCAGCGGTCAGCCCACCGGAATGGTCGGTAGCGCTTTGTAGGTGAACTTCGTATCGCAGCACAACAGCCTATCAGAACCTTGACTGCGAAGCTTTGTCCAACGATACCCCATCCCCGCACGACAGAAGTAAATTTATCCGGCCCCACCAAGGCTAGATCCCCCAGGTTCTCCAACTTCTCCACCAACATCTCCACGATAACCATGTTAGACTCGCGGCTATGATACACCGAGAAAGCGGAACCGGAGGAATATTGCCTTTTTCTTCCCCCGATATTGGATCGTTTCCACTTTAAGCGGACGGAGTACGAGAAAGAGCTTAATTCCTTCCTTTACAAGTTAGAAGTGGCTGCGTACTAAAACATCGCAGAACTCGGAGACGACTCAAGGGATAATTCCCTGATATCGGATCGCTTCCAGTGCGAGCGGGCGGAAGACGAATAATAGTTTGGTGTCTTCCTCTAGAAGTTAGAAGTGGTTGCGTACTAGAACGTCCTCGGGCGACTATCGACATCACGGAACCGACAGCCCCACGTGTTGTAGCGCTCGGTTTTGCCAAGACCCTACTAACATAACGGCTGCGCTGCAACACGCTTCTAGACAAATGCAAAGACCAGACGATGCTTGCAAGACGCGGTAAGACGCGGTGGTTGAATAGGCTGCTGTTAGTTTACACTGACTACCGCATCTATTACAACAAAACCTCCTACAATTGACATCGTACTCTTACATCCATCAATCTCCTTATATTTATCTCTTCTAGCATCTTTACTCTATTTTAACAGGTCAGCGAATACTTCGACTCGCTTATATGGCTTGTTTGGGTTCAACTATCTCCAGTCCAACAACTCTCGTGGTCCAAATCATGATCTTCCCCAAGCACTTCGTAGAAGAAGGGAGCTCGGAAGTTGGTATTGCTCCCCGATCTCTGGCCTATAGGTTCCCAGAAGCAGTCACGCTGAAATGTCTCTTATTGATACGAACACGCAAGTTTGTATCATTGAAGATCTTATTGGAGTTTCTGACAAGGTACTTCTTCCCATTGCAACTTGCTTCGACAAAGACACTCACGAAACTTCTTGTTCAACCTTAGCTAGACACTAACAAATCTCCCAGCCTAATCATAAGAAGCCACTATCTCGTAGTTGTTCGACTACTTGTTTTTCTTTACTTATTTCTGCCAGTTCTTCGCGCTCCTCCTTGATTTGCACCATTTTCAGAAGTATTTCAGTACTAGATGGAGCATCTAAGACTAATTTCACCTGATGGGCCATTACCAGCAATTCTTCATTCCATAGGGCAGTCTCGTCTTCTTCCAAAATGCCTTCTTTAAGAAGGGTTTCGCAGCTCGCCCTCCATATCTGGTACTCTTCCCAGGGGGAAAGTGTTCTCGAGGTAAACGCTTCGTAGATACTGTAAGCTAGGGTCGAGGCTCCAGCACTTAGAGCTACGGCCTGGTCAAGTTCCATAACGGAATAACCAGTTCGCGGCACGGAGAATAGCTCAAGTAGTACTAGTGTCGGGTCTCTATCTTCAGATAGTACTAGGTGAATAACCTCGGGAGTATATATAACGAACGCGAACACCCAAGGCATTATTTTGGAAAATAACCTAAGAGCGCCGAATGTCTTGTTGCGATATGTTTCCAGTCGAATATTTTTACCGCGAATTTGGAGAAGGCCGGCGTACCTGAGTAGATTGTAGCTGGACATGGCTATATTACACACATTGTAGGAATCTGCTGCTGGAAACTCCACCTGCAGAGCTCTCCGTACGTACTTAATCGAGGAGACCGATAGACATAGTGCAAAGATAGTTGCAGTGCAGACAGATCTCTTCATTTTCCCGGTGATGGCGGAGATGCCGAAAAGCCAAGGTCCAAATGCGAGATACCAGAGGACAATGCAGGATGTTGCGTCCAAGATTTCCTTCGCTGGTGGTATACCATCTTTTCTGGTGTGCCAAAGCTCGTACTGATATTGTATCGCTGCGACACTGGGCAGTGTCAGAGTTGCGATGAGGTCGTTTCCGATGGAGTCTTGCGACTCGTTCCGTCGATTACAGGTCCATGAAACGAGAACGGAACCCATGGTACATATCCAGCCTACGAATGCACCGGGACCATACAGAGATGAAACTTGTGGAGAAGCATTCATTGTAGAAACAAAGAGTGAGGAGTAAGGTGATGTTCAATGCAACGGGATAGATCCGGAGTTCTATCGACGTTATAAGATATGATGCAGCATGGAAGCACCGCCTCCTTCAGCAAGATTACGTGATGAGGTCCTCACCGGAAAAAGAAAGGGGGTTCTGTGTCAGGTTTGCATTGGATTCAATGTTGCCGTTTTTGGCTGCAGAGGAGACGAATCTGTCGGAATCCAGAAATAGCGAAACGCTCGGTTTTATGTAAGATTGACAGCGAGATTAATTCATTGTGGCAATCCATATCCTGGTATGAGGCTGTGTAATGTAGTCTGGTTGCCTAGTTTACCATGCCTCGTCGACCGTCCTTGGTTTTAACCCCTTGAAGATACATCCCCTGTTACATAAGATCATTGTTCGGCCCGCTTGAACTTCACGCACCATGTGGGTTGATATATGAACCAAGAAGAATTCAACACATCTATGATAAAAGCTATCTGTTTCTAGTACTTGGTTGTTCAGCTAGGTATAAAATTGCAAGATTGCTCAATCGTGTTTACACTTCTGAGATGTAACAAGGCTGCGCCTCCTACTTTCAAAGGAGCAAGTTCCCTGGTCATTTTTAATCTGCATTGTAACGCTGACAGAAAGGCTGCGCATGACTACTCCCTCTAAAACAACATCCGCGAACTCGTCACCAAGATGCTACAGACTTAGTCAATGGTTTGACCACAGCTGAGTTTCGGATCAAATATGCCGCCAAAATGAAGACAGTCATAAAGACTGGACCCTCGTTGTATAAAAGTCCACGCCTCTTCCACTCTCTAGATCTCGCTTACAATCAGAGGATCTGAGAATACGCTCAGAATCAAACTACGATATGGATAACAGACACATCATGCCATTAGCATCATTCCGAGCAATATAGCATAAGATACAGGTAGAACCCAATACTTCTCTCAGTGTCTCTGCTTCTGTTGCCGCATAAAACTGCCTGCACCTACTTCGTGGTTGCTGAAAGTGGTGGGGGCTATCTACCACAGTACAAATGGGTTTTCACATAGGTCTCTCAACAATGCAAGCACAAACAGCCTGCATCGAATGAAAGCGCGAAATGGCGTGTTCCTCCTTAAGTCACATTGCGAAATTTGGGCTCTGTGCGTATTCCAGAACGCAACTCGCAAGACGACAAGAGTTGCCTCTTCGATTCGGTTTGCAGGCAGGTCACGGTCCAAAAAGTCATCGACGAGGTCTTGGACAACTGACAATATTCTGCGCAAGCAGAGGTCTGGAAAGTCGATCTTGACATTCAGTTGTCAACCAGAAGATTGGCTCTTCGGACTCGTTATTCTTGAACACCTCAGAAGTAGACGACAGTGCCATCGAGAACATGGCAAGACCCGTGCGAAAAATGAACGAATTCTCGAGTTTTATCCGGCGAGGCGTTTCTTGACCTGTCAGCGGAGTTGAAATCAGTGATCTAGCAAAGCATAGGAAGGAAGAGAATTATTCATTAAATCATGCATTGCAGCTGTGGGCCTGCAGGGCTATTGAATACGGATTATACTGCCATCAGTGACATTCTGTGCTGCCAGCATTGCTACAAATTACCTGTCGAATTGCTCAATTTCTGCTACTGCGACTGCGACGTTCCTCTTCCTCTTCCTGGTAGGTCACGCTCTGTAGGATAGTCTTGGTGATCTTGATATCGCTACCCAGAATGCTCTCCTTGCTCTCCGAGTCCTGCAGCGGATATGTCGACCTTTTGGCCTCTGATTTAGTCGGCTCGTGCAATACCACCCACTCCTCATCTCTCCCACCGTGTCGTGCATGGGATGCGGGCCACATTGTATGATGATCCCTTGTCGAGCGGTCCGGCACCGAGTCCCCTCCAAGGTTGAAGACACGTCGAAACAAAGGGCGAAGAGTGGCGATGCAACCAACGATCACGCCTATAGCGTTCTCAGCGTATCCCCAGATCAGGACATCGGATATCCCATCTGAAAAATACAAGTTAGCACTGTGATGTCTCCTGAAACTCGTTTGGACGAAGTCTCCCATTTGGATTACTTACATAAGAAATCGGTCGAATTGGTTAGATTTACAGTGTAAACGAGACGGATGCACGCCGACAAGCTAGCTCTACAGTGGTATGTTAGCACTTGTCGCTACGTTCATGTCTGAATGGAAAGTCTTACAGGGCACCAAGACTGAGAATAAAGCCCACGGAGAGTTTGGCGTTGCGGTTGAGCTGGACGTTCCAGAGGATTGGAACAGGCCTACGTAATCAGCAACAGAATTCAGCACGGTTGTGCCCTATCGTGTGATGGCTTACAGGATAGCACAGAACCAATCTGTGGCAATGTTTATTGCCGTGGTAGCATAATAGATGTCGGCAAGTGTTTTCGCGGGATTGCATTTACCGCTTGAACCGGAAGTGTCCCACGCGTATCTTTGCACAAACAGTTAGGCGAAGCAGCATGAGGATGGAGTGAATGGTACTTACCGCACAGGGCTGCACTGAAATATGATGTAGAACAACGCGATGAGGTTCATCGCAGTAAACATCACAGACACGACGTACAGGCTGTGTATGTACTTCTTTTTCCCCCATGCGATACGCATCAGCATGGCAGAGATGCTTAGTTTGATGGGAATAATAGCGGCGCAGTAGAAGACTTCGAAAAGAAAAAAAAACTATGCAAGTCAGGTTCCGCATCACATATTGGTCTTGTTTTTCACATACCATGAGGCCTTCGACCTTCTCCGCCGCAGCCAGTTTGTGTTCATGAACTCCAATTCCCTTGAAAGATCCTGCAAGACATGCAACCGTTAAAACGGTGAACGGGACCTACACAATTAGTCGACTTAATCGATTACCTACACCGACACGAAAATTTCACTTACCATTGCGATGGTCATACACCAGTCGTCTATTCCCCATGCCTTGTTGCGGAGCCTTGTGTGTACGCGCAGCCCAAAGACTAGATAGGCGATGACTCCCAGGGTTATCACCGTCGCTGACACCCCGGGTGCACTATCTCCAAAGTAAGTCATTCTCAAGATGGGTCTTTCTTAAGCGCCGCTGGGAATTGAAAGAGAGACACAGAGGGTCAGGTCAGTGTGGAGCAAGTAGTGCTCGTCAGGTAGCGGAGAGCGACTTAAAAACTGGGGCACATCACATCAAGAGCAACAGGGAACATATAGAGAGTCCGAGGAGGAACGGATACCCCTGCTATACTTACTAGTGCCTTTCGCGAACAGCTGGGGTACCATGTTGGTACCTGAGATCATCAGACCCTGTAAATGCAAAGTCATTCCTGCGCCGCACATCTCTCCAATGCAAAGACTCGTTAGAAAGTTGCTGGATCAAACAAAGTATTGACTTCTAGGTCATGCATATCGCAGTTCTCCAACTCCTGTGTTGTAACTACTGCGTCCGACTTCTTTTTTCGAATAATTTCGAACAAAGAAATTTGCTTTTTGCAAGCCATATGTTCGACCGGTTCCGCCTGCGCGAGTACGTAGTATGCGTGGCCAAGCGGGGAAACCCGTTGAAGACAACAAGGTTTCGACAGGTAACGACTCAGTGCTAACCACCCGGATACGGAAGCTACCAATGGACATTGGCCTTAGCCGAGCAATGAGGTGATTCCTATATAGGACGGCTCGCGCCAGACGCTAAATTCCCGAGGATTAGGCGTTTCTGGATGCGATAACTGATTCACCAACGTATGACTTTGCATGAACATCTTTCGATAGATCCAGTACAGTGGTTACCGCCTCAAGGCGTCAGCCACTCAACCATTCAGCATCAATTCTCCTTTCGACGCGATGGCGAATGGATTCTACCTCGTGAAGTTCTACAGTACAAGCTCTTTGGCAGCAATCTATGATGATCGGTAAGAATGCGTAACTAATCATGTCTTATGTTGCTTCCTGAGGGGTTTTCAGTTCATCTTACTGTTTCTCCTTCCTTCAAGTCATGCTATATACTTAGTGTTCTTCCGGCTGAAAACCATGCTTCCTCTGGCAAGTCTACACAACTCGCGAGTTAAGGGTCCAGGGAATCTCACAACGACGCCTCATTGCGAGTCGTGAAAATGTATATCAAGTTTCGATAAGCAGCGGCAACGGGTTCGTGTCCCCTCGGAGTCCTTAGCCGGAGTATCTATGGGGCAAGCATTGGCCAGTATCCATTGTTGGGGTCTTAGCGTACAAATTTCACTGGGGGCATCCGTTGAGCTAGGAAACACGGCAATGAACATGACAAAGTAGGCGAGATCTGCGGCAAATCCACAGACCTGGGTATAACTACATGACTTCTATCCGTAATCTTACAGTAATAGCTTTACCAATCGTCTGTTACTTTACAATAACAATATACCGAGTATGGTTTTTATCGCCCTATTACATGCTAGAATTTCAAAATCCAGCCTGAGCAAGCTGTGTTTGTGAAGAAGAAGGCGACACTTTCTCTAAGCTCTTATTTACAATTCCAGTACCTTGATGATCCGTTTCTTGGCTCGCGTTATCTCTGGAAGGATATTCCTCTCTTTCAATGATTATCTCTGTTGTCCTCATCACACTTTGACCTTGTATACCCACTAGACTGATACCGTTTCCGTGTATGAATGAGGTGAAGGACGGGATATCGTTCTCGTTGTTGTTCGTTGGGTCGATGATAGATTTGTGCGAATACAAGGTAGTGCTTCCATAGCATCCCGAGCGAGTCCGTGAGCCCTGACTCTGGGACTTACTCAGCTGTAGGAGTTGGTTGAGGATGTTGAACTCGAGTTTGAGCTTGATGCTGTAGACCGCTGGCTTGAGACATGTTTGGATCTCGTAGAGGCCGGCGTACTGGAGGCTGACAAGGATCACATCGAGGACGATGAGGATGGCATTGATGTATATGAGGTGCGTTTTTACACTCTTTCGGGTCTTGCCATTTGCCTCATAGACCGGGCCAAGCATTTTCGTAGTGTAGTAGATGTATAGTCCAGAGATGAAAACTTCTTGGAGAGCAAAAATCGTAAGCTGGACGCATTCGTAGACTTCGTAAGGTCTCACGAATGGAGCTGGGTGAGAAGAGTTGACCCCGTAGACCAACACTGCCACTGGAATATGGCATATGAAAACATTGGCGATGATAAGGATGAGGACGCCTCGTACTTTAGAATAATCGTATAGTACCAGGTGGAGTCGGGAGTAAAGGACAACGGACTGTCCAGTGACCATACATATCCAGCCAATGATGATCAATGTCGCTGAAAAATAGTTTGCCGTTGTAACTTCGAAGAACTTGAGGATGTATCCAACACCATTGACTGCTATGCCCCATGTGGCCACTACTAAGCTCCAGAAGTAGAGCCCTCGCCATCTCCTGAAGGTAAGAAAAATAAGAAGTGTTAACTCGATGACTCCATAAAACGCAATAGCGAGAAAAGCGGACATGAGCATGGCGATGGGGAAGGAAGTCCGTAGACCCGCCTCGGTAGTTTTGGTTTCGTTGGTTATGCTCATCTTTCGTACCCGTACGATCGACTACCGATGGAGAAAATATGTAGATGTTATCTGCGAAAAGCAGTTGGGGAAGACAACCCCCCAGTCAGATTCAATTCTCTAGCCAAGCATATCCCTAAGCATGAAACTCATGGTATACTTTCTTAGTTCGTGTGACGTTGCGTACGGGCCGATGAGATACTATGTTAGCCGCCTAGGCTGACCGGTAGAGAATAATGTGACAGTAAACGTGGCGAACGTCCTGTTCAATGCACACTGTCTAGGATATTTAAGGGTCTTTTCGAGCTCCCTGGTGGCTACACTAACCTGGATATGATTTCATTGATCATCGTGGCTGGACAAGCCTGGTACCTCTACTGTGGTTGTTGCCAGCGCCATATGCTCTTGGCTAGTCAAAACAGGTCTCCCACAACAGAGGATATGTGAATGTACAGACGTTTCCTTCATCCAGGACAAAATTGCACGCGTGTTAAGTATTGTGTATAAAATGTATTACCAAGCTGCGGCTGGCGCCTAATTGAGGCGATGCCATGAGTTAAGGCTTACATAATTTGATTTCAGGTGAGTTGTCGCCGCAACCCCTGAGTCAACTGAGGTTAGCAAGTTTCAGAATCTCCACCCCCCTACATAATGGGGAATCAGCCTTCATGAGAGGCTGACACTGACTCGGATTGTTGCGTTACCCCGGACAGCACCCCGCGAATTATTCCAGTGAACAGAATCATGATCTTCGGTCAAAACCCCCTAATGGCCAGCCACATTGCTCTTCGTTGCATTGGAATAAGCTGTAGTAGCAAGATACCTAACCCCATTCATTCGGTTTGTTGTTATAGAAATTCAGGGCTCCAGTTGTCAACATGATTGTACTATATTCGAAATCTGGTGTTGCCAACAAGTGCATTTGTGTCGAATGTTGCGAGCTCTCACATTGCGTAAACTCTCAGTTACAGTATGAAAGTGGAAGGCGAAACAGTGCGGTTTCGGGACATAGTAGCTTCGCTTATACGGACTTCGGGTACGCCCCCTGGTAACCAAACTTCGGTGAATCCAAGCCGATTCCGAACCCGAATCGTAGCCACAAGCATTAAGCCTAGCGCAGACCTTGCGCTCATGTCGAACCGCCTCTTCGATGTAGGGACGTCTTAGAACTAGATGATGCTGCCCAGAACCGCAGGTACCTGGTGTGTTTCTGCACCATCCAAGTGTTAATGTACATCGACGCGCAACAATTATATGACTTGAAGCCAATCATATAGCTGGAACGCATCTCAAATTGTTGCCGCGGAGTCTAACCAGCAATGCTTGGATGAACTTTCTTGGCTAGCCCACTTAGTAGAAATGATGCTACGGCGCTCATGGCTACTCGCTACTCAATGTTACTAGATGAAAAGCAAAGAAAAGGCTTGCATGAGAGCTCATGTCACAGTTGGGTCAGTTGTGCTGCCGGAATAGATGGGTCCGTCGTTCAGAGCATGGCATCGCAAGTCAGCAACTAGTTTGTCATTAGTCACCGCCCATCGATCGCCCTCCATTTAGTATCCAGAGAAATCAACCAATCCTTCTACATTAATTGTACTCATACCAGAGACACATCGCCGATTAAGCCGCGATGAGCCCGTCCACAGGGCTAAGGTGTGATTCATGGGGAGTGCACTGTCCACCAACATCGGCTGTGTGGATGAAGATCAGCACACAACGCGACGTGCACGTTCGTGTTCTTCCAGCGTGACTAGCTAGTCGCTCTAGATAGATGTGTGACGATGTGCACCAGGATTACACAGATCTCCAGGCCTACCGAAGGATGGGGCGAACGAGAAGATGTGGTTCGAGGGATTTTACGGTGCGCAGAAAGCTAGACACTAGCCCGACAGATCTGCAAACCTTGTACAGCTATGACCCGATAAAGCCCGAAATCAGGGCCCGGCTCATTAACAGACTCCACTACAGCAACCTGACTAGAATGCATACCTCGCTTACAGCGTTCTTTCTACATGGCGCATGAACCCTTTCTTTGACAAGACAAACTCACAGGCGCACGCAGAGTTGTTAACACACTTTTACAGCAATTAGGATGTGTTGTATATCAAACGGCTACAAATGAAGCATGGCCCTGCCAAGGAAGTCGTGTCGGTAAACGTTCCTATGTTTTCTGTGTAATAGCACCCGGAGGTGCTGTTCAGCGGCTCTTCAGTGCTTGTAACAACATTTTTCTAGTGATTGGCCTGCTTCTTCTGCTCTTTTCCATTCGGTCTTTGGTCTGCAATTGAGGGCAATCTATGAGGGGTTTTTTACTTTCGCAACTGTGCTCGGATGCGGCCAGTTGAGATTTTGAAAAGTTCTACTGGCAGTCACATCCTGTTGCTTCTTGATTGGTGTTTTGCAGCCATCCAAGGGCGCAGGATGGGCTAAAGACTTTTACAAGCATGACTTGCTTAAAGATACAGAGGTGAGAGAAAGGCTTGTCGAATAGTCTTACGCCAGCCATGCAACTGAGCAGTACTGACGTGTCCTAGAACAGGGCCGGATGTATGCGCAATACGATAGAACTCATCTATGTCAAGTTTGCCAAGCGATGTCAAAATCTTTTTCAACAGATCGATAGGACGCTACTTGGTTACGCCTGCCTTTCCCACGAAAATTCATGGCCATGGCATTCTCCTTTCCCTGTTGCGTACTCTGCTGAGCCACGAGGCCGAGAAACCACGACAAACAAACTTCGTACCCTTTTTATCAGCCTACAATGTCCTCATCCTCTACCGCCTTGACTGGATCGAAGTAAGACGTTGGAGCTGGTTGTTGGTCTCTGCTACTTATCACAGCAGGAGGATTATAGACCAAAGTCTTCTGTAAGCCTTCGCTTCAGACTCAGCTACATGTCCCAACTATCGATTCAACGTAGGCCAATGACAAAAGCAGCAGCAGTGATAGGCGAGGCACACTATACCCCGCGTGAGAGTCCTATCGCGGAATTGTTCACGCAAGGCTGAAGACTTGACGAGTATTTAGTTGCAGAGCTCCCTAAGTCTAGTACCCTCCGGATGTGCAACAACCCATCTCAAAAATCCCATCGAAATTTATTACGCTTGCACCAATGTCAGGCCTCAAAGTAGTCGCTCTCGTCGCTGCTATTGTTAGTTCCTTCAGCGCGACAGACTCCTTCATACGGGCACTTCGAAACCACAGCAACGAAAAGAAGCGCGAGAAGGCTCAAGAATTAGAGCAGCTATAGAACGCTATCGCGTTGGGACCGCCGCATGTACAAGACAAGTACGATCGAGACTTTGCACAAAGCGGGGCGAGATTTGCTTCGGGTGATGGTGTGTATCAACTCTGGCGTCTGTGGCAGGGCTGAATTGGCAAACTAATCATGACTCTCAATCACAGCTACTGCCAGAACTCAGCTCACAGGTATCATGTTGAACATGCAGCAGAATATGATACATTCGCTCTAGAACATACTACTGTCCAGTTTAGCTGTGGCAAATGTAGATTTCTCGTCGCTCCTCAGCACGTCCAACCGCTCAAGACTCGACTCCATGTCTGCGTTATCACAACGACATCAACGCTTCAACACTGCTGCGCCCCTAGACCAAAGAACCCTCAACCTCATAGCCTCCGCGAAACCGCCCAGCTTCTGTCCGGGCGCCATTGCCCTCCAGAAAAACGACGCATTGTTGGTTGGCATGGGCTGGACATTTCACCCTGTGGCACCAAGGTCAAAGCATGGAAGCCGGAAGGAGGGCGGCCGCCCAGCTGGGCGAAAGCGTGTCGCAGCATGCATCTTGCCTTTTCGTACAAAGCACACGTGCACTCTACTGTGAGCGAGCGGCAGAGATACGGTAAATTCCACTGTCTGCGGTTCTGCACCATCTGCTGGGACAAACTGGGTGTGGCGTCAGTGAAGATGGACAAGGATGAATGGCTGCGACATGTTGATCAGCATTTTTCGTCTGGGGAGTTTCAGATGTGTAAGGGGCGGGATGGGAAGCAGCAGAGAAGGTCGATGTGTGCGGATGCTTGCTGTGAAAATATCCATGCTGGTGTGCAGTGAGATGGTGGGATCTAATAGGTAAGAACTAGACTGACAGGTAAGCAAGTCATCAGACTCGATTGTATGGCTAGAAGGGGTACAGGTTCAAACAGTCACTGATCAAAGTATATTGAAGCATTCCAAATATGTCCATCCAACCAAACACACCGACCCCCCTACCCTCATCAACGCCGCCTCAGCAAGCATACGAACCCGCATCAGCATCTTCTCACTCCCATAACACTCTGTCAAATCCTGCTCCCCAACCTTCCTCCTTAGACCACTTCACGTGCTACTCTGTCCAAACACTGTTGAAGTGTATTCATATGCTCTTACACAGTGCAGATCTCGACGAGTCGATGAGTCATTTTTGCATGTTCAATAAACACCCTACACTCCGCCTCCTTCTCCCCACTCTACCACGCAGGCAGCAACCCGCTCCTTATCGCTGCGAGCTGTAAACACTCCGACACTCATTCTGCTGCCGTATCCGGAACAAATCGATCAGCAGCTCGAACACGTTCGTCTCCAGGCGCCCGTGCAGATACACGCCCTACTGCAAGCGCGTAAACAGGTCCACGACATGTTTGTCCAGATCCTCGAGCCGCGGGGCGAGGCAATTGGCGTCGTGCTGCACACGCGGGGCGGGTTGCCATGGCGGGGGTGGAGAGGGAAGCTGGGGGAAAGGAGAGTAGATATCTACATATCTAGACATCTACTCATCTTACCAGGGCGATGCTTAGGCTTTATCTCAGTAGCCTTAACGTCGGCCGTACAAAAGTCCATTCTCAAACCTTCTCAGGGAGATGTTGCACCGCTGATCGGCACCACCACGTTCGCGTCACGCAGTCACATGGGCGCTAAAAGCTGACTGCAACAACCTACCGTCCATCAACATACAACTTGCCATAATATGCAGATCTGCCCCAGATTCGACGCTTCCTGCGCAAAGCAATAAAAGTCCCTATTGGATGTCCACTGCGGGGAAAGATAGACACTTCTTGGCCCTCCTCCCCCCCAACCCGCGTTACCCATGTGAAATATATAAGCACCATGATAACATCATGGGGAAGTAATAGTGCAAAACCCAGTAAAAGTCAACATATAAACACCCCGGCTCTCCCCAAACCAAGTCTCTCCATTCCATCGCATCTACAAGTCTTTACAGAACAATCACCCCCAAACACAAACATGACCACAACCCAAACCATGCAAAACCCCTCCATAGTCCTCTACAGCGCCAAAACGGCAAAACTCGAAGACAAACCCATCCCCTCCCTCTCGCCCCACGACGTCCTAGTCCGCATAGCCTACATCGGCGTCTGCGGCAGCGACGTAACGTCCCCCTCCCCCCCAAATACCCCACCCCACGCATCTAACACCCCCAGGTACACTTCTGGCAGCACGGCGGGATCGGAAAGCCCATCAACCCCGCCACAGGAATCGTAATGGGCCACGAAGCCTCAGGCACAATCCACTCCATCGGCCCCGCCGTCACGCTCGTCCAGCCCGGTGACCGCGTGGCCATCGAGCCCGGAACCCCATGTCGCTTCTGCACAGCGTGTAAGTCCGGGTCGTATAATTTGTGCCGCGGGATGCGGTTCGCAGCCGCTCCGGGGCCGCCAGACACACAGGGCACGCTGGCGAAGTACTTCCGCGTGCCGCAGGACTTTGTGTACAGGATTCCTGAGGCGATGGGATTGGATGAGGCGGTGCTGGTGGAGCCGTTGGCTGTGGCGGTGCATGCTGTGCGGTTGGGGGATGTGCGGGCCGGGGAGACGGTGGTGGTGGTTGGGGGCGGGACGATCGGGGTTTTGGTCGCGAGTGTGGCGCGGCAGTTTGGCGCGCATCGGGTTGTTGTTTGTGATGTTTTGGAGGGGAAGTTGGGGTTTGTGAGGGGGTGGGTGGGGTGTGAGACGTTTTTGGTGGATGGGGGTGTGGGTGGGGAGCGGAATGCGATGAGACTGTTGAGGGAGTTTGGGCTGGAGGAGGAGGGGGTTGATACGGTGGGGGGGAGGGTGGATACTGTCATCGAAGCGTCGGGTGCGGCGTCTAGTGTCGAGATGGGGATCCATGTTTTGCGTCCCGGGGGCAAGTATGTGCAGACTGGCGTTGGGAAGGCTAAGGTTGAGGTGCCGATTGTGGCTTTGAGTATGAAAGAGCTGATGGTAAGGGGCTGCTTCAGATACGGCGCCGGGGACTATGAGTTAGCGGTCGGACTGATGAAGAAAGGGCTTATAGACGTCAAGCCGCTGATTAGTTCGGTGACGCCGTTTGAAGACGCGACATCTGCTTGGGAGAAGACAGCGAATGGAGAGGGGATCAAGAACTTGATTGAGGGTGTGAGGGATTGAGGAATCGTATAATGGAGTCATCGCTGCTAACAGCGCAAGGAGTGGTACTATCTACAAACATAACATTACTCTATATAGTATATGAAATCGCGAATTCATGGTATCGTCCGTCGTAACCTGGATCCCCAAGGTTTTGCCCAATGCCCGCGCAATGCATGATCAAATTAAATCCAGACATTCACTCTCCTTGCTAGAAAGATCCAGCGCCGCGCAAGGTATGCTCGCCGTTTGAAACAAAAAACGCTGACAACGCTAATTTCAGTTAACATCCATACCATCATCCTCCAAGTCATCCTCTCCATCATCATCAGCACCAGTCAAAACACCGGCACTGCCGATGCTCCTCTTTCGGTTGCTGCCATTGAAGACACGACCAGTGATCTGACCCAGCAGTTCAAGGTCCTCGCCACCCACGACGCGCGACTCGGGGGTAGCTTCGCAACAAAGCTCAGTGATGCCATCCGGACTGAGGCTCTTGAAGCCAGCCGTGCGAACCACTCGACCCCAGTTGTGCAGACAGTAAGAAGCCGCTCGATGCTTCAACCAGTCTTCGCCAGCAGTAGCAGCACGCTCCCAGATGATTGCTGCATGCTCGACATCAAGTTCTCGGCCCAGACGGTTGACGCAGAGCAGTCGGAGACGCGGCATATCGTAGATGTTGGACATGACGAGCATGCCTGCGACGTCGCTAAGAGTAGGACCGTTGTGCGGATTTGGAGCGATGCTGTCAGTGTACAGGTAGAAAAGGAACGCACGGACAGCAGAGTATGGTTCGGGGATGTGCATCTTCTTTGAGTGGAATTCGGCCATCTGTGCACTCCAGAGTCGAGCAAAATGCGGCCAGCGAGCGTGCAGGATGAACTTGTGAACGTGTATGGGACGAGACGTGGCTGCCACCACGGTCGACGAAGCCGAGTCGGCAATGGAAGTGTTGTCGACATTGCTATCATCGTCTGGGTCAGCAGTGATGATGAAGTCCGCTCCGCTACCTGTCTCTGGCGATTGATCGAACGTCAAAGATAAATCGGCGCCGATACCAGTCAGGTGCGAGGAAGCGTTGGCGTCAGACGAAGGCATCATCTTTGAATGCGTGTCAGATGCGAGCTCGTTGCCCAGTATGCCGTACTTTCGTAGATCAATAGCGAGGACGTCGCTGAGGTATTCCCCATTGTGAGTACCGTCGGCTGCTGTCTCGATAGGACTGCCAAGAAGCCATGCATGGGTGCCCTCAGGGTTTATCGTGCAGTAGTGCCAGCGGTAGTTCGGGCTGTATAGATCTTTTCCGTCTGCCAGTTTCTGCCAGCGAAGGGTGTCTAACTCCAGGCTGGACAAACTCGTTTCGCAGCTGAGCTCGGCGGGCGTGACAAAGTCGAGCAGGCATCCCGAGGAGAAGGCGTGGAAGTGCGTGCCTGCGGCTTGCGATGGCAGATTGGGGCTCGAGTGGAACTTCAGCGACGAGACAGAACCGGGTGCAACATAAGGAGATCTGTTGGAGTTCATCCCATGATATGATTGGACACTCGAGTTTGCTGTGTAACCGGTAGTTCCAGTCGTGGGCTGGCTTGTTGCGGGAGTACGGAAGCGGAATCTCGAGGAGAGTGACTGTCTGTCGCCGGTGCCGAACTTCATAGCATGCTCAAACTCGGGGCTGCCGCGAAGATCGAGCCACCAGATTTCGTTGTTCTTCTCCATGTCGTCATTGATTCCTCCGAAAATCCAAATGCGCCCATTCCAGATCCAGCTGGCGTGGTCATATCGCGGGACGAATTTCCAGGAGCGTGACCAGGTCCAGGTCTTGAGATCGAGGTAGCAGATGTCGTCCAGCACGCTGTCGTGTCCGGTTTGGCCACCGCTGATGTACAGCTTGTCGTCGTAGATGACTGCAGAGTGGCGAGCTCGGCCGCGAGGGATGGGCCCATGGAGCTCTGGCTGTGTCCAGTGTGCAGTCTTGAGGTCGAAGACGATGACGTCGGCGAGATGCTGGCGATGTTCGTTCTCACCACCAAAGACCAGGAGCTTGTTGCCTTGCCAGAGACATGCGGTGTGTCCTTCGATGATATGTCAGCAGAGGTCTGCGTGCTGGTGGTGGCCGACTTACCCATGCGCACCCCCGGGATATCGCCGTAGTTGTCTACTAGATTCCACTGACGGGTTGCCAGGTTCAGGCGCAGGACGTGGTTGTACACTAGGAAAGGTGGTCAGCATTCGTCCCATCATCTGCCATTGCAGAGCCCATGATGCGCAGCTGCTGCGATAGCACGGCCCTGCTCAGCTGTGCAATTGCGCCAAGACGTCATGCTTCGCCATTCCCCTCCTTCCTGTCTCGACTCACCTTCGTCGGTGTATTGGTCGAAGCCCCCAAAAGCGTAGATCTGGTCGTCGCCAACATAGGTGACAGAGGCATTGACGAGGCAGGCGGGCTTGGCGCCGATGGTGGAGATCATGTTGGGCTTGTTGCCGTCGATGGCGGATCGGCGGTTGCGCGAGGGGCTGGCGGACATGAGAAAAGTGTTGTTGCTCGGGCTGGCCGAGTCGGGTGGGTTGAAGAGGACCGAGGGCGTCGTGGCGCCGGCGGCAGTCGAGTTGGTCGGCGAGAGGTGGGTGGCCGGGACGCTGGTGTGAGCCATTGGGCTAGTCGTCGACGGTGAACGGGGAAGGCGGGCGCAGAAGGGCCCTGGAGGGCAGGGGTTGGCCTTTGTCTCGCAGGTGAGAATTGTTTGGACGATGAGGCTGGGCCGGGCGTCAGGCGATGCGGGCGGTGAGGGCTTCTGCCGGGGCAACCGCCGCGAGAAAGTCGAACAAGCGATGCACTCGCCGAGAGCGTGTCTGGGTGACTGTCGCGCACACGGCCTCAGTGAAAGCTGCACATGGTCCTCTGGCAGACGCACGACATTATTATTCCGACGGCTGAGCTAGCGTCGTGTCTGTCTCCGTTGGCAAGGCACAGGCCCGCACGTGACGCCCATGTCATCGCACATAAGGGTCCATGCGATCACCCCGTCAACCATAGTGTAAACAATATTTATTCGAACAGGAGCGCTGCTGTCACCACCTCTGCCACACCCACCTCTGCATCTCTCCGCCTGGTCACCCGCCAGTCTGCACACAACCCAATTACTTCGAATCAATACTACGAGCATCGAATACGCCATTGCCTAAATACTAATTTTTATATACAACTACAGCACGCACGAAAAGCATCTTGTAAGGACACCACCCGCCAGACCCTAGCCGCACGCTAGTTCTAACACGGCACTAGCACAAGAACACCGCAGCCATGGCCAGTCCAGCAGTCCTGACTCCGGTCAAGAGCCGCACGTCGGTCCTCTCCTCCCGTACCGCTGGCGGTCGGATGCCCTTGACGCCTTCTCCCCACACGCCCCGCTCCCAGACGCTCGATGTGCAGGCGCACGAGTCGATCCATGGCGGCAACCTCATGGCCCGCTTCCAGCGCTCCATCTCCAAGAAGTCAATGCGCGACTCGCCCAAGTCCAACATCGCCAAGACCAGCTCACCGCGCCGCCTCGACCTCGGCGTGTCGGAGTGGTCGCTCACGGGATCCGGCAAGCCCACGACGGCAAAGGTAGCAAAGCCCGTCAAGGCCACCAAGACAGCAAAGACGCCCAAGGCCAAGAAGGACAACCTCCGCCCCCGACCCACCAAGACGCGCATCACATACAACTCGGCCGACCGCTTCATCCCCAACCGGACGGCAAGCGAGGCCATCTGCAACGTCGGCACAGGCAAGATCGACCTTGAGCAGCGCCCAAAGTCTAGCTCCAAGGCCGAGGGCTCTACAGTGCTGGCCAGTGCTGCGAGTGCTTTCGACCTCGGTGGCCGTGGATCCGAGGAGGACGTCGCGCTCTCACTCGAGGGCCTCACACTTGACGACGACGAGGAAGACAGCCAGCCCCGCTCAAAGGCAGCCCCAGAGACCGCCGCCTACCAGTCCACGCTTGCATCAGCATGCGGCATCAACACTAACACTCGCATTCTTGCCTTCAAGCCCGCCGCTCCGGAGTCGTCAAGGCCAATCGACCTCCGCTCACAGTACAACCGTCCTCTCAGGGCTGCCAGCAGCGTCAACGCACAGAGCCGTCGCCGCATCCCATCAGCACCTGAGCGAGTCCTCGACGCCCCTGGCCTTGTTGACGACTACTACCTCAACCTCCTTGACTGGTCTTCTGGCAACCAGGTCGCCATTGGCCTCGAGCGCTCTGTCTACGTCTGGTCTGCCGACTCTGGCTCCGTCGCCTCCCTGTTCGAGTGCGCAGCCGACACCTACATCTCCTCCGTGAAGTGGTCAGGTGACGGTGCCTACGTCGGTGTTGGCCTTGGCACAGGTGAGGTCCAGATCTGGGACGTCGAGGAGCAGACCAAGCTCCGCAGCATGTTCGGCCACGAGACGCGCGTTGGTGTCATGGGCTGGAACAAGCACCTTCTCTCTACCGGCGCTCGTTCCGGTCTCGTGTACAACCACGACGTTCGCATTGCTCAACACAAGGTTGCCGAGCTCGTCTCGCACACTGGCGAAGTCTGCGGTCTTGAGTGGCGCGCCGACGGTGCTCAGCTCGCGACTGGTGGAAACGACAACATGGTCAACATCTGGGATGCGCGTTCCCTCACAGCCCCCAAGTTCACCAAGACCAACCACCGTGCTGCCGTCAAGGCTCTCGCCTGGTGCCCTTGGCAGTCAAACCTCCTCGCCACTGGCGGTGGTTCCAACGACCGACAGATCTACTTCTGGAACACCACCACTGGTGCTCGCATCAACCACATCGCCACCGACTCCCAGGTCACCAGCCTGCGATGGAGCACTCACTACAAGGAGATCGTGAGCAGCGGTGGCTTCCCCGACAACAGCCTGAGCATCTGGAGCTACCCAACCGGCGTCAAGAACATGGAGATCCCCGCCCACGAGTCTCGTGTTCTGCACAGCTGCCTCAGCCCTGATGGTCAGATGCTCGCCACCGCCGCTGCGGACGAGTCTCTCAAGTTCTGGAAGGTCTTTGAGAAGAAGCCCGGCCAGCCTTCCGTAGCTGCTGCTGGTTCTGCTTCGATGAAGCCCAGCGCAACGAAGCAGATGACCATCCGTTAAGGCATATCATCTAAATGGGCTTAATCATATTGCAATGCCCAGCACTGCCTTCGTCTCCTCACCACGGCACTGCTACAGGCATGTCCACATCGGCAACCGGCTTGCGCAATGGAGCCGTCATCATCAACCCGATTCTACGCGCAACGGTAAGCCGGTAAGTATCACACATCTCGTTTGGGTATGTGACGCGCTCCTCTCCCTGAGGACCTCCACATCTACCCCTCGAACATGTATCAATCTTCGTTCCCAGCGGAGGCGTCGGGAAAGCATTGCAAGGCGTCTCTCTACACATTACGAATCATCATGACAATCAATTGGAATGGAGTCATATCAACCTCATCATGGGGATCTTTTTTCGAGGGTGCTATCGTTTTGGTCTGCTCGGGTTGTTCTTTGAATGCTTGAGGGTGTATTTTTCTTTCTTCTTCTTCTGGATTGGGTGTAGGGTTATGGATTGGCATGGGAATTGGCGTTTAGAAAGTTGGTTTTAATTAACCAATGGAACAATCAATCAATCAATCAATCAATTATATCTAAACTTTTATTAAGAGATGTTCTTGAGTGAGCTGTTGAGCTGATGTTGGTTTGTTAGGTTGTTTCACTGCTTTAAGGGCCTCTGACAATGTATCTTTGTAGTAATATCGAATGCCAGAACGTATGGGCCAGTCCAAACAATACATCAGGTCTCTTTCTCTCAGACAACTCAAAGTCTTCCCAACAACCAGTCCCATATCCACACAAAACTTCCCCAAACCAACACACAAACCCCCATCTCACCACAACCCCAAATCAATACCTCACCCTCCTCCCCCCAGCCCCCTCCCCCATCCGCCAACTAACCCTCACCCCCCTCGCCTCCGCATACCCCAACGCATCCCTCCCCGTAATCCCCACACACATATCCGCGCGCACAACCCTCAACCCCGGCAACCCATCAACCAGCATCTTGATCGCCGCGCCGGAGATACGCGTATGCGACACGTCGAGCGAGTGCAGGCCTGAGACGGGGAATCTGAGCAGGGCCTCGACATCGTCGTCTGTGAGGGGCAGGGTAGCGAGGTCGAGCGTGTGCAGCGTCGGGGTGAGGAGGCGGGGTGAGGAAGCGAGGAGAGTGGGGAGCAAGTTGGTGTGTGTAGCGGGGTGGATGCGCAGGGCGAGGGTGTGCAGCGGGGATGTTGTTTCGAGGGTGTGTGTTTCGCCGCTGGAGGGGTCTTGGTAGGTGTCTAGGAGGAGGGGGAAGAAGTCTGGGCCTAGTTTGTCGATGCCGGAGAGGGTTAGGTGGGTGAGCGAGGGGAGGCGCGAGAGGGATGCGTTGGTGAGGAGGGGGGCGCTGGGCTGCGTGTTGGTGTATTCTAGGACTAGGCGGCGGAGGGTGGGGGGTAGGATGGGGAAGGGGCCTGCGCGGAGGTGTTTGAGGGTTAGGGTTGTGAGGGAGGTGGTGAGGAGGGAGGGGAGCTCTTGGATCGTGGGTACGACGGTGAGGGTTAGGGACTGGAGGGCTGGAGTGAGGGAGATCAGGGATGCGAGGGATAGGTCTGTGCCTCCGTCGACTTGCTGAGTTAGACTCAGAGTGTGCAGGTTGGGGAACGGGCCTTTCCAGGTGCCTGTGTATCGGCGGCGCAGGATGCTGCGGATTTCAAAGTGTTCCAGGGTGGGTCGGTGGTGGAGGATTTGTGTTGCGGTATCGAGTGATATGTCGGGATGCATGACGAATCTCTTCAGATTGGGCGCCAGCTGAACGATGTCGATGAGCGAGGCAGACACGTGTCCGGGGAGTGCGAGAAACTCGACATCGGCGAGGCTTTTACAAGCTCTGGCGATATTCTTCAACACGTCCATGTGCTCGAAGCGGTCTACGGTGATGCGGGTGAGGCGGTACTCGGAACGTCTGACAGCCTTGTCGACGAAAGAGCGCGGGACTGATTTCCTGGCGCCGGAGAGGTCGAGATGCATCCACACGCGTGAAAGCTTTGCGAGATAGTCGCGCCAGCCTCTGCTAACACGCATGCAATTGACCACGTTCCTGAAAGGCAGGTATGCAAGGATCATCTCAACGAGTTCGACTGGCAAGATGGTGAAAGGATCGATGGCCATTGGGGGTGAGAGCTTGCGTGTGAGTTTGTCGTGTAGTTGCTGAAGAAGCTAGTAGACGACCATTAGCACTCCCCTAAACACAAAGAAGCATACGACAATACCTTGAAGTTCTTGTCCCCAATGGCGATATTCTTCATTCCGTACTTGTAGATGCCAAGCGCTGTATCCGGCTTGTCCATCTTCTCCAACACGCTCGCTGTACGCAAATACCCCTTTACATCTTTCTTGTCCAGCTTGATCATTTCCCTGCCATCTTTTACTGCAGCATTCAAGTCCTTCAGCCTATCATAGCAGGCGGCACGGTGGTCGTAGAGGCTGACGGATGGAGATATCACGATTCCTTGTGTGAACGATTCCGCGGCTTTATCGTAATCTTTGAGTTTGAAATACCGCCGTCCAAGTTCTTGGTGTTCTTCTGGCGACATCAGGCGCGCCATCTTATGTAGAGTTGGGTAAATGCAATCACACGATCGTAAAGTTGAGGTGTGAGAGATCGGATCGACGCGCCGGGCTAAGAAAGCACGACGCGAAGCCACGTGTGGTGGTTCGTGCTCCTTCTTCAACTTTAAGAATGTCCCTTCCCAAGACGGCATTATCGTAACATTTAGTAGCTCTGGCATATACATTCGCGGTCACTAAATACGCTCAATAGATACATCAGAATCATTATTGTTTTGCGTTACGAGCATCGTCATCGTGCCACAATTACTGGTAAATATACACGAACAGCCAAAGCTGTGATGAATCCAACTTCAACATTGTGTAGACGATAGCCCACTAGAACGAACAAATGCGTAGCGAAGAGAGCGTTGGGTATATGGCAGAAGAAAGCAGACTAAAAGTGCCTCACCGAACAAAAGCAACACACCTTCGAAATTTGGCGACTCCACGGCGCAAGTACTGACATCGTGTACATCATGCGTTGATGATGAGATTTCTCTGACTTGGATCCTCTGGGTAGTTACCGAACACGGTTCGATACAACTCCCGTAACCACTTGAACGATTCACTCCTCGCCATCCACTGCACAGATCGGCCGATCTCGAGAGCTGTCAGCCTACGTGGCGGTTGTGTGTGAACAGTACGCATTGTTGGATCCGTCAACACCAGCTTTCTGTAGTTTTCGAAGAGCTGGGTCTCCCAGGGAAGTACTCCGAAAGTGTTCAGAGGAAGAGAACGGATAAAGTCGGGAAGCGGCGATGTTCGATTGTAACCCGTGTTGATGGCTGCTTTGATAATCAAGCCTTTCAGACGGATCAAGTTTGGATCTTCGCGTCCTGCGGTTGCTGTTGATGAGCTTTTGATGGATTTGACGGATGGGCCCGAAGCATCAGAGTATGTGGAGAGATTCGAGGATGCAGAAGACCAGCGGTCGTGTGTACGCGTCATGCCCGCCTCCGGCCCCAGGACAAGAATGTTGGGTACATTAGGCTCGTCGGCAGGCGAGAACTCCTCACGGTCGTCGAAGATGGTAGTTGGCGTCTCTGGCATTGTCGGAATATTTCTTCTGGCTGAAATGGCAGAGTGGTATGATTCATTCATACTCGAAGACCGCCCAGACCGCTCCGTGTATGGTTCGGAGTATGCGATTTGGGAATGTGTCACGGACCCGGGGCCATTCGAGAAGGCGTACTGACTCGGTCGTGGGGTACCGCGTTCGGGTCTTACTTGCGTCCAGCCTTCGCGGAACAGGTCACATAGCTCCCAGCAAGATTGGATTGCGGATCCCAGAAGCTCCTCGTCAGCATCCTTTGCATCTCGGCTGTTTTGGCGGAGGCTAAAGAGCATCTCGGCTAATGACCAGCATGCGTGAAGTAATGAGTCTGTCTCTTCTGGGAGGGACGTTCTCTGCTTCATCAGCCGATGGCACAGTGTCCAGTAGAAGTCTAGTGTTCGTTCTCGGAAAGTTTCGGGTAGTGTCCGGTCATGGGCGTTGTAGAGGTGGTTGTTCATTTCAAAGCTGACTCTCAGCACTGAATCGGATTCCTCGTCTCCCCGCTGTCGCACGTCAAACAAGGCCTGACAGAAATCCCGGCAAAGCTCCAAAGTCGGCTTGATCTGTGCTGACGGGTCCTCCTCCCGACTTTCGTAGAGCCTTTGGCATAGTCGCCAGCATGTCCTCCACGCATGTTCTTGTATATCAGCTCTTCCACCAGAATAGTGGAACATCCGATGTCGATGGTTTTGACTAAGCTTTGCGAGGGAATTGCACAGGGTCCAGCACTCGTCCAAGGCGTTGCCCAACGCAGCAACCTCCTTGTCCGTCTCGATTATGCCGTTCAGCACCTGGCCCATTGTTTGGGTGCCAATGGATGCAGCTTCGCTTTGGCGTGACGAGGGCTGGCTATCGTCTTGTTCGATTACGGAGCTCGCGGATGAGTCTGTGGTGGCGCCTCGGTCTTCGTACTCTGCTATGTCTACGCGAGTTAGCACAGTGGCATGGGTAGTGTTTGTGGACGCACCAGCAAGGTTGAGGCTCATGCGGGAACTCCGCCGTCTGAGATCCTCGTCGTAGTCCTGACGCGTCTGTGCACGGGGGGTGCTGCGGTCTGGGATGCCCATGGGCACGTCGGTGTCGATGGGCGTGGTGAATGCGTGGGCGTACGCGTGCTGTGAAAACTCAGTCATGGCAGCCTGGGAGAAGGCACGGTGAGCACGACGAACCTTGTTGTTGGACTCGGGAATCATGTTCGCTTCCGGTGTCTGGGGCGACGCGACAGCGACGCTGTCAGATGTGTTGGCACTCGAGGACGCGGCCGACATGCTCAATCTGCTCTGCTCCAGACGTCAGCACCCAGGCCATGCAACCTCAACCAGGGCGACACGTACGAAAGTCTTGAAGTTTGCCGGCGCGTGGATGACGGACGGCGGCGCATCGTCCGAGTTGGAGCGCTCATGCACGGGCAGCGTCGTGTCCAGCTTGGCCGGCTGTTGAGCCAGGAAGTGAGTGTCTGCGCGGCGCTGCATCGAGTCGCGCCATACCTTTGCCTGGCGCTCGTGGCTGGCGGGACTCACAATGTCGTCCGTGTCGGGCGACTTGATGTCGCTCATGCCGTCTTCGCTGTCGCCGTCTTCCTGTGCGTCCTCGTCGATCTGCGGTGGGGTCAGCCCCGCCAGTTCCGACGTGTGATGCACGTGTCATGTACCTCGGTGTGGTCCGTGTTGCTCGTGCCATTGCTCTCGACGGGCGACGGCTCGACCGTGGCCGGGTACGGGCTGGGGGGCGGCAGGAGGTGGTCGGAGGGCACGCCCGAGGATCTGAGGGCAGGCATGGTTAGCACAATGCAGGGCAGTCGGGCGAGGGGCCGCACCTATTTGAGAAGACGTGGGCAAAGGTGCCGGGCGAGCTGGGCGAGTCGGTGTAGGGGCTAAAGGCCGAGTTGAGGCCTGCGGTCGGTGACGGCATGAGCTGCATCGCCGTTGCCATGGCTCAGAGCTGCCTTGCACCACGCACGACAGCGAGCTGCGCCCGGATTGCGCCGCACTGGCACGTCTGGCTGCAGCAATGGCGCTCTCGCGGCAGCACGGGGCGAGGGGTTGTGGGTGCAAGGCTGGGCGTCGACGGCTGTCTGCGTTTCAGTGCGCGACGGCGAACCAGACTGGCAGGCGCGGCGCGAGACGGTTGGCGGGCGTGGAGCGTGGGGAGCGTTGGAAGCGCTGGCGACTAGGTGGGCGGCATGGGGCGGGGTGCGAGGCTTATAGACGCAGCAGGCCAGCTGCCGGGAGAGGCTCGCGGAGGGATGCGATGGGACGGGGCTCGAGTGCGGCGCGACGGCTGTGTTTTGTTGCGAGCAGCGACTGTCTGCGTCGGGTGTCTATCGCTCGTCGTCGACGACAACTCCCTCCGCCCGCCTAATGCTGTCCACTATCCGTGCCCTTGGCGAAGCGGCCAATGGCTGCCCCCGACGCTGCGAGGCTCCAGGCATCTAGTCACCTCCGGCGCTTAAAAGGCTGCTAACCTGCGGGATCGCTGGACGCTCACCACAGCACCCGCCGCCCTGGGCCCAAAGGCTGCTTGGCCGCCCTGCACCGTGGGTATGGTGGTTATGGTGGGTATGAGTGAACAAGGCCAGCTGCCAGCGTCCATAGGCTCCCGCACAGTGCTTCTGGTCAGCCTCCACGGTTGCTCCTGCTGCTTCTGGCGAGCAGCCCAAGACGTGTGCTGCCTACCCGGCCTCCGTCGAGTAGCGCTTGGGCGAACGATGCACTGTCCAACGCTGGGCCTCCCACGAGACATGCAGGCTAATGCACGCTGTCTGCCTCCAGGGACACTCCTCGACCATCGTGTGGGCGATATGCACAGGATAATCCCTCCGTCTGACACCCGCCCATATTCACATCTAGCCTTACCGTCCACCGTCGACGTGGCCGGCTCGCATCAAATCGACCCCCTAGAACTGCCATTGCTGCCTCTCACAAAAGACAACGCAGCGCGGCAAAGCATGGTCAACTTCAATGGGCCCATAGTTGCTTCTGCTCGCGATCCTCGACGCCCATGGCTCGCTAGTCTGCCTGTCTCCGCGCTAACGACAATGTCAGCTAGTCCCCGCATGCTCGGATTGCCTGACGCTGGGCCAACTTCTGTGAGCCCTTCCAACCTCATAGCATTGCGTCCACAGGCTGCCTTCATTGCAAGTCTCTCAGCGTCCGACTCACTCAGCGTAGTTGCTACTCACCCCCCGTGCAAGCAGCCCCCATCATGTCTTCACCAGAACGGAAGGCGTCAATTTCAACGTGCGACCTGTGCCGCAGCCGCGCAGATTAGCCGCGTTGACGGTTGTCAAAAGGCGCTAGGGGGGCACAGAACCTTACCGTCTGATCCACGTACCTGCACAATTCTGCGTTGTCAGATGATGAACATGAGGATGCATCAACGGTCTGCACGAAGAAGCCTCATAGCTTGGCCCCATGCAGCATTCATCGACATGCAATCAACCGCTCACATCCCAAGCATCGACGTGCCCGGTAACGTTGTTTTGGCATGCACCTCAAACTCTCACGACATAAACTTTGCTAGGTGCTAAGATGCGTTCCACGTCCACAACAGAGTCCACCCTACGCATTCGACTTCACACTTCAGCTCCACATCACTTCGGCAGTCAGCATAGTCCTCAACTCTGTGGGCGCTTACTGCTGCCTATTCTTTGGTCTGCCATTTCCACCAACTTTACGCCTATGCCATGTTCAGTCGGAAATGGCCGACGATCCTGGAAGACCATCCGCTATTCCGCGTGTCTGAGCTCAAAACCCCTCCACCAGTGATTCGGCTCAAGATGTTGTGGCGTACAGATATTCTGGTAATCTAGCGAGCACGGCGTGTGATTCGACGAGGCTATCAATATAGCAGAGGATTGTCAATTTCGACGTCGTCTTAAGCTTCAATATTCTGTTGAGGAGCGCGCAACTGACCACCCTCCCAGAACGATACTAGATGAGCAGCCAGACTCGTTCAAACTACCATTTGCCTATTCCGCCCAAGTCTACAAACAGGCTACTATTTGCCGATTAGTCATTCTTTTTATCTCACCCTTGGGAACTTTTCCCAAGACGTCACCTGTACCCGACATGGCCCCACCTCCATGACTGCGCCATCCCTCATTCATCCACTACGACGGAACCTGGCGTTGTTCTCCACTCGAAAAGCCACCTTCGAAGGCTGAGTTTGCCAGCGATTCAATATTCTCCGAACGAACAGGGGTGTAGTCGAGCTACGAGGTGATGTGTCACCAGGCGCTTCCTCGTCGAACGATTCGAAGTTTCCGTGACTCAGCCCTCTTCTAAACTAATCATGCCTCGAGATCAAAGCATCATATAGTTGGAAATCTGCCTTGCCTTAGGATTGTACTGCATTGTTGGATGCGTTCGTATGGCGTTTGTGAAGATTTATGCTCCACTGTGGTCTGAGCTATGTTTACACACGCCAACAGTTATGATGGCAAGTAGGATGAGGTGGTGCGATATCCACCTTACTCCTCAAGTCTTGAGTGAGTGGCTAATCGATGCACTTCCAACCCATCTCTTGCATGCCTCTGAGTCCACGGAGTCATCCTCTATACATCACGCGATTCCACCAGAGTAAACAAAGAAGCACTACAACACAGCTGACACGCAGGCGCCCCTTCCTCGACTGTTCAGAACAAGTCCTATTCTTCCCTTTCCAAAGCTTCACTTACTCTCCTTTCCACCGTTCTTTTCTCCATCCAATTCACCGCTCCACCGCCACCTGGCTCTCTAGATGCATAAGTGTCATTCGACACGCCTACACTGAGCAAATGTCAGCCCAGATTCCATCCTTCCCAATACATATGTTCGCGCGAATACAAACATACCAACGAATTACTCCACCGACTGGTCATCGTAATCATCCACCCTTTAAGTATAGGTAAGATCCGGATACTTCTTAACAACTCAACCAATACATCGTGAAACACAAAATTTGCCCCTACAACACAATAAGCAAAACAGCCGTGAAGCGTTGAAGATGGAGAAAATCGCCATCGACATTGCAGATGGAAAAACATGCAGTTGTCCACCCCATCCCCGACGCGAGAAAATAAGTACAGCCGTACAAATCCAGAATGTGGGGGGTAGACGTATACCAAATTCCAGAATACGAGGTTTCTCGGCGACGGGGACAATCTTGGTGGCGGTTACTGCGGGGTTTTTTCATGTGTATGTATGTGTATGTAGGATAGTGCGATTGAGCCTCGATGACGAGAGAAAGAGGAAAGAATAGTATGGTGGCGTGGACATATGCTGTACCTGACTTGTACCACCGCACCCCAAGTGAGTGAGGTAGTTCAACCCCCCGGGACGCGAAAACAAGAAGCTTGAGATTGTCACATCTCGCTTTTGTGGGATAAGTTTTGCATGACCAGAACACACACGCAACCAACGATTTCAAACGCACATAGCCTTTGAGTGAACAGTAAACAATCCAACACAGAGTATCGAAATACCATCCCGCCAACTATTCATACCTCCCCCAGAAAAATTACATGCGTTGTCCTAGTAGACGGATTTCTTACTCCAATGGAGCATGGACGAGCCCCTGCGGGGTTTCCTTCGTATGCGCGCATTCTCCCGTTTTGTCTCACAGAACTATCTGCAACGGGTCTTGGGGAGTGTTATGCCGGTAGGCGAGGATCGGTACGTTTCGCTGGCTGTGCTTCGGAAGTGAAATGGAGTGTTTTACGCATCTAGTCTTGTATGGACTGGAATAGCGTTATGTTTCTGGTGCGTGGATATTGGGATGAATCTCTGTCGAGGTAGGTAGATAGGTGGGTGGGTGGAGGGCATGCTGTGGGTAGAACGGTTGCTTGGGGTTTTGGTCGGGGTTATATGCGTGGTATGAAGTAGATTGGCGGAGTGGTGTGGAGTGGGGTGTTCATGATAGTTGTTTGACGTGGGAATGCTACTCGTAGGCAGAACTATAAGTGTTCGTTCATTGCACTACCACCAGTCTGTTTAGACCATATTGTACCGTTTGCTATCTAATGGGGGAGTCAATATATGCCGATCGTCGAGGCGTCAATAGTCATGCCTATACCTAATCTGAGACCTAAGATGTACGATCTAATCACTTCTATACCTGTTATCTCGCCAGAGCAACGAGACTGTGGCAGCCACGCGTAGCTATGCAGGCCCCCCTCCCTGTACTCGACATGACAAAAGAAGGCAGGACTCTGATTGCCAATGAATCTACAGAACAGTCAACCTACCACACGTGTGGCAACTTAAAAAGCGAATTTATCTGCTTGAGTAGAGAAACGAAAGATGGTAGTTGCGAGCAATGCAGAATCTTTTTTCTCGACAATCTGGTCAAGAGGATCGAGGTGGTCGTATGATGTAGTCTACGAAATAAGAATGACTCTGCTAAATGGTACTCACTTGTGTTTTCTCTTCAAGAAGTTTCAGAATTTGAGGCATTTTGTTCGTTCTTTAAGGTGCTGCAAAGTGACTAGGACGATTCGTTAGTTGCATGTGTCCATCCTGTATCGCCTTGGTGCGCTCTGGTATGAGGGAACGGCCTATGGTCTCTTCACTGGGGTATTCCTGTGACATGTGCACAAGTGCTGATGCCTGAGAATTGGCGCGGCGTGTAGTTCAACTAGTTATACAGCACCAGGAGGGAGCAGCCATGTTATATACAAGTCAACGTCCTAGAGGTGAAAGATGTTGTGAGAGGAACGTAAAACATTTGATTTGACTAGACCTCAGTCGTAAAATCCCAGTATCGTGTTCGCTCTATCCAATATGACCCTCTCGCCAGGAGTCAAGCCCGCAGCATCGCCGTCCCACTCTTTGAGACCCATGACTCTGCAGCCTTCATCGCCAACCAATTGCTCCATGTCCTCGACCCTAATACTCCCCACATGCTCGCTCTCGCCAATGCCTCCGCCAAAGTCCGGGCTTGGCGTGCCGTTGACGAAGTTCTCACGCTGACGGACCAGATAGTTCGCATTGTCCTCCGTCATTGGGCAAGCTGGGATGTATAACACGCTCGAGTCGGACTTTCCAGCATGAGTCTTGTCGACTGCGTGGATCGTATCGCAGTGCCAGGCTACATAATCCCCGGGTCTGACTGTGGGCATGTGGACCATGGACTTCTGCAGCTGCAGGTGAGGATGGAGCAGATGAGAAAGCTCTTGACCATGTCCTGGAGTAGCGCCATGCACCCATGGTGAAGGGGTAGCGTCCATCTCCCAATTGTCCGAGGCAAGAAAGTCTGTTGAATTGGTAATGGCTTCCGATGTTGTCTGCGCGCCAGAGTCGACACCTCTTTTAGGCGAGAAGAACGGCCGTAGAAGATAGTAAGCTGTCGCCTTGGCAAGCAACGGGTTAACAAGCAAAGTGCCCTCGAAAGGTCCGGTCGTGCTAAGCGAAAGCCAACCTTGGAACATGCGGAATGCAGTGCAAGCTCCTACGCCTTGGTGGAGATCTGATACAACGCGTAGACGGCAGCTGGCCTCCCACGGATCAAACTCTTCCCATTTCCCTTTCCAGATGGAATCGTAGACTTTGCCCAACCCATATCCGTTTTCGTCCCAGCGTTCTACGCTACCGCCATCTACATGCGGTCCCAATGCAAACTTGGCGTCACCAGGCAGGCGCATGCGCAGGCGATCTGCATAGCTTATAGAGTGTTTCGTAGAGAGCGGCGCGTGAGGGTTGGCGCTGTACCAATGTGACATGAGGAATCGGTGAGTTTCGAGGAGATTTGGGTGTCCACGAGCCAGAAGCTGGACGCGAGACCAGTATAACTCGAAGACTTGAGGATTGTCGGCGGGGAAAGCTGCGCCATGGTCAGATTTGATATCGCTTGCAAAGTGTGTATATCCCACCTTTCGTCTGAGGGTTCTGCCGTATATACTGTCTCAACTGCTCCTTCCATTGCAGTGCATCTTGCTCTGGTACCACATTCCTTACAACAGCTACGCCTCTCTTTCTGAGCTCATTTCCAAACGCCTCTGGCGCATTATTGATGTCTTTGAATTCGATCTGAGGAATTACATCCGAGCCCAGTTCGACTATGAGCGGGATCTCCTCGCGTAAATTCTGGAGCAGCCGTTCCCAAGATTCTCGTACTTGACTTTCATGTCCCCGAACCAGGCGACCTTTGAGGCTTGCGTATTCGGATGTCAGCGGCTTGAATTCTTGGCCAGAAAGCGAGGCGAACGCGTCGGAAATATCGCCTGCGCGCCTTTGAGCTTGTGTTGCTGCCGTGCGAAGTTGCGAGAGCGCTCGTCTCGAGGGACTTCGGATGGATCTGAGGGCTGACAGCATGGCGCGTGAGACTCAATCGTCACTTTCAAGACGAGTTTAGTGCTTCAATATGCTCTTCTAGAGCCTGGCACTTCCACATTATATGTTGCACGTCGCGTCGTCGTCACCTCAAGTCGAATGGTGGTTCCGACAAACGATCGATTGAAGCTCTGGTGAGGAGACGAGGGGAAGAGTTGCAGGCCTCGGAAGCCCTTCCTAATGCAGCAAAGCGCATTTGCTGACAGCAGTTGCCCTGCGATTTCCTTCTTGTTATGTCATGAACTCCGACAATCTCGAATGAGCGTGAGAGGAACACCTCGCGGAACATCTCAACGATGAAATACAGACGTCGGAATGCGCGTAGTTCGCCTTGACTGCCCCGCTCCCCATATTTACCCCCACCAAGCCCATACACAGCTCGACAACTCTCCGCACTATCGAGGATAGCCTAACACGGCGGCCCGTAGTTCCATTGACCGCCTTCAACTTTCTTAGCCGTGATGGGCAGAACGGCAAGCTTCGCTATGTGTTTTCTATCAGACCCTCGAGTAGCCGTGACCAAGAGTGGGGTGAGCAGCCGGCAGGACCACAATTGTTCCATTTCGTAGCAAGTAAGCTTTGGAGAATGCCTCACAAAGCTTACCGTGTGGCGATCTGGTTGATATCAAAGTGTGCAGACGGGTACGGCGGGACATTCTCCGCATTCAAAGCAGCTGTCCGTCCAGTACATAAAGTATGATTGCCCACATACTCATATCACCCGTTCACTCTGCAAGCACCAGACAAGCCAAATCTTTGAATAGCCCGGTTCCAAAATGTCACACTCATACTTGCCGAAAGACTTCCTGTGGGGGTTTGCAACAGCAAGGTCCGTAACTCACTTGACAAATCCACTATCAGCTCGCATCAGATAAATTAGTCCGGCTTCAAGGCATACTGACGGTCATACCCACAGTTATCAAATTGAAGGTGCACCGCATGAGGACGGTCGCGAGGACTCCATCTGGGACACCTTCTGTCGCGTCAAAGGAAAGATTGCAGGCGGGGAATCAGGTGACGTGGCCTGCGACTCCTACCACCGTACTGCCGAGGACATTACTCTACTGAAGGAGCTCGGTGCCAAGTCCTATCGTTTCTCGCTATCCTGGTCGCGCATCATTCCCCTCGGTGGACGTGATGACCCTGTGAACGAAAAGGGCATCGAACACTATGTCAAGTTTGCCGACGATCTACGCGCAGCAGGCATCGAGCCCATGATTACGCTCTTCCATTGGGACCTCCCCGACAAACTGCATAAACGATATGGTGGCATGTTGAACAAGAACGAGTTCGTGAAGGATTTCGAGAACTACGCCAGGGTGTGTTTCAAGGCCTTCGGTTCAAAGGTGAAATATTGGATCACCTTCAATGAGCCGTGGTGCAGTAGTATCCTTGGTTACAATACCGGACTATTTGCTCCCGGCCGGACTAGCGACCGGGCCAAGAGCGCGGAAGGTGACAGCAGTAGGGAACCTTGGATAGTTGGCCATTCGCTACTCATCGCTCATGGCGCCGCTGTCAAGGCGTACCGCGAGGACTTCAAGGCAACGGACGGAGGCCAAATAGGGATTACGCTCAATGGTAAGCGAATACCACGTGGTTCTCGCGTTCCCTTTCGAATCCTCTCGATCCTTATTGATCCTTATGCAACTACTGCCGCAAGCTCCATGCAGGAGAAGCCAAAGTTGACTACCTAAGAGTACGAGTGCGGCAAGACATGCTGATACCAAACAGGTGATTGGACCGAACCCTGGGATCCAGAGGATCCCAAAGACGTCGAAGCATGCGAACGCAAGCTTGAGTTCGCCATTTCATGGTTCGCGGACCCTGTGTACTTCGGCAAGTACCCGGATTCGATGCGAAAGCAGTTAGGTGACAGGCTACCGGAATTCACTGACGAGGACGCGGCGTTGGTCAAGGGAAGCAATGACTTCTACGGTATGAACCACTACTGTGCGAACTACATCAAGCATAAAGACACAGAAGCAGAGCTAGATGACTTCGCTGGCAACCTCGACATCTTAATGCAGAACAACAAGGGAGAGTGGATCGGTCCGGAGACACAGTCGGTCTGGCTGAGACCACATCCTCTTGGATTCAGGAAACTGATAAAGTGGTTGAGCGACCGCTACAATCATCCAACATTTTACGTCACCGAGAACGGGACCAGTTTGAAGGGGGAGAACGACCTTCCTCTAGAGCAGCTTCTGGATGATGAGTTCCGCTGCGAGTATTTCAGGGGGTATATTGGTGCTCTGGCCGATGCCCACACCAAGGACGGCGTAGACGTCAGAGGCTATTCGGCGTGGAGCCTCATGGAGTACGTGGTCCACTTTCTATTATGTTCAAATTCCCTTCGTCATTGACGGGACGATATTCCCGAGGAATAAAGCAGAGCAAGCTTATGCGGCTGAGTCTTTGTCTTCCGCGTATCTTCCCTATCGCTTGAACTAGCTTCAAACATATTTGTGTCCGCGGACAGCAACGCTAACAACGTACCTGCAGCAACTTTGAGTGGGCTGAAGGCTACGAGACCCGCTTTGGCGTCTGCTACGTCGACTACAAGGGCGGGCAGAAGCGACACCCTAAGAAGAGCGCCAGGGAGATTTCCAAGATCTTTGACAAGCACACCAGAGATGAGTAGTTCAGCTCGGAAACCCACGGCCGCGGTGCAAACTGGAGAGCGGTTGAAACGGACGACAGGAACATGAATGATGAATTTATTGAGTTTCTGTAGCGTTCGTGATACACATGGCATGATTCCCTGTCTTTCTCTGTGTCGGGTAACCGCGGTGTTCTACTGTGTCGGTGCAGCAAGCATACGTAAGTCGCGAAAGATTGAAAACTCACGATAGGCAATCAGCATCACTTTGATCTACACCGCTGCTAAAAACACGGTGATCGGTACGTTTAGGGTCGATGCAATATTGTTCCGTTAACCCGTGCGCAACTCCGACACTATCAACTCCACCATCCAGCCACCATCCTGAGTTCTCAGGCCGGCGGTCACCGCCATAGTGCATTGTGGAACGATGTGCAGAACCTGATCATCGAGGGACTTCTAGTCTATTTCTAGTCTGGAGCTAGAAGCCTTAGATCATAATTGAGCCGCGGCGTGTGGAACGAATCGCGATCCCGCATAGCTTAAATATCGCAATCGTCTGTCAGTGACGGTGAGTGGCTGCAGGTTAGTTTTAGCCTCTGGGAGAACTGCCGGACACATGGCAGCGCGGACGAATGGGTGCTTAGCACAGGGTTGATAATTCTGGTTGGGATGATAATTTAATCTCATTGTTCGGTAGCCTCGGAATGCAATGCTTGAGCGGCCGGCGGCTCTGCTATTGTAGGTAAGTAGCTTGTACGGTTGAAGAAACGTTCGGTTGGCAAGTGGCCCGAACGGCAGTGCGTTGTCTGTCGTCTTGCGCAATGCGTACGCCGTGCATGATCCAATGAACTTAGTTTGTGCGCGATTACTCTATGAGTAAGTCAGGCGAAGGTTGGTCCTGGTGCTTTGCATGAGGCCTGTGCCTCACACCTTGACTTCGATGAGGTCGATGGATCGTGGCTGTTGGGTATCCTGGAGGTGGATGCACGGTGTTACTTTCCCGAGGGAGATCATACGACAATGTATTTGTCAAACGTGTGAAACCGATGGGGACGACCAGAACGAAGAACATGCAGTATTAGGTTTCTGCAGCTGAAGACGCCCTCGCATTCGTATGCGATGGCAACGGCGATGGCGATGACATGGGCAGAATGTCGTCCATGTAGGAAGGATGCACCGGTAGATGGCTGTATGTATGCAACGCCTCAAAAAACGATATGGCTAGCCTTTTGCAGAACGAGCATGCTGCTGCTCTTTGAATTAGCTTCAGCTAGTGCCGGTATCTTCCTGAATACCTCCCGAGGCTTGTACATGTTCTGCCTCACGATGGATACCGCTGGTCACCTCGGCAACCAGAGGCTCATTATCTGATCTCTTGAAGGTGACTAGGATCAATTGGGTCCTTTCAGTCTCCATCTGATCAAAAGGGATAAACAGTCTCCTCTCAAACCGTCTTTGCCAAGATAGCTATGGGCGGCGCAAACTTCGTTTCCGACGTCGGGAACGAAGGCCGACCAATGAGAGCTGTGGCATACGCGGCCTTCTATGTTCCGCACCACTTCGCACCGAACCACTTTGTTCGAACTTGATTTCCCTCTTCCCTTCACGTCCTGGTCCTAGCTCACTCCGGGCCTCATGGCGTGCGGCGCACGGCCAGGTCTAGCGCTGCCGATGTAGATTCTTCATCTTCTGACAACCAATGTCGTCGCCAAGAAGGGCCTGCAAGGTAATGTAATGCAGTGGAGAAAGTCGTCGCGAAGAAAGTCCGTTTAGCGAAGATCAAAGACACAGATCATGCGCGCTAGCCGTCTAGTCGCCCGGCTGCATGATCGCCTTGGGATCCTTGAGGAGCGGTGAAAAGCGTACCATTTTTCCCATCATCGGACAAATATTCCCGAAGGACCGGCAAATACGACGTCTGCACAAACCTCACTGCCAGACATGATGATGATGATTCATCCCTTTGTCCTGCGCGGCTATTAGGCGCCTTCACGCCATGGTACATGCTTGGGCATGAGCGATGGCGACGTTCGCCATCGCAAACGTTGGTGTAATGACTCGAAGACGACTTATCCATCGGACCTAACGAATGAGATCTGCCAATTCCCCGCATCCCACCAACTGCATGCTGCAAGTGCAGCGAGTTCAGGGCGTTTTTGCAACGCATTGATGGCCAGGACGACTTCATGACGGATAGAGTTCACAGTGGCAGATCTCTGTGCAATGACTGCATCCGATACCGGCGTCGAGACATACTACCTGGTTGAGAGCTCCCGGGACGGATCCACAGCGCCCGGAATTGGGAGACCGCAATCCTAGCCTGTAACAGGACCGGTGAGTTTGTCCAGGGTTTGCTCTTTGATGAGGCATTCAGGAGCGTGTGTGTAAATGGGGTCAGTCGTTGGAAAAACGCTACGAGTGTTTGGGTGGGGCGGTCCCAACAGTAGCGGCGAATTAAGCCTGCCATAGTGGGGCTCATTTTGACAGGGCGACCACGTGCCTTGGCACAAGTGCGTCTTCGTCGCCTCTGCACGATTCAGAACGTCGCCGTATCCCCCTTCCAATGGCACATCTGGTTGTGCTTTTTGCATCCCTCATGTTCGTCACGGGCCGCATCATCGTGCGTCCACCATGAGCAACCCATGTTAGTGCGCTTGGAGCGGCTCTTGCTCTCACGCCGCATTGTTCACAAACTTAGCAGGTGGACCCAGGGCTCTCTTCTGCGCTTTGCAAGTAAGGTGGCCCGAGACCCGACACCACGCTACGTCCATGCTTAGCGGCCTGTAACACCCGGGCTAGATCGAATAGCGCCTTTCTAGAACAGCTATTGCAGGTACGGACGCAGGGTAAGTTCCGACACGGATCTGCCGCTACTGTAGGCTGCTTATCGACTGAAAGGTCGTCACATCCGACTAATTTTTCGCTGAAGGGGGCCAATACCATGCAGGCACCAAGCCTCAGGTGGCTAACTTAGGGGTTACACTGAAACCGTTTCCCCAGAACCCACGTGTGTGTGGCTACCGGACGGCCAAAACCAGGATGAGGAATGCAGGCACTAGTCCAGGGTCAAGACATGGGACGGTGCGAGAGGCGCTATCCACCAGACCTGATAGCAGGTTATAGGCTCCCAGCGGCCATGCTCTGCCCAGCACATCACCTCCCACTCTGCCTCTTCCTTCGGGTCTTGCCCTTCAGTCTGTCATATCTAATCTCCGCTGTCTTACGCCTCTTCCCGGTCTGTGGGTACACTCGTGCACACGGCATCGTATTTACATTCATTAATCCTCGTCCATACCCCAATATCTGAGAGCCAGGAGCACCCATCGTCCCTTTCCACACGACTTGATATCTTGGAAAGCTTGGACCGTTGCTGACACAGCAACCACTTCTTCTCTTACACTCACCGCCCCTCCGCGGATCCTCAATGACTTCAGTACTTCACTATCGAGACCCCATCGCCTACCGGAGCGACTTCATGAACACCCCTAATTACATGCCACACATGGAGAGTTTCAAGAAGGCGTCGTCATATGATGGCCACTCGTCTGGCTCGGAATCGAAGAAGCAGCAGATGTCAGGTGGCAAGAAACGACCTTCAAGAGCAGGCACGCGAAGTGTTACAACCCTTACGGCCGCACAATTGGAACGCAAAAGGGCGAATGATCGAGAAGCGCAACGAGCCATCCGTCAGAGGACTAAGGACCACATCGACGCGCTTGAACGACAGGTTCGCGACCTCACTGCCCAACTAGACACTAGCTCATCAACGAAGATGATGGAGCTGATGAGGAGGAATGAAGAACTGGATCAAGAGAACGTGGTACTTCGCGCACGACTATCTCATGCGGTATCAGCTTTGGGAGTTCCAGAGCAGAGTGCAGGTACGTGTTAAATCTCGTCTACTTCAACACACAGCTTGAATGTTTCCCAAGTACCTCCCGTTCGCTACTCATGCCACATAACTTCTTGCGTTAGCGACGTATACTCTTTGCGGTGTTCATCCGAACAGGATGAAACCAAGATGATAGTTTTTGCGATCACGACTAACATCTGCGATGATAGGCGCCCCTTCACCCAGCGATCGTGTGCAGATGCTCAGCCAACCCCGAAGGTCGTCCACCGGAACAGCCAGGAGCGTCCACTCTATGCCTGAGCTTGCCACGCCTGTATCCCAGCCTGGACATTGGCAACAGCAGCATACCTACAATCACCACGTTTCATCCCCACACGTCGAGACTTCTTCTACTATGGGTGAGGTCCCAGCACCTCATCATGAGTCTGTCCGCTGGAGTCCCCATCCATCTTCTCACCCCCAGCATCATTCGGTCCCCATGCCAGTACAAGACTCAGTTCACTCTGCTGAGCCTACTGGAATGTCATACCCCAGTCCTTACGGCATGGAGAGTAATACACGTGCGATGTCGTACCCTCTAGAGAACCCTGCGTCACTCGTCACTTCGCAACCCATGCAAATGTCAGGATACGGTACGCCGACCTCGCATCCTTCGCCGCACCCATCCGATTACCAACGGCACATAACTGTTCCCATGGGTCACCCGCAAGCACCATCGCAGTCTCACCAGCACCAGCATTCGCATCCTCAACAGCCAACTTCTGCACCGTATTCTCCATACGGAAATGCTGGACATCAGGGCTACGTTCCGCAAGTTAGTCACCCAGGAGAAATGCCCATGATGGCCCATGCTCCGCACCACCAGTCTCAAATGATGAATGAGCAGGGACAGCATATGATGTATCACATGCCATCAAACATGAAGCCTGAGCACTGAGATGGCCTTCGGCATGCACACGCAAACCCCCTCACGGGTACGGACGCCGGGCAGGGCCAGGCCGGGGTTAATCGGACCGAAAAAGCTCCACTTCATGGCGTTTGGGATGGGGGTTATTGGCCGAAACAACAAGAGCTATTTGACTTTGGACATGGGTATGGGTTACTCAAATCCAGGGAAAGCTCTTCAGGTCCCCGCAGTGACCACGACAATACTTTTTAATTTTGCCCATCGCCAGGTCTTCCTAAGTCTAATCACTTCGTTCTGCGCCTCGCACAGATGCCAGAACAACTCCAAGATAACCCAACTCCGGCGCTTGGGCGATTCTCAATCCTTTCTGCGGCGATCTGAATGTCGGACATAACAATCTACATGTTTGCCCCACTCGAACATAGATTGCAGTCGCCCAGCAGGGTCCCACGCATTTTAGGCAGGAATCCAAAGGCGCAACCAGCACAGACCAAAAGAGTTGGACGTTGAAGCTCAGTCCTGAAATTGCAAGTCATGGGTTCCCTGGAATATGTAGCAAGGGTTAGGATGTGGATGTAACACTCCGATGCCGATCTCGTAGGAATGAGACGCCCGATTGAGAGAACGCACCATGACCGAGTCCGAATACGACAAGTTCGCACGCCCGTTACATGTTGCTCACCTGCTAAAGTACGGATAGTCTAAGGTCGTTGAAACACGTCAATATCAATTAGACTTCATCATCATCTATTTTGTAACCAATTTCGGATGGCGTGCCACCGCACGGATGTCGGCATCCGATGTCAACTGTGCCGCCCCAAAGACTGGCGGAAATTCTTTCAATAGCAAGGGAGACGAAGACCGTTAGCTCGTGTCAGGAGACCGGTTCCGGCATCCGACGGCATGGTTCTTGGTAGTGCGCCCAATAGAAGGTCGACTAGCTTGGCCAGCCCCGCTTTTCCCTCTGCACCATGCTCGATGATCACTGTGTTCGCCGAAACAATACACGGAAGGAGTCGCGACTTTTGATAGAGTTTTGGCTAGCATACAATTTGCCCTGCAATCAGACGATTTTGACTGGCGCCGCCTGTTGCGCGCGAACCTGCTGCAGTAGTTGTGGATACCAGCGCTCGCCGACATCCGGGTGCGACTTCACTCTGTTCATCAATGTTGCTTCACCCAGGTGGCCCCATCGTCCCTTGACGAAGGTGAATTCGACGTCATCCTTTCGTGCTTTGCGGGCCTCGTCGCGCAGCTTCAGGACTGAGGCTGGTACATCCATTGCTTCAAACTCCGCGTCGTAGCTCACACCTTGGAAGAAAGGGACGGAGTAGCGAGCGCCCTCGCCCTTCCTCGGGCTCAGCACACGATGCGTTGTTGACGCGCAGACTCCGTCAGTTAAAGCTTCCATACCTTGCCCGATGGCTACTACCAGCGTACCGGCAATGGGCTTGCAGTCGATCCATTCCCCCTTCGCGTTCTGCGCTTGCAGGCCCAGCTGGTTGCTCGCCTGCAAAAGGTAGCTGGTCAGCATGCTGTCTTTATGCGGACCCACACCCTGTCGTTTGATCTCCCACTTCTTTCTGTCTATCTCAGTCGCGTTCTCCGGCAGATTAGGAACATCGACCTCTGGGTACTTGACGATCTTGAGCTTGTGCTGCTGGTCCTTGTCGAAGAATTTTGTGAACGCGTCAGAGGGTAACCCAATGGCTTCAGCGATCAGAGAGGTGAACAGTGTGGAGATGTGCGACATGCGACGCATGTAGTCTTCGTATACAGGTCGAAAGGTTGGCAGATACTGTGTCGACGGCCATTGATTTGGTGCAAGAAGGTTGTGGTACGTGGGTGCTTCGGGTCCTGGAATGGGATGAGGCGTTGAGAGATCTAGCTGCTCGCGGTGATCTGGGTTGAAAGCTGTAGTTTCGTTGTCGACCTTTGATGTTTGTTAGTCTTTGTCCAAAGTGCTCTTACTCCGAGGGGGAGTTGCAAAGTGTCATGCCAGGAGGATTCTGGTTGTTATTTCCGCGTACACACGGTGGGGAGATACCCAGGTTATGTTTTCGGCGTTCGATAGAAGGGCATAGGTGGTGTTTTGGGCTTTGATTCTCTGGTCCTTCTCTTTAGGGACTTGTCTCCCAGCATACTTCTTATTATGACCATATAATGTAGCAACATCAATAGACTTGTAATCATACATCATCTTCTCGTTCCTTTGCTCTCCATCTTCCCATAGCAAATCAAATTCAATGAGACAATCACTCACCCGACTCCACCCTAGAAAGCTCTTCTGGTTCTTCATCTCGATCTGCTCCTTCGCTTCCAACGGCAACCTCTCAAAGAACCCCCCACACTCCGAAATGACATCCCTCACCAGCCCATCCGGCAAACCCGTCTCGCTCAGATACAAGAACCCTACATTCAGCAGCGCAGACCGCAGGTCGGCGAGAAACTGTGGCTTCGTGTCTGCATCGAGGGCCTGCGAGAGGGGGAGGATGGGAATTGTTGTGAAGGTTTGGGGGGTTGACATGTTGAACTGGGGGCTGTGATGTTTTTGTACGCGAATGCCGGGTGTATGGTTCCGTGTGGGTAGGCTAGATGGTTCAGGATTCTTTCTGTGGGTGGGGGGTCGACCGGTTATATGGGTATGTTTGTACGGCTATGTCCTCTCGTATGAGGTGGGAGGGTTGGCCATGCGGGGTATTGCGAATTTAGTGGGGTAATGGCATCAGGCCAGCTTCGAGGTCGCATCGCGTCGCGTCTTCTTTCCTCGAGTGTGTATCTCGGCTTTCTTCTCCTTTTTGACATCGTGTTCTCGCGTCAACAGAGGTGACGTCGTTAGTATCGCGTCATCCACCTAACCGCCAATCCCACAGCCGTAAGCTTGAGTCCAGTGATAAGGACTACACCCAATGCTCCAACAAGGAAGACCATATTGCCTGCACTTCGAAAAGAAACAAGAAAGTTTGATGCGTAGGGAAGTATGTAGTTTCGAATTGCTTCCGTGTGCCGTGCTCCTTCCACCCTACGGATGGAGGCTGTTTTATATCCCCAGATCCGAACCCGCACACGACCCCAGATCTTACGCAGTGTGAATATAGTCCTAAAATGCGTTCGGCCAAATGTCCACGTGTATGTGTACGTGTTTTGCAGACGGTCGTGTCACATACGTGCTTGTCCCGCCCCGTGTGCGGATGACACATGGCAGGCTGCTTCATTCGGGAGTTGAATGTGGGGTTGGTGATGGTCATGTGCCCCACTATTGTGTATATCATCACGAGTTCCGTCCAAGTGCAATTTTTGAACCCTTCCATAATTGTCCGGTTTGATGATTCCCGCGATGCGATACGATGGCGGAGAAAGTGAGGCTGTCAGCTGACTCGATATGTAGGGATGCGAGTAGCAAAGACATGGTATGGTATGGTGAACATGTCAGTGAAACCAAAGACTTTTAGGAGCGGCACGTTGCTGAACATCATCGGTCAACATTCTGCAGCGTGCTGAGTGCATTTACACTTCAAAGCCCATGATTAACCTTCTCGTCTAGAACGGTAGGCGTCTGTTAGTCACAGTGTTTAACTAATGTAGGATGAACAATTATATACCCGACAACGACATATTTCGTACGGTGAGTCAAAATTGGGTTATTCCGTTTGACCGATCAAATAAATTTATTCCGAACAGTGGTCTTGTCAATCAGATCAAAACACACCCCATCTCCTACAATAGCCAACCAGTCCACAAAAGCACAAAGTTTACAGCGGATGTTCGCAGAGATGATCTAAAACCCTTTTAGTCTGACTTTAGGAGTACTAGCACGTCCTTTTGTTGCATATGTAGGTGACTACAGTACGCTTTACCATGCAGACATTGTATCCGTGTAGACAGCATCATAGTCTTTCCAAGGCGCGTTCACAACAAAAAACACTTGGGATCTCAGAATCCACTCATGCTTCCTCTGCAAGCAGAGAGTACTTGAAGTAACTACCGGGAACGATTGCCGAGAGACACTCTGCGATGCTAAGTACGCTCGCAGCTTCGGTCCGATTTCTATATTCCAGCAGATACATCGCGTGTAAGTTACTACATACGTACAACCGGCTGTTTACAATGCCGAGCAGTTTCCAGAGCCGCAGCTAATGGAATTTACCTATTCATTACAGGTTCAGCTACTTGGGGTTCGCACAACTACGCGCCGTTGGTTTGGGCCACGACGAAGAACATCCAACTGAGCCACCACATGTACCGATCTATGCAAGTAAAGACAGAGTCAAAGAAGGTTGGGCATTTGAGTCCAACGACGCAACTCGTTACCGTCGTTGCACAGACCTTTACCAGGCGAAACCGGTGCTCACGATCTTGCAACTCTCGTAGCAACTCCATGCTCACAACACGCTGTTTTCCATCAGATATGTAAGGGGTCTATGCAGACTCCAGCAAATCCATTGCTTCCTTAGGAAGTACTGCATCGTTGGCATGGTTGCGCAAACATTGCTGCAGTGTCGCTCCGAGGTAGGATCAGAACCAAACACAGCATGGTACAACATAGCTGACACGACATCTCATTACAGTTTAGCATTGTCCTCCTAGTATTTCTCGGGCACGGAATCACTGTGGGTGAAGGCACTACATCAGAGAGAAAGAAGACTGCTTATCACACTGAAGAACGGGAGCAACACGATACTACCGATTACTCTCTGGATGCTTGGATCCGCGGCCCGTTCGACTTGCGCTAAACGGAGAGGGCCTGGTCCCGTAGAAACCACTCGACAATGAAACAGCCCCAAGTATCAGCATCTTATCAATAAGTTTTCTGGTGGACCTATCCTGCGGTGTCAGGATGTCAGAGTGTGCAAGTATAGCGTTGGAACCTCCCACGGAACGGACTGGCAAGCACGACAGTACAGCCAAACGTGGGAGTTGGCTCCGCGAATCTCCGGGGTCGTGACAACGTCTATCCCATGATCCGGTCGATTGTGCCCTGGATTTCAGCCCAAGATTGGGCCAATCAGAGTAAGTTATAGCGTTACATCTTAAGAACACTAAAATAGAACCTCTACACTAAAAAACGTGTGTATAGATTTAAAAGTTTATATATTTAAATGCAGATAGGTAAAATATTTAGGCGATAAGATATTTACATTTTTAAAGTTACTAGAGCTCTAAGCTAGGCTTCTTATAAGTGTTACTACCTAACAGCTGCATTTTAAACTCTATTAATTCTTTATAGAGAGGCTAGTATAGACAGTAAATTATTTTTTTATAGCTTATATAGCTATAAACTGTCTTTAAAATCCTCCCTAATTAAACTAAGTTAAGATCTAAGCTTAAAATAATACTAAGGAGAGTTTTTTAAACTATACGCTAGCTGTTTTAGGCGCAAATTTTGTATAAGTAATAGCTGTTAGTAGTATAGATTTTAGCCTGCTTATAAACAGAGTTAGGTATAAAAATAGGCTAGATTTAGTATTAATTTTAGAGAGGTATTTACTACTTTAATAAACCCTTAAGCTACACTATAAGATTAAGTAAATAACTCTAGTAAATATTTAATTTAGGAAGTAATTTGCCTATAGTATACCTAAATAGCTTATATAAGTTTACTAGTATAATGTTAAGGAGAAGTATAAATAGAGGTCTCTAGGTTTTATAATAGATCTATTAGAGTAAGTAGTAACTCTAGAGTTAATTAAATTAATTAATTACGTTTATATACTTATTATATATATTAATTAGTACTAAAATTAGTAAATCTATCTAAATTAAGTCTTTAAATACTATACGCGTTTTAGTAGCTCTAGTATACGTTTTACCTAGTCTCTTTCTTAATTATATAATAGTCTTCTGTAAAATACTAAACGTTGTAGTAAATAAGATAATATTATTATTACGCTAAGCTATTATCCTAACTCTTCTACTTTCTAAAGTATTAAAGTAAATAGTACCTTAACTAAGCTTCTTATACTAAGCCCTAATACTAATAAGCTTAGCTAAAAATCCTTTAGCTAGGTTATTAATAATAGTTACTAAAGTAGTTAAGGGCTAGTCTAGCCCTTAACTAAACTTAATTAATAGTTAGGTATTCTCCTAACTACTCTAAGTCTTCTAGGTTAATAGAGGTATTAGTAATAGCAGTATGTTTTTCTAGAGCTAGCTACGCTTCTTAAGTAGCTAAAATAATATTATTAGCTAAGCTATTACTTTACGTTTTATTAGAGGCAGTAGTAATACCTAAAATACTTAAGAAGGAAGGTCTCCTATACTAATTTTACGTAGAGTCTTTTCTATTTATATAGTACCTACTACTCTAATCCTAGCGTATTATAACTCCTTAAGTAATAGAACTAACGTAAATAAGTTATCTATAAAAATTATATACTTATTAGGCTTAAGCAGCTAGGTATTAACGTTACTAGTAAGGTAGTTAAGGGTAAGGTAGAGTATAAGAGCCTTTATTAGGTAGAAGCTAAGGGTAGTATAACGTTAGTTAATTTTATATAGCTTATTACCCTATTTAGTACCTTTACTGTAGAAGAGCTAGTTTAATTAATACCTAGAATCTCCTAAGTACTACGTTTTGTAACCTATTAAGTTAAACTTATAATTAATAGTAGTCTTCTCTTTAGTATACTTACAGAAGCGTATTATACTTTTATCTATAGCTAAATTTTACCTTAAAGCCTAGTAACGTTAGCTAATATAACAGATATACTTAGAGAACTCCTAAACTTATTTAAATAAACACGTAAATAGATTACTAATATTATAAGGTAAAGTAACGTAGAAGTAATAATTAATTTACTTAAATTAGATAAGGCTTATAATCTTATATAGATAGACGTAGACTACTTTAAATTAATTATTAGTACGCTAATAGTCTTTAACTTATAATTTTTAGTATATACTTATATAAATTTGTATAGCTAGGTAACTAAAGATTTTATAAGGTATTATGTTATGCTACGTATAGACTTACTCCTAGGTAGAGCTAGGTAGGCGTTATTAATAAGCATTCTTGTTAGTGTAGTAGCAGATTTTTAATATCTTAGTATTAGTAAAGAATAGCTTAAATAGCTTAATTACAGTCTAATTAGGCTTACTGTTATAGTAAGGTAGGTATAAGCTACCTTTATTATTAGAGTTATTAAGCTTAATTAGTTACTATTATAGTAGTAGATTTTTAGGATAGCCTTAGAGGTATGTAAGTAGAGGCGTCTTCTGTAATTTTTATAAGGTAGGCGTATCTTTAGGTATAAGATTATTATTAGCGCGGCTGCGTAGAGCTATTATAATAATAGATTGTATAGAAAAAACGTAAAGTATAAAGTAAATTAGTATTAAGTTAATTAATAGTTTCTAAGTTTAAAGTTTATAAGGTAGGGCTAAACGCTAACTTACTAACGCCAAGCCTTGCTCTTATTAGCCTAATCTCGGGCCGAAATCTAGGGCACAATCGACCGGATTATAGGATAGGAAAGCCACTCAACGCAGTACAAAAACCTCAAGATTACCGAGGATGGGGCCAGTTTACCAACATAGAGATGTTGTGTCGGAAAATCGTTTCTACTACCAAATCTGTAAGCTTCCACGGTCACCTACCAAGGAAGCCATGTTCGGTGGTTCTAACAACGTCGTTTAATTTTGTCTTTGATTCTCTACCGGCAGCGATAATCCCACCCCCACAGCCACTCGATGCGTGGAATGTGGAACTCCAAGCCATACAAGATGGGGATTTGTATATTTGGATCCTAGTGATTTTGAAGATCCTGTCCCAGACGGCATTGAACACAGCGAAGAACTCGGTAGCGAGGATGGTACAATATCCGACGACTCGGAATATATGAATGCCGAGGATGACGAAGACGACGAGGACGGCGATGATGGCGAGGACGACGATGACGGCGAATCCCGAGACGAACTCTAGGTTGGTTTCAAGGGCGAAAAGAACGGGTTGTCTCGCAGTAAGGCTGTGGATGGGGCAAAGACATGCGCGTTCCACCTACATTGCATATTTCACCCGCATGCTGGGTCTCCATACTGCCAGGCTCATCATCAGATATTAGCAGACGTAATTGTTACCAAGCATCCGCAGCTGAACAAGCTCGACCGTATCGCAGACGTCAAACACATCATTAAGGCTATGGGCTTGTTTTATATGCTAGGCATTCCTCATGGCGCCGGCGCCGGCACTGGCACTGGCACTGGCACCGACAACGACTACCAAAAAAGTGTGGACGTCGTTGAAGACATGACCCTCTCCGGATTGGAGAAGCTCTGTCTGATTCAGTCGCTGTACAGGGACCCTACGTGTACGCTATGGGCGATTGACGTCGAGTTTACGACAGTCAAGTATGCTGACCCAGTGCCCTATACTCTCACGATTCGGGATGCTAGGTCTAAAGCCGTTGTCATCTGCACCAACATCGACCACGATTCAATTCTGCTCACAGACTTGGAGGACCGTATCAGAGAGCATTGGGCTGACGCGGCTGGGTTCAACGAAGCCAGCTTTGTCATACCGCACTTTGCCAAAGCCCTCCCTGCACGCACATACTATGCGGACGACAGAACTGATGGCATATCCCTCAACGCAGTAGGCGACATGATGAGGGCAGCTGGATGGGATTCAAACACACACAAAATTATTTGCTGATATAGCGGTCTTGACATGAACGTTGCTCGGCGAGCTCTCAAAGGCATCAATACTTTGCTCGGCCGTTCGTCGACCGCTTCGCTTGCCTCACAGCTTGGTTCCGACAATGTTCCAGTCTTTCAGCCGTTCAATCTCGGCCCGTTTGTTAAGAGCAACACAACCCTGGTGAGTGGGAGGTTGGGGTACGTATATCGGTCGTTGTTTCCCGACTCACCACTGAACATGCACGTCTCGGATAATGATACCTTGGCGATGTGTCGTATCCTTGAGTGGGTTGATGCAAACTTCAAGGGCTGAACATACAGGCATTCATTTGTAATTCAGCAGTAACAATCAATCATTTTGCGTTTTCAAGCTCTCGTTCACGTCACGGCACGTCTCCTCCGGTGAGGGAAGGAGCACCCACCCCAACATTTCTCAACCGCGCTGGTGAGGCACTCTGCTCGTCACGGTCGTCATCTCCTCCGGTGAGGGAAGGAGCGCCTACCCCAACATCTCCCAACCGCGCTGGTGATAATTTTGCCTCCATTGACAACTTCTACTTCGCTTCAACATCGATCTTGCTCTGCCTGCATCCGCATCCGCATCCGCACGCATTCACACACAATGACCGACGGGCCTACAGACATTATCGCATCGAAGCCACCAAAGCAGCCAAGGACAGTGAAGGGCTTACCTAACGTGAGGATGACACACGACGGTAAGATGTATGTGTTACATTCCTCGTCTGTTTACTCACGCGTCGCAGAACGAATGGCCTTCCTCGAGCAACACCTCAACCTCGAACGTCTTGGTGTCCAAGAGTACCAGAACGCACAGCATGCAAGGAAGGCACTCAACTGAAAGCTTTGCAAGCTGGATCATCAACCTTCTAGCCTGTTCAGATGGGTCAAGGTCGGTGTACACTACAACAGCAACGACAGGCTTACCGTCGTCAACAACCTCGTGGCTCGTCTAGTCGAACACGGCAGCATCCGACTCCTCTCGTCCATTGCTGGCGAGGTTCACGATGACGATGACGACAATGACGGTCATACCCACAATACTGCAGCCAGATCACGTCCCAACCGTAAGGAGCGCCGCGCACAAAAGACATCACTGACTTCGAGGTCTATTTCGTCGTTTGGGACTGTTAGACCATCCACCCAGCCATCCGCTCAGTCTTCCGCTCAGTCGTCCGCTCAGGCCAAGGAAATTTCTAGCATCGTGATAAGGGCTCCGAACTCCTTTCTGCCATCATCCACCGTAGCCAGCAGTACCGTCCAGAAGTACCCACGGCGCGGATCTACGAAGGTTAGCAGTTCGCATGATGATGGTTCATCGACGCTGCCTCCTCTCAATCATGAAGGGGACCATAATAACACGACCGACGTTAGAGCACCGACAGCGAGATCAAGGTCTGCAAGAACGCCCAAGCCTCTACCTCTTAAGGACGATATTGCAGCTAGTCGCTTGGCTGTGACTCGAGCTGCGCGTGTGAAACCCATCAATCTGGCTTGGCCTCTGATCAATAACACTGGACTTCTTCCCCGATATGCGCAAGGTAATATCCGGTACAGCAAAAAGAAAGATAGTGTCCAGATACAATCGTCGCTGTCTGCCCTCACTGGAGCCCACACAGCGCAAAATGTTACTCAGATACATCTTCCTCTCGAATGCAAAAACATGAGGTCTGATTTACTGAAGTCGCTTGATACAGCCGATGAGTACTAGGCAGGACCTTACTCGTAGGTCAAATTTGTTGAGTCAGGTTGGAAAGAATCTTGCTAATCTTGTCTCTCAGTCGAACTTGGTTCCGCAATTGAGTGGGGGAAGTCCCTTGGAATCAGTGCAACCCTCCAGTACATGAGGGACGTCTGTAACACGTTCTAAAAAGAACATCGGGCTTTCGCAATGCACACTTCGATGGTGGGAAAAAGACCCGGATTCATGAGCGTACGGGCAGGGTTGGAGTTTTAGCACTGGATCAGCTTGAGAAAGCCTCTGATCCCAAGATGTACGCCTTCTGCAGGATATGCGCCGAGATGTGCTTCTCCGACAGGGCGTACAACACACATCAGTGCTTTGTAGCAGATGCAGACGATTAGCGAGTCCGATATGAACTGTGGAATGGAGTAGGCGCTGTGTGTGGGTATATCAGGTTACCAGAAATGCATTGTATCTCTAGTGGGACAGTTAGATCTACTTGTGCATCTTGCGTAAACTTTCCGAGAGAGCTTGCACGAGCAATACAAGTGTGGTTGTATAGTATGACTCTCTGCGTTCGTCGAGAGCAACACGAATCTGGCAAGCAGGAAACTAGGATATGTTTATTAGTTGTTGTTTCCTAACTCACCCCTAAACATGCATGTGGCGGATGACAATACTCTGGCAATGTGTCGCATTCTTGAGTGGGCGCATACTGAGTTCACAGAGAGTATTGCAGAAAGTGTTAGTTTGACAGGTGCCGACATACAGTTGTTGAACAACACAGCTATATCCCATCATTCTACACATTCAATAAAATCTGGGTTCTCGTCGTGTGGTTGTGTCAAAGTACACTGTGCGTTCTCCCGCATCATTGCCGACGGAGGAAGGAGCACCTAACTGCTGCTCACTCACTCACTCGCTCGCACGGTGGACACATTGTAACATCAGTGCCTTCTCCTGCGTCACTGCCCCGACGGAGGAAAGAGCACCTAGCCGCTGCTCACTCACTCACTCACTCGCCCACTCGCCCCGAGGTTCTACCCTTCCACAGCGACCACGACTTCGCCCTCGACTTCGCCTTCGCTCTCGGCCTTTACGCCCTGTCCGCTCATTCTGTCCTCAGTCTGATTACTCGCCTTGTATCATAGTAGGCCGTACACGACAACAACCACTTTGCTAGCCAACTATCGTACATCATGTCACAGCCATTGACCACAACGAAGCAGCCAAGGACTGTGAAGGGTGTGCCTGGCGTGCGCATGACCCATGAAGAGCGAATGTCTTTCATGGAGCAGTCCCTCAACCTCCACGTTGTTTCCGAGTATCAAAACACTGACCACGCGAGGAGGGCACTAAATCGCGAGCTATGTCAATTGGACCATCGATCATCTGGCCCCTTCAGATGGATCAAAATCGGAATCCACTACAACAGCAACGACCGGCTCACTGCAGTCAACAATCTCGTATCTCGATTGATCGATTGTCGCAAGATCAAGGGACTTTCATCGATCAGACACGATCTCACTTCGGCGAGCATTCCACGTCAACTCAATCGACAAGCTCGTCGACAACAAAAAGCCTCACCTGTCCCACGTTCGATCGTCTCGTCAGCTCCTCCGTCTGGTGTAGTACTGAAGGTCCCCAATTCGTTCCTGCCGTCTGGCCAACAGCCCCCGGCACCCAAACGCCGAGCTGGTGGCTATAACAACAATATCGACAAGAACGTGCATGGTACCATCGTGCTGCCGGCAAATGATGTCCGATGCTTGGTCGCTCCGTCTAACGTTCCCATACCTGACGGCCCCAAAGACAAGTCCACAAGACAGCCCAGTCATATACCTCTCGTGAAGGTTGTTGCAGCTACTGGAATGGCGGTGGATCGGGCCGAGCGTGTAAAGGCAATCAATCTAGCTTGGCCTGCAATTGGCACACGTGGGGTCGTTCTTTGGCATGCATACGGTTGCATCCGCTACAACAAGTCCACAGATACTGTACAACTGCAAAGTTTACTTTCATCACTAACTGGTGTCGACAAGAACCAATATTGTAGTGAGAAATGGTACCCAGCTGATTACACGAGAGAAAAGAATGACTTGTTGCAATCTCTTGCTGAAGATGAGCAGCGAACGATTGGGCAACGGGTATATGGTGAGCCTTTTTCTCGACCCCACACTCAAAAAATGCTAACGATATTGCTCAGTCAGTCTTGATCGTGCAATTGCGTGGGGAGTACCAAGAGGAATTGCAGCATCCCTTCAATACATGAGAGATGTTTGCAATACCTCCTCGAAGGAATATCGAATTCTCGCTCATGGTCACCTCGCCGACGGAAAGGAGCTCAAACTTTCGCATCGATACGATAAACTCAGTGGCATTCTGTAGGATATGCGCCAAGATGTGCTTCACCGGGACAGCGTACGACGAGCATAAGTGCTTGGTAAACGAATGAGAGGTCTGCGTCGAGTCCAGTATGGGGTTCTGGAAGGGCTGTGGCAGTATTTGCGGCGAGATCTTGTAATAGCTTGACAACTACATCTTAGATTAATGTAGGTGTCTTGGGCCTAAATTTCTAGCAGTATACTCCTAGCACACAGTTTTGCAAATTGTGTTAGTATGGTTTGGCGGCTTGTAGGAGCCACAAAGAACGCAGCTTAGCACTTTAAGTGAAGGACAAACCATAGCAAAATACGAAAGAGTTTCAAATTGAGGATCAACAAACAACAAACTACCTAAACAGTACTGATCAAGCCCTAAGGAAGGAACAAAACATAAAATCACCCCCTATGACAGATCTCCCACCTCAAGACAAAATTGCTAATCGAACGCAGCATCTACCGACACGCCCAACCACTCAGCAGCAGTCTGCCAGTCACAGTCACCAACAGCACGAGCAACCCGCTTGCCCTGGAACCCCAACAGGTGGTCCTCCAAAGCATGCTCAACGTCCCAGAACCCGCGGAACCCCTCCATCTGCACAAAGTCCGCCGGCTCGCTACCAACGCTGGCCGCCCACTCCAAGAACAACACCGCGGAAACAACGTACTCGCCGCCCTCGAAGGGGATCTTGAATTTGCGCATCGTATTGCGCGTGAAGCCCTTTTGTGCCGGGGAGGCGAAGATCTGCGCGCGGCAAAGTGGGCATTTGGTGTCACTGTAGGCCCTGTCCACAAGGCAGAACTTGTGGGCGACGTGATGGCAGTGGGTCACTACCAAATACGAGTCTGTAGAACGTTAGTAAGTAGGTATGATGCTTAATTGGAAGGGGAATACATACCGTCGTCGAACGTGCCTTTGAAGGCTTCGAGGCAGATCACGCACCTCTTGCCCTTGCACTTGCGCTTGCGCAGAGGAGTCGTGCAGGCGGTGACAAGGGTTTCCCGGGTTTCGAAGTCCAGGGGAGGGATCTGAACATCTGGCTTGGAGGTAGGGATAGTTGAAGTCATGTTGATGAAAATAGGGGTTTTGGTGGTGAAGGTGTTGGAATAGTATTGGATATGGGTGATGGTATGAAAGTAGTTCTGGGGGGGACGGAAATCGTTTATATACATTATATCGATGGAGATCTATGGTCGGGCTCCATCGCAACCGAATGATTGAGTGGAGTTTCGGTCATTCGTTGATGGAAATTTCTCGACCCGAAGTTGAGAAACCAAACTTTGACCACGGCTGCCTGGAATTTCGAATACGCGTGCTCACATTGGTACACTGGGCAATTCATTTGTAAGAGACGAATAATAAGCTCTGCTTCTATGTTATTTTTCTGGATGGAAAAGGGTTGGAGTTTAGCTCAAATGCTGCGTTAGAAATCACTGTGTTGTGTTTGTATGTTTATACATCAAGCACAATACAATTACGCTGAAATTGGCTTAGGAGCAACAATATCCCAGACATTGAAGGCACTCACACTACCTTTTGAGCACATCAACCCACCCTCCCGGTCTCACTTTGCCACCTGCATACCCCTCATTCAACCACTTTTCTCCATCGAATCCAAATTCGATGAGGGCATCCTCACTTCCCCATTCTGCTTGTCCACTCAACCCAATAGGCACCTTTCCCGTTCCCTTCACACCATTTACATAGCCCACAGGAAGCTGGATGCATGGCAGGCCACAGAAGTTAGACAACCATACATATTCCATGTTCTTCAATTGGGTATTGGCATCTGAAATTCCGTATGCTAGGTCACCGTCCCCAATTGGCCAGCCTGCATTGGGTGTTGTGGGTGTGACAATGACCAGGCCAGGGTAGGCTTGGAATAGATGAGCCAGGTGTTCCATAAGCATGTTGCGCACACGTTGGCCGAGTAGGAAGTCTGTTGCTGGTGTCTGTCGTGCCACACTCATCAGAACCTTGTTGGCAGGCGTGAGATCGTATATGGATGTTTTGTGGGCACTTGCACCTTCTGCCATGATAGTCATGGCATGAGCAAGTTGCCCATGGTGTAGAAGTGGAATACTGATGTCCACAACCTTGTAACCTAGCTCAGATTGGAGATACTGTAGCGCTGACTCACACGCTTCTTGGACAGGCGGGTCTGCACGGTCGAACCAGGGCTTGCATATGCCAAGGATCTTGTTGCGAGGGCCAGTGACTGCTCTGGGTGGACTGAACTGCGATGACGAGATATTGGAAGGGTCAGGTTGGGCGAGAACACGGTAGGAGATCTCAAGGTCTGCCATACTGCTAGCCAATGGACCTCGAACTGTGACCGACTTTCCAGCATCTGGCATGGGTGCGACCGAGACTCGGCCGTGAGAGGTCTTGAGGCCATAGAGTCCACAGAAGTTGCTGGGAATACGGACGGAGCCGCCACCGTCAGAGCCAATCGCGAAGGGAATAAGTCCAGATGCAACAGCAGACGCAGCGCCTCCTGAGGAGCCTCCCGGGTAGTATGAGTCGTTAAGGGGATTTTTCGGGCAACCCCATATGGGGTTATTTCCGGAGACGTCTATGGCATTCAGTACATTCATGCTCTCAGTCAATAGACCCGCTGAAGGGAAATGACTTACCCATGCCCAGCTCGTGCATAGTGAGCTTCCCTACAAGAATCGCACCCTCTTCCTCAACCTTCCTCGCACACCAGCTGGTCTCTACTTCCTTTCCTTCTGTGTAGTCGTGACGCGTGCCAATATACCTCTTGTACCCCTTCACCTCCAGATCGTCCTTGACAGCGAACGGCACGCCATCGAGCATGCCCAACGGCGTGCCCTGCTTCCACCTCTTTGTCGAAGCTTCCGCAGCCTGCATGATCAATTCGACGTTGCTTTCCATGAACGCCGTCGAGAGCGGTGACCGTTGCGCAATATCCCTACGTATGAGAGGCAACAGTCGCTCTACGACATCCGTAGGCGTAAGCACACCACTCTTGTATGCATCGTGGAAGTCGGCGACCGTGTAGAACCGTCCCTTTGCATCCTTGGGCAGAACACGCAGATTTACTGCGTTCGTGTAGCTCTCGATGCGCTCGTCTCCGGGTCTCGGAAGAGATATTACGGTAGGATCGTATCGGGGATCGACGCCATCGAGCTCCTCGAGGTTTCGCAGCGAGGCGAAGCCGGCATTACGCCACAGGAGATATGCAACGCCGGGAACAGTTGCGACACTACAAATGTAAGCATACGCTGGCAGGCAGCCACTGGTGAAACCTACACGTTGGCGAGGTAGTGCAATGCGACGCCTTTGACAACGGGATTATTTCTAGGCGGAGGCGCGTTGTACGGAATCTCCCGAGGTGTTGGAGTGGGGTAATTGAGAAACCTCACTGGAGCACCATTGTCAGTCGACATCGTGGCAGTGAATCGTGGATGCAGCGTAAGTTCGGCTTGAGGCCTGTGAGCTGAGGATACAAGGTACAAGGCAGCTTGGACATCCATCCAAGACCCTGATCGGCACAAGCATGTGATACTCGGAACGCCAACACGGCTGAACAAGGATGTCAACACACGACGATTAAGGCAGAGCATGCTCGAATGATATAAATGCTTTTACTTCTCATGATCAGGATCTAGCTCCAGCCACACCTCATCATAGCGAGCCAGAATAGAACAATACAACCGCGTATGCGTCATCTGCCAATACTTGTGTAGTCCCTTCGCGCCAAAAGTTTGAATACACAGTCGATTCCTCCCCAAACCTCGAATAGAAACACCTGAGTGAAGCTGACGTTACGCGTATTCGAGCGCGTCAGCTTTACTTATGCCATGGCCGTGTCTCAGGTTGCCGTTCCCATCTACGAAGTGCTTCCAGACACTTGGTCGCCCATGCGGTTGTACTCCTGCTGCATGCTCTCAACCTGCTTCTTCAGGTTCTCCATGTCGCGGTCCTTGGCCGCGATCTCGTTCTTGAGAGCGCCAATCTCACCGGCACCACCGACATCCTTCAAGGAAGTTCCGCTCTTCACCTTCGGGTCGCCCTTCATCATCTTGAGCTCCTCCTCGAGGCGGAGGGTATCGAGGATCATAACGTAGGTTCGGTTCAGGATGAGAGACAGGAAGAGGGTGAAACCGCAGAGGTACATGTTGCGCTGCGAGTAGAACTTGCGGGCCTGGACCTCCATGCGCTCAATGCCACCAAGTGCAGCATTTCTACCAAACAGGTCAGTGGGGCGTTCAATCATCGTTGAACATCCTGACTTACGATCCACGGGTATCGTTGCCATCGCCGCCGGCCAACTCAACCTGCACGCGGTAGACGCGGTTGACACTGTCAACGAACAGGATCAATATGAATATGAAGGTAATCTGGCATGAATTAGACAAGTACCCTGTTCCAACAAAGGATGACCCTTACCTTCATTCCATACTGGAGTTTCGCTATTATAGGGCTCTCGGAGATGAACGCAAACAGCCTGCGACGCCAGGTGAACGGCAGGGGGACGATCAGGGCACAGAAGATGAGCATCTCCGTGACCAGGAGGAGGAACACCTAGATAGGAGTAAAGTGAGCAAGTTGGCCATATTGTGGGATGATTGAGCGGATAGCCCGGAAGAGCTTTCGAGCGGCACGCGTGGAAGCCATGCCATTGATGCAACGACCGCTTCTGAGAATGTGAGGTGGGACTGGAGCTTACAAGACTGTAGTAGAGCGTCATTTTTGCTACGTGGCTGTATTCTCAAAGCAGGAGCTGATATTTGGGTGTAGTGGGGTGATTGAACACGCAACAAGTTCGAAAACGAGGATTGCAAAAGCTCGAGACGGTTGACAATCAACCAGAAAGAGAAAGGGTCGTGAGTGGAAAGTGTGAGGGGATAAAGAAGAAGAGGTGGGAGAAGGGCAGACACGAGCAAGATCAAAGCCACCTAGCCAGCCAGGCTTGCGCACAAATACCTACGTCACAACGACATACCCGGTCACGTGCTTGGATCTAGTGCATGGGTGCACGGGCCTGGCCGAAACAAATTGCACATGCAAGCCAAGCAGCAAATCCACTCACATTTGCCGTCGCCGGACAAGAGCTCTAGTATTCACTACAATAATGGCTGGTGAAGGTGAAGAAGCAATGGCAGGCCAACCGGTTCTAGAAGTGGGTCTTGCGCCAGACTCCAATGGCGCTCGAGGTGACAACAGCACGGTGGCTGAAAACGCTGCACCATCAAGCCCCAAGAAGCGAACCAGAACTGGAAGTCAAGATATTGAGATGTCAGAAAGCTCAGTGAAGCGACAGAAGGGCGTTGCGCCTATCAAGGCAGAGTTAGCAGCATTTCGCCGCACTCAATGCACGGACAATTGCTAATTTTACTCAGGTACTTGATACATCGAAGCGACAAAATAGTCGAGACCAAGGACAAAGCCGTGGATGACGATGCGGCGGAAGCCGCGGATGATCGTTACCATAAGCCTGATGCACGCGACGGTGGAAAGGGCAAAAAGGATTGGAAAAAGAAAGACAAGAAGCAAAAGGGTCAAAACACCAGCCGAACTTTTGGAAGCTCTCGCGACAAGTTGCCGCTCTGTAGTACCCGCGCTCTCAGCAGCGAGTTTTCGCCAGAAGAGTGTCAGTTTGGCGACAAGTGCAAATTTGAACACGACCTTCGCAAGTACATGACTGAAGGCCGACGAGAAGATCTTACAACATTTGACGGCAAATGCCCCATCTACGAGGTCAAAGGCTTTTGTCATCTTGGGTGGAAATGTCGATTCGTCGGCAGCCATTCGGAAGAGCATACCACTGAAGATGGCAGAAAAGAAATGGCTCTTCTTGAGGACCCTGAGCGTAAAGCCAAGATAGCGAATCTGGAAGACGAAGTCGAGGTCGTTAACGTCGTCTCCAAGGATGTCAAGTTTGGCCTTGCGAGGAGAAAGATCGGGACACCGCGTTCTGACCAGTATCTGCAATGGATTGACGCAAACAAGGACACCGAACGGGCCATGTTTGATTCAGTGTCAGGTGATGTCGACGCTTTGCAGGAAGAGAAGGATGCTCGTAGAGCTGAGTACGTCGAAGCGCCCTTCAGACCATCTGAGAAGCGACGACTATACTATGGACCTGAAACGCCAACGCTAGCGCCTCTCACTACGCAAGGAAACATGCCGTACCGCAGATTGTGCGTGGATCTTGGTTGCCAGGTTACATGGAGTGAAATGGCAATGGCTATGCCTCTGATCCAGGGCGAAAGGGGAGAGTGGGCTCTGATGAAGGCGCACGAATCTGAAATAAGTGCTCCGAAATTCTCTGGAAAGAACACCGTGGTTCAAGGGTACGACAACTCCACAGACCTCAAATTCGGCGCTCAGATCGCCGCAAACAAGCCGTGGCTAGCCACGAAGGCTGTGGAGGTTATTACCGACTACTGCCCCAGGCTACGAGCCATCGATCTGAATTGCGGTTGTCCGATCAACCTTGTCTGCGAGAAAGGCAGCGGGTCTGCTTTGCTTGACCAGGCATCCAAACTAGAGAGCATCCTCCGTGGCATGAACTACGTTTCGAAAGAGACCCCCATCACGGTCAAAATCCGCATGGGTACGAAAGATGGCAATCCCACCGCAACAAAGCTTATCAAGCGCCTTGTACTTGGAGGTTACGAGTCCATTGAGTCAGGCAAAGGCACGTCTGGTGTCGCAGCGATTACGCTACACGGCAGAAGCAAGCAGCAGCGTTACTCGAAGAGTGCGGATTGGTCTTACATCGCCGAATGCGCGTCTCTAATCAAGCGGCTAAAGAAAGAGAAGGACGCGCAAACGGACACTATCGCAGAAGCCGATCCTCGCGATCTCGCCAACAATGGACACGTCTACTTTGTGGGCAACGGTGACTGCTACTCCCATGAAGACTACTATAACCATATCGACAACGCAGGTATCGACTCCGTTATGGTGGGTCGTGGTGCACTGATCAAGCCCTGGATCTTCGAAGAGATCGAGCAGAACCAGTACTTGGACAAGTCCGCTACCGAGCGCTTGAGCTACATTGAAAAGTTCTCTAAATATGGAATGCAGACATGGGGCTCAGACGAGCAAGGTGTTGGTACGACACGCCGATTTCTCCTCGAGTGGCTCAGCTTCGCGCATCGATACGTGCCTGTGGGCTTGCTGGAACATCTGCCGCCGAACATCCAAGACCGACCCCCAAGGTTCAAGGGCAGGAACGAGCTGGAGACGCTAATGGCTAGTGAGAACTACAAAGACTGGATCAAACTCAGGTATGCACTCATTCAGGTATCCCGTTGCCATAAGAGTATAAGCTAATTATTTACAGTGAGATGTTCTTGGGTCCTGCGCACCCCAACTTTAAGTTCGAGCCGAAGCACAAGTCTAATGCGTACGAGTTCGAGGCAGAGGGTTAATTTGACTATGCTCATTTGGTGCGGCCTTCCCAGCCAACGTGTGTTAACATCTTTGGCATTGCAGAGTTTCAAAGCTTCATGGTTATCAGCGTGGTGGATGTTCGGCGACTTACCGAAAAGTGACTCAATATGGTTCATAGAGCATACTTTGTAAGACTAAGACCCGGAGTTCACGGCATAAAAGTATACTTGCTAAAGTCGAATTTTCTTCGACTGCCTATCACCTTGATCGTAACTCTCCTTGGGCAGCATTGTGATTTCGTGTTACTCTCTCATATTTCCTCAAAGTCGTGTGTCAGTTCAAACCCTGTGTCAATCTCTTAGCCAACGCATCATTTCCCTGATATGTGGTAGCATGTTTCTCCTCGATACTCGCAAACCCACTTTGACACACTTTGTAGTGAGAAATAATCCACATAGTCTTGGAGTCGGTGGCAGTTGTCAGTGAAGTAAATGCACACAGTAGGCACGAGCACGCCGTGTTGCAGAAAAGACTGTATTTTTCGGGGTGATATGGGATTGGAAATATGTGCACCTTACGCACCATAAAATTTCGAGACATTGTTCGGTTATTACTTTTCATCTGTGAAATACTTGGATATCTGTCGATGTCATGCAGGTTGTTGAATCGCGTGCCAAGCACTTAATGTCGCGACGGTGAGGAAGGAGCAAACGGGGTTTGACGTATATGAACCTTCTACCTTCTTCTCCCTCAACTTCACTTCACCTCACTGTCTGTTTTGTCCGGTTTGTTCGTTGCACACCGCTTTCACTTGAGAGCTGTCTAGCCGTAAACATGGTAACTGACAAAAGTATTGCTTGACCTGCCATCTGTTTTCAGAGCTACACTGACAAGATGGGAAGAGTGGAAAGAGTGGAAGCAGTGGCAGCTGCCGAGGCTTCTGTTCATCGTGAGACCTACTGGCACGTACGATAACCTTCATGCTGCTAGCAAGGAGATCATTCGCCAGGCAGACGAACAGAAGTTCGAGTGGGCACAGTACAGCAATCTCTTTCGACACAAATACAAGGCCCGTCTCGGCTGGATAGCCGCCATCGTGTTGTACGATAACGGAAACGGTTGGCTTCGGCTTCGTACGAAACCCACTTGGAAGAACAAGACAGCAGTCATCACAAACGTTGCCACATTGTCTGATAGTGCGACATCGATGGTGGTGCAGTCCCATAAACGCACAGGTGATATGGGATTCACCCTGCCTACCCAGGCGAAGAAGCCTAGAACCCAATACTCGCATGTGCCTCTCCCACCGAACATATCGATTCGTTCCACCAGCAATGCAACTCGGGCGCGAGATGTCTTGAGGACTACCTTATTTCAGGCAGACGAGTTCGAGAGGGATTCCGTACAGAGCAGCAAGCGCGAGACTGTCCTGGACACCGAGTCATGTACTTTCAATCCCAGCAAAGACGTACTGGCTTTGAATCAAACTTTCTCATCTGGTTCAGCATCAACCAGTGACCGGTCCCGAGTCAATCGCATATATGCTGTAGCCTTCGGGCTTCCCCTTATTCGATCCGACGACATTGTCGAAATCCTTGTACGGGATCCTCTTCAGTTCTCGGACGGAACTGTGCTTAAGGCAAGCACTCGCCATAAGGTGATTGAGGCGTCTGGCTTGGTGAAGATCGATATTGGAGGTAACCACCATGCCACCTCTGCGGCTTATCGTCGTACTCGCCAAGAGTTGCTTGCACACACCGCCCCAAAGAATCTAGTCAAACTTAACGGTCAAAGCGTTGGTAGGTCTCTTCGATCGCACACATACATCAGATGAGCTTGAGCAAGTATCGTTGAGTTTATGCTAACACATGTCATAGGCATACCTATCGTTGATGTACGAAAGTGGGCGGAACCTAAGGGGTTGATCACTGTAGTCGACCGTATCGTCACTCTTATAAACAAGACTGCGGAAGAGAAGACACGGCTGATACTTGTCCGTTGTGACTGCGGCGCCAGATTGTCGCTCAATGGAACGTTAGCCACTATCAAGGAAACCAAGAGACACCTGGTTGGATGTGAGGACGCGGAAGACAAGAAACAACCAGATCGGGGTGCGTACTGTTTTTGCTGGGCTTGTTATACTGCATTTCCGAGTCGGCGTCGGTATTCTGCCCACCTGTGCGAGGTGTAGGCGGGTGGTCAGCACAAGACACTTGTTCAAGTCAACGCATGTCTATGTCAGCATAATCTCGGCTGATGGAGTGGGAGAATGATTCAAATGAGTGACAGGGTGCGGGCAGCAGTTAGTTCTAGTTCTGCTTGAACGACATGTGGTTCTTATTGAGAGGTTCCACTAACTTTGTACCAAACCAAGGACAGTACTAGGATATATGATATTGAACATGCAAATAAATACACTTCAACATATGATACCTGATGCCTTTTCTGGAACATCGACAGCAAGGCCTCGAATCTCATACAGTGCATCAACCCACATGTTTCAATCCGTAGTCATCATCCTGCAACCTTCTAGCAAAGTCTCTCTTAGTCCACGGCCACATCTGCATCAAATCGTCCAGTACTGTCTTCGCCCTCACCAGATCCCATTCCTCCAGCATCGCATAAACCTCGCCAACAAATTCCAGCTTCCGTTGAACGTAATCCCTTTGCATGAATGAAATGGTGGATTCAATAGCAGCGACCTTTCCAGTATCACCCTCGCGATACCAGTCCGCCCACAAGCCAAGCCGTCGAGCACCTTGTTCATGAATGTACTTGCGTCGCTCATCGTAGAGCCTCAGAACACGGTAATAGACGTCCTCCAAAGCAGTGTGCTCGCTCTCGACGACGTCGTGCGTGTGATCAAGCTTGGGCGTGGGGAATTTCAGCATGGCGATAAAGAGACTGCCCTCCTGGCGGCTAGTCTGATCGTAGTCGGTGTAGAGATCTTGGGCGTAATATGCGATTTCGCCGACGTGCCAGTTTTTGAAGGCGTTGGTTGGGGCTGGGGCGTGGTATCGGGATAGGGTTTGGCGGCGTAATGCCTCGATGGCCTTTTGTGCTGCTGAGGGGGATGAGTTCATGATTGGTGATTGGAGTTGTAGGTGCGATTGAGACATGTTGTGTGAGGTAGAGTTGAGTAACTCTGTAGCATATGCTAACTCTGGTGAGAGGTTGAAATTGCGCGATCGAGTCGGGGGAAACTAGATTGCATATTTTGTTGAGCTGTGAAAAGTATCTCATCATTGGGACTTACACGCAGAATATCCAGTGAATGATCACTTTATGGTCAGCTGTTCTGCATATGACAGTCGAACGTATTCTAGCAAAAGCTACTTGATAAGACCCGCATCTTCTTCCTCGTTCTATTCCCCTTGTGATTGCGTTTCAGCTTTCAACTCCGGGTCTTTACAGTGAATCTCCTCGCAGTATTTATATAATTCTGCTTTCCCTTGTTTCGTATTGTCTCTCCTACGACCCTCAACCAATTCACGCTCAAGAACCACACAACCCATTCCCTAATATGCCAACCCGTCCAGCCCGCCGTGAGCGCCGCCGCGCAGAAAGGCGCAGTCAGAAAGTATCATCTTCCCTCCAGAGCGCAGCACCTTCCACCTACGATCCCACATACACAGTCATGCCGCCATTCCCTACACCAGATGTCACTCTAGCCGCCCATCCAAGTATCCGACCAATCATGCTCCTGGTACTTTCACAAGAAGACCTAGTCCGCGATCAGATCGGTGCCTTCCGCATGCTCGCCAGCATAGAGTCCTACCGCTCGCACCCGAAAGCTGAGTACCGCATGGAGGAACTCCGGCGCATAGCCTGGGCTCACCACGCGCATGTTCAGAAACTGCAGGCTTTGAAGCGTAGATATGCTGAGCAGGTTACGATGTGGGGGTTCGAGTGCAGCAAGTCGCGCGAGGATTGGAACACGGCGTTTATCGAGCGGCGGAAGTTGCATGTGGTGCAGTTGAACCGCGAGGTTAAGAAAATGACACTTGTGTTTGAGAAGCAGCTCGAGGAGGTTCTGAAGAATGAGGATCTGTTTGATGGAGAGGAGCATAGGCAAGTGTTTATGGATAAACTGAATTTGTATAGAGACTTGTTTGATAAGACTTTGAAGGAGACGGAGGGCATGTCGGGTTAGAGTCTTATTTCGGCGTTGGTATTGAGATGCTCCCAGACATAAACATAGCCTTCGTCTCGAAATACATTAATATTCTGTATAATTTCGCAGGACTAGTAAATCAAACTCCTCCCTTCAACCTAGTTGATTTATGAGCACATCTCCGGTACGTAGCTTTACAAATTATAATAATATGAAGATCATATCTTCCAAGCCGCAAAACGCGTGATTGAGCATCTTAATATCGACATGAGCAAATACTTGGCTCATGCAGTTCATAACAAGTCCTGTGGTAGCAACGCGAATTATCAAGGTCCACTCTCAAGGTCTCTCAGCGTACTTCGTGAGCTACCGACTCGTTTTTGTTCTGCCGCCTCCGGCAGTTCGACATGTCGATGCTGATCATCCTTGGGCTTTGATGGCGGCGGTGGCGGTGGAAGCTGAGCGACCCAGAATTTAGGGTATTGTCGCTGAATGTTGTTGACAAGCAGGGCGCTCGCAAGAACAATGACGGAAGATAGTAGAAGAACAGGTAGGAAGTACCATCTCAGTGCCCAGATAGCAGGTTCAACGCAAGGAAGTAGCGCTGTCGCTCCAGCAGGCGGATGAGTCGTCTTTGTCAAGTGCATGACGACAAGGGCGATAGCTGTGGAAAGACTGGCTGCAAGCCATTGAAAACGTGGGAATGGGTCATTGTCCAGGTCGAAGCGGAAGATCGTTGCGACAATGACACCTGTCAAACCGCTGAAGAAGTGGCCAAAGATGAGCGAGCGTGGTTGTGCGAGAGGAACGTCGATAGCTCCGTAACAGAGAATGGCAGAAGCTCCCTACACAATGTGAGTTCAGCAACGATGTAATTTGCAGACTGGCTTACAAAAGATGCAACGATAGGTGGCACAAGGCGGGCCGTAAAGTAATCCGTATGTCCAAAGATGGCCATAATGGTGCTAACACCTCCAAAGGCCCCGATGAATCCCCACACGCAGATCATCCATGTCGGCGAGGGAGATACCGGCGTCCCACGATATCCAAGCCAGTGACTGAGCCATACGGGTAGGCGCGCAAGACCGTTCTGAATGAGGCGTTCGACTGGAACAAGAGGATCAGGTAGCGGCATATTGACAGTAAGGGAAACGTGTAGTGAAAGACGTGTATAGAGATGTTAAGCGACGCGTAGTCCACAAACCAGACGGACGTCGAAAAGTGGAAGACACAGCGCGTGTAGTTAAGAAAATTGGGTCAGAGAGAGAAAAGTTGGGGCGAGGCGGAAGGATCATAGACGCCAGGAAAGGAAACAGCGAACATCCATATCGCCGGCGCGGATCGAGACCTAACCCAAATACCCGGATCAACGCCGTAAGTAAGCTATTACAAAGTAAGTGATGCCCGGACCGCAATGAGCGAAACACTGTAGCCGAGAAGCTTTTGGTGATGCCGCTAGGTTGTCACAGAGGATCCGCACGCAGCGGCGGATGATGTTACGGGGCCTTTGCTGTCGCAAGTACAAGCAAGTCAAACCTTTGCTGATGGAACATCGAGTACAGTACTTGATCTTGAACTGATCGTACTCGCGAGAGGATCAGAGATGAAGCTAGAAATTGCGGAGGTGACATGCTGTTTACGTAAAAAGGCCGAGACTCGGGCGAAACGATCGCTGGGAACGAGAAAACGCCGAGACTCTTTCCTTGATTGTCTTGAGATTATGGAGTTCAAGTTTTGTCGTCTTTGAGAAGAGTGAAAGACTACGTGCGTCATCCCAATTCGTTTCGTATGCTGACTTCCAGAAAAGACCAACCACATCATTGACCTTACTTGTTCAGCGCAAACAATCTAGTTCCACTGCATCGGTGCTTCTTTGAACCAAATCACAAAAGTTGACTTTGTCCTCCCCAAACCAAACCAGTTCTTTTTCTCAGGTGCTTCCCCATTTATCTCATCCATGCTCCTACACAATTCTATTGCTGTGTCTTGCACCTCCAAGTCTCGTTACCATCGGCGGCTCTCTGACTGTACCCTTCTGCGTAAACATACTTAGGTCCGGACGCTGGTCTTCACTCGGTGGAGGCGGTCTAGGTGGCGCCTTCGCATACCTCGTCAAGGGGGAAACGTCTCTAGCAGGACGGTCGGGAGACAAGGGAGGTAAAGAGGGCGTAGACATGGACGCTTGAATCAAGGGGAGGGGCTCTTTGATGACTTCGAGAGCAATTGTGGACAAGGTGTACGGTGCGCCGCCGACGGTGCTGCCAGACCAGTGCTTTGTGGATATCGACGTACGTGGGGTGGATGGTTGGAGGACGGCTGCGAGGGGCTTCAGGGCAAGGGTGCAGGATAGCATGACGGATATGGTGGATTGGAATTGCGTGGTTATGATGTATGGGATACTGGCGTATGTTGGGTCTGCTGAGGCGGATAAAAAGCATTGGAGGTAGATAATGCGTATGATTGAAAGAACCACAAGCCTTGTTGCATGTCAGTCGTGGATGATGCGGTGTGATATGGAGAACATAGCTTACAAGACCCGAAGTGAGAAAACGGAAGTCGCAGGTGTCTTTTGGTGGTACTGAAGTTGCATGGTCCATATTATATGGGCTGGGAAGAGGATCAGGGCTGTATCGATGAGTATATCGACCGCGATGGCAGCTATCCAGAATGAGACCTAAACTGTATATCAGTACAAGGTAATTTTATGTACAAGGAAGTTGGCTTACCAGGGGGATGCATTGCCCCGTCCACATCTCCCAAGGCCTGGGCATTGCACATTGGAATACAACACCCGCCATGACTGCGGTTGTCCATATCAAAACTAGTATACCTACGATTGCGATATTCAATCTCTGCAAAGTGTTGTCTGCTAGTCGATACAGGAACAAAATAACTGGACACTTTGAAAGGCTGATAGCCAACACAAATAAGACTGTAGAAACAAAAAGCTTCAACTGAACTCGCTCCACGGCATTTGAGTCAAGAAGATAGGATCGCTTCCCGAGGCCCGAGTCTACAGCCGTGGAGATGATCATGGTGCTCCCCAACGAACATAGCGAAGACGCCACGACGAATATGTCATCATTTATTGGGAGATGACGAAGACTTTTGGAAGCAAATCGAAATGCCAGTCTGGTAACTGTGCAAAGAGCCCAAAACTTGTCAGTACTGAGTATAGCATCGAACGCCCATGCAGCTTACTAGGATACAGACGAGAAACCAAGCTACCATAACTACAATTGGGCCATGGTTCTGAGTATTGACAAGCGCCCCGGGGCGTTTGAACTCCTGGTAGTACATTTTGCTTGCTTAGAATATTCCTTGCATTCGGAGATTACAACAATGTGGAGTTCGACGAGATGGACGCAAAAGCACAATGAGCGAGGAGATGAGCAATTGAAAAGGCCAGTTGTCTCCTCCCATCATCCGAAAAACGTATATGCATACTCGTAAATTCGGCATCGCCCCTTCCAACCGGAAGTCATCAGATTGTCGCGTTGCTGCATCTACTCTCTGTAAGTGTTTCGAATATACACCCTGGCTCTGGAAATAGAAACGGAAGAGGACCCGACGAAGGAGTGGATCAGTAGCAGGAAAAGATGACTGGATACCGATGAAAGCCGACGTGAGTGTGTGATACGCATGTCTTGCTAAGCGGAACAATTGTCGTTCAGCCGGACCTAGAGCCGAAATGTTGGGAGGCGCAATGGCGCCGCAGTGGTACAAAGATGGGCTACAACGTGAAAGAAACCCTTTGTCCAGCAGACGTTGTCGGAATGTAGAGTAAGACCCGATATTAGGGGCGGGGTGATATGTGGTTGCAATAACGAGCCATCTCTGTTGCTCCAATCGGACAGTAGACTTGCTGCGACAGAGCAGCGCATGACCAGCTCCCAAGCACTGGGCTTCTCAATGTCTGCGAGCATCACAGCGGCTTTTTGAAGATCTAGCCATCGCTAATGAAAGAAAACCTATATTGTCGGAAATGTAGAGACGGAATCCGGGAGGGTGTGGGTATGCGGATGGGAAGGTCGTGCGACGGAGAATGAAGAGAGTGGATGGTTGGTCTCGCGGTTGGTTTCGGAGGTTGGCGGATTTTGTAGTATGGCCGACCGTAGTTTTTCTTTAGCAGCATTGCGCTCTGCAGTCGTGATTTCCTCCCCAACACAGCAACAGCAAATATGGTATGTCTCTCCTTCTCGCTTCACTCTACATATATTGCGATTACTCACCCGTATGTAGGCGCCAATAAAGAAGCGCACAACAGCGCGCGCAAAGTCTGCGCGAACAGCTCGTCCTACCCAAGCCACCCTCACAGAAGCAGACGATTTCGACACAGCCTTCTCCTCGTCCAAAAAGGACAAGCAGAAGATTAAACACTCTTCCTTCGTATCCAAGATCGAAAAAACCTCCTCAAAAACCCAAAAGCGACGGCGTCCCAACAAGCAGCTCGTCGCAAACCTCGAGTCGCTCGCCAATGCGCTTCCAGGTCTTGAGGAAGGCGCAGATGGAGAGATCGAGGTTGGGCAAGCCAAGATACAGCGCAAGAGCTTGAAGTCGCGGCCTGGCGCCATGAAGAGGAAGGAGAAACTGGAGAGGGAAGAGAGGGAACGGTTCAACAAGAACTTGGCGCAGTTGGCGGGGAGTGGAGGCGCGGCGGTGCAGGACCGCTGGGCGGCGTTGAAGAGTCATGTGCAAAACACCATGGAGGTCAAGCCTGAGTTTGTGAAGAAATGAAGGGGCCCATTAGGAATGGTTCAATGTATGGATGTTGCCCTGGTACGAGCAGAGACAGCCGACGACACGATGTTAGTTCCAAAGCAGGAACTTGCAGCTGGTGGGTTCTATCTACACAAGCACTGAGGGCTTGAGGGCACAACACATCACAGAGGTGTTTCGGGTGTGCAGAACGAGCCACTCATGTACGTCGGAGCTACATCAAAGCAATGCTTTTTGAATGCGCACAAAGAGTTGACACAGTGCCACGCAGACTTTGCATACCGTATCAGTAAAAGCGATATATTCACTGTTTCAGAGGAAAGCACACGGCTATGATGCTTGAAGAATAGCAGGCCCAAGGTGCTATATATGCTGCGATAGTTACTTGTAATTGGATGACATCTGTTGGAGCTGAATTGAGACTTTCGCAAACCTTATTGCCCGGAGTTTAGACCCCTGCGGGTGTTCGGTAAATCCTTGTGCCGAGCGGATGACATCAGGGATCGTGAGCTAAGCAACACCGCCGACTCCACTATCTCCTAGTCCCATGCTTGATCCGTGGACTACCGGTACCTATTTTACCATGTACAAAGCGCTTTGTAGACGCTCGAAGGCCTCGAGCATAGCGAGGATGACATTAAGGCGCGCCCGTCTTGCGCCCAATCTATGAGACGCGACTTATGAAAGCGTAATTTTTTTTCTCTTATATACTTTTCATCGGCCATATCTATACACCTGTTGGCTTTCGCTTTTTAATATTCCAACATGTCTCACCTTGAGCGCCAGAAGTCACGCATAACAGGCGACGATGCTGGTACTGCGCGTCGAAACAGCACGCTGAAAAACCAGCCAACGGGCGGGGTCCCAAACGCAAAAAAGCCTCGATCGCGACTTCCCGTCGGACTCCGCGACCTACTCCCATTTCCACAGTCCTCATTACCGTCTGGATCAGGCCCGTATTCTGTCGGGAGTATAGACATCGAAGTACCCGTCGAGAACCCGCGAACCATATCCAACATCACCCGGAATGGAAGACATGTCCTGCAGCTGGAGACTGTTCTCTTCACGCTATACTACCCCTCGGCGCATGGTAGCGGGGCAGGACGGGCACCTGGAGGAGAAATCAGATGGGGACGCGAGACGTGGACGCCACGACCGAGGGTGCAAACTGCGAAGGGCTACGCCAAGTTTGCTGGCATACCCTCGTTCCTGACCTTGGGGGCTCTCGCGCCAACCACTTTCCTCACCAAGATTAGAGCGTTCAGAAACAGTCCACCGGCTACACATTGGCCGCCCGAGGGCAATAGCAAGAAGAACGGATACAAAATCAAAAACAAGCGCGGTCCTCCTCCTGAAGGCGGGAGTGAGGAGCCAGTGTTCCCCTTGCTGATGTTTAGTCACGGGCTGGGAGGTACAAGGACTACGTATAGCAGTCTATGTCTCGAGTTCGCCAGTTATGGGTTTGTTGTGTGTGCGGTGGAGCATCGAGATGGCAGCGGTCCGCGGACGTTTATCAACCATCCGAAGCCCGAAGATGACCCACAGCACCTAGGAAAAGACAGATGGAAGAACGTGGATCTCACTGAGGAGGACAGGAGGAGGGGATATCACCACGTAGACTACGTGTTCCCCAAAAACAACAGGATGGATACAGCGCCGAACAACGAGCAGGGCGTGGACAAGGAGCTGCGCAACGCTCAGATCGAACTGCGTCTCTGTGAGCTCGAAGAAGCATACCGTGTCCTCAAAATCATACACTCCGGAAACGGGGAGGAGATTGCGCGACAAAATCTGCGCGGCAAGGGCTACGTTGGCGGGTCTTCCAGGGGGTTGGAAGGTGTCATCTGGAGTCAGTGGAAGGGCAGGTTTCATGTGGAAAAGATGACAATGGCCGGACATAGTTTTGGAGGTGCTACAACGATCGAGGTGCTGAGACACACTGACCGCTTCAAGAATGTGCAGGCTGGTATTATATACGATATTTGGGGGTTCGTGCATTCCTTTACCTTCTCTGCCAGAACTATGTCTAACACGTGAGATAGAGCACCGATAAAGCCGCCCGAGGATAACCCTGAACATCGAATACACATGCCGTTGCTTGGCATCAACAGCGAAGCGTTCATGTACTGGCAGAAGAACTACGACGCCGTCATGTCGCTCATGAAAGAGGCAGATGGGGAGGGTGTGCCAGCCTACCTACTCACCGTCCGAGGCAGTGTGCACATCTCTCAGTCTGACTGGACCATACTCTACCCAAATATAACGTCGTTTTTCTTGAAATCCATGGTACACCCGCAACGAGCCGTCGATCTCAACATCAGGTACTTCATAATCCCTCTCTACAACTTGACCGGTGCATTCACTAACTCTGCAAAGCGCCTCCCTGGAATTTCTTCGGCTCGTAACGCCTTCTTCCGGCAGCGGCAGGTCCATCATCAACCGCTGCATGACCGATGAATCGATTCTGGATACCGCACTGCTAGACGAAGTGCCCACCGAACATCGTCCGAACGACCAGTGGATTGCGGCTAGACTTAAGGTCAAAAACGAGTTCCGCACACGCGTCGCTGCGCGGTGGCGCAGGAGAGTCAAGCAAGTGAATGGTGGAAAACAGCCAAAGGGATACACGACGCAGGATGAGGTTTGGAATCATTTCAAACCCAGTGACCAGAGACTTGAAGATTGGATTGTGAAGGAGGGGAGAGGGGAGAAGAGGATTGATACTAAGCACGCCTTAAATGGAGAGGGAGAAGATGACAAAGAGAAACAAGTGAACGAAGACGAAACAGATACAGCAAGCGACGATGGAAGAGACTTTGGAGATAAAGCTGAGGTAGCCTCGCAGCCGTCACTGGAGGAGGCTTCTGATGTTGACGTGGAAAAAGGAGCCCGATATTCGTCGGGCGCGCCAGCGAGCGACGGGAACACGCGTCTGTCACTGTTCCCTACCCTAAGGGATGGCCCCAATCAAGACCAGAGATGATCGGAGGATTTGGGCTCTCTAGAGCAACGCCAGCACCAGAGATCAGGCTGAGGAAGGCTACTGTCCCACAAAGGATACGGTCGAGAGCGATCTGAGATGTACGGAAACGCAGTGCCACACCCCCTGTCCAATCAAATCTTATCGATCACCTTTTTAGTTAATCAACAGATCTGCTACTATGGCGTCGTTTTACATAGTAGATTACGGCCGTGCCCTTTGCATGGATTTGGTCACACTTCTGATCGCTCGCGGGGGAAGTCGGCAGCGGTAGAGCCTTTTGGGATTAGCACCCATTTCTAGCACCGATATTTAGCACAGATCATTGGAATGTAATTCATCCCGTTGCGTATCATTTTCTATTGAGTTGTAGGGGATAACCCAGCTTAAACTCTGTGTGACCCGCGCAAATCGTGTACAGCCTGTATGTTCGTTGAAAATTTTGGTATTCTCTAGCGTTGGACAGTCCCCCGAAGACCATTTGCAGCAAGGTAAACCGTGCACTACATGATTTGTGTTTGTGTAGGTGGTGATAATTAGGCCACGGTACTAGGCCTTGGCTTATGTCCGGCACGATCCTAGTGATGGAGTTTGAAGAATCTCCCGTCGTTCTCCACACTGCACGAGCCCACAGAACCGTCGCTCTGCTTTTTGATTGCCCGCCCCTCCTCACTAACTGACAGCAGTTCTCTATCCCACGTTCTGCTCTGCTCATACTTTGCATCGCCAAGATTTACAGATACTAGAACACCGTACTCACTCTCGTAACTTTTACGGCATTGGCGCGGCCTTGGTAAACGGTGTAACGTGCCTTCATCCCCCTGTTAGGCGCCCCAGGAGAGCTGAGTCAGGGAGGTGGGTGCTTTGATCTCCATCATCCAGACCTCGACTTATTCGCACCCGCCTTCTCACCTGCGCATGAACGGCGCTGTTTCCAGCGAGAATAGCAAAAGAAGCGTACGATTTCCTGCGGTGTCGTGAATTGCGATTCGGAGACTAAGGCCCAACTGCTGGTCTGAGCTGTGTTCCGTAGGCACGTTGCCGCATGTTGAACTGACGAGGATCCTTGGGCATCATGACAAGCTCGGACTCTGAAGAGCAGGCAAGACCGCGAAAGCGCTCGAGAGCGGGTATCAGCAAAAATGAAACTGTGGAAGGAAAGAAGATGAGGGGAAGGCCAAGAGTGGATGCTCAGGATGCAACTGCTGCCGATGTGAGTGGCCCACCTTCGCCGTATTTAGACGGAAATCGTACGATCCTGCGACTGGTCATGCGTCATCGACGATGCCTTCGAGACAACTCTATGCGATGGGGCTGATGATTGTTGTAGCGGAGAAGAACACAGATCCGTCTCGCGCAGCGAGCGTATCGCCAACGCAAAGAAACGACGATCGCTTCGCTGCAGCAGCAGACCACGCAGCTTCATGCCATCATTCAGCACATGAACAAGACGTTCGTGCACTTGAATGAATCAGCGCAGAATTCGGGCTTGTTGCAGTCAAGTTCTGCTCTTACGCAAGAGTTCAAGCATGTGTCTGAAACATTCGCGAATCTAGGGAAGACCGCTAGCGAGAGCTATCACGAGGGCGGGGAAGAAGACCAAAGTGAACCTGCTGCAGAGCAAAGCCATCATGTACAGGGCTCGAGGGTAGAGGAATACAGTTACGTCCCGACGAAAGAGGATCATGTCGATATGGGGTGGGGTTATTCGGCCGTTACAACACAACCGTTACAGAAGTACACTCCACCGCAAAGTCATATCCAACAACCCGACCACCACTTTCAACCCTCCAACTCATACAATGGCGTATCAAATACAGCTGAACAGTCCACCCTCGTCCGCCGGCGCCAGTTCACTGCCTGCGAAGGACTCGACCAGCCAGTATCAATTCATACGACGCCATATCAGCAACCAGTCCCGTCTGCATCAAGTCAACAACAACAGTCCCCCTTTGGCCTCGTAGACCGACTCAGTCCTACATCAGCACGATACACACCACCCATACCCTACGAACACCCCGTTATCTTCCCAACTCCAATGATACCTCATCTTCAGCTCGAGACACCTACCTTGCAGATGTCACCAAATTCTCTAACCACCAAGACTCTGAGCCCGATACAATCACACGCTTACGACGAGACATCGTTTGCAAGACAACTACTACGCGCAACACTAGAAAGTGCTTTCCGTTTACTTACATACGAAGGCTCCATTCGGCCCATGGCGATGAACCATGTGTTCAAGCTCTCCTTGTACTTTTTCAACCTGGATAACCTGCGTACACGGTTCAGAGACTTGCTGTCCCGTAGCATCAACGAAGAGCTGGACTGGTGGGAAGCACCGTTCTTACATCTTGGCGGCGCAGGCACTCACTACCCTCGCCGCGACGCAGGTGGAAACATTATTTCCATGAGAAACAGCTGGACAATACGCCAAATCGGGCCCATGGAGAAACGAATGGTGAGGGTAGAAAGCGTAGCAGACGGGCAATGGGAAGACATTGATGGCGTAGATCTTAGTGGTTTCGAGGGAGAGTGGTTCGACGCGTACGACGTGCAGGGCTATCTCGAAGAGCGCTGGGGATGCAGAATTGACCCAAAGAGTTCGTTTGCAGAGTGTTGGGTGGAAGAAGAGGAGGATGACGCGCCAACTTCTAGCCCCCACTCCGGTCTCTCCTATGGAGACGGAAGGAGGGAAAGCGATTCTCCATCGCTCAGCCAGGGGTCCACGTCAACGAGGTCTTCCAATCAGCAACAGGACCCTGAATTCCGGGTCCCAGACGCGCCGTTTGGACTCGATATGCCGTTTGCGACTGGACCAATGTCGAGTTTTCCAAATGAGTCTTTGAAACCTGTGAACCTGGATTTGTCGTACGACCAGACGCTTGGTTTAGATCTTGCGCCTAGTTATGACTTTGGCGGGCACAACCTCGACGCGAATATGAGTCGGATGAACGACAGTGAACAGTTTCCTGTCATCAGACAGAAGAAGAAGAAAATGGCGTGGATTGAGGTCCCGATGTTTATCAGCAGTGAGTTTCTCGGTATTCAGAAGATGTGTGGGATAGGGTATGCTAATATGTGTATAGAAATGATATCGCAATGTGTTTGCTTGGGACGGGCGCCGGGCTTTCGCAGAAAGGCTATTGATGTTGCGATGAGGGAGTCTTTTGCCGTTGCGTATTGAGCGTATTAGTGTTTGATATATTGAGAAGTAGACTACGGTCCGTGAACAGATACCCAAAGAAAGGCTACGACATTCGGTACACATGTAATAACAATATCATATTATATCTTGGTAGTCATGTTGATAAGACACGTCCGCCCAGAATGTCAGTGTACTCTCGAGTGGCGACTAAACAGCACTGTAGTACCCAACATGGACCGTCATTTGGGGCTGTGAGTGGGACGAGTACCGAATTGTACAAATGACTGCATATGCGCAGTGCTCTGCCAATTAGAATATTCATTCGAAGCAATATCAGCGAACGTATGCGTCGATCTGCAGATCACTGGGTAATACTCTGTTTGTCAGCCTCGAACTCCTTGCACGATGACAAAGAAGCAGGTGAGACTTCCAAGTCTTACAGCCGAACCATCATCGTTGTTGTATCGTAGCTGTAGTTTATTGCCCATGTCGCAGCATATGTTGATGACGCGGGATGGCGATTGACTCAATTTGACACGGGCCATCTGAATCCTCAGACCTCACCTTGTCTTCTCAAACCCCCACCGACTAGACACGTCGCCATTATCGGCTCTCTGCGTGACCACGACATCGTTCCTCCTAGAATCTGCGCGCGACAGTATGATTCCAGGCAAGGGCTGCAAAATCTGAGTAATCCGCACTAGAGGATTTCGCCCCACCGCTTTGTGCAAAAGAGCCGCCCACCCTTCCAAGAATGTGGCTGAACCTTACCAGTCAATCTGGGTCTGTCAGATTCTATCTCCGTCGCTCAAAACTCGTGGACCCATCAGTGGATCTACGCCTTGACGTCCAGTCTGTGTAGATACGTGGCTTCATGGCATGATCGCAAGGCCCGTATTGCAGTACAGTGAGTCAGAGACAAACAGGTCTCTATAGTCTTTCCTATTGCTGATTCCGGTAAACGCCTTCCTTGCAACCGTTAACGGGTGCGGTGGGAAGGGTAAACACCCCTACTCTACCTTTTTAGTGGGACACAGCTTGGTTACACACCGACTACCAATAGAAATACTCAACAAGCGTTTCGCGTCAGCTGAAAGAACCCTACGAGGCTTTCTACCCAACCCTGCTGCGGCTAGAGGGTATACTGTTCTCACTGCAGGTCGACCTAATGACATGATGGCTGAGCTAATTCCTCTTTGATGTCCCTTCTTAGCAGCACCTAGCTGACTGTATACCCGTTCCTGCATATGGATGCACTGCCTGATAGTCTTGCGTACCCGGAACTGGGCGCCTTCTATCTGACCCACAATGCCTTATGCTTGCTTCCTCGCTCATGATCTTTCCACTATATATGCTATCTTATTTTGAATCGAAGTCTCATATCATAAGTCTCAATACGCCCAACTATCTTTGTACTTCTTTAGCGTTCAAGCACTGCCACCACTTATCTGCCTCATTTTCGCCACTAAACACCTTTGAGGCCTTAACTATCAAATTCACCGTCCACAGAATGTGCTACCAAGTTGTCGAGCGCTATTCGGTCTGCCGATGCTTATACTACAAGCATGCCATCGATCCGTGCGCCGGGCATGGACATCGTGGACACACAGTACAAGAGAAGACAGTTCTAGTAGGCTACGCCTGTGGCGTTCACAGCAGCCATCGCTCTCAAGTCGCCTACGAATCTCGCTATTCAGGAAATCCTTCAGATTCTGGATACGAGAGTGGCACGTTTTCGCTCTCGGTGCTGCGATGAAAACTACCAACCTACCCTATCTTCGCCTTGGCATTACAACGAGAGATTGCTGTCTCTCATAAACATCTGAACACGACAGATTAGCACAGCCTGTGATAGTCTCTTCGATGCTCTGAGCTGGACTCAGTGCTTCGAGATGCAGAATTTACCCCCTTTATTGATCTGGACATCGTACGCATCAGCATGGAGTTTCGTCTTTTTGAGTGCGGCTCTACCAATGGAGCCGTGGACTCGTGGGAGGACAACCGGTGATGAGTTTGAGAGTTGAAGCCGCCATGGGCGTGTACGATTATTAGAGAGTCTGGGACTGGCATAACACACTGTTCATCGGGATATATGGGTTTGGATTTGAGTTGTTGGTCTATTACTTGCTGCTTTCTTCCTTTTCTCTGCATCGTAGAAGGGATGTACTTTGTACAATATGAAGAATTACCGCAAACGTGCACCACTGAGCTGGTCTTTGAACACCCCCACGGCTTTTTGCACAATCTTGCAGGATCGAATATACACGAAATATCCCTGCTTCTCAATTTGACACATAGTAACAGTATAATGGGGGTTAGCAACAGACTCGAGAACAACGTAGTGGGTCGCTGAGCTACGTCAGAACCTCCACGCTACTAAGCTCTTGCATTAGCGTCCCCGCTAGCGCCATGTCACAACACCGCTCTTTCAACCACTTTACTCTCACAACTTCCTCACATCAGTATCTTTCTGGTCGGTGTGAGCATCGTCACCTTCCATATCGTCCTCCACCTTCGATATCAACTTGCAGTCATGATGAGTTTTTCATGCTGCTGCACTGCAACCCAAGACCCTAGGCATATCCGTTGTCGCCGGTGAACGCCATTTGGACTTTTAGATGCCGGGAATCTCGGGCCAGCCCTGCAACGATCAGATGACAACTGTCCTAATACGATGAGGGATGCGATATGTCTTCGAATCACATCGAAAACGCCATCGCAATTGTTGCCATTTAGGCCACCGTCACTGTCATTGATTACGCCCAGGAAGGCCTCCACGTACGCATTTCCCTATCGAATACCGCATCGGGGACTCGGTACTGCTCCGTGGAGCCGCAGTAGCGATGCCAAGCAGGTAATGGTCTTCATTATGGTTTGGATGACTCCTATTGCGCGGTTGCCGCGGATACTCTATTGCATCTAGAACGACTTGTACGTTTGGTGTTCTTCGATCCCCGATCTTTTCGTCATGTCAATTCTGCCCGGTAGTTGAATTATGTTCAACTCTGAATAAGTCTGACGCGCATACCAATGTGTATGACGTAGCTTTCCTCGTCGCTGTCTATAAACTCTGAGCTGGCTGGACCATGATACGCTTCTAGAAACGTTGGACCTGTGTGCTTTTGATAGTCTGCCTTGGCTCATCACTGATTTCCTAGTCAATGACTGGATTCACTGCAATGCCGGGAACTTCGCCCCAAACTCGACGTCCGGTCTTCAACCTTGAATTCAAAAACAAAATGAGAGTTTGCCTTTCCATCTGACAGGCACTGTTGATCTCGGCAAACGGTTACGTATCTATTCTGTGTGGTATAGGAAGAAACAATATATCTGAAGACCAACATCTCATGTACACAAAATAGTGCATCTAGAATTCAATTGTTTTATGCGACTTGACCGTCTTCTGTACATGTATATTTTAACTTTCCCGCAGCTCTCAAAACGCTACCCTAGAATGTCCCCCAATCGCACAATTAAGACTGTTTATAGCATGGTGTGAATGGTCAAGTTAGCCCATGGGGAGAGCATAGCTATCCACGATACGTCCGAACTTTTGACTGGAATATACTTAGATTATTCAACCATCCTTAAACCCATGTTCACTGTCCACTTTACTTCCTGGCGAACAATCATAGCTCTTACTCCCAATCCGAGTTTCAAAGAGCATGCATACTGCGTTACCAATAGTCCCAATCCTTCCAGTCTGACAGTATCAAGCAACTCGAGCAAGTACATCCTCTTATTCTGATATAGTCACGTCACATCAGGCGAGTGCACTGTACTGGAAATAACTTTTGTAAGGCCATCCTCACTGTGTTATCTCGGGTCCGCGGCAGATCCGGCCGGACAAGAAGTTCCTGTGCCTACGCTCCTCCCGACCCGAAGGAATATCTATTCTCAGACAGTGATGCGCTGTGACGGGGATGACTGGCATATATCGGCTGCCCCTGTATGTGGGTGAGAATAGGGGATCCGGATGCAGGAGACCCCTTTCAGGCGACAGGAACACTTAATATAGCTGTCAGATGATCGGTATATCATGCATTACTGGTTATCGAGCGTGATATCGTCGTTGCGCGGTATCCGCCACTGAATCGGTTCCGGGAATACTGATATAGGCGGGATCAACCGCAGGGGTGAACGGGTAACTCACCTGTAATGAATAGTTACTCTACATAGGCTTATGCCCACCATCTGCAATGTAGACCTGAAGTAAGAGTTACAACAATCACACCATCACACATAATAGAAGACAAAGTGAAGTGATTCTTTTAAAGCGCGCGGGCCATGTGAATTCATTGATATCGTCTACATGAGCGAGCATTAAGCCTGACATCTGGCTAGTTCGTGATGTCTTTTGTCGAGGCGCAAAATTCCTTACTATTCCTCCCCGTCGAACCCTCTCTGGTCTCCATACCAGCAGTAATAGCGAACCTTGAATTATCCAAAGAATGTGTGCACTCCCGCACATACGCGGGAGGCGGTGTAGTCGAACAAAAAAGGAGAGAAAAATCGTAATCGTAATCATAACATGAACAGAAAGAAGGTGAATCGGAACAATGGGCAGTATTGGTTGCGCAACCGGTGATGAGATGCATCTAAGCGCGGATGACGACACCCTGGCGGCGGGTGGTCTTCTCCTCGTACACGTACTCGTCCTCGGATGAGCAGTCATCAGAGTCGTCGCTGTATCCGCAGCGGGCACCGCCGCAGTCGAGCTTGACGCGGCCACCAGCGCGGGTGATGCCGTAGCGCTCGCATGTGCAGCAGCTGGCGTCGGAGCCGACGCTGCTGGGGCTGCTCGAGTTGGTGGACCTCGAGTTGGTGGAGGTGAGCGAGGGCACGTCAGAGTCGTAGTCAGAGTCATCATCGGAGTCGGCGTCGGAGACGGTCTGGTTGGCAAAGCGGCGGTTGAGCTCCTCAAGGGTGGCCTTGTCGTACTGGGTGTTGATGACCTGGCGGGTCTCGTGGGGGCGCTGGGGCTTGGGGGCGACAATTGCCTCTGGGGACACACCACGGCCCTTGGGGATGGAAGCGCTGGAGACGCGGCGGGAGGCACGGTCGGCAGGCTTGGCGGCAGCGGCAGCCTTGCGGGCGGGAATGTCGATGATGTTCAGCTTGCGGCCAGTGGTGGGCTCAGTGGTGTGGTCCTTGGCGGGGTCGTGGGAGACGTGGTAGCCATCGATGATGTACTGTGATGGTCAGTAAACTGGACAGTGTTCAGATTGTTAGAAAGGAGCAAGCTTACGTAGTACCAGTATCGCTGGCCCTGCTTGAGTGTCGCGCCTTGGAACTTGAAGCTTCCTACCCAGCCACCGCTCTTCTTGGTGTCCTTGGAGAGGGGAAGTTGACCCTGGTAGTTGTCCCAGGAGCCGAGAAGGTGGACTGTCTTGCAGTTGCTGGAGGTGCGGAGCGCAAAGTTAAGTTGGATAGCGGCCATTGTGAAGGGGTTGTTGATTCTTTCCGTGAAAATTAGATTGTAGTGTAGATTGATTTCTTTCCTGATGTCCGGGCCAAGCTAATGGATAGACGTCGAATTACTGAAGAAGCCGTTGAAAGGTTGTGAAGAAAGCGAGTTTGCGAGATTGTTGAAGATTGTTTGGTAGTTCGTTTCGAGCAAGTAGAACTGAGTATTACGTTTGGATGAGGTGGACCGGCCACTTCGAATAGAATAGAATAATAAAAAGAGGTATTAGATGGCACCAGGCCTGGGGAGAAAAAGATAAAAAGATAGGTAAAAAAACACAACACACAGCTCAAACTTTGACAGACTTGCTAAAGAACTCGAAGAAGAGGGCAGCCTGGGGCATATATATAATTGTGGCATCGCACAGACATGCTGCGATTGCTTCGCGAAGCACATTGCACTACGACAAATTCGAATTAGGCCGCGCTGCTTCCGAGGTGATTGATTGCTTGTGCAGCAGACGCACACCATGTTCGCAGGGAGCAGTCCCGGAAGCCGTGTGGGTAGCGATCTATTGAATGTACGTCGAGCGCTTGACGGAGATGTGAGAGTGGTGGAGATGCCACTTCGCAGGTGGGCGGGGCGCCTTGGTTCCCAGTCCTGAGGTGCTCATTGGTAGGAGTGAGCGGGGCTAGCATCAGTGGGTCCATCTGTATAGCACCGACAGTCAGTGAATGCATACAGCGAATCAGGAGACGCGAAAGAAGAGGCATGTGATATGGTTCTGTTAACGGTGCATTTACGCCCACATCACACTGCAGCAACAAAGACAGAATGCTGAATGCAGGATATTAACCGTGTTATCGACCGCGATGCTCCCGGCCGTTATCGTACATATTTGCAGCCATTCCATCCCATCCGTCCAATTACACCCCCCGGCAGGACCACAAATGTGCCCAAAACAGAACGTCGGCGGCTAATAAACTGAGTGGCTTGCAGCGTGCGACCAACCATTCTCATCAGCTGCTATATGTTGAGGAGAGTAACTTTCCGACCCACGACATCTGCCATGCTGCTGCTCAAGGGTGCCTGCACGGTATGCACATCATCGAGAAAAGAAAACAGGTGAGATGGTGGATGCAAGGTGGAGGCACAGCGGTTGGAGATGAGAGGCTACTTGAGGGAGTGCTCAATGTCGAAATGTAAATGGCAGGCGTACAGGTCGTCGTCATGAGGGTTGGATAACAGGGGGTACGACGTCGGGGTGGATATCGTGTAACTCAAGTTTGTGTATCCCTGTGATCTATGTATGGAGCTTTGCAAGTTGAGCAGGTCCCTGTTCCTGCGTCTTTGCTTCAGCACAACGCTCTGGTCATGCAAACAAACACCCCCGTCCTTGAAAAGTAATCGTACTGGATGGAAACCTCTAAGGCGAGTCGGAGAAGGACGATCAAGATGCGCATATCTACGCGCCGTAATCCTTGTTCATGCCCATGCATGGTCATTCATCGTCTATCCAATTGAGCAACGGATTGGTCACACAACACCAACCACCCCAAATCTGACATCGTGTGAACATGCCTGAAGCCATTCCAGTATTGTACGTACACATCCGAAGCCACTACTACGCCAGCGCCACCAATTTAACACCCCAAAAGATCCTCCAACTCGGCAGGGGTCAGCGTACTTTTCCTTCTCTTAGGCCGCCCACTGATTCGTGTCTTCACCGGTGACCGCGTAGTCCGCCTCTGCTTCGGCTCCTCAGTAGTTTCCACATCTTTTTCCACCCGCGGGCTGTCATCTAGTCTTTCGGGGACAGCGGCTGCTTCCGCTTCCGCCTGACACACCATAAGTTTATCCTTTATTGACAGCTTCGGTAATCGCTCATCAGGATGTGCACGTGGACTGCTGAGCCGTTTATTGGTCTGCCGAAAGTTGTTAGAATACCGCGCTGTTGGCGAGTCGGGAGAAAGAGAGGGGGATGAAGAAAAAGTGACTTTGCTGGCCATCGCGATGATCTGGTCGGCAAGGCTGTCACAACGTACATGGCGGGGTGTGCGATTGTCCTGATTCGAGGACCTGGATGCTCGGTCCGATGAAGGTGGTGCTTTGGTGGCGGAGGTTGGGCGGCTGGATTCATTTACGCCGACCAGGTCTATCCCAGATGCGTCTGCATTCTCATCCTCTAGTTGAGAGGGCGTATTGGGTATGGATGCTGAGAATGCGACCTTACGGGGCGATCTACTCTGCGATTTGTTGCCGTCGGTTTCTCTTAGGACGGGCTGGTCAGGTCGCAGCTTCAGCTTGAAAATGTCCGAGTTTGTAGTTTTATCCACAACACGAATAGCCTCAGGCGTGCTCTGGTCCTGCTCTTCTTCCGCCTGATCCAACTCGTCATCGAACACAGAGCTGGCAGCATCGTCAATCTCTTCCTCCTCATCAACCATGGACGCCTCTTCGCTTTCAACTTCCTGCAAACCAGCCCCAAACCCCATGCCCATGTTGAGCTCTTCAAGATTTATGGTGTCGCCGTTGGTCATGCGCTTCCGCCAGGAGTCCATGAGCATAAAGGCTTCCCGCAGTCGAGACTCCATCTTCTCCCATCCAGCTCGCATTCTGTGTATCTCTTCCTCTCGCATTTCCACCTCGTCCACAGATACGAAGTTGGGGTTCGTAAGTAGGTTCTTGAGGTTGTCCAGAACGGCATCCATGTCGTCGGCCAGAGTCTCGTAGCTGGTTGGCAGAGCATTCAACATGCCGTGCCTGGAGTCCTCCTCGTCTTCGCCTATGGTTGACAATTCTCCTGCATCTGCTGATCTCATGGCTTCTGGCATGCCCTGTAGCTCCCTCAGTGTCGTCAGCGTGCTCCGTACAAGGCCGATGAGGCTGTCATTCTCATCGCTCAAGTTCTGGCTCAGCTGAGTCAGGAACTCGGTCGTCTCCTGCTTGAGGCTGTATTCCGCGTCTTCAAGATCAGGCCCATCATCTCGAACACTGCCTGTTGCTCCCCCCAAGCCCATGGTCCCTGGGTTGATTGTGATGCTTGCGCCCACCAGCCCGGTCTTGTTCCCACGTTGTTGGGTGGTCAAGTGGCTCTTCAGTCTCTGAATCTGCACGTCGCGCTTTCGCACATCGTTTGCGCAACTCGTCCGTACTTGCTGCACTGTTGTTTTGAGCCGCAGCATCTCCTCACGCAAACTGCGCGCTGACGACTCGGCGGTTCTGAGGGCAGCACGAGCAGAGCGCTCTTGCGACTGGGCGAGGGAGAGTTGGCGTGCCACATCTTCGTTGCGGGCATGCAGCCTTTCGAGTGCAAGCGTTTGACGCGTCGATTCAGAGCGATGGGTGCGCAGCGTTTCGGCGACAGATTCACGATACTCCTGATCGCGCTGCATATCGTCAGCATCAATAGCAAATGGCACTAGAAGTTGTGCATACGTCGCGCTTCAAGATCAAATCGTGCACCAAGTTGATTATTTGCGCCATGGTGACCTCTTTGCCGCCCTCTGCACGCGACGGGTGCGCAAACTCGATTGATTTCCCATCGCGCAGCAGACCGCGGGCTAACAACAGGTTGTTTATGTATGCTGACGCTGTCTTGAGGTTGTACGTCTCCATTGTTGTCGTGATGGACTGGTACTGTAGCCGTTGGCTGTGGTGTCGTCCAATGTTGGGAACGACTGTTTACAAAACACCGGTTGCTCTTTCCCACGCTTCCCAAAGACCCTGTGCACGAGCCGCCATGGCCCCACACTTTGCGCTACCCAAAGGACCCCCAATTTGGATCTTCACCATCGCAAATCATCATCACCGCCAACTCTATTCGTGTTCCCGCAGGCTTGAGCATGTCGGGCATAACTAATACATACTGTTACGCTCTACCTCGGCTGAACACGTTGTCAGTCATGGAACACTACAAGACCGGGCATTTCTCCCGGTTCCCGCGAGTACATGCATTGCCGTGGCGCGCCCCGCCAATGCAACCGTCCTTCAACAACGTGCCCCTCGAAAGAGAAGGTTTTGAGAAAGCTAATTCTATCGGCCCAGGCTGTATGCTGCCTAGCTTGGTCTGCCGATGCTATGCAGTACATGTTCTCGCCGCGGTTCCTCGGTTTCGCTTTCAGTGATGTACAACAGGCTTGCCTGGGGACTGGGGAAATCCACCTAAAACGGAACAAATGTCAAACATCCTAGGAACTATAACCTGAACTTGTGGGCGAGGTTGGCCAAAAGACTCTCCGTGTTCGGACTGTGCCGCATACTAACTGTACATCCTTGATCGTCCTCATGCAAGCCACATGCCGATTACAGTCAGAGAGGGCATATGAAAGGAAGTATTTATACAGGCTCTTACGTCTCACAGTATCTCTATAGTTGATCTTTATTGTCACTGTCTGTTTCACCATGGACAGAATCTCTCGTCTTTTACTCTCAGCTTTGCTGGGAGTTCAATTGGTCGCTGCTGCTCCTGATCAAGCGACAACCGTCGCATGCAAAGAGATCAACCTCGTCCTTCCTGGAAAGGTTCTTACGCCCACACTTTTGGCACTCGAGTACGAGAGCGAGACGAGCAAGTATTGGTCAACAACCTTGCGAGAGATTGATCCAGCCTGCATAGTTCAGCCTACCTCTGCCGAGGACGTATCTGCCGTTGTGAAAATACTCCTCAAATATCCCACGGTCAAGTTTGCTACGAGAAGCGGTGGCCATGATCCCAATGTCGGCCATTCATCTGTTCAAGACGGAGTCCTTATCGCCATGACTGATCTTGCTGGTGCAACGTACGATGCAGCGAAAAAGGTTGCGTATGTCAAACCAGGTGGTGAATGGAACGACGTCATCGGTGCTTTGGAACCGAGTGGGGTGACTATAACCGGTGGGAGACTTGGTAAGTATGGCTTGTGAGAATTTTACCGTCTCGACTGACATGCATTGTAGGAATTGTCGGTGTTGGTGGATATCTCTTGCAAGGCGGTATCTCCTTCCTCAGTGCTCAAGAAGGCCTCGCTGCCGATGTTAGTCATGATGATCTCCCTTGTCCCGCATACACACGACTTACGCATGGCAGAATATCATCGGATGGGAGACGGTCATGTCTAACGGATCAATCGTGAACGTCGATGCTGCCACCCACCCAGACCTCGCTCAAGCCATGAGAGGAAGCGGCAGCCAATTCGGCATCGTAACAAAGTTCACCGGTACCAAACCCATCCACAGTAAACCGAGGTATCTCACTAAACCCCCATGTAGTCAAAGTCCACCCAATCGGCGACGTCTTTGGCGGGATGTGCATCTACACTGCCGCAGACCAGGAACCAGCACTGTACTCCGCTTTCCACAACTTTGCCGGAACGGGCGCCAACGACTCAAAAGCCGCTATCATATTCACTGATAACCTGTCTGCTGGAGGAGCCAAGACGAAGATTGTGTTCTACTTCTACGATGGTCCTGTGGCGCCTACAACGGGCCCGTTTGCCGATTTCCTCAAGATCCCGGGCCTGATTTGTGCGCCCAAGACGCAGAAATACTCTGAACTTGTAAGTTTTTCACTCGACCACGAAGCACAGATCAAGACATTAATACAAAGCAGCTACGAAACAACGGCGAGAGCTCCAGACATCTCGACGCCAGGGTATCCTTCCGAGTAAGCCTCCAACCCCCTACCACCACCACTTAATACCCAACAAGACTCACACCTCCCCCAGACCTACACACTCCCCTACATCGCCTCGCGCCCGCAAATGTACCAAGAAGTGCGCGACAAATACGCCAACATCACCGCGCCCTTTCTGACCGCACTCCGCCCCAAAGCCCAATTCAGCACCGACTTCCAGCCCCTGCCCTCCATCGTCGGCACCCACACCGCCGCAAAAGGCGGCAACGCAATGGGCCTCACAGCCTCGGACCCGGACCGCCTGATCCTCGAAATCCAGGGCTCGTGGCAGCTTGCCAGCGATGACGAGCAGGGATACGGGATCACCAGGCAGCTGACAGAGTGGCTGGACACGCAGGTCCCGCTGTGGCTCGCGCAGGCGGGTATGCCGTCGCAGGTGTATTTGCCGCTGTTTATGAATGATGCTGCGGGGGATCAGCCGGTGGTTCAGAGTTATAGCGGGTATGCTAAGTTTAGGGCGCTGCAGAGGTGGTATGATCCGTTGGGACTGTTTAGTCGGAGGGCGGGCGGGTTTAAGTATTAGGGCTGGGTTGGTTGGTGTGTGGAGTGGAGGGAGGTGGAAGGGTGGGTTCAATGCGGTGTGGTTGTGGGAGTTTGGACTGTGCATCTTCTTGGGGCTGGTTGTAGTGTGAGAATGATGGCGAATGGAAGGTTGCAGGATTACTCCAGACCAATGCCATTATAGTGTTGTTTATCTGGGAATGTGGATGTGTGTAGATACTTGCATGTTCTACTATACGACCAGCAGGATACTATAGCATAGCAGTATATTTGCCATGAACGGAGCGTGGTGATGGTGTAATTGCCCTGCTTGCTCACACATTACCGTTTTTGAGCTATACTCTCCTGCTTGGGCGTAAGACGATGACCGTACTGATATACACGACGATATGAGAATACAACACAAGACCAAACACAAGCACAAGATCATACCATGGCCACATCCCACCAAGAGCACATATGCCGTGCGAAGTTCCAAATATATGTAAGCATGCATAAACAAACTTGCTTGCTTGCTCACTTAATTCATGTCTCCCTTCCCAAAGAATATTGTACGGGTATACCATATCTCGCCAGACACCCCAACCCAGACACCAGACAATGCCGCTAGAACGATGATAAACAACAACAACAACAACACAAAAAGACTTGTCCCACGCCAATTGTCGATAAAAATGCGATATTTTGGTACTCGACCCAACCGAGTCTGCATATAACCTCTCCTTTACTTCCCTGTGAACTCGCCTTCAAGGTGCTAAAAATATTGTTAGCAAGGGGGTCATGTCAAGCACACCACACACTACTCACCGACCACTCCGGAATCTCCCTGATGCGCTGCCACATGTACCTCTCCAGACGCGTCGCCGCCTTCGCATACGGGGTGCTCTCGTTGTTATATTTGCGGCAATTGTCGAAGACGAGTTTCGCATCGCGGATAAAGTCCTCAGGCGTGGGGTATAAATCTTTCTCGTGTTTCTCCTCCATGGTGGCCAGATCCATGGGCTCTTTGATGACCTCGTAGTAGTCAAGGACCTCGTCTTTGTTGACGGGCTGCTGGAAGGGCCATGCGTTGCTGTTGTTCTGCATGTCGTTGAGGAGGTGGAGGAGGGTGTTGTAGTTTGGACCGTGGCGGGGGGCGCGGGCGAGTTCGTCCATGACGGGGGACCAGCCGCTGCTCTTGATGGAGGGGATGGTGAGCGGGTCGATGGGCTTCAGTTCGCCGGGTACGCCTTTTGCCCATTGTGCGGGCGGGGCGTGGACCTGGTTGCTCTTGCTGACTGCGTGGATCTTCGCGTTGACGCACTCTTTTTGCTTGAGCAGCATGCGTCCGCTTTCGAGGTACCGGATCTTGGGCACCATGCTGCATTGCATGATGGTTCCGCCTTCGTAGTCCTTGATGTAGCCCATCCAGCGACTCTTCTCAAGGGTGATTTCCTTGGTGAAGCCTTGCTTCTTGAAGTACCCGATGGCGTAGTTGTCGGCGTAGGTGAGGAAGTGCATGACGGTGGACGTGGCTTTGACGTAGTCCTTCAGGTGGGACATGAGATGCGCGCCGTAGCCCTTGACCTGCTGGTCCGAGGAGATGGCGCAGAAGACGATTTCGGCGAACTCGCCGGCGGAGAAGGGACGGTAGGTAATGCCCCTGGAAGGAGTTAGATTGGTGGGAGAAAGAGGTCGGCAACAGGACATACCCAACAACTTCCAAGGGATGTTTCACAATGGCGATGCTTAAATGCGTCCGGTCGTAGACGAGCCGTGCTATGTAGTCCTTGGGCATCTTAGGCAGTTGCTTCTGGAAGATGCACTTCAAGCCCGTCAGGATGATGGTGCTTTCCCGGCGGCCATCGTTGTTGACGACGCGGAACTCGATCTCGCCGGTGCGCTCCTCGATGACGGCAGGCTTCTCGGGGAACGGGACGATGCGCAGGGCGGGCTTGGGGGGCGCATCGTCGGCGGAGGAGGCAGAGGGGCTGGCTTGCTTTGCGCGCTTGGGTGACGTGGGGTTGAGGGGCTCGGTGGTTGCTTTGCGCTTCGCTGGGGAGTCTTGGTTAGTGTGGAGCGTGGACAGCGGCACTTCGGGCGACGACAATGCAAGGGGCTGGAGTGCAGGCGACGTGGCCGGCGAGTGCACCGGCGTGGACGTGGGGTAGCCCAGCACGTCGCGCAGCTGGCTCTTGCTCGGCGTCATCGAAGCCACCGGAGCTGCAGAAGCCAGGTCGAGGGCGGCGGACGTGTCGAGGGTGCATGCGCAGTGCCGGTTGTCTTGCCTCGACGGTTACTACGAGAGGCGCATACTCACCATCTTCAGCTGTGGCGCCCGCCATGGTTGGGTGCGTCGTGTGCAGCGCGCTCGCGGGACGATGCAGTCGCGCCTTCTCTCCGCGTCGTCGTGGTGAATGTCGGGGAAGCGACGCCGCACTAGCCAGCTGCTGTCGATCACTGCCAAGACAGGGCTGCGCGGCCGCTCGAGAGGACAGCGAGCAGCTTCACGCTGGCCGAGGGCAAGACACTCACGCTCATTGCCGCCGAACCATCCATGTCGAGCCCACTCCTTGACGTCTGGGAGGCTGCTGCTGCCTCGCCCTACCAGCCCTCCGTGGGAAAGGACACGCAGTTCACCGTCGGCGCCGTGCTGTTGCTGCTGGGTACGTCGTCGTGGATGCGCTGCGGAGCTATGCTAACGGCCTGCAGCTTTCTTCCTGACCGGCGTCTTTGGCCTGAGTATGCGCGACACGCCTGCCCACCACGCTGCACCACGTGCTAATTCCAGATCAGACCGCTCCGTCGTCAACCTGCCGCTTCTCGGTGCGCCCGCTTCACTGGCATTTGGGTGCGCATCTTCTGCGATTGAATCTTGGGACAAGAGCTGACAGCCACAGCTTCGGCGCCGTGTACATGATCTGCGCAGTCGGCGTCTACGTCTAGCTCTTCTCGGCGTCTACTTGTTCTCTCCGCCGGGCGTTTGGGGGCATGCTGTGTGTGTAGTCTACGGGAATGCAATAGAAGTTCAAGCACGCGAATCCACCTCCTCCTCCACCATTTCACCCACGTCCCCCATTGACTGCCAACATCCCACACCAACATCACGCGCGACCACATCTACCCACCATGGACGACGAAACCCCGCCCATCCTCACAGCCGTGTCCAGCTCTGCCCGCCAGTTGTACCAACTCCTCCGCTGCATCGCCTTCTCCTCCAAAGCACACGTCCAGATCAGCGCGGAGGGGCTCAAGTTTTCCGTCGACGAGGCGAGCGTCATGGAAGGTTCGTCCGCTCTTCCACTGCTTCCCCACGCGTAATTGACGCGAACCTGCAGCCTCCGCCTTTCTCGACAAATCCCTCTTCACCACCTACACCTTTCACGCCACCTCACCCCCGCGCAACTCGCAGCATTCAGACGACTCGGAAGACGAAGAACCTGACACAAGCACCACCCCGACCTTCCAAATATCGCTACCCGCACTCCTCGAAACGCTCCAAATATTCGGTCTCACAGATCCCAGCACCACCAAGCCGCCATGGGCGCGCGACAACCCATACCCCACCAGCACAGCCTTCAGCAACAACGTGCTCGGCATGAACAATCTCTGTCGCATAACCTACGCCACGCTCGGCGCTCCGCTCTCAGTCATCCTCACCGAAGCGAGCATACGCACGATATGTGACCTAACCACCTACGAGCCCGAGTACACCGACGACATACCCTTCGATCGCCAGAGCCTCGCCTTCAAAACAATCATGCGCGGGAACTGGCTGCACGACGCCATCTCCGAGCTCTCCTCCACGAGCCCCGAAAAGCTAACCATGTACGCCAAGCTCATACGCGGCAAGTCCTTCTTCGCCCTGACTTCATCCGGCACCCTTGGCTCAGCGCGCGTAGAGTTCAACAACGAGCCCCAACCCTCTGCATACCGCACCCCCGCGCCCACAAACACAAACACAAACACAAACACAAACAACGACGCAGCAGCAGACCAAACCCCCGCTAACCTGCTCGAAACATTCCAGCTCTCGGACCCGGACTCCGTCCTCAAATCAAGCTACAAGTTCTCCCTCGTCCAGAAAGCTGCGCGCGCTATGAGCGTCGCGACCAAAGTCAGCGTTCGCGTTGATACCCAGGGCGTGCTGAGCATGCAGTTTATGATTGAGATTGAGGGTGGAGGCGGGCCGGGCGCTGGAGGAGCTGCGGGGAAGATTTCCTTTGTCGACTTTCGGTTTGTGCCGCTTGTTGAGGACGATGAGGAGGGTGATGGGGGTGGGGATGGACAGGCTGGGGATGCGGATGGGGATGAGACGTTGTTGCAGCGGGGGGTGGGCGGGGATGCGGGGGATGTGGATATGTTTTGAGATGGGGGTTGATGATGGGGATGGTGTATTTGGTATGAAGTGTGGACGTTATGCTATGTTCCGTTATGCGACAATGCTATGTCCAAGTATTCCAGCTGTGTTGTCTACTAGAGGTGTGTTTCTAGCTTGACGGGTGACCGACCACTCGATCGATGTCGGTGTCTGGAAAAACCCCTCGAGCCCTGCACAAGACAAGACTCCCACATTATCCTCTCGTCTCATCTGCTATCCAACCAAGACCTTCCTGTCATCATACATCCATTCATCCAATGTCACAACGAACGAACACATACCCGCACCACCAACCCAAATGCACACTCTCCATTCAGCAATGAGTAGAAGCTAGAAGCAGCCATCAACCCCCATGTATCAATTCACTATTTACCTTTTTCCACGAAATGATGCTGGTGTGTTCATATCGCACTGTTTCGATTTATATACGCCTTGTCTGGCTTAGGATGGGTTGAGTTGTAGTGTTGAAGAGGGTGTGGTGTGTTGATATGTTGTTTCGTTTCGTTTCGTTTAGAGGTTGCAGTGCAGTGATTGTTGGGTGTGTAAGTATCGTCAGGAATAAAGGGGGCGATGCATATGCGGGAGTTGATGGGAGTATATCAGTTAGTACATGAGCTTTGGAGAGCTTTCATGCTGTGTTTCCGCGGGTGATGAGGAGATATTGTGTAGAGTACTGTGGGTAGGGTGTGGATGGAAGGAGGGGGGGTTGGTGTATGTATGGATACTTTTGTGCATGACTAGTTGATTGACTGGATATGTTTTTGTACCAGGTATTACTGTTTCTAAGTTAGGTTAAATCTGCTGCCAAGCACGATTTAGTCGTGCATCTTAGCCTTGCAAAGTCGCGCCTATCTCTCCCTTGTCTGCCCAGCTTCCGTGTGTGTGGGTGCTCGGGAACAGGCACCATGGAGCCATCAAGGCGCTAGATATTTCGGTGGCTTGAGGCTCGATATCTTGCCGCTGGACAAAAGGCGGGTCTACTACCTAGAGTGGAGTTGTCTTGTCCGACTTTCGGAGGCTAGACTGGGGCTTCTTTTGTCCATGGTGAGCGAGGACGAGTTTGTATCGGCAAAGTCTGTGCGGTCCAGTCTCCGCCCACGGTGGGAATCGTTGATAGATAGAGACCCGCCAACATGTGTGGATACCGCAGTGGCTATCTATCTATCCGGTGCGGCGTCTCATAGGCAAGGCGACTTCCTATCAAAGTGCGTGCGGTCAACGTGTATTTAGGATCAGCTGACAATTTAGCATGTCTTTCAACATGTGACAATTGGCCCGGCAACGAGATTGGCCTTCTCTAGATAGCTGTGGCTTGAGATCCTTGACACCAGAAAGGTATCGCGCCAGGTTGACCAAACTCCTTCGGAATTGGAAGTCAGATTGCTACGAGATGCAATTTGTTTTCTGTCAGATAGAGATGTGCATCGTGATGATGATGGTTGTCTTCCTTGTGGAGGCAGGCGCACGCATGACTGCAAATGGACATGAGAAGGCGATCTTGTTGCTTTGGGGAATGGTGTCTGGGTGCATTCTGAGAAAGCCATCGACGCTGAAATCGACTTTCACGAGAATGGAGCCCAAAAGTCCATACTGTCGCGTCTATGAATCTCATGACCGTCAATAGCCACGTGAGAGATGGCCGCTTGGAGCATGGACCCTTGGGACGGCCCACTGTGGGGATATGTCAACCCGCAATGTCCGGGGCACCGCATGCAAAGTCGTGCGCAGAACGAATACGAAGGATGCTTCCAAGCATCTCAAGAATGTCTTGTCTTTGCCCTACTCTAACCAGAGTGTATATAAAGGCGACCTCCGTGACAGGAAGTCGGTGCAATTGACTGAATGCGTCAGATTGATAACGCTTCCCGTTGTTGGGGTATATGATACGAGCGCGCCTGAAGGTGCATCTGGCCTAGCGCCGACCTGGTTATCGGTATCAGCAGTGTTCAACGAAGATAGCTTCGAGAAGAGGATTCGAAAAGTTCATGGCCGTAGCAAATGATCTTGTTCGCAGCGGCGCAGTTCTGGGATTGGTGCTGCTGTGATAACGGCAGAAACGGTGGCTGACATGCGTCGTGCTAAGCATTCCACAGCGGATCAGCGGTGTTCGTGGAAGCCATGTGGTAATGGTTGATGCCAGCTCGCACACATGGTTGGTTGTTCGAGGCCCTGCTAATACGGTTCTTGCTCGCGAGGGGTCCAGAAGGGATCCTGGGGCCTTTCCTGCTGCAGCGCGTCTATTCCCAAGACTCTCGCATGAGAAACTCCTCGGGGAGCACGAGGTTGATTAGGATGCGATGTTGGGGCGTGTTACTTCGAGAACGCCACACCAAGCCCAATGCAGCGCCAGAGCCGAAGCCCCATTTCAATCGCCGCCGCTTATCACAGGCTAGCGGCCGCCTAGAGCACGTTCGTCGCCGCAATTGGCGAGGAAAGACTGGGGAAGATAACGAACCCAGTCGTCCTGGCAAGCCTGCGTATCGACGGCGGGTGATGGGTGTGTTTGACACGAGATGACAGTCTGCTCAGAAGCGAGCGTATGGCCAGTAAAACGCATACTAAGCGCAGCCAAACCAGCGGAGATGACCGGGGGCCAATCAAGCGCAGAATGATTGCGCTTCCGCCATGTCCAAAGAGGCAGTTGCCAAGAGCAATGTATTCGGGGTTCGAGGTTGTAGTCTGGCCTACCGCGGCAGCATTAGTAGCCCTCCACTTTTGTGGTAGCGCCATCACTGTGCGAAAATATAACCCTCGTGGTGGCCGACAATTCCACGAGCCATCGATTCCTCGCTCATTTCAACTTCTCGCAAGGAATTGCCCACGTGCCTATCTTCAGAATGGCCGCCCACAACACCTCCCTCCAGCATGGTGTGTTGCGCAACGACGACCCCGCTCTCGACATCAACCATGAGCACCACCATGAGCACGTGCACCACAGTGCGCGCGCTGCTCACGAGGGGAACGACGTGCCTGCCTACACGGTCGGCACCACAGACGACAGGACCATAGTCCCTAACCCCAGTGCTCATGAGCAAAATCTCCACCACCGTCACAACCATGTCGGGCACGACATGGAGAAGGCTGGCGGAATCGATTTCGAAGAAAAGGGTACACGCAGCTCTTCGAGTCCCGAGGGCGAAGTAGAGATGGAGAAGAAGAGCAAATGGTCGCCATCTGGTATTTACAGCAAGGCTAGACTGCCTGTTCACATTCTCATCGGCGCTCTTTTCACCGGGTAAGCTTCATCGCGTAGACCTGCCAAGGTCGATTGTACTGACAGTTGTAGATGGTGGATTGCGAGTCTGGTCATTCACCGCCATGACAAGAACTGGGTCATTCCTTTCCTGTTCTGGCTGGCCATCATGATTCGATTGATCACCCTCCATGTGCCGACCACCATTGTCACCAAGCCCATGAAATTCGTCTGGAACAACACCGGAGTCAGAATTGGAAACATGGTTCCCCAGAAGATGCGTGTCCCTGCAGCTGCCGCTCTTACCATCGGTGTTATTATCGTTGGATCATTCGCCAGCAAGGAGAGCGAGGACAACACACGTGCCAACCGTGCTGTCTCCCTCTTCGGCCTGCTCGTCTTCATTGTTGGATTCTACGCCACCTCCCGCAACCGTTCCAAGATCAACTGGCACACCGTCATTGTGGGCATGTTGATGCAGTTCATCATCGCGCTCTTCGTCCTGCGAACTGGCGTTGGTTATGACATCTTCGCTTTCATCTCCGAGCTTGCTCGCGACCTGTTGCACTTCGCCAACGCCGGTGTCATCTTCCTGACGGACGCCACTGTTCCCAACCTACCCTGGTTCTTCACTGGTGTAATTCCGCCCATCATCTTCTTCGTCTCTTTCGTCCAGCTCTTGTACTACTGGGGTGTTCTCCAGTGGTTCATTGGAAAATTCGCCGTCTTCTTCTTCTGGGCCTTGAAAGTGTCTGGTGCCGAGGCCGTCGTCGCTTCTGCTTCTCCCTTTATCGGTCAGGGTGAATCTGCCATGTTGATTAAGCCTTTTGTCGCTCATCTCACCATGGCCGAATTGCACCAGGTCATGTGCTCCGGATTCGCGACCATCGCTGGTAGTGTGTTGGTGGCCTACATCTCCATGGGACTTAACGCTCAGGCTTTGATCTCGTCCTGTGTGATGAGTATTCCCGCCTCTCTCGCCTTCAGCAAGCTGCGATACCCCGAGGAGGAGGAGACTCTCACGGCTGGACGCGTTGTTATCCCCGACGACGATGAGCACAAGGCTGCCAACGCCCTCCACGCCTTCGCCAACGGTGCTTGGCTCGGTATCAAGATTGCCGGTATGATCATCTGCACACTGCTTTGTATCATTGCGCTCCTGAACTTGGTCGACGGTCTTCTTACCTGGTGGGGACGCTACATCAACTTGGATGGCGAGTACGACCTTACGCTTGAGCTTATTCTTGGCTACGTCTTCTACCCCGTGGCTTTCTTGCTCGGTGTGTCTCGCGAGGGCAAGGATCTACTTCTCGTCGGTCGCCTCATCGGTATCAAGGTCATCACCAACGAGTTCGTCGCCTTTACCAACCTCGTCGCAAAGGACGACCCTACGTCCGAGTACCACTCTCTCTCCCCACGATCGCGTGTCATTGCAACCTACGCTCTCTGCGGTTTCGGTAACATCGGATCCCTCGGTACCCAGATCGGTGTGCTCAGCCAGATCAGCCCTGGACGCAGTGGTGATGTTTCTCGTCTTGCGATGTCGGCCCTGGTTTCGGGTGTCTTCTCCACGTTGTCCAGTGCCGGTATTGCCGGTTTGGTTATCGTTGACCAGGGCAAGTTCTCGAGCGGTGCTTAAATTGGGTTGTAAAAAAGCGTGCATGGTGGTCGTTCGTCGACGCATCTCTCGCTAAATGGTCCTCAATGTAAAGTTAGTTGTTTGGTGCGTAATATACCCAGTAGCGGATCTCAAATAGAGACTTTTATCTTCAAATCTTCCACTATGCTGAGACTCCCTTGATGAAATGTGTATAACACCAAGCTTAAAAGCGTTTTCATGCGCTGTCCTACGTTGCTTGATTGGTTGCTTGACATGCTGAATTGTCAAGACGAGGAGAGTACAAAGGAGGCTGCATGTGTCCTTAAAGGTCGTCGATGGCTAGTATATGCGTCAGGTCAGGATGGTTTTGCGTCATTCGCTAAGTTTAGTGTGTTTGACACCTTGGTCTTATGGTAAGCCTATTGTGGATAGTTGCTGCTCGACAAGATTTTACAAGGGCCAGGTGAGAGCTATGCAGCCGCTGCTTGTGCTTCAAATGCCGGACGTGGAATATATGATCTGACTACTCTCTCGGTTAGTCAAAGCACCTGGAATCAAGTTTCCCGTGAGTTTTGCCGCAGCTTGACAACCACATGCCAAATTCGTGTAGAACTTGCGTGTCTTGACTATCACTAATATCCGTCTACGGGTCTGTTTTGTTGGTAAAATTCAACCTCGTGGTAAAGCTTCCTTTTTTGACGGAGAAGCACGTAGCTAAATTCCGGCTGCCTTAATATGCACGCTACGATTTCGCCGTTTTTATTGGTGTCCCGATTGCTTGTGGCTTATCCTACTTTCAGCCTCAAGTGTCCCCTTTATCATTTTATCAGAACATCTATAATCCATTATGCAGATGCTCAACAACGAGCGTCCTCCCTAACGTTCGCCCCACAAATGTACCGCAATGGATCTAGTAATACTGGGGCACCGCGGCGTCCGCGGACGCGAAGTATGCGGAAATACGAGCGTTACTTGGCATCCGAAGCATGACCTGATGATTTCTCTTGGCGTAGGCATTTCGGACATGACGTTCGCCGTCTTCTTACTTAGTCGGTACGGTTCGCGTTTGTGATCTTGTCATACCTAATGGTTGAGCAGTCAGAAATTTGAAAGAGAAGAGATAGTTTGGGAAATTATGGCGCGACCAAAATGGCTGTCGTCATTGACACAGCATGGCTCGAAACCACCTTACATGTTGAAGATCAGAAGTTCAGAAGGATTTATAACCGGCACGATAGCTCTGGCCGTATTCACAGTAAGTTATGGTTGTAGCGATGAGGAAATCTGAAGCTGATCATCTCAGGACATGTTTCTCTACAGCGTCATCGTTCCTGTCATTCCTTTTGCCATACAATCGCGTAGCCATGTGGAACACGACAGGGTGCAATACTGGGTTTCTGTTCTCATCGCCGTCTATGGGGCGGCTCTGCTTGCCTTCTCTCCATTGTGTGGATGGCTTGCGGATCGCGGCGCGTCTCGTCGATCTCCGCTTCTCTTTGGACTGTTCGCGCTGTTGGGGGCTACGGTCTTATTGCAGATTGGCAGTTCTATAGGAGTCTTGATTGCCGGACGCGTTCTGCAGGGTGCATCAGCTGCGGTTGTGTGAGTGGCTGCTTGTCTAGGCGACCTTGATCTGAAGCAGAGATTTTAAGCTGACACTGGCAGATGGGTTGTTGGCCTTGCGCTCTTAGCTGATACGGTTCCCCAAGAGAGGCTTGCTCAAAGTATGGGGCATGTTTCCATCGGAATGTCACTTGGTATTTTCATAGCCCCATGTAAGCAACTTACCATCATAAGTAGTACGCAAGTGGAAATTTTACTAACCATGACTGCACCTTCAGTACTGGGTGGAGTCGTTTTCGATAACGCCGGATATGACGCTGTATTCGCCATGGCCTACGGATTGATTGCGCTCGATATTGTACTTCGTCTCTTACTCGTGGAGAAGAAGGTAGCCGCACGATGGGATTCCGACGCAGGACCAGTACCAGTGGTCATCAACGAAGAGTCGGAGAACAGCCAGACGGAAGTCGCAACGCATGCCTCTGATCCTGAGAAGGCGATGCAAATCACCCCCGCCCAGCCACAGATGAAACCTGCAGACGCTTCAACTCCTTCACCTCGTTTCCGCGATCGCCTACCACCCGTCCTCTCACTGCTTTATTCTCGACGTCTGCTCTCTGCCTTGTTCTGCTCCCTCATCCTAGCCGCCCTTACGACCTCTTTTGACTCTGTCCTCACTATCCGCGCCGCTACAATTTTCCATTGGAACTCAACAGGAGCAGCGCTGCTCTTCCTGCCTCTTGTGATTCCCACCTTCCTAGCGCCCCTGTTTGGCTGGCTCAGCGATAAGTACGGGAGTCGTTACTTTGTTGTACTTGGCTTCCTGGGTGCTTGCCCGCCTTTTGTCTGCCTTCGCTTCGTCGATGAGAACACTATGAGAGACAAAGTGTTGCTCTGCGCGCTACTTGCGGTGGCTGGACTTTTCCTTGCACTTACATACCCACCAATCATGGCCGAGATCTCAGTTGTGGTGGAGGCGAAGGAGAAGAGCATGCTTGCGCGTGGCCATCCAGGGTTTGGACCTGGTGGAGCGTTTGGTCAGGGCTACAGCTTGTTTAATGTTGCTTTCGCAGGAGGCTGTATGGTTGGACCACTTTTGGCCGGCTTCATTGTGGAGGACAAGGGATGGGCGACGATGGCTTGGGTGCTGGGGCTATTGTCGGGCATCACGGCTCTGCCTGCGTTTTTATGGATGGGTGGCTGGCTGCTTGGAAAGACGGATCATGGGAGTTGAGGATGTGTAAAACACATTATGACTTTTGCTTTGTTCGATGTCTGAGCGAACATGACAACAACCGTTTGTCCAACTTCGCCTATGACTTCACTCGAAAAGTTTACATCCTCTTCCTGGTTGCGCTATCTTCCAGGGTCCAACGCCATGTTTGATTTTCACATGGCAACGCCTAGACTGCGGCTAGCATTTACGCCACTCTATTTTCCCTGCCCCACTTTCCAACCTCTAGACATCCTCAACACCACCCACATCGTCGTCACTACAGTCCAGACTCTCCACCTGGTTTCTGGACAAGCCCGCGCTTGCTTGAGTGCATCGGTATTCAGCTGGCTTCGAAGACAGTCTGGACCGTTCGTTTTGCCACCACGCTATCGTCAGGCACTGCACGCCCCTGGACGGCTCTGGATCATCCCGAGAACTCTCACTCTCGGTTAGTCCACCTTGCAACAGCTTGACAACTACCTACATCGAAAATTAGTGTAGGAGCCTGATGTTCAATCTCCTCGCCGTATACGCCTAGCATACACTTTTGTAAAATATGTTGGTGTGGTTTTACAGCCTTTAGGTGCCACAAAGCATGCAGCTTGCTTCCCACATACACACTTTCAGACTCACATGCCAACTTACTCGCGCGTCCCAGTAGACGAGAATTATGCGGGCCCCGCGCTTCTCCTTCTACGCTTGCCGGAAAAGCCGCGTCCCAGTGCTGGTCACGTCACGAGTAGCAACCCATCTCATACTGATTCCGTCATCTCGAAGTCTTGGTCTACTTCTTACTCAATCATATCAAAGCTTTAACTGTTGGCTTGTTTCATGTTGCACAAACTAAGGCACTTTTTTTCATATTTGTAGATCGAGGTGTTCTTTTTCTAGCAATGTCGTCAATGAGCATCTTCACGTGTTGGAAGAGCTTCCCGTGGGGTAAGATCCTGCTCTCTGTTCACAAATGCAATGTCGGAATAACGGGACGAAGTGTAAGTTAGCTCGATAGGTCATCATCTATTAATATGCAGAGAGTCTCTCATTCGTCCCCCCTTTTTGTAGGCTTACGCACTGCCACACTGTACAGGGTAATTTTCGCAAACACATCATCCCTTACAAGTATGACATAAGCCTTAGTCTACTATCTTCTTAGCCACGTCAAGGCCATCACAGGCTTGCCGTTCGTTTGCACCTGCCAACCTAAACCATTCTCGTACGTTGAGAGCCTTTCTTAACTGATTACTCACGCGATTCGCTTGGCCCGTTCCAGTATTGGCAGCTGCAAGGGATTAGTACCAAGCCTTTGATTTCTGCAATATAGGGTCGTTCTCGCTGTCACGTTGCCGGTGCCTCGAGTTCAGCCTTCTACCATCTATTTGGATTGTGTCGTCGCATTTTCTATTGCACACTTCTACTCTTGCTAAAGATATCGGGTACAATTAAACTTTTGCATAATGTATCTCACGCGCGCGTTGGCTGCGTTATCGCTATGCATCCCTGCGCTTGCGAATCCTATGTAAGTCCATGTCCATAGGTTCTCAAACACAGGCACACACATCTCACCCGATGTGAAGACGCAACCACACATCTGGTGGCTCCCGCGAGAGCGCATGCACCGTTTTCTAGTCTTGCTAACCCTGTATAGTGAGAAACGTGCAGTAGCCTTCAATTGGGGTACTGAGAAAATGAGAGGTGTCAACATTGGTGGGTGGCTAGTTCTAGAACCGTGAGTTGCATCGATGCTATCGAAAATCTCGAGATCCTAACTTGGGTGAACAAATACAGATGGATTACTCCTTCGATCTTCGACAGCGTAAATCAGAACCGGCCCCAGAAAGATATTGTTGACGAGTATACTTTGTGCGATAAGTTGGGGCATGATCAGGCGCTCGCTATCCTCAGAAATCACTGGAACACGTGGACCACGTGGGCAGACTTTAATAAGATCAAACAATCCGGGTTTAATGTAGTTCGTATTCCCGTTGGATTTTGGGCTTATGATACATTTGGTACTCCATACGTGCAAGGTGCCAGGGACTATATCGACGCCGCAGTTGACTGGTCCCGAGGGTTGGGGTTGAAAATCATCATCGACCTCCACAGCGCACCTGGATCGCAGTAGGCTATTTTCTCCACTACGTTAGCCTATTATACTGATAACGTGACAGGAACGGATACGACAACTCAGGCCAGCGATTAGACCGTCCAACTTGGCAGTCCGGCAACACCGTGCAGCAGACTCTACAAGTCCTTCAAACGATATCACAGAAGTATGCGCAGACCAGGTACCAGGATGTCATCATCGGCATTGAACTCCTCAACGAGCCTGCCCTTTACTCTGACGCTCTGCGCGAGGACGTCTTGCGTCAGTTTTACAGGGACGGCTACGGCCAAGTCCGCGCAGTCTCTGATACACCAGTTATCATGTCCGACGCTTTCAAGGCACCGAACACGTGGAATGGATTTCTCACTCCCTCCGACAACAACGCACAGAATGTCGTGTTGGACCACCACGAGTACCAAGTTTTTGACAACGGTCTTCTCCGCTTGTCACCTCTACAGCATCAACAACACGTCTGTAGCACTGCGGAATCCTACAACGGTGCTGATAAATGGGTATGTGACGTTCATGTGTAAGCTTGGCCAATACACGCGCTGACTTTGTAGACTTTCGTGGGCGAATGGTCAGGAGCGATGACTGATTGCGCCAAATATCTCAACGGTTATGGCCGTGGCGCGCGATACGATGGCTCGTTTGCTGGCAGTTCATTTGTTGGCTCTTGCAGCTGGCAGAACGATGTGAATCAGTGGTCTGCCGACTACAAGACCCAGTCGCGCAAGTACATCGAGGCGCAAATCGCAGCGTATGAGTCGAAGACACAGGGATGGACATTCTGGAATTTCAAGACAGAGGGAGCGGCAGAATGGGACGCGTTCAAATTGATTGACGCTGGTGTTTTCCCGGCAATCAAAAATGGACGAGTGGAGTATCAGTTTGGATCGGGTTGTTCAAACTTCTGAGAGGACGCTACAGAACAAGCGGACGCCATAGTATCACACATTTAGTCGTATCCAGATAGGAATGCGAGTAAATCTAGCTTTTCACCTACGTCCGGAGACTCTTCTCTATCGAGTCGCTGAACCTTCTTCCGGATACAGTCTTGTGGAGATGCATGCACCTGGTTTCTTCAGTTGTCAACATGATTGCGAGCCATCCAGGGCCCCTGTCGCGGATATTGAAGTGTTGCCGAAATCCACAACCCTGAGTACCACATTCCACGTTGGGACAAGATCTTCGGCCAAGCTCACCGCACGGTTATCTGCAGTAGTATACAGTGCGGGGAAAAAGCTTGGGAGGCTTGATTACCAGGTGTTGATATCGAGTTCTCATTGTTATATCATGAACGCATAGCAGCCTTTTTCGTAGTGCTGAGCCCTACAGGTTCCTCACTTTTCCACGATTTCGAGCGAGCACTCCGCGTTATTCACAGTGCCTGCGTCAAGATGACTTCAAGAGGGCAGACAGCGATGCAAGATGAAAAACCTATCAATCCTGTAGTGGAGAAGTCCGACTTGAACAACGAAAAGCTTGCTGCTTTGGAAAATGTCGACTTCACTGGCGCCACGGCCAAAACAGATCCAGCGGAGATCAAACTTGTAAAGAAACTCGACTGGCGCATCATGGTATGCAGTTTTCGATTCAGGATGAAGAGATTACTAACGATAAACTTAGCCAACGCTCTGCACGATGGTACACACTCCCAGTCTCCACGTTCGCGTCAGCTCACATTTGAGCAGTACTTCCTCAACTACGTCGACCGAAATGCAATTGCGCAAGCCCGACTCAACAATCTCGAGAAAGACTTGAACATGTCAGGTATCCAGTTCAACACCACAGTCAGCATGTCAGTATCGTCATTGTAGTGACCAACCCTATATTTGCTAATCTGATGAAAGACTCTTCGTCGGCTACGTTCTTGTATGTTCATCCCCATCCAGATCTCCAGCAAACTAGTTTCTGAGAACCCGTAGATGCAAGTACCCTCCAACATGCTCATCACACGGATCAAGCCCGGCATCTACATGAGCGTGTGGATGTTCATCTGGGCTGTTGTGTCAGCATGCACGGCTCTTGTCCATAGTTTTGGAGGCCTGGTAGTTTGCCGCTTTTTTCTAGGAATCACTGAGGTATATCGTGCCAATGTTCATCGTGAAGCAGAGCAGAAGACTAACAAATTGTTAGGCTCCTGTACGTCAATGACGAGATCTCGTTCTGTTTCTCATCACTTACTCGTGCGTCTGTAGTTCTACCCGGGCGCTACATACATGCTTTCGATTTTCTATACGCGGAAAGGTAATGCCTATGTAGCCGTCTGAACATATTGATACTAACAACGTATCAAAGAGGTAGCTACACGTATCGCTCTATTGTATTGCGCGCAAATTCTGGCCACTGGGTTTTCTGGACTCATCGCAGCTGGTGTCTTTGCAGGCATGGACGGTTTTCGAGGAATCGCTGGATGGCGATGGCTGTTTATCCTGTAATAACCCCGTCGCACTGTTTGTATTTGTACTGTTCTGATACACTCTATAGTGAAGGTGCGGTGACCGCCTTTGTAGCCATTTTCGGCTTTTTCCTCCTGCCAAACACACCTCTCACAACCCGATGGCTCAACCCAGCGGAGCGGGAACTCGCACACTCACGTATCGAACGAGACAGGGTCGGAGATTCAACTGAGCCGGTCAGTACGATGGAAGGTCTGAAGCAAGCTTGTAGAGATAAGAGAACGTGGTTGTTCTGCTTCATGCAGAATTTCCATTTGAGCGCTTGCTCATTCAACTCGTTTTTCCCGACGTAAGTATCCCTATCATATCATCCCACTGATCAATACTAAGAACATCTCAGTGTCGTGAAAACTCTTGGATTCAACAGGACCATCACCCTCGTCTTGACATGTCCACCGTTCATCTTCGCCGGCGCGGCAGGCATCGCGATGGGATGGAGTTCAGGTCGAATGCACGAACGCACATGGCATATCACGGGGGGACTTTTCGTTGCGATAGTAGGGTTTGTCATTGCGGCCAGCACGATGAACACCGCAGGACGATATGTAGCCTGTTTCATCTTCCCTATGGGGGCATACTCTGTCAACTCCGTCATCATCGGCTGGGCATCCTCGACTCTAAGCCAGACCAAGGAGAAGAAAGCAGTAAGCGATAATCTCACGAGAGAGTATAAATGTTTGTTCTGACAGCAAGCAGGTGGTTCTCGCTATGACAAATGTAGGAGGCCAGATTGGGTACATATATGGCGCCTACCTATGGCCCGACTACGATGGACCACGATACGGAATCGGCTTTGGAGCATCGGCGGCCTTTGCGTTGTGCTCAATCGGTTGTGCTTGGGCTATTCGGTTGTTGCTCATCAAAGAGAATAAGAAGCTCCGAGCGTCAACTACAGAGCACGTTAATTTGTATGGATACTAGACACGTTGGACGCCAGTTGGCAGCCGAAGATTCACAAAACGACTTTTTCCGAATGCAGATCGATCTGAAAGTTTCTCTTGCTCAGATCGGATATCAAACCTCGTGACCTAGAAGAGTTGTTACTTTGTAACCGAGTAACGAACGTTTGACATCGTGTAGAGTATATCTCATAGAAATGGAAAACATCTTTTTCGAACAGAGCTTGTCGGCCTCTTTCTTTCTGTCATTCTTACACCTCTCGTAAAGAAACTTGGTTCATAAACACTACAAAGGGTCAGTTGTTAGACTTGAAGACTTATATGAACACTCTGAAATCGAATTGAGAGTAGAGTTAAACCTTGTCTGTATCTACACATTTGAAAGTTCCCAAGTTGTGTAACATATTGCTGATAGTTGACCTTGACTTTCACTATACATCTTAGGCACACTAGATTGCCTCACTCCGCATCTTCCCTACGAGCACTGACTTGATCTTTCCCCGCACTTCTTCAACATCACGTGCCAACAAAGCCTGCCACGCATCGTCTAGCTGATGGCCATGTGCTCCCAATATCGCCTCAATATATGCCAACGTACCCCGATCGTGCCTTGTTTCCTCACGTAGCTCCCAGTACAGTATAGGCAAGATTCCATGCAGGCTTACACCTGCCTTCTCGGGGAGTAATGCATCTAGAATGTATGCTAAAGGGACTGGAGGCGCTTGATCCTGATAGACCGCGTGATGTTTGCAGTCATTCTCACCACATATGACACATGCACGACACAGAGGACATGTGTACAAACCCTTGGACTCAAGGAGCCACTTCTTGAAGCAAGAACTACACAGTACGTGTCCGCAAGGCGCGCGCTGAGGCGCATACGAGGTGTCGTTGAAGGTATTGGTGCAGATCGTACAATTGTCGTCGATTCCGGCTGCCTCTGTGGCTACAGTTTTGATGCCGTTCTTTTGTTTGAGGAAATATAGTGCCTCGGGATCTTTGACTAGGTTCTCGGGATCGTATGCACGTTCTTGCCAGTTTGGAATCTCTGCCACCGCATAGAGGATTTTGCTAGCGATAGACATGGGGTTGTCATCTTTCTGCAGCTGCACAATTTGTAGCCACTGGTGCTGCTTTGCTGTTCGACGAAATGGGTGCTTGAGAGTTGCATCCTTGACCCATCCTAGAAACTGGCTGTATTCGTTCCGCGCATTGAACACTGGAAGTCCCTCATAGATGTTTCTGAGCGCACCTTCGAAGACAAGCTCGATAACCTCATGATTATGCGCCTTGAGAGCATGGACGACCGAATTAGTGAAGTCCTGGAAGATGGACAGGGCTTTCTGGTAGGGATCGACCGGATTGATATCAAGTTGAGCGAATGTTTTGATGTGTTCGAGTTGGAAAAGCCATCCATCCACTACCTGTTCTACGGAGCTCTTCCCCATATCTTTGACTGAGACTCTTGTCGAATCAGTTGAAAGTTTGTCAACCATAATTGAGCAGATGTTGCTTCGGCTATAGTTGGGAGAGCTGAACATGATCTTAAATAGGTGCAGAGTACTTTGTTCTCCATGTTCACAATGCCATACCGCAGATTTTAGACACTCACGTGTTCAGCCCCAGAGACGCTTTAGACCCTTCACTCGACTCGAAGTTACTCTGATGACTTTTCTCGTGTTGCGAATGGTGCAGAAGATTGTCTGTCCCAGATTATCGAGAGGTCGTAATGAAGATTCTTACATGGAAAGCAAAAGATAGTAAAGACATTTGGTTGCGCCTCTGATACATACACACTATTCTTTTAATAAGCTTTGATATTCAAAGTTGAATTATGGAATTTTATGCTGGAAGTTGTTGTAATGTTGATGAAGACCGAATATGTGCTTAAGCTGACCCAGGTATTCAGGACCAGACAAGCGCAGTTATTAACAATAGATAAGAATAGAGGAGGAACGCAGAGAACACACATAATGACAAAGCGTGACACCATGATCGAAAAACATATCTGCGCCCTTGTACTTTTAGTATGACGCTTGGGTAGTCTGATGAGTCTCCAGGAGGTCGCGATCACCCGTGAATTGTCCAAAGAAGTGCAGATACCTCGGGCATACGGTCGGTTCTACCAGTCCCCATGAGTGGCTTGATTTACTACGTGCCTTAAGTAAAGCATTGATTTTGACGCACGGAGAAACGACGGATGCCGAGTGGCGCCTCACTATGTGAGAACTGCAGTAATCACATTGGAATTATTATAGACGTGGTAGCAATTACGGTGAGACTCTCGTATTGATGGGGTCAGCAACCGCAGAAAACACGGGCTGGACGCGTCCCGTCGGAAAGAATATAACTTGACGGCGAACAATAGCACACCTGACAATACACGGAAAGTAGTCCAAGCTCGACAAGGCGAAAAAGTCGACTCGGCCCGTGTGCGGATACGGATATTTAGTTTTGACAAGCTAGTAACACCAGTTACCCTTGGCACCTTAGATTCCAATCACAGTGACAAACCAATCTCCCGTCGCACCGACATGGTCTGATTCGGTCACTCCCGCTGTCAAAACAACGGGAGTGACAGCAGGATTGACTACAAGCTTGTCAAAATCTGCCGTGCCATGTCGCTTCTGCACGTACCCGAGCGCCAAATCCACGTTTCCTGAACACCTCCTGTGTGACCCCCTGTGTGGATCCACAGGGGAACTGCTTACCGCATAGGTGTGATGAAGGCTTGTGGCACGCACGCCCTGCGCTGTAACCGTTGCACAGGAGCGGAGACTAGACTGCTTGTATTTTGACAGCAGTGTGCAGTTCCACAAAGAGCAGTGACACTCGTAGTTGGTCGATCGACCGCCTCAATCCCTCTCCTGATGATGGCCTGTCAGTTGTCTCTCTTGTGTGATTGCGATTTCAAAAAGATTAGGCACATACAAAGTGCTACTTGCAGTTTTTTTGAGGGACTTCAATTGGACATGGGGAAGCGAATGGTTCAAACAAGGAACGTCCAGAAACTTGGGTAGACAAATTCGTCCTCGAAAATGCGCCTGACCTGCTCCAGGACGAATGACTCCACTTTCCCTACATTCTTGAGCACTTGTTTCCCACTGCCCTGCCCCCCAATCTCGCTCTCCACTTTGATGTGTTCGAGCAAACCTCCAACCTTCAATCGCTGCTCCTGTGTGTCTTCCAAGCAAGAACCAAATGACTCATTGCCCACCAATGCATCGGCATCATCAGGCGACAAGAAACAAAAATGAGCCCGCTTCTTGATGTATGCTATGATGGCAACGCCGTCAAAAGTGAGACCGGTAATGTTCAATTTCAATGGAATGCCAACAAAACTTTGCATGGGATAGTCCAACAAGATTTCTGCTGTCAACGACATCTTCACGTCTCCGGAGTATTGCACGTGGGCCACCACTTGGATGTCCTCGGGGCTCTTATCCAATATGCGGGGATGTGACGCAGATGGCGAGCCATTAGACCCATGCTGTGAGGATGAGTCGTTCAACTGCGCAAAGGCGTTTTCCCTCTCGTGATCATGTTGGTGTTTGGAAGACGGACGAGAGCTGGGATCCGGATTTGATTGTGTTGTCGACGTCAAAGAGTTTGTAGATGTAGCATGACGAAGACGCATATTAGTGGGTGTTGATGGCCAAGCATATGAATTGTCGAGCCAGCCTTGTAGCTGTGCGCCAGCAACGGCGGCTAGAGGTGTCGCACTTCCAGAAAGCCCAGAACCCAGAGGAAGATGGAAGTAGTTGAGGTTGGAAGTCCCACCGGGAATACCTGGGGTTGAAACCTTTTGGAAGAGAGGGTTCCCTAGCTGCTCCGTGGGGGCTAGTGAGGGTCGAAAGCCTGGCGGTGGTTTGTTGGCATGTGAAGAGATAGAACGCAAATGACTCGACATATACTCTTCCGCGTGAGATGGTCTCCCTCCCATTTCTCTCACGGGTCGCTCCTTGGATAAGTGACTTGAAGGATCGCTGGTCTCGCGTTGTCCGTCGTCAAACTCTGAAGCATCATTCCCATCTTTCTCTTCGTCTGAACAGTCTTCGTCCTCTTCGTAGAAATCCGGTAGCGGATCACATATGTCCTTGATCTCGATCACGGGCGGCACGCTCCCAAATTCGAATGAGTGGACATGAACTGAGCGGATAAAACGCGGCAGCGTCACCTGCTGGAATCTGTCGTGGATGAAAGCGCGGATTGTCTCTGCGCGGTCAGATCCGTCTGCGCCACCTGTAATGGTATCCCAATTGATATCGATTGACATCCTGGGAAATGGAGTGTTTAGGTTTGACGAGGGAACGCCAGGCTGCTCCCAAAATGGTCGCGACGATCGGCGACTTGCCTGGATTTACGCCGACATCTTGACACTGTGGCGTCATCACTTAGTCCATCACTCAACGAACATCGCCATCATGTCACAACCTGATCATCTATTTAGTTCAATTCTGTTTCCTTTCGTTGTTGGTGCAGTTGCCTGCGGTATTAGCTTGTCCCACAAGGTGCACGTGCGCTGCATTTGGCCTGCATCGACCCCCATCCCTATACATGCCAACGACTATCAACTGACAGGATCGTAACCAGTCAACATGCAAGGATGTCATCGCTCCACGTGTTCGCCCTGACTGTCCCTGCATCAGAATGCCGCTGTACCCCACCAGGAAACTTATAGAGTGGGAGAGAGCTTAGGATGGAGCGGGATGCGAACAGTGCTTGAAACCAAAAAAGTTGCTTGTACCAGACGGTACAATTGAGCCGCTATAGACAATGAACGAATTAATGAATTGATGAAGCAACAAGGATGCCCCTGCCACAAGCAGGCACCGTCAGCTATCGGTTTCCGACGGAAAACTTACAGGTGTAATCTGATGAATACAACCACAACCGTTCTAGGAGTCTTTGCTAGCCACTTGGCTCAAGCTGAAGCATTTTCAATTGCTCTTATGATGGTAACGCTTTAGGGAAGTTGAGCGCTGGTCAATACATGTGAGGATGCGGGACCCTGCGCACATCATGATCACGTACATCTTCGAAACCCTGCTCAACAGAGCCCAATTAAAATTTATATGAGAACAGTCAAGGGAGTTACCAAGGAGCGCCAGTACCCATCTCAAACTCCTCAATCGAGGAAGATTTACTTGCATGTGACTACCTCGTATCAGGGCGACACAACTGGGCTTTGTGCTCGATCTAGCACTACTCCGTCTTCGAGAGAAACCGAATATTGAGTGACAATTTCCCACTTCGCTTCAGAGTTGTATTGTTTCTAGCCGAACAAAACCACTACTACCAGATGGCTAGTATGTATGCGTTGATGCCCTTTGTTTGCGCTGTAAATGATTCCTGTCCACTCGTTCGAAATGCCTAGGTCTGACCAACCATGGACTTTGCCATGATTATCGAAACCAATAGAGTATTGCGTGGGTGAAGTGTCTCGAGAGAAAGACCTGGTTACTGACAGTCACATAGGGAAGCTGATTGGTAAGAGATGGTGATGTGTATATTGCTTCTGTTCGTCACTGTGTGGCAGATCAGGCACGATTGGTCCCAGACTCGATTTCGACATTGCATGGACTGCACAGAAGCTCGATAGGCTCAAGATGGCTACCTAAGTACCGGTACAGACGACCTCGGCGCCTGCGTAATAATTAATCGAAATGTAGTAACTGATATGTATCCCTTTCATTGCCATATTGCCATTATGTGGCAGAGCGGCAGGTGCTCGATTAAATGCGGCGTTGACAATGATGAGAGGGTAAAGAAAAGGCCCGTTTGGGCTACCGTGCGCGCACGGCGCGATTAAATACTAAAAAGTCCAAGCATCCACGTATGAAGCAGGAGGATAGAGATGGAGAGCGTCGTGTAACACCAGCCTGTATCCAAAACGCCGGACTCCGCGAGAACCGATGGCTCCCAATGCCTATTGAACGCCAGTGCTTTTGATATCCCGTGACGCCGTAAAATGCAGCCCGTGAGCTAGAGCGTGTGTAAAGAACTTATTGTGCCTAGGGAGGAAGAGATGGAGCAACAAAGCGAGCTGGTAGACAACTCGCGCGGCGACAAAAGTCGACCGTTAGCGTATTGCGGGCCGCCATAGGGTGTCGTCCGGATAAGAGGGGTGGTTGTACTACAAGCATAATTGTCAGACATGCGTGATACGCGCAGGGTTTGGGCAGAGGAGTGTGTACCTCTTAGTGGTCACAGCCATCGCACTTCTCGTCATGCTTGACGGTCTTTGTGTTGCAAACACCACAATTCGCAGTTCTCGATGTCGCGCACGGGGCCTTCTCTGTGACCTGGTGGCCGCAGCCGTATGTGTGCACAACCTTGGTGCACATGCTGGCGAGCACAAGCGAAATTGAGGCGCGGTTGCACAGCGGGAGGCGCCTGTGATGTCGTGAAGGAGGAAGGTGGGGTGGAGCTTGGACGCGCGCTGATTGCCGAATTGGCGGGGAGCTCCTTCCTGGTGAAGCGGTGGAGGGAAGGTGCAGACCGCAACTCAACGTACGACGGCGAGGCGGATGATGGCGGTGGCGGTCGTTGAACACTGGAGTCTGCTGGCGACGTCTGGTCAAGGGCGAGACGGGACAACAGCAAGCACACGAGCAGCAGCAGCAGCAGCAGTAGCACGCAAGGTATCTCGACAGTCGAGAGGTGGGTGGAGGAATTGGCAGGAGCGTCCAAAAGGGACACACGGGGCGGCGAGAGAGTTTTATAATGGAGGCATTGCAGTGTGCCAGCTAGACGGTACCTCTCGAAAGATGTTAGATTACTGCCCGCTGCCGTTTGCAACAGAGAGTGCGACGGTCGTGTACAGCCGTTTGGCTCCGTGCGGATGTGCAAGGACAAGTACATTAGCCTCCACGCCTAATGTAGCTGCGACCAGGATCTGCATTTGCCTAGGGATCCCGTCCACTCGACATCACGCAGCTCGACCTAGGCACGGACGGCTGCGCAGCCCTCTCCGCCCAATGGCGACGAGTGGTAGACAGCCGAGCTCTGTTGTCTCGCGGCTCCGATTCTGTAGCATGCTCTGCTCCTCTCGCATCCTCCAAGACCACGCCCCAGGCACGCAGGCACTCCACCGCCCTCGGCCAGGGTCTGCAGAGTCAGGACGGTACTTGCGCAGCGGACAGCCGGTGCCCCAGTAAACGCCGTGACTCTGCTCGCACTGTTGTTTCTCCGTTCGTCACATGCCTTGCAGGCTGCGCTTGATCGCGGCTACTCTCGAGCATGCTACAGCGCAACGCCTATGGGCCCCTAACATGCGCCGGCAAACGCCATGTCGCCTGCTGGCTCGCAGATCCACGGAAGCCCACCCGCCCAGTCCCGTCCTGCAGACTCGACATAGTCTGAGACTGACTGCATCAGACCACAGGGCTGATGATTCATTGCCCACCGAGCACAAGAAAGCGACACTCCACTTACTTGTACGCCGTCTGGGCGCAGGAAGGATCGCACCCCTGTCACCGCGATCGTACTGCATTCACACATGGCACCCTTGCCACCGTAGCAGCCTCCTGTTGCCCTCGCCAAGTTGGCGAAGAACTATCGACGACTGGATATCGTCATGTGCCGATGTGTCGTCGTGCTCACCCCAGCACTCAGCATCTTGTCGACAGCGACGGGTGCAACATTGGAAGCAATATGTAAGGGCTGTCCTGACATATTATCCGCGTACGGCTGAGTACACCTACAGACGGATGGCGGACAAATGAAGCGTGACGGGCGTGCCAGCAATATTTCTCGATGTGGCCTTGTCATCTCGCGAGTTTCGTTGACACGCAAGCATCCGTCGGCCGAGAGATTGCGAAGTTTGTCGCGATTCTAGATGAGCATGCAACTGTCCCCCAGTTCTGCGATTAGACCAGAGTTCCAGCTCATGAATGAAGTACGTCGCCACTTGCATCTGTTGGATTGTAATCTCCAGCCACCGAGCCAGCATCATTTTCAAAGCGTATCATGTCCCTTTTCATCGGCGCTGTCGTTGTTAATCACATAACTCGTTGTCTTCTCTATACACACCCTATGGTGAGGGTGTATGCCAATGGAAGTGAACAAGAAGCCTATATGCGCCATTCTTACCACCAAAGGACACCACTGTTCTAAACGGACGGTTGAAGCACGAACGCCATTCCGCTCATGCTGTGTCGCCTGTCAGTTCTTGTTTCACATCTTTCAACGGCAGCAGGGATGGCTCAGACAATTTCCCTGAACTGATCTAGTGTTTCGGCCCGCTTACGCCAAATCGTGCAGTGTAACACGACAGGCAACGCCGTCAACAAGGAAAAGTCACGCCGTTTTACTTACGAACAACACGAACTGGTAGAAGCAAGTCGAATCGAGCGAGAACGACAAGAAATCCACAGACCGTAGCTATAGTTTGTCACAAAGCGACCAATAACCCGCTCTCAGCTCTACCTTAGTGTCCAGATTCGAAATTTGTCCACCAGTGAAAGCCCATGGCTCATTGTTACACTTCGTGATTCATATGGTACATTGCCCTCATCTGATAACAGAGTTTCATCTAATGCAACGTTCACGGTGATACCATATTCAACGCTCCAGGACTTGTTGGGATGTTCAACTCAAAGAATGATCGTCGAGTCTTTAGAAAAGCGGTGGACAATGCAAAGTCAAACGAAACAATCTTCATCTACCGAGGAGGCCCTTGCTTGCGCGTCATGATCGCCAAGAACTTGTCTGCAGATATGAATCGACTCAACATGGTTTCCCCCATCAACAAACAAATCTACCCGGGCCCAGATCCTGTTTTAATGGCCTTCGGTTATCACATGCCGATAAAAAGTAAGTACACAATGTCCAAATCGAGTAATTCAAGTACCGGCAAAGGGTGGTCGGCTTGTTGTGCTCTCGTCTAGTCGTCACGAAAAAGGATCAGCACCTGTGCCTACTGAAACGCGTTTGAGAACCACTGAAGTTCAACAGATTAATGAGGCAGGTTATAGGAGTAGTCGCACAACATGTGTTGGAAACGATCAATGCATCAACACCTTACCGATTTCCAGATGGATTAACCAAGATCACTAAAACTACAAAAGTGAACATGTGCTTAGGATCTAAGATGAGAAGTTTGTGTGCCCAACCCTTGTCCTGAAACGCACTCGATTCGATGCGGATCATGATAGGCTGGTTCTAGCGTTCTGTTCCTCCAGATAAATCCGACCACAATCTATGTAAAGTTTAATCAGACTTCACCTCAACGCACGGATTTCAGTCACGTGGTGAATTACCATACAGGCGCACTGGATATCGTGGATTGTCTATCGCAACCGCGAGAGGGAGCCGCAGCCGCGCTGCACGAGATATAAAGTGCCTCGCTTTATGTACGTGAAGATGCAGTCGACGAGAAGTCATCACAAACCACGCGGCTCGGTAAGATAGTGAAACGCTAACCTGGAAGGGAACAGAGCAACACCGTATTGTCCCCCACACTCTCTAGCTTTGTATTGATTAAGCAATCAACAAAAACCAAATATATCTGTACTCTATCCCCAATAGGAATTTTGGACAGTGCGACAAGTTATTATGAAGTTTAAACATTCTCACTTCTGACTGGCTGGGCATCTGTCCCAACCAATAACGGCAGTCCGCACTAAACAGTACGCACAGATTTTAGCTTTGCGTATGCCACGAACCTGCAAATCGTCAAAGGCACTGGATGAAGACCTGAAACCTTTATTATACTTTGCGCCGACAAATAGTGCATTCTGCATCAATCCAGTTTATCTCGTATAGCGACACGGAAAACGGTCCCTTACGCACCTGTTGAGCAGTACTTAGTCGGTGATGTGGTAGCAAAACTTTGCGCCGCGCACAAATGGCTTCGAACGGACGATTGACTAAATGCAAGCTAGGGGGCACGGCCTCGTCCGTGCATACGCGTCAAGCCAAACGGTATAACAGCTGATGGATGCAGTTCATTCCACACAATGTGGGGTAAACATACAATGCTAGCATAACATTTATGTTTCGTACACGACCAACCAAGTTGAGTGGTGTTGGCAGAAAGGTAGTAACTTGGTTTATATGTTACAAAGTAACTCTATTTCTCCTTCAGTATCCGAGGTGGGGCATACATCACTTCTGGAAATCTTTAAGCAGATGACCCCGCGCCTGACGGTATTGCCACTACAACGAGCGAACGGCAGTTGCTTCCCGAACTGACTAGTTGAGATACTTGGAGTCATGCTATCCTCCCTGTCGAAGCATCGCAACTAAAATACAAGACCAAGCGTTACAAGTCGAGCGGCTTAGGCGCATACCAGTGTACCTAAGGCGCACAAGTCCTACGCGACTTTTGTACCTATGAAGGTGTCGAGCTGTTGCAAGACTTCATCGCAGCTTGGTTTTGAGTATTTCGCCTAACCGAGAGTGTGCCTATGCCCGCGCAGTGATTTCTCAGCATGGGCAATCCAGAATCCGATCGGCAGGTCGAGATGGCATTTGAAGATTTGTGTACGCATGTTCGCCGTCAATCGGCAATCAGATTAACGTGCAAATATACTCACCATGACATCGTCAGATTCCTTACTGGCTGTATGCTTCTCCACTATCAAAGTCAATCACGTCGTGGTTACGTCACGGTAAACATTGCGCGTCTCGACAACATAAAATACCATCTTCGCAACGTCAATTCCGTCAATTCAGTAAGTATCCATAATGGCGTCTCAAATTCTCTCAAACGTGGCTGAAAAGGCGAAGAGCATGACTGGCGAGAAATCTCAAAAGGCCGCTGACCTCGCGGGGGTCACTAAGGATGTTCACGATCCCAGTTACAAAATGACGACCGACAATGGCGTAAAGCAAACCAACACCGATGACTGGCTGAAGGTGGTGAGCGATGACAAGACTGGTCCTGCGCTTTTGGAGGATTCCTTTGGCCGCGAGAAGGTATGATCCCGGCTGCATTGAATTATAGGAAGTGGCAAAACCTAACAATTCATAGATTCACCGATTTGACCACGAGCGCATCCCAGAGCGAGTAGTACATTCACGAGGCTCCGGTGCCTTTGGTAAATTCACTCTCTTCGAGTCGGCCGCCGACGTTACCTCTGCAGGCGTCCTTACCGACACCTCCCGCGAGACCCCAGTATTCCTCCGATTCTCTACTGTCCTTGGTAGCCGTGGCTCGGCGGATACAGTTCGAGATGTTCGAGGCTTTGCCATCAAATTCTACACCGAAGAAGGTAACTGGGACATTGTTGGAAACAACATCCCAGTCTTCTTCATTCAAGATGCCATGAAGTTTCCAGATGTCATCCACGCCGGCAAGCCAGAACCGGACAACGAGATCCCTCAAGCTCAGTCAGCTCATAACAATTTTTGGGACTTTATTTTCATGCATTCGGAGGCCACGCACATGTCCTTCTGGGCCATGTCCGACCGTACCATCCCGCGATCGTACCGCATGATGCAAGGTTTCGGAGTCAATACGTTCACGCTCATCAACGACAAAGGTGAAAGGCACTTTGTCAAATTCATCTTCACTCCTGAGTTGGGTGTCCACAGCTTTGTCTGGGATGAGGCGCTCAAGATCGCTGGCCAGGACCCTGACTTCCATCGTAAAGATCTGTGGACGGCCATTGAAAACGGCGCCTACCCGAAGTGGAAGTTCGGAATCCAGGTCATCCCTGAGGCTAAGGAGCACGACTTTGAATTCGACATCCTTGATGCTACCAAGGTCTGGCCTGAGGAGCTGGTTCCTATCCGATACATCGGTGAACTCGAGTTGAACAGGAACCCTGACGAGTTCTTCACCCAGACCGAGCAGGTTGCTTTCTGCACAAGCCACATGGTTCCTGGTATTGGACAGAGCAACGATCCCCTTCTACAGGGACGTAACTTCTCCTACCAGGATACACAACTTTCTCGTCTTGGTGTCAACTGGCAAGAACTCCCTATCAACAAGCCTGTCTGCCCTGTCATGAACTTCAACCGAGATGGCGCTATGCGACACACAATCACCAAGGGCAAGGCCAACTACTGGCCCAACCGATTTGAGGCTGTACCTCCCGCGAAGCCCGAGGAGGGTGGCTACGTCGACTTCCCAGAGAAGATTGCCGGAATCAAGGCCCGCCTGCAGACCAAGAAGTTCAGAGAGCACAAGAACCATGCTGAGCTTTTCTACAACTCTATGTCTGAGCCTGAAAAGTCGCATATGGCTGATGCGTTTGCTTTTGAGCTAGACCATTGTGATGACCCCGTCGTCTACAAGCGCATGGTCGAGCGTCTCTGCGAGATCGATCTTGAGCTTGCTCAGAAGGTTGCTGATATGGTCGGCGCTGACGTCCCCACTGAACAGACACGACCCAAGCATAACCAGAAGGCCAAGGGTCTTTCTCAGCTCGAGTACATGCCTTCTGTACCCACCATCGCCACTCGCATGGTTGCTATTCTCATCGCAGATGGCTACGACAAGATTGCATACAACGGCATCAAGGCTGCATTGACAGCTGCTGGTGCCCTGCCATTCACCATCAGCCCACGGAGGAATAAGATCTACGCCGACGGCGAGGAGAAGGGCGGCTCCGGCGGAGTTGTTGCCGACCACCACCTTGAGGGTATGCGCTCCACAATGTTCGACAGTGTTTTCGTTCCCGGCGGTGCCAAGTCTGTTGAGACTCTCCGCAAGAACGGCCGCGCTGTTCACTGGGTCCGCGAAGCATTCGGTCACTTGAAGGCTATTGGTGCTACTGGTGAGGCCGTCGACTTCGTCAAGCAGGCTGTCGACCTTCCTGGCATGGAGTTCTCGACCACCGGCGATGTTGTGGAATCATATGGCGTTGTCACTTCCTCGCAGGTCCAGCCCGAGAGCTTCTCGGAGGCTGTTAAGATGGCGAAGGGTGCTACGGGCTTCTTGTCTGCCTACACATTCGCCATTTCGCAGCACAAGAACTTTGACCGTGAGTTGGCAGGGTTGAACAAGCTTGTTGCTTATTAGTCGGTCGATATTTCTGCACCGCCGTTGTGGTGGAGAATGTTATGATCACGTTGGGTTCTGCCTTGCATGAATCTTATGTAGTTACGATAATGATACCACTTTTCTATTCAACTTAGTAGAGACGTTGGATGAGGCAGCATCTTTATGTGACACTACTTTACGACATGAAGTGAACCAAGTACCTTTGCTCCTATCGAAGACGGAGTTGCTCTCACAATAAATGGGAGCTGACAAGTTTCTATTGACGATGCAAAACCGCACGACTCTACTCCGCAGCTACTCCGCAGCAGGCAGCATTACGATACGTACGACTTCTTACTCCCTACAGATACACTCTATGCGCTAGGCTCCCGTTTCCCCGTCATGTGTGTCATTTACCGCTGCTCATTGCCTTGGGCGACTACAGCGCCCGTGCCCTAGTCACGATTGAAGTTGTTACTAAGTCGGTATTTGGCACACAAGATCTGAGTTCGTGGAATGTGTGCAATGCAGATAGAGAGACCTAGAGTGTAGAGGTGGTCTTTTGGATACGATAGGCTGTGCAAATGTAATGAACGTAGATAGATTTAATCCTCCAAATGAAATTACAACGACTGTATGTTTTGAGGTGTGAATGACTCCCAACTTACTCGTATGAACACGACAGCCTGGCAACGATTACTTCGGCAGACCCGCGTATTTGCTGCACGTTTCGATGAGCTTCTGGTATGTCTTTGGCTCCTGATTCTGGTCAGTGAAACTCATCAGAGAAGCAAGTAAAAACTTACTATTGCACTGTGCCCTGCGTCGTCAATCCAGTGCAGTTGAGATTCCGGCCATGCCTTATGGAGCTCCCAAGCAGTGATTGGGGGGCATACCACATCGTAGCGGCCTTGCACAATAGTAGCTTGCAGTTGTCAGCCATCATGATAACGAAATATCAAGGGAGATTTTACCAGGTATGTGTCGGATCTTGTCGATGTTTTCTTTCTTCAACAGATCGCCGTCTTCCATCCACGCCTTGTTCATGAAATAATGTGCTTCGATTCTCGCATGTGCGAGCAAATACGCACCGTCGTCAAGCTGTGCAAGGCCTGCTGTGTTGGGGTACAGTGTACTGATGCTGATCTCCCATTTGTTCCACGCGCGCGCAGCGGGATGGCTCACGCTCTCGTCATCAGACATGAGGCGTTTGTGATACGCGTTCACGTGGTCGCTTCTTTCCTCCTCTGGGAGGAAGTTCATGAACTCGTCAAATGCATCGGGCCATAACATCGATGCGCCGCCGGGCAACATCGTCCAGTTCGTCTCCAGACTCCTTACCGTGAAGATACCACGTAGCACTAAAGAGCCCACAGATGAGGGATGGGTTTGCGCATACGCGAGCGCAAGAGTGGAGCCCCAAGAGCCACCGAAGACGACATGCCATTTCGGGATCTGGAGATGTTTGCGTAGAGCTTCAATGTCGGAGACGAGGTGCCAGGTTGTGTTGTTGATTGTGTTTGCGTTTGGCTTCGAGTTCCCGCAACCTCTTTGATCTAACAGAACGACGCGATAATCATCTGGGTTGAAAAACTTGGCGTTGTTCTTTGTGATGTGGCCGCCAGGGCCGCCATGGAGATAGATAGCTGGCGAGGGGTTAGTTAGTGGGACGAGATTTCGAGAGCATGACGAAGTTACCGGGGAGTCCATCCTTCTTGCCATATTGCTCGTAGTATAGTTCGTGGACTTCGTCGACTCGTAGCCAGTCGGTGTCCCAGGCGTCGTCGTGTTCATATCCGGTGGGTTGAGGTGGTTGGCCCATATTTTTACTTCGATTTTTGAATCTCCAAACTCGTTTGCTTGTTCTATGGTTCTCGCAGCAGAAGAGTCACAGTTGCTGACTTAGGGGTGAGATAATGTTGTCACGAGTGGGGTGATTAACTTAGTATACATGTAGTTAGCTCACAGATTGGTGGGGATGTAATAGACACCACCTTCCTAGTCAGGCACCAGGCCCCCATCCTCACGTAAGGATTTTTTCTGAACTGAGGGCTTGAATTGATACAATTGTGGTGAATCAGCAACTGGAGTAGAGGTGTGGGGCATCAATTTTATGACACTAGTGCTAGCCACGAAACATGTCATTGTAGCCCGATGATCAGCAGGAAGCATAATTGTTGAGACGCCCGCTGCACGCTGTTCTCTAGTTGTGGACCAGGCACCACAGCGGGGTTCACACGCAATCTGTTGCATGTAGCTGTATACCAAGATCCTATGTTGGGAAACGCGACAATGAAGGGAACGCGTCTCAGGGTCCAGATACGCGACGCGTATTCCCTGCCGGCTAAAACTACAGCGCCGACAACATTGTCTCTCACACGATTGAGGCAAAGGTGTGACTTCTTTCAAACAGAGTCTGGCCAAACGATTGGGTCCCATCGATTGTCAGGACGCAGCGGTGTACTACCCCTCCAGCCTATGTGACGTTATATCAGCTTGGCATCTGCCCCGCCAACACAAGCAGGATCGATGATGAAGAGCTGAAACGCCGGCGCTAACAGCTTTATCAACACGCACCTAAACGTCCCCTCTTCTCTTTCTACAACATACACTTGGGGGATACACTCATCCCTCTTCAACTAGTCAATCAAATCCAGCGAGCACCATGGCGCCCAAACTCCAGGTCAGCGACATTTGGCTGCCCTGCCTCATTCTACTTGTCTTCTGGGCCCGCCCCACGGCAGCGTTTGGTGCAGGTAACATTGCCAGCTTGAGCGCCATCGAGGGCCAGAACTGGCGCCATGGAGACATTGAAGACACGCTGCTGACGCTGCTCATCTCGAGCCGCACGGGGAAGAAGTTCAGCAAGATGGACGTCAAGCGTGTTTACTTTGGTAACTGGCTCAGAGACTACTCCCAGGCTGTCGACGTGGGCACTGTCAAGGCGGTGTCGGCAGAGGCCATTCGTCTTCTGCTATGGGTCCTGGGCTTCCTCAGCTTCGGATACGGAACGAAAGAGTTCGAAGTCACGAGAGACAGGCTGGGCTGCTACAGGCCAGAGGAGCACATCGACAACCCCAAGGTGAGTGAATCCATGCCCAATCACATGTACTCGTGCTGATTTACCAGGATTATGCCGACAACCTCGATGCCCGCGACTACGACCGCCGCCTTCGAGGCCCCGTCGACGAGGAACGCGAACTGAGCATCAACGAGCGGACGGGTCTCAAGAACTACATTGCATCGGAGGATACGGGCATAATGACGTCTGCTGGCATGGTCCGAGATCTGCTTCGCCGTTGCATTGACCTCGGTCAGCGCTCTGGAGGACGTGGTCCAGACTTCTACGAGGCTCTTCGTCTTCTAGGCACTGCAACCCACTGCATGGAAGACTACTCTGCACACTCGAACTACACTGAGCTTGCCTTGATCGAACTTGGCGCCACTGACGTATTCCCACACGTCGGACGCGACACCAGGCTTCACGTTGAGGAGGCTGGCAAGGAGGTATACCCAATTGTCACCGGCACCTTCGGCGGTGTTGATTTCCTGCACTCTGTATGTGGTGAAATTACCGACAAAACCACCCAGTCTGAACTCCAGGAGCTCGAAGGAGCTATCACGGATGCCGACCGAAAGCAGAACAAGAGTCAGATCAAGGAACTCTTGGCCAAGCTTCCCGACGGTATCTTTGGCGGCAAAGACGAAGCCGGTAAGGCAGATGAGCTCGAGTCGAATGCCAGTGCTGCTGCCATGAACAACCTTCACGTTACGCCCTTAGAGCCTGAGGCTTTCACTCAGCAGGCTGGTGAGCTTGTCAAGCAGATCTATCCCATTATGGAGTTCCACGATGAGATCATGCAGGCGATTACTGAGTTCATCGAGAAGATCCCTGTCATTCCAGATCTTATCGAGGAAGTCCAGAGCCAAATCACCATCTTCGTCTTCAGCCTGCTGGCTCCGTACGTCTTGCCTATCCTGAATCAGGTCAAGGCCGAACTTGAGACTGGCTCAAGCGAGGTTATTGCAAGTTCGCGTGAGAAGCAGTACATCGTTTTCAACGATGATCGCAGCAGTGACCCAACCCACAGCATGTTGTCCAAGGATCACTTCTCAAATATCCTCAACGAGCCTGCCGGTCAGGTTGCTTCGGCCGTCTTGAAGTGGGCTGTGCCCCAAGTTGTTAAGTGTTGGGACGGCGAGGCAGACTCAGAGAGGACTATCGATCTCATCATTAACGCCGTGTTCCACCACCCTGCGTGTGTCCGAACTCAGGATCGTGAGGTATCACAAGGCCGTCAGATCATGTTCGACACCGTCCGACAGTGGTGGGAGTCGCATGATCGACAACAGCAACGTAGCCTCACACAGAAACTCAGTCGCGAAGGCGTGCAGAACGGCGAGAACCACAGAGGAGATGTGAGTGACAAGGGCCATGGCTGCTGCAAGCCGCTGGGCATGGCGAACGATTTCTCCGGCGTTTCCGGAGGCAAGAGTAACCAACAAGCTCAGCAAGTCGGCAACCAAGCTGGAAAATTTGCTAGTGAAGCTGTCGGAGGTGGCGCTCTTGGAGGCCTTGTTGGAGGCTTGGTTGGTGGAGTTGGCGCCTCTTTGCTCAGCGACGCATTCAATGACAACGAGACGAACACCCAGAAAAACGAGTACCAGGGGAACGACGGCTCTTACACTCAGTCGTACACCGAGTCTGGTCATCACCGGGGATCTTCCCGGGGCGATTCTGACCGCTATGGTGAAGCTCAGTACAAACAAACCCAGTTGCCCAGTGGTGGTCGCCGTGAAGAGTACTCCCGTCACGAACAAGACGACCGAGGCGAATCATATAGCTACCAGCAACGCGTCGAGACTTCGGGTTATCCTGGATCAGGTGGATATGAACGTCGTGAGGAGCGCCATGTTCAAAGTGGAGGTGAATGGAAGACTTCAGAGCGCCGTGAAGGGTTCGACCAATCCGGACAATTCTATGCCGAAGAAGACGAGTGAGTACCTGCCTCGAGACGCTAGCTGGGGCATACTAATTCGTGGACAGGAGACGTGGTAAGTCGAAATCCAAATCCAAGAAGCACTCGGAAGACGACGATAGTGAAGATGATGATGAGAAACGCGCCAAGAAAGAACGTAAGAGGCGTGAGAAGGAGGAAAAGGAGGAGAAGAAGAAACACAAGAAGAAACACGGCAGCGGGGATGATGATTCTGATGACGATGCTGACAAGCGTCATTCAGGTTCGGGTGAACACAGGCGCCGTTCGCAAGATCGCGACCAAGAGCACAGGAGGAAGAAGAGCAAGAGCCCCGAACGCCGCTCGGGCGGCTATTCGCAAGGGAGCGGCGGTTACGGTGAAGAGAAACGATACGGCGAAGAGGGTCGTGGAGGGTCTGGATACGGCCGAGAAGAAAGCTCTGGATACGGTCGCCAGGAATATGGAGGCCGCCAAGAGACTTCCGGCTACGGTCGTGAAGAGCAATCGGGATACGGCGGTGGCCGTGAAGAGCGCTCAGGATATGGTGGTGGCCGTGAGGAACGTTCAGGATATGGTGGTGGTCGTGAGGAGCGCTCAGGATATGGCGGTGGCCGTGACGAGGACGAGTATGGTCAAGAGTCTCACGGACGTGGACATGGGCGTCGCCGTGACGAAGATGAAGACGAAAGTTCCCGAGGGATGCCTGGCGGATTTGGTGGTGATGATGGTGGTTATGGCAGGAGGTATTAGTATCTTGGAGTACCCTGATAACCCATGCCTGAATGCGCAATGGAGGCTCGTAGCCTGACCTGATGACTGATGAACTTGGATCTTGGGTTTGAATAGTCTACCTATGAAAAGTTACATTTTTTGTGGCAATGATTGGTGTTCAAAGAGAATATGCTCTGAATGACATTAAACGATGATGCTCGTCTTTAAAACTTGGTAGCTCATGTACTGTACAATTTCGGATCGAGTCTGAGTACTGAAAAACCCAACATCAGCACGAAGGCCCTGTTAAACGTAACAACGCTTCTTACATAGCTTCGCACTGCCTGACAGATCCAGGTGGCGATGTGTGCTACGCAGTTTGATGGTGTTTAAGGGTTCATGATCTGCAGCTTTCTATTTTTAGTGATCTCCAGCCACTGACATATGGCAGCGCGGGGCAGCCTCGTGTTTGCGAACTTGAAGTGTCGTTCTTGCATTCATCTGTTCACTCGAAATCTTCAGAGGCCAATTCTGGTTGGAACGCATGATACTGGATTCGCCTTAGCTATGTCTAATGCTTTGGCTTTGTTGCCAACCGCTAGTGTGTACGAAGTGCGTGCTGGTGTTAGCCTATGTGTCGTAAAGACGCGGTGAGAAGACGCGGAGTGGGGCAGCGCGCATAAGCAGGCTAAGCTTTCAGTTACAGCTCAAAGGATCTGTTGCTCTCTCTTTCTACACAAGCTATTGCCAGTCAGCTGTAGTTCTTACATTGATCCCATTGCTATACTCAAACTACCCTGCTTGCATCATGGAAGCCATCAAAGACAGCGTCAACAAAGCTCTCGAGCAGCTGCACATCACCAGCCCTGCTAGCCAAGGTATTCCAGCGAAGGAGCCAACGGAGGAGCAGCTCAACGAGCTCAAGTCAAAGTACGAGAAAGCAGGCCAAGCGCAGGTTTTCGCGTTCTACGACTCGCTCTCCACTGCTGAGAAGGCAGGCCTGTACGAGCAGCTCTCCAACTTCAACCCCGACTACATCAACGAGATCACCGAGAAAGCTCTGCACCCCGCACACACCGAAGATGCCTCCGAAGCGAAGCTCGAGCCTCTCCCCGTCGAAGCCACATCATCCGTCACGGACTCGAAACAAGAGGATTTGGACAAATGGTACGACAGCGGTCTCGAGCTGGTTGCCGAGAACAAGGTTGCGGTGGTGTTGATGGCTGGTGGCCAGGGTACACGATTGGGCAGCTCGGCACCGAAGGGCTGCTATGACATTGGGCTTCCGAGCAAGAAGTCGCTGTTCCAGCTCCAAGGCGAGAGGATCAAGAAGGTCGAGCTTTTGGCTCAGAAGAAGTATGCAAAGGAGAACGTCACAGTGCCATGGTACGTCATGACCAGTGGACCTACGCGCGGACCTACAGAGAAGTTTTTCGAGGAGAACAAATACTTTGGGCTCAAGAAGGAGAATGTGGTCGTCTTCGAGCAAGGTGTTTTACCTTGTATCTCGAATGAGGGCAAGATCTTGCTGGAGAGCAAGTCAAAGGTTGCTGTTGCCCCCGACGGCAACGGTGGCATCTACCAGGCTCTCATCAACTCTGGCATTGTTCAGGATATGGGGAAGCGCGGTATTCAGCACATCCACGCATACTGTGTCGATAACTGCCTGGTAAAGGTAGCTGACCCCGCCTTCATTGGCTTCTCCGCTTCAAAGAGTGTCGATATCGCGACAAAGGTCGTCCGAAAGCGAAACGCCAAGGAGTCTGTCGGTCTCATCCTGCAGAAGAACGGCAAGCCAGACGTGGTCGAGTACTCAGAGATCAAGGAAGAGGATGCTGAAGCCAAGGACTCGAAGAACGCAGATCTGCTTAAGTTCCGTGCGGCAAACATTGTCAACCACTACTACTCATACGGCTTCCTGGAGAGCATTCCTTCTTGGGTGAAGGATCTGCCTCACCACGTTGCTCGCAAGAAGATCCCTTTCGTCGACACCGAGTCCGGCAACACCGTCAAGCCAGAGAAGCCAAATGGCATTAAGCTTGAGCAGTTTGTCTTCGACTGCTTTCCCCTTCTGACGCTCGACAAGTTCGCTTGCATGGAGGTTAAGCGGGAGGATGAGTTTTCACCGCTCAAGAACGCGCCAGGCACCGGCGAGGACGACCCTGAGACCAGCAAGCAGGATATCATGGCGCAGGGTAAGAAGTGGGCGCAAGCTGCGGGCGCCACTGTTGTCAGCGAGGACCCGAAGGCGGGCATTGAAATTTCGCCTTTGATCTCATACGTAAGTCGACCTTCCTTTGTTGTCCTCTATCCATCACTCCGTAATACGGTACTTGGCTGTTGAATACTTTCAAAGCCGTCTCGTAACTGGTGTAGTCTTTCAACCCATTGATGTATCTTGCTAACAATCATTTCAGGGCGGAGAAGGCCTCGACTTTGTGAACACGCGCACGATCAAGGCTCCAGCGGTCATTGAGTCGGAGGAGTAGAGCGCTCTGAGAGCTCGCATCGGCATTGCATAGCATAATTATCGCCCTATGGTCTTGGAGCAGCCACGGTTCAATCGTGTTATTGTATTGATCCCTCTGGCCAGGGCAAAGATCTTACGCTGTCCATTCGTAACTTCATATCATTGTTGAATCAATGGAACATACCAAATGACTCCAATGAAGCCTAAGTCTACTATTATTTCCTTTGGAGTACACACCATGTGCACTTCAAGCATTTCGAACTCCCAAAAGGAATTACTGTTTGCCATCGGTTTGGTGAAACCTCCTGCAAACCTCTTAATGTGACGATGATTTATGTCATCATGCAGGAACACAGCACGTGGTCCAACGCGCCGAGCTTCGAATATGGGAGCAGCTCTTGTGCGGGCGGCAGAAGCGGTGGGTCTAAATGAGGGAGCCATGGTTGCAACCATACAGGGGGCAGTGATAGTGCGGCGTATGCAACGTGATAGGAGGCTCAAACTCTCCTAGGGTGAACGAGGCAAGGACCGAACCACAATTTGGACCCCTCATGCCGTGTTGCGTGCAATTCGACCTCGGGAAAGGCCAAATTGCGCATGTCACTAGCGCGCCAGGGACACAGTCAATCAGATGTCTTCTGCCTGCAGCCCAATCTACATACCTCAAACTCTCACACCACACATTCCAAGATTTCGGAGGACGGTTGCAGTTGTGTTGCTGAGGGAAGGACTGGAAGATTGAACGTATGTCGCGCCCGCTTTGCACGCTTATCGTCGTCTTGCGCATGCCGCTCGGCGCAAGTTGCTCCGCACCCGTGCCCCTCGATGCGTCGAAAATTCTGAGACTAACAGATCGGCACAGGTGAAGAAGGACTTGCTTGAAGAAGAAAAATAAGCACACGAAGCAGGTACTTGCGCCCCTTGTTTCTGTCACCAATCCCCCTGCGCCTTTCCCTACGCACACCAAGCAAGCAGACATCGTCGCAAACGCAACGTTCAAAACCGCCCCTCGTTTCGCTTGCCCGCAACCTTTTTACCCGCACACCCCACAACTCGCAGCCCAGTACTCACACCTTTGTGTAGATTTACGTGGAGGAATACTCGACATGTCTTCTTTATCTCGTCGCGCGTGCTTCAAGTGCGGCAATGTTGGACACTACGCTGGTGAGCAGCCCTCGCACATGGCGCTTTCGGAGGCTGTACCTGCGTCGCGTAGCCGCAAGCTGTGGGGAATATACTGGGGCGAGACAATTGGCTGACGCATGATTACAGAGGTGTGCTCCTCATCCGAGAGGCTCTGCTACAACTGTAAGATCCAGCCCGCGAACTACGCCTGAAAGCGCATACTGACTTTGATGTAGGCAAGCAGCCAGGCCACGAGTCTAATGGATGCCCACACCCCCGCACGACCGAGAGTACGTCATAACACATCTGCGCCCCTCATGCGGCACGAGCATTCTACGATCTGTGCTTGGAGGGGCTGTCTCGAACGCCAGAGAGGAATAAAAGACTGACAAGCGGACAGCCAAGCAGTGCTACCACTGCCAGGGCCTCGGACACGTACAGGCCGACTGCCCGACTCTGCGCCTGAGCGGAGCTGGCACCAGCGGACGCTGCTACAGCTGTGGCCTCAACGGTCATCTTGCCCGCAACTGCCCTAACCCAGGAATGGGACGCGGAGCCGGTGCTCCTCGTGGCGGCTTCGGCGGCTTCAGGGGCGGATTCGCTGGAGGCGCCCGCCCTGCCACTTGCTACAAGTGCGGCGGACCAAACCATTTCGCTCGCGACTGCCAGGCTCAGGCCATGAAGTGCTACGCTTGCGGCAAGTTGGGTGAGTACAGCATTCCAGGTTGGAGTACAACGTCTAACATACTCCCAGGTCACATCTCGCGTGACTGCACTGCCCCTAACGGCGGCCCGCTCAACACCGCTGGCAAGACCTGCTATCGTTGCGGCGAGACTGGCCACATCTCTCGCGATTGCACCCAGGCTGAGGTGAACGGTGACGGCGTCCCCATTCCCGTCGCTGCTGCTGTACAGCCCGTAGTCCCCACCGCAGCTGTCGCTTAGGCGATAGGCGGCATGTACCATAAATGTCACCACGAGTAGAATCGCGGTGATAGTCGAAACATATTCGACACATCTGGATTTTCTTGTTTCACCTACGTGTCTTCACAATCGTTTTCTTAGCCCTTCTCGGTACCATGCCGGCAAACTTCACGCAACCACGATTACATCGAGCAGGACAACATTTCACGATTCCTACGCTGATACCCACGAACGTTATATCTCTTGCTTTATAACCATCACATACCCATACTTTGAACAGACGACGGCTTGGTGAGCTTGGACGGCGGTTCTACGTCTTTGCATGTACTTCTGACGGACTGCCCCTTCGGTGGAGGGATGACTCGCTTGGATCTCTTGGATAGACTGGGGTGACCGAGAACCTGGAAGGCGGCTGTGTGTGGTGGTTTGGTAGCGGAAGATGGATGGAGGGATGGGGGGTATGGAGGAAGGAGGTGTAAAGAAGATGTTTGTGTTTGTCGGAGCCAAGTTGGCGTTGTCTGCCTCTGGGACTCTCACGTGCACATCCCCTGTATCTTTGTATGATAAACGTACATTGTACTATTTACCATTTGGTACAAGCTGGTTATCTGCGTGTCTACTCGCTTTCTGGCACGAGGTTCTATACATCTAGGTAAGGATGGAATACACTAAACGCATACATTACGATAACAAGTCGACTCCAACATACCACGCAGTCAAGGCCGCACTGTGTCAAGGGAAACGACACTGCTCGCTCTTTATTATCCTGTACTGTATTTCAAGGTATTCGAATGTCAGGTCGTCGGGGTGGATTACCGCACCTTCCTCGCCGGACGCAGGCATGGGTTTCGCGCTTAGCGTGCTTTCCTATTATGACCTTTTCTCAAGGCTCACTCTGGCAGACCTGTTCCAATCTCCACCCTCGCTCGTTCATCCATTCATTCTTCTCACTCGGTTCACTCTCTTACACAACATCCATTCAATCGCTCAAACTGCATCTTTTCGTCTCTCATTGTTTCGGTTACTACCTGCCACCATTTAGACATGGCCCCATCATCAGTCGCCAGTGACGATTCGAACAACGACGTGAGTGAACACCTCGACTGTGAGGTGCCGCAGCTGACTGCCTACAGGACAGCTACATTGTCGACATCGATGCAATCCAGGCGCATGGCATTGGTGCTGTTGACATTTCCAAGCTCAAGGCCAGTGGCTACTACACGATTGCTTCTGTGCATGCCGCGACCCGTCGAAATCTGTTGAAGATCAAGGGCTTCAGTGAGATCAAGGTCGACAAGGTCAAGGACGCACTCGCAAAGTGCCAGGTAAAACCATTCCTCTACCTGACCTCACACGGGAGCCTCACTGACACTCCATGCAGCCCTCTGGAGGTGGTTTCCAAACTGCACACGAGCTTGGCCAACAGCGAAAGCGTGTCTTGAAGCTGTCAACTGGCAGCAAACAACTCGACACTATTCTAGGAGGGTGAGTGCTTGCCATGACATTTCTTCTTTGAGTACAGTGTTCATATTGTGCAGTGGCTTCCAGACGATGAGCATCAGCGAGGTCTTCGGAGAGTATCGTTGTGGAAAGACCCAGTTGTCCCACACCATGTCCGTCATTGCACAGCTTCCGAAGGACATGGGCGGTGCAGAAGGCAAGGTCGCGTACATTGGTGGGTGGATCCTCGTCACTGCTGAGCTGTATCTGATAACATTATATAGATACGGAAGGCACTTTCAGACCGGAGAGGATAGCTCAGATTGCAGAGCGCTTTGGAGTTGACCCTGAGACTGGTAAGTTATATTCACTGTTATGTGGTCCTGCTTATAGTCTCCAGCTCAGGACAACATCACCTACGCGCGTGCCGTCAACTCGGAGCATCAAATGGAGCTGTTGAATAAGGTTGCCGAATTCTTCGTCGGTAACGAGTATCGTCTTCTTATCATCGACAGTATCATGGCTCTCTTTCGCGTTGATTACACTGGCCGTGGTGAGCTGAACGAGCGCCAGCAGAAACTCAACCAGTTCCTCTCCAAGTTGACGCATGTTGCTGAAGGTATGTTTAACATCTACTTTCTCTCATAGATATACTGATTCTTCTTAGAGTTCAATGTCGCTGTCCTCATGACGAACCAGGTCCAGAGTGATCCGGGAGCCAACGCCCTTTTTGCTGGAGCAGATGGTCGCAAGCCTGTCGGTGGCCACATTCTCGCCCACGCGTCTGCTACCAGGATTCTGCTTCGCAAGGGTCGAGGTGAGGAGCGAGTCGCGAAGATCCAAGACTCTCCAGGTACGCCACATCGCCCCATGTGCGAGATTCCTTTACTAATCTTTACACACAGACATGCCCGAAAAGGAAGCAACTTACATCATCACAAATGGCGGCATCAACGATCCCGAGAAAGTTTGATGTGTTGGCTACGATCTCTGCATTTCCGGTTAACGTAAGGTTGTTTATTTACGATGTAAGGAAATAGCATGTGTTTGAGGATATCAACGTTTCGCATGCTGCATGATCGGCGTTAAGGAATTGCTTTGTAGTCCGGTGTCTCCATATAACGAACGAAAAAGCTCTCTGCCCCCTTAGGAGGTCACGCACTGCTCCAATTGCATGTGAGCAAATAGACCGAAAATCTACATATTCTCGAAATCAGGTCCAAGGTTTTCCTTGCTGTTTCTTGTGGTGTACCCAATCCATGCGTCATATTCGGTAGGGGCATCATCCTCGAGCACTTCAACGCCTGGGTGTTTCATGCGTCATATTTGTGTACACTGTTTCGAAGTGGAACAATGAGGCCTGGAGTGGGTAAAGGATGGTAATGGTAGTTATGATATACCAAGGAGCAATGACGTGAGGCACGACCCGGATTGGGAAAGGATCTTGCAAGTAATCTTCCTAACATATGCATAGATATGGTTGTTGTAGCACGTCCCTCGCGTCTTCGCGGATTTGGCCCGGCTTTATTTGACCCATGCCAAGCCAATGATTATGAATGGTAAAATGGTAACGTGACTACGCGACGCGACGCGGGGTTGCCTGTTTCTTGAACGAGCTGCGCGGCGACCCACCCACACCAACAATTTACTTTCGGTGCACAGATCATTCTCAGCTGCAATACGGCATTATGACTAACTCTGGGCACGATTCTGACATCAATGCCTTCTATCTGCGAATGCCATCATGACGGGGATCCGGCTCCGCGACGCCGTTTGTGACAATCGGTCCTTCGCGGCTTGAATTTGCCCCTCTCAGGGGCACGGCATCCAGTTTCTGGACGGGTCGCTTTCCAGGACGGCGACGTCTCCTTGATTCGCGGATTGACGCGATGTGCGGGCGATGGCTATTGCACGGAAACTTTGCTGCATGGGTTGGTCAAAGCTTCACCCGTGTGGAACCAAAGTTTGTGCAAGAGAACGGCAGTCATCTCTTTAGAATCATCCTGGCTTGTGCATCTAATGACTTCAATTTCAACAGCGACCAAACAACGCGAGTATTGAATGCTTTCTCGCGCTGTTATTTTCCATATTTCTATGATGCCTTCCATGAGCACTGTCGTTCTTTGTTATTCCGCGCCTCGTTTCACAACCCTTGCACAACTGCGACGCGAACCAGGTCGGGCTGAGCCCTAAACTCCGCCCTGACTCTTCGAGCCTGCATTCGGCTAAGAGCAACATGTGATATCGCGTCGGCGTGTTCGACTTTTCGACGCGATTGGACGCGTCTTGCATTCACTTTGAGTCCCATGTCCTTGGGAGATAGCGGCCTCCTGGAGGCACCGGGTATATATACAGACGTGCGTTCGCTCATTTTGCCTGCTATCATCGCCCTTTCTTTGCCCTTCGACGTGTCTGCCTAAGGATCCCCATCGGTTGTTTTGGTTGCGTGGCCATCGTCGTATCCCTGTTGCCTATGCTCGAAGGACTATAAATATCTGCTATCGCTCATTCACAGCATTTGTTCACTATCGAAGTTGGAGGATCTCCACTATCATTCACCATGTTCTCATCAAACCGCACACGACAGGAAAGCTTCTCGAAGCACCGAGCAAGCAAGTCGAAATCGAGCAAGAGAGCCCCATCCTCGTTCAAGGACGCACCAAAGAAAGTAGAGAGGCTCGTGCAACAAGCTCAAGCTTCATCACCAAAGTCGAACCAGACATCGCCGTCGTTGGGCAGGTGAGTTCATCAACCCTTACGTGTCAATTCGAACGAATTCACTGATGATTTTCATCAGCGCAATCATCACTATCTCGGTCGGCCGCGAGCAACGCCTCTTCGCAGCACACGAAGATGTTCTGTCCCACTCTCCTTGGTTTCAAGCCGCCTGCAACGGCCAGTTCTTCCAATCCTCCAACAAGCGAATCGATCTTCCCGACGAGGAACCCGAAGTCTTCTCCTCAATTCTCGAATACCTTTACAAAGGCGACTACTACCCTCGTCTCGAATACAACAAGAAGCGCAGTAGTTGGTGTCTCGAAGACGGCGGCAATGGAAACGGCACCAGCGAGGCTGTGGTCAACTCTTCTGCCGGCCCAATCCTAAAGGATACTATCATATACTGTCAGGCTGAGAAGTACGGGCTTCAGGAGCTGAAGAAGCTTGCTCTGAGGAAGCAAGGTCTTCAATCTGGTGTTCAATGCTCCACCATCCTGACGTCTGCTCGCTACGCGTACGCCAACACACCCGACAGCGACTCGAAGCTTCGAGCACACTACCTTGCACTCATCATCCGAGCTCGACACACATTCAAGCGCAGTGGCACTATGCAGAATGAGATGGAGAATGGCGGAAAGCTGTTTTTCGACTTGTTCGTCGCCATGGTCAACCATATGGACGACTTGTCGCCACGCTAGGCTCCCATCGCGGGTCTCATCGGAGAGCTTCTCGTCCCCGCTTGCTTCTATACCTGTGACTCTGGTCCAGCTTCACTCCACTCGTTATCCATATTCCGACCTCTGCCCGCGTTCACATCGGTCCGTCTTCTACACCAGTTATCAGTATCAGTATCAGTATCACCAACACCAATCTTGCCCTAATGACCTTATCACGACACGCACATATCGATGTCGTATTACACTTCTTGTACATATATCCAGCCTCACGGCTACACCGCTTCAGTCCAAGGCTTGAACTCCTCATTTCCTATTAAGTCTTCCCGGCGTTTGGGTTCAGAGATATCACCCCGGCTTTTCCTCAACCTACCTTTGTACTATACTGTTCTTTCTCTATCTCCGTCGTATCTCTTCCGTCCGTATCAGGTTCCAAAGTACTCTTCTTCTCCAAGCTATTGCGCCACAAGATTGTTTGAGCGTACCGCGGCGCACATCGTTATTATGTTTCTCTTACCAGCCAAACACTTGCACGTGCCTATGGCGTGGCAGTCCCTGGGCTGTATTCACTTCTTCTCTTCACAGTTTTGGGATAGGTTTGCTGGTTGTTCATGTAGGATGGATGGATGTATCAAATTGGGCTTGTTTCCCAGGTCGGTCGGTCTCAAATTGCAGGAATGAGGGCTTGGATGCGCTTTTCTCGTTTGGACTTGGGTGCTGGGCGTCTGATGATAGTTCACCGTTATGAATCAAATTGTGAGCAGAGCGTTACGCATTCTTCATTGCGACCATGCTTGTGACTTCGTGTGACTTTGCGATGATGCAAGTTGACAGTGGTTGTTTGGGATGCGTACTTGTTCACATCTGTAACATCACATCTGCATCGCTCAGGCTATCCTGAGTTCCGTATCTCCAAGTAGTCTTCCAGTTGTCACTCTACATGAATCTATCCAGCACACAATCCCATCCTTGGCTACGTCCAATCTCAGCACCCCAGGAAAGCACAACCAGAAGTCGTATCGCAGATATCACATCTCAATAACGAAGGGGAACAAGTAGACATCCAATCCATCCAACCCCCATGAACCACAGTTCCCAACCGATGGACTCCTGCATAACTCGCTACCCCATGCCACAAATCGCCTCCCATCAAAAGTCACAGCTCGCATCTCTACTGCCCGTATCATCACGCGCTATTTCATACTCTGTCTAGAACGTACACTCGCGTGAAGCACTAGAAACAGTATGGCGAAGGGGAGACTCGGAAGAGACCCCAGCATGTCAAATCACTAGTAATAACAGGGATATCGAGACGAGTGGCTCAGACGCCAATCTCCACCTCTGATTTGAGAAGTACTGTTTCTGACTCTTCAGCTTGATGTTATAACGCATGTCCTTGTAATATTATATTCTGAATCACGGCCAAGACTAGAGTATGCTAATCTAAACACTACGGACAGGTTAGTAGCAAACCAAGCATTAAAAGATGCAGACAGCAGAAACAGTGAAGCTGTGAATACGTTCTCTTGAATACTCATCGAGGGAATCGGCGGTGGGACGGATTGGGCTACACATCTGTGTGCGTGCGAAGATAAGAAACAGGACATATGTACGCCCATCAACTCATGATATCGCATATCTCACGCGAAACGACACGGGTCTACCAGGCACACTTGGGACACGCATTCCGTTATCGAAAAGATGTGATAGCTGAGAAGACTGCAGGGTTCCAGGCTGGGCCTCGATTGACTCACCATACAATATGTGAACGGCCTCCAGCAACTACTGGTATCCCCCTGCTTGGCAGCAGGGGGACCAAGCTAGGGGAATTACAGTTTGAAGGAGAGGGCAAAAGGAGTGCTGGTGGCGAGCGGGGTACGTAGATGAGTAGGGCGGGGATGCGTACGCGATATCAGCTGATAGGGCGATACCGCGTCTGGACTGGCTGGACGCGACGCGGGGCAGGAACACTAGGCTCGACGCCAGCATCATACGAGACAAGCAAGGAAACGGGTGGAATGCAAGGTATGACTCTGATTTCGGGTATATCGCTACTTCTTTCGGTTGGGTCGCCCAGCCAATGCGCGTCTCCCTTCGTATGCAGCATGCGCGTTTTGTTTTTGCAGGCTCAAGTCGCGTTGGCCTGGTAATTGTACTCTAGCCGAACATCTACACTGACCAGTGATGCGCCGTGAAGTGCGACTCGTGGAGTGGGGTTACGATAGATGTTGGCCGGAGAAGTTCGGACATCAGACCCTTGTGCCAGGGAATGCGCCCTTTTTGTTCATGACAACGATTGCATGTTCCCTTGAGATGTATCCCTTCATGAGCCCCTGTGAGAGTGTTAGCTAAAAACAACGCGCAACGATTAAGTGTAATAAGCCATCGCATAGCAAGGCTGCCTGGATGGCGTGGGAGGGTACATGACTGTCTACACCAACGTGATAAGGGGAGATGATACGTACCTTGTAGATCTGGTTTGCCAGCAAACACTCGACCTCGTCGTCCTCCACTGTCTGGCCACCCATACTAAGGGCAACCGCAAAATGCACGACAGGGATTCTAGACTTCCTGATTCTGTCCTTGTCCGTTTGTCCTTCCTTCAAGTCATCAAAGCCCGCAGCCAAGTACACTTTCCGGAGGAGATTCCGCAGAGCGATGTCGCGACTTCGTTCGAGAGTCAAAAAGATGCGTCGCCTGACAAACTCGGGCTCACCGTCTGCGAGGGCCTTGTCAAAGCCTGTGAGGTCGCCTCGCTTGATGCAGGACACGAGCGGTCCGAATATGCGTTCTAGACGTGGTGACTCGGCGAGGAGAGCAGCCGTAGGGACGGAGTGCTGCGTGATGAGACGGCAGGGTATGAGGTATGTGAGAATCAGCCTGCTGGTATTAGCTGGCTGTATGGAACCTGAGTGAATGATGGGAGACTCACGACTTGTTCTGCTCGGATCGCACCCAGCATGATTCCCAAGCCTCTTGCAAGCTCTTCTCTGCCTAGTTGACGTTAGAACGGCTCCAAGTCTACGGCTGCCGTTGACCAACCTTTGCGTAATCTTCCTGCAAGAAGGCGAGAACACCAGTGTAATATCTGTACGTAACACGATGCGCTTTCGGATATAGTTGAAAGGGCGGCAGATCATGCTGTGCTTCAATCGATCGGACAACGTTCTTCGAGAGACTGATAGCGTTTAGCTAAGAGACAGGTCAGCAGTCGAACGCGCATTTGCCTGCTGAGTGATGACTTCTACCTTGAAGTACGTCTTGAATTGAAGATTGGCTATGCAATAGACGCCCCACTTGCGGGACTCGGACAAATCTGGGTTTCTGAAGGGGGTCAGAAACGGCAAGGAGAAACGGAGTTGAAGTGATGGCGCACCTGTCACCAAGACAAAGAGCAAATATCCTATTGAACACTCGTGCCGCCTCCTCGAGCTTCTCATTCCGTGCAGCTGTGCTCACGATATCGTCTGAGAAGCCAGCATTGAATGTCGCTGGCTTTGCTTTGGCCAGATACTGATCTGCCTTGATAGCAATCTTCCTCAGGTGGTTTGCCGTGAAATACAGTGTAAAGATAGCCCATGGCGGCAGGAGTCCGCCTGAGATGTGCTTGATAAAACTACTTGTCAGGTCTTTCCAGGCATCATACACAGCGATATACTGGCGGTCTCCTAGTTTGCCCTGGTTGGCCGCCTCGTCTGCTTTTATGATCTCCTTCACGGCACGCCAGTAGCATACGATGATGTCGACCCATGCATTGCTCTCCTTCGCCGACATGCGTGTGCCTTTGTTGTATTTGAGTGCATTTCGAACGTCACCTTCAACCCTCTCATCGTTGGACGCGCGGTAGAACTCGTAAAGTCGACCAGGATTTTGTACTGGCGCAAAAGGACTGAGAAACTCGGCGACTGGCTGGGCCAGACCTGTGGCATGGACTTGGAGGAAGGGTGCAAGAGCGGCCTGCATAGCTGCTTAGTGTTTAGTGAAGAATTTCGAGGGCAGATGTCTGTTTTGAGCGTCACAGAGTGTGGTAGTGTGAGCGCGACTACACAGACAAGGACTAGACAATGCGCATTACAGGGAGAGACGTTCCGCGAAGCTTGATGGTTGATGGTACTCTTCGAGTTCACCATCGGTGTTTTGGGTTGCCGACTGGCGTAGCTGCACGCCAAGCAGGGTCGCTCCTTCCAGGCTAGCGTCCACACAAGCGAATTCGACACACAACTTCAGATCGCCTGGCCTTCAACACCACGACAACTCAACGGGACTAACCTCGCAGCACAATCAAGGTCAGTCATATCCGCGAATTGCTGTCTGTCCAAATTACTAACGCTGTGTAGATGGGTAAGCCGCTCTCTCTCCCGTTCTCGCGATCCGTCCAGCAGTGCAGCCCATGGAAATTTCGATCGAGCCCTCAGGAACCGTTTCGATATCTACACCACCGCAATTGTCTACTTTAATTCTCAGTGGCGACGGCTGTGCGCATCAGTGTGTTATGGGGTGGAAGAGGTCGAATTGAGAGGGATGTCCGATGACAAGATGGAGATGAATACGGCGTACTCTAAACGTCCCTGCAAGTCGACACGTGCGAAACGACATGCCTCGACAACGATCCGCTGACGACGCTCGCTACAACTGCTGGACTCGATGCAATGACTACACAATGGGCGCAATACTGACTTGACCAGGTCGCTTCCAGGAATACCAGATCGTTGGGCGCCATCTGCCCTCCGATGCCAACCCTACCCCCAAGATCTACCGCATGCGCATTTTTGCGAACAACGTGGTTGTCGCAAAGTCGAGGTTCTGGTACTTCCTTGGCAAGCTCCGCAAGATCAAGAAGGCCAACGGTGAGATCATCGCGGTCAACGAGGTGTGTAGCAAACACGGCGCGTGAACAAGTGTTCTGCGTCATCCAACGTTAAAAAAGACCTCGATGCTGATTCGTCCCAGATCAACGAGAAGCGCCCCCAGAAGGTGAAGAACTTTGGTATCTGGATCCGCTACGACTCGCGCTCCGGTACCCACAACATGTACAAGGAGTACCGTGAGATGTCCCGATGCGCCGCCGTCGACGCTCTCTACCAGGATATGGCCGCCCGTCACCGATCCCGCTTCAGGTCGGTTCAGGTACGCTATCATCGCCGCAAACACCCACAACACTCGACTAACGTTCGTGCAGATCCTTAAGGTTGTTGAGCTCGAGAAGACCGACGACGTCCGCCGCCCGTACATCAAGCAGCTTTTGGTCAAGAGCCTCAAGTTCCCTCTGCCCCACCGCATCAACAAGAAGGCCGGCAAGAAGATCTTTGCTGCCAAGCGACCATCCACTTTCTTCTAAGCGTGTTTCTCATTATGGAGTGCGGTCTGGATGGGTTGGGAATGAATGGGCTTCCCTCGGTTATGCATGCTTCACAAAAGAAGTACATTAGGAACGAATGAATTCCCTGATACCACCATCCGATCTGTCGAGTCGCGTGATGCCCTTTAGGCCTCTCAGGGTCTTGGGGATGGGGTCAATTTTGCACGATCGAGAAATACAACGCTCCAGAGAGCATGAGCTGGACGACCTCGACTGTATATTGAGGGTAGAAGACAATGAAGTCATGATTCAATCTTTGGCCTCCACAATTATGTATATTTTTGACCCGCTTATTCAAAGTTTAGGCCCTCCTGCCGGGTTCACCTTTGCCCTTCCACCCGTGTCAATTGGCACCCACCACGGATAGCCAGTTACCTTTGTGTTCTCCATCGTACCCGTAAACTCGGCCGGCCTCTTTTCCATGAACGACTTGACCCCCTCGTTATTATCCCTACAATCAACATTAGCATCCCGTACACGCACCGTCCCAACAATGTCAACTTACGGCGACCCAAACAACCCATAAATAATCCTCGAATCCAGCAAATGCTGCCCCTCCGCACTCCCCGCATCCCTCCACATCATCTCCCTCATCAAATACGTACTAACCGAACTCGTATTCCGCACAACCTCCACCGCCACCTCCAACGCCTTAGGCAGCACCTCCTCGGGCGTATCACACAGCTCCGCAAACAGCCCATCAAACACCCTATCCCCCGCCCTACCCACCCGCCCCGTCGTAACCGCCTGCACCGCGCGCGAATACCCAATCAAGCGCGGCAGGAAAAACGACGACGCGGCCTCCATCACGATCCCGCGCCGCGCAAATACAAACCCGATTTTCGCGTCCCGGTATGCGATCCGTATCGCCATGGGGAGGGTTAGCGTTATCCCGACGCCGACGGCTGGGCCTTGGATGGCGGCGATGGTCGGCTTGCGGCTGTGGTGGATTGCGAGGACGGCGCGGCCGCCTCTATCGTAGATCGGTCAGCCATGTCTATCCCCATATACCAAACATGGAAACAGGATTAAAAGACCCACCCATCGCGATGCCCCCCCACCCCCTCCTCCTCATCCCCCTGATTAAACCCAACATCCAGATCCGCACCCGCGCAAAACATGCGCCCCGACCCCGTCACCACGATGCAGCGCACGCGCTCGTCGGCGTCGAATAGCGTGTATGCTTCTTCGAGCTCGGCGCGCATTGTGTCTGTGAAGGCGTTGTGGTGGGTGGGGCGGTGGAGGGTGAGGATTATTATGGAGGGTTCGGGGGGGTGGGGCGTGGTGCGGATTGTTTGCCAGGTGCTGTTGAGGGAGGTGTAGTTGGGTGTGGCCATTTTTGGGGGTGTTGGGGGGTGTTGACTTGTGGTTGTTAACTTGGGGGTGTTGCTTTAGGATTATTGGTAGATGGCTGGGCGTGTGTATGTTTTAGGCATGAATGTTTTGTTGTGTGATCTGCGGGTTGGGATGGGGTATGCGGGGAAGGGGACCTCGGCTGGACGCGGACGCGTTCGACGTCGTTGGAGTTGGGGTTGAGGTGTGTGTGTGTCCAATGGGAGGGCTGCGGAGGATTGAGTGGTTGAATGGATGGAAGAAAGCACGACTCCTCACAAGTTTTGCAGAATGGACGAATCTCAGTTCGGTTTTGAACGAATGATGAGTGGATGGCCTACCCATGGCGTGACTTCAGGGCAAAAGAAAGACTGCAAGCAAAAAGAAATTCATGCGGAGCGGTAGCAGGAGCAGTAGCGGGATCAGAACGTGCAAATCATCCATTTTTGTTCTTGGTAATCTTGTCTGTTTCGCTACAATTACACACACACATCACTACCGTGGTATCTTCACATCATCCCCCCTCCATGAACCCCCATCAAGCACAAACCTCCCCCTCCACAAACGCCCTCCCAATCTCCCTCGCAATCCCCAACCTCAACACCCTCACCACATCCGCCCCCTTCGCCCCACGCACAAACCCCTTCCGCCAATCCCACGCGCGCCGCCCCTCATCGACGCGCCCACCGCCCACCAGCACAGCGGAGCTCTGACCCAGCCCAAAGTCCATACTGCCAAGCATGGAGTACTGGTCCGACGACGAGGCGGCCGTGCTATTAGACAGGGACTTGTGCAGCGCGTTGTGTGTATCTGGGGACGAGGGGTCGTATGCGGCAGCGAGGGCGGTGGCGAGGACTTCTTCGCACTGGGCGCGGATCAAGCTGGATGAGGTGTCTAGGTCTTCGACTGCGGCGAGGAGGTCGTATAGGTGGCGGAGGGTGAGAGTGCGTTTTGGCTCTGGGGCGGGGGGTTAGTATGTTGTCGTTTTGTTTTGTTGTGCTGGGGAGGTACGTACGGTTTACGAAGACGAGGGCTTCGCCTAGCAAGGGTAGTAGTACGTCGACTTGCACCACAGTCTCGACCTCCGGGTCATACAGACCGCCGCGTATGCTAGATGCCGCGCTCGCAATGATGACCATAAGCGCGTTCGCCGCTGCACGTTTCCGCGCCATGGGCCCGTGTGCGGGCTTCTCGCCAGGCTTCAGCAGGACCTCTTCGTCTCTCAGGTCGTAGTATTTGCGCAGTGTGGCGTAGCCGCTGAGATGATTGGACAGGAGGGCCGCGGCCTCCGGGTCGAGGCTTGCCAGCTTAGTCAGTGTCTGCTTGGGCGAAGTGACGAGTGAGGCGAGCGAGGGGTCGAGGTCGGCGGGCGGGGGGTAGGCGACTGATTTGATGAGGCAGTGTGCTACGAGGACGCGGAGGACGTCTTGGATTTTTGGCGCGGCGTGGGCGCGCGCGTAGTAGAGGAGGGTGTCGCCGTAGTTTTGTGTGTTGGCGCGGAGGTGGTCGGCGTATTTCTGGGGGTGTTAGTTTGGGGGGTGTTTATACTTTAAGACTTGGAATGGAAGACGTACCAGAGCGATGGTCAGGGCGTGCTGCGATAGACCCATGTTGTGGCATAGTTGTGTGATTTTGTCTACTCGCGTGGCTGACTCGAGGGGGAGGTCGACAAGCAGCCGTTCAACGCGCTCACTGGCTGTCACGGAGTCGTCGAGTCTTCCTAGGATCTGGATCGCCAACTCCCAGCCTTCTCGAGACTGCTGGCCATCTTGACCAGAGATCTCGCCCTTGGCCGCTAGTAAGTCTGCGTAGGCGATGAGCAAGTCATCCTTGGACACGCCCGATCGTTGTGGCCCGTTGTAACTCAGCACCATGAGGTCGTCCTGGTTGAACTGGCCCATGATGTCGTCTGCGCGCACAAACCACTCTCCCGCACTAGCAAGTTCCGCGACTGCTGAAGCTACCGTGAGCGACCAGCCTTGGAGTATTCGCAAGACACCCTCAATGTTGTCGTCTACGATGCAGGCAATTCCCACTTCGAAGCGGTCGGTGGCATTGACGCTGAAGTCTTCGTCGCTGTTCTCAATCACTGCAGCCAAAGCAGACGACAAGCGCTGGCAGTATGCCTTGACAGGAGTGACATCGACGGGACGAACTCGTTGTGAACGCATCAAGGATCGACGACTCGCGGCAAGGCTTCCCTGGTGAACATCCTCTTCTTCTCCGTTCCACCATATCGCAAGCCCTAGCACAGCTTCGATCCAGTCAGCCGAGATGGCAAGGATTTGCTCTTCGTTGCCCAGCAGAAGCTGGTAGAGATTGCGCAGGTTTTCGTAGATGGACCACGGCACTTTACTCTCTGCCTTCCGACTCGTGACGCTCAAGTGGAAGCTGGCCTGCGATTGCGAGATGCCGAAATGTGACGCTTGGAAGGGTTGGGTAACGGCGTGTCGGCTGGCGCTCTCGCCTTCTGCAAAATCCTGGAGGTTGGCATAGGCCTGGTGGGTGCGCTGTCTAAAGATGCTCCAGTCGTGGCCCTTGACGTCCCAGTCATCTGAAGCCACCGCCGGGCACTCGCGCAGGAGGTCGATGGCGGTGCGGACCGCGTCGTTTGCATGCCGTAGGTGCGATCCCGTGTATCCAGCGTCGCCCAATCCATCTTCTTGCGCTGTTGCTGCGTTCTCGAGTTTGGCACCCTGGAGCAGCTGCAGGGTCTTGTCGAAGTTGCCCCGGACGGCAGACGCCTGGACAGCCTCCCAGAAGGAGGGATGCCGCGAGTATGCGCGCGATTCCTTCAGAACCAGCTCCACCTCGGACACGGCCGCGTACGTGTTGTTGAGCCAGCTGAGGAGGACTTTGGGGATTGGCGTGAAATGGCGCGCTTCGGGGCGTGCAGGGGCAATCGACAGGGCGGTGCTTCGCTGGTTGTGTGCGATTGGCGGCGGGTGGTGGAGGGTGAGTAGAAGGCTGGCCAGACGGGAGGCGTTGGAGAGGGCAGCGGCCGACGATGCGCCTGCCTTGGACGATGTGCGCGACGCAGCCTGCCACGACGCGACGAGCTTCTGTGCGATGTCTGAAAGCACGCCTATCCTTGTTTCTGGCGAGTCCGAGTCGAGCGAGGCCTGCACCTCCCCCGCCAGGCGCTCTGTCTCCAGTATCACGTGGTCGGGCTCTTGCAGCGTCGCGCGGTCGACGTTCGGTGTCAGGCCCTTGGCCAGGGGCAGCAGGTCGAACTGCGTCTGCTTTGCGCCGGCCCGCACCAGCATGGGCCCCTGTTCCAGGTCGCTCGCGCTGGTGTGGGAGACGACCGACTGCGAGAAGCGATTCTGGGCCTTTGCGCGTCGCTGGGCAGAGAGGCGCAGCTGCTCGTCGTCTTCGTCGTCGTCGTACTCGTCGTACTCGTCCATGTCGTCGTCGTCTTCGCCCTCTTCCGACCCGTACTCGTCGTCGTCGCCCGGCCGCGGTGGGCTGCTCGGCACGCGGTATCCCGAGCTGGTGGTGCGGCCGCGCGCTGTGGTAGGGCGGCCCGTGGTCGACATGCCCATTGATCCTGCCCCGACGCCCTCCAGGTTGTAGCCGTGCTTCGGCGGCGAGCTGTCGAAGAGCGACGTGTTGAAGTTGTAGCCCGAGGGCTGGGTGAAGGTCGGGCGCGCGTTGTCGAACAGGTCGTTCATGGCTGGGGGCGCTCCGGCGGGCGTGGACGTGGAATAGAACAAGTCGTCGCGCGGCTGGCCGGCGGGCGTCGTCGAGGGCGGCGCGTTGCTGCGACTCTGGCGGCGGGAGTTGGGCGTCGAGGGTGGTGTCGACGACGGTACCCGGAACATTGCTGTTGCTGTTGTGCGTGGTCGACGGAGCTCCTACACCAAAACAAAGACTCAATTACGGTAATGTATTAATTACGGTAATCTTGGGTCGAATCTAGCCAGGATCCTGCAGGAGCTGGTTGGGCGAGGCGGTCTTTGTTCGGCCGTGGTCGCCGTCGCACACGATAATCTTCGCCGGCCGACGAGACGAGCTGCAAGACGCGCGCGCAGATCCCCTAGCGCGACCAGCTCCCTTCACCAGCCCGCACGTGACCGGCGCCGGATCTACGTTTGGCCGCCTCGCCATGGACTCTACGGACATGGATATCCACCGACATGGGTGTCCACTGATCTGGCCATTGCACTACGCGACACGTGCAGCGGCTGCTGGTGCGTGCTCCGGCCCTGGCAAGAATTCCTTTTGTCGCCTCGGGCTGCGCGTTCCTGAAAAAGCAATATCGCGCCGCGAATCATAGTGCATCCCATCTCCACCTCTGCTGTTCATCACCCGTCCGCTGCGGCATGTCTATGGATGACGCCGAGTACACCATGTCGTTGAGCACCAGCGCTCGAGTCAAGGCTGCCATTCAGAGTCGGTCGCTGAGGTGTGCCCTCGACAAGACTAGGCTTCCCTGCTGACTAGCATGCCCACGTCTGCCACTGTGCGGCTGACGTATCTGCTGCAGCCGGCAAGGAAACTTAAAAGCGGTGCTCCCGCCCTCCACCGGACCACAAGACCCTGTCGCGTCCTACCCCCTCCCCATTGACTCTGTGCCACTGCATGCCCGCGAGTGTTGGTGTTCCTAATGTCTAATCCCCGACCGGCTACCTGCTGAAGCTGCACAACGCGCCCTCCCTCCCTCCTCCGTGCCTGTGCCCCCGCCTTTCGCCATGTGGTCCAGGACGAAGACGCAGTCCAAGGCGGGCTTCGACAAGGTCTACAACTGGGTCGACAAGGCGGGCGCCCCCGTCAATCGCTGGACCAACAAGGTCGGCTCCGAGGCCTTCTGGCCCACCACCCTGGACCTCGAGTCGGACAAGGCTGCGAGGATTCTCAAGACCTTCTGCAGTAAGACGACCGCTGGCGCTGCGCCGTGACCAACACTGACTCCACCACCAGAGGAGGGCTTCTACCAAGAAGAAGACCGCCTGTCTGCCGACGGGCCAACGGCAAAGCAGAAAGTGCTGAAGACCATCCCCGCTGAGATTATCAAAAATGCAGTCGGCCTCTGCATCTTCACCACCATGCGTAGCTCTCCCCACACCTCATGCCTGTCAGCCTTTTACTAACTTCACGTCTCCAGGCACCGGCATGTGGGTATCTGGATCGGGTGGGTCAGGTGTTCTCGTCGCCCGCAAAGAAGACGGATCCTGGTCGCCGCCATCCGGCATCCAATTGCAGACCTTGGGCCTAGGCTTCCTCGTCGGCATAGACATCTACGACTGCGTCATCGTCATCAACAGCGCGAAGGCCTTGGAGGGGTTCAAGGCGGTACGATGCACCCTCGGCGGAGAACTCAGTGCAACGGCCGGTCCTGTGGGAATCGGCGGCAGCATCGACATGGAGGTCCACAAACTGCCATCGCCCGTCTACACATACATGAAGTCGCGCGGTTTCTATGCCGGAGTCGAACTTGCTGGCACGGTCGTCATTGAACGCACAGATGAGAACGCGCGATTCTACGGAGAGCCTGTCAGAGCCCAAGAAATCCTGACCGGAAACGTACACCATGCTCCCTTCGAGACAAGAAGACTTCTGGAGACCCTGAGGGCAGCTCAAGGAGACACCGATATCGACGAATCACTCATGCCCAATGAAGCGTCACCAGGAGATTTTGAGATCACGGCTCCAGAAGAGAAAGTCTTTGGTGTGCCAGAGCCTGAGGATCCAGATCCGTTTGGTGTGCTCGCCCTGCAGAACGCTGGCTTGGACATTGTCGAGGCTGGCACGCACAAACGTCCCTCGAGCGAGCAGTTCGAGTTCAAGCCTAGTCCTACTAGTCCGGTATATTCAAACTTCCGGAAAAGCATGGACAACAGGTCGAGCCTGGCTCCCAGCAGACGGTCGAGTTGGCGTATCAGTACAATAAGCAGTGTTCTCGGGGGTCGGTCGTCAACGAGTACCATGGTCGACATGTGCACTCAGACAGATAGCGACCTCGAGCCGTCCTCGCCAGTCAAAACGACGCCGCCTGCATTGCCTCCACGACAGAGTATGACAATACGAACGCCTTCACCTCCTCTGGCAGACATTCCTGAAGCGGCAGCTCAAAGCGCAATGCCCCAGCCTGAGGAAATGAAAGACGGTGTCGTGGAAGAGAAGATCTCGAGCACAACCAGCTCTCCGAGAAATTCGAAGACTTTGGATGATGTGAAGGTTGTCGATGATGACGAGAATGATGAGGACGATGATGAAGATGAAGACGAAGACGACAGCGAAGACGACGACGAAGAGGAGGAGGTAGTTATCCAGGAAGTCCACCAAGCTGCAGCGCCGCAAGCCATCACCCGCGCACGCGTTATCCAAGTTGCGAAGCCTGTTGCCCCTGTGCTACCAGTGAGGAACCCGTTCCGCAACCGGGCTTCGGTCATCTCGCAGGCGTCGAACGGAGATGCCTCAGTCGGTGTCTCGTCGACGACTGAGAAGCGCAGCCCTGTGTCGACACCATCGCTCAAGCATAGCAACTCCACGTCCTCCTTGTCCTCTGTGGAAGACAGTCTTCAGCGCGTGAGCAACAAGCTCCAGCCCAAGTATACAAACGAGGCCGCGCCTGAACAAGCGAGTGAAGAGAAGTTCGAAACCTTCCATTCGCCCCCGATTACGCCAATGCAGCATATTCCAGGAGGGTTCGAGTAAGCAACTGAACATTTCTACGGAAAAGTTGTTTGCCTTCGAATAGCGTCATTTCGCTGGCGCACGACGGCCTGTTCCAATAAGCAGTGTGCCCTGCGCTTTTTGCATTTTCGGTCCAGTCAGAATCAACTAGCCGCACATTCCGTCAAGACGGTGGTTAAGAATACAACATGAGAACCAATACAGCCCGCCCCACTCACTTTGACTTCCATCGCTTTTCAATCAGCAGATACACCGCGCTGAGGAAACTAGTGTCGCAGAACGAAACTAGAGCAAGCAATCTTCGACTGGAGTGCGTTTGCTTACCCCACGGCTTCAGGTCTGGACGCAACTCTCCCGTCACGCGCAGATGTGTACTTCACCACAAGAGGAGAAAGAACGGTTTGGATAGAAGGACCATATTCTTAGTTGCACAGCGCTAAGCGGCACTGATAGTATTCTTTCCGCTTCTTGCTACGAGATGTATTTCCTTACCCCTGTTGTTGATATCCATTTATGAGATTTGGCTTCCAGGACTTGACGTAGTATTCACATGATTTAATGTATACATTTACATGCCCATGGTTAATCACGCTACAAAGACGTTTAATTGAGTGCACCTGATTCGGTGATGGATGCTTAGTTGCAGTAGAGTGGATCGTATGCCAAGGAGCAGCCGTGCCACCCCTGCTAAAATTTCGAGAATTCACCGCGCATCACCAAAACTTTTACAACCATCTGTGCCAAAGTACAACACCCAGCATCCCGTCGCCCTGCCCACCCAACCAATCTCCAAAAAAAAGCCCTCACACACCAACCAACCCACACTATCTCTCCACCCACACACACACACACCCACCACCATGGCGCCCTCACCCTCCCAAAAACCCAAGAAACAAAAGCCCACCCCAACCACAGTCGCAGACTTCACCATCCTCATCCTGACGCTCCCCCCGCTCCCCAGCCTCCCCGCGCAACACCAACACGCAAAGCACTTCCTGTACGCAAAACCGCACGCGCCCAGCGTGCCGACCCCCACGGCGGAAAAAAGCCTCTTCGTCGCAAACGTGCCCGTCGACGCAACGGAGGCCAATCTGCGCGCCCTGTTCGCCGACCACCTTGGTGGGAGTCGTGTTGCGAGCGTGCAGTTCGACTCTGCGGTCCCGGAGGCGACGGCGCATAAGCGGTGGAAGAGCGCTGTGGGGGTGGGGGGGAAGCGGAAGAGAGAGGAGGGGGAGGAGGATGTAGCAGAGGGGGTGGTGGAGGATGAGGATAGTGCGTTACCGCGGGTTTGGAACGGGGAGGTTCGGCGCAGTGGGTGTGGAGCCGTCGTTGAATTTGTGGATAAACGCAGTGCGCGGGGGGCGCTGAAGGAGATGCAGAGAATTGGGAAGGAGGGGAGGGGTGTGCCGTGGATGGCTGGGATGGGGTTGGGTGTTGATCGTACGTCTTATATCTCCCCCTTCCATCATTCACCTTCAATCCACCTTCAATCCACAACTAACAACACAAAAGGCTACACATCCCACACCACCCTCTCCCACCCTTCCCCCCACTCCCTCCAAACTTCAATAAACGCCTACCTCACCCAATTCTCCACCCTCGAACGCTCCCGCGCCAAATCCCGCAAACAAGCCCGCACCCTCCCAGACGAAGACGGCTTCGTAACCGTCGCGCGTGGCGGCCGCGCGGGGCCTGCGCGCATCGAGGACGCGCAGAAGAAAGCCGCTGAGCATGATGAGCGGCGTAGGAATAATGGCGTGGGGGACGACTTTTATAGGTTCCAGAATAGGGAGAAGAGGAAGGAGGCGGAGGGGAGGTTGAGGATGAGGTTTGAGGAGGATAGGCGGAGGGTGGGGGAGATGCGGGGGAGGGGGGGGGTGCGGGTTGAGCGGTAAAGGGGGGGTGGAGGGGGGGTAGGGGGGATGTTGATTGGTGTTGGGATGGATTGGCTTGTGTATGTTGAGTTCATGGGTTCTTTTGATGGGAGGGTTATTGGGGAAGGGCTTTTTTTCTGGTCTTCTCTGCGGACGCAAAAGTCAATCAACTTTTCGTTTTTTGCGAAAATTTATCCCGCTGACGACGGGTAGAAGGAAGGGACTTTGACGTGCATATGACATGATATGATGTGATAGTATTGTATCGAACAAGATTGAACAAGATTGAACCCATCAACACCAAAACACCGATGATGAAAAGATACTCGAAATCAAATGTGCAAAGTAACGCCGTTCCCTTCATATCCTCTTCCGTACACTGTAGTCCTACTTCCTACTTCCTACTTCCAAGCCGCATCCAACACTACACACACGCCCGCGCAGAACGCGCTTCGGACGCTGCTTCTCGATCTTCATCTCGATCTGCATCTCGATGCTCGTCCATAGGCGCTGCACACTCATGAGGCGCTGCACACGCCGCATCTTTCTTCGCCGTCATCCTCGTCACCGGCAAACAATGAACCTTCTCCCAAACCAGCGGCGCCAGTCCTTGCGGAAAAACATCCGACGCCCTCAACGCGCCACACTCCCAGTACATCTGCCTCGTCCCAAGACGCAGCAGTCTCCGACTAAGCAGGCGGTCTTGCAGGGCCCACGCGCGCGTGTCCCATGCGAAGCCCGGGGCTGCTAGGACGGAGTCCGGGATTACTGGGTTGTGGGCGGTTGTGCTGCGGTGTTTGTCGTTGCTACTGTCTTTGTCGTTCGTATGTAGCTGATCGAGCACGAGCGTCAACGCAGCGTTGCGGAACACAGACGCCATGCGCGCGCATTGCACGCGTCTATCTGCCTCGCAATCTTGCATGATGCATAGGCGGTCGTCCCAGATATATCTGTACCCCAAGCGGTGCGCGGCGTGGATGGCGCGGTTGTACGTGCGCGGCAGGGCGGCGCGGGGGAAGTCCTGGTGTTGGGTTTTGAGGAAGTCGCGGCTTAGGGATATGGTATCCGTGGGGTCCCAGACGTGGCTTAGGGCTATGTATGCGGTTTGAGGGGTGAGGGTGGCGCTGTTGATGGCGCGGATGTAGGGGCTGTCCTGTCCAAGGGGGTGGATGTCTACTAGGCGGGTGGGGAGGGCGTCGGTGTTGCTCGCGGTGTCGGGGCGACGGCAGGTGTCGTGCGTGTGGGTGCATGCTTCAAGCCAGTGTTTGGCGTTGTCGAAGGCGTGTTTCCTAAACAAGTGGTTGTCGTCGGGAAATCCTTCTAGCTGCTTGTTGACGTCTGGGGATTCTTCAAGCTCGTCCTGGACGTTCGCGTTTGGTTCAGACAGGTTGCCATCGTTGATGAATACGCCATGGTTGGGTTTGCCAGTGCCATTCAAGTCAACTTGATGCTGGCAATCGATGCCGTGTTCATGGCCAGCCAGTTCTGCCGCAAGGAGCTCTTCGTCCGGTCCCGGGAAGATAGCCTCGTTGTTTGCCCAGTTAAGGCAGCAAGAAGCAGGGGTAAACGTCATGCTCAGCGACGCTGCACTTGGTCGCTCCTCGGGTTCAGCACTCAGCATAGCCTTGACCGTGCGGACTGCGATTTGCTCCTTGGGAGTCGGCGCTTCCAGGAGGAGATCCTCGAGTCCAGCCTGAAGGCCTAACACGTCTTGCCAGTAGCATTTACCCGCACGCTCGCCGAGCCATTTGGCGTTGCGTTGGTCGAGTGCCCAAGTCATCATCTCGAGGAATACACACCCCAGACTCCAGATATCAGCAGCTTCCTTTCGGGGGGTTCCGTTCAGGGCCTCCGGTGCGATGTATTGGCGTGTCAGTGGCTTGGATTGTCCGATGTTCAGCTCATCAGACGAACTGGTGCCGAAGTCACTGAGTACTACGCGAGGGAAGCCTTGGTCGCCCTGCATGACTAGGATGTTCTGAGGCTTGATATCTCCATGTCTAATTGCCGGTCGTTGTTCGTGAAGGTATCGGACTGACGATACGAGACAGCCGCCCATCTTGGCGACCATTCCAGAAAGCTTGGCCGGCTTCAGTACAGTGGGTTGAGCGAGCCATAGCGCGAGATTTGTCTCCGCGACAGGAGAAAGGAGGATCGACATCCTATCACCCATCGAGTACGACCCGAGGAGTCGGATTATGTGGGGATGGCGTAGTTTCTTGAGTACGTTCACCTCCTTCTGCAACTCTTCGATGGCGGATTGGTCGCGGTTCTTCAGTGTTTTTCGACTAAGACGTAAGTTTGTCTCGCGATGTACGACCTCGTCGACCGTACTGAAACCACCTGCGCCGAGTAGTCTGATGCTGAGGAACGAGTGCGCGTCTACTGGGATTGTAGTATTCTGCAACGTCTATTCTAGTGTTAGTATGGATCCGTCAAAAACACTTTTTGAGTGTTGAGCATACCTTGAAACTGTGTTTGAATACGTCCGGACTATGGCGCGTGGTAGCCAACTGCATGTCCTGAGCCGGCGTTAGAAGCGGGCAGATGCCGCATGCGGACGACGTGGCTAGTGAAATTGCATTTAGGGTTACGCCGCTGGGGGAATGCATGGTCTTGGGAGATGAACGTCGTCGTGGTACCTCAATCAAGGTGCCAGAAACATCATCTCGGGCCAAGGTATCTGTACTGTCCGTAGCATCTCCCTCTGACGATACATGCTTCTTTGGTATAGAGGGTGGTACACATGAGCCTGGCTCTCCCGGATCGGGCATCGGTTCCGAGTGTTGCTCGCAATCATGGGTAGGAAGTTCTGATTGAACGAGTCGCTGGTGGTGTTGGGTAGGAAGTACTGGTTTGATGAGTTGCTCTCCGATTGAACACTGATCACCGGTATGGCCGCCCTCGAGTTGTGAAAGCTGGAACTGGAAGAAGCCACCTCCTGAGGCATCGCCGTTGCTGCCGCTACCGCCGCTACCACCATAGTACTTGGAGTCAGGGCTGCCTCCAGAGTTGTTGCCAGGTGGATGATAGGAAGGCTTGCTGCCGTCGAAGCCGTCGTCGCCAGGTCGACTGTCGTCGTCGTTGCTGTCATCGGAATCTTCGTTATCCTCATTGTGGTCGTCTGTCCAGTCGAGCATGCACTTGCCCTGCTTGAAGTGGTCCGCGATGTGGTCGATGCGCTCTTGCCTTGAACTGAACTTGTGTCGACAAAACCCACACCTCCTTGGGAATTCGGTTTCGGAGCAGACGACGCTCGACTCGTCATGGTCATCAGCATTGAGGCCAGGATGGATATTCCTGAAATGCTGCGAGAAGTGGTACTTCCTGAAGCATGGCTTCACATTCTGCACACCCTCGCTCGTACACAAGCTGCAAACCCATGACTTGCATGGGTAGCCCTCTTCCTCGTTCCTCTTCCAGTCGCACTTCCGCCCGTAACGCTTGCCGCACTTCCTCGTGCACTGGTAGATTTTGTTGGGGTCTCTGGTAAGTAATTCGACGTCGTTTGTTGGCGCACAGCGCTTCTTACCACCTCGAAGGGTGGTAGCTGGTGGACTGGTAGTGGTAGTGTCGTGGCTGTGGGTAACCTCTGGAATGGTGGTTACCTCGTGTTGCTGCTGGTGTGGCCCTGACTGTGTTTGCTGGAGGGGATCGGCCTGCAGCGGCTCGTTCCAGAACTGGTCTCGCTGGTTGAGGGCCGTCTGTGACCTATAGGCAGAGTCGGAATTGTGGCCGTCACCCATGCCCTGCTTGATGAGTCGCCCGAACCAGCTTCGGATGGCGGGAGCCGGTTCGCCAGTCAGCTGGCTCAGTGACTCTATATGCTTATCGCTGCAGTGATGTTAGCATTGCTGCGCCCAGTTAAAGCATATATCTTTGCCAACTGTTGATGCCCTCCAGTACGTCGAAAGAACAGACAGACATGATATATTTGCAGCTTTGACGGACACATAACAACAGCAACATCTTGACATATGAAGGATAGAGCATAGTGTATACATCAAGGGGGACGACACTTACCTGGGCAAGACCGCGTACTTGTTGAACCACATGGTACATACATCGGCAGCCTCATCCGAAAGACCCATCTCCATGGAGGAGGCTGGCGTAGGTTGAGTATCAAACGTCCAGCTTGAGGTAGTCGCCGTCGAAGACTGTAACGGAGAGATGGTAGTGTACTCTCCGAGAGATTCATGGCGCTTGGCCACAGGGAAGTCGTGCATATCGAGTTGCAAAGACCTCTTGCCCAGGGCAGAACCGAGCTGTGAGTGCGGGTAAACAGAGTCGAACGACTGCGCAGGTGTCAGGGGCATGAACGTGTTTAGTGAGTCGAACGTATTCGGGGCGAGCTGGTCGTCCCAGGCCGTCGTCGCCAAAGAGTTTCCTAGAGTGTTGTCCATGATTTGTGGCAGGTAGGTCTGCTCCTGGGACAACGATAACATTGCCGGGTTGAATGTGTCAGTGCAGAAAGACCCGGTGTCGATACCCTCGTCGCCGAAGAAGAAAGAAGTCGAAGTATCACCCTCGACAGGTTTCGAAGCTGGCTGTTGGTGAAGTTGCGGAATGGCGAATGTTGTGCCGAAATCCATGTTGGACATGTCGAAAGCGAAACCAGCGCCCTGTGATGCCATCTCACCCTGATATGTTTGTGTAAAATTAAGGGCGTGTTGTGATTCCCTTTGGAACGTAAGCCACGTTCTACCTTTCCTTTCTGAGAAACTATACCTGTATGCGGTTGTCGAAGTTGCTAATGCGACACGTCTGGCCACGTTCGGATGGTTTGAACAGTAGTCGGTCGTGGTTGTTGGTCAGCAATGAGGGCGGAGGTTCGCGTAGGAACTCCCAAAAAGTGAGTGAATATGATGAAGAATGACTCTGAACGCCTGAGGCCGGGCTTGGTCGTACTTTTAGGTCAGATTATTGGAGTCATATTTCATCTTGCTGAAGGGTGGCCACAGCGCAGCGCAGCAGGGGCTTGGACCGGTGAGATGTTTAGCGAGAAACGGCTGACCTCACACAGCCACACTGTGGGTGATCAGATACGCAATGCGATGCGATATCTGGAGGAAGCAGAGAATGCATCACAACTAAACCAGACATTATCTTCTAGGACAAAGTCCAAGTTGAGAGAGTGTATCGAGAAATTTATTCAGATTCAAAATGCACACATCGTGTTCACGACTTCGAAGTTTCAGCGTTCCAAAGTTGTCGAAGGCACCGCCCGCGCTATACCAGAAAGGTCGGACTCCGCCCTTTCTTTTAAGCCTATGACACGACAGGGTCGTGAAGATCATTTCGTGTATCATTTCGTAACTTCATACCACTGTTAACCCACCTTTGCAGTCAAAAGCATTCTTGCTGGGGTTCGACGCCAAAGTCATCTATGCATAACATCGCTCGATGCGATGGAGGACCGAGACAATATGATACCCTAACGCCAAAAAACACAAACAACGTCCTCTAAGCGTCACTCTTGACAACAGCCTCGGTGCCACTGATTTGAACTGGCTCAGACTGCGTCTCTTCGACTGTTTTCAGAGATTTGGCTGGTGCAGGGTTGAGAATTCTTGCGGCGTCAATGAGACCCGCATTTGGGTTGAGCACGAGTCCAAAGCCCGGCAGGTCCAGTTGCGACACGTCGAGGTAGCCCTTGGTGGGGATGGGTTCGTTTATAAACAGGTTGCCAAAGACTGGGAGAACAGACTTGCCGTCAGGCGAGTTCGCGAGGTACTCTTGGAAAGGAGAGTTGGCCTGGCTAACGACGAAGTGGTAACTAGGGTAGGTTGTCAGAATATGTTCTGCAGATCATGTTAAAGCTCCCGCTTACCTGTATGGGCCCGAAGCGTGAGGCACAACCGGGATGTCGTACGCGCTCGCCATCGCGGAAATCTTCAGTAGCTCTGTGAGTCCTCCACACCACATAATGTCCGGCTGGATGATGTCCAGGTTGCGGCCCTCGATGAGTTTCCGGAAGCCATATCGCGAGTATTCGTGTTCGCCGGTTGTGAACTTCATGCAGGGATGCGCTCGCTTGATCTGCTCGAAGCCATCGGTATCATCCCTGAGCGCGTTAGTGCTTGATTCTTTCTACACGGTAAACTGAAAACTTACGGGCTCAAGCACTCCTCCCACCAATTCAGGTTCAGATGCTCTGTGGCTTTAACGACCTCAATGGTATAAGGTACATTGAGTGACATGTAGCAATCCACCATGAGGGGAAAGTCCGGCCCAACGCTCTCGCGGTGCTTGGTGAGGAACTCGACATTCTTCTTCAAGCCCTCATGGCCTTCACCAGGCCCGTATGGAAGAGGCACCTTGGCGCCGAAGAAGCCCATCTCTTTCGCCGCAGCTGGCTCTGGGCCAGTGCAGTAAAAGTTGAGACGCTCCCGCGTTGCTCCACCAATCATCTTGTATACCGGCTCATTTCGAATCTTGCCGAGGAGATCCCAGATGGCGAGATCGATGACGGAGATGACGGCGACCGGGAGTCCCTTGCGACCGTAGAACATAGAAGCACGGTACATCTGCTCGAAGAGATGGTTCGTATCTCTTGGATCTGGAAGCATGTTAGGCTGGTCATGTTGTATGCATTGCGCCTATAGAGGCAATCACTTTAGTGACTTACCTTGACCGACCAAAAAACGCTCGAAATGCTCTGCTACAAGCCAGCATGCAGGCGGGCCTCCAAAGCCAGTCGCAAAGCCCTTGGTCCCATCCGAGGCCTCGAGCTCCACGCAGAAAGATCCCAAGACATTGATACCCCAGCTGGTTCTCGACTTTCTGTATGTTTCGTACTGGCTCATTGGCGTTGAAATCTTGCTGTCAATCAGCCAATGACCGCCGTGTACATTGTGGTAGTCGCCGCCAGATCCTAGTTGCAATCTTAGCATGCATGAATACGGAGTGACTGTACATTTTCCACCAACCTGGTCCTTGTGTAAGGAAAGTCTTCACATGCTTGATTGTGGGGAACGAGCGCGCAGCGCCAGAATCTCCAGTGGTAGACATGATGAATAGAACAAACGAATATAAGAGGAAAAGAATCAGGTAAAGTACGAAGAGGAGGGGTAAGGCGTGAATAGAGGACAATGCGGGCGCTGTTATAGACTGAGAGCGAATCGGGTCAAAAGTGACCAAAGGCAGGTCTCGGTCGATCTCGCTAGTGAGACAGCCCGAATTCCCGACAGCACTTTAGTGGAGTGTATCGGTCCATTAGTCGCAATTAGATGAATGATACACGCATGTGATCAGCTTGGTCAGCGGGACGCACGAATCGGACGCGATGGAAAGCGGGCAGCCGGGTAACAGCCTCCCCACAAAGTTCATCTAAAGGACGTGTGTGCTTGCAGATACACCGATCGGCCGACACTCAACCGTTACCTTTCGCTAACAATGGATGCAACTGACAGCCACGCGGCACTTCATAACACAAGTCCCAATGGCGATACTAAGCACTCGCATAACTCTCCCGAGGATGACCACGACAACTGGACCGAGCCAGAGTCGGATGACGCGAATCGAAGCCAGAGCACGTCTAACAAACGCAAACGCCTGAGCGTGTCGTGTGAAACGTCTGTCGCAACTGCCTTTTCGTGTCGCTTTCAAGACTGACAGCAGCGCAGGTGCAAGCAGCGCAAGGTCAAGTGTGATCGCGGACACCCTAGCTGCGGATGGTGTCTGAAAAATCATTCTGGATGCGTGAGTAGCTCATCGCGCTGGACCCTGAGAGTAAGTAGACTGGACTGACAGCGTGCAGGTCTATCTGCCTCGTAAGAAGCCGGGACTGCGCGCAGGATATGGGCGCGAATTGGAGGCGCGTTTGGGTGAGTTCGGTTCATTTCCACATGTTCAATTGCCCGACGCATGTTCGCAAGTCAGCATTCGATGATTTTCACAGGGTGGTGTTGACGCGACTCGCGACGTGAGGATGCAACCACGTGCTTCATTACCTCCATCGCACACTCAAGGCGAAATCCTCATTGCCAAATTGCAAGAGGATACGATATTGAGAAGTCACGTAGCTAACCACTACATGCACAGACAAGCTCGAATCACTACTCGGTCAGCAGCAGTCCCAGATCAACCAGCTGTCCAGCCGTCAAATCGCACATTCTGGTCCTTCCCCACAAGAAGTCGTCGCCGCCTTTAGAAGCCCGCCCATCATCCAGACACCCCATGTGCCGCGACCAGAGACAGCACTCTTCATCTCAAAGCCTACCCCATCATTCCCGTCCCAAAGTGCGATCCAGAATAACTTTGGCAATGGCATGACAGACCACAGGTCTGCGCCTTCAGTCACCGGAAACGGATATCCTGGGCGGTCCGAGGATGCATATACCCCATTCAGCCATGACCAATTTACTCCCTCCATCTCCCGGGCTTTAGGCCAAGCGGACGTCGACTTCCCACCATATGATCTCTTGTATGGTCTAGTCGATCTGTTTTTCAAGCACATATACCCCTGGTGTCCGATCCTTCATCGACAAACAACTCTCAATTCCCTCTTCGGCGACTCGAGTTTAGATGAAGCGGACAAGGTGATTTTGCACGCGGTCGTAGCCACAGCCCTCAAATTCTCAACAGACCATCGACTTACGGCCGAAAACAGAGCGCGTTATCATCAAAACTCCAGGGAGAAGGTCTTGCTGTATGGGATAGATCACAGCTCTGTAAAATCTCTACAAGCACTGGTAATACTCGCGCTCGATGTCGTGGGTTGCTCGAACGGGCCTCCTGGCTGGAATTTACTAGCTCTCATAACCCGTTCAGTAGTGCAACTAGGGCTCTCCATGGAAACGTACTCCCCGATGGTCGCTCCTCCTCAGTTATCCATATACACTCTACGAGCCATAGTACTACCCGAACCTAAGGACTGGATAGAAGAAGAAAGTCGCAGAAGGCTATTCTGGATGATCTACGTTCTCGATCGCTATGCCACTGTTGCTACTGCGTTTGAGTTTGCACTGGATGAGAGTGAAATCGACCGACGCCTGCCGTGCCGCGATGAAATCTTCGCCCGAAACATGCCAGTTGAGACACGCTGGTTCAATACTTCAACACGATCCGACTACAGCATGAACAGGCCAGAAAACCTAGGCTCATTCTCCTACTACGTGGAGATATTGGGGATTCTGACTCGGATTCACAAGTTCCTCAAGAAGCCAGTCGATATCACATCCCTGTCAGATGTCGAAAAGTGGCAAAGCCAATATAGAGAGTTGGACCATACCATCGAGCAGTGGAAGTACAACCTCCCAGCTGAGTTCGGTAATGCGGCAAGGGTGCTTGCAAAATCAGGGTTGAATCACAATGTCAACAGTGGTCTGGTCATGTTGCATGCAGCTTTTCATACGTAAGTTTGTTTGGAAGCAGTTTTGCAGCAGTTGCTAACTCTAGAAGGACCATCATTCGTCTCCATTCCTCAGCAGCCTATCCGACTCATCGCTCGCCAATCTTCACGCCATCGTTCAGCGCAAGTCAGAGATGTCTAAGTGCAGTCGAAGCAATTGTCTCTCTATGCGCATGTATACGAGACAACAACTTGTTGCCCAAACTTGGACCGCCTTTTGCCTTCTCTCTCTGGGTAGCTGCTCGTGTACTACTAGTTCACGGCTCGACAATTGACCATCGGGTTGACACATCTATCAACCTCCTAGTCAGCACCCTCCGAGACATGGGCCAATACTGGGAAGTAGGCACCCGCTATGCAAATCTGCTATCTCGCGTCCTATCAGAGTATCAGGAATCGCAGCAGACCCCCACCGGTCTAAATGGAGAACGCGTGACGCCATCCACAGTCAAGATTCTAGCTGACATGCGTCGGTGCGCGTTCGATCTCGACTTCCTCATCTCTCGACAGCCAAAATCAAATACCACTACTCATAGGATACCTTCCGTCACGCCTGGCCGTACTCCAGGGCCGAACGAGCTGGAGTATCTCGATGTGTTCGACTTCTTCAACATGCCTCGATTACCGGTATCCATCGACGGTATGACGACATATCCTGCGACTGATGGGAACATGCAGTTGCCGGAAGGCGGATATGGCAACGAGTCGAACATCACAAATTACATGGTTGACGCAAGTTCAGACTGGTTCATAAAAGGATCGGCATAGGAGAGCAGCTGTACAATTACATAAGAGACTAATAAAAAACTTTCATGACCCTATTCACGCGTGTATTGCGTAGCCTGCCATACTTATTGGATTGTTTGATAGAAGAATCGCAAGACACATCATCGAAAGTTCATCACTCTGGTGACAGCTTTCAAGTATAACAGCTGGAAGTAGACTGCGTGTTTTTTCTTAGGAAAACACAAATCACAACTTCGGGGATAAATGCTACAAACAAAGCAGGTCAGACATATGCATGGAGTATACAACTTGGCGTGTAGTCGTTCAACTATTGCAAGACTTCACTACAGTTTGCTTTCTTGAATCATTATCGAATAGCGCACCTTGCAACGCTACAAATCTCAGAGTCTGTAGAATACGGTACTGCAAGAGTAGATGTTGTAATTCGCTGAGGAACTCATGGCCGTATTCCGTGTTCTTACATTGCTCTGGACGGGGAGCTACACTATTCCGATCTCGGAGCCGGGCCCCGCTAAGATACCAACCATCGTTATCCTCGCGAACTTGCACAAGTCAACTTGTACAATACAGAGTAGCGCCGGTGAGTTGTTTTCCATCTTCCATGCAGTTATCCCTCTAGACTACAATGTAAGTTTTAGTTCGTATCTTAGAACATACGATAGTGCGCACTTTTCCGTCGGAAAGAGTGTCGGGCTCTCGGTCAATGCAATGTATTGCGATAAGGACAATGTGGAAGAATCACGTTTCTGGTTATATAAACACTATCAAGTTTTGTTTGTTACATCGTTGCTATTGTTCGAGGTCTACGACAGGCGATCTTTACTCTCGCGGAATTTCCATTTTGAATCTTTTCTCACAGAACCTCCAGTATCTCCATTATATCTCCTCTTCATCTCATCTCCACTGAGAAACCGCCCATAATGGCTTCCTCCACTCCTGATCCAAAACACATAACCATCCTCGGCGCCGGCGTCATCGGCCTAACAACCTCCCTGGTCCTGTCCTCCACCTACCCCTCGGCCCACATAACCGTCCTGGCAACCCACTTCCCCGGCGACCGCTCGTTGCATTACTGCTCACCATGGGCGGGTGCAAACTGGTGTTCTTTTGCGCACGACAATGGGCCGCTGGAAGCCTACGACGCTACGACGTTCCAGCGGTTTGGGGCGCTCATCGACGGCCAGCCGGTTTTTGGCTGCCGGGCTGTGAATAGCGGGGAGGGTAATGAATTGGGATTAGGACGCATGGGTATGTGGGCTGTGTTTGATGCGGAGATTGGAGAGACGGGGATCTTGACCGAGGAGACGGGAGAGGTATGGTATGATGCGTTGGTTGGAGGGTTGAAGCCGCTCAGCGTAGAGCAATTGCCAAAGGACGCCGTATTTGGGGTGGAGTTCCCGACTACGTTCAGGATTAATACACAGGTTTATTTGACTTGGTATGTCTTCCCTTCTTTTCCCTTGCCCATAACTAAAGCGGTGGTGGAAGGATAAAGGATATGCATACTGACGCAGTATAGGCTTCAAGGCCAAGCGTTGAGCCGCGGCATACAATTCGTTCGTAGGACTTTCACGTCTGTTGCCGACGTCCTCGCCGACTGCCCCGAGACAACACTTCTAGTCAACTGCACGGGTTTGGGCTCGCTCCATCTCACCGATGTCCAAGACAAGAATCTGTACCCCACGCGCGGGCAGACGTTCCTTGTTGCCGAGCCTAAGATGCCGATTGAAAGAATGTACGAATTTGATAGGGACAAGTAGACTCGATCCTCATTCCTTTCTTCTCGTCCCCTTCTTCCTCCTCTAACACTAACGTCGCCAGGTATCTCCGCTCACCCGCTCGTGTCGATCCCACAACAACCTACATATTCCCACGCCCTCTCGGCGGCGGCGTGATCCTCGGCGGGAGCCGGGGCGACAACGATTGGAGTGGAGAATGGGACGAAGAGCTCGGCCAAGATATCCTCCGTCGATGCTGTGCACTGTGTCCCGAGTTGGGCAAGCCGGAGGACCTACAAGTGATTGCCCAGAATATTGGCTTGAGACGTAAGTACCACCATCTACCTATCTACGGGCAATTCTCCCCGAATAGTGCGTCTACAGCGTTCTGAGTTGACGGATGATGTGTAGCTTCGAGGAAAGGCGGGCCGAGAATCGAGGCGGAGAGGGGCACGTGGAAGGTACCGGTTGTGCATTGCTATGGTCATGCTGGGGCTGGGTATCAGTCGTCATGGGGCACGGCAGAGCGCGTGTTGGAGCTGGTACAGCAGACCTTGAGCATGAGTTCTAAGCTTTGAAGCAAGATGTATCACTCTTGGGGGGTCTTGCTGGTTGGAACAAACAGCGTGGGCTTGGAAAACATGTGTAGGCAATTCTTGGTGTCTGATATCGAGGAAATTGGAGTTCTGGCTTTGAGGTTTGCTACAATCCTCAGTCTCCATCTTTGCAATCGAGTTTATAGAGGGAACAGAAATGGTTACTCTCCACACAGCGAAATGAAGCGCAAATATCCCAGTGCGAGAGTGATATTCGAGGGACTATGAGATACCATAAAATATGTCCATCGAAAAGCATCGGTTCATAGTTTGTACTCCCTTGTTGTCGAAGTACAAAGGGAGGCCATTTCTGTGAAGCGACCGAACCTCATAACTCTTGTGGAAAGAGCGAGAGCCAGTCTCATCATCACTTGAGGAGATACTGGAAACTAAGGTGCAACGAGATCTTGCAACAGCTTGACAGTTAGATCTAACAACAGTGTAATCGTCTTATGCCTTGGTTCCTACCGATGAACAATAACCCCAAGCCCCAAGCCTTCCCCACCCCCCTTGACCCTCCCCTCAACAACCCGCTCCGCAACCCTCACCTCACAACACACCTCATCAAAGCAATGCATGCCGTCCAAAAACCGCAGCAGCGGCAGCCCCTCCTCGCGCTCGCGCTCGCGCTGCATCCCAGCCGGCGCACCAAACGCCTCGCTCCCGTCACGCGGCTCCTCGTCGAGCCTTGGACCCAGTGTAGCCGTCGACGCAACGCTCGGCCTATGCAGCGAGAAGCTCGGATGGTGCGCATGCGCCGCGGCAACGGGGGGAACGAGAGTATTCCTACGCGCTGGGGCCAGCACGTCGGCGTCTTTTATCGATGTGGCGACGCTGGTGGGGGGCGCGGGGGGCATACCGGCACTGATGGTTGCGATGCCGTACTTGTGCACGCGGTAGAGGAAGCCTTTTATTATGCCGAAGGTTATCAGGCGCCGTATGTCGATGCCGCAGAGGAGGGGTAGGGACTGTAGGACCCAGGTTTTGAGCGGAAGGCCTTGGCGCAACGAGGTGTAGAGGGTTATGAGTGTGAGGTGGGAGATGGACGGGTCGGAGGGGGAGGTGGTGGAGTCGTTGTTGTCAGCGTTGAGGGACTCTGCGGTGGGGGGCGAGCGCGCGTTGTCCTTTTCCTTGTCTTTGTCCACTGCTGGCTTGGGGGCAGAATCTGTGTGTAGTTGCGGCACACGGACGTAGCGCAGACACTCCTCTTTCATGTCGGCGTCGTTGACGAAGCTGCTGATTTCCGCCGTTGGCGCGTAGATGGCGCTGAAGCTGAAGATGTCGAGGAGCACGAGGCAGCCATAGTAGACTAGGTGCTGGATTGCGCGGCGAGTCAGGGAGAGGTCTGTGTCGGCGAGTTGGGCTATGTGTGCGACGGCGTTGATGCCGTTGATGTAGGGGAGAATGCGGTTGAGGGTTAGGTCAGAGGAGATTGGGGTTTGCAGGCTGGAGAGCGAGATGGTGAGGAGGGGAACTTGATGGGCGAGGATGGGGGGTGGAGGGGGACGTGTAGGGAAGAGCTTGAGGTTGATGGTGTTGGAGTCGTCTGGACAACTATTAATATGGACGTAAACAAGGGAGAGAGCACAGACTTACCAATGGGTATCATACACTCTGCGTAGTTGTTCAAATCCTCCAGCACCATCTCACACAGGGCGTGTACCTTACTCCCACCCCCGACCCCAAACCCCACTTCATCTAACCCTCCTCCTACTCCCAATCCTCCACTTAGACACCCATCATCTTCCCACTCGTCATCCTCCTCGCGGCTCAAAAACCCACCCTGCTCCTCCAACCCCCTCAACAGCTTCCCCAACTTCCTCACCACCTCCCCATAGCACGCCCAATCCTTCTCATTCTCGCCGATAACAACCGCAAAGTTAAAGATGAATTCGTTGCGACTGTACTTGCCCTCCCGTATGCACACAGGGTAGCCAATAACGCGGTTGTGGTTGACGCAGAAAGTGAGCAGGCGGTCGCAGAACTGCTGAGTGGGGATGAGATACGAGGTCACTGAGGAGAAGGAGAAGAGGGGGATGGAGAGTGCCGAGGGTGAAGTTGAGGGCGTTATGGCACCAGCGGGGACTTGGTGGAGGACGCGTGAGCCTGGGTGGAGGTAAGCCTGCAGCACGTGGTGTTTGCCGCGTGCGAATTACCTTTTTCATGGTGGAAGCGCGTGTAGAAGATTGCCTTGATTGTGCGCGTCGGCATTGAACGGGTTTATGGAGTGGATGGTTGAAATTACTGCGGACTACATGTTGAGTGTAAGGTTCAACGTTCGCGACGTGGGGGAGCTCGTGTATGTGTGGGGTACCGCACTAGACCTGTTTGCGTTACTCTACTAGCTCACAGAACCAAGATACATGCAGGGATGACTATCAGCCTCAATACGCTCCGGTCAATTATACCCACTGGTTAAACAAAGTCGAGGTTGGCGCTAGTATCACATTCAACATGTCTTAGAAGCATCGAACAACAGAATGCTCGATCTAGATCTTCGCGCAATACTCTACAGGCGGCACAATACCCCCACTCCTACCAGGGACTTCTCGTGGTGCCACCTCTCTTGTTCTCGCTAGACTCTCCAGCTCATCCAACCTGTTCAGTGTAGCCTTCAGATGCTCTTCAAACCCTTCCTCGCTGCAGATCTCGCGGAAAGCGTTCTGCATGGGCACCGAATCAGCGCGCACCATGCCGTGTGCGTCGATGTGGATGATGTTGATGTGATCCAAAGGCTTAATAAAATCTGCACGCGTCATAACCTGACGAGCCTCATGGAGAGGGATCTCGGGTAGCGTGAAGTGGTCGTTCTGGTCCGCGGTTTCCTTTTCTCGGAGAACAAGAGCACGAGCGAGAATGATGGCTGCAGCCTATGATGAAGTTAGTGGTGAAAGATAGATTGGGTGTTGCAGTACTTACGCAAAACTTCTGTTGCTCTTCTACGTCGTCATCCATCGACTCTCCTAATATCCACACCTTTTGTAGAAACCACGATTTCTCTCGTTGATTGAGACGCCTGCATGTCTCCAGCATGTCATTTGACTTCGCGACCTGATTCAAGAAGATCAACCGACCGCCCACTTTCGCAAAGACCTCGTCCAGGATACCCTGTGGCACATCTTCGTTGTGGTATCGAGCGCGATAATTTTTCAAGGAGCTAGTCACAATGTCCTTGCTAACATCTCTGATGTTCATGGTGTACATATTAGTCGCAAGGGGAATTAACCGCTCCAGCGTCCAATACTCATCAGACGTGAACACCACTGTAACCAGCTCGGTCTGTGTCCACAGCTCAGCTCTTTGTTGCAGTGTCTCCAGCAACGCTCTTCCACCTTCATCGTCTTTCAGCAGGTGGATGTTATTGATGATCATCAGCAAGGGTTTGCCGCGCCTCTTGCGCATCAACAGAGCCACCTTTTCCATCTGATTCAGCGCTCTCTCGATGTCCAGCAGCGGGCTACTGTCCCGAGGGCCTCTGATGCTGAACAACCCACCAATGTAGTCTTCATGAAACTCGTAGTCGATCGCCTTGCCAAGCCGTGTCCGGAACACCTCCAAATCATTGTGTGCTTCCACCATAGCAATGCCATCGCCATTGACCTTCCTCATAGCCTCAAGAAGCAACGCACGTTTGCCCGTCCCTCTCTCGCCGATTATGAGGTAGTATTTGCCTCTTGCCTTGCCATTGACGATATCGTCTACCTCAGCTTGTTCTGTCCGTGAAATCCAAAGCTCGCGATCCACAATCTCTTGTATCTTGTCTGGCTCTGTACCGTACGCGACGCGGCCCAGCGCAACGCGTTCCTGCGAGCTGTAGCCTGCAGAGAAAGCGTGCTCGATCTTCTGCCTAACCATCCTCTTGTAGAACAGACTGTAGGCATAGCCACCCAGACCCAGGCCAAACAGGGATATCAGGGCAACTGTGCTGCCTTCGAGGACGCTTCGCGCGAACTTGCCCCGCTCCTGCTTCCCATCGTTACCAGATTTGGCTTCTGGTGGTTCTTTGAGATGGGAACTGGCGTTCAATGGCAATTCGTAGAGAATGTGTGGTGCGCGTGAGCGAGCGGGGTGCCTGCCAAGTGGCAGTGCGATCCATGCTGCAAGCAGTCAGCTTTTGTGATGGCATGGAGTCTAGTCAGTAGGGGGGTGTGTACCTACCTCGTCTGAGATTATTGACAGAGCGTGGCATTCGTTCTTGACGCGGTGCAGCACGTAGAAGAGCAAAGTAGTGGTTGCGCGTCGCAAGGATGGTACTCAACCCTTATATAAGCGCCATGCTTGCCGTGTTTGCCGTACGAGAACCAGATCGAGTCCTTGCATGACTAAAGGGTGATATTCGTGCTGGTGTACGATATGGGGTCTCCATGCTCAACACGTGGAAACTGAGGCTAGGACATTTGTGAGACCCTGAAACTAGCGCACAACGTCATCCGGCTTCAAACGCAATGTCGGCCATCCTGTTGATGAGATCTGGACTGATGCCGGTCGAGCAAACACACGACGCAAAATGATGAGGCAAGAAGAGAGAAACGTATCGCTGTAAAATACTTCAAAGGTGCAAATTGGAGCCCATTTCAATCGAAACTATGGAGCCGCCGATCTTCGCACACTCGTGACCGCTCCAACCTCATGGTCTCTACATTTCGACGTCGTCTAGTATCACCAACTACTTAACATTGCGAATGCGATGATGAGTGTACCATTACGCTCCCACACTCCTGCTTCAACCTCACCACACCCCGTCGCCTCTCGCCTCACGACACGCATCCTCTGGAAGCTCTACATCTCGCACACGCTCTCAACATGGAACGCCCGCACTTTTGAATTCGGCGCTGTGATCTTTCTGTCCACCATCTTCCCTGGGACGCTCTTCTTCGCCTCGTGCTATGCGTTGTTTCGCTCTGCAGCAGCCGCTGTCCTCGGACCCTGGATCGGTAGAATGGTAGACCGAGGAAACCGACTTCATGTTGTTAGACAGAGTATTATCTGGCAGAGGGTGTCGGTGGCATGTTCGTGCCTTGCCCTTCTTACCGTGCTAAGTATTGGTGAGGAGGAGGTGCATCTGAGATCTGGCATGTTTGTTGCCAGTGTGGTATTGGCATGTGTTGAGAAAGTGGGATTTATTGCGAATACGGTGGCTGTGGAAAGGGACTGGATCGTAGTGGTCTCCGACAGCTTGGGTGTGGAGAGACAGAAGTTGAATAGCGTTATGAGGAGGATCGATCTCGGATGCAAACTGGTTGCGCCGCTATGCGTTGGGCTTATCGATGGGTATGCCACGAACGTTGCCATCTGGGCCGTGTTTGGGATGAACGCAGCAAGCGTAGTGATCGAGTACTTCGCCATTGCACAGATATATGCAGCTGTACCAGAGCTTGGGTTTGGAAAGGATATTCAACAACGCCGAGAGCCGGGCACTGACCGACACACTCCATCGAGGTCTGTGTCGAATTCCATACGCGAAGCCGTCCAGCCATGGAGAGACTACGTTCAAAATCCAGCTTTCCTTGCGTCGTTTTCGCTCTCCCTCCTCTACCTCACTGTCCTCAGTTTCTCCTCTCAAATGACGACGTACCTCCTAACCCTGGGCTTCACCAGTACCCACGTCTCTCTCCTCCGCCTTGTTTCCGTCGTTCTCGAGCTGTCCGCGACATGTGCAGTGCCAATCCTCATGAAACGAATTGGCCCTGTCCGTTCAGGTCTCTGGTTCATAAACGAACAGCTACTCTCCATTGGCTTAGCCGTGAGCCTCTTCTCCGTCATTGGCCCCCAAACCCAACTAGCCGGCGGAGCACTCGTTCTCGGTTTCGCACTTAGTCGTCTTGGACTCTGGGGCTTCGACCTCTGTGTACAATACCTCGTGCAAGAAGACGCACCCGAAGCAACACGCGGATCTTTCTCAGCTATCGAGATATCGCTCCAGAATTCTTTTGAGCTGGTATCCTTTGCAACAACTATGGTGTTTTACCGGCCTGAGGACTTTCAGATTCCGATCTATATCAGCGTGGGTGCGATTACGGCGAGTGCAGCGTGCTTTGCGTATTTTGTTAGACAGAAGAGAGGGCATTTGTTGCACATGGACAAGTGTTTGAACAGGATGCGATATGAGAGTTTGCCGACTGTTGAGAACGAGTACGACTTGTCACATGAAGCAAGCTAAAGAGAATGCCCATCTTTCAATAGATAAAACAACACACTAACGCCATCGAGCCGTCGCAGACACCTTGTAGCTTCAGACGATGAGTGGTGCACGAATGGGGCCCGGCTTCTTAGTGAGTCGACATGCTCGGAATTTGCATGTAGTTGCCAAGCTGTTGCTAGATTCCACTCCAGCTTGTATTTCGACCAACTGAGAGCCGGCTCATAAATTCTACATACCGACATAGCACCGGTTCGGCCCGATGACAATACCTATTGAGGAGAAAGCAAATCATCGAAAATTCAAGAATAGAGGCGTCTTATCTCTATGCAGTTACCTCAAGAGCTAATGCAGGTCCGTCCCCGAGCCGGACGAACTACGCCTCGCACCACGACCCCTGAGCGCGATGTAGATATATAGCCCATTGCAGCTGCCGTGCCTGTGTTGGCAATCTTGAGATTTGCCATCGCCAACAATGGCGACATACATGCATTGCAACACACACGTTTTCTGGCATGCCGATCTAACGTGCTCTTACGTGCCGCCAAAACGAGTCCGATTCAGAACGCAAGGCATACGCAATGGTATGGAACCGGCAAGGGAGGAGAGGGAGGTGAAGCGAATGGACAGCGGGGAATTCGAAAAAGGCGATCGCATCGACGTGAGGCTGAATGAGCAAGAATCGCCGGCAAACGGATGGAAACAAAGCACCGTCTCGATACAAGACGAACCAACCACGCCGAGTATCGCACCATCCGAACCTCGCAGGAAAGACGCATCGTCCACCCAAATCCTCAACTTTCTGCTTTCGGACGCGGCTTTGGAGTGGTGCAGACCAGAAGAAGAAAACAAGGACGTTCAACGCAACAACAACCTCATCACATACTCGCAATTTCTCAGCCCTTTCGAAGAGCTCCTCTGCGCCGTTGTCATGTCACGTTCCATTCCGTACCGCTTAGGTCTTCGTACCATCCGGACGATCCTCAACCCACCGTATGAATTCCGCCAACCGGTCGCCATAAAGATGGCGGGCAGCGCGAAGATCCAGCAAGCGCTATGGAGCGCACGAATGAAACACAAGGGGCGGACGGCTGAGGAGATCGACGTCATCGCTGCAGCTATGGCAGACAATCAGTGGCACAACGATATCCAGAAGATCCGTAAGCAGGCAAGAGGCGTTACAGGCCAAGAACGCGAGGCGTTGCAAAGCACAGTCAAGGGGATGGGTCAGGACGGCTTGGATATTTTCTATCGCCGTATACAATGTCAATGGCCGGAGGTGTACCCATACATTGATCCCAGAGCACAAGCCGCACTCGAGCGGCTCGGCCTGCCAACACGGGCGGAAGGAATCCAGAAGATGATCGAGGACAGATGGGCCGAGTTTGAGATTCAAGAGGAGGGCCAGTACAGCGAAGAGGAGAGAAAGAGGAGAGAAAGAGGAGAGCCTTTGTGATTTTGCTTGAGCGAGCGGTGGGGGCAGTCGAGGAGCACAACACTGAAGAAGTTGTTGAGGAGGCATCACATCTGTGAGTGTAATGGTGTGTACTGTACAGGGCTAGGACTTTCGTTTTGTCACGTCTCATTTTGGGTTTACAACACTCACTAAGGTCTGATTTTCCTATGTCATATTTTCTTGTAATGCTCTCTCATCACTCGCCAATGAGCGTGTCTTTTTTTAGTCTTGGGTGGTAGAATTTTAACTGGATGTTAGAATGCTGAGGTCTGTTCTGTCAGTGTTCAATTAGTCGAATGCCACATGAATTATAATACTACAAATCACCGATTCTAATCATTATCATTTGTTGCTCTTATAATGTGACTGGTTAGTCGAAGCAATTACGACTTAACCATGATACTCTTGGCAGAGACGAAACAAGAGATATAAAATTAGACGCTACGAGTCAGGTACCTTGAACGTATATTAGTAACGCTCAAGGTTTCTAGGTAGGCACGAATACTTTGTGCGAATGTCAACCTGTTGCTGCTTCTAGTTAGTTCAATTATCCGAGAGTAAGACAGTTTAGTTGCACCTGTACTACCTTAGGCAGCAACGATCAAGATAACCTAGTTAGACTAATACTATAATAAAGAAACTTATAAACAACCTCAATTTATTTCTACAGCTATACTATTACTACACGCTTTTAGCAACTTACTGCCACACCGCTGCATCATCAATCCAGTGACTTCCACCAGCACACCTGTACCCCATACCTTGCTTGATCCAATGGTAGCCTGCTGGACAGGGGCCCATGATCCTGAGTCTCTTCTGCGCCTCCATCTCCTTCTTGCGCTCCTTCTCTGCCGCGATCAGGATAGCTTCCCTACGCCTTCGTTCTAACTCTGCCGCGATCCTCTCTTGTTCCCGCAAACGTCGCTCTTCTTCGTCAGCGGCAGCTTTCTCTGCTCGCCACAACTCCTCGATGCGTTGCTCTTCTTGTCGTTTCTCTTCTTGCAGTCGGCGGTACTCGCGTTCCTTTGCGATTATAGCGCGTTTGTCGCGCTCGAGTTGGTTCCAAATCGCGTCGGAAACACCAGCATCGCGGGTTGCTTTGAGAATCGAATCTAGAGGGTCTTCAGGCTCTTCCTTGGGTTTGACCGTCTTTGCGACCTCAAGATGCTTGTCTTGCTTCTGCGCTGTTGGTGGCGGTGCTTTGGTAGGTGGCGGTGCTGATTTAGTCTCGGGTGCATGAGCTATGGGTGGCTTTTGTGTTTGTGGCTGTGGCTGCGGTGCCGGGCGTATAGGTATTCGGTTCGGAAAGCGACTTGTACCGGCAGCTTCGTTCCGACGAGAGCGCTCGTCAAACATGGTTTGCATGGTGTTGATGATGATGGGTTCCGTAAGGACGAGGCTGGTCACAGGTGGGACGGCCGCTGAGATCAGTTTGCCGAACATGCTTTTGGCAAGAGACTTGACATCGCGAGCGTTGCCCCAGGAACCTAAGTCTGAAAGCTTACGAAAGTAGTCGAGGATCAGCTCATTCAATCCGGATCCAAGGACTTCCACGACGGATAAGTCTAGCGGCGCCTTTTTCTTCTTCTGTAGATCCTCCAGGACCTTGATCAAAAGCTCTAAACACGTTTCTGGATCTAGATGGCTGAAGATAACCGCTTCTGGAAACCGACTCGTGAGACCCGGGTTCATGCTCATTAGTCGGTCGATATCTTTGTCGTATCCAGCGAGTACAGTAACTAATTTCTGAGCGAACTTGGGCTTCGTCAAGCAGTCTACCAACTCGTCCATTGCTTCTGTAGCGAATGCGCCTTCTGCTAAGCGGTATGCTTCGTCGATAAACAGAACCTTGCCGAGGGCTTTCTCCAACAGCTTCTGAACCTTGGGTCCAGTTTGACCGACATACTGTCCTATAAGGTCAGTAGCAGAACATTCTACAACCTTCGCTTGGCTGAGCAATCCCATATCGTAGAATATCTTGCCCATCTTTTGCGCTGTTGTGGTCTTGCCGGTACCTGGTGGCCCCTTAAAGAGAAAATTGAAGGGGAGTTGTTCTCGAGGATCCATGCCGAGAGCCTTCATGTTTGCAGCAGTCGTCTGATAGCCCTGAAACTGCTTGATCAGATCTTCACAGCCAACAACGTTTTGAAAAAGTGCAGGTAGATTGGTGGCTGCTCGTTCCCCTCTGTCAAAATCCGGGTCGAAATCGATGGCGTCAAACGTGTCAAAGTCTTGAGATTTTCCAGCAGACATATTCTTCTGGTGCTCCCCCTTAGCCCTGTCGAGAATGATGTCTACCTCACCAGCATTGCCGAAATTAGGACGATTTCGAGCTCGTTGGAGTACATCCATCGCAACCCTTTTGGCTTGATCAGTGGCGTTGAAACCAATGTCCTTGAGTTTTAGGTCCAAGATCTGGCGGAGCTCGGCATCGTTGAAGTCTTCAAAGACGAAAGCGGATTCTATCGGAAATCGCCTCGCAAGCCCTGGATTGGCATCCCGAAACATCTCTTCCATCTGGTCTTTGTATCCCAGAAGAAGCACACATCGGTCTTCGCCCGGTGTGCTTTGAACTTCAGCCACAATCGTGTCGACTACAGCGGCTTTGTATGGGTCAGCAACAGAAGTCCCAGCCAGCATGTAAGCTTCATCGATGATGAGGACTTTGCCGACAGTTGATGCAAGTATCCCTTTTGTGTTAGCTTCAGAAGCCCCAAGGACATTTCCAACAAAGTCTGCCGGGTTCTTTATGACCACTGTTACGTGTTAGCCATAGTTACAGGCCATAGTTCGCACTAACCTTCGCCATTCGAAAGAAGACCGATATCTGCCAGGATCTTTCCATACAACTTCGCAATTGATGTTTTGCCCGTCCCGGGCGATCCAATGAAATTTCTGTTGAGGCTGTACTGAACGAGGGGCTTTTCTTCCAACTCTCGCTGATAGTTGAACTGGATGCCGTCGAGCAACGATTGGACAGACTGTTTGACAGAGGCCAGACCGATCATCTTTTGCAGCTTGGTCCATGCAGCGTTATTTTTGAGGGTAGTTGCAGGTTCTGGGCCAATGAGATCTTCCTTCGTTAGAAAGTTGTCGTCCGGTAGTTTTCCTGCTTTCCGCTGCTTGCGCAGACGCTTTGCCTGCTGCTCCGTTATCCGGCCAATCTTGTTCTGTACGGCTCGAGCATTGCCAAACCCGTCACGTCCGCGGCCGCGACCAACACGACGAGCTACAATTCGCACATACAGGCCGTTCATGCCACCTTCGATTTTCATGCTACTTCTGTACTTCGAATCGATGTACTGACAGAAAATGCGTTGCAGCTCTTCGTCTGTGTAGTCTTGAAACTCCATCTCGAGAGGGATGCGACTGGGAATTCCCGGATTATGAGCGAAGAAGGCCTCCATCTGCTTATGATAGCCTGCAAGTACGAATACGACTTTGCCTACCAAATTTTCGATTTCCGTCAAAAGATAATCCAAAACTGCCTTGCCACCGTAGCTGTTTCCAGAAACCAGTTGATAAGCTTCATCGATGAAGAATATTCCGCCCCCTTCTTCGAGAATCTTCTCAATGTGTGCTTTACAAGCGGGAACGCCATCGTTTGCGAGGGACGACCCAGACGTTTCGAAAAAGTGATCCCCAGGCAAAGCTCCAACTTTGACAAGGAACTTGGCGTATAAACGGGCAACAGTAGTTTTCCCTGTGCCTGGATTTCCAAGCAGAGCCGCCCCGAATCGTTCCCCTTTGAGAGAAATCCCTTGTCGTACTACAGTGTCGACTTTGTTTTTAATAGTTAGAAACTGCTCCTTCACAGATTCGAGTCCTATCATAGACATCAGGGAGTCTAGCGCCTCATTCTCTGCGCCGTCAAACTGTTTTTGCTGTTCCCAGTCATCCTTCGCTTCGCTCTTATCCCAGTCCGGCTGGCTTTCTTCTTCAGAAGCACCGATGTTCTCCTCTTGAGTAGTGTCTTTGTTGTCTCGAGGAGCTGTGGGTATATCCTGACTTTGTATTGAGGACTTGTTCGATGTGGCGATGGGTGACTTAGCTGCTTAGTGGTCAGTAAGGGATGTAGTCTGAAAGCCAGATAGCGTGTAAGGCTTCTTTTTCGGGGTGGCAAGACAGGTTGGACAAATCTAGTCTCGTAAATGGTTGCTTACTGGTAGAGCCTGCCGTTGGTTGTTTCGGAGGATTGCTAGCCTTTGACCTCAAATTCGCAAGATCTTGCCTCTTCTGTGCCAAAGCATATTGGCGGTCATTTTCGTCGTTTTGATCTCTCAATACGCGTTTTGCATGTTCGAGTTCATCTTCAATCTCAGCAAGTCTTGCCGCATACACTTGTTGCTTGGCTTGACGGTCTTGATCCAACTTGTAGTCACGTTGACGTCGCTTCTCCAGCGCACGTGCATCAGCGTCGCACTTTCGACAAACCGCGGCTGCGGCCTTATCATAACACCTTCGTGAGGTTTTATGATCTTTGGGACATGAAAACCAAATAATTGTTTCGCATTTCATCTTGGAGTGATCCTGCAATTGGTGACAGCGATGCGGGCACGTGTGGATGTTACAATTGAGCATCTTCCCACTGTACAAGTTAGAAATCAGAACTTTTATAGCTGAAGTCGCTCACCATGGTTCGGAACAGCCTCCATCCGGGCACACTGAGTTGAACTGCTCTTTCTCGGTCAAGAGCGCGGTCTTGTCTGGATGTTGCTCGCATTTGACTGGAAATCCGTCATACACGTAGCCACTGCTTTTTAATTCTGTCAACAATGGAACCCAAACATCCTGGCCCTTACGGCTGTTCATAAAAGTTTGAGGGTTTCCGATCATAATTAGTGCGTTCCGCGCTCGAGACAGCATAACATTGACGCGCATAGGTGAAGACATGAACCCAATATCGCCAATACTGTTGCTGCGCGTCAGGCAGACGATGACAATGTTGCTCTCGTCGCCCTGATAGTTATCGATCGTGGATACCCGGAGCCTGCGTTTTGATATCTGTCCACTGGCAGGAGAAAGTAAGCCCGCTCGAATTAGCTCATGAGAATCCAAGTCATTCAGAACTGGGTCGTTCTCGGCTGAAAGGGTGTTCACCAGCAGATAGAGCTGCCCAAGGTAGGGAGTCAATACCACGATATCATCTGTACCGTAGCCTTGCTGTCCCAGGTAACGTACGCACTTCAATACCATGTCGGCCTCGTACGTATTTTCCTTACTGGACTTGGCCTCACCATCGCGTCGATCAGCGATGCGATCTGCATTGACTTCGGGGCGATCATGAGAGACAAACATAACGTTGTCTTGGAATCCCCGCAACGCAGGCCTCTTTCGTGTCGTCTCGGCATCTTCGAGTTCATGGTAGGTCATGAATCTGATCAGTGATGAGATCTCAGGTCGCATGCGATGTTGTTTGTTAAGCGTTGTGTGCGGGACTCCTGCAAGGACAAGCCTCTCAAATAGAGAGACGTTGAGGTTGTAGCCATGTCCCTTCTCCACAGTAAGAGAGTAGTTGCTAACCTTTGGACGAAGTTGTTTATGATCGCCAATCAAGACAAGCTGCTTGGTATTAGCTGTCATTGCTGCCAGGACGTGACTTTCAAGAATCTCGCCAGCCTCTTCGACCAGTATAACACCAGGTGATGCCTTCAGGATTGCATCTGTGAACATAGCAGCCCCGGTTGTTGTGCATCCAATGATGCGTTTGTTACCGATGGTGTGCGACTGCTTCTCGCGGAAGAGTTGGGTGAGGCGCTCACAACACTCGTTGTATTTTCGTACTAAGATAGTGACCTCAGTGATTAGCTCATTCTCAATTTCCTGATACCACCGATTTTCGAGTGTTATGCGCGCCTGCGGTGACATGGCCCAAATGCTAGGATAATTCACCTCAGCACTAGCTTGGAAGACACCAGCATCTTGCCCGTTGATCCACCTTTGCACTAGGTACGTCTTGTCGATGATTCTTCCCTTCTTTCCAACCAACGCCATTTTATCATCACTCTCAGGGACGACGAATGCATCAAAAAATTCAGAATCTTCCGAAAATTCAAGATATTCGAGAAGGATTTTGTTCGTCCGGCGCAAGGCAGAAAAGTGGTCCACCTTCCTAGTCAGAGCGTCATGATAGCTTTCAACTTGTACCTTCAGTTCGTCTACTATGATCCTTGTGGTCATACTCATTCTGTAGCTACTATGTTGTTCCTTTAGAGCAAGTGATTGTGTAGCAGGAGTAAAGTTGGATCCAAGTCTGACGATAGCATTTGACGGAATACCAATGTCTTGCAAATCAACAAGAAATTGATCCAGTGCATGGTTAGTGTAGGTGAGCACTAGTATAGTCTCGCTGGTGTGATCATGCAGTATCTTGGCTATCAGAGCGCCAATGAATGATTTCCACGTTCCAGGAGGGCCTTGAATCAGACTCACTTTCCTTTCCAAACCTGCGAGAAGCGACTCCGCCTGTGTAGCGTCTAGTTCAACAGGTTTACTCGTATTCAGGGTTGGTTGAAGATTGTTCTGCCAGGTGTTGCGGACGGCGTCGATGATACTGTAGGGCTGCACTTCAGAAGGTTGTTCGTTATCGTCCGGTTGAAGGCCGACCAGTTGCTCATGTAGAGGAAGTTCGATCATGGACTGCAGGCACTTCAAAATCGGTTCATATGAAAATGCTGCGGTATCGACCTGAACGAAATTCATATCGGTTGCATGCTTCCACGCAAGGAGAACTCTGCCGACAGAATCTGCGTCAACGATATGAAGAACGATGATCGCGGGCTGTTCAGCCAATAATGCTTCATCACGCTCTACGTTGGCGAAGGCGACAATGTTACCGTTGCTAACCAAGCATCCTAGCGCCCGGTTCTTCATCAGGTTTTTGTTCGCTTTGTCCGACACAAACCTCTTTCTCTGTTCAACACCCTTCACTTTCCTGAGTTGAGGGATGTCATCTAATACACGAAGCCTTAGGGAGCAAGGCTTGCGTCGTGAAACTGGCCCGCAATCGATATCAACAAATTGCAGATTTGTAAGAACAGTCTTGCGACGACCCTTCTTTTGACCGGTGGCGATCTGGAAGTCGTTTCGTAGCTCTCCTAGAAGGTCTTCTCGAAGCAATCGAAACTGATTGTCCAAGTGTACGGATCCGCGGTTCCCTGGTAGTACAGAGTCTATAGCGTCCGCACGTCGATAGAATGGCGTTTCGGAGGATGCAAACTCATCTGCTGTCGGCAAGATCTTTATCTTTCGAAAATCGTCAAAATCATTGTCGTGCCGACCTCCTGGACCGTCAACAGAGTCGCTTGACGAGCTCTCTACCGCATGCTTGATCTTGTAGCCTATATTTCTAACATCCAGTGATTCTGATTTGATGAGCGATTCGTTTTTGGTGACTTCCTCTGCAATCTCGCGCACATCTGGAACGTCTTCAGAACGAGAGTGGAGGGTTTCAAGTAGCAGCCAGGCAAACGCGTGCGTAGCATCAGACGAGAGATTGCGCGCATCGTGAGCTTTGACAAGTGTATTCCAGAAAGTTGGGGGTTGTACAATTTGCTCGAGAATGCGATTCAAAAATTGACCGCCGTAAAGTTGTTTGAGCGAAGGGTGTGAGAAATGTAGGATGGAGGAAGCCGCTGGCCCGTTGAGGAAAGCGTCGTCGGGGGAAAACCGAAAGGCCTTCCCGATGGCGTCTAAGCCCGCTTTCGACGCAACTAAGCTTTCTACGCACTTTGATACATCCTCTTGAGAGCGAAGCGCTTCAAGAAATCGGTTGCCCTCTAGTGCACTTTTCAAGTCACGATGACCGTGAATGATCCCATTGAAGAGCTTCGTGAGCCCTACCGCACGTTTCGCGGCAGCCTCTTGGTCTGCCATGAAGAAAGGACGGAACACCAGTGCCGACAAACAATATAAAGCCGGAGAGAAGTAAACTTCAGAAGTAATACCGCATCCTACAGAGAGGTTTCAGGCCTTTTAACTCTTATCTAGGTGGTATGCGCTTTGGGAGCAGGCAACAACATTCTATCACTTGGTGGGCGCCTCCATGCACATGCTATCCACACGATTGGAAGACAATCGCAGATCCATATGCGGCGAAGCGTAGCCGTGCATATACCTGCACATTCTGGTTTGCTCTGGACGAGCGGAGGCCTACCATGCGAAGCTCTGCGTCGCCTGCATGATGAACAAACCACGCCACATACACAGCCTTGTGCAGGCAACATCAAACATCTGAGGTTGCCATATGTTCTCTACCCCTCATCCCTCAATCTCGTCATTTTGCGTCTTTGATTATACTTACGCCGGATGTCTTCCGTACCGTGGACTCCAGGCCGTGGTCGTGGTCGTGGTGGCTTTGCTCCGCGAAGAGGGCGTGGCGGATCGTCTCCGGCATTCGTGAAACGCGAGCTTATCAAACCTGATATAGAGAAGTATCCGCTTGGCAGCCTGATCGAACTCCTCCACGTTTCTAGTTTAGAGGCCAAGAGTGACGACACGACTCCAGGTATCTCTCATTGTCAATATGTAGCTTCGTACAATTGGCTAAACGAGAATACTCCAACTATCATTGTCCCTGGTAAGTATGTTCATGCTTTGTATAGAAGCTGGACTCACATGTAGAAGGCAAGCCTCCTCGATGGACACCCCTCGCTACTCCACGACGTTTGTCAGAAGACAGCGGACAATACTATCGCGATCCAAACGCTGCGATGTTTGATCTCCCCCTCACACCAGCTGTGAAGGCCGTTCTGGACATCGACTCCCCCGACCAGAGATCTGAAATCGATGTCTTCGCCTGTGGTAGTACGCTAGGCAATCTTCTACGCCTCGTTCGTGGACTCGACAAGCCATTCCGTTTTGATATTGAGTTGATTGGCAACACCGTATTCTTCATCCGCAAAGAGAATGACCCGAAAGAGCTTATCAAGGACGTGAGAGGATTTGGGCATACCTTCCCCGAGGCGTATACAACCTGGGAGAAAGAGACTAAAGGGTCTGAAACACATCAGCGTATTGTACAATACAAACTGGGGAACCTCGAATGTATGGTTCGATTTGAATGCGATGGCTATATACAGGACACCTCTACCCTTGATAAGTCGGAGGGTAGTAGACCAAACGGCCATCCGAACGATGTTGATCTCCTCGATGCGTTCCAGAAGACGGCCATTACTCCATCGTTCCACTCGACTCTATCGATGAAACCAGACATGGATCTTCCAACGATCAAACAGGCTGGCTCTTATGTTTCACAATCTTCCATCTTCGACTTGAAAACCCGTTCTGGCAGGTACAACAAGGAAATCAACATGTATGATATCTATCCCCAGCTATGGATTAAACAAGTGCCCAATTTCATTGTTGCATATCACGATGGTGCTGGCCTATTTCAAGATATCCGAGTCCAAGATGTCAGGAAAGATGTGCAGGACTGGGAAACAGAGAACATTGACGCGATTCGCCGTCTGACCGTATTATTGAACAGGATCATCGAAATTGCAAAACGAGACAAAGGAGGTCTGTTGGAGGCTTACTGCGCCGGAACTGACCGCCTGGAAATTCGAGTTCAACATGGAGGAGGCACCCATGCATTGCCTGCCATGCTAAGAAGTGCGTGGGTGGGAGAGAACGAGTCCCATGTCGACGATAGTGGTATAGACCTTGGATACAAGGAAGACAGTGACTTTGAGGATGATAGTTCTGACGAGGAAGAGAAAGACTTCACTGCCTGTTCTGCCGAGGATTGCGGATATTGTGGAAGGTGCACGTATTAGGTCCCACCTTTTTCCACTGTCAGGATCGTTGGAAGAATCCTGTGTTAATTTCAGCTGTACATCATCGGATTCTAGAAGCATGGCACTTACGCTTCTGGCTTGTTCCCGATGATAAAACATGACCAGCGGATTGCAATGAATTCGATTACCAACAAAAGAATTTCCGCTGCATCCATCTAATCTCTTAGCAAAAAGAGTCGCCGCTACCACTGCCATTGTCAACATGTTGATAACTCACAGTACAAGAAAGAATGAGTGAATAGAGATTCGATATAAAACAAGTGCATTTGGCTTGACAAAGCGGAAACTATAACCATGTTAACTAAGGCTGTTCAAGCTGTAAGAACCAAACGCTAGATATGCATGTCAAGATAACCGAGGTCATATGACAGGAAAGGCGATCTAGATACCTGTTCACGTAAAACCTCCCAAAGCTAAGCCTATATGTAGTTTGGTGAATGAAACATGAGGTTGAAGTCTGGAAGAGGCATTACGGATGAATGGATATAACAGCGGATACACAGCACGACCGGGTTTAATATCCGACCGGAGGACTTTCTCCGATGCTTTAGCCGCCTAAGCGGACATGGGTAAGAAACCAGGATCTGGTCCGTTCCATCAACCAGCTTAAACCTTGCAGACAACGGGACAATCAAGACTAGGGTATATCCTGACACAAACACCAAAACGTGAGATCTTGGACATTGCATAGAAAATCAGGTCAGAATTATAACAAATCCAAAAGAATATATTGACTAGTGCATTTGATTATCTCCATCCGCCTCTGTTTTACATCTCTTCGCCACTAGTACCATATCCAACAGCCTCACTTACAGATCGCCGACATGATTATCCCGCTCCCTGCACGGATAAAAGATTCATGATCTACGGTCAAGCCGGTAAGCCCTGGGGAGTTATCTCGCTTCCAGTGTTTCCGCTAGTTGGCGAATTCCAGGGGCACATGCAAGTAATCGCATAATACGCAATACTTGATTTCTTATGACTCGTCGCCTGCTCATAAATCAAGATCGTGCGCTTGCCACGTTGTACCCATGTTTCGCCTTCCGCCCATGGGATGTCTGTAGGAGTCCACGGATCTTTCTTCTACCCGGGTTACTGTTTCTTGCCAACCACGGAAGCCCTGGACCGCAAGTTCTTCCATGGATCAGCTGTCGTTCACAGTGCTTACGCACTGGCTCTATAGTTGGCTGGCCATTACTATTATGGTCGTTCGTCTGGTTTCGAAGAAGATCAACAAGGAAGTGTACAATTCGGGTGACTACTTTACCATGGGGGCAATGCTTTGCTGCACTGCTCGCGTCGCTACGATCCATGTTGTTCTCATATGGGGGACAAACAACATGGATGCTAAAACGCGAGCGTCCTTGGACTTCACCAACAAAGAAATCTACCGACGGACCATTGGTAGCCAACTCACTCTAGCCAGTAGAGTGATCTACATCTCGTAGTAGGTCTATATTATCACGTTGTCTGTGTAGATCGTTGCTGATTTGAGAAGTCTATGGTTGCAAAAGCTTGTCCTGCTCGATGTCTTCCGTCGTCTACTCTTCAAGCTGAGATGGGAGAAGATGGCTCTCTGGAGCTACAGGGGCGTCTTTCTGGTCAGCTTCATCGCGACTCAAATCTCGACTTTTTCAGAATGCAATCCGTTCCATTTATACTGGCAGGTTACTCCAGATCCAGGTAATAATGCTTTCACGTCCAACACCGTTCATTTCTAACCCTGTTCTCAGGTACATGCGTCCGCGCTCAGTTTCAGTTGATCCTCGTCGCATCCCTCAACATCATCACCGATGTGATGCTTGTTGTCATTCCGATCCCACTACTCATCAGTCTTCAAACTCCGTTCTTGCGCAAGTTGCAAGTTTTTGTATTGTTGACTTTGGGACTTCTCATCATCGCCATCACCATCACACGACTGCCAATCAACCACAGTCACGCCACTTCCCAGGCCAATCGCTCAGCATGGGTATCCGGAGAGCTCCTCATCGCATCATTCGTCGTCAACATGCCGACAATATACGGCCAGTGGAACTTGTGGCGGAGAGGCCGGCCATCACATGGCAGCAGCAATGCCGCACGACCCTACTCTGGATTATCAAATGGACCAGTGCTCAGTCGAGGGAAGAGCCGAGACCATGGGAAGAGTGATGATTTTGAGATGGCTAGTGGCAACACGAGATCCAAAGATCTGGACACTGGGCTATCGTCTTCTACCCATACTACCAAAAGTCAGATAGGCATCTCGCTTTGTTTGGCTGCCACTTTGGACACAAGCTCTGGAAAATCGTGTCCCGAGACGGAGGATCCGAACGAAGATCGAATGTGTAGCTCGGCAAAAGAAGATGAACAATCTAGCGTAGTGTCTATTCTAGAGGACAAATCATGAAAGGAATGTAAACAATAACAAAGTATTGCTTGAAAGTTACTAGGCTCGTTGATGCCTTGAGCCCTCCCTTTTGCTGTCACAAAGTTAGTTATCTTAACACCTCTAACCGAGTGCCTTAGGAAGGCAGGCTTCTACAAGCCAGAACTGTGCGTTGTCAACGTTCCCACCTTGTGCGCTTTGAGGTTCCTGAAGTGTAGTCTACTCCTTTCGAGCAAACCTTGTAAACACATGAGCAAACGTCAACCTTTTCTAATATAGCCAACATTAAGATTGAAGTAGGATAGGTTTCTTCATACTTCAAACCAATCTACTCCCGTGTCTTGATGTGGCGTGCATAATAAAGTCAGCGGTGTAGTTCGGGATTCTATGGTGTAGGTGCTTTTGTAGAGTTGCTAGATGGGTTCTGAAGTGCCAACCTTACGCTGTCACATACACGCCCAAGTCACGACTTTTAGGTTCCTGGAGAGATTTTAACAGCGTTCTCGGAAGCGTGTCTTCTATTCAATCCAAGGATTCGTTATTCTGGACGCTGGCATCGAGTGCAGTAAGGTGGCGTGCGTAACGTCATGATATAATGCTTATGTGTACGCTCTCACATCACGACTACTATAGCTAGTAGGATTGCAACTGCGCAAAATTAATCCTTGGTATTTCGCACACAGTACCCTTCTACTTTTGGAGTCAGCGCGAAAAAAACTCTCGGCTAGTCGAGATACCGGGAACCAATCCAGAACACCTTGCAGCAGCTTGACAACTACATCTAAAATTAGATTAAGGGTTCTGGACTTGACTATATCGCAATATACGCCTCATGCAATTTTCCAAATCCCCATCAGTGTATCTTATGGCTTGTAGGAGCCACAAAGCATGCAGCTGACTCCGCGCTTTCACTGTTGACCGAGACGTAAAGCAGTGAAAGCAAAAACCGCGTAGCAACGTCTCGCGTAGGCTAGCGCCACACACGGAGCTTTAATATAAACCTTTGTTGCGCCCACTTCATCTGCTCCTTGCCTTTCTCCACAAAACGTATGAATCCCCCCATAGGTGGTGTGTCATTGCAAGACTGTGCTGACACACGCAGGAAATGGCCAACCGTGGATTCAATCACTTGAATCCTTTCTCCCCTCCGGAATACCCTTATCATAGTCCACCAAACCAACAAGCTTACCCCAATTTGCACAACCAACAAGTCTACTACAGCTCCCAAACCCCCAATTCGCAGATCCAACAAGCTTACCCCAATCCGCAAAACCAACGAGTCTTTGCCAATCCACAATACCGACAAGTCGCTCCTAACCCACAGAACAATCAATTCGGTCACCAACAAGCGGCGCAAGCGCAATTCGGCCAGGCCTGCCAGCCAGTCACGTTGGGTAGGTGTTCAGTTGCACTCTTTGGGTATATGACTAACAAACTCTGCAAGGCTACAGTACTCTCGGCGGCGCCTTGGTGAGTTGCGATCAGATTCCGCACGTCGTGGCTCAGCCAGACCAGAGGCTTAGTAAGCGTCATGTACTCAACGTTCATTGCATTTGCTAATCTACACAGTCCCTTCCCATGATCTGGGAAAAATTCCGCACGGACTTGCTCAGCAAATTGTTGATCAGCGCGAGCGAAACTGGAGGCTGGGAAGCCATGTCTTGGACGACTTCGTTGAGACTACAGTTAAACACGTTCAAGAAGGCGCGCCTTTCCAGGAATTGAACGGGATTGAACTGGACCTCATCAATGAGTTTCCTGATCTTGTTGAGAGGTATATGGAAGGCCTCAGATATGCATGCAAGCACAACGAGAATCGACGACAGCAGCAGCTTAACACAGAGAAATTCGACCCTTTGGCACCCCTTGAGCCTATTGACAGCCCTTCAAATCTGCAAATCCTTCATCGGGTTCCTACCGAACCGACGGGATCAGCATTCAGCCAAACACCCATGTCCATTGACTCCGCACGAAAGCGACAACAAGAAGACAGTATGTCAGTCCAACACGAGCAAGCTTCCCACGACCGAGCAGCTCAACAGTATCTGGACAATACGAGAAGCCTTCTCCAGTTCGTAGCATCACGTCCAAATCCTCTGGAACGTGTGCGAGCAGATGTGGAGAATGGAGTTGATCAGCAAACCAGAGCGGCCCTGGACTACAGCAACAATCTAGAGCGTCAGCTCCAATTCATAGCATCACGACCAACTCCTCTGGAGCGCGTGCGAGCAGACCTGGGCAACAGAAGCCCGCATGCTGACGGTTTCAACAGCAAGACCACCAGGGGTGTGGGAACTAGACCCTTGTCTTGACTTGCGGAGTCCCAGGATTACGCTAGTGGTCAAGATCGCGGTCAGGAATAGGGTAGTCTCGACTAAGGACGTGGTCATGATCAGGAGCGTGGTCAGAATCAGGGATATGGTGCCCAGGGACGAGGTGGTGGTCATTGGCGTGATGATGACGGTCATTGGTGAGGCGGTCGCGGTGGTCTTCAATGATGCGCTCTTGATTCCGGAACATACTAGCTTGCTAGTCCACAGATATCAGCATTGCTGGTCCACAGATATCAGCATCGCTGGTCCAATTAAATCAGCATCGCTGATCTTAATCCTAGCAATAAATCAATCAACATCATACCTTGTCATTTCATGAGATTTCCCTGTTTATTGACTCGTCTTTTCTAACCACATATGTACCTGGAGAGTATGCAGTGATGTATAGGACCAAATAAGCATACTTGCGCTCATCTCTAGTGACGACAAAGCACCATCACCCTGTTAGTTGTAGAGTCCAAATGACATGGTAGTAGTCACAGCGTTCACTTCGAAGATATCTGAGCTTGCGATTGCTGGAAGAGCTAAACAAGTTGTGGCTGCCGAGAAGGCCAAGCGAGAAACCAAAGCCGCCCAAGCAGTTGAGAGAGAATATGCCGCGAGAGAGGATGCTGTTGCGGGCGGTCTGGCCCATACAGAATCTGAACAAGTCAAACTACGGTCGGGTGACGCCTTTGAGCCTGCCGATGTTCCACCACCGCCTTCTCCGCCACTTCTCCCAAGTTTGACGGAGGATTTGGAGGACGGGGAAGTTCACGAATTCACCGTCGATGATTTTCCGGCGCGTTGGTGGAAGAGGGGGATCAACCCGTACTCTCGGTAGACATATCAGCCTTGAGATGGTCACTATACTAGTCATGTACTAGTATGAGATACTGCTATTGGCATGTTAGATTACTGGCTTTGCCAGTCCATAATATTGGCTGTATGCCAGTCTCCTATTGATTGTCGATCTCTCGACGCTGAACAGGCTCGGCTGCATTCACCAAGGACTCAACATTCTGGGGCTGCGTACATAGCAACCTCAATCAAACACACTTCTATCCTTATTGGAGGTTTGTAAATTCGCCTCGTCCGTATCGTGATTGTTAGTTCCATGTGTTAACGTGCTACGGTTTTGCAATCGGCTCACGCCGCCAATGTCCCATTTATGTTCATGGCAGACGCTCTTCACCACGATGGCTAGTTGTCCGAATGAGCAAGATGTATCAACTTCAGTGCAAACTATATAGTTGCACTTGTAAGCTTGGCCGATCATTATTAGTGGTGAATAACCCTCGAGCGAAGTTCTCCAGCATAGAGAGCAATCTCAGGCAACTCAGCGCGTGATAGAAACGTTTGAGGGCCTGCATAGCAAGTCATGTTGAAAAGGAAAACCCAGATCAGATTCTCTAATGTACATACGGTAGAACAATTTGTCTTAGCGGTTGGTCGGTTAGTCAGTTCATTTACGGGTTACTGTAGAGGCCGGATTGTGCTCCAATTGAGAATAGCTTTCCACTCCCAAGTCCGGATTCTTCACTCTAGCATATCGAGTGCTAGAACATGAAATGATTAGGTTTTCAAACCATCTGTAATCAATCTATGTCTTCAATAGAAAAACAGCGCGAGCAAGCTACAAGATTAAGTCCTGCGAATACATCGGGCCAGGCATATACCGGTAATACTCAATACCACACAAGTTCTACATGAACTGTGCATGTAGTTGTCCAGCTGTTGAACAGGTTCGCTACGCTAGGAATCAGATTACAAACCCGTATCTCGATTCATCCTAATCATGCGGTAGTCTTGATTATCCGCGTCGCAGTTCCCCCCGGTGCATGAAGTAACAGTCTCAAAAAGACACAATCCGTCTACTCCTGCCAACCCATGAGTATCAGCCGTGCCAACTACAAAGCACTTCTCACATCCATTTCCATAACATATATTTTCTTGAATTCTCCAGCACCATGGATAGACTTCGGGAACGTGAAGCGGTAGATGAGGGCTGAATGGATACAAGATAGGTAAACCCCATTCTATTCTGACTCTACGACGTCTCCTCTGTTGCGTGCTCGACAGCTGCCCCGTCAAAACCGTCGATTGAAGACTTGCAACAGACTGGTAATCCAAGCGACGGACGAATCGTGCAACAGGTGCCAGCCCAAACGGTGACCGTGAAGTGAAAGACCTTCCCACTCGGCTAGAGCACACAGACCATCACACAGAGGAAAAGTCAAGCTCGACAGGCGCTCGACTTCAATTCCCCTCCATCAACATCATGGCTTTTCCAAGGAAGCCCTTTGAAGATCATAATCCGTACACCACAGGCCAAACCAACCAGCCTTTTACTTCTAATTCGATTCCTAACTCGTCCTCTACTTCGTCACCCAACGCGCCCCACAGATCTACACTCTACGATCCAGCCGGCGAGCAGCACATGCGCCCAGAATGGGGCGCGAATTACAAAGACCTCCAAGCACACGCTGCGTGTGACTTCTGTTATAGACCCTGTAGGCACTGCAGGCCAGATACGTCTGAGGAAGCAACGTAAGTTCTTGAAAGAACCCTCGGAGGAGTGGTTGAACTTGGTTTTGATGATGATTCTGACGCCTCCATCCCTCCAGGACCAAACAAGAAGAGGGCGATTCTACAAGCCCCGCCGCCGAACTCGAGCACAAAGTCATGGCTACAGGTCCTGCCCCGAGTGAGGATTTAAACATCACCAAACAGCGTGAAGACTACAAGCATAACTCACCTTCACTTGGTCTACACTCCGAAACACTTCGCCGCCCATCCCCAACTCGCCTTCATTCGACAACTCCGCCAGCCACTGCTCCATTGTTACCGGATCAACAAGCGAACTCGTCACCACAGGTTCACGAGCTAGACGTTGAAAAGATCTGGTGGTCGGAATTCGTGTCAAGATACCTACATGAGAAAGCCCAGGCCGATCCAGATGGCCTGACCGACGATGAAAAGGCACGCTATGTTGCTCAACTCAGCTTGACCATAGAACGCAACAAAAAAGACAAATACGACTACGCCAATCTGTTCAACCAAGACGAACGCGACCTATGGGACGACAAAGCTCTGCCCCGCGATCTAATTCGGAGGCTACACCGATACAGAACGGATCTCGAGCGCCTTCCACTTTTCGACGTCACGATGGAAGAGGATACAGAAACTAGAATCGGTGACCACCCAGCGCTGCAGAAGTACTTAGATTTAATCGTTGATCAGCTATCTGACAGCGAGGAAGACGAGCTGGGGGTTGATGAGTATAGTGATACTCATAGCGATTGGGGCAGTTTGTACACTGGCGAGGGCAAGACAGAAACGTGATATTGTTCCCTGGTTTATATACCGGTGTCTTGTCAGTATATAGCATGGGCGGTGTGTCAGTAATGCATATCAGCTTGGCTGGTGAGGGATACCAGCATGACTGGTGGTGAGGGTTCGAATGTATGTATTTAGACATCAAAAACATATGCCTTCTTGTGTCATTGAACAAGACGTTTTCTGAATATCGTGTGAGCATGGATTGAGATATATGGAAGTTGTATGATGTATATGGCAATCTCCTCCTCCATGTCTGACCAAACACTATTCCCTACTAAAGAATCTGGTATTTACCGCTCATCGATAACACTGGTGTCTCGAACTAGTGCAAGACCAGTATCTTGAACTGGCACATGGCCAGTATCGAGGACCAGCACAAGACTAGTATCAAGGACCAGCACAAGACTAGTATCAAGGACCAGCACAAGACTAGTATCGAGGACCAGCACAAGACTAGTATCAAGGACCAGCGATGCTGATATAGGGACCAGCGATGCTGATATCAGGACCAGCGATGCTGATATCAGGACCAGCGATGCTGATATTAGAACCAGCGATGCTGATATTAGAACCAGCGATGCTGGTATCATGGACTGCCAAAGGCAGTATAAAGACCAACACGGGCTGGTATCATCGTCTAGCACAATGCCAGGGTATTGGAGCAGAGGCTGGTGCCGTGAGACAGGCATCGTTTGACTGTCACCCATACTACAGGCCTGCAAAGCTAGGCAAGCCCATCCACTTCAGCCGTCAGCCAGTATCCGATCTCTTTCCAGGTCGAGGCCAGGCGAGCAGATTCTGGAAGCGGGATGAAGACTAACCCGTACTCGTTGTCAGAGTCGTTCGAATCGTCTTCACCGGACGCCAGCTTCCTGATCCGAACGCACGTACGGCTATTGCCGACACACGTATCGCACGCCGAGTCCTCATCGCCTTGGAACAACTTTTTGCCATGGGTGATCACATTGGTCAACACACAAACATCGACATGCGTAGCCGGATTTCTTGTCATACGGGCGTATACGACCTGTCGTTTCGGTGGCTTTGTCCACGAGCTGCGGAATTGTTCTAGAAGCTGTTTGCGGACATCATCAGGAAGGCTTTCGATAGGCTGATGTGTTTCGTCGTCAGGAATCCATATGTACATGGGGAATTCCACGATGTCTTTCGAGGTCAGCCTTTTTCGAGCTTTGCTTTTCTTAATTGCTGGCTTCCTGTTCGAAGTGGACTTCAACGACGCGGGGTTTGTCGAATTGATGGGCTCGGACTGCTGAAGTAGTGGTGCTAGCTCCTCCTCTGATTCAGTGTTTGTTGTGTCTTCGAAATTGGGGCCAAAGTCAAAGTCCGGATGATCATGCAGTAATGTACCGGACTCAGTTTGCTTGTTGAGTTCCGTCTGGGTTGCGGCGTCCTCATAGCTTGGTCTCTGCTGGAGTTCTGTCTGCGTTGTGGCATCCACATAGCCGAATCCCCGACTTCGTAGTGTACCCTTGGCTGCTTGGAGACGACGGATGAGCTCCTCATGCTCAGACTGTAGTTCCTCTGATGACTTTGGAAACTCTGTTGCGCCTAGCTCTGACAGCCTGTTATGATCTGTGGCGAATCTCTGGTTGACACTTGGTATATCCAGAGCTCTAATGATATGTGCTCTAAGATCTTGGTCCGCAGTCCGGTCTCTTGTTTGGTAGACATTGCCTTCCGAGGTCGCAGTTGACGGTGACGGCGACGAAGCCTGGATGTGCGCTCGCCTGTTCTTGATAAATGCCTTGGCTCTCTCCGTTACGCTGAGTTCCATGTGCGTGTTCTCCTCCTCACGCACCCTCTTGGCAGGATTCAAGAATGCTGAGTTCTCCGGAAGTGCCGGCCGTGACGAATTAGGTGAAGGCTGTGTTAACGGGTTGGTCAAAGATTGAGCCTGCAGCGACACACTTCGGGATGGCCTGGGTGGAACGAATTGGTTCTGACGAAATGGAGGTCGTGGCGAATTGGATGGAGGCTGCATGAACGAATCATTCGGTTGCAGTGGCTGATTCAAGCGTGAATGGGAAGCGGATTGGGTCTGATTAGAGGAAGGGTGTGCAGCGTGATAGTTACGCGCGGTGTGAGGGGATGACTGCCCGGGGGGCGGTACTGGTGGTTCCGCCATGTTGGTGTACTGAGCAAAGTCTACTGTGTGAGTTGGAAGTCGCATCATTTATCGTGTGGTCAATGCTTGGCGTCGACGGACACAGCTTTCACTCCCTTCCTCTACTGTTGAGTGACATGTAGCCTAGCTATTCATAGCCTCCTGTAGATGAGACTCATAAAATTATGTTGAGTGAAGAATACAACTAATGCATGCATTCCTGTAGACTTGAAGGTATTTGCACTGTAGGCTCTACAGCAACACCTCTTTGTCGTGCATTGAGTGACATGAAGGGCAAGAACATATATCCCTGCTGCCGCCAATACATCATCACCTTGCTAGCTGTACAGTCCAAACGACCTAGTAGCAGCCATATCGTCAGTTATAAGTGTGCATTTCGACATAACCCGCTGTGACAGCATGCCGTACGCAATCAAAGTCGGAATAGTACATCAAGGGAACATGCCTCCAGCTGAACAACACATGTCGAATAACATAGTCGACGGCCAGCTCGCCTTCTACAAAGTGGGGGAAATCACGTTCGCAGAGCGTGAGCTCAGCATATTTGGCACTGGCGGAAAGAAACTGAAGGCCTTCTTCACCATCCTACTCTAGTGTGTCAAATAACGAATGTTGGAGAGGCTGTAACAGGCCTCTTAGTTGTCTCAAATGGAGTGTATTGAGTGAAGCATACAACCGATTCCTCTATACTTACTAACTTGACAATAACTACCCCGTAGGCTCCAGGGCACTATCAACTCACTGCTTGAAACTTCAGGCAGCCGAATTGCAGCAACTCTCTGTAGCGTGTGATGCGATGTATAATTTATATTTACTAGTCTTCAGAATCCAAACCCCCTGACATGCTTTTCTTGGTTTCGATGAATGTTGAGTAGCCTAGGTACTCGAGTCGGTCTGCACATATCAGCGGCGAAGGTAGGCTCCAGTAGACCGCTAAAGCATCACCTGTAGACGTCTATGTTCCAAAGCCTGCTCAACGCTCTCGACAACAGAAATACCATCACGTCCAACCACTTCATCACCTGTGTGCACAGCCCAGCCTCGGAGGGAAGACCAACAAAGCAGATCGGGCATGAAAAAGAAGCAGGGGAACTGCGCATCTTGCGGGGCGACAATATCAAAGCAATCCAGGACTCCGATATCGTCATGCTCGGCGTAGATCTAGCAGACGCTGAGGCTACGCTGAAGCAAAACGGGCAAGAGGCGACATTATCAAAGCAGTCCAGGACTCCGATATTGTCATTCTCGGCGTGGATCCACCGTCCTATTCTACTGTCGCGTGATATGGGTTTCGTTCTCGGCTTTCGGCAGAAGGGCCTTGTGAAAGGAGGATACTGGGTGAAGCATACAATTACTTCCTTCACTCCTGTGGACTTGATAAGAATCATGCTGTAGGCTCCAGGGCATCAGCTTCCCACAGTGTATTCGATAACATATAGGATCAAGAACGTTCCAATTCTTCCGCCCCCTACTACCTCCAAGCACCATCAGCCTGCCATTACACAGTCCAAACGACGTCGTAGTAGTCCACACGCGCCCTTTCTCACCCCGCCCATCCAACCGCGAACCCTCCAACATCACCGTCACAGTCTACACTCAACCCACAAGCTGAAGAACAAAAAATATATTGCTGCCCACAAACACGCCCTCCACACCCCTAATACCTCCCCGGCAGCTCCCCGGGCCTCACCTCACTAATCGCATACCCCGGGCGCCACGCAGGATGAATCGCACTCCCACCCACCACCGACTCAGCCATATAACTCTCATCCTCAGACGCATAACTCGGGGGTCTCGCCGCCCCATTCCGCGGCTCCTCCGCTGCCGCACTCCACATCCCCGTACCCGCACTAACGACGCTCCCCGCGCGCGTCTCCACCGCGCTGAACACCCCCCGCTCCTCCCCCGCGCGCCGCCAATGCAGCAAATCCGGATTCGCGCGCACGCTGCTGCGCCAAAGGCCGTACGCGGGCGGTGGCGGGGGGAGTATGTCTTTCTCCGGGTCTGTGGGGTCGGTGGGCATGTCTTGTATGTCGGAGGGGGGGATGCCGAGTTCGACGTCGCGCGCGAGGTGGACGCGGATGGGCTGTGTGGGCTGGAAGTTTTCTGGGGTGGAGGGGTGTTGGAGGGGGCGGCGGTGTGAGGATGAGCCGGTGCGGGGGTGGCGGTGGTGGTGGTGATGATGGGTTTTTGGGTGCAGGACGAGCATGCAGAGGCGGATGAGGGAGTGGCAGAAGAAGATTGTTGTTGAGATTAGGATGATTATGAAGAGGATGTGGATTTCTTGGCCGAGGGATTGGGTGAGGGCTATGGCGAGGTCTGGGGGTAGGGGTGGGGTTAGTTTTGTTTCAGGTCGTTTGTGAGGAGTGGATGGGACTTACAGATTGCTAGCACAACTAGCATGAACGTTCCGCTCAGGATACACGCCATCTTCTTCCCCCGCACTGCTGTTCCCTTGCCGGAATGCCGCGTTCCCCGCCCTTTCTTTGTTCGCACCCACTGGTCGTGGTGTTCATGTCGGCGATGCTTTCTGCGCCTGTGACGTCGCCCGCGCCCGTTGATCTCCGCCTGTAGCTGCAGAACCTCCGGGTCTGCGATGCTGAAGTTGCTCTCTTGCCGGGCGTGGTGGGATTCATGAGCGTGGGTTGTTCGCTGTTCCAGTGGCGCCTCGGGCTGAATGGCGCCGATATATGAGCCCGCTGTGTGCTGTGCATGATCCGTATTGGGGAAAGGATCGCGGTGGAGAAATCCCAGGAATGAAGATCTGGCCGTCTTGGGCGTTTGGTGGGGGATAGCGGGCGATTGCGAGTAGACGGATGAGCCGTTGATCATGTTGCGGAAGCGCGTAGCGAATGGCGAGGCGGGCGTGTATTGGCTTTCGGGGTCCTGGTCGGGTCGAGGGGACCAGGCGAAGAGTGGTGAGCGGAACATGGTGTGGTGTGTGTGTTTGGAGGTTGTTGCTCTCTGATGATGGCCCTGAGGCTGGTGCTGTGTCCGTCTCTTTTGTGTCTTGGGAACCGTAAGGCAAGCTGCAAACCATGCAGAAGTTGTAGTAATCAACTACGAAGTAGTGTATATATCGTCTCCAAAACCAAATCTCTTTCAATGTTCAAGCCCAAAATTGCAAGTCCAGCTCTTGGATCGAACAACAGACTACCCAGCAGTCTTCACCCCGACTCAAAAAGGCGTATAACTCAACGAAAAAAAGAAGAACAAGAACAGCGCAGCTGCCCGACCCTACAAAAAAGCGAGCGTATCGAACGAACGTAAAAAAAAGTATATCGAAGCGAAAGAGACAGAGGTTACACATCACACAAGGGGGGGCATCACAGCAACAATAACACAATAAAATACCCTCACACACGCATTGAACAACACCCCCAGATCCGCGACTCGCCATGTATCAGACCGTCCTGAAACGCGACGCTACCGGCCAAGGCCTTGGGCCCAACTCCCTCGCATCACATCACAGCGAGATAAGTCCAGAGCGAGTTGTGACGGTTGTGCGAGCGCAGATGTGTGTTGTTGGCGTGTGTGGATGGAAATGCTTCTGGTGTGGTGGGCGAGGTGGTCGAATGCTGGTGTGGGGCGGTATGGTTGGTTGGCGGTCCGGGGTTCTGAAACAAGGGCTTTGTGGCCAATGGGTGGGTGCTGCGCTTGGGTTTTGGAGGAAATGCACGACAATGGACGGTGGTGGGTAGCCAGTGGGAAGTATTCAGAGACATGTGATGTGTTGTTGTGCTGTGTTGTTTAATTTGGCTCGTGCTAGAGTTTTCTGCTATTGTGTGACGATTGCACGGTGGATATATATAGAGCATTCCATCCCTCACACGTCTGGAACGCGCTATTTCGTTCTGCTTCTTACAGCGGACTTGCACACTGTACTGCGTCGAGATAATGCACCCCCTATCCGATGTTGCACCGGCGGACCAGTGTAAACAAATCCTCGTGACGTGTGATTGGAAGATGACTTTCAATCTCAATCACGTCGATCGGTTCCCCACAAACGTGGAGTGGTGTTTCCAATTCAAGAGCCCATACCCAAGTATTTCCTCCCCGCATTATCACTTTCCTAACTCGCCTACCATGAGCTTGCGATCAGACGATGCGGAGACAACTAGATGACGCCAAGTTAGCTTTTCGTCTTGCGGTGAGGGAATCCGATTTTGGTACATACGAATTGGTTCGTCTCGCGGATGGAATCGTACGTCGTTCACGGCGCCACGGTGTCCAGGTAGCTTGTTCAGGAGCTTGCCTGTCCGCGCTTCCCAAATGGCTACAGTCTGGTCCCCACTCCCAGCTGCAATCTTCTCGCCCTTGGAATCCCAAGTCGCTTTCAGAAGGTTGCGTTCCTGACCGGTGGGAGCCCCGTCATAAGTCATGAGGCCGCGGTCTGCGGGTGCGAATGGCCTGACATCCCAAGTCCTGACGGTCGAGTCGTGCGCGTTCGACAAGAGAGTCTGATTGTCTGGCGAGAGCTGCAGCGAAGTGACGGTATCGGTGTGTCCGAGCAGTGTGTAGGAGACGGCCTGTTTCCGCAGGTCCCAGACCTTGATGTCGTTGTCGATGCCTCCTGTGAAGAGTTCGTTGCCGGCTTCAGCCAGACATATTGCAGTGATGGGGAAGTCTGTTGGAATGAAAGTAACGGCCTCTTTCGTTCTTGTGTCCCAGATCTGTCCTCTGTCAGCTAGGATCAGTGCAATTCATCCAGCGCACTCACCCCGATGTAGCCGTCGTCAGAACCGCTGACGAGCATCTCCTCACCGCGCTTGCTGACGTCCATGCAATTGACCACCTCGTCATGTCCAGGATGCCGCCGTATCCTCTCTCCTGTCTCGACGTCCCAACTCGCGAGCTGCGTGTCTGCGGATGCGGAGAAGATGACCTTGGAGTCTCGCGACCAGTGCAGGTCCAGCACAGCCTGCTTGTGTCCGGTGAGGATGCCGTAGTTGTCGCATGCGCCCGCGGTGCGCCAGAGTACTGAACAAAGTCAGCGCATTCGCCTGAGCTAGCGAGGGGGAGACTGACATATAGAGCGGTCCATGGAGCCAGAGGCTATGTACTGGCCGGTGGGATCGAAGCGAGCTGCGAAGACCTCTCCCGAATGGCCTGTTAGCTCCATGACAGGCGACTGCAGTGCGCTGTTGCGCGCGCCCTAGATTGTCTGTTAGCTCTGTCTGTTTAGCAACCTCCTTCAAGCGCGAGCATCTCGACATACCGTCTGTATGAGTGCCCCATTTTGCCCAGTCCCATTCGCTACTGTCACTGCAGTGCTTCCGCCCAGACTCGCGTCCGACTTTGCGCGTTTGACCAGTTGGGACGAGCCGAACGCGTCGGTGGCGGGTCTCTTTTCGCGGGACATGGCGTGCGGTGGAAGGGCGTCGACTGGTGTTCGGGCAGTTATCGTGGGTTGTTGGATCTGGATGTGAGAGCTGGGTAGCTCGCGCTGTTGGTAAACTTTCTCGAGCCGCGCCAAGGCTGATCTCCGCAAGCTCTCGCTCCACACCTCGCCGGCGCCAGCAACGCACCCTGTACCCACGCCCCACGTCTTGCTGAACCCCCAACGCGCCCGTCTTGCAACACTCGGTCTTGGACATAGCCACGAATAGAGAACAGTCGCCACAGAATGGCTTCATCCACAAAGGCAGCCCGCTTGGGCGAGGAGTGAGCTGCGAACGTCCAGCAACTGCTTCGACATGTGCTAATACCTACCAGAGTCTGGAAGTAAGTCACACACCACTTTGCAAGGCCATCACGTTCTGACCCGAACAAGGACTCGTGTGGACAAAGTCAGCGCCGAGCTCGTCACTCTCACCTATGGCACCATTGTCGCTCAGCTGTGCAAGGACTACGAATACAACTACGTCGACGTCAACAAGCAGCTGGAAAAGATGGGCTACAATATCGGGGTACGGCTGATCGAGGACTTCTTGGCCAAAACAAGCGCACCCGTCTGCACAAACTTCCGCGAAGTCTCCGAGATGATATCAAAAGTTGGCTTCAAGATCTTCCTCAACATCACGCCCACAATCACAAACTGGTCGGCAGACAACAAGCAGTTCTCCCTGGTCTTCGACGAGAACCCCCTGGCGGATTTTGTAGAGCTTCCCGATGATGGCCGGGCGCAGGACGAGCTGTGGTTTTCGAATATACTGGTCGGAGTACTTCGTGGAGCACTGGAAATGGTACGTCCTGGTCGACAGCGATCGGGGGTCACGGCTGACATGCAGGGTAGGTGCACATGCAGGTTGAAGCCCATTTCATCAGCGACGTCCTACGAGGGAACGACAGCACCGAGATGCGGATATCGTTGATCCGTTACATCGACGATGAGATGCCACCAGACGACGAATAGTGCTGGAGAGAGTATTAGAGACGACGACATATACCCATCTACGAGGCATGGCCGCACGCATGTTCATGACGAGGTGCTGGGTGATTGGAGGACTGCGGAAGCATGGTAGAAGTGAGAGGGTGTTTCAGCTGCACGATGTGAAGGCGACACACGGTATGATCGCCAAGTTCTCGGTTCACAAGTCCAACACACTCGAACTGCATAGAATTCAGAATTCAAACCGCACAAGGCTTATGACAGCACATTCAGCAAGCAATGGCGAGATAGCAACTAAATGGCACAATTGAGCGCCGCCTGGAAGAAGTACCAGCGCACATCACCCACACATAGACATAGTTGAACCTTCGCGCGAGGCCAGCCACGTCAAGTCTGGCATCACTCCATCGCAGATCATACGGACTCAACACTGGCGATCTCGAGGGAGTGAGGCGATGATGGTGTGCCATGTTCGCGGCCAATAGCATCCATGGACAATGTCAGGTGACTGGTGCAATCACCAGCAATGGCTCGTCGTGCTGGGCTCATTTTGACGGGATATCGATTCTGAAGTATGTATAACGAGACGCCCGCCGTGCAGGTCGTATCCAAGACGTCTGGCGCGGTGGAACCGTGTCGGGGGCTGCTGTCACGTGCGTGTGTGGCTTGGCAGGTCGTTCCCCCTCTTGCGAAAGCGGATGACCGCGAACATATCCCTCGCACCCATCCTGCTCACTCTTTTTGCCCGTGTTCTAGACGTGTTCCATTGCGCCGCCGCAATTCCGCAGTTGTGGTTGTGATTGCCGTCAGATAGCGCCTTCGACAGCCTCGCCAGCAGCAACGCCTGAGCCCTCTACGTCGTCCATCGCAAAACTAAAATCCATTCCGTGACCATCGCGCCGCCCTTCCATCGCGCCGCCCAGACTTCATCACCGCCTTCCATCGCCGCCTGCTGCCCGCGTCGCGCGTCATCATCCTCGCCAGGCTCGAGCAAACACTAGATCGGCGCTCCACTCCGGCCTCCGAACACCCCCGTGGCGACGGCGTGTCCCATGCTGCGGTAGCCCACACGTCCTCTCGCACCAGAGTGCCCGACACGACCCGCGACGACCGACACGCCCTCGATACGCCCCCGACGACACGCCCGGCCACGCCCTGACACGCCGTGACACGCCCCTGGGCCCCATCGCGTCCCCGTCAGCCAGCGCGCGTCCCCGGCACCCGCCCTCCGCAGCCGGCCTCCTCGCCGCGCGATGCAGAACCAGCACATGGCGCAGATGGCGGCCATGAGTGTCAACGGCGGCCCCGACGGCACGCCCGTCATGGGCAACATGGCCCGCCCGCAGCGCCCGCCCATGGACCCGCGCGAGCAGCTCAACACGTACATCTACGACTACTTCCTGCGCAACAAGCACGTGCGGCTCGCGCGCGCCATGGTCGAGTGCGACATGAAGATGGCCACGTCGCCGCCGCTGAAGCCCAGCCCCAACAACCGCGCCAACGGCGTCGACGCCATGGACGAGTCGGCCGACGACCTGCCCAACCCGCAGCTGCCCAAGGGCCAATTGGCCGACGACTCGTTCCTGCTCGACTGGTGGGTGCAGTTCTGGGACATCTACCAGGCCACGAGCATCCGCGGCCTGAACTCGAAGAGCTCGCAGTACATTGCCCACACCCGGGTGAGCCGCCACACGCACCCGCGCCCGCACGCCGCCCGCCGCTAACACGCCGCAGAACCTGACGCAGATGCAGAACGACCAGCGCAACTCGCGCATGCTGATGACCAACCCCATGAACGCCCAGTACCAGAACATGATGCGCTCCAACATGGCCAACGGCGTCGCCTCCAACGACCTGAAGCGCGCCGCCGCCATGAACAGCCGCAACCCGTACGTGGCCGCGCCGCCTGCCCCCCGAGCCCCATCTTGCTAACGCGCGCCAGCAACGCCAACCCCATGGCCAACATGGGCCAGATGAAGAACCCCGCCATGATGGCCGCCCACATGCAGCGCGACGGCTCCGGCATGGGCATCAACGGCCAGAACCCCCAGTCGCCCGGCTCCAACGACAACGCCCCGTCGCCGAACAAGCGCGCCCGCGTCGAAGGTAAGCCCCGCCGCCCCCCACTCCCAGACCACGGCTGACGCAGCACCCCCGCAGGCGGAATGATTGCCGGCAACATGCCAGGCGGCCAGTTCAACGAATTCGCGCAGCAGGCCCAGCACGCGCAGCAGAAGAACATCGAGGTATACGCCCAAAGTCTGGCCAATCAACACAGAGTAGCACTCAATAACACTGCTTCTCCCCAGGCTATGAATTCTGGCGCTCAGGGCTCTCCCATGAACCAGCAGGGCCTGGACGGCCAGCATGACATGTTCGCTGGCAACCCCTCGCGCCCCGGCCCCGGCATGCCCGCCAACGCCCCCGGAGCCCCGCCACAGGGCAACCACGCGCTCCAGGACTACCAGATGCAGCTGATGTTGCTCGAGCAGCAGAATAAGAAGCGCCTGCTCATGGCACGTCAGGAGCAGGACAACATGTCCGGGCCCAATCAGCATGCCGTTGGCGGGCCAGGCTTTGCACCTAACATGTCGCCGCAAGGAAGCAGAGCGGGCCCCTCGCCCAACCCAGCAGACCAGATCAAGCGAGGGACACCGAAACTCAACCAGCAGGGCCTGCCAACCTCGCCCATGCCAGAAGGCGTCATGCCCCAGCGTAACTCACCGGCTCCTAACATGAACTTTGACCCACAGCTGGCGCCCCCAGGAATGCCCCCACAGTTCTTCCCGATGGGAGCACAGAACAACCCCATGATGAGGCCGCCCAGTTCGCATCCTGGCCCGTTTGTCAATGGCCAGCAACTAACACAACAGCAAATGGAGGCTGCCATGCGCGCAGCGGGTCCTATGCCCAACGGTGTATGGCGTGGCCCACCGCAGCCGGGGATGATGCCACAGCAGCCAATGGGAGTCATGGGCCAAAATCCACAGCGAATCCAGATGCCACCGCCTCCAGCACCCACCAACGAACCCCCCCGACCCGAACCGTCTCCTTCGCAGTCTAACCAAGCGCCACCGACACCAAATCAGGGGAACAAGGCTGGGCCCAAGAAGAAAGGCGGCAAAGATAACAAGGTCAGTTTGTTTCCCCCCTACTCCTGACCACTGTTGATATTCATCGTAGAAGCCGACAAATAAAAAGGGCGGCAACACTGGTGCCACACCAGTAGCCTCGGCTGGCGAGGAGGCTCCCACACCAACAGCATCGACTCCAGTCGCGCCCATCACGCCACAGCACAAGCAGTCATTCAACCAGGGGCCAAACGGCCAACCGCAACAGCAACCCCTCCCACTGCAACAACAGCCCATGGACAACAACATCCCCCCATTCGGCAACATCGAAGACGTAAGTACACGCAGGTCCCTGATAACCAGCGATCCAAGCTAACACAACCCCAGCCCAACAGCCTAGACCTCGGCTTCAACTTCACCGACGACTCAGGCGCCCTCGAAAACTTCGACTTCGACTCCTTCCTCCACACCGACGACGCCGGCGGCGGCGGTTTCGGCCTCGGCGCCGAATTCGACTTTGGCAACCCCGTCGAGGCGGGGGGCGGCGAATTGTAGTACGAACCATTGCCGTTTGGGGATTGGCCGCCGTCGCTCCACGGCATGGGCCCGTCGATCGAGGACTGGCTGCGGACGCTGCCTGAGGTCGCTACGACGCCGGTGCCGGAGATCGTGCCGTCGGTGGTGTGACTGATGGGCTGCGTGTCTGCGACGTGGTGTGCAGGGAAGAAGGCGCGGTCGGTGATGCTGCTGGTGATGGTGTTGCGCACAACAAAAATCATTTTTCATATACCCGTTCGCTTTTTTTGTGTTTGTCTTTCTTTCTCGAGGGAGGCTGGGTGTGAGGATCTTATTCTTATTCTTATTGTTTTCGTTTTTTTGCCGAACCCGGAAGAAAGGCTGGGGAAGGGGAGGGTTGGAGCGGCGTGTAAGGAGATGGGAGGGGTTGTTTATCTTGAGGGTCGGGTTGGGTTAGGGCGCGTTGTTTTTTCTTTGGGAGAGTTCTGAAATGTTAATGTGTCGTTTGGTCTGGCGTTTTCTTTTCTCTTGCTTGCTTGCTTGGTTCGTCGTTCTTCCTGCTTTGGCTTGAGAGTTTCTGTATCTGCTCTGTTCTTGAGGCTGCGAGAATAAGCCATTCGCTTGGGCTTTTGTTGTTGTTGTTGTATCGAACGTTTTTCGCACGCGGAGGTCGTATCCACTTCTCCCCCCGTTTTTTTGGGACATGTATCGTGTAGGATGATGTGTTGTGACTGCGGTTGTGGTTGTGGTGGGATTTTCTTACGATGAGAGTGAATTGGATCGAGGAAGAGGGGTATGGTTAAGATGATAGGCTTCGCTTTTTTTTTTTTTTTTTAGATATACCATGGTTGGTTTTTTTGTTGAGTGGGTTGCTTGCTGTCTTAGTTGTGTGTGTGTGTGTGTGTGTGTGTGTGTGTGTGTGTATGTCTACGCGTGAATACATGTTTGTCTGCATTTTGGGCCATAGTGGCTGGGTATGTATGTGCACTCCACCCTTCCAGGCTGTCTCTGCACCACACGGAGGAGCAAATTTGAAGATAGATAACTAACTACCTAGCTAGTCAGAACAGGGACCTTCCATTTCATCACACTTCACTATACCCTCGCTTTTCGTGTAGATACCTCCCCCTTACACCTTTCATTCCTTTCCCAACTCAAGCCCGGAAGCATGTCAAGTATACAAAGTAAACACTATGCTTCTACGGGGCAGTGTTCAGCGTCCCAAAGTCACGGATCCGCCAAGCCATACAAGGGTGCTGTAGGAATATGCAGGTTTGAGAGAAGTAGGGCAGTGGCGACTGGCATGTGCAAAGCTCCCGTGGAACATGTGATGATGCTGCGTGGAGCCGTCATTTCTGGGCGTGAAGTGCGTGTGAAGTGCATATCTGTTGGTGGCGCTTGTGGATTTGAGTTTAAGTTTGAGTTTGGGTTTGAGTTTGGATCCGGTGCTGTGGAAGCGGCGCGGTGAGGTGGGGGTTGGATCATGTGGCGAGATTGGGGTGTTGGGACTGAGCCGCGGTGTAGTGCATCCTTCAGGTCACTGGAGGTGAATGGCTTACCTTCCTCCATCACGGCAGTCTTCCGCCTCCACACGAGGGTCGGGTATATGCAGATTCTTCCGACTGTGGTATTGGGAGCAAGTGCGCCATTAGGTTTATTTGTATGATGGCAGTGATATGTACCTCACCTCATGCGTTGGGATCAGTGACAAAGCTGAAGCGTAGTGACACTGCTTATACGCATCTACTTGCAGCATCCAGCTACTCTATTACCCACACGACTTTGTAAGAGAGATGTGAAAATATACGTAAGACTCCGATAGAAACATCGATGATGACCAGCAGCAAGGCTGTGTCGAGCGGAGCTAGGAGAATGGAACGCAAAACTGCGTGTACCTCGTACATCGGGTATAAGAAGAAAGTCCTACAAAGGAAAAAAACGGACTATGTGCGTGGTTAATGAAAGCATAACGCGACCTCCTTGTTGTTCAATCTGAACTCGTTTACATCTCCGTCCAATGTACATCCTCCATGCGGTCGATTTCCGGCAGTGACTCTTTTGGCTTCTTCTCTTTCTTCTTATCCCCTGTTGTTCGTCGACGTAGTAGCGACTTCATTCTTGTTGCTAGTTTGCCGAATGGGGCGGCGTTGGGCTGTGCAGTCTGCTCCTCGCTTGGCTTGGTGGTTCCGTCATCGACACTCTCTTCAACAGGCATTTGGACCTCCTCCTGCGAGATCTCCGCGATCTTGTTTGGCCTGACTATATTGATGTTCAGAACCTTCTTGCTTCTGATGACTTCTGGAGATGTGTTGGCACGCGCGAAGGGATGGGAAGCCAGCGAGGTTTGTGTGGAGATCTCCGGTGTCTTGGTTGTTGGTCCTTGTGTGTTATACGTTGTAGACTTTGTAGCAGACGTCACCATGTCCCACGTCGGCTCTGCAGGAGTAGAAGGCGCCGAAGAAGAGGACATTGGCCGTAAGACAACCAACGTCGAGCTATCCCAGGCATCTTCCATCCTTGGTGAGTATGCAGGGGTAGATGGTTCAGAGTCGATGAAGGTACCAAACGACCTTGCGGACATAGGCGGCGATCTGGGACCTGGTGATCTGGGGCTCAATGGGGGTGAGATGACGCCCCGTTTCGAGAACCGATGTGGTCGAGCGGGCGACGCATCACGAGGCTTTTTAGGCAACCCATGGCTTGTGAGTGGAAGATAGAAGCTTTTTCTGCTGCTCTTCGAAGACAGCCCTGTTGAAGTCGGGGATGGAAGGCGAAGTGTAGTCATTGTTAGAACGGCGTTGTTTTCGACAAGTTGCTAAAGGCTCAGATGCCTAGAGTCAGGCAAAGGGAGTATGAGACTGAAACACAACGTTTGAGTGAGCAAGTCTCGTGAAGAAGACGGCAGGCAGACAGAAGACGGGAGAGGCGCAGGGCTGCTTAGACATCAAGTAGGCAACAGAGAGTGGGGAAGGGAAAACAAAAGAGGAAAGAGGCAGCTCCACTCCCAACGAAAGGCAGACGATAATGCACGCAAACAGACGGTCCCACCTGAGGCCTGCAGGCAACATGTATGTTATATGAAAGCACCACAAATGCGTCATCCGCGCCGCAACAATGCGTGCTAGAGAATGATGCTCGACGATCGTTAGCGATTTTTGTCGGCATGGCTGCTACGGAACGCCCACCCATGACCGAACGCGTTGTATTTGCCTGCAAGATGGAGCCAAGCGTCGAGGTCGCGAAACGGGTTTCTATTCTCGCGTGAGTTGAGGGAGGTGTGGAGGACGTGGAATCGTATCATTAGATGTAGTGATTGGCTGGGACGTGAAGAGGTGGCGTCTATGTCGCGCTCCCATTGGAGGATGTGAACAGGTTGTTGGCGTCTACGCCGCAACACAGCGGCTGCAAGGCCGGGGACGCCAACCGTTGTGAGCCGGGATGAACGACTTTTAGCCTCGCCGGAGAGCGTCCGCCGTTTCTATAAAGTTAGAAGAGCAGGAAGGAAGCGTTTTAACTGGCTGCAAGGACATGGCCAATAACCTTCCGGTGAGTACCTTTCCATCCTTCTCGAGAGGCGAAATCCTACCCCCCCAAAGCTAGCTGTTGCCTATCAGAAGCACGATCCACGGTATTCGACTTTATCGGTGTCCGAGAGAGGGAAGTACTGGCGTGTACACGCCGTCAATCTGGTGCCCCTCCAGTTTGTTTTTCCAGGAGAAGTTCTTGCTCAGCACGAAGAAGCTGAAATTGACCCGGGTATCTGGTCACCTAGCCGAGATCATTCGACCCCTGACGCGCCTTGTCGTGTAGGCTTGAGACTTATGACGCCAGATAGCAGACGCTGTGAAGAGGGTGTGTGGCACGGGCTGATCACGGGTAGAGCAGTTCAGATGACTGCAAAACAATCCAACTTCCACAGTGAGTTCGTGGAGCGTTCACCTGGTGTCTGATAGGTCGCGAGGCGGGAATTGGGCCGCTCTGCAAGGGTCACTTGCGACCCGCCGCAAGATATATTGACAGTGCAGGATTGTGACCTGGAAGCGCAAGAGCGCGTCAGTTGCTGAAAAAGGTTCGAGATGCACACGCAAGGATTGTGAAGAGTCTGCGTGTGCAGAGGCGAGATGCACCGGTGTCGACGCGTGGGTGGGGCCGCTGGCTAACTCCGCCAAACAAAGTTTCCACATATTGTTGGTCTGAGGTTGTCCAAACCCCACGACAGGTATCTTCCATCAGATTTTCATGGAGCTCCCTTTTTCGTCTCGCTGGTTCTGCAGACCCGCTAATTCTTGCGACTTGACGTGTCTTTCCTGGAGCTTGAGGTCGGGTACATCCCTACAATGCACGAAGTTCAAACAGTATCCTTCTAATATTGAACTCGATCAAACAAGCCTGCACAAGCATTTAGACGGCGTGTCAAGCGCTCAGGCCCACATATGGTCGAAGGTTATCAAGTTTCCTCTTGCTGTGATCGATCCTGCATTCGAAATCACAATCCCGTTCAAGCTCATCTCGGTTGGACAATATTGTCTTGTACACGGTTCCTGTCGATATATACGTTTCCAGTATGCGAGTGGATCTATATTGTAAAGTGATACGGTTGCATGTTTCCGCCCTCGATGCGACAACCACAAAGGCGACGGCAAAAGCTGGAAAGCAGGGATAGAGGTCTGATAGCAGATTGGTCCTCATGTTGCCGCTCGACGACGTATGGCGTGATAAGTGTAGGGAAACCAAAAACGCATTACCCCCTAAATCCGACGGTTGTCAGATTGTGGAAGAAACTTGAACAAGACATCTGACACGAGCAGCTCATCTCCTATATCCTATAATTATGATGAGTTTGTCATTACTCTATGTTCTCTAACTCGCCTTATCCAGTCGTACCTCTGATCAGGTTCAGGCTTCGTAGTATCGTCTTTTGTATAGTTGTTCGTTTCACTGGCAATTTGTGTCGAATTCACTCTTCGAATCCCGCACATTTCCCACTCGAAGCAGGCTGTAGTTGATTTGACTTGCTTTCACCTACAATGTAGTTGCGTCCGTTTGTTTCGTCGCGTAGCTTGCGCGAGATAACGATGCGTGATGATCGCGCCTTCCCTTTTTTCTTGACTTAGGCAGCACACCAAGTCAACCGCGCCCGCCAACTACCTTCGCTTCTTCGATTTAGCCTAATCATTGCAAAATTTGTTGAGACTACTAGGACGCGTTCTTCAAAATGGTCGGATTTGGTGGATTACCCACCTCTCTTCGACTGTCAACGGAGCGCCTTACGAAAAAGAAGCGCAAGCAAACTCACAGGGCAGATCATGAGCAACACGTGGAGCGGTCGACGACTGCGACTGAGACTGATATCGACAATGAGCAGCTTCCCAGTGTCTGTGGAGGCGGCACTCAACACCAGCGCAACTTGTCACTACACGTCATGTGGACGCTGGACGATATCAGACAGATAGCGAGGGAGATTTACGATGGGACTGTTGCAGACGTCCATCTGTCTCTATTTGCGTACTGGGTTCAGGAAAAGAACGAAAACTATGATCTGGCGAAGGAGTACGTTCGGGAGCTATCACTAGATCAGGTCGGTTTCAAGAGCCTCACAAAATCCCATGACTTTAAAGACTGACAGGGCTCTGAAGGGGTACAATATCGACAGGATTGGCAATCGACATCTGCGCAAGCTCCTCGAGGACACATGCCGTCTTCGGCCAAGGTACGACTGCCATCGTTCGGGAGTGCATGAGACCGATGGCTTGCTTGAGGCATATCAATGCACTCTTCAACACTCCCCCATCCATAGCCACGCACGATAAGCTCTCAATCACTACAGCTGCACAACTTTCGAGACCACTGTCTGACCTCTTTTTGTACAGGAAACCAAAGTTTGCCAAAACAATCATACTGCAAGCTAATATGTCAACTCCAAGCCGCACATCGCCTGCTTCCAATACGTTCATCACCTCACCGCTCACCTCTGGGGTTGATACGCTTGCACCGCCTCTTCGTGCGAAGCGAGAGCACCACACCGAAGAAGCAGCTCACCCAAACTCAGTATCGCATTCGAACAGTGATTACAAGGACTACCCGCCCAATAGTGAGCTTCAAGTATACCCGTCATATATTTGTTCCAGCACTGATTTTTACCAGCGCCTGATCGACCAGCGCCACTCACCCTCCGATCACGCAGTTCCAGAGCAAGTAGCACTGCACAAACATCATACAATATCCTAAGATCGGTCTCCTCGCCCATTCACAATCGCGGCGTAGACTCGATTTTACCGCCATTGCCTCGATTTAGTACCATGTTTCAAGATATGGAATCTCATCCTCTGCTCTCGCCGTCACCCATTGGTTCTTTCGTGGCCAGTAGCGAGGTTGGTATCAAGACTGATACTACAACGGACGATGTCTTTGGTATTTTGGATCAACTAGGCTTCCGTCAGAGCAAGCTCCTCAGCATCACACAAACAGGCAGCAAGAACACTCGTCATAGCTCTCATGGAAGGAATCCGTTCGCCGATCCCTGTGATCCACATTGCGGGGGTTCTTTCGAACTGGACACTGCAGACATTGCGTCTGACTCGAGCTATGGGTCGGATGGAGTTGCCGTTTCGAGTTTCAACGAATTCGATGGGACTATTCACAAGAACGAAGAGAATGGGAACTGCGCGAACGATGAGACCTTTGGCGCAATGCGTTCATACACTGATCTGGGTGACGAGATCTCGATCTTAGAATCAGCCTCATCTATAAGCGACAGCGAGAATAAAGCACAATACTCGTACGCTCTATCAGCCCCACCTCCTAATCCAGCCGTTGCCGACCCTGCGCCAACTCCTTCTCAACGCCGCGCAACCTTGAAAGCTCGTCGTTCAATGCAACACCCCAGCCTTATGGATAACGTTCCCAACTTCCATCGGCCGCTTCCGCTTCGTAGCTACGAGAGCGAGGCTCATCTGTATCCGACTTCCCGCGTTCAAGGTAGGTCAAACCGCAATCGAGCTAGCTCTATATCAGAGAGCATACTGAATTCGACTCGTCCTGTGTCCCTAGCAATTGCACCGACGCGTATGACAGAAGGAACACCGTCTCCTTGTTCCCCTGTGACTGAAGCTCGATATACTGGAACGTCTCCCAAGACAACATCTACATCTTTCTCGGGGCTTGACCGTAACTCCGAAACGCTATCGGGGCCCCACGATCTGATACCGTTGCCCCCCAGCTTGACGACGGCTGTCAAGCAATACCCTTCTCAATCTCGTCATGTAGATTGTCCACAACCTCAGAGGATTGAGCGACGTTCCGAGGGAACAACGGGGCGCTCCGCACTACTCCCTCTACCACCTCGGTCGTTCTTAGATAACAACAGTAGTGTCGGCGCTCATACCACTCACAAGGACTACACAGGCATCAAGCATCAGAACTCCTTCAGGACGGGCAGAACGTCTGAGAATTCACGGCGTCTTTCAACCGCCTCAATCATAGCAGCGTTTCCCATCCCGTCCATGCAAGACGAAACCGACGAGCTTCCCATGGCAGTCTCTCGCGCAACCTCATCGCCTGAACTGACAACAGCATCAACATCCATAGCGGAAGCATACCGCGCCATCGCCAAAGCACATATCACGGAACTGCTGCAGCAAACTCGCAGCCGAGGAACTCATTTGCAGAATGTGGATTGGAACGATTTGACGCCGTTTGAGAGGACGTGGCGCGAGGTGAACGAACCGCTCCTTGTGTCGATCTATGGAAGGAGAGACGTACTGCTTACGGATGCGGACGTGGAGTATGTTGACAGCATTGCTAGAGGACTTCGCGAAGGTATAGACGCAACATCTTCAGTTGATTGGCTGTGTCGGGTCTTTCGCGATGCTGTCTGACATGCGGAGAGATTGCGTAGCCGAGTGTTCATGGGGAGATGGGAGAAGTTGGCAAGCATGTAAGAGGATGATCTGGAGGTTACGCTTGTGGTTGGGTAGTCCTTAATATGTATTGTCGGAAAGATAATGCCGCACAACGAGTAGTAGATAATGTATAAAGCTTGATTGACGATGGCGTTTCGCATACTGATCTGCTTTTTGGAAATCATCGTCTACAAGCTCCATGTCTATTCCAAAGATCTGTGTTGCTATAAACTGAACGTGCATAAACACAGCTATATCACTATACCCACTCCTTGTCGTGTGTCTGGGTTTATTCGCAATTTCGCATTCTATCGGCCGAGCCTCAACCCGAACACTGAGATCGGATCAAATTGAAAGACATGATGCGCACAATTGGCCCATGGTTATCAATCCTCACGCAGGCAGAAGACTATCATCGTTAGCAGCACTCAACCGTCAGCGTCGAGATAGATACATACCCATCTTTGCGCACTCATCAGGATCTCCGCCTGTGAACACACGCCACAGGTAGTCAGCGTAACACGCTATGGAACCATCAAATAACCTATAGGGCCTCTTGTGTTCTTCCAATGCCGAATCCCAATCAAAGCCCGTATCGAGAATATTGAACGGGACTGGTGGCACATCGTACGCAGAGACCGCAGAACGCCAACATGAATATCCCACAGCCTCGCCATATCCGTTGATGAAAATCTGCGGACATTGTGCCTTCCTGTCTAGTCCATGTACTGCGGTCAGACAGGCTATACCACGCATTACGTTGGTGCGTAAGTCCGAGAGCGAGAACTCATGTTTCGCGCGTACTTGGCTTCTCCCTTTTTGGTCTGCTTTCCATATTGCAAGCTCAATGGTTACTTGCTGGTGATCCTGTGTACGATTACGCGCCATGAATGCGGGAAGATGGGCCGTAACGAGTATCAATTCTCGGATATCCAGTCTCAGCTTTTTCAACTCCCATTTCGGATTGGCATTGGCCTCCAGCGATTTTACCGATGACCATAGACCTGGGACCTGGACGTTCAAGTGGATTATGATATCCGGCGTACTCTTCATTGAAGCGGTTATTCGTCCGCGATAGGGTAACATTTGACTAGCTCCAGCAGAAAACCAACGACGAAGACCGGCGAAGTTGGTGGAAGACGGTTTGTCACAGTCTACAGATGTACTGAGAACGAGAGGGCTATCCCACCAGAAGCACCCTATGTCATAACTCTCGTATAGTTCTTTGTTCACAAACCGCAAACCTGGCGCAACAAGAGCAATGGGGCCTGTTGTATCCACATCCACGTGGGTGATGCCCTGAGGGTAGAGGACGCGCCCAAAAATATCGTTACGTAGATGGCCCGGCAAAGTGAGCAAGGTCGGATGATGCCTCTTGATCCGAATTGCTGAACCCGACTCTATTGAGAAGTACTGACGGTTATCCAGGCAAGCGTGATAGCGGGAGGGTCTGAAATCCCACCCTTTATCGTCGCACTCATGTTTGGTGCTCGACACGTAGAGGACAACACCTTCATTACCTTGAGGATTGACATATATATGTCTTATGAGTCGCGCGTATCTTCGAATGTGGAGGCTATCTTCCTGAATGATTGCTTCAAGGAGCCTTTCGAGTGCCGCAAAATCGTAGTGTCGACGATCATAAGTAAGGTGATGGTAACCAGTATTTCTACCCGCTAGAAGCGGCGGTTGATATTGTAACGAAATCTTGGCTGAAATCTGAGAGCTCCACATGGCTCCCACAACAGCCCACAGATCAACAGTCAGCGTCTCCAAGTCCAAGTTGTGTGCAATTGTGTCTTCCTGGTCACAACTTTCAGGACAGAGCGTTTCGACACCGATCCCGATCTTTCGAAGCATGTGCCTTTGAGACCCCATTTGCAGAAGCCAAGAATGAAGAGCCGCGAAGGAAAAGCCTCTCCAATCGTGGAAGTGTGTTTCTCGGATGATGGAAAAAGTGTTGTTCACGAAGAACACAGAAGCAACCTCGTGGTAAATTTGGCGGCAGCTCAGGAAGAGATCAATACAGGGATGGTTCGTGCTCAATAGACATGTAGGATCTAACCTTCCAGTCCCTGTGTAGCAATCAGTAGTACAGTGAGCTGAGTGAGGTTAGACAACGACGAAGCGCGGGGAGAAAACTGGCTGACTCTGAGATTCCGAGGCTGTCAAAGCATGATTCCCATCTCCAGGACGACGATATAGGGCCGGACGTTCAACTCCTGCGATCAACAGCGGATCAGGAATTTCGACAACCAGAGCATAGATCGAGTTCCTCAGCTCGCCGGGAAGATCTAGGAAAGAGATGCGCTTCGGCCGCGCAGATTTCGAAGCACCCTTCGGTATGGGAGACACCATAGGCATCACACGCATGGGCAAAACATCTGCCATGGTGAATGTGGTTGTGGTTGTTGCCTGATGGAGGAGGTTGCTGAACACGGAAATAGAGGGGCTAGTGACAGACTAAGCCAGATCTGGAGATGGTCTTTATGACTCCCCATACTACAGTTGGCCTCACATAATGACAGGTACACCTGTTGATTACAACTTTGCGTGAGGATATTATGTGATGACATGAGTGATGGGTTTCAAAGACAGGTACTGCTTCTTTGCATTGCGTTAATCAGCTTCTATAGTAAGTGCGAATCAACAACTGACACAACAATGACGATAGATGCGGGTTCAAGTGCATTACCCTCCCTTGAACCTTGCAGGAATAAACTGTAATCGTCAAGGTATCGTACTTATTCTAGTCTCAGCCCAGAAAGTGCAGAAACGACTACTTGCGAAGATAGTTGGTTTCTCCTCCAGTTCAACATGTCATTCCAAGTTAATTCCGTAGTGAATGAGGCCAATCGCTACGAAATGCTCTAGCGGACAACACAGCCCCCAAGCCATCGATGATAACGTCCGAGGTGCCCGTAATCCTAGGATCAATCCACCCATCAATATCGACAGACAAGAAGCGCCCAACAGCACGCAACAGCGCACCGAATTCAAAAGACGCCTGGTTTACCAGCACCTTACTACCATCTGATCCTGTCTTCCAGGAGGCGACATGGATCTCAGCGTGCCCCGTACTGGTTCCACTCCCCAGATACGTCGCATGGCGCATCAGAGGCGTGACGTCGATTCGAAGTTGAGTCAACGCGCAGGATGTATCGTCGGGGGATGTGTAGACGAAGCGAATTTCCCGCACGTTCCGGCCTTTCATTTCCGCCATTTCTATGGGCGTCGTCGCGGAGTACCTGTTGCTCGATATCCATCGCTCGAGCCTGTTGGCAAGCGTTTTCGGATCATCCATCGACACGCTGTGGATGAGGATGAATTCATTAGCAGTGTAGTAGAATCTGTTGCTCCAGGCGTAGACGAAGCGGCTTATGTATAGCAGTCCTGGAACTACTTCTTTCTCGGTGTCCAAGTTGACCATCACCTCTTCGCGCGATTGCAGGACGAGGTGAACTATGCGCTTTTCCAGGTATTTTGGGAAACCGAGCAAGTGAGGCGTTGTCTGTGTGGTGATGAGCTTATCATCATTTGCGGCGAATATCAGAGGAGATCCGAGGCAAGGATGGTAGTGCCAAAGGTCAGCGCCCTTGATGCGGGGCCTGAAGTAACTTTGAGGGAGGCAGAAAGGTCGATGAGTCGATCTGAAAATCACAACGCCGCGCTGTCCGTCTCTGGCTACGGCGATGTGACAAATCAGGGGCATGGCCTTTTTGATATCGAGATCATCCCTTCTAAGGAAGCGCACCGTTTGTGTCAGAGCGCCGAAACCTGATTCATCATATGTCGGTTCATACACTCTGTGATTGACACTGCCGTCCGGGCACGTAGGCCTGTTGCATGAGGCAAAAGTAATATTCCCATGCCAGTTCCGACTCCAAATCACTCGCAGGAGAGGGAAGATTTCGATACAGGCAGATCCTATCCGTGGATCAGAGTAGACGCAATCCATAATGGCGTCATCCGCGCTATGGCAGCGTTCAGGACAAAGTGAACCCATATCGACCACGACTTTCTTCACCTGTGCGAGCTGAGAGCCAAGGTTGGTCAACCAAGCTGCTCCTTTGTCGAGAAACGTGGCCCTGGCGTCATGATCTATTTCGTCTTCATCACGAAACGTGCTAAACGTGAAGACATTGTTACCAAAGAAGACAGAGCACGACTCATGAAAAACTTGTCGACATGTGAGGAAAAGACCAAGACCAGGATGCGCCACGCGCGCGAGCTCGTAGCTCGTAAGCCCCCAATTACTGAAGTTCTCATTCAAGAATTTCTTGTGTTGTGTATGTCCACGATCTGCACTTGATTTAACGTCGTATTCAAGCCGGGAAGCGTAGCAGAGATGAACAAAAACTCACCATGATAGCCTTGAACTGCGATTAAATCATCATTTGCATCTTCCACATGACGATACAATCTCCCATCAGCGATAATGAGTGGATGTGGGAAAGCCAACGCGAATGTGTAGATTGCGTTTCTCAGCTCGCCAGGCAGACGCAGGAACGACGATGAGAGAGGATCTGCCGGCCGCGATGAACCCTTCGCAACTAGTGACGGAGCGGGCGGAATGGCAGGCTGCAGATCGTAGGGGACTCTATTCCTCGAGAGCGATTGTATGCTCATCCTTGACTCTAGACACTGAAAGATGTGCAGTGCGGAGGTTGACGTCGAGTGGAGGAAGCTCTCCGCTAGCAGGCCCAACTAAAACAAAAGCAGTAACGCGCGCTTGCTCTCCTGCATCTCAGGTCCGTGCAGGCTTCAGCTCCCGACAATAGACATGCACAGTAGACGGACTAGCGGTCTGCACTAACTCCGAGAAACAATTGCGATTGAAATTTTATTGAACAGAACACCAGAAGAGCGATGGTTCGATCATTGAGATGTTTGATTAAACCATAATCGAGTCGTAAGACCGAAATGTATGCCCAAGGTAATTGGGGCATTACATAGGGTTCGAAACATCCAAGGCTGAGATGAGGCATTGGACAGTATCTTGCGGCTCGTCTTCTGTGTAGTAGGCAATCAACGACGATTTTAGCAGTTCCCTATCCTTGACACAGATAATCTATCATCTATCCAACCCTACTACACGCGCGTTAGATTTACTCACCACAAAACGAACACCACCACCAATCCTTACAAATCCCAAGACCGGCCCTAGAGAGAAGAACGACCAAACACGTACTTCCACCATCCCACCCAACCCCCCAGCCTTCACACATCACCCCCCTACCAAACCATCTCCCGCCTCCACCTCACTCCCTCCCCACAATTCCCACCCCCCAATCCCACCCTCCCCCATCGTTACAGTACCAGTGGGTCCCCATACGACCGCGCCATCCCATCTCCCGCGCACGTCGTACGACTAGCCCATCTGTGCAACGTCAACGTCACGGTCTGAAAGGATAGGGTGCGCGATCCACGGGGATGTTTAGGGGGTGGGGGGGAGCGGTGAGCAGTGCGAGAAGCGGTGGGCGTAGACGTGAAATGAGGTCAAGCGGAGAGTGAGTGCAAGAGTGGAATGCAGGGAATGTAAAGAAAAAGGAAGGCTAATTTTTCTGTTCAATCAAGGTAGCATTAAGATTCGATTTTCTGTTCTCGCTAGGTACGATACGGTACGGTATACAAGTATTCCTCCATACATGACATGACGTGACGTGTCTGTCATTACACCCCCTACCCCTGATTTCCATCCGCCCCTGGATATTTCCCAGCCTAGTAGCAGTATACATGCAAACCCGACGCCTAAAACAGCGCGTGTACAGAAGGAAAAGTGTAGTGTAAAAGAGTGGCCCTGACGTGTGTGTGTGTGTCTCTGCCCGCCTGGTAGTAGCAGGAGAGACGATATAAAGAATACAAAAACAATAAACAGACAAAGAAAGAGAAAAAGCCGCCCATGGAATGCAGAAGCGCTCCAACTAGAGCGGTAAGAATAGCGTGTGATGAGACGTAAACCGAAAAGGTGCCATTGAAGGCCAGAGTGTAAACAGGTTGCCGGAACCGTTGTGAGTTTGTGGAGGAAAAGGAGGCGACGCCGACCGACGCCAACCATGAGTGATGTTGTTTGCGACGCCAGACCATGCAGATGGAAATGCAGCTCGCGCGCCAGACAGCGATGCAATGCAATGCGACAGCCCAAGGGTAAGATGTTGAACCCCACGGTTTGCGCTGCCATGGTTGAAAGCAAAGAGAAAAGCTAGGACGCGACTCAGAAGCTGCTACTGAGACTGCCTAAACTCGCCCTGTGAAGCGGTACATGCTGGTCATCGAAAGGCGTGGGGTGCACACTGTTGGTGGTGGACGAACGTTGCGACTGGTGGGCGAGCGGCATGTACTTCCTACCATTGACACACTGGCTGGATGTTGTTGTCTCGCCGCTGAACGAGTTCCGCTTGGGTGTATTGTCAGGGTCGAAGCTGTATAGATTCGTCTGGGAGCTCTGACGCACCATCTTCGAAGACGAGGTCGGCAACCGACACTCACGGAAGTTGGAGTATGTGGTTGGTGGTGCGGAGGCGTTGATCGAGTCGAGGAGGGAAGAGGTGCTGAAGTTGAGCTGAACGTGAGAGGAAGTAGGATTGTCAGTTCCACCAGTGGTTGTGGAGGGGAAGTCCAAGGTGCTGTCCGTGGCACTTTCCATCGGGACTGGAGCAGGAATCTGGGCGGCGACATCTGCTGATGTGCTTCCAGATGAGATGTTGGCGTTGATTTGATTGTCGCCGTCCATGTTCCAAGGTAGTGCTGGCTTCGCGAACGAACCAGACGTAGAGGGTGGTGCGGCCATGGCTTGTACAGAGCGAAGGCGCTGGTCCTGCATCATATCAACGGCATCTCGTCTGGTTTGAGCGGGGCTGGGTTGTGGCATGGGCAGTTGTCTCCGTGGCGCAGTGGCGTCTGGCAGCTGTCGTGGGTGTGGCCTCTCTGGTAGCGTGAGATGTAGGGAAGACATATTCAAGGGTGACAGGGCCTCGGTTGTCGGGGTAGGCCTCAAGTTAGTATGGATGTGGGGTAAACCATGCGCCGAATACGATGGGTCTCGATCAAAGTAAGCGTTTGTGCTGGGTTGGAACGACCTTGCAGTGGGGTGAGACCACCGATCCGATGTGCCGTACAGATTTGTGTTTGTCAAAGACGTCGCATTCGGCAGGTATGTCGACGATTGATCCAGATCGTATACGTCAACTGGCGAGGTCTCTTCGGCAAACGGAATAGTCCAAGAAGAAGGGTACATGAGCCTAGTGTCCACATGAGGGTACTGAGGTGTTGACATGCCCCGAGAATAGATCATACTACCAGAGGCAGAGTAGGTTGGCATCGTGGCATGGGAGTTGGCCAAGCCAGTGAGACTGTGCGCAATGTTGAGGTTGTCCATGACCTTGTGGACTTGGTCTGATCCAACCTTTCGTCATTAGTATTGAAATTGTCGATAGAAGAGCCGACTCACTCGATGAAATTGACAGTGTGTTGGATCAATCCCAGCCTGGTTGCAGTTCGTACATCCCAATCCAGTCCCCGGATCACCGCTGCAGCGGATCTTCCGCTTACGGCAACGGGCGCACTAATTTCGTGTCAGCGATACGTAGTGAAAGTGAGCCAGCTCATATCGAAGATCACGGTGCGGATAGCGTACATCTGGACGAGTAGAACGAAACACTGGGACGATAAGAATGAACATGAGAACATCAACTTACGGCCACTGCAATGCGACGCCTGGACTGACCGCTTTCCGAAGGAGCATTTTCCTGTGCTGTGCTGGATCGACCTCGTGTACTGTTCATTGAACGACCAACCGGGCATCCACGAGGATCGGATCGTGAGGCATAAGAGACTGCGAGAGGCGCATTGCGATTATTGTAATAGTAGTTGTCATATTGCAGAGCGTGGCTTAGACTACGACGGCTCGTGTCGTACTCCATAACCGACATATCTGTGACAGATCTTAGATGTCATGGAGTGAATCGAGGGTTAGACGGGGGCCAGGATGCTTACCGCTACAAATGACTGTCTTCGAATGCTGAGTGGTCCAGGGCTTGGCCACAGATACGTTCAGGTAGTATTTGAGTGGTCGGGAAAGTCCTGACGTTCGCGGCTGACTGTCGACGCCGTGAGAAAGTTGTTGGACGATGAGATTGGAATTGGTGAGCGATTAGACCGGTGAAGCAGCCGTCGGAAGTGATACAATTTATATCTCAAAAGAGAAGAAAGCGCGTCTACTCGTGATCTTGCGTGAGCCCAAGGAGGATTGTTTGTTATGAGGGGCTGCTAGTAGAGTTTACGTGGCTGCAATAAGACCAGTGGGAGAAAGCCTTATGAGAAGTTTCTCGATTGATTCGTAAGGCGGTGATGTGTTTGCACCAGATACTTGTTGTGAGAGCGGTCTATGTAGTCACCCGTGGGATGCTGCATAAGTGACCGGGGCGCTGAGCACAAGCCTCAAAGCACTGTAGGCCAAACGAGGTTGACGATGAAAGTAAGTGAAACATCGTACGGATACGTCGTGTTCTGTTTCCACTCGATAAGCGCCACATCCGTCTATGTCTGGAGGTTGAAAGGTGATCACAATCCTAGATGTGTGCATGAGAAGCCAGTGTCGAGCAGCCTCGGTCAACACACAAATCGATACCAAGCAAACATTGAATCGGTCTCTCCGATAAGTTGAGCAGGCTGTAGCCTAAAGAAATCTCTGTCGCTTCTAGTCGTTGAGTGTTTGTGGGCTGCAAGGTGCCTCCGGGGAGCCGGAAGGCATGGCACGCGTTGGGATCTTTGGCTTGAACAAAGGGGACCTTCTTCAGTTTCTGACTTGGAAGTAGTAACACCAATGCGATAAGCCGAGCTGAACATGTCAGACGTCTCAGAGACTGCGAATACATGGTCAAAGTTGGATGCAGGGAGGATGAAGAATTATCATCCCTATCGCGACATGGAACGGTAGTGTAGAGGCGTAGCTGAAACCTGGCAAGCCATAGCTCGCTAATATGCACACAATACCTGGGTGTGTTTGATCAAACGTTGCAACTCAGCCTGCCCTACTGAATTGATGTAATGTGCCTGCAAGCCGTTGACCTGCAGCGAGTTTGAGAAGTTGGCTGCTGATTGGATGCTCAGCACGCCGATTCTGTACCCTGGTAGGTATGATTTTGAGGCAAGTCTCAAGAAAGTAGAGAGCCTAGACTCAGACCAGTGTGACTATACAGCCCTGCATGAGAATCTGATTATGCATAGATGCCGTTGGCGCACCCACGCTGAGGCGGATAGCAAGGTCTGGTGCCTGCGGGGAAGGATGGAGACGGCCTTCCGACGGGAGCCTCACTCAATGAGCAACGTCTTAAGTCCCTGGCCAGGGTGTCCTTGTAAGTAGGGGGATTTGGTCCTACCCAGAGGAGCTGGAGGATCTTGCGAGATGTCGAGCATGCGCATGGACGGTGGCAATCTGCTCATGGGTCCAAGCAAACGAAGCGACGTTGTACCACCTTCGACGACCGCAGTAACCAGATGTAGACGTGAATCGCCATTTTACGCGCTAGCTTTGGCGAGAAGGCTGCTTTCGTACGGACGTAGGCATGCATGCTAAGGCGTGTTTCCACATTGCAAGCCAAAAGCTTGTAGTTGATACGAGTGCCAAGAAGGTAGCAAACGTCGGGTTCGAGGCGACTCAGCATGATGTAGAAACGTAGATACCAAGCACAGCAACGCTCATGCATCTCGCATTCCTCCACCGTAACTAGCAAAAGTTCCCGTGTCCAAGTAAGGTCCCGCGGATCTGGATGACAGCACGGTTAGGTACAAGGCTCGTGGGCCAAGGGCAGCTCTGAGCGTTATGATAGATGTACGACGAACATCTGGTCCAAGCAAGATGGCAGGTACAATGCTCCGCAGTTGTAGAGTTACAGCAATGGCGTACCTGTGGTCATGAACCATGCTGTGTGCCTCTTGTGGTGTGCAGACCCTCAAGCACTCCAACAGGAGCAATGCTCCAGGTCACCGGCAACACTCCACGGCGATTGCTACAAACATGGCAGTCAGTCACTTGGAGTACAAGAAAGGCACCAAGGCGCGGATTCGCGGAAGAGGCGACGATTGGCCATGGACGTGAGTAGTTTGTATGCGAGATTTCGCTCTACGTGGATAAACAAACATCTGATGGCGATGAAGCACCGCCGGGGATTTCCTCTACCGAGAACCCAGTTGAGGTGCGCAGGGGAGATTTGGATCGAGATGGAGGTCGTCAGATGCGATGCGATGGCTTGCCGAGGAGTGGGCAGGGATGAGCGTGCACAGCAATATGACGACGGGTATTCGACTCAGCGGCCTGCAGGTCGACAGGCAGTCTAGCCCTCTCCGGCCATTGCTCGTCACCTGCAGATGGATACGGTCTGGCAGCTCGGACGCGTCTCATTCGATTCGGATGCTACGAGTGCGAATCGTGGGGCATCTGCTACAAAGCAGAGTGGAGACGGACACAAAAGGATGCGGGAGAACGTTGCTCAGGCATATTGACAGAGCGACTTGCGAGACGGCCGTGTGGGGAAGCGTTGCATCATGCTGCTCCCGCGAATGGCGATGGTGCTAGGGAAGTGACAGCTCACGACGCGTCATGACTAAGCACAATTCACCAGCAGCCCAGCGTTTGCGACCAGCACCCGCACCCGCGCAACACTCGCGCAAACCATGTCTGTGCTGCTGGAAACGTCTCTCGGCGACATCACCATCGACCTGCTCGTCGACGACGCGCCAAGATGCTGTGAGAAGTAAGTCAGTCCCCGGCGCCGACACTCTCCCTCCCGCTGTCGCAAACGCACGCTGAGCACACCCACACACAGCCACTGACAGTCTGTCGCCTCCAGCTTCCTCAAGCTCTGCAAGGCAAAGTACTACAACTTTGCCCCCGTGCACAGCGTCCAGCCAAACTTCTCCTTCCAGACGGGCGACCCCATTGGGCCAAGCGGCCGGGACAGTGATGGAGGCCGCTCGATATGGGGCCTGCTGGACCCCTCGCAGCCCGCGAAGAAGACGTTCGCGCCAGAGTTCAAGCCCCGCCTGAGGCACGAGAACATGGGCACTGTCAGCATGGCCACGGCGCCCAACCCAGACAACCCCGACGAGCGCTTCGCCGGCAGCCAGTTCATCGTCACCCTCGGCCCCAACATCGACTTCCTCGACGGCAAGGCGGCCGTGTTTGGCACCGTCGTCGAGGGCTTTGACGCGCTCGAGAAGATCAACGGCGCCTACATCGACGACAACGGCCAGCCGCTCAAGGACATCCGCCTGCTGCATACCGTTGTCCTGGACGACCCCTTCGACGACCCCCCTGGCTTCGTCGAGCCCCCTGAAAGTCCACTCCCCTCCGCAGCTCAGCTGGCCACCGTCCGCGTCGCTTATGACGAAGACTTGGAAGAGGAAAACGACCCCGAGGCGCTGGAAAAAGTACGTCGGGAGCGAGAAGCGCGCGCCCAAGCCCTAACCCTCGAAATGGTCGGCGACCTCCCCTTCGCCGAAGTCGCCCCGCCCGAGAACGTGCTCTTCGTATGCAAGCTCAACCCCGTGACGCAAGACGAAGACCTAGAACTCATCTTCTCGCGCTTCGGCAAGATCCTCAACTGCGAAGTCATCCGCGACAAAACCACCGGCGACAGCCTGCAGTACGCCTTCATCGAGTTCTCAGACCAAAAGGAGTGCGAGCAAGCCTACTTCAAAATGGAAGGCGTCCTCATCGACGACCACCGCATCCACGTCGACTTCTCCCAGAGCGTCTCCAAAATCGCAGACGACTGGCGCGACGTGACGAACCTGAAGCGCCGCCGCGCCGCCGGAGGCTTCGGCGGCATCGATAACCTCGAGCGCAAGAAACAGTACCGCGACGGCGGCCGCCAGATCGTAGCAGACTCCGTCGTTAATCGCCTCGTCGTCGACGCCCAGCATCGGTCTTCCTCCCACACGGAATCGTCGCGCAAACCGAACGATAGGGTTAGGACTGGTACACCCGACCGCTCCAGAGATGATAGTAATAGGCGCCGCGAACGAAGGACTACCTACCATGACGATCGCTTCAAGCGGGATCGCAGTCGTAGTCCCAGGCGTGAGAGACGTGACCACGCGGATGGACGGTATCAGGATCGCAGGCGTGAGCGCACGAGGAGTCCCGACAGGCAGAGAGAGCGGTCGAGGAGGGATGAGCGGGAGCGGGAGCGCAGGCGTTGAAGTCATGTGATTTGACCTGTGACGTGCTGGGTAGCCGTCAGGGGTGGCTCTTGGTGTTGAGTATGTATCGCCTAGTAGGGTTGAGTCTGGCGCCGTAATTGTATATATAGTCGTTGGCTTCGTATAAGCCTAGGAGTGAGAGTGAGATTGAGATTGAGAAGAAAAATGATAGATACCACAGACATATGCCATTCTTCCTCCCACATACACGACCCTCACAGTGCTAGACTCTTCAAACACGTATCAATTTGATCTACCAGGGTAAAGGGAGAATATACAAACCCCCCCAGCCCCCCTCTCGCAATGCGATTTTTCAAACATATCAAGATCCCAAATGGGCAAATCAGATTGACAAAAAAGCACACACACAAAACGCCCATTATCGTTGTCCCAGATATATCGTCGCAAAAAAACGCCATGGCCATGCACCGTACGCTTCCCTTTCCACTAGACACTCCCTCCATTCGCGAACGCATCACCGAGCATGAATGCGCTTCTCCTGTCCGCATTACTCACTACCCGCGACGCCCTGCACGCGTCGTCAATCCCCAGTGCACGTGTGCCAATCCACCTCGAGGGTCAGATTCTAGTCGCGCACGCTAAGCCCCGAGCGGGTAGTGAACATGCGGGTAGCGATATTCATAGCGAGGAGTTCCTGGAAGAGGAGTTTCGCAGCATAGGGGATATGAATCTGGGAGATGCGAGTTTTGTTATGGCAGGGGCGGCATTCGTAGGTGCCCTTTTTCAGCATACTGTGTGTCAAACGTTAGCAAATGCGTCATAAAATATCATTTCACGATATGAAAAAGGGGGAACATACGCAATAGGGCTCATCAAGCCGCAGATATCGCAGACATGGACCGTATAAGCGTCCGAAACGGAGAACAAGCGTTCCTTGAGAAACGCGGCGGCACCGTGCGCAATCATGCAATCACGCTCCATTTCTCCGAAGCGCAGACCGCCGTCTCGAGCACGACCTTCGACGGGCTGGCGGGTGAGGATTTGCAAGGGGCCACGCGCACGGGCGTGGATCTTGTCGTCGACCATGTGGCGGAGACGCTGGTAGTATGTCGGGCCTAGGAAGATCTGCGTGCGCATCTTCTTTCCCGTGTGGCCGTTGTACATGATTTCCATGCCGCGCTTCTGGAAGCCGGAGTTCTCGAGGAGCTCGGAGATTTGGTCAACGGTTACGTCGGTGAAGGGCGTAGCGTCGCCTTCTTGCCCTGTGATGGCGCCGACCTTGGAGAGCAGACACTCGACCAAATGGGCAATTGTCATACGCGAGGGAATGGCGTGGGGGTTGATGATGAGATCTGGGGTGAGACCGTCTCTTGTGAAGGGCATGTCTTCCTGTCGGTAGGTAATACCGATAGTACCTTTTTGACCGTGACGAGAAGCAAACTTGTCTCCGATTTGCGGGACCTTTGTGGTTCGTGTGCGGACCTTGACGAACCTCAAACCTTCTGTGTTGGTGGTGAAGAGCACTTGATCGACGATACCGTTCTCCGTGCTTCGGAGAGGTGTTGACACATCACGTTTCGAATGAAGAGTCGTCTTTTGTCCGAGCTCCGGCGCATCAGTTGCGATGGGCGCCGTCTTTCCAATGATGATGTCGTCACCGGAAACACGTACACCAGGCGCGACAACACCATCGTCATCAAGCTTGTCATAAGTACCGCCCTTCAGCCTCAATGTGTCAGCGCGGGTTGGCTTCTCGAACTGTTCCAGAACATTGACACCAATACGCTTCTCCTGTTCAGTGTAGGCACGGTAGAACAAACTTCTGAAGAGACCTCGATCGATACTGCTTTGGTTCATGATGACGGAATCTTCCTGGTTGTATCCAGAGTACGTGGCAATAGCGACGATGGCATTCTGACCAGCGGGCAGTTCACGGAACTTGAGGTATTCCATGGACCGGGTCGTCGCAAGGGGCTTCTGAGGATAATAGAGGACGTTCATCATGGTTTCCATGCGCAACGCGTAGTTTGTCAGAGCGACACCCATAGCCTGCTTACCCATGGCAGATTGGTATGTGTTACGAGGCGACTGGTTGTGATCGGGGAACGGAATGATACTAGCGCAAATACCGAGAATCATAGCTGGGTGAATCTCGCAATGCGTGTAGGCGTGAATGCGCGGATCTGGCTTTGGCTTGATGCGCTTGAGACGGTCCTTGCCGAGCGCAGCTCGCTCGTTCGCAGGCAGACCCTGCTTCATATCGCGCCACTCACCGAGATCTTCGGGTGACATGACGATCATGGCTGTCTCCTCCTCTTCAGCATCCAAGTACTCAATCACACCATCTTGGATCAGGCCCTTCCAGCCATAAGTTTGGGCTGCAATGTCCTCTTCACTCAGCCCAGCGGGGTTGAAGAACTCCTGCTCGTGCGTAAGTTTGTTGGAGTGATCCTTGTTGAAGACGAGGTGGTTGCGGGTTGGTTTCCGAACATCGTTCTCAACAACGAACAGGGGCCTCATGACACGTCCAGCATCAGTGAAGATCTTGAACTCTCTGTCACGAATATCTCGAATCAAACTCATTTCGTAGGAAAGCGTTCCGTTTCTGCGGAGCTCTTGCACAACCGAAACCAGCTGCTGGGCGTTCGAATGCACACCAACCCAGACACCGTTCACGAAGACCTTAGTGGCGTCTGGGTTTTGGTTCTGATCGTACTCCTCTAGCAGTTGCATGTTTCGTTGGGTCATGAAATCTGTAATAGGCCCGGCGTCACTTCCGACACTGACGTAGCACATCAAGGACAGGTTCTTGACCAGTCCACAAGCTTGCCCTTCAGGAGTCTCGGCAGGGCAGACCAACCCCCAATGAGAGTTGTGAAGCTGACGAGGCTTGGCAAGCTTGCCATCACGACCGACGGGAGTATTTGTTCGACGCAAATGAGACAAAGTCGAAGCGTATGTGTATCGGTTCAGCACCTGGGACACACCAGCCTTGGCCGAGGCGGCCTTCTTCTGATCACCCCAGTTTCCCGTCGCCAACGAGTATTTCAACCCGTTTGTGATGATACTGGCCTTGACAGCCATCTGGATGTTGAAGTCTTGGTTGTTCTCCACACACCTCTGGAGGTACTTGTAGATGTCTTTAGTCAGCTTCAAGAAGAGAATACGGAACAAGTTGGCAATCAACGGCCCAGCAAGATCCAGCCTCTTCTTGCCGAAGTGATCACGATCATCCTCGTCTCGGCGCCCTAGCACACACTGGAGCAGACGATGGATCATGTAGCCGAAGAAGTAGGCTTTACGTGTATCCTGGCCTTCTTTCTGGGAAATGTGGGGAAGGAACTCGCGCTGCATGATATCTCTTGCGAACTTTAGACGCCTGTCCTTTGTGCCTGTGTTCGCTCCTCGCTTGGCGATGAAATCCAGAGCATTCTCCCTGTCCTGCACAGCCGAACCCTCTTCGATACTGGGCTTCAGCAGCTCGAGCATCTGCGTATCCCTGCGGTCATAGACGACGTGGCTGAGAATCTCTTCGTCAGACACGACACCGAGGGCGCGGAAGACGATGGCCATGGGCACGTCGGCCTTGATATATGGTAGGGTGGCGTAGGCGAAGGGACCAGGCATACGCTTGCCACCACCACCGGCGGTCATCAGCGTGTTCTCAGCCCACTTAATGTTGAAAGACGAAATGAGACGTGTGCCCTTCTCGACAGCACTGCGAATCTCGGCGGTCCACGGAATGGGTCCCTGCTTCTTCCGGAAGACCTGCACAATGTTGGCAGCACTGCGCTCCTGTGCGATCAGGACCTTCTCACTGCCGTTGATGACGAAGTAGCCACCCTGATCGTAGGGACACTCATTCAGTCCGAAGAGAGCCTCGTCCGTCTGATTGCGCAGGTGGCACAGCTCGGACCGCAGCATGACTGGCAGCTTGCCAATGAAGACACGCCCGATCTCGCCTTCCAAGGGCGCATCCTCACGGTCCCAGCGAACCTGCGTGGGGCCACCCGCTGTGCCAATTGTGTTGCCCTCCATTTCCTCGTCCTCGCCCTCGGCCGGCTCCCTCGACTCACGTGCGACCATGACGCGATTCGAGATGTCAGCCAACATGGCGCCCGAGTAGGTAAGGTTGCGCAGTCGCGCCTCGTGGGGGTGGAGCTGGTTGGTGGAGCCATCGCCCTCGGTGTGTGTGGGGCGGGCGAGGTAGACGCGGCCAAATGTGATCTCGTAGCGGCGCTTGATGATGGGGTCCACGTCCTCGTCCGGGTTGTAGGGCGTGTTCTGCTCGAGAATGACGCTGCCGTTCTCCTTGACGATGTCCTGTATTGTGTTGCGCGTGAACTCGTCGTAGGAGTCGAGCTGCTGAGAGACCAAGCCCTTTGTGTCGAAGAAAGAGCTGATGACGGCCCAGCAGTCCTCCGACGTGATCGCGTTGTCGCCCTCCTCTTCCTCCTCGTACTCGTCCTCGCCCTCCATGTAGTCGTACGGTTCATCCATGGTGGCGGTGGGGTGGAGGTGAATTTGGCGGGTGGATGCGTGGGGGAGAGGGTGCGGTGGGAGTTGTTGGGGGCAAGGGTCGAGGAGATGAAACTCCTTGTCGAGGAAGTCGCGACAGGCGGCGACCGCCTCGAAGAAAGCTGAGGACTAGCGCGACCGCTAGGCTAGGAAGGCTTGGCAACCACCTCTCTCAGCCATCGTGCATCCCAAACCACTCATGCTTAATCCCAGTTGTATATCATCAAACTCACTTCATTGACAAGTCCCAGTGCTGGCTCGACAATCTCTGTACTTGATCATGCCCGTCTTCAATATGTAGCAGTCTGTCGTCTAGCCTCTACGAACAACAGTATTACATGCATTAGCCAACCTTCTGCGTACTTGATATAGACTTTCAATCCACCAGCTTGTAAACTTTCATGAGAACTGTTGTACTACTCGGACCGATTGAAGATATGCTGCGAACAATTACCTAGCTTCCTAAATACACCACTCATCGGTCTGTAAAATGGACAATGTGACCGTAGTTACTCTTACTTGATGACTTCAATTCTGTCTTAACCATGGTACCGCTCAAGATTACTATGGTAGCATGATTTTTGTTCTGGGCAAGTCGCATGTGGCAAGGATGAACATTTGTAGTTTGACCAGTTCTTTCACGTGTCAATATATCCCAGCAACATAACACTCAGACCTCATCGCAGGCCTGCTACCGTTGCAGATTTGACTACAAAAAGGGTAATGCCAGTAGAGAAGTCAACCACATCCAATCCCAACCCCCCCTAGATCTTACTCTGCCCCTCCTGCGGCACCTTAACAACGACCTTCCCCCAGCTATCCCTCGCGCCCAACGCTTTGAGCGCATCAGGCACACTCTCCAACCCGACAAACTCCCTATCCGTAAAACTTGTGCCCTTGTACTTGCCCTCCTTGACAAGCTTGAAGATGCCATCCCAAACAACATCAATCATCTCGGGCTCATTCGTCGCATACGCGCCCCAATGCAACCCCACGACGGACACGTTCTTTAGCAAAATACGGTTCGTAGCCATCTTCTCGATATCCCCGGCTGCGAAGCCAATGACGAGGAGGCGCCCGTTCCAGGCTGTGCATTTCATGGATTGCGCGATCAGGCCGACGGGGTCGTAGACGATGTCCACACCGCGGTTCTTGGGGGTAAGCTTTTTCACTTGCTCTGGCCATGAGGCATCGCGGTAGTCGATGGCGTGGTCAGCGCCGAAGGACTTTGCGACGGAGAGCTTGTGTGCACTGCCGGCCGTTGCGATGACGATTGCGCCGAAGGCTTTGGCGATTTGCACGGCTGCGAGGCCGACGCCGCCCGCGGCTGCGTGGATGAGGACGTAGTCACCTGGGGAGGTAGTCAGTTGATGTGAAGTAAGGTATGAAATAGACAAGACTCACCCTCTTTAATCCCCGCCCTCGTCACTAACCCCGCGTAGCTCGTTGGCGCTGTAACAAATACGCCCGCCGCATCTGCAAAACTCCACCCCTCAGGGACAGGCTTCAGCACCCTTTCCAAGCAGCAGATGTGCGTGGCATAGCCACCCTGAGACGCGCCAAAGACCTTGTCGCCGACCTTGTATTTCCCGCCCGAGGGCGCTTGAAGCACGACACCAGAGAATTCAGACCCAGATATCCAAGGGAAGGCGGGCTGATGTTGGTACTTCCCGCGGATCTGCAGGAGGTCGAAGAAATTGGTTGCTGAGGCGTGGATGGCGATTAGGTATTCGCCGTCTTTTGGAGTGGGCGTGGGAAGGTCGATGACTTTGAGGTCGCCAGGGCCCTGTCGTGATATGGTCAGTTGGAGGGGAGACAGGTGTGGGAGATGGAAGTACCTCGACGTATTCTTTGAGCTGAATGCCTCTCATGTTGGGATATGGTGGGTGTTGGTGTGATTGAGGTGTTGTATATTGGCAATAGGAAGTTGAGTGAGATTAAGGTTGGTTCTATTAATCTCAATCGGGTTCAGAAGGAAGAATAGTTTCCTAGGCGGAGAATAGATCAAGATTCATTGTCGGTTGTCGCGATAGCTCTCCGCCAGGAATTGCCTCGGCTGCTGTGTATCACGACTAGCCACTAGCGCGTTACCCCATCTTTGGTAGCTTTTGAACTCTGGAGCGTTCACTTTATGCAAAACGGCCATTAGATCAGACCCTTGATTCTGTTCTTTATAATCTTTTTGTTCGTACCTTTGTTATCTCCACGAGTGAGCATCTCTTCCCAGATCGAGACCTTCAGGTTGACACAACGCAAATGACCTCACGGGGCTGTGGAATACTTGGCCACTACCAGACGCTTCGGTATAAATAAATGGGCTCGTTCTGCATAGTGAACATGTTTCTGAGGAGAAATTTCCTTGGATCCCACGGCTCTGTGGTTGATGTGAATGATACACATGTCAATATATTTGTAGACGACGATGAGTTCCGGAATACTAGAACGCACGGAATTAACGTCTACATACTACAAAACATGCGAAATTGTACTTCTAACATATCGTGATAACAATCAGTTAGTGATTCCGACTTAGCACTGCAATACAAGGCTGGTTCTTAGTAATGTTCAGCCACATGTGGAGCTGCGAGCTAAGAGGGAGTGACGTTGGTCTGTCCCGCGCGCCTTCTCCGACGTTCCAACACTATCCAAAGCCGCCGCCGCACAACACTCAGCAGACCGCTTCCTCTTCTCCTCTCCACGACAATCCTCTCACGCAACCTCTATTTTATTCACGTGCTCGTCTAACAGCTTTTACTCGAAGAAAAGCTACAAGGCCGACAATCGCTGCTCTGTACATCGTCCCGCACACGCCATGGCCGACGACGCCGCCACGTCCACGGAAGAGACGCAGATCACCTTCAATGTCAAGGCCGCAAACGACCAGAAGCATGTCCTGACACTGCCAAGCACCACGACGGTCGGCGACCTCAAAGCCAAGCTGTCCGCCCCCGAATACGCAGACATCCCCGCCGAGCGCCAGCGTCTGATATACTCTGGCCGCGTGCTCAAGGACCCAGACACGCTGGGCGGGGTCAAGATCAAGGACGGCCACACCATACACCTCGTCAAGGGCGCAGCAAGCAACGTGCGACAGAACCCTGCGAATCAGGGCACATCGAGCACTGCAGGCGCAACTGGTGGTTCGTCGGCATCTCAAGTACCGACCAACATCGCTGCAGGCACGGGGAATAACCCTCTCGCGGGCCTCACGGGTGCGCGGTATGCCGGCTTCCACGGCCTGCCTGGTATGGACACGTTCGGCCCAGATGGAGGAGTGAGTCGACTAAGCTACTGTATCATTAGGATCGCACTGACAACCTCTAGATGGGCCCGCCGCCAACCACAGAGTCTATGCTCGAGATGATGGACAACCCCATGTTCATGACGCAGCTGAACGAGGCTATGAACAACCCCGCAGTGGTCGACATGATGATGCAAAACCCCATGGTAGGCACAAAGATCTACTACCGAAGAAGGTTCTAACGTGTCATAGATTCGCAACAACCCAATGCTCCAGAATATGCTTAGGAACCCCGAGATGCGCCGAATGATGTTCAGTCCCGAGATGATGCGCATGCAACTGCAGATGCAGCAGAACATGGGAGGGAATCCTGGCGGATCGAGCTTCCCTGCTCCAGGCGCGACAGACAACACACCACAGGCGGGCTCAACGGCGACTGGCAACCAGGCAAACCCCGCAGCCTCAGCAGACCCATTTGCTATGTTTGGTGGAGGAGGTGCTGGGGCTGGGGCTGGGGCTGGTGCTAATCCCTTTGCTGGTCTCTTCGCAGGAGGTGCGAATCCACTCGCTCCCCAACAACAACAACAACAGAACCAAAACCCAGCCAACACCACAGGCACAGACTCGAACGCTTCGCAACAACCGCCACAAGACGCTGGAGCGGTACCTGCGAACCCCTTCGGAAACCTCTTTGGCGGGGCGCAAGGCCAGCAGGCAAACCCCTTCGCAGAAGCAGCACAGAACCTGATGCAGAACCCGGAGGCTATGCGCTCCATGATGCAAGCCATGGGCGGAGATGCAGGCGGCGCAGGCGCAGGCGCAGGCGCGAACCCCTTTGCTGCTTTTGGCCAGCCTCCTGCATCAGCTACAGGCGCGACAGGCGGTGCTGGAGGAGCGAACCCGTTTGCTGCGCTCTTCGGACCCGGCGGTGGTTTCGGCGCGGGAGGAGGATTTGGCGCACCTCCACCAGCAGACACCAGACCACCCGAAGAAGTCTACGAATCTCAGTTGAGACAGCTGAACGAAATGGGGTTCTACGAGTTCGATCGTAATGTGGCAGCGCTACGGAGGAGTGGTGGCAATGTGCAGGGTGCTATTGAACATCTCCTTGGGGGAACGTAGAGTGTACCTGATCGAGCGCAGGTGCAGCCAATCGCACCCAGACGACGCAAGGCGCAGGGAATAGGGTGTGAGGAGTATGCGGATCCCCAGTCTGACGACTATGGGGTTGATATTGGTAAAGAGCTTGATGAGATAATGGCTAGCTACGACTCCCCTGTCTTCGAGGGCAACAGCCTGCTCGAGGACTAAGGATAGTGTAGGGCATAGATGTAATATCCGATGCAGGTCTCGCATAGGGTCATAATACCTGTTGCTGAAGTATGAATACATCTTTTGGACAAGTTACTCGTGCTTGAACACGCTATGCTGCCTTCGATGTCGTCCTCAAGACACCCATGCAAGCGTATAACCGTCATTGCATCATGGACATGCTCGAAGAGATTGGCTACCTTGGTACCAAGCCCCTAGCGCTGTGATCGATACTTTCACAAAGAAGTTCCGCATTCGGTATACCAAGGCCTCATCTAAGGGTTCAACGTGGATATGACGATCTTCTTACAGTTCATCGTATCCATGCTCGTGGTTCGGCTGTTTCAGGCATTACTAAGCCTCGCTAGCGCTGCAGACCCTCAATTTGGCCCACGTGGCAATGTCAAACTACACACCGAGCCGCAAAATATTTTGTTGTTCGATGGGTTGACAACTGCCCTACATCAAGCTGTAGAACTGCCACTTTGGTTTGTCTTGTGCTGAGCGCGTATCTGGAGTCAAGAACTGGCAAATCACAAGAGCCAGCTGCCTTGATCACTCGTTTGCGATCCGCAGTCGCCCACGATGTGCGATAATAAGCGGTGAAAAATTGCCTCCCTTTTGGCACCTGAGTCCGAGCGTGAAGCTAGACTAACTATCGTCAAAGTAAAACATTTCCTTTTGCTCCTTATCTCTTATCGTCTTCTCCGTTTCCCCACGTCTGTTCACATCTCTCTCCGGTCTTCCCCGCAAAGCGTGTTGTTTCCTTCATCAGCAAAGTCGATGAGCGTCAGTCTTTCGGGCCCTCGTAGGCTCCCTTCAAGCAGTCTCCCACCCGCACGATCGCTACCTACCGCTACTGAGGAGCGAATCATATCCTCGCTCAGGGACCTTCAAGCACTGTACTGCCCCCTGCGTTTACCCGCTACTCTACCAAAAAAGGTCCGGAAAAAAGGTATCGACATCCCTGCTGCTGCAACACCTATCCCCGTCGACTCGGGCTACGCATCCCAGGACGAAGAGGAAGATGATGACGCCGCGCTTGAAGAGGTGACGGCAGGCATACGCGCCGACCCCTTTGAGCGAAGCTTTGTAACGCGATGGCTTACATGTTTGATTGGGAGAGTGGAGGAGATGGCTTTCGACGACGACGTCAAGGGAAAGATAGTAGACGACGCAGCCTTCATCCTCTCATCCTTCTCCGACTCCAGCACCACCGAGGAAGAACAGGCACTAACCCGTGACTTTACTTTCTCCCTCCCCGCACGTCACGGGGGTGAAGTAAAAGTCACGCTCAACGACGCCCCGCTCTCGACCACGGACCACACCGACGTCGGCCTGCAGAGTTGGGGCGCAAGCATCGTCCTCAGCAGCATGATGTGCGCCGACCCCTCTGCATTCGACCTCGCTCCCCTGGGAACCGGAGCAACCACAGTCCTTGAACTCGGCGCTGGAACTGGCCTTGTTAGCCTGACGCTCGCCAAACTGCTCCCGGCTATGGCCATCGATGCGCACATAACAGCAACGGACTACCACCCCACGGTTCTGCAAAACTGCGCCGTAAACATAGCGACAAACTTCCCCTCCCACGCCGCAGATGCACGCGACATGCCCGTCGCAACAGCACTCCTCGACTGGTCATCTCCCCCGCCGCACCTGCGCTCATCAGTCCACCTCCTCATCGCCTCGGACGTTGTGTACGCGCCCGAACACGCGTCCTGGCTGCGGGACTGCGCCGCGCACTTGCTAACCCCTGAGGGTGTCTTCTGGCTCATGGTTACTGTGAGGGAGAATGGGAAGTTCGAAGGTATCCCGGAGACAGTCGAGCATGCTTTTGTGGCGGACAAGTGTCCTCGGGATGTGGCGGGGCGGCGTTTCGGCATCTTGGGGAGGCAGAGCGTGGAGAAGCGGAGGGGGATTGGGAGGGGGGACGAGAGGGGGTATGTGTTGTATCGTATTGGGTGGGCGGGGGTGTGAAGTCGAGATGGGGATTTGGATTGCGGTTCAGCGTTGCGTTGTGAGTTTCTGTTGGGATGGATAGAGAAATAGATGATAGATGGCGGTTTTAGACGTAGATTCATAGATTCATGATAAAGATATGTCAAACTCGCACCATATCTATCCACCTCCATCAACGGCTCTCGGCCAACGACACACTGCTGATCGAATGCCTCCCCGCCGCTCCCTTACTACCCGCAAGCGCCAGTCCGGCACCGACCAGATTCCCCAACGCACCACCCCCCTCACCCGCCGACTTGATCGAGTCCTTCCTAGAATCCTTCCTCTTAACCTCCACAGCAACCCCCACTTTCTCATCAACCCTCCCCTTATACGCCCCATCCTCCGCCCGCCAATACCGCGCCCTCCCCAAGTTCCCCCTCCGCGCCATCTCCTCACCAGCCGCAAACGCCTTACTACTACTCTTCTTCTCCAGCCGGAGGGTGTGCTTTTCCCAGTCCTTGATGACCTGCAGCGACGCCACGACGAGGTCCGGATCGACGCTGCTAGACCGAATATACAGCGCCTCCTCGCCCGCGCCGTTCCAGAACGCATGGTCGGCGACAATCTGCCCATACAGCGGATCCGGCGAGTTCGACGTGGCGGCGAACAGTGCGTGGCGCAGCGTGTCCCAGCGCGCGCCGTTGAGCGCGCTGACGGCGTGCTGGCTAACCCACATATACGCGCGGCCGTCGGGGCCGAGGAAGCGCAGGGAGTCGTAGTTGAGGGCGTGGATATATGTGGTTAGGATAGTGCGGCTGCGTGAATGGGTCAGGGTTTCTGATTTGCGGATCCCTGTGTTGAGGTCGAGTTTTAGGTCGTATGTCCATGTTGGGAATTGGTCTTTTTTTGTGTCGCCGTCTGGGCGCGGGCTGGTCATTGTCCAGGAGTGGCGCGGGTCGCGGTAGCTGCCGCCTTTGAGCTTGAACTTGAAGTTGTAGGCTGGTGGGGTTTGGCTGGGTTGGGTGCTGGTTCGCCATTCGGCGGATTCGGGCGTGTCGAGCCAGTCGGATTTTGGGCTGGGGTTGATGTCGGCGTAGAGGGTTGTGAGGGCTGGCTCGAGGTACCACTGTGGTGGGTAGGGTACGTGGTGGTGGTGTTCGAGGTAGGCTGATGGTGCGGCTGGGTCTGATGGCGAGGGGAATTGTGGTGATTCTTGGACGGGAATTGGCATGCTATCCCATGAAGAAGAAGGGTATTTTACTGGTTCTTGCACTGGAATCGGCAGGTTGTCCCATGATGACGCACGGTAGGACACGGGGCGTCGTTTTATAACGGCCTGAGGTATCATGCGGGAGACTTGATATGGTTCTTCGACTACTTCGGGTAACGAGCTAGGGCTTCGCTGATCGAGGTGTGGACTAAGGGACTGTGGACTTCGTTGATCCGGTGGCGAACCAAACGACCCAGGACTATACGGTACAGACGGTGGTGAGGTTTGAGAATGAGGTCGCAGCAATTGGAAAGAGTGTTGTTGTGTCAAAGACGGCAGGCTGTGTTGGCTAGATGGCGGCGCAAAGCTGACAGGACGCCGTTGCAGGCTTACATTGCTAGTTGATCTCCTCCTCACCTCTTCGACTTCCAGTTGCTGAAGTTTGTGCGCGAGTAGCTCGTCTCCATTCATTTGTTGCTTGGATGTCGACGTTGGTGGAGCTGGAGGCCCTGGTGCCGGCAGCTCTGCTATGAACGGCGCAGGTGCTGTGCTTGCATAGTATGGCTGCACGTATGGTGCTGAAGCTGGCGTGAAACTTCCATAGTAGCCGTAGTTCTGCAGATGGTTCTGAAAATAATACTGTGGTTGACTGTTGTCTGGATACTGTGCTGGTGACTGTTGATAGTGCTGATTTGTCCAGCCTGGCGATGCATATGGCTTGTTGGGGTCTGGGGACGACATGATGAGTTTCTAACGGGCTGTAGCAGAGAAAGGAAATGAAAGAGTCGTCTGAATTAAAACAGGGCGTTGAAACTAAGTGTGCCTGGGAAATAGGCTGTCGCAGTTTGGCCCCAGCATTAGTGTGGGCGCTTTGCTGCCGCAGTCGCAGTCGCGTCGTGTCTCGGCTCCTGTGGCTCAGCTTGCGCAACGCAGAACGACCAAATGATGGAGGTGATTCGGCGAGAGAATCTCAGCAATCCAGAATGTTAAGATTTGGAGATCTACGCGTGGCTGAGGAGCAGGCGGTGGGGACAGCTACGGTCGGAGTAATGGTGAGGCTGGACGCCTAATCCAATTCTTGACGTCAATGGCTTATTTTGTCCACTCCAACGACGATGCGCCAGAAATTCGTAAATAGGGTATTGTCTATAGCCACCTAGGGACACGAAGCTGGCGCACAAGGCGATCAAGTAGAAAGCAGCGTGCGTGAATGCCGTCTCGATCCATGCCCATGGTCGAAGCCCGCGGTTGCGAGTTAAGCTAAGGCCACCACATTTCATGATCACACATTCCCTAACTGCACAACCACAAGCGACAGCTGAGTTACATCAATATTTTGGTCGTACAAAGTTGAAGCGACATCCACTGAAGCAGCCGTGCATCAGGTTGCGGAACAAACCTCCATCACGCCTTCTGTGTCTTGTGTGAAGGAGGGGTATGGTCGGACAGAACGCCGATGCCCCACTCATCAAAACACCTAATAAATGCTCTCGATCTACTGTATAGAGCAAAACTCATCTAACGGGTTGTCCTTGGAATCACAAAGTGTTCAAAAATCACAATGGCTACACCCTCGAAGTCCCTCAACGGAACGCTTGCCTCCCTCCCGCCCCTCCCCTCAACGTCGAATGAGCTTCGGTCTCAGACACGCAGCGAGATACAATCAAATCCTAACATACCGATTCTGGTGGCACTCGACGACGACCCTACTGGTACACAAACCTGCCACGACATCCCTGTGCTCACAACATGGAGTGTTGCCGTCTTGACCACTGAATTCCAAAACACAAGTCCAGGGAGCGGCTTCTTCATTCTCACGAACTCGCGCGCCCTACACCCCCCTGCTGCACGAGAGCTCACAATCGAGATCTGCCGAAACTTGAAGGACGCTGCAGCGCAGGCAGGAAAGTCATTTGAGGTGGTGCTACGTGGTGACTCTACTTTAAGAGGCCACTTCCCGTTGGAGCCCGAGGCTGTGGAAGAGGCGCTGGGAACAAGCGATGCGTGGATTCTCGCGCCATTCTTCTTGCAGGGCGGACGATATACCATTGATGATGTTCATTATGTGGCTGAGGGGGATACCTTGGTCCCTGCAGGCGAGACGCCATTCGCAAAGGACGCCACATTTGGTTTCAAGAGCAGCCATCTCGCAGACTGGGTCGTAGAGAAAAGCAAAGGAACAATCTCGCGCGGTCGCGTGCAGGGCATTAGTCTGGGCGATATTCGACATGGTGGCCCTGATAAGGTTGGCGAGTTGCTACTCAGTGCTGAGAAAGGGACTGTGTTCATCGTCAATGCAGCCGCAGAAGAAGACATGGATATAGTGGTTCTCGGCATCTTGAAAGCTTCTGCAGAAGGCAAGAAATTCCTCTTCCGCTCGGCCGCAGCGTTTGTCTCTGCGCGCCTAGGCATCTCGCCCATACAACCCATCTCCGCGAGGAAACTGCAGCTCGATCCTTCAGTTGGCGGTCTCGTCATTGCAGGGTCTTATGTGCCAAAAACAACAACCCAACTGAAGGCTTTGGTCGAGAGACGCGGCGAGAAACTAACCACCGTCGAACTGAATGTCACCAAGCTGCTAGAAAGCGAAGACACTCGAGAAGAAGAACTAAAACGCGCTCTCTCTACTGCCACAACGTCCCTCACACAACCAAAAGACGTTTTGATAATGACATCTCGCGAGCTCGTTGTCGGTGTGGACGAGCGCTCGTCATTAGATATTGGCTCTATCATTGCAGCGGCACTCGTTTCTTTTCTCACACGATTGGACATTGAACCACGATATGTAATCGCCAAAGGCGGCATTACTAGTAGTGATATGGCCACCAAGGCATTGAAGATGAAGCGCGCTACCATCGTGGGTCAAGCAGCCCCGGGTGTGCCGCTGTGGAGATGCGACGAAGCAAGTTGTAAATATCCTGGATTGCCTTACGTCGTGTTTCCAGGCAATGTTGGAGGAGAGTACACCCTCGCGGAGGTGGTAGAGAGATGGAGTATGCCGACGCCTATGAATCGATGCTAGATGTAGATCTACTGGAACGGGCCGTGGAGTAATGGTGACACCTCGCGTGTATGTACTTCCGGTGAACACTAGCTCTGCCCCGCTCCAACGTCATAAATCCACGATAACTCCTACACCCCAGCGACTATCCCACAGGTTTACTATTCACCTTTTTGTTCACTTGCTATAACCTTTGACAATAGATTGAAAGCGTGGCTCGTAGTGACGGTGGATGAGACGTTGGTATCCTGTACGCTATCTTAGAACGCTTTGCCGCGTTTATTGCCCCCTTCACGCGCCTTGAAATTCTATCTCCTTGACCCACATCAATATATCAGCCGGCAAACACCACACACTAGACGAGTATGGACTCTGCCGAAGGACAAAGTCTGGTTTGGCCGGCACCAGGCGATTCTCACGGCGATCGCGTAAATATCTCCATTAAACCACTATAACCCACGCTCACAGATAACAGCAAGCGGCGTACAATTGTAGTTGTGGTAACGACGATCGAGCAAATGCCTGTTGCTGTTCCGAGTGTCATGCCAATCTACGACAAGGAGACGCGCCATGTAGCTATCTAGGACGCTGTGTTGAGCCACTGGCATGGTTAATCGAGGATGCTCCAGTTCCACATCAAAACAACTGTCTGCTTTTTACCGCCCTTCCAAGGGAACTGCGCGAAATGATCTACGCCTATGCGCTCACAGGTGTAGGGCGCTTTCCGACGACCCGTCACAATAAATCAAGCGAGACATGGTCGAACCGGGACAGGAATAGTCCGATTCCAACTACAGATATCGCAGTCAATTTATTGCGTACGTGCCGGGCGATTTATTTAGAGACATATACACTTCCACTCAGTCTCAACCCTTTTGTTGACTCCACAGACCGGCCGCAATGGGAGATGGAGCAGAGGGTAAACAAGTTACTGCCATGGCAGTTTGCATGTATCCAGAGTCTGGATGTGCATGTTTCACAAGTCTTTCTCGAAGGCTCAGGACTCTGGGACCGTCTTCTTGCATGGGAACCGCAGCAACGTCGTTCAAGTGTTTGCATAGCGCCACATTCCTACAAGTTTGAAGGACAAACACGACATATAACCAAATTTCCACGGTCTTTCGGCTTTTCACTTCACCCTGCCCACAAGCATAGCGAACGGCAACGCTTTTCTGACGTATTTCAACGGACTGACACTCTGCTCGACTTACCTGGGCTTCCCTTATCTACGGCCATGCGTGTCAGGTTGGCGAGACCACTTGTTTGTCTTACCCTTCGTCTTTCGCGTACGGACTGGTGGACCTGGACCGATAATCCAAACTTGACTGGCGAGACCAATCAACTGGCTCTCGACCCTGCTATTGGTGACGGATCCCAATACGCGCCTAAACGTCCTACTACTATTCGTATGCAGCAACTCGCAGAAGAACGTCGTACTGGACTATTTCCAAGCGCAAAACATCAGAGCTCAGCCAATCGTAGTAAAAGTAGTAAATCTCAAGAACCAGGTTGGGCTGCTGAGATTGGACGATTTCCAGATTTGAAAAGATTGGAATTGGTACTGGAGACGTTCGTGGAAAAACAGCAGCAGTTGGAGAACGTGGTGGAATGTGCGAAAACATGGAAGTTCCCAATAGAGGGTTCGCGGTTCGAGCTGGCGTGGGACGGTCAGATTGAGGAAAGCAGATGGGGAAAGGCTAGCGTTGAATCAACAACCGGCAACGGGCCCCCATCCATGTTCACAAGAAGCATGGAACGTATTGGACTGCTTAGGAGGCGAAATGATAACCAACAAACGACTCCATGGTTTCTCAAGAGTGCCGAGTTCGAGGTTCGGACTGTTACCTTCTCGCGCAGACGGGCACAACGGAATAGCAACTCGGAAACATAGAGACAACGATAAACGAAATGATGATAGGTGCTCGCAAGGTCTATGTAGTTGACAGGTCTATCCCCCGATTGCGCATCCCATGATACGCCTTCCCAATCCAAAGCATCTGTTCGTGCTCTCTTAGATACCTCTCTCCTCCAAAGGACTTTTCCACAATACTTCGCGCCATCATGCCCAAATTCCTTCGCTGGTTGCTCTTCTCATACATCCTCTTTGTGATGATCTTAACGTCCTCGGGTGAAGGTCTATGCGGCAGCACTGGAACCGGCTGACCTATATTGTCTTCCGCGTACTGTGCCCAATGATCTATCATGGCAAGGAGGTTGATTTGCGCGCGAGCTAGGCCGTACGCATCATTTGGTGCGACGACTTCGCTGAAGCAGGCTCCGTTCTCCGGATCAGTGAGCACGCGCCGTGAAGCACCGACATCTGTACATACGATAGGCGCGCCAGTCAAAGCAGCTTCTCCCAATGCGAGTGGTAAGCCTTCAGATACGGATGAATTGAGGAAGACCCATGTATCTGCGAGGACTACAGCTGGATCTGCCGTGCCTCGCAGTGCCACATTCTGGCCGAGTCCCTTTGAGGCAAGAATCCCTTGGCATTCTGAAGCATAGACAGGTGACTTGTTTAGTGCACCGTAGATATCGAGCTGGTAGTCCTTGAAGCCCCATTCATTGGTGATGATGTCCGCTGCGAGTAGAGCGGTCTTGATATCTTTCGCGAACCAGATATGGGAGAGCATGGTCACCGTTGGTGTTTTAGTTTTGATCTCGGTGATTGGTGCAAACTTCTGCATGTCAGTGATGCCATTGACGACCGGGTCGATCTTTCGACGGAAGACATTGCGATGAGTGAGTTGGCCTCGGGCGCTACCGATTTCTGTCTCCCAGCCAGGGTTGAAAAAGTCTTCAACATATCATCAGCTGCTGTGGAACTTTCAGGTAGGGTAAATAAGCGTACCGGCACATGGAAGGATCTGATCTGCATGATGTAGAACGAGACACGAAGTCAACTTCATCAATCCCAACAAGGCGTTTCGAACAAATGGCGGCAGTGTACACATAGCTGAAGAAAGATACAGGTTCGTTTCCCGCCAGGAGATCGCATGGTCCCAGATCTGGAGGGTACAGTTGCGCTTTAACTTGCAAACGATGCCATATGCTGCACTCACACTGTGATGAGATGCCTGAAACACGTGAGGAATCTTTTTGGGTAGAGGTACGGAGAATATGTAAAGATCTGGGAGTTTCAGCTATCGGTGCCCAAATGTCACAGATGAACTTACATCTTAGCCACAGTTCCAGCGCTGTGTCGAGCTGTGTCAAAGTTGGTAGTTCAGTGCGAAACCATTCTGAAGGCGGCTGAGTGTTTGGTATGTCGTCCATCAACCAAAGCTCTCTCCATGCATCTTTGACGACATTGCTTGTCCATACTTCTCTCCAATGACGCGAACCCTCAAAAAACGCATTGAGGTTGACCAATGCTCGAGTAGCTTCGCTGGCGATCGCTGGTGTCATATTGATGGATCGGGCACCACATACGAGTGTGGCTAAGATAGGAATGAAGTTGTCCCTGACATCGATGACTGTGCTTTTTTCCATCAAGTGGTCGATCTCGTGGTCCGGCTTATTACCAAAGATACCGTGATTTGGATACATGAAGTCGATCCCCCACAGGGGAAGTACCTTCAGCGACTCAACGTTCTTCTCGGTCTGAAACTTGGGCAATCCAAAATCATTCGCAGACTCGACAACCATATGCCACTTGATGGTGCCCAAATTGTTGATCACGTCACGTCGACAAGCTGATACACCACCACCCTCGTTCGGCCAAGTACCAGTGTCTACCGCAAGGACATGGAGATCACGGTTAGTGTCGTCCTGGACAGTCTCCCTCTTTGTGTATCTCACGGAATCTCCGCCCTGGGTGAAACTAAAAAGATCGCTCGCACGGATGGCCAGCGGTGTCCATGCACTGATGATACTCGTCAGATCTGAACTTGCCATGATCGCATCGGCGTGTGATGTTAGGTATTCTTTTGCATTGGCAAGGCTTCCACGGTCACGACGACGCCAATATGGCCTTAATAACGTGTCCTTCCGTATAAGCTCCTCGTCAACCCATCTCGTGGTTACGCCATCGAGATCCTTTCGCTCCTTCCATGCTTGCCACAGTCGAGAGCGAACTCTTGAAACTGAAGCTTTCTGCTGCTTCACGTTTGTGTGAAGTAATCTGCCCAGAAAGCTCGATTTAGGTGACTGGAATCTCAGCAAAGGGTTCTCATCCGTAAAGTTGCAGTGTGTAGGCTTCCTGAGCACATCAAGCCAATCGTAACGGATCATGTCTGGAGTATCGACCAGTTCACTGTTCAGCTTTGTAGAGATGAGTGGGTGCAATTTATGATCATAGAGCCATGTGCATTCATACGTGTCGGCGCCTTGAACAAAGGTCGCGTTTTGCACAAAAGGTGTTGGGACCCATCGATCTGGCTTCTCGGCGTGACGTGGAGGAGGAGCGCACCATTCAACGTTGACTGACATGTGTGAGAGCACGATTTCTGCGCGCAGAAGTTCATCCTCGTGTCTGGCGTTTGTGCGGTAATGGTACTTGAAGCGAGTCAAGTTTCCCTCCTTGACATAGCTCCCAGACTCGATACGACCTTTATTGTTGTAGTGAACCGTCGCTCCCACGTCGCTCCCACGGAGGCAAAGCCTGCTTACTGGCATTCGACTGCCCATAGTATTCGAGCTTCCCATCACACCATGTACACGCTGGGGGATATACTCATAAGCAAAGGCGCTCGTGATCTGTCCATCCTGAAATTCTTGACACTGGGTCATGCGCATGTCCTCGTCATAGTTTGCGACTCTGATATGTTCCCGATCGGGCATGACTTGCAGCTCTCCTGTGAAATACACGAGGTCAAAGCTACTATTCCCTGTATACCGGACAAACGCTGTCTCCGTAGTTTCGTGTCGCCGAATGATCAAGCGGTTTTTCTTTTGGATAACCAGGCTACCATAAACAGTATTGGCGATATGACCAATAACTGCCCGGCGGTGGTATAGAAAGAATGGAATGGTAACGGACATAAGAGCTCTACTGTACATCCACAAACCCGTAAGGACGAAAGTCACTGACTTGACCAAGGCGCGGTTTGTGTCACCCAGAACACCTTTCAATTCGCGTTGATACTCTGCATCTGCCATATTTGCGAGAATGAAGAGCTTGATCCAAGTGCCGATTCGATGGTAGACGTAGGCAACTGGACTTCTGATGTATCGCTCAAGATTGTTTAGAACTGATACGACAGAGCCATACTGTACCGAGGAAGACTCTTGCACAGCAGAAATATTCTGTATGTTTCTCTTATCTCCACCAAGCCAGTTACCCCTACACCTGATACGATTGTAGTCACTGACAGCAAGATACGCACCGAGATCGTATCGGGCGACACGCGAAAGTGCCGTGCAAGAGTCTTCCGCCGAAACCTTTGCACTAATCCACGCCAGTTCCACTTCCGTACAAGGATCGGTGGCACCAAGGCACCTCTTGAGAATCAACTGACGTGCCACCAATGAAAGATGATTCCACTGAATATCGCAGTCATAGCCAAAACTGAGATTTCGCAGCAATTCTTTACGATATGCCAATTCCAAGGCAGAGCTGTCAGGACCAGATACACACGAAAGCATCGAATTTTGGCAGAGTTCTGAGGTAGCGAACGATTCGTTATCATCGCTTCGGTGAGTGAGAGTGAGCTCAGCGATCCTTGCCTGGTCATGGGGCATGCCAAGTACGCTTTCGAGATAGGCATGTACCATCGTTTCAGCGATATTCACACAGTTTATCTCGATCTTCATATGCCCCGACGCTGGAGAACATGCGTCCGAAGTGATGTAAATGACCAGAGGTCCTTCGGCAAAACGAGAGATTGCCCGAAGAGTAATACCAGTGACTTCTATTGATTGCATAGAAACAAGGAAAACTTGTATTGACCCGCTCTTCCATTCCTGTACGATTCTACTCACTAGAGACGGCATCGTAGGAAAAGCAGCAGCCACTAGTCCACATAATCTCTCATGGGTATTGGAGAGCAACAACGCTACTACCTGATCGCCGATATTGTTGGAAGGAAGGACGCAGAACATATCTTCTTCTGGAATAGCTCGCATTTTGTTGAAGAGCATCCAAAGATCACTTTGGCTGGATGTTTCGTCAAGCTTACTACCGTATATGTGGTATTTCTCTCTACCAGGCTGATATAATCCAAGCTGCGATGCGAGACCTCTGGTGCCATCCAAGTCGTTTGGTGCAGTGTGTATCATGAACCGCTTGAATCCCGCGAGCATCTCCGACATGCGCATCCGGACACTCAGAGCGACAGGCAGACGTAGTTGAGCGGGCTTTAACGACAAAAGAGCTGTTGTCCACGTTGAGATCGCAAGAGTGATGACTTCGTTGTACTCGAACTCCGGAGAGACCGTCACTAGGACACTACCTAACACATATCCAAGAATAACAGAGACTAGGAGTGGTAAAGGTACGTTTGGACCAGAGAAGATCGTGTTGTACTGGTAGAGCAGCAAGCCGCTGTATGCACCCACGTACGCCAAGAACATGATTGTTCCAGCCGATGATCCATTGAAAACCCAGTTCAGGGCTGTGAATAGGGCAAGTACCCACATGTGCACTCCAATGTAGCGACATAGCGTGGTGAAATAAAGACGGCGTTTGGCTTTTAGGTCGTCCGTCATTACCTTCCAAGCCTGAGATGTATTCTCGATCGTGGCCGGAGAAAGCTGGACCGATAATATGTGTAAGCGCTGTGCGTTGTGATCCAGAAGAATGGATCCCACGAGATAATAGGCCAGGCCAAACCCCAGAGGCAGGCGGACCTTGGTGTCTAAAGCGGTTGCCAGACCCACTAGTTGGCGGCCTTGTACCACGGTCAAACATCGGTCCATTAGAATGACAAGAAAGTACAAAACTGTACAGCCAATCTCGTCTCCAGCAATACGCCAATGAACAAATGAGTTGTGCATCCTTATGCCCTTTTGTGACTGATGCATATTTTCAAGAGCAACCTGGGTTGTGAGATTCCAAGTCGAACTGTAAGGAAGCTGTCTTTTGGTGTCTGTCTGGCGGCCATACCAGTCTAGAAGAAATATTGTTGCGTCCCAGCAATCTGCTAATTGCTTGACAAAGATATCCTTAGTAGGCTTCTGCCAGAACCGACGATTCTTCTCTTTCATCACAGCGTGATGCAACGCCTCTCGACAAAGAGTGAGCACGGCTGACTGACTTAGACTTTGAAAGACGCCCAACTCATCGGAGGATGACTTGGAAGACGTGGTAATAGTGCTACCTCCCAAAGTTGAGGTCTTGGTTTCTACGTCTTTACTTCCAGCTAGGGCAAAGTCAGCATGGTCCCTCGTAAGCTCATGAGATGACCCAAATACATTTGAGATAGGGAGAGATTCCTGCTTCTTGGCACTGTTCAAACCACTCCTTAACTTCCGCATCGCTGGGCGTCCTGATTGTATGTTGCCAGATAGCCCATTGGGCGAAGAGCCGCCGTATGCCGAAAATCAAACTAGTGACAATGAAAAACAGGGAACAAAGATAAATTACAACATCAAATCCAGATATCCAGATGGTAAGTATAGGAGAGATGACGTGAACCGGGAGGATCATCAGGATTACCTTTCTCCCAGCGAGAAAGTTCGATCCCGGAACTCGATAGGTGGTGAGAACAGCCAGGGTGGAGAAGTAGGCCGTAAGTCCAAACAAATAGAAGAAAAATACAGCGCCAGCTTCTGCGCTCTCCACGGTAGAGATTGCAACAAAACCTATAACAGCTCCGGCAAATGTGAATGCTAGACCACCAACAAGACGAGTGAGAACAAACATGTTGGCAGCAGAAAATGCCGATGAGACAAGGTAATAGGTTCCACCAATCGAGACCCAAGTCCCAATAGCTCCAGAAAGAAGTAAAGAGCACAAGAACGCTATGGAGCCATACTTTTGCTGTTGACGGGTCATGTATGCGCTGAGGAAAAGACCGTGCCCGGTAGTCGACATAAGAAGGATGTCTGCAATGGTTCATCAGTAACAATAGACCCAGACTTATACAGAGCTCTGCTTACCGATTAGGACCGGGATCGCAAAGATGCTTAAAAAGGTAAATCGACGATATCCGGGTACTGTACAAGATTTGTGATCTAGATCGATGTCGCTCTGGACAACCGTGTGAATGGGAGCATATATAGGCGCTTTGGGGACCTGCATTGGAGGTTGATGTTCCACTCGATTGTAGTGATCTCTATGCTTTTTAGATAGAATAATGCCCATTTCGCTAGGACTGATGTCAAAGTAAGCCTCACACTGAGATCCTAGAGCGAAGAGTTCCGCAAACGCCGCACTCTGATCCGAGTATTGGTTGAACAATTTGTTCCGGTCCGAGACCTCAATGTAAATTTCCTCAAAGGCTGCCTTCTTAGCTGCACAAAATATGCAGAATAATATGTAGTCCGCGGTCGAGCCGATCTTTGGCTTACTAGTAAGATCTTCGATCATGAACGTAATTTTGTCCAACTGATGACGGTCTCGTCGCATCAACAGCTGTCGAAAGGTAATATCGATGTGTCTGAATAACTCAATCGCCTTGTGTTGGCTAAAGGTCTCGAGTCGGTGGAGGGTGTACCACTCCAACCTGGATTTCACCAGAATTCCATCTGTGATTGTACCGCTGATGTAGTCCATATTGCTCTGGTTTTTCAATTGCTGGTATGTCGGCATGTCAATAAGAAGTCGCTGACATTCGACACGTATGGTTGAGATCAATGGACATCCTCCTCCACCCCAATGTGAGAACTTGAGGTGTTGAAGGTAAAGGAGAAGATCCGCGGGTGACAGAAGACGAAGATCATCAGCCATTCTTTGTGGTAAACATTTGGGCGAGCGTGGTTCGGATGGAAAACGATTCAAATTGTATTCCATGAGAAGACACTGATACCTCGAGCAACCCGATGCACTCAAATATGTATGGAGCAAGACCTCAGTAAGGTTAGTCACATTCTTGGAGACATAGATTGTTGTAAGATTTGTCTCCGGATCTACTTCCCAGACAGCCCAAAATCGAGCTTTTCTTGGTGTGTGAAATCCAGAGTCGAGTCCACGGTACACATGCAGCCAACATGTACCGTCGACCTCATCCGTGGCTTTGGCCAGCCCGTTTGCGAGATTGAAAATAGCATTCCGTGACGTCGGAGACACGTCCTGAGATTGGTTGCATCTCATACTGTAACTACTCAGGATCCCTGCGGCTGCACGCAATTCCTGAATGGGTAATCTATCAAGCAGTTGTAGATCCCGTAACTGGCGTTGTGATTGTAGAACATCGACAAAGTCTGCCTTGGAGACGGTCATTCCTATTGGAAAGCAGCCGAAAGGGCCGTACATAGTCCCGTCAAAAGAGTAGGAGGTTGGGTTTCCAGCGCAACTCTTGAGATAAAGACTCCAGTTTTGGCTGCGAGATGCGGTCGATACAGATTCTCGGGGTAGTGAGGTCGTGAGGTTGTTGTCCTGTGGTGCTTGCCAAGTGAACATAGACGCAATAGATACATCGTCGCCGTCGTCATCATCATGATATGAGGTTTGCAGGTCTTTGAGGGTCGTACTGAGAAGCGGAAACAAATCCTGTAGCGGAAGTAGATCTCTTAAGATGCCGGAAGTATCTCTCGCAGGCTACACATATGAGAAATCAGTGTGTGGTCTCGACGAGACCAAATACAATACCATACCTTGCTTGCTGTCCGAAACTTTTCATGTACATTCATAACTCGTCGATCTTTCAGCCACTGAAATGCAGCCAACGGCTCTTTGTAGCAAGAAATATGAGCAACGTTGGTCAAAGCTCGTTGACTCGTCAGATGAAATATTGCGCCGTGGTATCTGCACCACCTATGAGCCCACCTTATGGTAGCATGTGAGGGGTTGGCTTCATTGTCGACGGTTTCCCACATCAAAGTAGTGAGGGCCCGTTGGCGCGCCTGAGACAAGAAGGCCCTCAGCGTTGTCTCCATCTTGTCAACCTCAAAAAAGTCTCGCCGCTCCCCATCTTGCGCAATCAATCCGCCTCGAACAACCAATCCAGCAAAAGTCGAAGGATCAAGTCTTTCGGCACCCTCTAAGAAGTCTGGGGGACCAATTTCCACGTATACGTCTAACCCATGAGCCGAAAAAAGGTGTGCTAGTCCGTTCAGAAGAAGTGTCGAGATACACCCACGCCATTCAGAAACGAGTACACCCGTAAAAGACCTTCGTCGGTTCGATCGTCGTAGATTTTGCTGAATGACTCCATAGATGAATTCGACGATATCCAGTGGTTTATCTTCACTCACAACGCCTGAATGCAACAGATGCTGTAAATCTAATCGGGCGATGACTTGACGTCCTAAGGGAATGTTTTCATCGTTGACAGCTTCCAGAACCCCTGTCGCGCGATAGTCCAACACTATGACATCCCATTGTGAAAGTAATTTGGCCTCCTCTTCCGTAACTGGATTACTGAGATACCCCAGATACACACCAAATGATGTTGGTTGCGGGAAGAGTATATGATCTCGGCGGATAGTGTTTACGTTGTGCGACAGAAGACGGATGCGTTCCAGGATTGAGGGTGGAAGAACAAGCTCATCCTTACTGATCTGCGAGGGTTATCATGTGCTGCATGTGATAACGCAAGTCTTAGCCTCTTACACTTAGGTGCTTGGAAATCGAATGCCAAAGGAAATATACAAGCGCAATAATTCCAAGTAGCCCACTAGCTCCGAGAACAGCCGCAAGGGCGTCTTCCCACCACTCCCATAATCGTAAGTTGGTGCCAAATGCTTGAATGCCCAAAATATTTGACATAGTCTGACATGTTCACTGGATATCGCGGAGACAGGATCGATCGATTTTGAAACCTCGCTTGCGTTCACCGAGGTAGCCCCATGGGTATTGGCGGGAATCTGGGCCCACTGTTCGAATCGCCAAATCCCCCGAAATGGTCCACAAGGAGAGTCGGATTGGTGGAGCCAGCATGATACGTGAGAGATCTGATTCGCGAATTCGCCCCCAAAAAGTAGCCATAATCCCTAGTCCACTATCATCAGGTGATGTGGCTTGGAAGCGAAAATGATGCTCGTATGAACCCGACGACGAGAATATTGAACCACTTTTCAGGACAAGAAAGAGGTGTCTTAGAGTTCAGTTAGTTTCTGCGACGCATCATGGTACGATCGAGAAACATCGGTGTCGAAAATGTGTGCGACCGGGTCATAGTTTTCGTCTGAGGCGTATCCTAACTTGGTACCTCACTACTATACAATATTGTCATCCAGGTTGTATCCTTGTGCAGCCCCGATAATAAAAAGGATACTTTTGAGTGAATTTCAGTAAAGTCGATTGAATGTGACGATCATTCGACAGCGTCACTCTGGGCGAGTCAGAATAAGGGAGATGGAATCTTTCGCTGAAGCGCCACCGTTAGTCCTTATCCCTGACCCAGCATGCACGCATACTCTACGGTAATAAGAGACAGCTCAAGTTCTGGTACGATTTCGAAATACTATGTATCATGTATACGTGGCTAACGCCAGGTCCAAGATTGGCCGAACGACCAGGGATGTATAGATGGCGACAAAGCGAATCGTTGAACCTTCCTACACTTGACCGCTCCTTCTCAAGACGAAGCACATTCTCCGCGTTCCTTGTTGTCCACTCGACAGATCTTGGGAAATTGATGTTGCAGACCTAATCTGTCCAACCTCGAAGGAGGAGGGTGACGATACTAATCGCGCGCGGATCGGCGACAGCGAGCCGGGAAGGCGTAGAATTTGCGAGCCGGCAATTCTACTTTCTTGACGGCAACGCAAATGACTGAGAGCCTGGCTCCACCTCTCTAACCCCAAGATCCTCCAGGTTCCCCCTGACATGAATGTCGGAAGCGGAAGGTGTGAAGCTCGCGTCGCACACGATGCGACAAAGGAGATGCACACGAAAGCGAGAACAAGGGGTGTGCTCGAGTCCCTGTCCAACGGTGTAGGTTGATCATCGTGCGCTAAAATTCATGGCGCATCACGTGCGATCTTTTATGGACGTAGCTCGCCCCCGGAACTCAACGTCTTCATCGACATCGAAATCACGCGTCGCAAGGCTCAAGTGACTCAAGAAACACGTTCGAGGCACCAATATCTGCCAATTGATACTGGGTGCCCCCTGCTTCCGCGGCTATGCCTGCGCAAACGATGTCAGGCGTTCCTTATAGCTCGGCTGTCGTAGATCCCGCCTACTGGACCCACGACCAGTTATCGTCACTGGCTCCGCAAGTCTCGCCCGGAGGCTCATCAATCCACGACAGTGTTCATAGTAATACTCAATCTCCGCCAGCTCAAACGCCTCCGTCGGATAGCAGCAGAACGAACTCGACCAGCGGCCAGACGAGTAGCCAAAAAGAGCCACTAAGGGCATCTGTCGCTGTCGCATGCGTTCCCTGTCGCAGTAGACATCTAAAATGCGACGGTGGCGTACGTTGTTCAAGATGCAAGGCTGATGGAGTCGAGTGTACTTACATCAAATCTCGAAGAGGATGGAAAGGGAAAAGAAAGGGCAAACCTGACGAGGCCGGCGCGACTTTAGCCGTTCATGGTGCGTTGCATCCAAGAAGTATCTCAGGAACAAGGTCTAACGTTACTAGATGTACCGGTACAGGAAGTGCCTACCAGCAGCGGTCACTTATCGTCACCTGAAGTCTCCTACAGCAGCAGCCTCAGCAGCCCCATTAACGGACATCATCTTATCCACACTGTCACCCCTCCGGTCCAACTTAACCTCAACGGAATCGCAAGAGTGAACCGTTTTGGTCATGTTGGCCCTGAGACCGCCACCCAAGCGTTTTATCACTACTTCTACAACTCGCATCCATTTTGTCTGCCGGAGCCTAGATTGGCGGAGGTTTTCAAACGACGCCTGGCCCCTCTACTGGAATTAGCCATTCAGTTTCTCGGATCAAGTTACATACCAGCAGTGCCGACGGATATGTACAAGGAAGCCCTAGATCGCCAAATCAATAGCGGCAATTATCCAAGAGACGGTTATTCGGTGCAAGCGTTGCTACTTTTCTCCATTGGTCTTCATGCGCACAACGAGGTCCCACGAGCTGCTCAGATATTCGCCACTGCGCAAACACTCACGCTCGAACTCCGTCTCAATTGCATGGAGTATGCCATTATACACGGAGAGAATGACTCACAGATCCAAGAAAGCTGGCGGCGAACATGGTGGTCCATGTTCACTGTCAACGGGATGATGTGTGCGGTCAATCCAGGAGTGCAGTTTAGGCTGAAAGACGTCGCGACTGATGTTCCGCTACCATGCGAGAACCACCAGTATTTCTCAGGTGTAAGTGGACCTTTGACGTCTATCACTCGTTAGCAACACTCAATGCTAACGCTCCACGCCAGTACATCCCCTACCCCAACACTCTCGAAGATTACGACGACTCCGCCTTTCTCCCCACCATCCCTGTCTTCAGCTCTTTCGCCTATCTCATCGACGCAATCCGGATTCTAGGAAAAGTCTTCGAGTGCGCAGGCCTAGACTCACACTTTGAATACCATGCCGTCGATGTTGTAGACCAGTATCTCTGCAACTGGCGCTTACATCTCCCCACGTCAAAACTCGACATTGTCAACAACGACGGTGTCGTCGACGAAGTTCTCTTCCAAGCACACATGGTGAACTCGGGGAGTACCATCATGCTGCACCGTCCGCGATCGAATCTCGGCTTCGGAAGGGTGGAAGGCGTAAACATATGCGTCCAACCAGGCCAAGTGCTCCTGCCCACGCAAACGCGAGAAATCCACACGGCAAAATGCCTCACATCTGCCGAGAACATCGCCGCTTTAATCCGACTTCCGGGCGCCCTTCTCAACCACACGCCGTTCTTCACCTGCGTCGTCGTGATGGCTTCTGTAGTGCATCTATCCTATTGGTCTTTCCTCGTCCCGGACGGCCAGGACGATATTGTCAAACAGTCCATTCGTCTGGATGTCGGCACCCTGCAGCAATACTCCAACACGTGGCCAATTGCGAGTGTGGTCCTCGGCCAGGTGAGGGGCGTCGCACACACGCTATTCAACAGCAAGAAGGCGATGAGCATCCATCTTTGGAGCAATATCGCACAGGGCGACGTTATAAGAAACGTCATCGAAGAGGGTGTAAATGTGCCGCCCCAGCAGTATGCGCAGTTGATCGCTCCGTAAGTTTGTGTAATGTCCGTGTGTTTGGAGATAATATACTAACGAAGGACTTTTAGAATGTTAAAATCGTAGAGACGTCGAAGTATCTACGCTTGTCGATGCTGCAAACTTGGCTTGTCTTGTCGCCCTTTGAGCGAGTCATTGAGCACGACCTATTCTTTTCTTGGTTATTTGTTCGCGCCTACATTTGTAAAAGTATGTCTGCTCTCAGATACTTTACCACCCATCGTTTGAGGTCAGGCGTTCTGTCGTATTTAGCCAGCGAAGCGGTGTATAACGTCATGTTACTTTACGAATCTGGAAACCCATTTAACGAAGGATGTGGGTGTTGTCGAGATGTTGGACTAAGGTCGCCTGTATGTTCTTTGGTTACGGGATATACTTGATATCTCTTGTAGAATCTGAAAAGCCGTCTGTTTGCTACAGCTCTCTTGAAATATAACATGAAAAGCAATATCAAGAAATGAGGCATAGTGTTTGAAGCCAATAGTCGTCTATGTTATTCATTCATCGGAAACGCCAGCTAGTCCAGCGCTCCGCCCTCGGAAGAGATCCTCCGTTCGTCGTTCCGTCGTGCCCGTTTTCGTTGAAAGTGTCCGAAAGCTGTCCATCATGCTGTTCCAGACCGCTAATTTCTGTGAACCCTGTCGTGATACCCATTATGGCGCTCTAGCCATCCGCGAGCGGCTACATCTAGATGTCGGCGTCATCCTCGTCGGGCAGGGGCATATCAGCAGCGTCCTGCATCTCCTTCTGGTACTGCTCAAGGACAGCGCGGTCGACCTGGACCTCAGGAGGAGCCAGGGCAGGGGCGGCTACAAAGTCCTGAAAAAGATGTTAGCACAAGAACTCGTGTGGGAGATTTCAAGCGTCGTACCAAAGTCTGGTTACCGACAAGTTTTCTGGCGAGCCAGAGGAAAGGCTTCTCGAAGTTGTAGTTGGACTTGGCCGAGATATCGTAGTACTGGAGGTTCTTCTTGCGGTGGAAAGTGATGGACTTTGCCTTGACCTTGCGCTCCTTGACGTCGACCTTGTTTCCAGTGAGGACGATGGGGATGTTCTCGCAGACACGGACCAAGTCACCTGGGCTCGTTAGCAGATGCGATGCGCCGCGGAAGTGATGAAAACGTACGGTGCCAGTTGGGCACGTTCTTGTATGTGATGCGCGAGGTTACATCGAACATGATGATACCGCACTGGCCGTTGATGTAGTAACCATCGCGCAGCCCACCGAACTTCTCCTGACCTGCGGTGTCCCAGACATCGAACTGGATAGGGCCCAAGTTCTGTGTATATCATCAGTATGTCGCAGCGCGCAAAGGAGGGCATCGGGCAGCGTACGGTTGTGAAGCCAAGCGGGTGGACCTCTACTCCAAGTGTCGCAATGTACTTCTTCTCGAACTCTCCCGTCAAATGGCGCTTGACGAAGGTTGTCTGTAATGTGGCTTGTTAGCATCCGCTCTCTAATGTTGACGTAGGGTTGCCTTGTTTATCGTGCCTTTGGGCAATGACTGCCAGGCGGATAACTCTCAAGCAAGAACGTCTGCACGCACCTTTCCAGTACCACCGTCACCGACAAGCACGAGCTTGAAGGTAGGGACGCCGCTTGCTGCAGCTTCGGCCATGGTTCTGCGTCTGGTGTGGCGGGGTTGGGGGTTGATGTGGATATCGCGCGAGACTGCGGGAAACGGCTTGTTAGCTGAGGTCGCGAGGGACGGCGGCGAGATTTGGCAGGAGTGCACGAGGTCGTACCTTTGTCGCTGGATGTGTGGAGAAGAGGAAGCGGGTGGTGTGGAATTGCTCGCAGAGGGGACGCAGATTTGGTTGCGGTGAGTGCACGGGCCGCTATGGGCACCGGCCTTGCCTTTACAAACTTTCCAGCTTTCCAGCCTCGTCATACCTAGGCGCAGGCGCAGCTTAGGCAACTGCAGACACGCTTCGTCCTAGGAACTCACTTCAACGCATTTGGCCAGTTAGGCATCGAGCTGGAATATTTTCAATTTTGTCTTGGAATGCTGTTCAACGCCGGGATATCATGCATGCTTGCCCAAACCCAATGCGCCACGCAGTAAGCGCTGTTGTTCATCGACCCGGCCCACGCACCCACCGTGATTGCTCAAGAGAGATTTTTGTCATCCCACCAAAGGCCGTTCACCGTGGTTTTGTCAAGCTTCGATGTCAATATTAGACGTTAGGGAACCACCTCAACCCGCTACTGCTCAAGCCTTGGTATACCCTCCAGGCTACAATGGCAGCAAGTGACAGCCCAATAGTCCTCGTCCGCCCCAGTTTCGCCGTGGTGTAAGCTGCATTTGTACAGACACTGATGGACCGCCCGATGTGCTGGGCCGCAACGCCTTGACCGTTATTGGAATCTGTAATTAATCAGTATCGTGCATAACATGTGACCAACATCTTGTGCAGCTAGAGCCTCACAGAGCTTCTGCCAGCACATGGTGGTGGTGTACTCACGCCTTCGTTCTGCGAGACGGCTTCTGCCACCCGCGTGAGCCTATCGTGGTTCGTCCAGTCCACCCAGCCAAACTTGGTTATGGTGTCGCCTACTTTCAGGCCTGCCGAGTCTGCTGGGCTGCCTGCAACCACGCTGTTCACCTTTGCGAATGGTGCTTCGAGAGCTGTAGGAGCTGCACTGTGCCCTGTTTGGGTCTGAAATTCTGTCGCTGAGCCGTTCTGCGCCTGCTCTGCCAGTCGCGCGTGGTGCTCATGAAGGCCCTTCTCGATGCGTGTCATGAGGTCTTTGTAGTCGTTCTTCAACCGTATTATGCGCGCTCGTGTTGTCCGGACTGTCCAACAGGGTCAGCCAGCTCTTCCTCGTGTTCGTCTAGTCTGCTCGTACTCTGGGCGACATCGATGTCACTGCGCGGGAAGCCATCGAAGGTGGTGAGACCTGTATTCATGTGGACGCCGTGCTACAGAGCAAGCATCAGCTACTGCCTGCCACAACGCTACCATATGCGCACTGAATCAAGAACTTGTCCTAGAGCTTTGAGCTCTGTCTCCAGCCTGTCTTTTTCTGCAATGAGTTCCTGCAGCGACAACTGCTCCTTGGGTATTCCGTTCGAATAGCCCGAGGACGTTGGCCCCGAAGAGACGGTAGGCGCGTGAATATCATCCATGTTCAAGCTCGCACACGCTGTATCAGAGGCACAAGGGAAGGGCCAGTGCCTGAAGAAGCTTGGGTTGGAGATGCGGCTCTTCCAGAACAAACTACGCGGGGCAACAACACCCACCAACGCGGTCAACATTTCCATCGCTTTTCCACCCTAGCTCGACTAGCCAGTGACTACCATGCGAGCGCACGCGTAAACTGACGCACGATACTGTGGTACCCACCAGAAATACAGACCATTTACTACATGTACAAACTAATAAACGCGTCTAATGAGCAGTTGTGATGGGTAGTCGCTGGAATCAAGAAAAGCGTAGCATTGCCTGTACATTAACGAGTGATCACCGCGTGTCCATTCACACGCGATAGGGCTGGAAAGACCGTCGGCAGGACGACATCACTTACGCATATTTCCAGTCGCGACTTCCTCATCATAGTGGCTGACGCTTTCCATCGAGACCATCTTCGACACGCGTCTGTCCCATGGCTCCACCTGCAGCCCCAACCATGGCTCTCTCTCGGTCCCACGCGGTATGTTGGGATCGCACTGGACTGTCTTCACGTCATGTTTGTACGCGACACGCTGAAGCCGGAGTCAACTTCTTTGTTCAAGTGCAGCGGCGCTTCCTTTCTATAATTTGCTTACTTCTTTCTCTGTTGGCAGTCGTGCACAGTCATGTTCTTTTGGGCGTCCTTTGAGCTCCCTAGCTCAGTCGCCTCTCCTTAAGCCATCACCGTTGGTAACAGTACTATTAATCTTCCATGCCGTCTCGCGCTCATACACGTCCTATCACAAGCACCTAGTGTGCTTCCAACTCCGAAATGGCCTACGTCTTGTCTCTCCGACCCCATAGTCCGCTCAAGCGCTCCTTCAGCGACAATCCTTACCTCCGACCATGTTCTCCTTTGAAGGAGTCCTTTTTGGGACCTCTCTGCGACATCACATCACGCAACGCGTCTGCTTGTTCACTCTACTCTCTTGGGTCAAATCGAGCAGGAGACTGGTCTCGCGGAGACGAAAACACGCCTCCACTGACTTCTCAATCTCTACTCGATCTTGTACCAGACAACAATGTATGTGTCCTAGATACAAGACACGTCGACAATGGCTCACGCAAACGGACGTGTGACGCCAGTAGGCCACCTCCAACGCTTTCGCGAGGAGTAACTGCACCGTCAAACCCGTACTCGAGGAAAACCAGAGAAGAAGAGCAGGTTGCCAACCCTTTTGCACGCAACGGGGGCTCAGCAGAAGCTGTCGATACCCCTGACCACGACGACCTCGGAGAATCGGATCTGTTCAATCTCTTGGAAGCTATCCATGTTCCTCTTCCAGAAGGCCGTTTTTCCGACAACACCGGGAGCGACCCCCGTCAGGTACCAAATCCAGATCCTCCCACAGCCCAAATCAATTCACAGCCATTCCGGCGGTGGATGACTACACTGCGACGTCGACATGTTCAACGGCAAAAAGAACATGCCCCGGAGCCTTCTCGACTATCCTTTGACATTGTGGACGGAGATGCAGCTGTGTTTCCACCACTGTCCATGTTACACCCCTCTACAAGGAGAACATCGGAGTCTATGTCATCTTCCATCGACTGTGTGACTGCCATGAAATCTGCCTCGATGACCATTGCAACCACGAGCATCGCCCCACGCTCGGACGCTGGTATTCCCAGTAGAGGTCGACTTGGGAATAGGAGCAGCAACTTCTCTGAGGTTCGACGGTCGTTGGACAGTCATCGCGGCGCGTTGGGACCTGTCATCGATGAAAGCGCATGGCTTCGCTCACTGCAGCGTCGTAAAGTTGTGGAAGAGCTGATTGCGTCGGAAGAAAGCTACATTGCTGACCTCAAGGTCTTGATTAACGTATGTTTTTTCCACCTCCGACAGTCTCCGCTGATCGTAACCTTCTCAGGACTACTTCATGATCCTCACTGCTCTACCTTCATTATCAGGCCAAACGAAGTCATCCATACAGCAAAACATATCACAGATTCTACAGCTCCACGAAGATCTTCTTGTTGACCTGCACCAAACGGTACCTCAAGCGGATTTCACCCAGAGCGCACAACAAGAGACATATCCTGTAACGAAAGCTAAGCATATTCGTTTTCATAGCGCAGACGTTATACCCGGACGCTTCGCGGAACACAAAACAACTCGACGACTCAGACACTCCTTGGAGATTGGTCGATCGCCAGACCGGCGACCTCGAGGTCTGGTCACCGATACCAAGACGGTAGGAGATATCGCGAGAATCTTCAACAAACATGTTCGTTCTGTGCTTCCCAATCACTGTAAACAGCTAAATAAATATAGATGAAACGTTTCTTCATATACGAAGAATACGGCGCGCATTGGACGACGATGTCCCAAGATCTCACCACGATGTGCAAGGGACTCCATGGCTGGCAAGAATACGAACGAGGTGTTGAGGCGTTGCAGAAAGTTATCGCATCTGAGAATAATCGCGAATCCGGCAGCAAAAAGGCTCTGAGCTTCCCTGATCTGCTAATCAAGGCACGTATATCTCATCGTATAGCACCCCTGTTCTGGTATTAACATCGTGTTTCCAGCCCATTCAGAGAGTGTGCAAATATCCTCTACTGTTCGATGATCTATGTCGACACACTCCCGTTTATGACGATCCGGAGGCGCATGCGGAGTTGGAAAAGGCTCTCTTCCGATTCCAGGAAACGATTCGAGAGGTTAATAAGGCCAAAGATGATCCGAAAACTCGCCGACTGATCGAGATTACATGGCAGCTCCAAGATCGGCTTGTATTTCAGGAACAGGTAAGTTGAATCGTCTGTGTGAATGACGTTGCTCACTTTTGGTAGACACTATCGCGAGCTCTAGTCTTCCGCCTTCTTGGTCATGTCCTCCTGTGTGGTGTCCTTCATGTTGCCTATCAAACCCCTGACCGCGTCAAAGGACAGTATATGGTTTGCGTTCTTTACAAGTCATGCCTTGTGCTTGCAACAGCGAGTCGCTTCTGCACTCCTTACACCGTTGTTGCTTCCATCAGTCTCGCCAACGGAAGTGTAGAGGAGGCGGACAACAGTCGAGGTATGGGTTTTCAGTTTCGTTTGTACGTACGACAAGCCGCTCATGTTACCAGGAATACAATGCCATGCTGCTCCACACACCTGGAAACTCGTATTCGAGCATGGCCATCGCTTACACGAGATCGTCCTGAGCGCATGCTCCCTATCGGAAGAGAAAGTGTGGAAGAAGCAAATACGCGAACGCATTGTTTGTGAAACTCATGACTTGGCTGAGGGACAGTCCACCATGCAGGACATGTTCACATCCTTATCTCTGGATATCAAGTCTCTCGGAGCAGTGTTCGGACATGCCAACAGTGTTGTGCGGCGCATGTCTGTACATCGAGCGGCGACTCTGGGTGCAAAGACGAACACGTCCCAGGTCATCATCAAGAACACACAGGCACAAACATCGCCAGAATCACCTCCAAGCTTCTCACCGAGCGTGGTTACTCGATCATTGTCGCACATGTCTTCGAACCACGTCCCCACACTGGCGCCGAGGAGAACTGAGCGTATGCGTCTTGAGACAGCCCTAGAGGATGTTTGGACAAAGGATATCCTGCCTTTTCCTGGAATGTCGAATCGAAGGGTTGAAACTCAGATCCGTGCATCAGCAAATTCAGTTATGCGGAAGCTCAGTATGGCGAGTATTGCCAGCAACTTCTCCCGTCGTTCACCTAGCTTCTCAAGTGTGAGCAACACACGCTCAGAAGATTCTTTCGGTAGTAGAGCACATAAGATGTCACAAGGTAGCATTCGCGCACGCTCAGCTACAGACCGTCCTCTAGCGCCGGCACTTGTCGACTTTCACAACGCGCCAGCTGCATTCCTGCCCACGGATTTTGAGCTGGAGGATACCAGACCCTCAAGTCGACGCCGACGTCTGGCCAACCGAACCACGAGTACAGAACGTTCAACGGAGAAGCGCACTCCAGTAAAACCCAAGCGCGTGCGACGCCTATCAACACACATCATCAATCTTCCACGAACAGATTCAACCGCTCGTATTGCAGCGAGGAACACCTCCCATGGGTCTAATGCAACAACCCTGCGCAGTCCAGATCCACCGACCAATTTTGGACTGTGCCATGAGAATGAGAAGCAGAGTAGACGAGAAGTTCGAGAAAACAGTTCGAGGGAAGGAGCCTCAAATATGCAGCCTTCGAAAAAATTCCTGAAAAGCAAGAGCAGGATCTTCAAATTTTGGATGTGATGGACGAGCCATTGGTGTTGGTTTGAGTTGGATATGAAATGGACGAGGTTTGGTGGTTTGGTGGTTTTGGGGTCTTTTGGATCACGACGACGCCCAAATGTCCTAAAAGCGGAAGAGAGCACCATGATGGATGATTACGAAGTCACGACACACGATACGCCTCATTCTTGGGAGTAGCAAAACGTATTGGAAGTATGAGTGTGTAAACAACACGACGATATTCGACGAAAACCGAGACGAAGCGATGGAGACCGGTAAAAGCGGAACTCGCGGCTGTTCTGGGTGTTGCTGCAAGGCACACCCGCAGGCCACGTTGGCCTTTGCAACTGGGGATGTGGGGATAGCACAACGATGACGTCATTGGATCAATCGGGGCACGCGACCTCGCGCAGTCGTTATATTTGGATAGTGATAGATGAATCACAATCACAGTGCCATTCTGTGAATAATCTTCTAAGAAAGTATAGTGCTTGAGAGATGGGGATGGGTAACAGCTAAGTGATGCTGTAGTGAGAATCGAGAGACTCTCTTTGAATTCCCAGCCACCGAGCTGCAAGAAGGAACCTGGCGATCATGCGTTTCATCTAGAGCCCCAATGCGATCCCGACCAACCGAGCTGAGTGAATTAACAAGGCTCGTCACGCAATGTAAACATGGAGCAAGCAACGGACAGGAAGCAGGCCATGTGACCAAGGGCGCGCCGAGACATGGCATGCTAAGGAGTTAATGCGCGTCGCTAAACTTTAGCTTTTTAAGTCTAGGGAATTAAATCTAAACTAAATCTAAATTAAATCTAAGTTTTATTAATAAAAAAAGATTTTTTTTAAAAAAAAAAAATAGATTTAATTTAGAATTAAATCTAAAATAATTCTAAGTTAATTCTTAAATAAAGATTACTTTACTTAGTAAAAAGAATTAAATTTTAGAAGATTTTTTTAAGGAAAAAACTCTATTTAACTTAGAATTAAATCTAAATTAATTAGAATTTAATTCTTATTACTAAGTAAAGTAAGGTTAATTTAAGAATTAATTTAAAATAAATTTAGATTTAATTCTAAACTAAATAAAGTTTTTCTTTAAAAAAATCTTTATTTACTATAAGAGACTAACCCTAAGAGTAGTTACTAGTATAAATTAGATAAATTTACTAAGAATTTATAGTACTAGTTTTTCTTTACTTATAGTTCTTTTAGTAGTATACTAAGAGTTTTTAAAGTATAGGTAGTAGTATAGGTATTAGTAGTTAGGCTTACTAAGCTTTAAGGCTTTACTTACTAAAGTTTTACTAGGCCTAGCCTATTATATAAGCTCTTTTCTAGTAAAAATTCTTATATTTTAACTTTACTATAATATAACGTATTAACCTATTACTAACGCTTCTACCTATATTTATATATATATTTTTTTAGCTTTAACTTATATATACTTTTACCTCTTTTATATTTTTTTATTAATATAGTTAATACTTATACTAGTACTATTTTTAGTAGTAAGTAGTTTACCTTTACTACTCTTACGCCTACCTAGCGTAAGAAAAAGAAGGCTAAAATAAATACTTAAAAGACTAATTTTACTAAAGCTAAAGCTAAGCTTTTTACTACTACTTCTATATCTATATTTAACTTATTTAGTAAAGAACCTAGTATAAGTTTTCTATTTAAGTTTTACCTATTCTCTTACTTATTTCTTAATATTATTTAAATAGATACCTACCTAATAGCCTACTAACTACTTTACTTTTATAGTTAATATTTTCTTTATTAGTAAGCTTAACCCTTTTTACTATATTAACTATATAATATATCTATCTACCTAGAGTAAAATTTATAAGTTTAATAAAAGTAAAGCTACTTACTATTACTACTTTACTAAAGTAAGTTTTACTTATTATACTATAAGTTTACTAGAATTACTTTCTTTTCTTTATTTATAGCTAATATTTCTATAAATCTCTAATAAACTTAAGCTTACTATTATTTATATTTATAAGCTTTTACTACTTATTAAAATAAACTTATAGTTCTTTAAGTTACTTAAGAATATTAATAAGAACTTTATTTAAAATTTAAAAGAGGCCTAGAATAAAGCTTAAAAGCTTACTTTTAGCTAAAAGAAGTATTAAAATAATTATACTTTTAACTTAGTTACTAAAGGTTAACTTTATAAAATTACTAATAAGTTAAGCTTAATATATACTAGTATTTAAAAGTAGAACTAAGGCCTTATAAACTTAGTAAGTCTTTCTTTTAGTATTTAAAACTTTATTTTTTACCTATTTTTTTAGCTAATTTATAGGTTTTTTAGGCTTTTACTATTAATAATTAGACCTACTTTATTACTTAGGCCTTTAAAAAAGTTATTAAATTTTAAAAGTTAAGCTACTTACTTACTAAGTTTAATTCTCTACTATTCTATAGCTATAGTACTAGTATTCTAGCTTTTAGTTTTTTTAGTAGTAGCTTTTAGGCTTTTAATATTAGCTTTTCTAATTATTTTTTTTAGTTTAGATAAGAAGGTTTAGTTTTTATTATTTTTAAGTATACTATCTTCTAGAAACTTAAAGCTACTAGTAATAGTAAGCCTAATAAGTATATTAATAAGTAGAAGAATAGTTTCTAGGCTATAAATACTAATTAGAAATAAGTTTTACTAGTATTTTCTTAAGTTCTTTAGTATTTATAAGATAAATACTTTAAATATTTACTAGCTTTAGGCTAGTTAGCTTTTTATTATTTCTTTCTTTTTTTTACTATATATAGGTAGTTAATTTTATTTTTATTAACTTATTTTTTTATAGCCTTTATATTTTTTATTTTTCCTTAGCTATCTATATTCTTAGCCCTAGTAAAGGTACTTATTAGTATACTACCTATAGTTTCTAGTAGTACTATTACTAAAATTACTACCTTTTTTACTACGCTCTACTCTTACTAAGGCCCTTAGTATTATTATAGTTTATTAGAAAAACTTTTATAAAACTTCTTTAGTAGTTTACTTATTTTATTTTATTTATTTTCTAAAAAGGCTAACTAGCTATTTAGTACTTTAGCTTTTTTAAAGTTTTTTATAAGTTTTTATAAAGTTATAGTATAATCTTTTTACTTAACTAGGTATAATTTTTTATATTTTTTACTATAGTATTTCTATCTTTTACTTATAATTTTCTTAATTTTTTAGTAGTTTTTTAGTTTTTTATTAATATTTTCTAATATACTTTTAAGTTAGTAATTATTAGTATTTTATTTTACTAAAGAGTTTTTAAAGTATAGCTATAGCCTATCTATATAAAATACTAAGTAGATACTAAAGAAAGTATTTAATCTTATAGTATAAGAAGAAATTACTTCTTTTACTTAAAACTTTATATTTTTCTAGTTTAGTTTCTTACTTAGCCTACTATTAGAGAAGTATCTACTATACTATAACTATACTTAGTTTCTTTTTTACAGTTATAGTACTTTTTATTAATAGTAGTTAGCCTAGATTTCTTAAAGTTATTAGGCTTCTACTATTTTTACTTATATATAATTTAGTATTTCTATAAATTTTATAGTAAGTGCTTTAGCTAACTTCTTTAAATTATTAGGCCTTTAATATTATTACTAGATTACTTATTTTATATCTTTTTATACTATATCTATATTATATCTATATTATAGAAAGAATAAGCTAATACTAGTAAATACTATATTTCTTTCTTTAATAGTAATTTAAGTAGTAAGATATATTAGTACTTAGTTATCTTATTTCTAATTAATATAGGCCTATAAGTAGAATTTTATAGTACTATTTATTCTTTTAGTAGTACTATTAGTTTCTAAATAGTAGCTAGTAGATACTTAATAGGTAATACCTAATTTTCTATAAAAGGTTCTTTAAAAATCTCTAATAAACTAGCTACTATAGTTAAATATAATAGTATTTAGAAGCTAATAGTAGGCTATAACTCTTTCTATAAAAGCTCTTATTACTATTTAAGTATTTAGATTTTTTAATAAAATAAGTATTATATTTTTACTTAACCTATTTATAACTACTATAAGGTACTAGTACTAATTACTTATAAGTAAATTAATAATAAAGTCTATTAAAATTTTCTTTTATACTTTATCTAGAAGAAAAAGTAGTCTTAGTAGTTCTTTTTTTAGTTCTTTTTAAGGCTTAGTTTTTCTATATACAGTGGGGTGACATAAATAAAAAGTCACTTTAAAAGTCTACTATTTCAAGAGCGTATATCTTAGTAAGTACTAGAGCTATAAATATAAAAAAAAGAGATTTGGAAAGAGAAAATACGAATCTATAACTTACTAATATAAAACTTTTGCTTAGTAATCTCTAGAAAATAGTTCTTTGGCAGTGTTTAAGAGAAGTAAAAAAGAGTCTAATAAAAGTAGTAATAAGTATTTTTTATAGGTATAAAATCAACTTAAAATAGTATAAACTTTCTTATCTATCTATTAATATTAGATTCTGAGTTTTTTAGGTATAGTTACTTAAGTAAAAAAGATAGAATTTAATAAAGTAGTAAAAGTAGTTAAAATGGAATAATATAATAAGTAATAGCTAACTAGTACTTAGTATACTACCCTTTAGCGTCTATAACTGCCTTATAACGCCTAGGCATAGATAAGATACAGTTATTTATACTCTGTTGCGGGATTAGATCCTACTCCTTGTGTATAGCCCTCTTAAAGGCCTCTACACTAGCCTTACTAGCTCCTACCCCTAAACTAGTAGCTATTCTATTATCTAGTCTATCTTTTAATAGACTCCAGACGTTTTCAATAGGTGCTAAATCCGGACTATAAGGCGGATGGCTAAAAAGAGAGATTTTGTTTCTCTTAAACTAGGCTATTATATTTGGCGTTTTATGGGTTTTAGCGTTATCTTGTTGAAATTTCTAGCCTAAATAGAAGTTATTATAAAGAACTTTTTAAGAATTTCAAAAAAAAATAAAAGAGTTAAAATAGAGGTAGAAAATAATAAAATACTAATAAAAGGAGAATATTTAACTTACCTTTTTTAATAGCTGGTTTAACGTGGCGTATTAAAACCTTTCTTAGGTAGTCTTTATTTGTATAAGACTTAGTTGTAAAAGGCGTTTTAATAACCTCTAATTTAGAGCGTCTACCTATCTAAATTGCTCCCTAAACTTGGATAGAAATGTCCTGGGCTGTAAAAAAGTCAGTCTTGAAGCTATAAAAAAGATAGTTAAATGAAAATAAAGAGAAAAAAAAGGTCTAAAACTTGGCTTACTAGAAAAATTTTTAAACTTACTTGTATTAGTTGTATTAACTATTTGGTTGCTAACTCTGTTATTTCCCTTCTTTCTGTAATATTCCTTTCTAGCACTGTGCCCACGCTGGATTGCTAACTTATCAGAAAATACTATCTTATTAAGATTTATATTTCTGATGTTTTTATCCTGCTTTTTAG